GTTGGGCATGCAATTATGGAAGACGTCTTTCCATCCCTTTCTCGAAGCTTCAAATACGCCAGAAGAACTAAATCTAGGCTTCATTCTGATGCTTAAGTCTCAATTTACAACCGCAGCACCGTGTATAGCTACTCATTAGGACATGTCAGGTTCTCAGGTGAAGTTCTCGGATTGGGCATCGAGACGCTTTCAAAGAACACGCCGTCGTTTTTTCCATCTCTTTTGGAACGTAAGATAAAGCTCCCCCGGTATTAGAAGGTCGAAGCAAGCAATGCCGCCAACATAGCATTCTGAGCGGAGATATATCCAGTCCCAGCAATCCTCAGTTGCGACAAGCATATGTACATTGCAAGCTTGAAATGTTGTGGTCGTCTGGCCTCAAGACTACCATTTCAGACTCCGTAATCTTAGCCAATACTGCCATTCCATTGCTGAAATCGCTTAATAAATGTGAACATCATATCGTACAAGAAGCGTCCCCTTCGATTTGGTCATGTCATGGAGACACTTTGGTATCCACCTCAAGGGCGACAATGGAAGACAAAATTATTGGCTCATGGACCGGAGGGGGCTCTGACGGGGGAGCATCATGGGAGGACCTCGAGCGCGGAGCCAGGCATCGTTGAGGGGTCCTTCAGTACGGATGACACTGCCAATGGACATGAAAAGACTGAAATGAAGAAAGCCCATTTATTAGCATTGTTAATGGCTTGAAAAGTTTGGGGAAGAAGCAAAAAGTATATTGAAGAATAGATAGTCCATACCCAAAGGTGGCACCCGAGCCCAGCATGTACTTGCCCAGAGTGCGCATGACGCCGTTAGGACCGGCACCGTACTGGAAAATAGTGACAGTTCCTTTACCCAGTTAGCTCCTTGTTTTCTATAGTCAAATTGACTGTAGTTATTACCGATGATGAAGCCCATGATTCCACCGACAGCTAGATGCGACGGGTGTAGTTAGTAGAAGCTCGAGCAATGACGCAAGCTTGCTTCGTGACCACGTACTGGAACCCATCAAGCAACCCATTTTCACTGGAGCATCGTCAGTTAGCGCTCTAGATCCCGGCAAGTTCACTATTTTGTAGCTCCCTGCATGGACAGACAACGTACTCTTCTCGAAGGTCGAGCCACCAGCAGGGCCCCCTGCAGCAGGACCAGCAACCACAGGCATTTTGGATTGGGAGGCGAAGGTCAGAAAGATGTCGAAGATATCGAAGTAAGCGAGTGGCAGTGGAGAGCCAAATGAAGCTTAATAGGGAAGATTGGACAAGATTTCCCAAGAAGAGGCGTTTTCAAGCAGCGCATCACGGAAGCCGAATCTCCGTCTCCGCATCACGTGACCAAAAACGGGTGTGCACACGTGCATCAGGTCACGTGCGGCCCGGAGGCGTCAAGGGAGTAGAGACCAGGGACCGTTTCCTCGCTCCGTGGGAGAAGTTTCCATGGCCATCCCCCTCCTTTGATCTCTATCTTTTTTCCCTCTATTGCTTTTAGGGCTTCAAGCCTGTGGCTAAGGCGGCAAGTCCCGTCTTGTGCTCCCTCGTCCTTGGAAGGTGGTGAGACACCGATCGCTTGCTCACGTTCCGGACCTCACCCGCCTCCCTGGTCTAGTGCACTGACTTTCTTCGCCCTCGACGGTGCTTAAATCTCTCTGAAACATCCTCTAGCGGGTAAGTAGAGCATCTTATCGTGATCGCCTCGGCAATTTACCCATCTCGAGCCCAGACCCCAGTCTGGGCTGCCGATAATTTGTTTGGCAAGCGACCGAGTAGCGCTAACGCGACCGTTCAAAATTAGCCGGCCGACCAACAAAAACAACTAACCTGCGCGCATTGAACACTACCTATTCAAGCACGTTATCACCATTCAGTTACGAATTCTGCTTGAGTCTGAATCTTCGAGCTCCCCGCCCGCATCCTGTGAATTCTGCGACCGTCAATCGTCGTCTGGACATTCCGCTGTGTTGAACGGCCCCCAATATCCTTCTCCATGACTGCTGTGGCATCTCCACCTAGTGTGCAATCGGGGTCTCGCTTGGGATGGTACAGCACTGGTAACGGAGGACAAGGAGCCCTGTCTTCAGTGAACGCCGACGAAGTTTCACGGATGTTTATGCCACGGAAGCACGTCCACCGCTCCAACTCCTCCTCTTCCCTCGGATCCAACTCCTCTACATCCACGGTGACCAGCAACCAGCAAGAAGCCCACGCTGCGCAAAGTTCTGGGGTCGAAGCTGGAACCTGGTCATCAAAGAAGAAACCTACTAGGAACCTCTGGCCTAGCTCCAAAGCCGAGCCCGTGTCAGGAGTAACAAACGCACGATCACAAGCGGTTCCCGCTTTCTCCCCGGGCCCAACTGCATCATCGACCATGTCTGCTATGCATCAACCCTCGTCTATCGTCCCATCACAACATATGCTCCAATCATCCCAACAGAATGGAACCCGGCAGTCTAATGGGCAATCCGCGGACCCCCCTGCCATTCTGGCCCTGACACCGTTGAACGGTACATTTGAGAAGAAGCAAATCAACGTACCTTTTTTCCCCGATGTCCTGCGAATCGGTCGTCAGACGAATGCCAAAACAGTTCCCACGCCGTTGAATGGGTACTTCGATTCTAAAGTTCTCTCTCGGCAGCATGCTGAGATATGGGCTGATAAGGCCGGAAAGATCTGGATACGTGACGTGAAATCGTCAAATGGCACCTTCGTCAATGGCCAGCGACTCTCTCCTGAGAATCGCGAATCAGAGGCGCACGAACTTCGCGAAAACGATACCTTGGAGTTGGGTATCGATATTGTCAGCGAAGACCAGAACACCATTGTTCATCACAAGGTCTCTGCTAAGGTTGAGCATGCTGGCTTGTATGGAACAACCCCAAACATTCTTGACCTTAATTACGGAGACTTGGACCCTGCCTCTGGCGGTGGCCTTTTACCGTCGCCTCTTAGCCAACCACTTTCCCACCTCCGGGGGCGATCTGGCAGCAATGTGAGTAACAGGAGTGCCCAGAGTGCCAATAGCAACCAGATCCATGCCATGCACCAGCAACGGCAGATGAATTACTGGAGCTCCCCTATCTCTGTGGAACAGGTCGTCAAAAGACTCACGGTATAGCTCCCTCATCTTAACTCAAAAATTTGTTCTTGGTATACTAATGAATTGTACAGAGCGAGTTGAAATCAGCGAAGCAACAGTCGCAGGATCTCCGCCAGACGGACGATTTCTTAACGGCCATTATGAAACCAGGCTGTCCTGAGAAAGAAAGGGCCACTAAGCCGACATCTTTCGAGAACAGTGCTCCTCGCCAGCTGAATGGCCACCCGAAGATGCCTCGTGTCGACTCCTTCTCTCGGTTCTCGGAACCGCCTGCCCCTCCTCCCCAGCAACCTCTCCCAGAGAAGCCCGATGCTATGCCTCGTTCCGCGTCCGATACGTTCTCTCCCTTGAAACGCAGTGACACCGACAAGCCTAAGTCGGCCTCTAGCAATTCACCCGTCTCGCGTGATTCGAGCCAAATTTTGTCTCTTGTTGAGGCACTTTCATCTGCCAAGCGAGAAATTGATAATCAGGGTGCCCGTGTTAAGGAGCTGGAAGACCTGCTCCTCCAGGAACGGGCCGCTCGTGAGTCTGCGGAAGAGAAGGTCAAGAAGCTGGAGTTGCGTTGCGCATCCGATGAAATTTCCAAGTCCGAGAGCGCTGTTTATACTCCAGAGGAAGAGCCAACTATCAAGCTTGAGCATGATGACTCGACAGCTATCCCCATCGAGGCTCCTGCGCCTTCTGAAGCCGACCAGAAAGAGCCATCTGCGGAGGTGAATACTACGCAGCTTCAGCGCCGCCTTGAGAATATGATGGAAGAGATGGAAGAAATGAGGAAGCAGATCGCCTCATTTAAGGGACGCGCTGAGAAAGCCGAGGATGAATCGGCCGATTCGCGAAAGTCCCTGGCTGAAATGATCGAGACGCTCCGAAAGGAGCGTTCCGAGAAAGAAATAGCCTCCGCCGCCGCCTCGAATCCAGATACACAAGGCCAAGACCCGGGGACGACCATCTCTGAACAAATCCCGACAGAGAACGGATCAGCTGAGTCCAAGAAGGACGGCCCATCTTCACAAAGATACGACCCAGTCACCTCGAAAGAATTAGAAGCTGCGGCCACTGCCTTTGCTACACAACACCGGCGCAACTTTCTGGAGGAAGCAAGTCCTTATGCGTCTATGTTCGGGGTGGTTCTTCTGGGGGTTGGCTTAATGGCCTATCTTAACGGTTGGCAAAAGATGGACAAATAAATCGGCTTTGGCTATTTCTTCCGCATACGCTCACGATTTATTATTACCCAAAAGTTGGCGCTCTAGAGGGGCGGTCCAGCATGGCTTTTTTCACCGACGATTCTACTTCTCTTGACGACATGATACTCCCTGTATTCTGGGCCAAGGTGCCTGGGCGCTTGATTCTTTTGGGTTCGGTGTTGGTTTCTCAAACGTCATTTTGCATAATTTGCATATCCTGACCTTCTCTCTTGTCTTTTTTGCCCTCATGTTTCCAGCCTCGGTTCGCGTCAGTCATGACTATGGCGTCGAATGTCCTGATCCTTTCTAAACCAGTGAACACTGTTTCCTTTCGTACCTTGTCTCCATACCATGTCTCATAAGCCTAGCCTACAATCCTTATCCTTTTCCTTCCTCCTTTACATCCTGTTCTTCACTTAGGGGCCCTCGTTCATTTCGGACATGGGCCTGACTTTCTTGTACATGATGGAAATTTCAAGATGTTCATGACCAACCCTTTTTTAGTTCCACACTTTCCCGCATTGTCGGGTAGAATCTCTAGTCTTAGGGCAGCACAAAAGCATCTTGCGCATGCGTCTTAGCATCAGTGGGTAGTGATTTTCATTTTAAAGATTAGAATATTCTCAATTAGTACAATGGAAGAAGTATGGGACAGGAAACCAAAATTCAAGAAAAAAAAAGGGGCCCTTGGAAAGCATTTAAAACGACCTAGTATCCGCCACGCTGGTTACTAGCAGCCTCATAATCTGAGCTCTTCACGCGGGGATCTAGCTTGTTGAGAAGATTGATGCTGTGAGGACCAGAGCTTCTTCTTCTACCGCCTCCAGGTGCGTTGTAGCTGCTGCCACCAGCTGCCGCACCACCAAAGTCGCGCTGGGTAGTAGACTCACCACGGGAGTCCATCTGGCCCATGTTTGAAGTACCCATGGTCGAGCCAGTGTTGGCAGCTGAGCGCGTGTTATGAGCTGGGGAGGTGTCGCTGCCACCCATACCGTAGCTGGATGTCTGGCCGGTGGTACCGGTGTTGCCGTAGTTGGATGCATAGCTGCCCGTCTGGCCAGTGCTGCTGTCGACGCGAGGGTCCATCTTGTTAGTCATGTTGGATTCATAAGGTCTCCCGGTGCCGGTATAACCTCCAGAGCCTGAGGAGCCGTACGTGTTGGAGCCCGTGCTGTAGTCGCCAGCACGAGTGTTCGAATCGTAGGCACCGGCGTTCAAGCCAGAAGATCCCATGCCGGTCTGACCCTTCTTGGAGTCATAGCCACTGTAGCCTGAGTTGCCCGCACCCATGGTCGACCCATAGGTATTGCCGGTGTCCATGGTGTTGCCCATCTTGGAATCGTAGGCTCCAGAGCCCATTCCCGAACCCATTCCGGAGTTTGTGGTGTTCGAACCATAGGTATTCCTGGCTCCCATTTTCGAATCATAGCCTCCAGAGCCCATTCCCGAACCCATTCCGGAGTTTGTGGTGTTCGAACCATAGGTATTCCTGGCTCCCATTTTAGAATCATAACCTCCAGAACCAAAGTCAGAGGGGACGTACTTGCCCGAGCCATAAGTATCACTCATGTCCTTGTTGCCCATTTTCGAATCATAGCCTCCAGAGTCCAAGCCAGAGGGGACGTAGTTGCCCGAGCCGTAAGTATCACTCATGTCCTTGTTGCTCACTTTCGAGTCATAGGGTCCGGTGTTCAAGCCGGCACCCATAGGGTTAGAGCCGTAGGTATTGCCAGTTCCCATTTTATTGTCCTTGGCGCCAGACTTCTTTTTACCAGTGCGCTCATTGTCCGAGCTGGAGCTGCTGGAGCTAGATCCCTCTTTGGCCTTCCGGCCAGTGTTGGAATCCTTAGTTCCCCAGCCACCAGCAGTGTTAGAACCGTACGTATCGCCTCGACCAGTGTTTGAAGACCCGTAGGTATCTCCCTGACCAGTGTTGGAAGAGCCATAGTTGTCCCCACGACCAGTGTTGCTGGAACCGTACGTATCGCGGGTATCTATATCATGTTAGGGCCAGGTTGAATTACTATAATAGTAAAAGCTAACCGCTCATGCGCTGTTCCGCCTGAGAGGAATCATGAGAAGAGGATCCTTTACGACCGCTCATGGCATCCTTGACTTTGTGAATGAGGTTCGACATGTTGAGTAATGTATTGGTTGACAATTATAGCGTTGTAGAAAAGGCTAGAGACTAAGCTCGCGTGATCTTGATTGCTTGGAGTTGGTGATGATATTAAAATGGCAGGGATATAAGAGCTAAGGGTCAGCCTATATACACTCAAAATCCTGAATACTGCCCTACTCAATTACTAGATGGCTGTTCACGGGACTCTCTGACGCCATTACGCGGAGGTGGAGTAGGGGACAATGGCCACTTAGATGCGGAGAGAGCTCTACCATTATCATCTTCTACACTGTCATGACGTCCCAGTGGCATAGTGAGACAGGCGGCGTACGGATTGGCTACAAACTGTAGAACCGTCCATGGCACCGGCCGTCATGTTCCGGGTCGTCCAGAATTCAAGCTCGCCACTGGACAACGATTCATGTTTGTAACCATTAGGTAGATTCGTGCGGAGTAGGCAGCTTGAAAGTACGAATGAGAGACATCTTGAAAAGAGTTTAGGAGATATTCCATGAGTTCTCAGCTGATGGCTGATGTACCTAGTCTCTATGAGTGGCGCAACCATACCTTACTGTCAACTATGCGAGTCGTAAGCTCTCCACAAAGGGAAACCTGCTCAAACTGCATTTTCCCCCGAGGTTTGCTGGCAAATAAGGGTGAATTGAAGTTTCTTCGCCTTAAATTCTAGAAGAACTTCTAGAAGAACGCATATACCTCATGCGAGGGAGCTCGAATGTAGATCAGATCGAATACGTCATGCTATCCGCACAACATACGGTGCACGCTAAACCATGATAGGCAAGGTGGGTCAGTACACAAAGAGCTTTTTCAATGGATCACGTAAGTATACATCTGCTGATTTTTGGATGTGCCGATCAATCCAGTATATACACATTAGAGCATCAAGAACTAACAAGCATCGTAGAGATCGAAAGATTGAAAGGGAGTGGCTTACACGGCTGCCTGGAGAACGATGATGACATGATCAGCGGGAAAGGGGCCTGTCAAGTATACCATGAGGTAGACCGGTCCTTCCCCAAGACCTAGAACCATACTTCAGGCATCTAGGCTGGGCTGAATGGTCATTTCTGAAATCCAGTCTCTGCAGTAAAAATGCCTCACAGGATCAACGCCAGTCTGAGGGAGAGGGGATCACGTGGATGCCTGAGGCACGCGGCGCTGTCACGGGGTGTTACATAATCCATCAGTTCACCCTTCTCCACCTTGACTGACTTCACCAACATCACATCCCCTTTCCTTGTAACCACCTTGTGTTTGTCGACGTGTTGTTGGCCGTGGCTGTTGGATTTCTCCGTGACAAGCAGTGCTGCTCATTGAACTCGATGAGTGGCCGCCTGTTCGCTTGCTGCCAACCTTTGGATTGGTAGAGTGTTCGGGCCTGTCAGCCGTGTCATACAACGGAATCACCTGGTTATCGCCTCGCTCCCCGCGAACGCCCACTATTTCCTTATCCTATCTCCCTCATACCCGTCACTGGAGTCAACAATCTGCAGACATGCGACCTCCACGTCTTCTTGTTGTTCTTTTCTGTCTTATCTTCTTCCCTATCTTCCTCACTTTCTTTTCCGCCCTCTCTTCATCGCATGTTGCAACTCCCAATACGCTCGCTGGTCGATCGTCCGGGCTGCATGCTCTTTTCTCCTTCAATATCCCCTCATCACTTTTCCCTCCTTCCGCTATAATCAGTCTCACCGATGACAACTCAACTTTCTTCTTGGCCCGCCCTGCAGCTTTCGGTCCGCTCTTGCCGGGCAAGGGTTTAAGCGGCCAGCTCTGGGTGGGTAGCGGATTTGGCGAAGGAGGACTTACCGCAGGGGTGGAAGGGGAACTAGGATGTTCCGATATCCCAGGCTGGGGCGAGGGTGCGGGTCACAAACCACAGGATGCGGCTTCTAGGGGCACGGAGCAGAAGTCCGGCAAGTCCGGAAGTAGCACATTGAACGAGGGAGTTGTGACACAGAACCGCCCTCGATTACCATCGCAGGCCGATGCCGCTCGGCAGAATGATCGAAGCGACGCCCCAGTGGGACCTTCATCGAATGACGGTACTGACGATCATTTACATCATCCGCTCCCCGAGTCCAGTGCTGCCGATAATGGTACGCCTCAGAAATATGGCGACTACGTTCAAGTCAAACAGTCCACGCATGCCGATATCCAGTCGCTTCAAGAAACGGCTGAAATCCAGGGCAAGGTTGTCTTACTGAGTCGTGGTGGTTGTGGGTTCCTTGAGAAGGTGAAATGGGCTCAGCGCCGAGGAGCCATGGCGTTGATTGTTGGCGATGATACTCGTGGCGGGAACTTAGTCACCATGTACGCCCGGGGTGATACTTCGAATGTTACAATCCCCGCACTCTTCACATCTCATACAACAGCCCATCTTCTTTCTTCTTTGATGCCGTCGCACTCTGGCACAAGGACTGGCTTCGGTGATGCTTCGAATCCACTGCAAGCGAAACTTGCTGGCCAGGCAGATGTGGACGCGCCAAAAGCCACAACGACCGCAGGCGCAACTCCTGCATCCACACCAATATCTCCCAGTTCTTCTGCAGTAATGGAGCGACCTCTTCCTGCTTTGCAGCACAGTGGCGGATTCCTCCGCGCCCTTGGATCTTTCTTCGGCCTATGCAATAGACACGGAGGCTCGGGGCACCCAGAAGATAGCCGACGCCCGCCCAGCAGCGGTAACATTGACTGGATGACTTTGGGCTCTTGGGACACTGGCAAGTCCCGACCTGATAACTCAAAGAGCTCCGGAGACTACAATCAGCGCATGCGAGGCAAAATCGACCCCGGTATGGACAGCAAATATGGCTTATCATCCGACAATAACGATGGCGACGGATTTGTCATTGGTGTTCAAGATTGGAGAGATCCCGATTTAATGCCGGCACGGAGTAGCGCACCCCCAACGCCGAGCACTACTGCAACCGGAAAAGACAGTGCTAAGACTGCTGCTCCAGACATGGACGCAGCTTCCACTTCTAATATATTGCGTGGCGGCAGCATCACTCCTGGTAGCGGTGAATACCTTAGCATCGACAAGTCTACCGGCAATATTCGCGATGCCGATGTCAAAGAATCCGTGAAGAATCTCAAAACCGCACACGGCACATCGGAAACCGCTGGAAATGGCTGGTTCTCAAGCCATTTTGGGTGGGGTGATAGCACTAAGCAAGAAGCAGAACGGTCGTCTTCCCTTTCGCCTCAAAAAGTGTCAAATCAAAAATCGAGTGCGGCTCATTCATCGAGTCCTCCCTCTGCTCTGTTTTCCGAGCACGAAGGCCTTTGGGTTACCATGACCCCCACAAGCATGTCGACGAGTCCATTCTTTGATACGCTTTTGGTCCTTGTTATCAGCCCGCTCCTGACGCTCACGGTGGTCTATGCACTTCTAATCCTCAGATCTCGGATTCGCCGCCGCCGTTGGCGTGCACCTAAATCTGTCATTGAGCGCCTTCCTGTCCGCACATACCACACGATCTCGCACACCTCCTCGTCGTCTAGCTCACCACGGCCTTCTAGCCCTGGAGCCGTCTCGCCTACTTCACCGCTCCTTGGTGAAAGCCGACCCAGTACTTCTCGTCCTACTCGGTTGCGGTCTCAGACGATTTCGGGAGTTCAACTTAGCTCCGCACCTAGAGAAGAAAAATCAACAACATTGCATTCAGGGTCGACTTTGTGGCGTCAAAAGTATACTGGCAGACAGGTGGAGTGTGTTGTCTGTCTCGAGGAATATGTCGATGGTCAAAGCCGAGTTATGAGTTTACCATGTGGCCATGAGTTCCACGCGGAGTGTATCACCCCATGGCTTACTACTCGCCGAAGAACCTGCCCTATCTGTAAGGGTGATGTGGTCCGTTCGATGGCACATTCTCAGGCTGCCGATATTCCCAACCGACACGAGCACTCCAGCGGCAGCGGCCACGCCCAAGAGCTGGACCCACAATCTGAAGCCTCGTCTGCGCCTGTGCTTATACCCGTACATGACGACGATACATCAGACACTGAACAGACCGTCGGGCTTCTTGATGGCCACCCCAGTTCTGCACCCCAATCAAGTTGGAGAAACCTTGCTTCGCTTAGCTTCTCTGCCCTCAGTGGCGACACTATCTGGCACCAGGCTCGTGCAGATCGAAATCGCTGAGCATAACTTTCCCCTTCATATCGTGCGATTCCTGTTTTTTCTTTTTCTACGTTCCTCGCTTATGCGAGTGTTGCTCTTAGTCTCCTTGACGCATGCTGTATTAGCGATCGTTTGATTCCCTTATGACTTGAATTATTTGCAGGGCGTTTAGCGGGTACATCTCGGGGTGCTAGCGGCATTCAGCGAGCATTCTTGAAGCGGCTGGGATATACCGCAGGTCAATCGTTCCAAATATTTCTTCGGTTGAAAGTTCAACGTATACCACTCCAAAGTAGCTTTGAGGCTTGCTACACTTTTCTTTGCACTCTTCGTAATTGCATTAGTGCTTCTGCGACTTGACTCTATTTATTGAAAGGATACTTCGAAAGATAACTAGGTTACCACCTTACCGATGGAAAACAATTGCCGGTGAAGCTTCAAGAACGTGGCTTAGGGATAAATCTGTACTTTACGAGGCAATAGAATTGAATATGATAAGAGTCCCCCTATAGATATGATTTAGCGAGGCCATTCAGAATTCAAGACTAACTAGTAACTACGCTTTGCCTTGGTATTCTCAAAGTGGATGCGGCTCAGATCTACGGCCTGAGGCCGCCATGAAATGCCGAGCTTCGGCTCCCAAAGATGGCAAGGGGTAGCACATTAGAACTGTAAGTGTCCTATATCCTTATGCACCTTGGTATTGATCATAACAAACGTTGGCGCGTGTTATCTGCTTAAGCCATACTATTCTACAACCGTATCAAATAAAAATGCTGCCCTGGAGACTGGGTCGATGTTGGCGAGGTCGAACGGCGTCCACCCTACCAACACCGGCCAGGAATTCCTACTCAACGCCGCGATCGTCTTCACATTCAAGAAGATACATTGCAACTGCCAGCTTTGTTGGCGCATCGAGCCTAGGGTGGTTTTTGAGTTCCCACGACGATGTGCCAAGTCTCGAGAGCACATCAGCGGAACCTTTGCTCCCTGAAACAGGCCTTTCGAAAGATGAAGTGACGCGTATCATCTCGCGAGACGCATACTCCTTTTTGGTCAAAGATACACCCGGTGTCAGTCGGTATGATGGCAATCAATTGCCTTCCAACTCAGTCTGCGAGGACCGGTTCATCCACGGCACTTTTTCGCCGTACAATGACGGTCAGAAATGGATGGCGTGGGCAGTGTTTGATGGCCACGCTGGCTGGCAAACGGCGGATCTGCTGCAGAAGCAGCTTTTGACGTTCGTGCGACACAGCTTGAATCAAGACAAGGCAAGGTCTAGCGAGAATGATTCGTCCGACGCGTCTGTGCCGCATGCGATCGCAAAGGGTTTCCTGGCCCTTGACGATTCTATTGTCAAAACTGCTTTGGAGACATCTCAGAGCAAGCAGTCTCTCGCAGAGAAGGTGAAGAGACTGCTTCCTGCTTACGCGGGCTCATGCGCGTTACTCACCCTCTACGATTCTACCACAAGCATATTACACGTGGCGTGTACGGGTGATTCGAGGGCGGTTTTGGGACAGCAAAGACCTGATGGAAAGTGGGAAGCCATCCCGCTGTCGGTGGACCAGACCGGCTACAACGAGGAAGAGATTGCCCGGCTTAGCGCCGAGCACCCTGGTGAAAATGAGATGATCAAGAACGGTCGCGTTCTCGGGCTGGCAGTCTCACGAGCCTTTGGAGATACCCGATGGAAGTGGAATCTGGAATTCCAGAAGGAAATGAAGAACAGATTTGGCGCCCCATCCCCTTTGACCCCGAAGTACGATGTTCGAACGCCGCCCTATCTGACCGCTGAGCCTGTCGTGACGAGCACAAAAATCGACCCCAGCAAACCCTCATTTTTGATCATGGCATCGGATGGGATTTGGGATATGCTCTCCAACAAACAGGCTGTCGATCTGGTAACAAAGTGGATTGAATCATCAGCCGGTCAGAAAAGAAAGCCCGAGTTGGAGCCAGCTCATGAGGCCTTCGACTTGGGTCGGTTTGAGAATGGCGTGGACTGCAAGTTTGAAGACGAGAGAGCAACAGTGCAGGATGACAATGCTGCCGTGCACCTAGTGCGCAACTCCCTCGGGGGAAACCATCACGAGATGGTAGCAGGCCGACTTGCCTTTGGGTCTCCTTTCTCGCGGAACCAGCGGGATGATATGACTGTGCAGGTGGTCTTTTTTAATGTGCCAGGACTCGAGAAAAGATAGGCCGAGCCTCACAATTTTTGATATATCATGTTCTTTGACGAAAATTGAATGCATGTCTAATCCTGCTTCTTGATATAAACATTGCCAGACACCTCTCCAAACACTTCCAAAGCATGCGTACACTGATCACGAACAAGACCGACTCGAGTGATCATATCACGACCCAGTGGAAGGAACCGTTCTGCCTCTCGTCCAGCACCAACACCCTCACCAACAGCCACTTCAAAGATAGCCTTCGCCGCTTTATCTGTGTCACCGTCGAATGGAAGCTTGCCGCTCTTGATAGCACCCATAGTAAGCTCAGCAACAGAGCCGCGATAGTCCTCCGGTAGTGTGCCTTGAGCGAATTGGGAGACATTGCCGATGTTTGTATTGAACGTCCCCAGCCAGACAGTGAGAATGCGGATGTTGAAGGGCGCAACTTCCTTCGCCAAAACGCGCGATGAAGCTAGTTTGGTCAATATGCACACCGTACACTTGGTCAGGATTGCGATGAGACATACCATCCAGTGCAGCCTTCCCAGCAGCGTAGCCTCCCATACTCTCTCGGGCCTCAAGTGCTGCGCCGGAGCTGATATTAACCACGACTCCGAAGCGACGCGTTCTCATACAAGGGACTAAGGCATGAATCAGTCGGCTTGGTCCAAAGTAGAGCGTTTCCATCTGATTGTGTAGCTCCTCGTCGGCAAGTTGCTCTATAGCCCCAAAAATAATTGATCCAGCATTATTAACGAGAACATCAATGATATGGCCAGTCAATTCTATGGAGTCGATCAGTGCTTTTGCTGCATTTGGATCATTGAGGTCCAGGCTATACCACTCGCCGCCACGGCTTTGCACCTCGGCGACAAGGTCTGGTGTGCGTGAGGGCTTTCGCGAAGTAGCGATGACTTTGTGTCCTTGAGCTTGAATATGACGAGCCAAGGCGAGGCCTAAACCGGAGGAGCAACCGGTGATAAGCCAAGTTAAAGGACGACTCGGCTTGCTGAAGGTTGAGGTGGACATAATTTTGTAATCTGATTTGGCTATTTGCGGTATTGGACGAGTTGCCTGCTGGTCTAATGGTCTAATCAAGGTCAAGACGATTCCCGGGGGTATTTATAATCTTTTGTGGGCTGATTGCTTGGTTGCTTTTGGCCATAATGGTCGTTGGAGTAGGCTGGATTTAGGGCGAACGCGGAGTTTAATGTGGGGTTAGATGTACTTCGCGTTGGAGATGCCCAACCGGCCTATTCATCCAATTGGGAGGACCTGTGACCTGACAGGCTGATGTAATCCAAAGAATGATGACCTAGTTAACTATAATTTCAATGAGATGGGCCTGACTTCATCCTTTTGGGATAGTGATCTGAGCTCGCGATCGGTATAGAGAGAGTTCGCTCCTTGCCCCATTCGGATCTACATTCGAGATGCCTTGTGTGTTCAAGACCACTGAGATCAGGGATATTCACAACTTCACAACTCCTCTTTACTATGCGGTTGTAAAAGCCTATTATGGCAGCCGTGGAAGGCTGAGAGGGCTCTGCTTGGGTAGAAGTCGGCGGGAGTCGATTCAATAGCATGAACGAGAGCCAATTTCCGTGTATAAAGATGGCGCATCTTCCTCTCCCCCACTTTCACCGTTTCACCTCCATCGGCCATACTGTTCACTGAACCAGGACAAGGTATGCTCTCTTCATACAAGATTCCGGGAAATGTCGAGCATGCATCGAATATCGTCTGACTGACTTGTTTTTTTCTCTACTAGAGAAGACATATCCCGAACCTCTAACATCATCTCCCGGCATGGCTGGTACAAACTACAACGAAAATGCCCCCAGGAGTTCTGTTCATGGGAGCATGGCAGACCACATCCGTGTTATGCTGCCAGCTTTCAATTGCAATGCACAGCGTCAATACCAGCAAGATATCGACGCCCAACACGGGCCGATATTTGGGTCCCCTCGAGGTATTACTCCCCAGTCAAAATTATCATATCCCGAACCGACTTGACAACTCACTCATGTATTCGTACCAGGCTTGAACTCACCTGGCGTCTCGCCACGCTGGGCTGCTGGACGACGATCACGATGGCAATTCTTCTCTCGGCAACGGACTCATCCCACGCCTGATTTCTCTTCTCTCGGCCCTCCTCCAACTGGCTTCCTGCCAGTAGGTCCAAATCTCACGATGCCGCAAAGCTTTGACTACCCTTCAATTCAACCGCGTCCATTTTCACTTCCCATGGCCTATGTATCACCGCAGGCCCCGTCAACCCCTCAGGCTAGGCCTCTCCCTCTTTTTCATCCTCACCCTGTTGCACCTCCTCCATCTCAGATGACGTGGGGCTCGTCCAGTAAGTCTCCCATGAGACCCCTAACACCCTCTCTCAACCAGCTTGGCATCACTAAGACATCAAATGAAAGAACGAGCGGTCGAATCTCCCGCCCTTTGATTCCGACTGTGGAGCCATTCCAGCCTGCTTCTTCCCGCGTGACTCTAGAAGTCGAAATGATGGCCGTTAGATCGAATCAAGCAATGAAATCTCAGACCTCAGGCAGTCCAAACCCGCATGCCGGAAGAAAAGTCTCTCGTCCACTCAGCGCTCATGTGGCCCCGTTTGAGCCTTCATCATATCATGTCCCACTTGGAACGATAGTATCCCCGGCAGAGGAGAGTGAGGTATTGAGTTTCAAAAATACTACAGAACGGTCTGCAGAGCCCCCGGAAGATCGCTCGTTCACAACTTTCCTTGAAGGTGATCGGTTAGAAAAAGAAGCAACCAGCCATTTTTCTAACTTACAGCTGCGCGAGTCGGCCAGAGATATTATCCGGGTCAAACAGCTTGAAAGCGGATGCCGGCAATACCTTTTCTCGCCCCAGAGCAATGTCCCAACCCCAGGCCATCGAGTGGAGCAGAGAGTCTCTCCTGAGCGGAATCGACGACTCGAGTCTGTCAACGAAGACACCGAGCTGACAGACCCTGTCCCGGTTTATCATGCTCACCAGGAGATGATCAACCCTACCTTTGCTTCACAATTTCCAACATGCCCAGGATATGGTCATAGTAATCCATATGGTCACTTTACTCCAAACCCCCGTCGCGAGCCTGCTATGATCCAGGAAAGTGACTCGTACTTTCCTAGACTGACAACACAGGAGATCGAAGTACTTACTAGGGCAGCCGAGAGACAGGCTCGACTGTGGCTAGAGGCAGAGAGGATTGAAAAGGACAGAATAGAGATGGAGGACGAGATGATGAAGAAACGTGCAATTGTACAGCTCTCGCTTGAAGCACGTCAGGATTCCAGGCTAGAACGAGAAGGCTACGACTACACACAACCTGAAGTACTCGTCCGTGACCATCAACGCCGGGACGAATCTGCTGCCCGCGCAGCCGAAAGTCAACTCGAGTATGATGCCCGGATCTGGAGGACCTTTTACCCATTCTGGGGCCAGCAGCCGCCCTGTCCACGATTCCCAGAGGCTCATACTCGAGCCAGTAACCGCAATATTCAGGAGCTAGTCACCATGTTCGAGGTAGTCTTCTGTAACATGGCCGGCTACCGATATGGCTACATCAACTACCGGCCCCTTCATGTTGCTCCTCCCTCTACGTTGTCCCAGATGAGTGAACTTCCTCGTCATCGGCCAAGCTGGATCCCTGGTCCGGCTCCAACTCAAACCGATTGGGAAGACCCCAGCATCTGTGATAACACAGATGCTTGCCGCAACATCCGAGAAAATGCCTGCTTCGTCCCATACATGGAACCAACTGGTATGCACCGTCCTCCCATTTCACGAGATCCATGCATCGAGCCACTCATCGGTCAAGATACTCTCCCACACATTCCACCGTTCATCCCCGACTTTCCGGGCCAGAGTCTACAAGAAAGTGCTTGGCTCCGAGGCATTTCACTACGGCCGCACCAGCCACCACCATCTGCGCAAAGCAACTTCAATCAAGCGAGAAATAGCACCTCATCAACGTGGTCTGCCTCAGTCCGCACCAGCGTGAACCCCCCCAGATTTACGTTCGACCCTTCGCATGCCCCTGTCAGCATGATGGCTCGCAGTCAGGCGCTCTATCCAGCTCCGGAGAGTCCAAAATCCTATAACTCTCCTTCCCCTCGGATAAGTCGCAGCCAGAAGATCCATCGTCAGATCCCACAGAGCCCCAACTCATACAGAAACACCCCCTCTTCTCAGAGAGCCCGCAGACAGACAATCTATCCAGTGCTGCACAGCCCAAAATTTTACAACGACAATTCTTCTCCGAGTACTCGCAATAAGCACACCTACCGTCAAGGCCCGCAGAGTCCGAACTCGATTGATACAACCCCTTCGTCTCTGAAGAGACGTCGCCGACCGAGGAAGAAGTAAACGCACAGCGTTTATGGCTGGAATATGCAACCATATCTCCGAGCATTTAATGCCGGTCATTCAATCTTTTTTCATCATTCACTGATATCTTATGACTTCAAGCAGCGGGACTCGGTGGAGCGTGGGATGTGGAGCGTGAAGGTAGTAGATTCTTTCCCCCATGTACCGCAGAACCGCGATCAATACATAATATAATCATTGCTCTTTGCCTCTGGCATTTCCAGTAGTTCAACTGAATTTTCTTTTTCTCAAAAAGAAACTCTATGAATAGTTATCATGACCGATGTCTTGATATGTATGACCTTTGGCATCACGTGATTTATCGAACCCTCATCCGACGCATTCGTAGTCCCCTACAACTCACTGAAATTAGGTTTAGACTGAAGTTCAAGGAACAATATGTATGGCCATATCATTGCGGCATCGTTAACTAGATAACAAGAAAAAGGAAATCATCACGGGATCCACTTGGGAGACCAGTGTGCACCAAGGAAGCCGAAGCAATTAACAGCACAGCCAGTCTCCGGCGTTGACCTAAATCTCCATACCAGTCCAGCAACCGAGGACAGGACATGCCAACTTCAAAGCAAGCGAAAAGGGAAAAGAAAAAAGAAACAAAGAAGCATTATGCATCGGAGATGGCTGCTTCAGATCATGTCGAAGAAAGAAAAAATCACCGGAAATCCGAATGAAGTCAAGAATGGCCCCGAACGGGTAACAATGAGAACAAAGGAGGGAAAAGCGAGACCTTGTATGGTCGATTCATTCGCCGAGACGCCAGGAAGATTTCCGGAATGTTTATGAAAAGCCATATTACAAGAAAGGAGATCGTGCGGTTGGAGACAGATAGATGGCCCTTAATCTAGCAGGACACAAGGTTGATGTGGTTGTCGTTCAAAGCTGCACAGGCGAGCATAGTGCGATGGGGATGGAAGGCGGTGCTGACAATGGGAGAGGAACGGTTATGATGGAGGAAACTCGAGTATGGCTCGAAAGTAGAGAGGTAGGTGCCATCGACGTTAAAAGTCTTAAGTTCATGGCGATTTGAACCCCTGTCATCAAAGTTAGTCACATCATCATACAATCAGATGAATTGAAACTTACACGCTGAATACGGGAGCATGCTCATGAACGCTCAGGGTTCGGAGGGTATCTTTGGTGGTGAAGATGGTCGAAAGCGCGCTGTCCATACGGAGATCCCACAGTTTCACTTCGCCGTTGCGGCTGCCAGAGATGAGTTCTCTCAAGCCGCCGCGTTGCATGTGGACGTTGGTGATCCACTGCTTGTGCTCACGCCAGACCTTGACCATGGATGTGGTCGGCTTCAGCCGCTGATCGAAAACACGGACGGCGCCGTCACCAAATCCAGCAACAAATATGTTGCCAGCTACCTGGTCTGACGTCAAGGACGTGATGCAGGATCCAGATCGCGCAGGAATATCCTGGAAGTCATGTCAGTATGAGAGAAAACGCCTAAATGATCAAGGCGAGCAATGCTTACATTAGTGCAGACTTCAGTAGCTGCGTTCCAGACACGAATGACTTTAACGTCACCAGCAACGAGAGCTTTACCTTGACCTTGTTGCCAATCAAGAACAAGCCCGGCATTACGGTTGCTTGGGATAAGTTCAGGTAAAGCTCGGAAGGCCGTAACGACCTCAATATTCCGCGAAGATTCGTAGTTGCGGAATAGCTTGAGCACACCATCGGAAGAACCAGTCAATAAAAGAGCCTGATCGTCCTCATTGATGTACCGGACTTCGTTGATCTTGGATCCAACAGGGTTTCCGTTCGAGAACTGATTCAGACGCTTGTGGCTTTGCCAGTCCCAAATTCTGTAGAGAAAGTAAGCATAATATTCAAACGGGGATGATCCGTATACATACGCAATAGTGTCGCGATCGTCTGCGACTGCGATATGGTCCTCAAATTGATGGAAAGTCATCTTCAAAGGCTGACTCTGATTGGACAACAGAGTCGTGGAGTTGTCCCATCGACTTGTACCTGCCTGAACCTTGAGCGGTTGAGTTTCCGCAATGATCTTTTCGTTACGGCCGCGTCGCCAAAGTCGTTCGTTGTAATCGGAGCTACCGGGCTCGTCGGGTTCATTGGGTTTCATCTGGGGCTCCCGGAAGTACTTTTCATGGGTAAGCAAATGTTCCGGGGTAAATTTGAAGAACGCTTGATGGAAATTTGTAAAGAAATATGGGATTACCTCTGTTGACCAGTCCAGGAAACGGCTTCTCATGGGAATTATTGGAGTCTCCTCTGGGTTCCTAGGAATGAAGCCACGGGATGCAGGGGCGGGGTTTCGGTGATACGAGTTCGCTGGGGCAACGTTATCGTTGACTTCGGGAGGTCTGGTCCATTCGGGGGGAGCACGACCACGGGGGGTTATAGGCATACGACTTGTCGAAGGTGATTGGGGAGCAGAGCCTTCTGAGCCTTCGTCACCTGCGGGTCCTCCAAAGGCAAGGTTCTTGAGAGAGGCGGCAACGCTCGCTGTGCGTTTGAAACCCAAGGTAAGATAGCTATCTTGTTTGGGAGGCGTCGTCGTTGGCGACTGCGGCGTTGCGGGAGGCACGGCCTTCTTTGCTTCCGATCGCTCGTGAACCTGGAATCGCTGTGACATACGGAATGTGAGTTCCAAGATCTCAATTCTGATTCGGTCAGCGAGAGCCGCCATGGGGGACTCCAGAAGGGTAAGATGGATGAAATCGACAATGACACCAGCATCCTGAGCAATGTCAGGGTGAGGGTCCACAGAAAGAATCAGAACTTGCTTCCAGATTGTCCCGAATGTGGTGTTACGAGACAGCTGAGGTGTCTTTGATTCGGCGACCAGATCGCCCTTCTTAGACTCGAGACGGTTTCTGTTAGATGTCTCGCTTTGGAGACGATGGAGCAGAGACTGCTTTTCATCCTGAAGCTCCTCGTATGCCGCCACTAGGAACTTGTTCTGATGGCGTTTGACGAAGGTCGAGAAGAATACCAGGAGCTCCTTCCGGACGAGCACACTGCCATCAGCCGACATGGGTAATACCGCTAGGGCGAGTTGCTCTTCAATTTGAGCCACTTGATCTGTCAAGTCTGGAATGCCAAGGAAGGTAGTTACTGCGTGCAACATTGCCGCGCGAACCTCAGGAACCGGATCGAAGTTGAGTTCGCAAAGTCTCGCCGGCGCTGCGCATCGAATGCCCATCCACTTCGCTTCTGGGAAATCAGACCAAAGCATGCTGAGACAGAGGCAAGACCACTGCCGCAGCAGTGGGTTCTCGACATCTCCAAGGTGTCTCAGGCACGAGTCAAACAGTTCCCCGGACAGACAAACATTCTGGCCCTGAGGATAGTTTTTGCAGAAGATTGAAACGATAAACGCACACATGGCTCTGTGTTCGCTAGCATTACCAACGGGGATGGGAGACGATGGGTTTAGGATGGAGATGAAGTAATGAATTCCGTTGTCCTTGAGGAGATCGTTTTGGACTGTATGGTCGACAGCCATGATTCTTGCCCAAATGAAGACCATGACAGGCTTTAATTCTTGGGCAGCTGACTGCAGCAGCTTGACAACGTAAGGGAAGATGCCGATACTGAGTGCAAGGTGCACGGCCCAGGGACCCAAGTCCAGGAACTTGCTCAGAAGGATCAAAGCGCGCAGTCGATGTGCCTGACTGAGTAATACTTGAAGTACGATGGGAAGTTGGTCTGGTGGGTTCTGTTCCGTGGGTCCCGAGGAGAGATAAACCTCGAAGGCAGTGAGCTGCTCGGCGAAGAATGTCGAGTGCTGGTACTCATACTGTCTGCGCCCTTCCTCATGGTCGATTAGCGCAGGAAGCTGCGAGAGCACCATCTCCACGGCGAGATCCCAGCTTTTCCAGAGCGGATGATGATGAGTTTCGGGTAGTTCGGGTGATGAGATGGGGTGACATTTGTACGTGCGCATTATGCGCTCGCTGAGGAGGAAATTGCGGAAAAGGGCGGCGACCATCAGGTCTTGACGGAAAAGTTTCTTAAACAGCGCCCGAGGCAGGGTGTTCCATGCAATCGTATCGGTGATCGCAGTGAAGATCCAGTTTAGCTCTCCAAGAGGACTTCGACGGTCTTGCAGGCGACCCGGTACTCTGAAATCCTCGATAGTGAAGTCGGTACGGAGAGGGTTCTGCAAGATGAAAAATCGCAGCGCAATATCAATTGGCGTCGTCAGGCAGCAGGTGAATAGATCAGCTGGCAGATCGGGATTAGTTGGCAGAGACTCGTTCTTCTGGCATGCCGCAAGAAGGATGCAGTCGCCATAATTCTGGACGATTGCGTTGGGGTCTCTCTTTTTGGCCTCGATATTCTCCTTCTCATGCTTCTCGACAAACGTATGGAAATTCTGAACAATGTTTCCTGCATGTGACACGTCGAACACAAAGAGACTAGGACCGGCTAGCCAGGATTGCAGATCGTAAAGTGGGACAGGGATGTACTGGGTGTAATTTTTGTTGAACACCCAGATCTCGCCTGACTGTGTTGGCAATGGGACTCCATGGCCATTGTAGTGCAGAAGAACTCGCTCGTCCTTGGCATTTCGACGTAACGAGATACAGAACTTCTTCGTTTCATCCACAGACGGGTCCAAATACTGCTTGTATCGCGTCCGAAGACTGAGGGTTTCATACTGCTCCTGTAGCTTCTTGCCGATTTGCTCCATAATCTTATTCTGGCCCCCACCTGTGGTGGAAGTGGGATCCACCCAACATTCCAGCTTGGATGTCGGATTTGTCTTGACCACATCGGGAGGATCGACACCGATATTCAGGCAGATAGCCAATGCAGCAGAGACGGTCTTCAAACGATCCTTCATGCGCCAGTCTTGGCTTGGCCAACTACCGACGGGGTCTCTGGGGACACCGTTGGTTTCGTGACGTTTCTCTGTAAAATACATATAGAAATTCTGATGGTCCCTTGTGTTAGTTTCGGGTATAAAATGAAAGTCTCGGTGATCGAAACATTCTTACCGAGTGCAAAATCTTGAGGTATTCGCTGGATGTATATTCTTCCTGCCATCCGTGTCGCATTGCAAAATCCTCCTCTTCTTCTCCCACAACTGTCTGATCGAAGGTGACGCGGCTTGGACCATAGTCACTCTTGGCTCTCTTGAGCATGGCTGGACGACTACTCTCTGATCTCCGAGGAGACGGGCGTCGCGGTGGTGAGCCCGGCCCGATCGCTGCATTCTCTCCGGCGGAACTCGTGGGACGAGGGGACGGGGCTGCTAGAAACGGCGGCTTGTGCTCGACGGTCGTAAAAGAACGATGATGACTGCTCAATGGAGCCGGAGATCGCTCACGTGCGGGGATAGTAGTCTCCAGATCGGGTCCAAAGGCCACTCGAGCCGATTTGTTGCGGCGGGGTTCGGTCGACCCGTTCGTCGCGGGCTGCGCTGGTTCTTCCATGTCTGCTGTAGGATCTCTCATGTTGCGGGTATGATCATGGTGTTACGTGAGAGAAGGAGAGAGGTAGGACGGTCGCGGGGAAGAGCTGAGGGACATGCGACAGTCCGGCTTATTCTAAGTACCTCCCAAGTGATCAGGCTCGAACTTGAATGTCCGGGCGCCTGACGGTGGGAAGAAAGCGCGCAGTTGCAAAGCCAAAGGTCACCAAAGTCTCAAGATGTCCAACGCAAGCTCACAACGGCGAAGCGAGCGCACGAGGACGAAAAGCCGAGATAAGTTGAACGCGGACGCAACGGTGAGGCTCCGATTGCTCTCGAACCGGATTATCTATGTCCCTGCTGACTAACTTGAGCTTCCCCATGCCTTGACGTGTTGGGTGCCTCAGGTGTCACTACTCGGACACTCTGATACATCAACTAGGGCAAGGAATATCATAGAGGGCTACGGGGTACATCTGACCTTAAGTCCTGCATTAGCTTCCGCTTAGACGACTGATGTATCTGGTATGATCTGTTAGAGTACGATGTGGCGAGGAAGCTACGGCGGAGTTCGCAGTAGCTCGTTGTCCGAGCCCTATAGAAACGGAGAACACTGCTCTAATCTGACTCGTTCATCTCAGCCCAAATGCGCCTCAGCAGCCCCAGTGCCCTGGTGCCAAAATATGTGTTCGATGCCATGGAACACAGTGTCTCAGACATTGCTTTTCCGCTGCATCGGGAGATAGAGATAGACGGCTAATCAAACCGAAGTCTCACTGGGAAATTGCATTTACAGAGACATTCAGCAGGGTCAGAATGGAAGCCAAAACATCTCATTCATTTCATATGATTCGTAGCGGGGATGACTAGGTTCATCCCTAGACGGTGTCAGCATGCCGTAACCGAAGAGTAGAGGCGGCGCACAGGGATTCGCAACGGTAGCGATCAACGCGGCCCAGAATTCCGCTGATAGGCACCAAATCTCCCCCTTTCTTCATGGGTTCCATCAGGTCCATGAAACTCATCAGGCTCAGGGACAGAAGGACCGAAAAAGTACCGGTGGACTGGTGCCACTGACGGTAGCAAGCCACCCCTGACTCTACCAGGTGCAGCACCCGTGGGAACTGGGTTGAGATAGGTTCCTTGCACGTTGTGGGGTGTGGATCGCCCGGTGGGCTCGGTGCTTTCTAGACCAGCAATTGGCCACATCTCTTTTTGCAGTCAAAGACTCGGAAAAGACAGCCCCGCGGAGAGTGTGGTATAATAATAGCGTGGGTTGGAATGGAAGCACATCAGGAATGCAGCACCACGGCAACAGGCCACGATGCTATATCTCCGAGATCTACGTTGGCTGTATTTACTATGACTATCATGTGTACCTCCTACCCAACCGGCATTTCAGTGTCTGGCTAGTGCGAGTACTAGCGGTGATGCTAGTCGTGAATACCATGCTGTACCTCGAGCTAGACATGCATATAGTATAGAACATACCTAGGACCTTCATCTGAGCATAGGGATGAAAACCCGATATCGTAGATGCCATCCGGGTAGATCGCACAGCCATGACAGCCGAGGGCTGGGCCATTGGGAATGAGGGCACATCCTGATCTCTGATGCCCCTGAGTATGCAGCGTGCGGCACTAGTGTACCTCCTCTCTCCGCCTGCGAAATTGAAACAAACACCTTTCTCCTACATCGGTCTCTTCCTTTCTTTGCCCCCTTTTTGGACCTCTCCGACCTCGTGGGAATTGCAATTCGGCCCTATTCATATTTAGCCCCAGTAGGGCTGTGATCGCTGGGTGAGGCGCTTTGTTCAGACCACTTCACCCACCCCTGGCTCGATTTTTTCCCCGAACGCTGTGGATGGAACAAGGTCGACGGTTCCTGGTTCCGACTCCACACTCTGGAAAATACACAACCCCCTGTCTCCGCCCGCTTCCTTTTTCCAACCTCCGACCGAATCCTCAAGGACAAGACCTTTCTTTGATATCTGTGCTGGGGCCGTGGAGCGCACATCGCACCGGGCTTCCCCCGACTTGGGCGCGGACTTTTCCTTAGCGCTACTGAACGATTAACGACCGATTAACGATGGCTTTCCTGTTTAAATCCAAAAAGAACCAACCGGGGACTCCGCTCCCTGCCGCGACGAGAAGTGTCCACACCTCCGAGGGCGCTCCGTCAAGCGGCACTCCGTCAATCACCAACGGGTCCAAGACCGAAGGGAACGCTTTCTCCCAGACACCGACTCCCAGCAGCAGCTACAACAACTCTCTGAATTCTGCAACAAGTCCTACCAGCCCAGATAACATGAAAATGCGTCAGAGGGCGGAATCGGAATCTCAGGTAAGCTTGCCTGTGTAGCCATCGCACCGGACGGTGTTCCCCTAACATTTGTGTTTTCAGGTCCAACGGCCGCAGCAGACTCCCAATGGCATATCTCCGCAGAGTCCAAACTCTTCCCTATATCCGTGGTCACAGCGCCGACTCAATTTCTCTTCGCCGCAAGCTAATCCGTTCCCCCGATATGGCGCCGCAATTAACGCAGTCGCATCGAAGGAAGGCGATATCTACATGATGGGCGGTTTGATCGAGGGGTCTACCGTAAAGGGAGATTTGTGGATGATTGAGAGCAGCGGTGGTAGCTTGTCGTGCTTCCAGGTTCCAACCGTTTCTGAGGGTCCTGGTCCCCGAGTTGGCCATGCTAGCTTGCTTGTCGGAAACGCATTCATTGTTTTTGGCGGTGATACAAAAATCAACGAGAACGATGCATTGGACGACACATTATACCTGCTCAACACTTGTACGTGGCTGGCAAATCATTCTTCTTCCCGATCTTCTCTAACTTTTCGTCCCTTCTAGCTTCTCGACAGTGGTCTCGCGCTATTCCACCTGGCTCCCGCCCCCTCGGGACGATACGGTCACACATTGAATATCCTGGGGTCTAAACTCTACGTGTTTGGTGGTCAGGTGGAAGGATTCTTCTTCAACGATTTGATTGCGTTCGATTTGAACCAACTTCAGAATTCCTCGAACAAGTGGGAGCAACTTGTCCAGAACAGCCACGAAGGTGGTCCTCCAGAAGGTCAAATCCCCCCGCACGAACCAACCACACCATTGTAACATACAATGACAAATTGTTCTTGTTCGGAGGAACCAATGGTGTGAAATGGTTCAACGACGTCTGGGCTTTCGACCCTCGTGTCGGCACATGGGCGGAAATGGACTGTGTCGGGTTTATCCCGACGCCTAGAGAGGGCCACGCTTCTGCTCTAGTGAACGATGTGATGTATGTGTTTGGTGGTCGGACTGACGAAGGAATGGATCTTGGTGATCTTTCCGCCTTCCGTATCTCTACACGACGCTGGTACTCCTTCCAGAACATGGGTCCGGCTCCGTCACCGCGATCCGGACACAGCATGACGGCCTTTGGAAAACAGATCATCATTATGGCCGGCGAACCAAGCTCGGCCCCCAGAGATGCCGCCGAGCTGAGCATGGCCTATATCCTGGACACCTCCAAGATCCGTTATCCCAACGAATCGCAAAACGGTGAACGCAACGCCTTGCCTGGCGGCCGTAAAGTGAGTACCGACAAGCAGGGCCCTCCGTCGGGACGTACATCTCGAGAGGCGCAGAACGCAACCCCAGAACAATTGCGTCGCGGACCGACCCCATCGCGTGAAAGTCTGATTCAAGCCGCGACCGGCCGACAAGGCGAATTTGGATCAAATCCTAATTTGGGCCCAGGCTCCCGACTTCCACGAGCGTCGATTGCTCAAGCGCCTTCTGGACCGCCTCCGCCTGGACAGGCACCTTCTCCCGGCCCTCGCAGTAACGCGCCCCAGCCCGCAAAGGATCCTCGCAGCAAGACTCCCACGAAGAACGACCGTGGTTTTACTCCGACCGTCGATGTTTTCGTTGCCAATAATGAACGGAACGTTGAGTCGCCTGTTGCGAAGGATGGCCCGCAGGACGGCCCAGGTTCTTCAGGCCAACGAACCCCAACACAACAACAACAAAAAATCGCAGCTAAGGCAATGGAAGCTGGTGAGGCGGCTCCCATGATTACTACCCCCGCCCGCCAACGATCATTGCAAAAGCATCGGCAGCGCGGTTCCATGGACAGTGCTGAGGAATCAGTCCTTGGTGCCCGCCAAGTCAGCATTGATGGCTCGATAGAGTCTCGCAGTTTCCGCAACTCTCGCAGCCTTGGAGATGAGCCGCGGTCACCAAGACTGACGCCTCACCAAGAAGCGTTGATCAAGGAGTTGGAATCTACGAAGGCGCGGAACGCTTGGTACGTATCCGAGCTGGCGTTGGCTAAGAAGGCTGGCTACATGCCCAACGCCTCTAGCAGCGCTATGTTGGACGAGCGTGCCAGGGAATATTTCAATGACGAGGACCGTCCTCTTCTCGAGGCATTCCTCCAAATGCGAGACAACCTTACCAAGATGCAGGCAACCGTCGATCGACAAGCATCCATTGCCTCCAAGCGCATTGCTGAAGTGGAACACCAACGTGATGTGGCTGTCAACGAGGCTGCATACTCCCGAGCGAGGCTCGCAGCTCACGGTGGTAGTCAACGAGGCACTCCACAGCCCGAGAGCTCTCGCGACGGAGATGATGGAGTCGAGCGTCCTACTGATATGGGCCGTCGTCTTGCATTAGCTCTTGCATCGCAGTCCGAGCTCAAGGCCAAGCTGGAAGTATTGTCCGTTGAGCTTTCGCAGGAGAAACAAGCCAAGGAGCTGGCCGAGGATACCAACGAAGCCACTAGGAAACGCTTGGCAGAGCTTGAGATGTCGAACAACGCCCTGGAGGCTGAGAACCTGCGTGCCGAACTCCATCGCGCCGAGGCCTCCGCTAGAGAAGAATCGTTGCTGCGCGCTGAGGCCGAGGCTGCTTTGAAGCAGCTCAGCTTGGATAAAGAGGAGCTGTTGAAGCAGATTGAGGATTCTTCGAGCCGATTGAAGGACTTTGGCTCCAATTTTGGCAGCTTGCGCGAAGCTGTTGCCGCGTCTGCTGCTAAGACGACAATTCTTGAGAGACAACTAGAGGAAGAGAGAGAGCGCCGTGAGGGTTTGGAGAGGAAGCTTTTACAGCTCCGATCTGAACACGAGGAGCGAACCACGGAGTTGGACAACACCACCCGTCGTCTGCGTGATGCAGAGGAGTTGGCCGAGATTCATGCTAAGGAGGCCGAGGCCCATAAATTGGCGTTTGTGTTAGGCCTCGAGCGTGCATCGTCCGCTGATCTGGATGCCTCGATGCGGTCCCTTGCCGACCAGCGAGTGGCTGCTCTCGAGGCTCAGGTCGAGAGATCTACTACTCTGGCCAAGGCCAATCAGGCAGCTGCGGATGCCGCAGCAGACAAATTGCGACGTGCTGAAGGGCGTATTGCTGGTCTTGAGGCGTATCAAGAGCAGGCTAGCCGCGAGGGCTTGCAACTTCGGAGACAACTCCAGACCGCCATGAAGGAAAGTCAAGCCGCAACCGCGGACAGCCGAGACTTGAAGGCCCAGCTTGAAGCCCACCAGCGCGAGGCTGGTGCATTGAATATTCAGCATGCTGCTCTAAAGGATCTCCTCGGTGAACGAGGCGTCAGTGCAGATAGCAGACGTTCCCCCCGCCTAGAATCGCCAGGGTCACGCTTCGGAACCCCCGAGCAAGGCAGACTTCGAGAACTTGAGCAACAACTCTCCACCAGTCTGAGGGCACACGAGGACATGAAGTCCACTTTTGAATCCCGCGAGCAAGAGGCCGATAAGGCGTTCCGGGAGAAGCTGGAGCAGCTCGAGAACGACTATCAGTCGGCGGTTCATTACGTTAAGGGAACCGAGAAAATGCTGAAGCGGATGAAGGATGAGTTGAGTCGTTACAAGTCTCAGAATGCCAAGATGCAGTCTGACCTTGAGGCTGCCAACAAGAGTCTGGAGACCGCTAGCACCCAAGGGGATGTTTCTAATGAGTGGGAGGCTGAGCGCGCCCGACTTGAGAAGTCGATATCCGACTTGGAGCAGAACACATCAAACTCGCTTGAGAATCTAGAGGGACAGATTTCGCAGTTGAAAAATGATCTCACCGCTGCCGAGGCTGAGAAGGAGAAGTCTCAGAACGAGCACGAGCGTCTTAGGCAAGAAATGCTCTCCTCCGTTGGCCGGAGCCGTGCCGAACTTGATCAGCTCAGGGAAGAAAACGCCCTCTTGGAAACCCGCGCTACAGATGCTGAGCAGAAGGTCAACATGCTTCTGGAGCAGGTCGAAACCTCGGTGGGGCATTACCGTCGTCAGTCTCAACATGCTCCGGGTACTAATGGCATTACTCGCAGCCACAGTAATGCTTCTTCCAACACGGCGGTTGGCCGACCCCGCGCCGATAGCAACGTGTCGCAGGAGTCTATCACTTTCCCAGATAACCGTGGCTCCATGGCGTTGGACTCTCTCGCCAACGAGCTCGAGGCTCTACGCACCCACTGGGAGAGCACCAACCGCAATTACCGTCTCAGTAGCCAGCTGGACATGGACCGAACCCCGACCAAGGACACCAGCGAGGGGCCCGCCATGATGAACGACAGTCTGGCGGAGTGGCGCCGGCGACTGGATGAAGAGGAGCGAACCGGATCTTCCAACAAAAGCAAGCCAGTGACATCTGGCAACGGTCCCTCGATGATTTGAGTTTCTTGGTTCTACGACTACGTGCCCTGAGATATGTCGATTTGCAACACCCTCTGAGCGCTTTGCTTTTGCAACTGTATTTTGTCCGACTTTCTTTTTTGTTTTCGTGTATTTTGCGATGCATGATCCTTGTTTGATGAGATCCCTTTTTTTGTTTTCCGTCCTCATTATCACCACCGAGGGACGGGCTTCCCTTCGTTTTCTGTTTGTTTTAATTTCTGGAAATCCCTTCTCGATCGCTCCTGTACCTCTTTCGTTTTCCTTTCTCTTATACCCCGGTTTTCCGATGTTTATTGGACTCTGGTTGTACCACTAGCAACATCCTATCTACACGAACCTTCTATTTTATAGTCAGGAAACATCATCGTTGATCTAACAAGGCCCACGTTTATCTTCACCTAAGACTTTGAAGACCCAAAAATTAGGGCCCGACAAGGTAGCACGGGCCAATCTCATCAAACTAAGGGGTATTGAATTTGCCACGGCATAGTGATAGGCGCAGAAAGCTCTGCATTCGTGTCATTTAAACCCGGGCGGAAGGCAGCGGGGGGCCTAGGGCAAACATGGCATTGCATGATAGGCATCCAGCTAGATCTGGGGCCAGAATACGACATGCCTCGTTTTGGGGAAAACCACATGAGTTGTCATGCCGTGGCTTTCTTAGATTCCTTGTAGATGAGCATTGTATCCCTGTTCCTCTAGACAGCCAGCTAGGCACCAAAAAAGAACAAAAGAATAAAAAACAAAAGCATTCAGCATCTTCCAGGTTTCATGGTGTTATCGGGTCAGGTGAGACGCGCTCCGGCAATGGGCCGTGGCTAGAACCCCGAGACATGAGCATTCAATGCCGTACGCCTGTAGGTGACTAGGTTGTTGGGGCAAGACATCAGTGAGTATCCAGAAGTATATTAGGAATCAGAAGTTAAATTCAAAGACCAAAAAGACATATAGATCACATAAAGAAAAACCAACATTTCAGCCCGACGGTACGGGGCGTTACAGTACCCCAGCCTCGGAAGTGACTGAGCGTGGCAATCCCTTGACGCCCTGTACTTTGCATGTAACGCTTTCGCTAATGAAAAATACACCTCACCGACTCCTCTCCCCCTCTCTCCTTTCTCTCTCTCCAAACCCGTTTTACCGTGATCAAGGCTTTTGCCCTTGATATCTGATCGGTTTTTCTCCGTTTCTACTTTTCCTTCGGCCCTGTCCGATCCTCTGCTCCATCCTCCTTACCCCCCTTCAAACCTCCTCATCCTTCCGTCGGCACTTCACGGTCGGCATCGGACCTATTTGATCCTAACAGGTAAGCTACCATTCTATCTTATCCTCTCTATCTACCGTCTCGCCTGCCTCATATCAACGGACTCTCCCTGGCTGCCTGCGTGGTCAACACTGTCAATACCAACAAGGTGGCCAACATATAGCCCCGGAGCCCCGGAGCCTCGTTTGCCTGAGGTTCAGCTATCACGCCCCCTCTTCTTACTGCTTCTGCCTCTTCCACCTTGCATCTATCCTCTCTGTTCTCAACTCCTTACTCCTGATTTTCCTCCTTTTCTCGCTCCTCGATTTTCTTCTAACATCCATTCCAGAGTCTCCAGTCCATTCTGCACGGCTAGCCGCTGTGCCATCTACGATTCAAGATGACGACCATGGTCAGTGTAAACTACCCCCGCCGACCCATCTCCTCTCAGCCTCAAAGCCCTAAAGATATCATCCGCACATCCCGATCAGACGACGGCATCGGGGACGGCCCTTCCCGGGGGGTAACTTGAAAGGACAAGTCGTACTGACATCATACACAGGATCTGCGTGTCGGTAACAAGTACCGCATTGGCCGTAAGATTGGTAGCGGTTCTTTCGGTGACATTTACCTGGGTATGTTATATTAATTGTCTGTCTCTTTCGTGGCTTCTCCGCTGACAGCGACATAGGCACCAACATCATTTCCGGTGAGGAGATTGCCATCAAGCTCGAGAGCGTTAAGGCCAAGCACCCCCAGCTCGAATATGAGGCCCGCGTCTACAAGTCTCTGGCTGGTGGTGTCGGTATCCCCTTCGTTCGCTGGTTCGGTACCGAGTGTGACTACAACGCCATGGTTATTGACCTCCTCGGTCCCAGTCTGGAGGACCTGTTCAACTTCTGCAACCGCAAGTTCTCGCTCAAAACCGTTCTCCTGCTGGCCGACCAGCTCATCTCCCGTATCGAGTACATCCACGCCAAGTCGTTCATCCACCGTGATATCAAGCCCGACAACTTCCTGATGGGTATTGGCAAGCGCGGTAACCAGGTCAACGTGATCGATTTCGGTCTAGCCAAGAAGTACCGGGACCCTAAGACCCACTTCCACATCCCGTACCGTGAGAACAAGAACCTCACTGGTACTGCCCGTTATGCCAGTATCAACACCCACCTGGGTGTCGAGCAGTCCCGCCGTGACGACATGGAGTCGCTCGGATACGTGATGCTCTACTTCTGCCGTGGTTCTCTGCCTTGGCAGGGTCTGAAGGCTGCTACCAAGAAGCAGAAGTACGATCGCATTATGGAGAAGAAGATGACTACCCCCACTGAGGTTCTCTGCCGCGGTTTCCCCAATGAGTTTGCCATCTACCTGAACTACACCCGCTCCCTCCGCTTCGACGACAAGCCAGACTACTCGTACCTCCGCAAGATCTTCCGTGACCTTTTCGTTCGTGAGTCCTTCCAGTACGACTATGTCTTCGACTGGACCGTCTATAAGTACCAAAAGAACGCCGCCATGATTGTGGACGCCACCAAGAAGGACAAGGACGACGAGGCTGTCCGCCGCCAGGCTGCTGCTGCCCCCTTGGGCGCCAGCAGTGCCGCCAAACCCGGCGCCATCTCCGGCCAGCGACGCAAGGTCATTGACCGCGGTACTCTCGACAACACTCCGGACACCAACCGTGCCGTGGGAGGAAGTGACAGGATGTGAGTATTATGAAACAAGGTTCCGTGTAGGGAACCCCCCTTCTTTTTCTCTCCTGCGTTTGGTGTTTTTTGTGACGCTGGCGTGGAGGACCCTTCAGTTCTGAATCTGACTAATCGCATAGTCTTCGGCGTTAGGCTGCGTTCTGCCTCGAAAGGTGCTGCTTTAGGTTATGGACCTACTGGTGGCCGTTCGAAGCGGGACGATAGTACGGGGGCTCAGTGGTACTAATTGTGTAGCAGTCGCGGGACTGAGGGGGATAGCGGATGCTTTTTTCGTGTCAATCCTTCTCTTCCCTGCGTACTCTCACCCTTTGTCAACCTCAGACACCCGGAAATCCCATGGTCAACCGCCGTGAACGCACCATTCTGCACTCGACTCGACTTCCGGATTTCTTTTTTTTCCTCTTGGATCTCTCCATTCATTCTGCAATCTCTCCTACCAGCCCTTCTACCCCGTTTTCGATCCATTTTCGACCTCAGCCGTTTCGACCCGTCATTGTTCATTCGCTCGCTCGCTCTTGTCAGTCTACGAAGATTCCTACTTATGTGAATCATGTCCCGAGCTTGCGATCGCTTTGATGACTGTTTTCTCTTTTATTCGGATCACTTGTACCTGTTCATACAGGGCAACCGGATCATTCAGTCTCGAAACGCTATTCAGATGGTGGCTACTCTTACGTCTTTGCCTTTCGGCCTTCGCGACTTGACTTTTATACTTCGCAAGCCACTGGAAAGGAAAGATGGAAGGAGATGCGAATGACGGCATCAATTTGGAATCAGAAAATCCCTTTTCTGATTCTTTGATTGCTGACACTGGACATCCTTGAACCGCATGATTAAATGCGCTACCTATCGTTATCTGCCCCTTTTTCATTGCCCATGTTTTGTTTTTTCCCTATCCCTTCTTTGCTTCCAGATTTCTCTTATCTTCGCCTATTTTATTTTTTTGGCTGCATATCGACGCCGAATGGGGACGAGGGGAGGACCGGTTCAGCCCGGTCCAGATTGGAGGGTTCTTCGAGGCTGGCTTTCTTCGGGTATTTCTTTTCGCGAGCTGATACTTGCCACTGCTATTTTGCAGGTATTCAGGTCTACGAATTTGCCCGCTTGGTGGAAGTCAGGTCTCTTGGTGGTTGGCGACGGACATGGTTAGGGTCGCTTCCGGGGTGGTATGCGTCGATATTGCACTGCGTTATCAATTTGAGCTTTTTCTGTTCTTTCCAGCTGCATGCTCATTCCCTTTGCTTTCGCTATCTGCGAGAGACAGACGACCCTGAAGATGCTAAGACGGTATTCCCACTGGATCTCTCAGGTCCAGTACCGCCCAGTGTCTGAAGGAAATGCCGTTGGCTCTTTTTTTTCCAACATCTACTATGAAATTTACCCCTCCCACCGAGTTCCTCGTAGACACCGAGACTTTCGTAGATGTTAATGTCCGCCGCATTTGACTTTCAGGGTGAAGTCATCGAATAGCCCCGGTTGGGCCCCTCACGGGCCAGACCCGCTCCACCGCGGAAAGGCACGTTAGATGACCCTAATTGTGTGTGACGAGATTGAGCACAGATTCGTGGTAAAATATCGGCATACAGGGAAAGAAGAATCCGTGTAGCACAAAGAATCTTAATCGCGGAGACGTCTAGCGCGGGAACCGGTCAGATCATCCCGGGGTTGAAATCCTTGGGAAGCATAAGGCCCCAGGCCAGACTCCAATTTCATCCCACTCTCCACTCCGCTCTACCGTTTCGACATCCTTTCATCACAGCATGATGGATTATTCAAATTATGCCGGTCATCAATCCCAGCCCTACTCGCTCTACGGGCTGCCCACCCCCGACCAACAGCCGCAGTCACAAAGTGACGACACGCTCCGCGACCCCTTCACATTAGTACGGCTCCCCTGATCGAAGGCCGTCTATGCGATCGCACATCTCTCTAACACTGGCTTCAGGATGCATATAACAACCAGTACTTCCCTGGGTTCGACCCCTCGTTCCGCCTCGACCCCTCCTCCTCGCTCGTCCCGCCACCGCATTCACCGCCAGACTCGTTCACCAAGCACTCAGTGTCGAGCAACGATGTGAACCATACCAAGACGGACCGCACTTCAATCGATGGCGATGAGCGTCACTATACCGATCCCGCGGGACACAGCAGCAGCGAAGAGAAGGATAATATGACGCCAGTGCAGAGTAAGCGCAAAGCGCAAAATCGGGCTGCGTATGTGCTATTCCCATCGTCGTCTGCTCTTTATGATGCCCTCTTATCTTAGAGGATATTTGTGCCCGTTCCATAAATCGAAGACTAACATGGGTTCCATTTGAAGTCAACGAGCATTCCGCGAGCGCAAAGAACGCCACGTCCGCGATCTCGAAGACAAAGTGAATGGCCTCGTGGAAGCATCAAACACCCTACAAGCCGACAACGAGCGCCTGAAACGCGAACTGGCTAGATATACCACCGAGAATGAGATCCTGCGTGCTACATCACAGTCTAACTCTACTCCGCAAGAACAGCCTGAACCAACCGTCACTGGGCCAATGAAGTACTCTCCCACAGATTTCTATGCAAGTCTGATGACAGAGGGAACAGTCTCTTCGGGCTCTGGCGTCACCGTCCCCGGGCCGAGCAGCCCACACCGTGTTACTGTGTGCCAAATCACAGGCGAGAAGCTACTCGACGCTGGCGGTACGTGGGATCTCATTCAGAGCCACGAGCTGTTTAAACGTGGGCAGGTCGATATTGGTGATGTCTCGGAGCGGCTCAAGGGGTTGGCGCAGTGTAATGGACAGGGCCCTGCTTTCAAGGAGAGTGAAATTCGGAGGGCTATTGAGGAGAGTGTTGCGGACCGTGATGAGCTGATCTGATCTGATCTGAGATGAGCTTGATGATGGACTTTGTGCCTCCTATTTGACGAGATATGGTTTTCTGGTTTTTCTACTTTCTATTTGCGTGGGCTTTCGATTGCAAGTTTGGAGTATTCTGGCGCTCGAGCTTTAAGTGGGTGGTGAACCACCCTGGTTGTGAACCTTTGGGATAGTCGTTTTATAGTTTGTGGATTCCACCTGGGCAGGGTTGTCCTTGTATTTTGATGTTTAATTTACTTCTTTGGACGTTTCTTCGGTGCCTCAGGTACAATAGTACACACCTTTTACACGTTTTCACGGAACTAGACTGACTACTATGAAGGTTAAGCTGGAGTCTACGAAGAATCAAGTGTGTAAGGTGCACGCTTCACTTTGAGGTCAATTCAACTATGCAAGAAGAAAATATGTTCGCAGGTCATCTAGTAATGAGCAGTTCAGAACTATGCAAGTCATCAAGGTTTTTGTTGGCCTGTTTACCTCCCCATTTCAATCCCGGTCGAGGGGTCATGGCAGGGCATTTCATATTGTACACGCATTGCAAAATCATGATTCTGTCGTATCATACCAAGCAAGAAGATCAATCCCAGTCATCATCATAATCCTCAACGTTCAGGTTATCATTCTTGCGGTAATCCTCCTCCTCATCATCATCCCGCTTCTTAAGACGAACATCACTCTCCTGCAGCGCTCCAATATCAACGAGCAGCTTCTCCAGATCTGGCAGCTTCGTTCGCGGGCCATTCAGTTCCCGCAGTGTGACAAGCTGTCGTCGGATCTCGGTGTCCTTGTACACCAGGATAGTAGGTGTGTTCTTCTCAGGATAGTTCTCGATACACATGTCTGCACGAATCTCGCAGAATTTGATATCGCCGAACTTGGCGGCCAATTGCCGCCATAGCTCTGTCAGCACGCGCGACTGGACGTTGGCGCCTTGGGAGGTCAGGTTGACCAGCACGAAGGCATTGTTTGAGGCATCAGTGACCTCGCGAGCGTAGTCGACTTTCTGAAGAGGGTAGACTTGGTTGAAGAGACTGGTTTGTTGAAGGGTGGAGAGCTCTGCAAGACGTTTTTGGCTATGTGGTGAGTTAGCGTGGGTAGCTTTATACATTAGGGCATTGAATAAAGAATTGGATAATGTCGAAGAATACTTGGTGTATGCTGTAGTGTGACTCACCGATAATGCTCTAGGAAGCCCTCGTCCTCTTCGTCCTCCAGGGCGTCCAGCTCATCAATGTCCTTGTCCTCGAGTCTGTTCTCGTACGCTCTGTGCTGCGCCGCAATCAAGGCTTCTTGGATCAATGGCTCTGGATCTTTTGGCTTTTCGGGGATGATTCCATGTTGACGAAGGATATCATTCCTAGGTACATATTCCAGTTAGAGAGTGCTCGTAAATAGCTCGTGGTGGGCTCCTAGCGGAGGGGAAGCGGGCAGACAGCAGAGAGCAGGTGAAAGGTGTGAACGACATACCATTCGGTGTCCTCGTTGGGGTTGACTTCGACTTGCATACTGAAATCAACGAGCAATATACAGTGCTCGGTGATCGAATAAAGATAGAGTCAAGTGTGAGGGGAGAGGCACGCATCATTACGCCCTCCTGTTTGCATGTTTGCAGTGTTCGGGGCGCCACAGGGCCAAACACACGGAAGGCCACCTTCAACTTTACTCCATAAACAGTCGGAGCTCGAGGTCCCCCTTCATCCCCACGTCTCCGTTTCGCTATTTTCCTTTTGCTCTCTACATTCGCTTGGGGGCGACTATGCCAATGCAGTAGTTGCCTACACCGCCTCACCCCTGCTACTCTGTCCTCCCATTTCAATCCACCCCCGGCGAGCGCGAACATACTCTGCTGGTGCAATCCCAGCACCTGGGCAATATGAGCTACATGAAGAAAGACGAAGATGCGGACCAGGTCATGATCAAGCTTGATCGGACCTCGGTTTTCCAAGATGGTACGTGGTCCGCAATGGGTCTTCCCCCCTGGCCCTGCGGCTAACCACAACCACCCATTGTACAATCGTATTAACTGGATGTTCCTCTCAGCTCGACTTTTCAATTCTTCTCCAATCTCGCCGCGAACATGCCGTACGTTATTGACCAAGATCGCGGTCCTCCTCTTCACCGGAGAGCAGTTCCCTACGAACGAAGCCACGACCCTCTTCTTCGGTATCTCCAAGCTGTTCCAGAACAAGGACCCCTCATTGCGACAGATGGTTTATCTCATTTTGAAGGAGCTGTCCGGTACCGCTGAGGATGTGATTATGTCGACCAGTATCATTATGAAGGACACCGCGGTCGGCAGCGACGTTCTGTACCGGGCCAATGCTATCAGGGCGCTGTGCCGTATCATTGATGGTTCGACTGTTCAAGGTATCGAGCGACTCATTAAGACCGCGATTGTTGACAAGACTCCCTCCGTTTCCTCGGCTGCTCTGGTTTCGTCCTACCACCTTCTCCCCATTGCCCGCGATGTTGTTCGCAGATGGCAGAGTGAGACCCAGGAGGCCGCCTCCTCCTCCAAGTCATCGACTGGTTTCCTGGGCTTCTCATCTGGCTCACAGGCCCACGCTATCTCGCAGTCGAACTTCATGACCCAATACCACGCAATTGGTCTTTTGTACCAGATGCGCTCGCACGACCGCATGGCGCTTGTGAAGATGGTGCAGCAGTACGGCGCTGCTGGTGTTGTGAAGAGCCCCGCAGCTCTGGTTCTCCTGGTTCGTCTGGCGGCCAAGCTGGCGGAGGAAGACCAAGGTCTCCGGAAACCCATGATGCAGATGCTGGATGGCTGGCTCCGTCACAAGCACGAAATGGTTAACTTTGAGGCTGCCAAGGCCATTTGCGACATGCGCGATGTCTCCGATGCCGAGGCCTCCCAGGCCGTACACGTCCTTCAGCTGTTCCTGTCCTCTCCACGATCCATCACCAAGTTCGCCGCTATTCGCATTCTGCACAACTTCGCTAGCTTTAAGCCGCACGTCGTCAATGTGTGCAACCCCGACATCGAGGCGCTCATCTCCAACACCAACCGCTCCATCGCCACCTTCGCCATTACGACCCTACTCAAGACTGGCAATGAGGCTAGTGTGGACCGCTTGATGAAGCAGATCTCTGGATTCATGGCCGATATCACCGACGAGTTCAAGATTACCATTGTCGAGGCCATCCGCACATTGTGTCTGAAGTTCCCCAGCAAGCAGGCTGGTATGCTGGTCTTCCTCAGTGGCATTCTGCGCGACGAGGGTGGTTACGACTTCAAGCGCACCGTGGTGGAGAGCATGTTTGATTTGATCAAGTTCGTCCCCGAGAGCAAGGAGGATGCTCTTGCCCATCTTTGTGAGTTCATTGAAGACTGCGAATTCACCAAGCTCTCCGTCCGTATCTTGCACCTGCTCGGTGTTGAAGGCCCCAAGACCTCTCACCCCACCAAGTATATTCGCTACATCTACAACCGTGTCGTTTTGGAGAACGCCATTGTCCGCGCAGCTGCCGTCACTGCTCTCGCCAAGTTCGGCGTTGGCCAGAAGGATCCTGAAGTGAAGTCCAGTGTGCACGTTCTTCTCACTCGCTGCCTTGATGACATCGACGATGAGGTGCGCGACCGTGCCGCCCTCAACCTGCGTCTGATGAGTGCTGAGGATGACATGGCCGCGGCGTTCATCAAGAATGGTAAGAATACTTTACATACCCTCGAGTTTCATCATTATACTAACAGCGTCAGACTCCATGTACTCCCTCTCCACCTTTGAACACCAGCTCGTCATGTACGTGACATCAGGCGATAAGCAGACTTTTGCCGCGGCCTTCGATGTCTCCTCCGTCCCTGTTGTCACCCAAGAGCAGGCCTTGGCCGAGGAGCGGACCAAGAAGCTCACCACTGCCACCCCCACGCTCAAGGCGCCGTCCACTGGTGCACCTAAGAGCAAGGGAAGCGGTGTGGCCGAAGCTGCTACCGCTGCTGCTACTCAAAAATACGCCGAGCAGCTCATGCAGATCCCTGACATTAAGGAGTACGGCAACTTGCTCAAGTCCTCTTTGCCTGTCGAACTCTCTGAGAGCGAGACTGAGTACGTTGTTACTGCCGTTAAGCACATCTTCAAAGAGCATATCGTCGTGCAGTATGACATTAAGAACACCCTGCCCGATACTGTCCTTGAGAACGTGACGGTTGTTGCCACACCATCAGAGGACGATGTCTTGGAGGATGACTTCATCATCCCTGCCCCCAAGTTGACCCCAAATGAGCCCGGTGTTGTCTACGTGGCATTCAAGAAGGTTGATGGTGAAAACAGTGTTCCCATCACCTCTTTCACCAACAACCTGAAATTCACCAGCAAGGAGGTTGACCCTACCACCGGCGAGCCGGAGGACAGTGGTTACGATGACGAGTACCAGGTGGAGGACCTTGAGCTCACTGGTAGCGACTATGTGATCCCCACGTTCGCTGGCAGCTTCGACCACATCTGGGAGCAGACCGGTGCTAACGGCGAGGAAGAGAGCGAGACTCTGCAACTAAACAACATGAAGAGCATTACCGGTAAGTCTCTTGTCCATGCACTGATTCCATGTCAAACATACTAATGAACTTCAGATGCCACTGAACAATTGATTTCCGCCTTGTCCCTGCAACCCCTGGAGGGCACCGACGTCGCCCTCAACAACAGCACACACACGCTGAAGCTCTTCGGCAAGACCGTATCCGGCGGCCGGGTGGCGGCTCTCATCAAGATGGCCTTCTCCACCAAGAGCGGCGTCACGACCAAGATCACTGTGCGGGCAGAAGAGGAGGGCGTTGCCGCTGCTGTGCTGGCATCTGTCACTTAATGTTTTTAACCTACTTTTTACTCCTTTTCCTATATCAAATTGTAGTAGACATGAGGATTTGGTTCCACTCACGCTCCTACCCTGCTTTGTTCCTAGGGATCTTTCCTATTTGTTGTCGCTGTTCTTAAGCTCAGGGCCAATTGTTTGTTGCTTGTGACGAGTCCCATGAAGCTGCTACAAAAACCTTGGAGGACTTGTTCTGTCTGCTGTCAAGCCTGTTTTTTACTGTTCGTTGTTTTTGTGGTGTCCAAATAGATTTCACGGAATACATTTTTGAGAGTTTCCTGATTCGATTCAAAGTACTTGGGTATGTACATAGTAAACTCACGAAGAAGTGCAAACAAGTGATGCTTGCGTTTCTTCTGAGCTTCAAGTACAATGAAAGGAAGATCTATATGAATTAAAAGTAAGCCAGTACTAACTAGAGCATAAGCATGCAGGACTATCCTGCGGGTAGCTCATATTCCATAAGCCGAGTAATCTGGAGCCATGGAGATCAGGTAGTTCAACTGAGGGGGTCTTTCGCACATGTGCAGCGAGTTTGTTATGAATTGCATGATAATTGCACTTCCATAGTACTGGTGGGATCTGGGGAAGTCCCAAGGAAACAAGATTGCTTAGGTTCGTATCCAACGCGACGCGAAGAAATGAAGTAAATTTCTTCTGCATTGAGCCAGAGCCTGGCTCATCCAACTCGAGCACTTTGATGGGTAGGACAGCGACAGGGGCGGGCAGGATGAGGAAATCTTCGACCATATCCAGCGGAATTCGAAGCTCGACGAGGTTTGGGAGTGAGTACAAGAAGCCAGTGGTCATACTACTAGACAGCAGGCCGTTGTCAGAGCTGATATATAGCCTGACGAGAAATTCGCGGATGGTCTCACTGGCGAAGATGCTATCAAGAGTGGCGACTTGTGATACGGTGGGCAAGTTTCGGCAGTTGCGAAGAACAAGGTCAAAGGGATGGGTGGGCCACTGGAAATTATGCATCACATCAGGGTCAAGAGTCCCTCCAAGCGTGATGCTCTCAATAGAGGCGGGCCAGTCTCCAACAGAGATATCGATGTCGACAATCGCCATTTCAAATGGAAGAGTGACGTGTTCCAGTTGCGGTAAGTGACTGATGGTCTGCTTCAAGTCTAGAAATTCAATGCCGCTGACTCGACCAAGGTCCAATTTCTGAATGTTCTCACTTGCGGAAAGGGCAGTCAATCCTTCCACCCCAAAGGGAGTCGGTGGGGCCTCAAATATGACAGGTTTTGTTTGAGAAAGCAATCTTGCAAGTAGTTCGTTGTGGATACCTGGTTCGATTTTTCCTAATTCAAGAACCTGAAGCCATCTTCCGAGTTTGGTGCCATACTGGCTCACGGTTCTCTCAAACTTGATCAGGCTCTCACCAGTTCCAAGCTCGGGGCAACGATAGAGCCATCTCGCGGCAGCCCAGTGGAAGGCTTTTGAGACCTCAGAAAAGTTCCTCATGTTGCGTTGACGAGCCATGAGCGCTTCCTTTTTCTTGGCTTGCCCAGTGAGCATCCACAGGTGTTCCGCGATGAGTAGGATGATTTCTGCGGGCAGCTTGAGACAGGCCTTGGTAGACACGCTGGAATGTGGGTAGCCCTGAATTGATAGTTGTGGAAGGAAATGAAAGTTCCTGGGAGGACAGAAGATGGTGGCAGAGGAATCTGTAGGAGAGACAACAGAAAGCATCCTCGTGAAGAAGTGAATGTGAGACGGGTTTAAACGAGGCGCGGTGATGGGAGCGCGGAGACGTAATTGTCGGCGTGGGAAAAAAAGGATGAAAGACTAGTTGGACTGTGATTCACTTGAAGCTTCTTTTGGTTTCCGGATAGCTCCAGTCACGAGGCAAAAGTGAAGGGCAAAAGTAAGGCTAATTAATCACCAGGAGATGTCAATATTCGAGCGATCTAGGGAGGTCTCAGTCAGATTGAGTGAGAAGGGATATCGCGGATGAACGGGGGTGGCCGTGTTGAAGTATGAGGGACCGTGGGGACCTGGGTAGAAAGTAGCTACGCCGGATCGGAGATGCCAATTTCGGTGGGGAAGATCTCGTCTCGAATCTTGCTTATAATAGTAAATGCTGAGATGCATGATCTCGTCGAGATGATGCAATGTGTTGGGTATCTCGCTATAGATCTAGTTTAAATCATCATAAGTTGTCATTCAGGATGTAAAGCCCCAAGTCCTCTAGCTTCTCAAGCTCGTCATCATCACCCTCGTCAATGTGTTTCCAAATTTCCTCGTCAAGCTCCTCCTCTCGCCCTTTGACCAAATGCACGCACTTTTTGCTGATGCCCAAGGCCCATAGGTTGGGCAGGTTCTGTGTGAAGGCCTTAAGCAGCTCATCCAGGAGGTCGAATCCAAGGGGTTCTTCATCGAAGTATGGCCTCGTTAACTCGAGCGCTCGAAGTGGTAGACTTGGGAGCCCTTCAGGCGGCGGTAAAAGCAGAAGATCCTTGGTGACATCTACCGGCATTTTAAGGTAGATAAGTTTCGGCAACCAATACAGGGAATCGCTTGCCTGATCAGTGCACATCTCCTCATTGGTATTGTCCAAGTCCAGAGATTCGAGGCGGTCACGAAGCTGTTCGTTTTCGAGAACGCTGTATAGGACGACTGCAGTGAGGTTTGTGCACTTCCAGATAGATAGCTCTGTAATGGACGGGGGCCACTCAAATGTACTCATCACCCTGGGATCAAGGGTTCCGCCAATCTTCAAGCTTCGGAGCTGAGGTGGCCACTGGCCAGCAGATTTGTCCGTGTGTGTAAGAGACATTGAAGCAGGAAGCTCTAGTTTCCCGAGCTTGGGCAAACTGCTGATGGTTTTCTTCAAGCGGTGGAATGGAATCACATGTCCACTAACGAGACTCAAATTGAGTTCTAGAAGATTGTGGCATTTTGATAGCGCCGGGAGGCTGTTAACCGAGAAGGAAACCCGAGGCGCAATGAAGACTTCGAGGTTCTCCTTCATCTGCCCCAATAGGCGTGCCGTGAGACTGTTCATACTGTGATGGACCAAGCTCGCCAAAGATAGTACCTTCACCATGGATCCAAAGTTTGCCTTTCTTTTGATACCTCGAGGCGGGCACAGGGTGTGGGCGAACTTGGTAAACCCATTGCCGCCGGGGAATGATGGACGCTGGTATAGAAAGCCGACTCCGACGGAGTACCATTGTGAAGATACCAGGCAGAAATTATAGAAAGCTCGTTGTCTTGCGTTAAGAGACTCCTGGGAGGAGTCATCCTCGCCGATGTGGTCAAAGAATTCCGCGACAAGGAATACGATTTCAGTAGGGAGGAAGACGCTGTGGCTTGGCGAGGACATGGCGCGTGCTTGATTCACGTAGCATGATTAAATCGAATCGGGTGATATGACTGTCTGGGAAGAGACAGTTGAAGTTGAAGATGAATATGAAGCTGAAGTCGAAGTCGTGAAGAATAAGCGCCGAGTTGGAGAAGCTAAAGTGGGCGGCGGAGGTTGACTCAGTTCGGAGATGATATCACCGCCCGGAGCTTCCCCCTCGCTCTCCTCCTTCAACTCCCGTCAAACACAACACAATGAGACTGCAAACGGTTTTCCGGGCACGAAGCCTGCTGCAGCGTGCACCAGCCAGCTGCACTTTCGGTCGACGCGCTATTCAGACAGCTAGTTCCACTCGCGTTCCGGACTTCGCCTTTGCCTTTGAGTGAGTGACTGCGATGTATGCAAATGGCCGAAATCTTGCCTCTCAGGACTAATACATCATCCCAGTATCGACGGAGTTCTCCTGCGATCTTCGAAACCTATTCCTGGTGCCGCCGACTCTCTGGCCATCTTGAAGGAGCAAGGCATCCCCTTCATCCTCCTCACCAATGGCGGCGGTAAACACGAGACGGAGCGCGTTGCGGAGATCAGCGAGAAGCTAAACGTGCCGTTGGATCCATCAGTCATTATCCAGAGCCACTCTCCCTTCGCGGAGCTGGTCAAGGGTCCCGATGAGGAGAGCGCGCTGGAGAACAAGTGTGTGCTGGTTGCTGGTGGTGATGGCGACGGTTGTCGGCGTGTCGCGGAGCAATACGGATTCAAGAATGTAGTGACACCGGGAGATATCTTCATGGCTAACCCGTCTGTTTGGCCATTCTCCAAAAATTTCTCGGACTACTACAAGACGTTTGCCAGGCCTCTTCCCAAGCCATTGGACCCTACAGATCCAACCAAGGGCCTCAAAATTGACGCCGTCTTCGTTTTCAACGATCCCCGGGATTGGGCGCTGGATACACAAATCATAATGGACCTTCTTCTCTCCTCTCAGGGACATGTGGGCACTCTCTCGGAGAAGAACGGCCGCGTCGATCTTCCCAACCACGGATACCAGCAGGACGGCCAGCCTCACTTGTATTTCTCCAACCCTGACTTATGGTGGGCCGCCGCATATCCCCTGCCACGTCTTGGTCAAGGTGGCTTCCGTGAGGCCCTGGAGGGTGTTTGGGCTGCAACCACTGGTGGCCCCAGCAAGGGCATTGAGTTGAAGAAGACAGTGATCGGAAAACCATACCAAGGAACTTACGAGTTTGCCGAGCGCCAGCTACTTCGGAATCGCTCCAAGGCCTTTGGTGGTGCAGCCGACCTTCCGCCAATCCGAAATGTCTACATGGTGGGTGATAATCCCGAGTCAGATATTCGGGGCGCGAACTCTTATCGCAGTGAGTACGGCAGCAGCTGGCAATCGATCTTGGTGCGCACTGGCGTGTACAGTGGTGGAGAGCCTGCTTGGGCCCCTAAGACCATCGCGGACGATGTTTACAAGGGAGTGCAGTGGGCTCTGAAGGCTTCCAAATGGGCTTGAGTATATGCCAACTGCATTGGTCGCTCTTGTGGCATATTGTTGTGTTTGGATAAGGCATACGTATGGCGCTGGCTCGATGTATACATGTTCGATACCGACCATGCATTTCCTGTAACAGTCTAGCCCACCTACCTCATTGTCAGAAATAATTGGTGTCTGTCACTTTGAACTATACAAACTATGTCTGGGGCAGAGTTTCCGGACACTAGGCAACATGCACCTCCCAGGCACGGTATTTTTTACTGGTTTTGAGGAGCTTCGGGTCGCTTTGGAGGCATCTGGAAATTTTTTCTTCTTATCTAATTCCTTTTTACGCCATTAAAAGCTGCTTGTTGCTAGCATCAACGAAATAAATACAGGTCATGTGACGGACACCCCTCTTAGGGCTTAGGGCTCTCCGGCGGGGGGTGAGTCAAGTCGATGTGTCAACCGCAACGAGCTTTCTCATTCCAAGAGCATCATTAAGGTACAGGGATTCTCTAGCAGCTGTTGCCCGATCATCACTAATTGTCGCTCCTATAGCATCATGGCGGACTCCGAATTGCCCACCCGTCCCAAGCCCGAGGAAACCTCCGCCGCTCCCGCGGAAGGCGACTCCAAGAACGCGAGCAAGAATGCGCTGAAGAAGGCGGCCAAGGAGAAGGCCAAGGCTGAGAAGGCTGCTGCCCGCGCAGCTCAGGAAAAGGCTCAGGCCGCCGTCGCAGCCGTTGACACCGCCAAGGATCTGTACGGTCCTATTCCCGAGACCGAGGACGTCATCCCCACCCTCCGATTCAGCGAGCTGTCGGAGGCCCACGCCGAGAAGGAGGTTACTGTGGTTGCCCGTGTGGACAATGCGCGTGTTCAGAGTGCCAAACTGGCTTTCTTGATGCTGCGCCAGCAGGGACAGAAGATCCAGGCCGTTATCGCGGCCCAAGAGCCTATCTCGCGGCAGATGATCAAGTACACTGGTGGTTTGAACGTGAACTCCATTGTGCAGATCACCGGTCTGATCAAGGTCCCGGCCGAGCCCATCTCGTCCGCCTCTATCCAGAACCTCGAGATCCACATCCGCAAGGTGTACATGATCTCCGAGGCCGCGCAGATGTTGCCCATGCAGGTCAAGGATGCTGAGCGCCCGCCTCCCATGGAGACCAACGATGACAGCCCTCAGATTGATGCCGACGGTGCCCCTATTGTTACTCTGAAGACCCGTCTCGACAACCGTGTTCTGGACCTCCAGACCGAGACCAGCCAGGCCATCACCTGGATCTCCAGTGGTGTCGCCGAGCTTTTTGCCGAGTACATGATCAAGAGCGGCTCTCGATGGATCTTCACTCCCAAGCTTGTCGCTTCTGCCACCGAGGGTGGTAGCAACGTCTTCGAGGTCAAGTACTTCAAGCGCATGGGCTACCTGGCCCAGTCTCCCCAGCTGTACAAGCAGATGTGCATTGCTGGTGACATGGAGAACGTATTTGAGATTGCTCCCGTGTTCCGTGCGGAGGACAGCAACACCCACCGCCATTTGACCGAGGTAAGACCATCCTGCAATGATGGAGGAAAGGATTTATGCTAACAACTCTGCAGTTCACCGGTCTCGATTTCGAGAAGACTTTCCAGAATCACTACCACGAGGTGCTCGACTTCGCCGAGGACCTTCTGGTCTTCATCCTCTCCCAAATGAAGGAGCGCTACGCTGCCCAGATCGCCATCATTCAGAAGTCCTACCCCAAGGCCGGTGACTTCAAGCTGCCCAAGGACGGCAAGGCCCTGCGCCTGAACTACATGGACGGTGTTGCTCTGCTGAAGGAGGCTGGCGTTGATATGTCCGAGCAGGAGCGCTTCGAGAACGACTTCTCTACCGCGATGGAGAAGCAGCTGGGTCAGATCATCCGCGAGAAGTACGACACCGACTTCTACGTGCTGGACAAGTTCCCCATGGCTGTTCGTCCCTTCTACACTAAGGCCGACTCCAATGATGCCCGTTTCTCCAACTCCTACGACTTCTTCATGCGTGGTGAGGAGATTATGTCGGGTGCTCAGCGTATCCACAACATCGACGAGTTGGAGGCATCGATGCGTTCCAAGGGTCTGGACCCCACCCAGGAGGGCTTCGAGGACTACCTCAACGCTTTCCGCCAGGGCTGTCCCCCGCACGCCGGTGGTGGTCTGGGTATGAACCGTATTGTGATGTTCTTCCTGGGTCTGCCCAACGTGCGGTTGACGTCTCTGTTCCCTCGTGACCCTCAGCGTCTGCGCCCGTAAGCGGATCGTGTGTAGATAGACTTTAAAAAGAATGAACTGTTTGAATGACCATAATATCATCCTCTTGTGAACCTGACATTACACCCTCCTCGGCGAGAGTAGACCATCGTGATTCATCTGGTGGGGTGGAGACAGCTCAAAGTTAGAGACGCGGAAATCTGGGGGTTGGCCTCACACCTCCACTCCACCAATTACCACGTCTGCTTTTGTGGTACAGTTGAAGGCGCTTTCCCCGGATTTTCAGATGACTCAGCTTCCGCCCTTTCTTCAGTTGGCCCCCGCTGGTGGACCGTGCTCCCGTCCCATGGCTCGTGCCTCCAGTTCCAACTTCCATGTGGCGAGGATCACTGTGTCCAGATATCTAAGCCTGAAACTTCGCCATGCATGTTCAAAATCTTCCACGCCAACCTCGTGACATACTAATGAACAGTATCTTCAGGTATCTTGCATACGCTGAATCATTCCATAGCGCATTGTAGATTTTTATATTCTATGTTCAGGTGTTTGGATATTTTGTTCTAATCCAGAGGCATACGGATCCAACAGATGGACCTCAACACCTCGAACGTTCGTCTCTTACACAACTGGCGGTATGTTCTGCCTCAACATAGTATAGCCAGCGTGGAATAATCAATTACGATCATCCTGTCTAAACCCTCAGTAGCCCTGCAGATCTGGCAAAATTGAGGTATCGGTTTGAAGGTCACGGATTAGACTTGATGCCCTCTGAAGAGCCAATGGTTGCATATACAAGCCGTTTTCGTCATCGTAGTGCACCACTCCCAGCCCTTTCTTCCAGCTCTTTGTCATGCTCCACGAGACGTGCGAGTCGACCTTATCGGGCGATAAGCGCGATAAGCAAGGTGGGCCCAAGCTCCGCGACTTTTCTTCCTGCAACGCCCGTGATGGCTGACAAGCGCAAAGCACCGATGACTGGGTTTGATCCCGAGCCCAAGCGACCGCGCGTATCCAGAGAAGAGGACAGTGACAGCGGGTCTGTACTGACGCCTGCAGAGCGGCCGCGCAACAACCCCATCTTCGGCCAGAAAAGCGCATTCCCCGGTCTCGACGACGGCGGCGAGGAGCTGACTTACGAGGAGCCAGATGGTGCTCTGGAGTACCTGCGCATGGTCCGGTAAGTCCTTGATACTAAAAGTCGGTGTATACCGACTGATAACTTCCAGCCCCTGTAAACCCCGTGGACTGGTATCTGACCTTGAAACAACCGTTTAGATCTGAAGCCAGTGCCCTACCGTCGCTCTTCATCGCCCCAGCCTCGAAACAAGAATCCAAAAAGCCGCAACAGGATATTGTGACAGTAGCCGTTGTCCCCGGTCGACAGTCATTCTCTTTGCCGGCAGGGTTCTACGAGGACGAAGCCTTCATTGCCCCTGCGAATGCCAACAAGACCACGGTCGCTTCCCCGGAAGGTGCGTTCTCAGAAGCACAGAATGTCTGCTACGATCTCCTCCGTCACCGATTTCGATTACTCCGATCAACCTTACGATGTACACCCCCGGCTGACGCCATCGCCGCCCTCGATGACTTCCATCCTATCAGCCTTCCTCGCGGCCACGAAGCTGCGCGCAAAGTATGGCGGCGTTTGATACTGTCGGTGGATCCACGCATGACTCAACTGGCGTGCATGGATTCTCACACTGTACTCGGAGCCCTGGGCATTGTCGCGCGAGAGCTGTCCGACGTTGTGCGCCACCAGAATGCCGAAAACATTCGACGTATGGGAGCTTGGATCTGGGGGATACTGGGAAAGTGTCGCGAAGTGGGCGAGCTATCTACGGAGGATGTGGGAGCTATTCGCGACCTTGGCAAACGAGCTGCCAAGATTTGCGAGAAGATCGGGGAGGAGAACAGCCATTATTCCCAGGACGGATGTGACTCAGACGCCGGAGAGGATAATAGCACTGTGAAGGCATCTCTGAAAGGCGATTCTGGACATGATGAGCCACAGCAGGCCGAGGTCGTGGGTACTGGCGACTCTGACATGTCCGGCGCTGATAAGGAGTTAGACGACTTGGAGGCCGCAAAGGCACGTCTGCAGGCCCAACTACTGGGTGAAGATGACACTCAACCAACAGGAGGGGCTGACCAAGAAGAGGAAGACTATGTGTTGCAGCTAACTCGTGCCATGCTTGACATGATCCTCACAATTGTGGGCGAATTCTTCGGACAGCGTGACTTACTGGAGGCACGTCAAACCTGGGCCAATTAGACCGTGCGAGGGATGCTCTTTGGGTTGACTGAGATACCCGAAGCCCAAATCTACGTAACTTTCATAATAAAGACATACTATGATCATCCATCCCATATTTATAATGCATCTATAGAACGTGATCGCCGATCAAAGAGGTGCCTGACGGAGCTAAACCACATCGGGCTCTTTGCGTCATGCGTCAACTGCAGCTCCAACTCCCAATTTGTCTTCTCTACATGATCCTGTCTCTCTAGCAGCAATGGCGCCGACCGTCGAAATCGCCATTCCAACGGCATCCCTCTCAAACACTTCTCCGCCATACACCATCTACCACATTACCCTTCGCCTCCCGCTCCGCTCGTTCACCGTCTCCAAGCGTTACTCCGACTTCTCCGCTTTCCACAGCGCTCTGGTCAAGCAGACGAACGCAGAGCCTCCAGTGCCTCTTCCCTCGAAATCTTGGTTCTCGAACACGAACAAAAACCCTCGTTTCCGTGAAGAGCGCCGCATCGGCTTGGAAGAGTACCTTCGCGCGATCAACGAAGTCCCCGATGGTCGTTGGCGGACCTCACCGGCCTGGAGAGCATTCCTAAACCTCCCGACCGCCGCAGCCTCCACATCCAATGGAACAAGCAACACCTCGGCGCGCCTCCATGCCGCCATCACAGACCCAGGTTCCACGAACGCCCCTATTACCGATCCGACGCTATGGCTAGACTACTACCGCGATATGAAATCCCACCTCCATGACTCGCGGCTCCAACTCTCCCGCCGTGACCAAGAGACCACCCCTCAGAAACAACACGAAAGCTCTGCGCAAGCAAAGAGCAGTCTCGTCCGCGCGGGGTCCATGATCACCACCTTGGAAGAAGGCCTCAAGAATCTTAGTGGCCGCGGCGCGAAATCGGGCGACTCGAGTGCATCGTCTAGTCTCGGCGATGGCGAGATTCGTCGCCGCAAGGACCTTCTCATCAACGCGCGCAAAGAGAAAGACGGCCTGGAGGACTTGCTCCACGCCATGGCAGCTAAGAGCAAGCTCGACCACGCCGTGGCTTCGATACAGGACAAGGAAGCACTACTGCGCAGTGGAAATGATTCCTCAAGTGAGGGGCGCAGGACCCCGGTGAAATCCGGGCGAGTCCTCGGCAAGGAAACGGAACGTACGCGCGAGCTTGATAATAACGGTGTGCTGCAGTTGCAGAGACAGATGATGCAGAGCCAGGATCAGAATGTCGACGAGCTCATGAAGATCATTATTCGCCAGCGGGAGCTAGGCACAGCTATACATGAGGAGTTGGAGGTACAGAATGAGTTGTTGAAGTTGGCTGACGAGGACACTGATCGGTTCGTTACTCTTTCCCTCTTATCCTTTCTGGTCGTTTTTTACTAACACCGAATCTAGACTGAATGCCAAGCTCGATATTGGCAAGAAGCGCATCGGCAAGATTTCGTAATATTGATCTGGATGCGAGAACACGACCACCTTTGTCTTCTTCTTACGGCCATGATATACGCCGCAGTCTATTTGCATTTTCATTCCCATTTGAGCGTTCATGAGGGCCTTTTTTGATTCCTTTCCTTATTCCCAGCACGGGCGCTTTTTAGATCTTTCACTTTGATTTCTTTTTGTATGATTATTACGCAGATAGGCGCATGGACTTTCATTCAATACTAAGAGATATCGCTTCATATCATGTATCATTCTCTGATGCTAGCGACACGCAGAGCAAACATTGGGCATAAAACACCCCGATTCTCAAGCAACCGAGAAGAACTGTATTCAAGTTAGCATCATCCACCATTAGAACTCCCAGAGGTTAGACATACCTCTTTAGCCTCCTCCTCGGAAACCTCTGACTGCTCTGAAGCAACCCGATCAATAAGACCGAGTTTACTCTTCCTCACAAGCCACCACAGCTCACGTCGGTTCCCACCCAACTCTTCATCCAGAATTTTCCTTTTCAGCACGCGCAAGAAATCATTGTAGAGCGCCGGCTCTTCATAATCTACCAGTTCCTCTCGCATGGTCCCAAGGCCTTCAACGACACGATCGTAATTAGCATCGCCGAGACTATGCTTGGTCTGCGTCTCGATAATAACAGCCATCTGCTTAACAGCGTCGTGAATTGTGTCGACGCTCTCGGCGCGTGACAGCATCTGCTTGAACTCTGGGACGGCGTTTTCAGCGGAGATCTTGGAGCGTTTGGGTTCTTGGGAGAGGAGGGCGTCAACGTCCAGGCCGGAGAGGGGCTTTTCGGTTTCGCGTTGACGTTTGCGACCCTTTTTCTTGGGTGGAACTGTTGGTGATTAGTATGGAGGGGCTTGTTGGTAAGTGAAGGACGTACCTTTCTTGACATCTGCTGTGGAGATCAGTTTCTCGAGGTATTGGGTTGATTTCTTGACGAGATCTTCGGGTGGGTTGGCGAATTTGGCTAAGCGTTCTGAGGGCTCGAGGATGGGGCCATTAGGATGTACGGCGCGATGTCGTACCGCAGTGTCGATTCGGTGCAGTAGTGGGGAGAAAGCCTCATCGATAGGTAGTCCGGGGATAGTGTCACTGGTTAGCTCCTTTAGTTAGCTTAATTATTCTTTCAGGATCAAAGAGGACACAAACCCGTCGTCATCCTTCAGGTCCAGCTCCATACTGTCCACATATTGGCTCATCGCATCTTGCAAATCGTCGCTGGGAAGGTTGCGGTGTTCGGTGACAATCTTCCCCGAGACAGTAACCACTTTATCCAGTGGTGGGAATCGGTAGGATCGTACATCCTCTGCAAACGGCAGCTGCAGTTCAATAAGACATTCGTATTCAGGCTCGATGGACGGCGCGAGTAAGACAATCAACGACGGCTTGGCCTCTTTGGTTACTAATCGAGCGACAGCGTAGGTCTCTAGCTCGAAAAGAGCATGGATGAAAGAAGACAATGCCAACGAGGCCTTATCGTTTGCTCGCTGCGGAATTATGATGTTGCTGTTGGACATGGGAAGGTATCGATCAAACTGCGGGCGAAGTTAGTTCAGAGTAGCCTGGGGGTGCTCAAGAACCCACCTTGTCGCTTTGGACGAATCCAATGAGATCCATACCAGCGAAGGTCTCCAGGTTTGTGATATTCTCGTCAGTCTGGCTGATGTGGACGGCCGTGCGTCCGTACTCATAACCCTTTGCAAGGTCGTCTCGCTCGACATCGATCTTACCGCCCGGCGCAGACTCGTCTGTGATCTGATAAGTTCGCGATGTCCTCACCGTGGTAAGGAATTCATCTCCTGGTGCTTGACTTGCAGTAGGAACATCGCCATCCTCGCCCTGTGTGGCGGACCGGATGGCGAAGGAACTTGCGGATGGGGGCTTCGCGACATATGTTCGAAAATAGCGTTCAACGGGTATGCGCAACGCCGTTTCGTATTTTGTAGCATCTCCAAGTTGGAGAAACCCTTTGAAAGATGGCATGCTCTTCGTGACTTTGATGCGAGGGATGTCCATTTCTGCGATTGCCTCCCCCAATGTTCCGTAGAGACCATCGATGCCCTCGGCAAATTCCCTTAGAAGGGTCTCATTCTGGGCCTAAATGAAGCATGAGTAACATTCCAAATGGTGTAGGCAGTGGTTGATTACCTTGTGAGTATCTTTATCCTCCTCTTTGATACCAAACTCTGGATCATCGAAATCCGCTCCGCTGGAAGCAATCAGCTACATTCGAATGAATGAAGATAAAAGGACTTACATGACAGCAAAATCAATACCGTCCTCTTTGATTTTGTCTTTAATGTCATCAATACCCTCGTTGTTCATGTAACCCGTGCCATTAGTGATGAGTACGATCTTGCGCTTGTATTTGAGCTTCTTGCAGTACGCGCTGATCATCTGGATAGCAAGAATGACCGATGAGATGGCTTGGAGCTATTAGTAAATAGTTTCTAAACAGGGAAACACTTTCTGACATACCATCGCCTTTGTCAGTTCGACTGGGGTTGATACAATCTCGCAGCTTCCGAATATCAGGCATGAGAACCCTAACCAACACCTTAGTCAATTAGTCCCCCGAAGAAACAAGGAAGTAACATACTGCCCAATTTCTTGGATCACGGATATATTGGAGAAGCTGGGATCCCCCGCAAGCTCATTTGACGTGTCTGAGTTTCCCTGTTTAGCCGGAGTTACAAGAAGCATTTGGAGTCCTACCATCTGAGCGTAGGGCAACCACGCCGAGAGTAGCTGTTTTTCGGCCTGTTGCAACCTGAATCATTGAGTTAAAATTGCCATCAACCACGGAGGTCCCACATACTGTAGTCGTGATCTTGTCCCAGACGTACTGCATTGCCCATTCAAGATCCGTGACGAGGCGGCCATGGCGGCGCTTCCCCATGGATTTGCCGACATCGACGATGTACACGGTCGCTTCCTTTTCCGCCATTGTGAGATGAATGAGAGAAAGAAGAGTGGGAGGATTTAAGAGAAAGGCGCGAAGTAGGCAGACGCGCGATATTTCCTTTTTGGTTTAGCCTCAAACGCGCTGCACATGACATCACTTGATACGCGTGGATTTAACAGCTCTACGTGGACATAATGGATGTGGGCATAATCAATGGTGGCAATAAATTTATCCCCCGTCTTTGGCAGTGGATTTAAAAGCTCTGGCTTCTCTTCCATCTCCAAATCTCCACACGTCCCAACTGAACTACAGTCTTGAGCCAGCTAGCCATCATACTTTCGCCAAAATGACTGACCCTCGTCCATATCACGTTCTCACGTACGTCCGAAGCCGCGCAACCCCAGAACAAGATAAAGCTCAGGCTTCTGGCCCTATCAAACCTTACTGACACGCTCCAGCTACGGCACCCTTCTGGGTACCCAGTTCTACCAGGTGAGCTCATCATATGATCAATCATCACCACAAAATGTAGAACCAGCCAATCTGACCCCTGTCTAGTCCTTCGTTGGTGGTATCGTTGCCTTCCGCGCTCTGCCGCGCCCGCAGTTCGCCAGTTTGCAGACCGCCATCTTCCCCATCTACTTCTCTCTGCAGACAGCCCTGCCCGTGGCGGTGGCTCTGACTGCCAGCCGAGGTGGACAGGCTCTGGGTATTTCGGGCCTTGTAGCCCCAGAGAACCGCCTCAACACCTTGCTGCCTATGGCCACCGTCGCCTTGACCGGATTAATCAACATGTTTTGGCTGCGTCCGTTGACGACCAAGATCATGCGTGAGCGGAAGCATCAAGGTATCTCTTCCCTTAACTAGGGGCATTCTGCTTCAAAAATTGTGTCCAAGACTGACCTTATCAGAAACCCGCGACGGAAAGAAGAGCTACGACCCTGCTCCCCACTCCAAGGAGATGGTCTCTCTGAACAAGCGCTTCGGTCGAGTGCACGGCATGTCCAGCCTGGTCAACATGGTCAGCCTTATTGCCACCGTCTGGTACGGTGCTGTGTTGAGCAAGCGTCTGGAGTAAATGAGTAGCCTGGGCCCAAATCTGGGTTCGCGACAGTGATCAAGTGGCATCTATATAGGAGTTCATCTGCAACCTGTGTATTTTATTTCATTTTATTGCCCATACTCTTGAATTCTTGGATATTTGCATGAATCGGAGGCGTCAATTTTGAAATGAGGGGAATTTCCTATCCAATCAAACTCGAAAGCTCCCATGTTCCTGAAATGGTTCAAATTGAAGGGCAAAATGTTCGTTAACCTTGGAAGGCATAAAACTACCGGGAGGAGAATCCTTTGGCACGGACCCCGAGGTTAAGCCGGATTAATTGAGTGTCAAGCGAAGTCAATGCCCCCCCGTTGATCGTCGGAAGTGGTAGATGTTTAGAATTAATTGAATATACTCTTTCCCAGAGTGTGGACTCTCTTGACCCTGGAATCATGAATCTTGCAGCCCACTCGGTCATGCCCTTTGACCTTGACCTTTTGAGTTCTCGCAGACTATATCCCAAATTTGCACATAATTGAACCCCCAAGGGCCCAAGCTGATCAGCATTTCCATGTGATGGGCCGATGGCTTTGTATGAATACGTAAACAGGCCTCATACGAGCACAACGGCGCTCGGCGCAATTAGAGGGGTGTTTGATGCACAACTCAATAATGGAGGGCGGTTTGCAAATATTTGGGACTCAAGAGGCCCTGAACCGGAGGGGCTAACTGAGTCAGGACTCTCCAACGCGGATGCTTAAACTCCCGGCACTCGTTGAGACTAATTGGTGCGATCGTCACCCCTGAATTCCCCTTCCAAGTCTTAGTTTGAGCGCGTCGTATTCCCATCGTATACACATACCGAGGATCTCCCTATTTCCCCACGTGAATTGAAATGTTGTATTTCAACCCCCTCGAGTCCCCTTTGAAGGGCTTCAAGCACGATCATGTTACCTCTTATTCCCCTGTTGGCTAGCATCGCGCCCGTGGCCGCGACGGCTGCAGGTCCCGCAGCTTGCGCGAAAATCACTACCCAACTTGGTTCTTCCAAAGTCGTCAGTAGCGAGCTTAGTCTGAGTTATATCGAGAGCATTGAATACTGGAGCACCCTCCAGGATGCCTATAAGCCATCCTGCGTGGTTTATCCCAAATCTGCTCAGGATGTTTCCATTGTCCTTCAGGCAGTTCGAGCCGCGGACAGTCGTTTTGCCATAAAGGCTGGCGGCCACAATCCGAACACCTTCTATTCATCTGTCGACAAAGGTGTACTTCTCGATATGAGCAGCATGACCGAAAAGTCGTACGACCCGGATACTACTCTGGCTACATATGGGCCTGGTGGTGTATTTGGCGACATCTACGAGTACTTTGCGGATTATAATCGTACTGTGGTCGGCGCGCGACTTGCTGGCGTCGGAACCGGTCTGGCCCTGGGCGGAGGTATGAGCTACCTTTCGCCTCAATACGGTTTAGCTTGTGATTCCTTCCGCGAGCTGGAGATAGTTCTACCCTCTGGGGAGATCGTGATAGCCTCTAACAAGTCCAACCCCGATCTGTACTTCGCTTCTCGAGGCGGCGGCGGAAATGCGTATGGAGTGGTGACCAAATACACCGTTCAGAGCCGGCCTTCGGGTGAATTCTGGGCTGGCAACCTCATCTACACCTTCCCTCAAAAGGACAATGTCATTGAAGCGATCGGAAACTTCATTCAGTACAACACCGATCCCAAGGCGGCTATTATTGGTACCTATGAAAAGCTGGGGACGCCTGATCTGAACTTGAACCTGGATGAGGCCATCATCATGTTCCTGGTCTACGATGGCCCAGACCCGGGTGATGCTTTCTCTAACTTTACCAGCATCACTCCTCTCCTTGACACTACCGGTATCAAGACCTACCTTGAGGTAGTGAACATGCCTATCCCTATGTCCACCGAGATTTCCCGCGGAGCCAACATATTCCGCGTCGGAGTCCACCGCCCAGGCGATGGATCCTATGAGAACGCATTGGATATATGGCGTGATTGGGCTGAGACCAACAAGGGCAGATACACCCTCCTCTCCCTCGATTTCCAGCCCGTTCCCAAGAGTTTGACGGATGCTAGCAACGCCCAGGGCGGCAATGCGATGCAAATGCCTGACGGTCCCTGGTTCTGGTTAAATTACTTGATTACAACACCGCCTGGTATGAGCGAAGCAGATTTCAATGCCGTTCAGGCCAGTTATCGGGATATGGTTAAGTCAAGTGGGAATGCTGAGGGTCTTCCTTTGTTCATTAATGATGCAAATTATGATCAGAACCCTCTGCAGACATTCTCGGCTTTTGCAAAGTTGCAGGAGATCAAGAAGAGATATGACCCGGATAACTTCTTTGCGGATAAGACTGGTGGTTGGTCGTTTGAGTAGAGTTAACGTGATTTGTCATGCTATTCTTGGGACTTTTTACAGCATCAAACCCCCGAGTGATTTTTATCAGAGAGCAGGATAACCAAGCGTACCCCTGTAAATTTGACACTCAATATATTATAATAATACACTTTCCTCTAAGGCCATCCTCTACACACGCGTCCATCATATGGAATTGGTGAAAGCGCAGGTTGAGATGAGCCTCAATCAGGGCCTGTGGACTGAGATGGGTTGGCATGTCTCTTTACGTTTCTACAAACCCGTCTAGTAACAGCCAATGCTACAAGCTTCTGCCACCAGATTTATCAGCAGTGTTGGCGCCGTGTCAGGCCAACCAGGTGACTGGAAAATGGCGGGATAAGAGGGACCGTGATTTGTAATGCACGGTGAAATTTAGATGAATCATCACAAAACAACATCCAAGGGTCTTTCACCCGAGTCGTATTATCCATTGGCCACGCTATAATTTCCGATGAATGATATCCTCCCATGTTGAGGTTTGTAATGACCCCCGATTATTCAGATGACTCATCGCAACATGTAGACCATGCGCACAACATTCTGTTCGTTTCTAGACTCAATGGCTTTGATTACAGCAGCCATGATCTTTGAAGCTCGTATTGCAAACTTTGGTTGTGGAGCTCCCATGGGTAAGTTGGGCTTGTCTGTGAACGTTGCATAAGTAGCTTGCAAGCTCCCCTTGTTTTGGATCTCACACCATCTCCATCAAACTTCTTCAAACTTCTTCACTCATCGAGAAACAGCAATCAATTGCTGCTAGCTACAAATATCAAATATGTCGAGAGGTCTTGTTTTGATCACCGGTGGCACGGGCCATGTTGGATTCCGAACCCTCGTCACAGCCTTAAAGGCCGGATACCGAGTTCGAGCTGCAGTCCGTTCCGAGTCTAAAAGGGAAGAAGTCCTTTCTGCGCCATCCATCAAGGAGCTCAACCCAGCGGATAAGCTTACATTTGTCATTGTTCCAGACCTTATGGTCGACGGTGCATACAACGAAGCTGTCAAGGGCGCGAACTATATCCTACATATTGCTTCGCCCATCGTCCTCAAGGGAGAAATCAAACCAGAGGACTATGAGAGAACCCTTATTGAGCCTGCCGTCGCTGGAACAACCAATATCCTGGAAGCCGCGCTCCGTTCACCCGATGTCAGGCGTATTGTGATCACTTCATCCGTTGTCGCAATGGTCCCTGCGAAATATATGTTCGAAACCAATACACCTGATGGATTCGTCGTGGACCATAATTCAAGACTGCCTCCGCCATCTGGTCCATATCCATCCGACTTCCACGCGTATAACGCCAGCAAGACCGCTGCTCTCCTCGCAACTGAGGCCTTCGTCAGAGACCGGAACCCCCATTTCGACGTAACAAACATCCACCCGTCTTTCGTTATCGGCAAGAATGAGCTCGTAAGAGACGCTAAAGATATCACTGTCGGTACTAATGCGGTTGCTATCGGACCGGTTCTTGGAAACAAGTCCGACACCCCCATTACGGGTTCCAGTGTTCACGTCGACGATATTGCATTCATGCATGTCAAGGCTCTTGACCCGAGTGTCCCGGCTGGAAGTTATATTGGCAACTCTGATGACTATGCTGGGAATGTGTGGCAGAATGCGACAAGTATTGCGGCAGAGCATTTCCCTAATGCTGTTGCACGCGGCATTCTGCCTAACAATGGTACACAGCCAACTAGGAAGACCAGGGTGAATGCGAGAAAGACAGAGGAAATTATGGGCTTCAAGTTTTTGAGCTTTGAGGAACAGGTTACAAGTGTTGTGAAGCACTTCCTTGAGCTGAAGGGAGAAAATGCCGAGTAAGATGGTCTGAGGAGATGGGTGTCCTATTTTGATATTATTGGGAACGTTTGTACCTACTCTTATGATTTCAACATAGCGGCTTTGTTAAGCTTAATATATTTGGTCGTTTGCATTGAATAATTTCTCAACACTGAAAGACTCAAAAAAGAATGTAGAAGAAGTTTACACCACAACGCTAAGTGACGGTTAGGTTAATTGGGTGCCGAAAAACGGCTGCTTTTGACGCTATTTCAAGCGTCCTGTTTACCAGAATACTAGTCATTGAAATATTGCGTGATTTGTTTCGGCCCACTTTTACAGTGAGCTTAGGGATCAGCTCACCCTTCATTTAGGGCACTTAGGGCAGACCATCAGGCATATCGTTATGGCCTATCGTCTCTGTCATCCGTATATAGCCGCTTTATACGAAAATGGAAAGGCTCTTTTATTAGGGGCTAAACCACCTCAAGGCTTCTTTTCTAATATTACCGAGTCTTCCCCTCGTTAACTCTATGCAGCTGTTCTATACACTCGGTCCTAAAGATTCCAAGTGGGTTCATCTCTTCTTGACTACCAGATTTCTCCTGGGTTTTAATAATTACCACTTTCTTCCTATCCTCTTCCTTGTCCTTTTGGATGAGGCTAGTTTTAATCTTTACCTAAGAATACATCCATTCTTACAGGCAAGAAGAAGCAAGCGCCTAACCCTGAGTATTATCGGCGACGTCGTCAATAACTAAGAAAAGAATCGTCCAAACCCGATATGACGTTTTCAAGAATAAGAGATAAAAACAAAAGACGATAAACCAGGTAATACCATATATAAATACAAGTCACTGTTTAACTGTGTAAATTACATACCCGCCACCCATCTGGTTCAGTTTCCACCACTACCAGCGCGACTAGAAGCAACTTTTCACTAGTGCTTGCGCAGAGTATTACGACCAGACGCTTTTATGATTGCCTCGATATGTAATCTTTCACTTTGTCACTTCCGCTGCAGCAGGACACTTCATTAGGAAGCCAGATAAATTCTCCATTAATCGAACATCCAATGTTGTGGTTGGCTGTTTAGTGACTGAGAAATCGGATATGATCATAATTGGCCTCTCGGTGTCCGACCAGCTTGTCCCTTTCAATATCCTGGCGGCGTTTCCTGATCCATGACATGATCACTGAGATTAACTCGCCTTATACTATATTCGTCTGCTTATTCAGTTGGAAAATCTCCGTGATGGCTTTTTGCCCTCGGAAAGTCGCAATCTGAGCCGCTGTCCATTTTTTATTTCCTGATGTTGCGGAGACATCTGCGCCAGCATCGAGCAACATCCGGGTAATCTCATAATGGCCGCATTCTGCCGCCGCTGAAAGCGCCGTATACCCGTTATAATATGAGCCTTGAGCATTCACATCGGCCCCTACATCTAACAATCGACGGACAATCCGGCAGTGGCCTCTAAAAGCCGCGCCTTGAAGCGCCGTAAAGCCGTGATACCTTACGGCGGGGGTATTCACATCGGCTTTATGGTGTAGGAGAATTTCCACGATATCGGCGTGACCTCCTAATGCAGCAGCTTGAAGTGCGGTGCGGCCCCGATTCTTCGCCGGAGGCGTATTAACATCTGCGCTTTGATCGAGTAGCCATCGTAGGAGCTCGATATGGCCCCCCTCGGCGGCTGCTTGTAAGGCAGTTCGGCCCATATACTGATGGGGTGGGTAGTTGATATCTGCACCCACAGAGACTAAGTGGCTAACGATATTCAGATAGCCCGCTTCAGAGGCCAGTACTACCGCTGTTCTGCCACCATTGTTTCCTCCGGGAGCGTTAACGTCTGCCCCTGCCGCTAACAGTATCTTAGCCACGGTGAGATGCCCATTATAAGAGGCAGCCTGAAGGGCTGTCTGTCCATAGTAGCCTTTAGGGGGCTCATTAGGGTCCACTGTTTGGGATAAGAGCCGCCGTACTTCGTTTAGATCACCTCGCGCAGCTGCAAGCTTAATAGGAGAACATCTGCACTCATCGTCCGGTTTATGTTGTTGAAATTGCTGAGTTGGTAAAAGTCGACTTTCCATCTTGAGACTTCCGCCGCGGTCGTTTCGTGCTACTCGGTGGTTATATCCCTTGACTCTTGGGAAGATGCTTATCCGGTTGACACGGCAAAGATCGTTTGTGCAAGACAAAATAAACCAAAATTAAACCGAGGCTAGACAGCCCAACCACCTAGACTAGTTAGAAATTATGCATAAGCAAAGGAACTAGTGATTATCTGGGGACATATTGAAATGATATACGAACGGGAATCACATCTGCATTACGCAGCGGTATTGGTGAGTAGAGGCCGTGCATGTTCCATGATACGTGTGCTATACGAAGAGGGGTGTATTGGCAGCTTACGTGGGATTGTGCCCGACGGAGTTCCGCATGTAGATTATGCAAGATAAGCACTAGGTCTGAACGCTGCTACTAAAATGGGAAAATATTTAGTCGACCATTCGCTATAGTACGTGGAGAGGTGTAAAAACCATTGGATTAAGACTATGGAGGAATTAGGCTATCTAGCTACGCACCAGGAACATTCTTACCACGGATACGAGCAGAGAAAGTGGTCAGTACCTCAATAGGTACATTTCCTTAATGGACACACCTCTGCGTATCAAGGCGCAATGCCACCTTTTTTTGACAGTAGGGTACGCGAAAATGTTTGGCGATAGTATATGATGGTCCGAGGATCGAGCCAGCCTCGGATAAAGAGTCGACAACCATGAGGGAATTCCTGTTAGGGTTTATACAATGGAAGTGAAACAGATCCTGCTTATGAAAGACATTGAATGGTAGTTACAGCTAGTGACTAACTCACACTGTGTTCCGGGAGCCGATCACTTCCCGAGGCGACAGTTTTACCATCACCTATATTACATTGTCGACGCAAACATCGTGGAAGGGCATTAGAAAGTGAGATAACGGTCACAAAATTTGAAAAAAGTGTCTATTTGGACGCAGTGTCGCCGACTTCTGCAAGATGCTCTGCACCCTGGTAGAACTTAGGAAGAGGATCCAGTTTCTGTCGCAGGATCCAAACACGGAAGTGCCAAACAGCACTCTTGAGCTGGTAAGAGGCATGCTTCCTGGTCGAGACCGAGAACACTTGATCCAATTCCTCCAGTGTAAGGGCTGAGAGAAAATTAGTTAATATGATCCATGAAACAACAAAGAATAGGAATATCAAGACACTAACCCTTGGTCTCCGGAACGAAGAGCAATACCAAGACCCAACCAATAAGACACCAAGCTGCATACCACCCGAACGCACCCTGGGGCTTGAAAGTACTGAGAAGATGAGGCCAAGTGAAGGATAGAATAAAGTTGAAGCACCATGTGGTAGCAGTAGCCCATGACATGCCAACTTCTCGAACATGTAAAGGGAATGCCTCAGCCGAATACGTGAATGGGACCGGTCCTTCACCTGGGGAGTAGAACACTTCGAACAAGTACATGCCTGCCGTGACCATTGCAACTCTTTTCTTGCTATCTGGGACGTCTGGCTCAATCCAGAACGAAAAGCCTGACCAGAATAGGAAGATGGCTAGGAATGGGAATGTGAAGAGTAGCAAGTTGCGGCGGCCCCATGTGTCGATGGTGAACACGGCTGGCAAAGCAAATACCCAGTTAAGAATACCTGTTCCCATGGAGGCTAGGAGTGCAGTGGATAGACTGTATCCAGAATCCTAGTTCAATTGTTAGCAAAATTCCATTATGGTGTCCAGCGAGTGGTGAAAAGGCGTAGATGACCAACCTGGAAGATAGTGGTAGAATAGTAGGCAATGACATTGACACCACAGAACTGCTGCATAAACATAACGATCCATGAGGCCAAGGTGGCGCGACGATTGCGTGGAACAGTGAAAAGCTCCAGGAACATGGTGAAAAAGTTCTTTCCCTTGTTGATCTTTCGCTCCAACTGCACGGCTACATAGGCATAGTACAAGTCTCTCGCTGCCTGAATGTCGGTAGGTCGTAGAATTTTAAAGCTCTCATAGGCCTTTTCGATCTTGTCATGCTGAATCAACCACCTGGGAGACTCGGGGCAGATATAGACCTGAGCACAGACAATGAGAGGGAGAACAACGGTAGAGCCTAGCATCAGACGCCAGTTCAAATCGTTACCGACATTCATGAAGGCAACTCCCATGATGTTCCCGAGCATGATACCAAAAGCTGTCCACATCTGCCACATCATCACGAGAGCACCCCGAATAGGAGCCGGGGAGCATTCGGCGGCGTAGATTGGGACCGTCGTTGACTTGGAGCCAATTCCCAAGCCAAGAACAAAACGCGCAATGAAGAGATTCACCCATGAATTGCAAACACCTTCCCATATAGATGCCACGGCAGCAATGAGGCAGGAGATGAAGATTGTTCCACGACGGGCGAAGACTCGATTCAGAGGCTCGGTTAGCCAGCAACCCAGAATAGCACAGGCCAAGTAGGGAGCGCCGACGACAAGACCGGTGAGATTGTCGCTGTTCTCAATTCCAAGTCGCTATGCATGGGTCAGCCTTCCATATACATCCTGATAGCTAGGTATGGCAGATACCTTCAAGTAGATTGCCTGAGCACCGTTGTTGACAGTCTCATCCATACCCTGGACGGCGGCAGCGAGCGAGCACATGACTAGTAAAGAATAGAGAATTAGTAGACGCCATCATAGTTGTTCGGTGCAGACGTACTTGCAAGAAAGTAGAGTTGCCATGGCTGCGACCATTTATGAGTATGCTCCCTGGTAAGAGCCTCCCTCTCAATTTCATCCAACTCGGGGAGACTTGTTGCAGACTCGGGAGACTGTGAGATGAGTGCACCCTTTTGAAAGACCCCAAGGTCTGCCATAAGGCCATATCTTGAGCAGAATTCCTCGACGTCCCGGAAGAGCTGTTCGCGGGGAATTCCAGCAAGTGGGTTCTCGAAGACAGCATTCAGGTTGTTCGCTCCCCGATTCTCGACCTCAGGCAGGACATTGTCTCTCTTTTCCTGGTGGTCAAAGCTCGGAGGCCCCTCTGAGCTATCGCTCTTTTTGATTCCGTGCTTTTCAAATTCATTCATATTGGATGCTCATTCATGCATAGCTTCATAACTTCAAAGAGCATTGCCTGGCAAAACCGAAAACCATCATGAGGGGAAGGCCAATACTTTATGTGTGGAGGCCCATGTGCAATCGTCGGCCCCCAGAATGATGCAACGCACTAATATCTGACATCGCATGGCGTGAACAGGCCAATCCGGTCGATTGCTGCCGTTTCGCTATTGCGACAAGGGTCGCAACTGGTAGACGAGCCTATCAAATAGAGTCATGACGGCTGCACTCGGCCTGGTTCAAAGAAGGTCTTTCCCTGTTCTCCACGAGTCACTGCCGGAGGGGCCAAGAATCCCTTATGGACTTAGAGTTTAGAGAAAGTGGCATTTCCTCGCGCCCCAAAGGAAGAATATGGGGGTGGGTCTGGGGATCGTGGGTCACCACGCGAATCGACGCCAATGGTATCGAAGGCTCCGTGGAGCGTGCGGAAGGCGGCCTGCTAGTGTCGCTAGCGGGGCATCGATACAAACTAGGACTTGCAGTATTACGCAGCTTGTGCACGGAATTCAGGAAATGATCGTCGAGTCGGCCTATCATGGATGCAACCGTTGATTGCGTCACGTTTCCAGAAGCCGGGGTTTTCAGCGAGAGTCGCGACCAAAACGTACCGTGCGGGGAAAAGCATGTTTTCTCCAGAGCGAGAGTTTCTGTGGTGGCCCTGCCTCGGAAATTGCGCGCCACTGACGGCGGTGATGCTCCGAGCGGGGAGCTGAGGTTGATGTTGATGTTGATGGTGGAAGATGTGGCTTACGGGGGTTTCTTGCCGTAACGCCTTCCCGCTCTGGCCCATGGCTATCTTGACGCCTCATTCACACTCTCCTGTCCTGGTTCCTTAGGTAGCTCTATAAACTTGAAGTCGCTTTATCACTGTACCATCTTGGTCGGAGCCCATGCATGGGCCACATCACATACGGAGTACTAACCTCCGTTTAGACAGTCCGGTAATCCTTCCTAGCTCGGACCCAGGACTGCCGACCTCATCCAAGACAGGCAGATGCAGGGAAGCTCTCTTACATGTACCGTCGGTCTAAATATCAATCAAACTGCTGCCCTCCCGGGTCTTCACGGCCAAAGCCTTCTTTGTACATTGCATACAGACACAGTTGAGATTCCCGATGCTCTCGTGAGGTATCGAGTGGGTAGAAATCATTGCACAAATTCGGATCCACTATGATGAAGCTCTCTACGCAGAGAATCAAGTCTGTGGGCACCCGTGCTCCAAGCGCAGACAATGATCCCAGCGTGCAAACCCTACTACCGTGTTTGCTTGGTCTACAGACTTTGCCCGGAGACAGCGGAGTCTCAATGCAGAGATCTTCTCAATGAACTGTGCTTCTCTGAGATGAATCGTATGGGTATTTAATAACCCTCTCTCTTGAAAGGACCCTTCAAGACACCTTCTACTTGGAAGTTTTAGTCATCCTAATATCTTCCCTCTCAAATCTGTCGCCATCATGAGGGAATTTCTACTCCCTGGGATCGCTTTCTTCTCCTCAAGCCTCTGGGGCTTTTACGGGAATATTCCTTTCACCACAGTTAAGTCCAGCCGTCCCTTCATGGATCGAGCCGTTGGGTGCACTCAATTGGCAACCGCAGCTTATGCTGTGGAGCAAGCCTATCAAAATATATCGACTACATATTCCCTCCACGAAAACACAGATCCAGCAGCGACTGAGACCAACACGTTCATCCTACCCGATTTCAATGCCAGATGGAACATCACTTTGAAAATTCCGGCATTAGCAGCCGCAACTCGGACTCAAATTGAGCACGAAACATTCATCTTCCCTCCTAATTGGACAACTCAAGTTACTATGCCCATGTCCAAGCCCATATGCAAGCCCACGCCCGCCGCTAATCCAGACCTGCCATTCGAAAATATGGCCCTAATCATGCTGGCCATACTCTTGGCCCTTGGTACCAAACAAGCATTTAATTATGAAGTCACAGACTTGGCCCACAGAATCAATCCAATTCTCTCAAACCCTCCGGCCTGGATCTACAACCTTGTTAATGATGCAATCCCAAAGTCGGTCAGCCATGCCTTGGAAGGTTGCATCCAAGCTATCGGAAATCACTTGATACGAATTGAAACATGCGGCGCCCAGCTCGTGAGCCAACTATTTGCATTTGGCCAGGATTTGAACCGCCTGCGAGAGGACTTTTTGATAGCAAGACACGAAATTTATGCTGCACGAATTGATGTTACGAACACCATTCATACTTCTATTCAAAACGCAATCCAAACCTCCCTTGAGCCTGCTCTTGGAACCTTCATTCAGGATGCAGCCCAGAACGCCATACAAGGTGCTGTTCAGACTTCCATACATAACGCAGTCCAGGCTACTGCTGCGAATTCCGACATTGCTCACAAGGCCAGCAATGATATCATAATTCAGATGCTGAACGGGCAAAATGACATCCAAAGAGGAACGGAAGAGAAGTTGGGGAGGTTGAGTGATATCATTGGTAAGGGTAACTCTACGTTAAGCCGATCAGTGAACTAAGTAGCCTGCAGGAGAACTTTCTCAACAGATCACCGCTGATATAGCAACGAGGCTCGCAACAGAGCTTCGGGTGGGAAAATTGGCAACGGCTGACACAAGCCGCACCCCAAGCATTGATAATGGGGGTGGCAACGGGGGCGGTCAAGATGAGGAAACCCACGAGGAGAACTAAGACGAAGATTACCAAGGCGAGGGCCTTAAGCAGGCAACTTGAGGGATATGTGCTTGTAGAGATGTTATGAGAACGTCTGGAACCGTTCAAGTTCATTATTATCACTTCATACCAACGTGGAGAGTAATAGAGACAAGAAGAACATGCTTTCTCTTCAGACTTTATCAGTGGTATCAAGGTCAATTACAATTAAGTTTCGGACCTTTCATCCAGGCGCCACCCATAAAGCGAGTCATTCAACTAGATATTTTCGGCACGCGGCTTTCAACATCTCAATACGCCTTTGGGTATGTATGAAGACCTCTCGGTACATATCTAGACTTTGCTGCACTACCTCTTGCCGGGTCTTCGTGCCGGCGCAGATCTCCAACATGCGCAGCTCCATCTCCTTGCGAAGGAAAGGCTTACTGAGCGAGATACTATTTGAAAGGCCCGCAACAATGTTATCATACCCTTCGACGAGCGCAGTACCCAGTCGGGTTGGAATGAGTTCTTCAACCTTAGTGCGACCAGTACCTCGCTGGTGCACGACGACGTATTCGCGTTCCTTGATCTTGGCAATATGTTCTGCCATGGTCGCGTCGGTGCCAATGCCATTGGCATCCATCAGACCGATGAGCTCGGGTTCTGTTAGGAAGCTCGGAGCTGTGGTTTTGCCTTCCGCAATATTTGCCTCTGTAGGTTCAAAGACTTCTCCTTTCTCGAAGTTAGGGAGCTGTTGACTGCTCTCCCATTTATCGTAGACGTAAACGTCGAGATAGTTTCTCTCCAGCACGATTAGACCATTGGCATGAAAGAATTCTTCACCATATTGAATTTCGATCTCGGTGCCTTGACCTTTTGCATCTTCTGAGCAGCAAGCGAGGAATCGCCGGACCACAAACTCGTACACTTTCTTTTCGTTTACATTTAATTGGTTTTGTGAAACCCAGCACACGGGATGAATGGGCGGGTGGGCTTTGTCGTTATGACGGCCAGACCGGGGAGTCCTGAATTTTCCGTCGATAAGGCTTCAAACATGTTAGTTCTAGATTTGGAGATCGCTAACACATGTTACTCACTCTCGTGCGTATTGGCCCCATGAGTCATCGGGGTATTGCTTCTCGACCAGCTTCTTGAGATCAATTGCTTTGTCGAACTGATCTGTCTCTGTTCGGGGATAGCTGATGTATCCCTTAGTGTAGAGCGCCTCTGCCACTTTCATAATTGTCTGACTGTCCATACGAAGGAAACGACTGCCCATCATCTGGAGGTCGACAGTTGTCAATGGTAAGGGCCGCCATTTACTCTTGGGCTTCGAGTTCACTTTTGTGACCTTGGCTTGCTTAGCCATGAGGCATCGTTCCAGCATCATTGCGACGGCCGCTCTATCGAACAAGTGAACACGTTTCCAAAGAAAGTTGACTTTTTTCCGTTCTCGTTGATGCATGACCTTGATGCTCCAGAATGTTTCTGGTTTGAAGTTCTTCACGCGGAGATACCGATCGACAACGAAGCCCAGTGTAGGGAATTGACATGATCCTGTAGAAGCGTGAGTCATAATCTTGGAAGAACCAGAGCGGTATTTACCATAACTGATGACTTTCTCCTTCAAGGCTGCAACGACGGCTTGAAGCTGAAGAGTCTGCAGACGAGTAAACGCGGCGCCAATCCGCAAGTCAAGCTCAATTCGAGCAGCCACCGCATTAGCTTGAAATTCATCCAACTCAACAGGTTCCCTAGCGGCACGCAGGACATGTCTAAAGCCAAGAGCCATTGTAGTCAGTAAAGGCATATTGGCGTTGACTGAAAACTAGACTTACGCTCTCTCCGTGTTGCTGAATTTGGCTCGCTTGACTTCAATCTGAGCGTTTCCAGCCTTTGCTTGGTTCCGGACCTCAGAGCCGATATGCTCCCCTTCTCTATCACAATCGGTCCAGATAAACAGTGCCTTGCTGTATCTGGCTTGGTTGCGGATGTTCTCTGCAATTGCCAGCTTGTCCTATGTTGGGATTAGCAAGCCGATCCACTGTGTTGTTTGATAACAATCAACCTTATCAACAGACTCCTGCACTGGTGCCTCGAATAGAGACCCAGGAGGACAAGACATCCAGCCCTTGTACTGACGTTCGAAATCTAGGCCTGTGAGATGACCAATCACGCTGGTCATGGTCACGGAGCAGTCTCCCCAAGGACCTCCGAAGTTGAAGTCGAACTCATAATTCTTGACATATTGATTGCCACGGATCGCATGCTGCCCTTCAAATTAGTCACTGTTCAACGCGATATGTGGGACACTCACTGTCTGGAAGGAACCGCCGGACAGATGCGTGGCGACGGCACGAGCAATGGCAGGCTTTTCTGCCACGCAGAGAATCTTACGTGCCATGGCGATGCGGCACACTATTCAACGTGGCCCATTCTACAGTGTAGATGATGCATCCCAACGGGGAAATAATTTGGGACGCGAGAGTTGGATGCCTGAGGATGACGCGCCTTAGATCCTGAGGCATAAACACCGATGCCACCTTACCCGATCGGGTAACCCAAACATAAACCTCCCATCCTACGAACTCCGAGAGCTTCCCCCTCTTCAACCCCGTCCTTGTTCGAGTGTTGGGTCCCAAGATGTCGAACCTCCCGCTTCCTCGTGTTGAATCCCTGGTGGACTGCACCAACTTCAAGCTCACTGTCCTCCCCTATCTCGCCCAGCTGGAATGGCTACCCGCCAGCTTGCGCGAAGCCGGCCGGGATCTGGATAGCTTGAAGGCTGTGTACCTCGCCACGAACCCTTTTGTCTCCGCACTTTCGATCTGCTTGGTTTTGGCTGGGGGTTTCTTTTTGGCTGCCGAAATTAACCGAAACTTCTCCCAGGTGGACCGATTCTGGAGCATTTTGCCTGCACTGTACAACGTGCACTACGCTCTTTGGGCGCGTTTAGCCGGAATCCGCACCCAGACTTTGGATACAATCGCTGTCATCAGCATTTTGTGGAGTGTAAGTGCGCAAAATTTAACTGAATGCGCTTGTTTCCAAATGGGCTTACTCGTGTTACGTTGAATAGATTCGTTTGACATTCAACTATTGGCGCAAAGGAGGTTATTCCATCGGCTCGGAGGACTATCGCTGGGAAATTGTACGCGCCAGAGTCAACAACACCTTTGTGTTTACGATCTTCAACTTCTCCTTCATCGCTGTGGCCCAGTCCCTGCTCCTCCTTCTGATCACCGTTCCGACCTACGTCTTCGTGATCATCGCGCAGAACAAGGGTCCCGAGAACTTTGGTCTCGCCGATCTGGCCTTCTCGCGCGTTGCTTTGTTCTTCATTATCATCGAGTTCTTCGCCGATCAGCAACAATGGAACTTCCACCAGGCAAAGCACGAGTACCAGACCAATGCGCGCATCCCCGAGCAATTCAAGGACCAATATACCTTCGAAGACCTCGAGCGCGGCTTCGTTGTCAGCGGTCTCTGGTCGTGGTCGCGCCACCCCAACTTTGTTGCTGAGCAGGCAGTTTGGTTGACCATGTACGCCTGGTGTGCCTTCCGCACCGAGACCTACGCCTCGTGGGCTGGAATCGGTCTCTTGGGCTACATGGCCATCTTCCAGGGAAGCACTCGTCTTACTGAGGCGATCAGTGCTAGCAAGTACTCCGAGTACAGCGAGTACCAGGCTCGTGTGGGCCGCTTCCTCCCGCGCCTGTCTGTTGAGGCCAAGCAGACGAAGCCTGCTAAGAAGGCCGCTAAGAAGCCCAAGGCTGTTGAGAAGAAGAGCAATTAAGCGAATAGGGTATAATAAGGTGAATTCTAATGTTGGTATACCAAGGGTGGATTTGTATTGGCGACACCTGCACATCTTCAATATGTAAAAAGACGTTTAACATGCTTCAATCTCATTATGATTTTATTGCTGCGCTCGTTAATTCAACAAAATGAAGACAGGCGACAGGATGGTTTAACTCATTCCAATAGAGACGCAATACTCAAGCTTGGACTAGGAACAAGGTCGCTTCAAATCTGCATTTCACAGGCCAATGCCAGGTGAAATACCCTCCAGCTTCCCCCAAAGTTCACTGAAAAAAGCTTCCTGTATTCTTGCACCTTTGGCGTTGGTAACAGTGCAAGACGGCCTGAAAAGCATCAGCAAGATGATTGCGGGGCTGGAGTGGAATAATTGCTTACCTCTTTACCTGGCAGTTATCAAGGTACTGACCGCTGCTCTCTTCTCCGCACAGAATCGCATGAACCAAAGCACGGCTCCCCTCTTCGGTACTGCGAGCTAAAACGCGCTCTCCAAAACGCGTTCCAGCGCTGCTCGACTCTCGCATTAACTGGGACTTGCACCAGCTAGGATTGGGCGTGTTGATGACGATCAATGGGCCTTTGCTTTTCTCCAACTTCTCTGCGAATGCTCGGACTACAAAGAGGACCAATAGCTTCGACAATGGATACCGCATGGCCATATTCGCAGTATCCTTGTTGTTCAAGCGGGCGAAGATCGCGTCTCCATGATCAACATCAATCTCATTCAACGGAGCGATATAATGCAAGGCTGAATTGACGATTGAGACGCGAGGAACGATGCCAAACTTCGAAGCAGACTCGCGAAGTTTCGGTATAAGCAGGGCAATAAGCAAAAAGGTACTGACCACGTTGACAGTGATTGTCCTCTCGCCATCCTCCACTAGGCTGAATGTGTTGGTAGCCAAGCCAGCATTCGCCAGAAAGGAATCAAGACGGGGAAGTGCTGCTGCACGAGCCGCAAAGCCTTTGACGGAGCTGTATCGATCCATGTCCAACTCCCAGACATCGATCGAGCTGTCTTCACGCCCGGTGGCCTTCAGAAGTTCTAGTCGTGCAGCCTCGCCTTTTGGAATGTTGCGGACAGCCATGATAAGGCGATCAACTCCTAGACGCAAGCAATGACGGCTGGCTTCATAGCCTAGGCCTTGATTCGAGCCTGAGATGATGATAGTCTGGCCTGAGAGATCGCCTTCCGGAACAGGAAGCCCGACGAAGACATTGGAGTAGATGGTTCCCGTGACACCCTTGAGGGCGGAGAGTGCTGCCATTGTTGACTTGAAAGATGGGATAAATAATATTTCCAAGGTTCGAAACTTTTGAACTTTGAAATTATATAGCAAAACAGGAATAGAATGGATAGCTATATACTTTCAGTCCAATTAGTTGCCTACGGAGCCTCAGATCCAACGACGCTGGGCTTCTCGCTCCAGGCTCCGTTGCTCGTAGCGGGAATTATAAATCCGCAGGTGCAATTTTAGTCAACGATCCACACCCTCCCGATGAATCTAAATATTTTCAGTTGATCTACAGAGAGCGTGGCCATAATACGGAGATAGCTCCAACCATCACCCAAGACAGAAGCGGAGATAATAGCCCCGCTCCGCCCCATTCTGCACCTTCCATTGCTTAATCCCGGCGATTCCCCACTGCCACCACAGAATCTAATTTGTCGCATCATTGATCATCTCAAGACCATTCATGGATACAGCATCGCCAAAGGTCGAAAAACGGAACAGGCCGCCCGTCTCTTGCGAGCCTTGCCGTATCCGAAAGTGAGGACTTGAATCCTTTTTCCTTGTCCAAAGGCTAACATAATCTCCGCTTTGTAGATTAAAATGCAATAGACAGCAGCCGTGCGACACTTGTGTCAAACGAAAGCTTCAAAGTACCTGCCATTATGCTGCCAATGCGGAGCGCAACAGACCAAAAGCTTCTAGTCAAGCCAGGTTGAATGACAGACTCAAAGGCATCGAGGAGCTGGTCTCTTCTTTGATCAGTACTGGAAATGCAGCCCAACTAGGCTCACTGTCCAGAGACAGTGAAGAGTCTGGACGTTCGCGTTATGCCCTTGAAACCCCTCCAGTGTCATCAGTGAGCGATCGCTTTTCACCTATGGGAGTTGCAAGCGGCCTTGGAAAAGAGTCACCTCGCTTTCTTCATGACCAGAATGGCGAATCGGTTTACATGGAGCCAAGTCATTGGATGTCAATTCTACAAGACATCAAAGACATGCGAGCAGACTTGTCATCCCACGGTTCTCTTGCATCTAATGAGCTTGCGAGTAGCCAAGATCTCGGCTTGGAATCCGACATCAGCTTGGACATTGCTCTACGGAATACATTGAGCATTTCTGATGTTTTAGACTCTCTTCCTTCTCAGTCTATATGCGATGTTTTACTTTCTCAGTACTTCAATTCTCGATACATGGTGCTGGGTATGTATTTGGACAATTTGCCAACAAAGTTCCGTGAACTAACTTTCCATGTTCTAGGGATTGTGCATTATGGAAAGTTCCGCACAGATGTAAGTGCTAGTTCATCCAGATTCGTGCCCAGTGTCAACATGCTAAAATTTTTGCAGTACGAGCGATTCTGGAAGGATTCCCAAAATTCATCTTTTGGCTGGCTTGCCCTGCTATTTTCCGTATTAGCCATGTCGACAATACTTCGTCAAAACTCCCAAATCCGAGTTGAAACCAGTCAGTCAATGCCATCCACCAGATTCCTGCAACAAATGACAGCCCAGTGCCTGGTTTCCGGTGGATACGCAACTGCAAAGGAAGATGCATTGGAAGCACTGCTTCTCTACATTCAAAGTCGCTTTATGACTCAGACAAGCTCCAGTGCGCAGCTATGGCTCGAACTCGGCACCGTTATTCGGCTCGCACTTCGAATGGGTTACCATCGTGACCCGAATGAGATGACCAATATACCCAAATTTGAGGGTGAAATGCGCCGCCGTGTCTGGTTGCACATCTTTCAGATCGATGCCCTGGCCTCTTTCCAGATGGGTCTTCCGAGCATGATCCCTACGGAGTACTGTGACACACAAGTTCCAAGGAATTTGTATGACACAGACCTTTATGTGGGCATGGAGAACTTGCCTCCTTCGCGCCCCTATGCAGACGTTACGCCCATACTCTACGGCATCGTGAAGTCTGGCATCATGAGGGTTTTCAAGAAGATTGTTGCGAGCACACAATCTCTTGCCACTCCTGGCTATGAAGAGATTCTTGCTCTGGATCATGAGATGAAAGAAGTATACGGGAAAACCCCAAACCTCTTCCTCCGGAGAGACATTGGCGAATCTTTCATGGATTCCTCTGACATGATTTTGGAGCGGTGCACGCTTGAGCTATTGTATCTGAAGGGCATTGTGGTTCTTCATCGACGCTATATACGATACGAGCCCCATGACCCCACATTTGAACCCTCTCGGCGCTTTTGCTTGGAGGCTGCTCTGCAGATTCTTGCTCGCCAAGCAGATATTTACCAAGCAATCTTGCCCGGAGGACGCCTACACGAGGATCGATGGATGGTTACTGTCCTGACCGTCCATGACTTTCTCTTGGCAGCCATGGTAGTCTGCCTCGATCTTTCTGTCAGGATGGAAACCCTTCAGCAAGATGATCAAAACTTCGCATTGAGAAAGCTCCGCGCTCTTCAAATCTCTCAGCAGATATGGGCAACGAATGGCGACTTTCCTCCTCAGTCCCATCTGGCATCACTCACACTAGACCTGATGATTCAAAAAATCAATGCGGTCCAGGTCAATCCTGATCAAAGTCACCTGTCTCCAAACCCAGAACCAAATTCCTTTCCGGGGATCGAGCTGCCATATATGGAGGCAATGTCAGATATGATTGACGGCACGGAGGCTCTGGACTGGGTGAGTCCACTTACACTAAAGTTTCTTCTATTTCTAACAACTGCGATAGTCCTTACTAGATCAATTCTTTCAAAATCCGGGAGCGAATTCGTCTTGATAGATCCAAAACATGCAGGAATAGAAAATGGATCATCAATAAAGCCTTCCAACTCGCTCCTGTCTCCGTGGGATTGTGTAAGCCAAGAATAAAATCACATCCAAAACACCCCTCATAAGCCTCCTTCAACATATCAGGATAAAGTAAATCTCTCCTTCCCATCTTCCCCTGCAATTAAGCGCCGCTGAAACTCCGCCTGCCTGCGTTCTTCATCCTCATTCAGAAGTTCCTCCGCCAATCGGTGCATATCGACTAACGAGTCTAATGGACTCTCTGCGTTTTCAATTTCATCCATCAAATCAGCAACCCAAGACGCCCACTTTGGCCCCAGTTTCATTAAAACAAATTGACACCACAGCCATTCAGTACCCTGCTTTCCCTGCTGATTGCACTCGATTGATCGAAAATACCGCACCATGAGACCAAGGAAATCTGTTAGAGACACACACTCCTCATACTTGAGATCAAGCATGTCACGAACACCCCTCATAGAACAAAGCGTGGTAGCCGTTACTGAGGCGTACGTCCTCTCCAGATAGAACCAAGCTCCGCGCGGGTTCCCATGCCAGTCGGAATTGAGGATCCGACGTATCTCTGGAGACACGCTTTCCATGATACCGAACCACGCCTTTTTGAACAGCTTGTGCCAGTACACGTGGTAGTTGCTACTTCCTGGCACGGGGCTTAGGTCTTCCGATATCATCAGCCACACGTTGGAACTGACGAATTGGCGCTTCTTGTTCAGAGCCCACCGGGAATAGTTCTCGGGGCCAGTGAGGATGTCTTTGACGTCTCTGTTCTGGTAGAATCGATTCAATTTCGGGGCGGGGATATGTGCAAGATACTCTTCTGTCTTGGAAAGCGTTGGCGGCTCTGATCTCCTGCTTGGTGATCTCGGCCACGAGAAAGACCCCTCAGTCGGTGATCTGCGGTGGCTATCGCTGCTGGATGTCTCGCTGGGTGTTGGTGTTGGCTTTCTTCCATTTTTGAATATCATTGGGGCTGGCCAGTTGGATTCCACCTTTGATTCCGGTTCTTCCAGGGTGGGCGAATAATTCGGTACAACAATCGACCAATTCCAGTTCTGCAGCTGGGGAATCATCCATTCCTTCTCGGTGAGACCTCTCGGTATTCCATTGTTTATTTGTGCTATATTGGTCGGTCTATCCTTTCGAATCATGGCGATTTGCCTTTCGTGAGCTATCGATTCTCTGCGGGAGACGGCTTGGTGAATCATGCCCTCCGGTCTCTTAGAGAGTTTTCGAACTGATCTCTCATCGTTGTCTCGAGATTTTCTGAACATTTGTGAGGTTTTGCAGGATTTGGGGAATGCGAATTTTTTCAAATGTTGCTATTGATGATGAGTAGGCATATTCATCCCACCTGGTCATATATTTCTTCAGAAATTCATGGTGGATAGATGTCTTGTCTCGCTGTTGTCGGTGAGATGCTAGACAAGTCACTCGGTTTCATTGTTGACATGTCCATGGGATGTTACACAACGTGGAGGTGCATTACAAAGAACATTTGGAAGACTTGTGCATCATTGAAACTACATAGCCCTATTCGCGCACTAGCAAAATACGCCACCAAGCAGATGACTACAAGACATAGATCTACTTGACCAAGAACTGATTGGAGAGATCTTTATAATATACAGTCGACACAGTAATACATGAACTTCCAAAAGAAGATCCCAATAACAAAAAGAAATGAGTAGAAAGAGGTCTTCATATTTAATCGCGACATGGTTGAAGAGAGTGGTCAAGAGGTTGAGGGGGCGTAAAAAAAGAGGATTGAGAGGGGATTCCAAAATGGAAAGAAACAGATGCAAGTCCATAAATACAAAAAACAAAGAGAAATTTAAAAAAACCGAGGAGTACCGCGATGATATCACTCCCTGCGAGATTTGCCAAAATGCAGTCCAAATCAGTACAAAACACAAACCATCACTTCAGGTCCTTTACGGAATCGGGGTCTCATCCCGACCATCCTTGCCCAAGGTCTCCTCGGGGTTCGTCATAGGCTCAGGAGGGGCGATGGTCTCGCCATACTTGCCGTCAAAGTACTTGGCGAACTCGCCGGACTCGGGGAAGGGACGGGGACCCAAGAGACGGATCATGTCGTCACGGCTAAGGACCTCCTTCGAGAGGAGCTCTTCGGCAACGATGCCGACCTCGTTCTTCTTCTCGGTGAGAAGATCGTGGCACTTCTTGTAGGCATCGTTGATAATGCGGCGCACCTCCAGGTCGATGTTCTGGGCAGTGTCCTCGGAGTAAGGCTTCTGGATCTGTTGCTGGCCGTCCTCTTCGTAGTAGATATAGCCGAGCTTCTTCGACATACCGAACTTGGTCACCATGGCGGTAGCCATGCGAGTAACCTTGTTGAAGTCATCGCTAGCACCGCTAGTCACGGTGTCGAAGTGAAGCTCCTCGCTGACTCGGCCACCTAGGGTCATGGCCATGCGGTCCATCATCTGGTTGACGTTCATCAGGTAAGTGTCACCGCCAGCAGGGAGGTACTGGGCGTAACCCAGAGCGCCCTGTCCACGTGGGATGATGGAGACCTTGAGAAGCGGATCGGCCCACTGGAAGTACCAACCACAGACGGCATGGCCAGCCTCGTGGTAGGCGACAGTGCGCTTCTCCTCGGGAGAGAGCACAAGGGACTTCTTCTCAAGACCACCAACAACTCGCTCGATGGCTTGCTCAAAGTGCTTCATAACAACCTTGTCGGCATTCTCACGGGCAGCTGTATCAGACGTTAGCATAGCTCTAACCGCTTGGTTTCATATAAACTTACCAACAAGAGCGGCCTCGTTCACACAATTGGCAATATCAGCACCGGCGAAGCCTGGGGTCAGAGCAGCAAGACGGCCCTTGAGATACTCCAGATTCTCATCAGTGACAATCTTCTTCAAGTAGACGTCGAAAATCTGCTTGCGGCCGTCCATGGTAGGGCGGTCAATGCTGATGTGTCGGTCGAAACGGCCAGGTCGCATAAGGGCCTTGTCGAGCACATCAGGTCGGTTGGTACCAGCCAGGACGACGACCTGCTCGGAAGTGTTGAAACCATCCATTTCAGTGAGAATCTGGTTGAGAGTGCTCTCACGCTCATCGTTACCGCCACCAAAGTTCGACTTGGAACGGGATTTACCGATGGCATCGATTTCGTCAATGAAAATAATGCAAGGAGTGTTCTTGCGGGCGTTGGCGAACAGATCACGGACACGCGAGGGACCGACACCGACGAACATTTCGACGAACTCGGAACCACTGACACTGAAGAAAGGCACACCAGATTCACCGGCGGTGGCCTTGGCAAGCAACGTCTTACCGGTACCAGGGGGACCAGAGAGAATAGCACCGCGAGGAATCTTCGCACCAAGCTTTTCAAAGCGCTCGGGCTGCTTGAGGAAGCTCACGAATTCCATGATCTCAACCTTGGCCTCGTCCATACCAGCGACGTCAGAGAACTTGATCTTGATATCGGACTCGTGGTTGAACCGCTTGGCACGGCTCTTGCCGATGCCAAAGATTCCACCCTGACCACCGGCACCACCACCAGCACGACGTGAGGCCCAGAAGATACCACCGATCAGGAGCAACGTAGGAGCGAACGACAACAGGGCACTGCCCCAGGGAACTTCGTCGACATAGGCAACGGGAATCCGCTCGTGGGCGGGAATGCCCAACTCATATTGAGCAGCCTCAAGCTTCATCTCGAAACTGTCGACGGATCCAATGCTGAAGTAGACGTGATTCACGGCCTGGCCACCGGATTCGGGGTTGGCCTGAGCCATAACCTCACGGTTGAGATCAACCCGGACCCGGCTGCCGTTGGATACAGTCAACTTCTCCACAAGACCCTTGTCGAGGTAGTTGGAGCGGAACTCCTGCCAGGTGATATCGCGGGCACCGGTCTCGCCTGGGAAGAAGGATCGGTAAACGTAGTATGTGACAAGGGCAGTAACGAGGAATGAGGCGGGATCGAAACGGAATTCAAAGACTCTACCAGGAGGAGTCTGTTGCTTGTCCTTCTGCTTCTTTTGGTCTTTCGGGCCAGACTCCTCCTTGCCCTTCTGTGGCTCTTCATTCTCCTTCTTGGCCTCCTCGGCTTTTTTCTGCCATTCCTCGGTCGACTTATTCTGGTTAAACATGTCCTCAACGTCCTTCTTTGCGTGCTTATCGGCTTGCTGGCTGGTGAATTTGAAGAGGAATCTTGTCATTCGAAGATAGTCCATCAAGGATGCATTGCGGTGGTTGTCGACGAAGTTCTTCACCTCCGTTGGCATGCCATCCTTCATGAACTGTTTCCGCATCTCATGGAGCTGTTCATGCTGTGATGGGGGCAGACGGCCTTCAATGTGCTTGACAAATGCATCCAATTGCTTCTGTTCTTCTTCGCTCAAGACGGACTTAGAATCCTCTTGCTTTTTCGGGTCTTCATCTTTGCGACCATCTTTCTCCGGTCCACCGCTCGGCTTGTTGTCCGGAGGCGTCGGGCCGCCGGGGCCATCGGTGGCATAGGTTCGGATACGGTAGGGGGTGATGAGAGATGGAAGTCGGGCAGGAGGCACTCGCAAGGAGGCTGGGCCTGTGCGGGTGAGGCAATCGGTGGCTCTCCTCGAAATTCGAGCAATATTGCCTGGCCGTCGGAGAAGGGCGGCCATGGTCGAGGAAAGGGAAGCCCAGAGGGCTGCTCAGGCGGGGGAAGGGGATTATCAATCGAGGACAGCAGCGATGAACAACTGCGCGCAATCCATATAGGGAATCGACGATGAGGTGGGAGCTCTGGAGCTGCCGTCTCGGCGGAAATTTCACGCCGTTCCGAGCTGAGTCATCGGAACCCGGTCGAAGCCCGGGGATGGACTTAGCGGTGTTAACCACTACAACTACGTAATGCCAACAGCCGCTAGGAAAGAGAGAATGACAACGAGAGACTACAGGAATATATTTTTCTATGTGGAAATAGTGCACGATGCCCTTCACTTCAAAGATTGAAAATGATAGTCTCGCAATTTGTAGATGAACTATTGGTAACCTGACCGCCAAGGCACACTCTGAACGATAGGTCGATTTATGCACATCTTAGTCAATAACGGATAGGAGGTATTTGTATGTACATGTAGAAGAGATATGAGTACAGAGGAGAGATGAAACAGCCATTCAGCGCCAGAAAACAACAACTCCGTATAGAACCATAGCCATGAACGCCGTGCGCATCTAAACAAATGCAGGAATAACCCTTGGGGTACCCTCAGATCCCCAATCGAATCATATATCATGATCATTGTGCAGGCGGCTGGCCAGCGCTCCCGGCTTCAAATACAGGGAAATTTGTAGACATATCGGCCCAGTCCCACTCGATCGTCATAGGCATCTGCCAGAGATCCTGTGGTACAAAGGGCTGTTGGAATGATGGTAAGTTCGGGCTGGCGGGGAAAGAGCCTTGGTCGTGGAACCCAGAATTTGCCATTTGATCAGGGCTTAAAATGCCTGGGAAGTCTTGCTGGAGACCAGGCATTGAGTTGATGGTGCTAGGTAGATCACTCGACATGCCTGTGGTTGAGGGCATGCCGGAGGTTCCACTAAAGCCATTGATATTATCGGGAGAAGATGCCGCGGCGTTAGGATTGTTCATAAACGTAGAAGGTGAGAAGCGAGCTGAAGAGGGGGGTGGTTTTGAAGGCCTGTTGGCAGAGGGGTCGCGTTGTCCTTCGGTTGTCTCATCCTCCGGTGCATTCTTGCGCTTCTTGCGCGCGTGGGATTCTTTTTCAGCTTTGTCAAGAACGACCTTGGCAATTCTCTCGAACTCGCCACATAGACCCAGCATACGCCTAATGCTGCCGTTGGATTCATCAGAAACCAGAGTAGAGAGGAAATTGACGACAACATTCATCAGCTTGACATCGGAACGGGCGCGGCCGTCGTTCGGATTTTGGAGAATGTTGGCGAAGAGAGTAACAAGTGCAGAGACTGGATAATAAAGAATCAACCTGTAGAGAACATTATCAGTCAATATTCGAGATGCAAGAGCCCAAAAGCACGTACCAGACACAAGCAAAGTCTCCCTGTGGAATGTACTTGATCAAATTGATTGATGCCCTCGCAGCGGTCACGCAAAGCACTGCCGACAAGAAAACCCTGGGATTCAGGGGCCGAGCATTAAGACCTTGAATAGCATAGTTTGATAGACGGCTGGTCCAGTATCCGTGGTGCACAGACATGCGGTGGATCGTGGTGAGACAATTATAGTATGAGAAGTGGAGAACAACAACGTGGAGCAAGAGGGGGCCGTGAGTTGCTTGAATTTCATATTCGGGGCGGAAGTCGATAGGGATGTTGTCTTTCCAGTCTTCCAACTCCTTGTCAAGTTCGCCAATGGTATTGAGCAGTTCGCCATCGGACTGTTTCGATGCCTTTGCAGAGTACAGTCTCTTGTACACGCTGCTCTCAATCGTGGCGAACTCGCACAAGGATCTGAAGAGGTTAAACTTGCCCTTACCGTCAGCGAGCGGGACGTTGCCAACATTGTCTGGCGGGTCTTCGCTGGGCAACTCGACATTCATATCATCGTCATCCTGCACTGGTGGTCGACCAGATCGAAGGCAAATGTCTTTGTCAAGAAAGTACGCAATCCAGAAGACTCGTTTGCGTTGCTCCACCTCCACAGTGTTCAATCCGAAGGCCGAGCCACGTTTGTGCAAACCGATGCTGTGTGAGAGACGAATAGCCGCAGCCACCAAGAAGAAAGCAGGCTGAGGGTTAGGAGTGCCCTGCAGGAAGAGCGACATGCCCAAAAGGGCTTGCACGCTCAATAGATCGGTATTTCGCATGGTTAGTTCTGTCAAGACACCCATAGCATTCTTCAGATACAGCCATGCCTTCTTGTCTTCTTCATGGGGCACCAGATTGCTCATGATACGAAGACGATGGGAAATGGCCAGTACAACGTTGATACTCGCCCACCACCCAGAGCCCTCATAAGGGTCACGAGAATATTGTCGCTCCACCAGATGCATGAATGTCGCCTCGTGGAAAAGCGGGAACATACAATTAAAATTATCGAAGAAGTCCTTGAACAGGGAAAGAGCCTCCTCTTTCGGGGGAAGCGGTTTGAAGACACGGCGGGCGAAAATGTCACTAAAGATCTCTGGCTTCCAGTACATCCACTTGTTGTCATCCACGGATGCCGACGAAATCATGTCTTGGAAAGAAGTATCTCCTGTCCTTTCGTTGACCCATTGAATACCCTTTGGAGAGAAGATCGAGAATCCTGACGAGGAACCTGCGATACTATCGTCAGTGCGTCACCTGCATTATTCAATGTGTATAGAACCATACCAATATAACGGGTCTCTCCGCAATTATTGGTAACCAAAGAGCACATCATATCTGATAGCGCCTCGACCTCGCCCTCGGATTGTTTCTCTGACTCGGGGGATGTGGCGGCGGTATGCGGACTGGAGTGGGAATCCATGTGAGGTGTGGTATTGTGAGAGGCCGACGTTTGCTGGGTTACACTTGGAGTGTTAAACTGTTTCGTATTCCTCGCCATGTTCAATGCATTCGTTCGATCGGCCAGTCGTTTCTCCAGCGTTCCCAGATCTGTCTTTCCATTGTCGTCCTCGGACAAGAGGCCGGACAGTCGCAGAAGGGATTCCATGCGTCCTAAGCGGTTCTCCAGACCTTCGATGTACTTCGCTCTATATAGGATGTATCAGAAACCGGAAGGTGCGTATGTAGCAGTCATCATACCCTTTGGGTGGGTTCCGCTTCTTCTCCACTTGCGTGAAGACACAGTCCGTCTTATAGTTGATGCAGTGTGAGCACTTGGGCATCTTGCCATCGCACTTGATCTTCTTCTTCCGGCACATGTCGCAAGCCTAGAGCTCAAGGAACCTAATTAGCATATGCCATGAACACAGAGCCAATGATCTGTCCGCACCCTCGCAATCCTTCGCCGCTTCGCATCGTTGGTTTCATCCCCCGCGCCTAATGCCGAATCGTCGTACATGGAACCTCCAGACATACCAGCCATCTGTCCGTCTTGTGAGTAGTTGCCGTACAGCTGAGACTGCTGGTTCATCATCATGGACTTCATGTCGAAGCCCATGCCATCGTCATCCCCCATGCCGTCCATTTTTTTTTTCGCGTGGGAACTCCGCGGGGTGGAGAAGGGGAGGGCGGTGGTTAAATGAGGTGACGTTGCGGGGCTGTCGTGTCGGAAAGTTGCTTTTTCCGGAGCTCTCCCCTGAAGTTGAAGATCAGAGAGAGATTGATAGTGGACCGAAGTTGATGACGCATCCGAGAGGCGAACCTTAGAGTATGAGCGTTTGTCCCTAAGGCTCTGTTCTCTAGATTTTAGGTAAGAAAGCTGACTCAACAAGTATCCGGAACCATTGGAAAGGTGCTACCTTATTCCTTTGAGCCAGGGGTATAATTCGCATACGTATGATGGAATACGAGAGAAATCTGCTGCTGCCTTGTAGAATAAACGGAGATGCTAAACCCCGATCCCGAGACCAAGGGCGGGCTGTCGGTGCGGTGAGGTTGCGTGTGTGAACTCCGTCCTTTTCGTCCGGATATGCGCGTCCCCGCCTAGTGCCCGTCCTACGCCTTCACTAGTGCCCGGATCTCACTCGGATGCATTTGGGTGATTGGCGCAGATTTCAGGCTTCAAAACAAGACCCTCATTGTATCCGATCGATACGAGCACAATGTGCGAGACGAACCCGAGGGTGGGGTAGTCGGTCCCGGGTCTTTGACTTTGCGAGACTGCGCCATTCAATGTCGCGGGAACTGGAACGAGAAGAGATCGGCAGTCTGCTGAGAGGTCCGCAAGACATGGAGTTGTGATACGCATGGAGTTACATTTCAAGTAGTATCTTGGTTGGGGCCTAGAGGGTTACATGGATAGATTGGGAGCGTCAATGCTATGACATGCTCAGTAGTATATGTATAATACAAGATAGTACATTTGGAGTGGCGATCTCATCAGATATGTGAAAGTGTATAAAGTACAAGTAGGTAGAGGGAGAATACTTCATTCGGTCCCTCGCCCTGGTAAATATCAACCAAACGCCACGCTATGCACCCAAAATACGGCCAGTCTCTCGGACATGAAGCCCGAGTGCGACGATCTGCCTTCTCTCTCAAAAAAAGATTATGTCCAACGTCAAGGGAGTTGGTTCGAATGTGGCTGAGCCGAGCCAAGTCGATTCGAGCATATCACGTATGCTTGTCGAGGAACTCCTTGGCCTCGTTGATCTTGGTGGCCAAGTACGGGCTGCCACCACGATCAGGGTGGTTGAGCAACATGAGCTGACGGTGCTTCTTGCGGACCTTGTCCTTGTTCAGGGTACGCTCACTGCAAACACATGTATGTTAGTTTCCAGGTCGGGATGTGGATATTCAGGCCGAGGTACGTACGGAAGTTCGAGGATCAGAGAGGCTTCACGGCGGTTCATGCGGGGCTCGAATCCTCTATGAAACATGTCAATGATGATACAATTCAAATTCTGATGTTAAACCCACCCCTTGTAGAAAGCCTTTCCGGCGGCGTTGACACCTCCCTTCGAGCGGCGATAGGCGACCAGGCCGGCGCGACCCTACAAAACAATCAGTTCAGGTACTTCTCAACAAATGGCGATCAGTCAACTTACCAGGAAGGCAGCCACGCCGACACCGAGACCAACAGTAAGAACGGAAGCCATGGGGGACAGATAGGGTAGACGAAAGATAGGGCGATGAATCTCGGGCAGTTCAAAGTCGAAAGGGTCGCGGGATAAAAGTCAGCGCGCGAGTCCCGATTGGGTTTAGCGCCACTCCTCCACGCCGCCCGAAGCTTCAAAAAAAAAACTTCTTGCGACACAGTAACAACCACACCAGTAACCATGCGGTACGTTTACATCAAATTTCACATTCAAAGACATCTGCTAACTCTCCGCTCTCCAGTGTGGAAACCTGTCACTTCTGTTCCCGCCCCGCCTTCCCGGGGAAGGGCATCACATTCGTCCGCAATGACGCCCGCCAATTTCGATTCTGTCGGTCCAAGTGCCACAAGAACTTCAAGATGAAGCGTCAGCCCCGCAAGTTGAAGTGGACCAAGAGTCACCGTGCCGCTCGCGGTAAGGAGATGATCGTCGACTCCTCCCTGGTGCTTTCCCAGTTCGCCAAGAAGCGCAACGTCCCCATCAAGTACGACCGCAACCTGGTTGCCGCCACCGTCACCGCCATGCAGCGCGTCGAGGAAATCCGTCAACGCCGCGAGCGCGCCTTCACCAAGCGCCGTCTGGCCGGCAAGCTGGCTCGCGACCGCCAGCGCGAGGCCGACCGCAAGGTCGTCGCCGAGGGCGAGCACCTTATCCGCAAGGAACTGCGCGACCGCGAGGAGGGTGTGCCCATGGTGGCCGAGCAGAGCAAGACCGCCAACCGGGTGCACGGTGCGGATCTGCTGGAGCAGCAGAGGAAGAAGAAGAAGCTGTTGGTCGGTGGTGGAGTGCAGGACGAGATGCAAATCGACTAAACATGGGTTTGATCTGGGACTTTTTTCTTATGTTTCGACCGCTATTTCGACGATACGATCCTGGAGTTGGGTTTGCATTTCATTCAATCATGGTGTTTCTTCCTCAAAAGCAATCGATATCACCGGCTCTACGTCTTACATCCAACGGGCTACCAGTGAAGAATATTATTCGCAATCTTTTCAGTTATCGATTTTCATGTCGATGCCATTCAATGTTGAGCATTCGGGCGATTTGATGTAGATCTATGGATTAGAAAGAATCTAGATATCTTCTGTACACAAATCTTCTATGTGTAGTCTCCTTTCTGCGGTCTTACTCGTCACTTCTTGGCTTGTTGAGTCGTCGTTGCATAAAAGCACTTGGGGATGAAGCATCCTCATTTGACTGGTCGTAGCAATATCAATATCCTTTTCCACCTCCGGGAAGACGCAAGCATGTCCCTCTTAAGTCAATGAATACTGGTTTTAGGCCCTGGCACCAGACCACTGGAGCACCTCAGCCTATCTAACAGAAATAAAATCCAACCACGACTCAACCCTTAATGAGAAAAGACACGTGCTTACGAATTACCGTCTCATCGAAAACGCAAGACAAGAATACGTGAAATACCGAGTAAGATCATGATTCGAGTGGCAAGACCTTTTTTATCTTCGTGAAGATTTCGACCGGTCCAGTCCCGTAAGCACGCAGACAACAAAGAAACCCTCCAAAGCTGCGGCTGAAACCAGCTCATCGGGTTCCAGGGTTCCAGGGTTCCAGGGTTCCTTTGAGGTTAATTCTGGACCTGCATATGATCGCAGCCATCAGCCAGCCAGATAGCTGTTGAAGAAGCACTAGTTCTAGACAACGTCTAGGCAATGAAAAAAAAAGAAGGGTCTCAAATATTAAAAAAAAAATTTGAAAAAATGAGCTGTACAACGCATGATATCTACACATTTCTACAAAATATAATATTGTTTCATAAGTTATGTTCATTGCGTGCCCCGTCCGAGGATCTGAGTACACACGGTAGAGGTAATGCCAAATGGCAAGGAAAATGGAGAGGATAGCGGACGGAAAGGACACGGGATATGAGGTTTGGAGACAGATAGGTGTATATGTGCGAGCATGAGACGATCCAAAAATAAAAAAAAGCAGATGAGCTCAAGAGGTATGGGATATGAAGGGTGAATATGCGCCGGTCAATCAAGTAAGGCCATTTATAGTGGTTTCCAGGAACAAAAAAAAACAACAACTAGCAGGAATGAGTAGGCAGAAAAAAAAAAACAAGAAAGGGAGGAAAGGGCCAAGGAGACATGATACATGGAATCCCAACTGAACATTGGAGGAATCCCGAAATTCTTTAAGACACACTGTTTTGCGAAGAGTAAACCTGTTATGTTCCAAGTCATGACATTTTCAGGTCCCGACAAGGTTCAAGGTCTATTCCTTCATTATGCAGTGTGCATGTATAGATAAACGTGTAAACAAAGAGTTGCCCAAGAAAAATCGCTCAAGCTCGTACATTTCGTCGTGAAGAAGTCGTCGCGCGGCGCTGGGCCGCGGCGGCTGGCGGCTCTGAGCTGGCGGGAAGATTTACTCTTCCATGCGGCCGAAAACACCGTCGTCATCGTCGTCGGTGGGAGATGTGCGACTGCCAAAGTCCACATCGGCGTTGCGACGTTGACGGGTCGCCTGAGCCGTGTCTTCTCCGCCTCGTGCTCCGCGTAGATCCGACACCTTGTAAGATTGCGACGGGTTGAGAGAGGCGGAGAGGAAGAGAGAGGCGTTGGATTCGCGGCGAAGGGCCTCGCTCATAGCGCTGGGTTGTGCCAGGCCTGGGCTTTGGTGGCTGCTTGAATCCAAGTAGCGGGCCGGCAGTGGAGGGACAGGTGGCACATCAGGGGTGTTGGCAACGGGGTTGGTCCGAGGAGTACCGAAGTTGCACAGTCCGATGGCAGCGGCCAAATCTGCCTCGTCATCCTCGTGCAGCCGTGTATCCGCGGTGGAAGGACGGGTATCAACGCTCGACTTGCGGAAGTGGGAGAAGGCAGGAGAGTGGAGAGGAGCGCTCTCGTTATAGGAGCTGGAAGGGATCGACTGGTAGGATCGGGAGAAGGCCGAGGCGTTGCTGATGCTGGGGCGCTTAGTCCAGTTGGCCGGCATGCCGGACATTTCAAAGTCATCGTCCTCTTCCTCATCCAGCGGGGGCGGCGTAGTCTCGGCCGAGCTGATGCCATCCCGTACTTCGGACAAGGCGCCGGGTGAGCCAGAGGAAATTTCCGAGTCGGCCTCGGGAGACTCTTCGGGCTCCTCGTCAATGTTCATGTTAACAAGCACTGAAGCCGCCTCGAGCAGCTGGACCTGCTGGTGCTTGGAGATGAGAAGTTTCGAGGTAATGTTCCATGCTGGGTCATGTTCCCACCTAAGATGCCACAAACAAAAAATGGTCAACCGGATGCCACCAGAAGAATCAGGGGGGTGGGAAGGGGAGTATGACGGAGGGGAGTTGGGTGGACCACGAAGGCGACCTGTACAGAGCCGACATGGCGCATCTTCCCAGATCGAGCGAGATATGACGGATGGGCGCCAGGGGAAATACACACATATGCTTGGACAAGCAGCTGCCATGCTTGTACCCTTTCCCACAACGATCACAGCGGAGGTCCGCCGGGTTGCGTTTCCCGTCGCTCTTCATCTGGCCACCTTCGCTGGCTCGGCGGTTGCGACCCTTGGAAATGGACTTGCTGTCCGCTTCGGAGTTGCTGGGCGAGGATTTGCGAGGTACGGGCTCCTGGCTGGGGCTGTTGACGCTACGGGACAGGTATGAAGCATAGCCAGACGGGCTACCCACCGAAGCGGATTCCAGTCCCTTGCGGCCCCCAAGGCTGCGGCGGTGCGCAGCCATGGGAAGCGACAAAGACTCTCCGTCCTCCTTCATAGAGGCCGCGATCGCGGCCACGGCATTGGCAGCAGAAGTGGTGACACTCTTTCTGCGGGTCACGCGGTGATTGGCATTGACTGCACCAAGTGAAATGGAGTGTGCGTGGGAACGCTGGTTGGGGTTGAGAGGACGCGAGAGAGACAATTCCTATAAAGCGGGCCGGGATGGCCACATCATCAGCCTGGGAACCCACCAAAATGACTCAGGAACCGGAGATGGCTTGGTGACCACATACCTTGAACGAGGCCATGGTGAGAGGACTTTCTGGCAATCGGTTTTTTGAAAGCCTCCAATGAAGCGAGACACTCTCAATTCCGGGTGGAAGTCGGTGGAATGACGCGGAGGGCCGAGTGAATTCGCGCGGTTAGCGGAGGTATAGGGAGTCGAGATACTGAGATTGTAGTAGCGGAGCGAGAGATGTGAAGAAAGGTGAGCAAGGAAGGAAGCAAAAAAAAAAAGTGTAGTCCAGTGTGGAAGGTGAACCAAAAAAAAAAAAAAGAAGGGGAGAAAGAAGGAGATGTCCGGTATGGCAGTGTGGCCCACCAAAATCGCTCATTGCTTTGCGGGGGCCTTTGCCTTTGAGCATGCGGGGGGGGAGGATCCTCGCCTGTAACACCGTGTATCGGGTTTGTGTTTTTTTGTTTTACGAGGGCTATTATTGTCACAGTGCCCTGCTCATTCCAATTTCCTATTTATCTAGCCCTCTTCCTCCTTGGATGAGTGCCAAAGGGCTTGTGTGCGTGCGTGCCCGGCGTCCTCCTGGGATGATGCGATAGCCACGGGCTCCACTTAGTTTGAATTCCGGACCACACTGATTGTGAACCTGCTATACCTGTAGTCGACTCTGGCTACCAGCTACCTCTGATTTCATCTTGTCAAGCGACCTATGTCCAAAACTGGGAGTAACAAGAAGTCTATAGCTTTTTCGGGTAAGAGCGGTTCGCGGCATCCTTACGGACCGAGGACAGGTTTCAAGGTCACCCTTCCCTGGCCCAGGCACCCATGGATTAGGTGGTCGCAATGTCATCAGTGTCCACTGGGACACTATCGCGACTGCCTACGAGTGTTAAAGAACCCCCAGAAGAAACCCAGAATACATCTGTTGCCTGACGATCACCCGCCCAAGATCACAAGGGGGAATGTCAACGGGGGAAACCATTTCCTGACCAGACAGAGGCCAAGTGTACCGGGCGCTCAGGTACCTGGATCTCACCCTCATGGGCACCTGAGCGCAATACAGGGCAGTAACAGAGTACCCAAGGCCGAAGTACCACAGGTCAGCTCCGATCACCTGCAGGGCATCGACCGGTCTAGGACCTGATGGTGGATCCAATGACATCAGAGCAAAGGACAGTAAACTTGGAACTGACTAAGTGGGTTGGGGGCACCTGATAGGAGAAGTCACCTGATCTCGTGACTCACTCAGGTGACGCCTTGGTTTATGGGTCCCCTATACCTGATTTAATCATACTCAAAGCGCAGCTTTACTAAGTATTATGTATTCCTAGGGACTCTGTACTCGTGTTGCCACTCTCACAGCCACCGTGCACCGTGAAGGGAGGCGCAGGCGCACCTGGGCAACCCATTCCGACGATCAGATCTCCTCTCAGTCGCGCCATTCGGCACGCTAACGCCGCGCCGGAGAGGATCATTACTCCGAGAGTCTAAGCTCACGTTCACAGCTGAAATGCGCCTGGACCGAGTAATTTTGGCCCCCTCTCCTTAGCGACAGGACATTCTGGTACATTCCTCCGACTGCAACATTCCTCGCAGAAACATGGGTTCCTGCAAGTCCTAGTGTGCTCTCGGTCTAGTGTACAGGTACCACCTCAAGCCCAGTCCTCCAGGATAGCTTGATAGCTACCCACTTTACTTACATGTAGTTCAATGACAAGACAAGAAAAAGCAAATAAAAACAAGGATAATAATGAAAATGTAAATCAATAATAATTAATTAGTGTTGAATGGAATCTAAAATTAATCATGGATCTTCAGCTGAATCAATACATGTCTCGCATTAGACACTCCACTATGACATCCCACAAACAGTGCAAACCACCTTCCTTTTTTCTTTTTCGATAAGAAAATCACACGATGCAATGCCATACTTGATGATAGGCCAATTGTCTCTCGGACGCCAGGACCCCGGTCACTTTGCTATCTAACCGAACAATCCTCTTTTATCTTCTTTTGTTTTTTTTATAAAAAGAAAAAATCAATTAGTAATTAAAGCAGTCGCCTTATCCGAACGCAACTCTCCAGTCGCGTCTGCGGCCTTTGCCCCGCCATCGCATGGAAGATGCAGAGCGCTCGGACGCTGGAAGAGAAGCACGCGATGTTTGGAGCGTGAAGGGTGAGAGTGTGCTCGAGTTGGGCGCTGGTGAGTATATTACCTCTGGGCGCATCTTGGAACTACTATTTGGGACATCTCAGCTAATGACACCCTCCAGGTGCCACTCTCCCCTTGGCCATCTCCGCCATCGTCAATGCATCCAGGGTGGTAGCTACCGATCACCCCTCATCCCCCGCATTTGCTGGTGCGATTAAATTCAACATGGACTATAACCTTCGCAACCGGTCTTCCAACACCCAGATTTCCATCGAGCCACGCGAATGGGGTGTTCTTGACAGTAACTTTGCCCTGCAGAATAAGGGTGCCTTCACGCGCATTATCATAGCAGACTGCTATTGGATGCCCGAGTAGCACGAGAACCTAGTTCGCACAATGCAATAGTTCATGGCACCCTGTGGGAAAGTCTGGGTAGTTACGGCGTGACATACAGGCCGTGGAATCGGCGACCAAGACCTCCGGAATAGCAGTCAGTCGAGCGTATCTTTAAGCGCGATTCGACCAGCAAAAAGGACGACGGTGAACGCATTAAACAGGAGTGGCTTTCTGTGCGTGAAGACGAAGGGCCCGAGAATTGGCGCCGCTGAGGCATGATCGCAGTGTTGAAGCGCAAGGAGTAAAGAGAATAAGCGCACGCGCATTGCATATACGGACCCTCGATGTCATCCGTATTTTAACGAGGCTATGATGATAGATTGCAGGTGAATTTGAATCAAATGGACGTTCAATCGTTATATCTATTTACCGTAGACATGGGATCAAGCATCTACAACCCTCTGGAAACAAACCGTACACACCCCCTGCCCTTCATGTCCCCCAAATCTAAACCGCGGATATTCCACATGTCCCCAAACAACCAGTCTATCCTTCCCCTCTGCCCCAGTAAACCACTTCACAAGCTCATCCTCCGTCCAGTTGCAGCTCGTCACAACAAGGAACCCACCCCGTCTTAACAACCGCCTCGCAATATCAGGATACCGCTCACAAACCATTGTCTCCTTCGCATCATCTGCCAAGGAGATAGCGTCGAAAGTCCCCTTATCAAGCGCAATATCGAAGCCGCCCTGCTGGTAAGGAAACCAGTCCAATACCTCACCAGTAACCTCGACGGCATCTCCAGAAGGCGAAAGACAAGCCTTTGAACCAAGGACATCCCACTCTTCAAACCGAATAGGTACTTCCTCACCCTGCGTCTTCTCCCCATCTTCATTTTCATCTTCATTCTCACTATTCTCTTCCTCGGAATCAGTATGATATGCAGAATGTCCCCTCGAGCGCTGCAACTCTCTTGCCAACTCAACGCTCTGCGCGGAATAATCCACTCCAACCATCTCGCCTGCAAATTCGCCCCGCTTGCGTAACAGGGCTAACATACTCCCGTTCCCTGTTCCCAGGTCCAGGATCCGAGGTTGCGCGGCGCCATTGCGGGTATTGCGCGGGGACAAGGGGAAGGATTTGCGGGTGAGGAAGTGGAGGACTTTTTGAGGGGCGTTGTGTTCTGAGAACCAGGATGTGCCGGGGTCGTCTTCGTCGTTGACGTCGGAGTCGGAGTCTGCGTCGTCTTCGGGCTTGGTTGAGTCTGAGGGGTTGGAGATGTGGGCGAGGGTGCGGGCATAATATGTTTCCCAGCTATAGAATGTTAGGCTGTTCCTTACTTATAATAATGCATTCGGGGTTCTGATTGTGAGTTTGGTGCTGATGGAATATTTTGGTGCTTTGCTTGTATGTGCCCCGCGGCGAGGGGTAACGTGGGGAGTGGGATAATTGGGGGGCCAGGGAGTTCCCGCGTGGGAGAGATGCAATGGTACTCACTAGTCTTTGGTGCCCAGCTCACTGGGTGAGAGGTAGGCCGGTTGATTCTCTTCTGCCATTGTGGTGGTGTTTTTTAGGGTTGTTGGTTGCGCGAGAAAATTGGGACTGCGGAGATGGAAGATGCTTATCAGCTATCAGCTGGGGCTACTCCAAGGTCAAGTATAGAATCACCGAGCGACTCCAATTAATTTCTTTCAAAACAATCTACAATTTCATCAAGAAACAAGTCAAGCTTGAAGCTGTACATTCCTATTTAAAAGTGCACAAGGGGTATTTGTCCTTCTTTATTCCGCTTATCCAGTATATCGTTCGGTCAATGGATGGACCGATTGACAAAACACATGAAAGGAGAGATATAGTAGGGTAAAATATGAGGACAATGGATACTTAAGAGATGCTTGACATTTATTTAAGCATTAAAGTGAACCAGGACGGAGGCTGCCACTTATCTTCACTATACCCGACTTATAGATCAAAGAACTAAGTATTAATGGCTGAAAATCAGGCTATCCCTACCTAATGTGACTATTCTAACGACCAAAATGCTAAAATTCACTTAAACAGCAAATCGGCTGCCCCCTTATCGTTGGCCGAGCTCTTGATAGAGTGCCGTTTGGGCGAGGAATTCTTGTATATATTTAGGACTGCTTCTCCTTACCCGTGATATTAGATACTTTCTTATTGAAGAAGTTGTTGGTTATGATAGTGATGGTATGTTTCTCTATTATGTACTAAAGATATTCTCCTATATATGCAGAGGGCTTGAAGAGAAGTCTCTTAGTACTCTTGTTCATTTTATTATTGAAGCTGACTGAGGCAAACGGGCAAACTAGGCTTTAAGGAAGTAAACCTTTCTATCGGAAAAGTTCTTTAGAGCTGTTACGTGGTAACTATGAGTGGTATAAAATGGACTAAGCTGCTACGTGGCAAAACTGTTGATAGAAACCGCACAGTTGACGAAGTACGCGCCTTCTTGATGCTTGTACCCGAGAGAATTAATTATGATCTACGTAAATATAACTACTATTCTGCGTAAGAAAAATTTAGGAGATAGCTTGGCTAGTCTGTCCGGAGGACTGGCCGTTTAAAATTTCTAGGAGAGATCTCGCGCCCTAGGTTCTAGCTTCTATCATGAAGAATAACCTAGCGAATTTAAATGTGTTCGAGGGAGATTTTTATCTGTATAGTTTAGTGAATAAGAAGATCATTGTACGGAAGCTATATGTTCCCCTATATATGAGGTATCAACAGCCGCATTTCACAGGGCACTGACCATTATGTGATACACATCTATCCGAATAGCCTCGCTAGTCTATCTTGCTAGGACTATTAATTAGTCTGGATACCATCATACCCATATATCAGGCATACCTTGCACTCCTCACTCGTATGCCACCCCTTCAGAAGGCACCGTCATATTAAGATTCAACACAATCATGATATAACTCATGAGGGTGTTTTCTATATTGAACATGAGCGCGTTAATGCTGCCTAGGAGTATGTGAGCGCCGGCTTAGCCTCGCTGGATAGGGAATGTCTAATTCTCAATATATATAGTTTAACAAGTCAGCAGTTATGGCGTGACTACTAAATAGACCCTGTTAGCTCAAATATAAAAGTTGAAGATTAGATCTTCTTGACTCGATTTAAATACCTAGTTTTTTATCATCTCTATACAACCACCATTTCGTAATTTGTTGTAGAAGTCATATTTGGCTCGGTAGTCCAAATCTAAGTTATAAAGGAGAGATCTCGTATAACCGAAATATATACATAAGAATATGATTCAATCACTCAGCATCTATAAAGCCAATACATCTGTACTCCCCGATATATTGTTAAGGGTCAAGTGGCAATATATCTCTTGCTATCAGTACCTAACCACCTCATGCCCACGAAAGAAATGAGTTTATAAAACAATTAACCAACTTCATGAATCTTCCCTTGCTGGATTTTAATTGTCCAATTGTGATGCTCTGTTTTTTTTCTATTTTTAGACATAATCTGAGGCGATGCTGCTAACAAACATGACGAGACATTTCAGCTGCAACAAGTCCCTCGCGACTTTGGAATAGTTTAGCTGAAATGTTGAGTCAGGCAGGTATTATCGGATATTTACCCCGAAACGCCTAGTGTAATGTTTCTCGGCTAGATTTTGAAGAGACTCTTCCACAGAGCTAAGAGAACCCGCTAAATGACCCTCGGGCTCCGAAACAAGAAGATTAACCAAAGTACCCAGCAAAACTTCGTCGTTAGCAGGGCCTCTATCTTTCAAATCCGTTCGGTCTTCATTGACATCAGCCAGGTTTGAAAATGGATTGATGTTGCCTATCCAGATCAATATGCAACACATATCTAGATCACGACGTGTTACAGCTGCCCGTAAGGCATCCCATTGCCAATCCAAAGGATGGCTGTCCCAGTCGGTGCTGCATTGCAAGAGAAATACAATCGCTGACTCATACCGCGAAGTCAAAGGACTCATGACAATCTGCACTAGGGGTGTATCTCCTTGATCATCTTCTGCATCGATACCTTCCTGGAACCGGGGGACCAAAAGATGGAACATTTCTGGATTGCAGATTCTTGATGCAAGGTGCAGAACGTTCTCACACCGGGAGTTTCGGTATTGAAGATGTGCTTCAATGTCATTTTCTCCCAGTAGGTATTCGACAATGCTAACGTGGTTTCCCAAAACAGCCAGTCCGATGGATTGATGCGTTGGCTTATCAAATGATGATTGTTTTTCTGGAATCTGGGTTCCACGGAGCAATTCATTCCTTAGCTCTCCTTTGTACCGAGCACGAGTCATCAAACGCTGTACCATGGGCATACAGCCTTCACCAGCAGCTAAGCACAATAGTTCGTTACCCCAATGCTCCGCAACCATCTTCTCTGACACACTCTCGACGAGGTCAAATACGACATCCCAGTCTTGCCGTTCTTTGTACCATGGATTAGTAAAACGGCGGGCTTTGTCCCATCTTTTGATGATAAGCCGGAAAAGGTCAAGACATTGAAGCTGACGACCGGCTTGACCATCCAAAAATAGTAATCTGATTCTTGACACGTCACCCCACTGGAGAATTTGATCCGCGGCCCTCATAGGTGACCCTTCAAGATAATTGCCGTTATCAATTCTTAAATTTCCAAGCATATGGAGTAACATGGCTTCTGAGCCATACATCGAGGTGATGCTTAGTGGGTCGTACAGATTGCTATCAAATTCAAACCTTTGCAACATCGTGCAGCCCGGGCGACTATTTTGTTGAATCCAATTGCGAAGTCGAGTAGATCCCGCTTGACACATAGTTTCGATGCTTGAAAGGCTTGGAAGAGGTGCCGCTGTGATAGTGCCAAAATGGTCTACCCAGTGGCATGATGCGTAGACGAAGAATTCGCCAAAGCCACGGTCGACTGGGTCGAACCGAGCCATATCATCTTCCCAAGATTCCCACGTGCACTTTGGATCATACTCGACAGCGTCTTCGTCATCGCTGAATGACCCAGGAAACTGGGGTAATTCTGCAAATGCTGCTTGTTCCGAAGAGAACAAGTCCCTATCGCCAAAATCATCCAAGAGCAGATATTTGATACAAATATCTAGCAAAAATGCGTCCGGGTTTTGGAAAACATGATCTGTTTGATCAGATTTCTTCGAGGCTGAACTCTTCGGAATTGGCTGTTCGGAGATCCACTCCTTCACAGATTGGTGTATGAGTTGAACTTGAGGCTTATTTACTTCAACGTAGTTGGGAGAAGCAATGAAAGGGTTAATAAGAAAAATGACTCTTTGATGGTCCACCATATTAGCAAGAGCGTCCACACTTGTGATATTCTGAGCCAGGCTCAATTCCACTGCCCAAGCTACTTCCGGTATGCTCAAGGGTCTGTGACTGACAGCGATAAGTTTCAGAGCAGTGATAGCAACAAGCTGGTTCTCATGATCATTTGAAGTATAACGTGACAGCAACTTGTCGTAGAGCTTCGAGAGATCTTCAGGCAAAGGCATCTCTTTCAAGAAAGTTTCCATCTTACCAAGTGCAGTAATGTTACGACATTCAATGAGCTTCGTAATCATCCGTATCCATATGGCGCTTCCTTGCGCTCGTTCAGACAGCTTTTCTTTGACAAGCCCCTTGATATCTGGTGATAGATATGACAGGTGTTCAAGCTTTTTCTCAATGATAATGAGATCTCGCTCAGGATCAGTACCCATTTCAATTCTGGCCACACCGTTTAGCTGTTCCAAGATTTCTGGTTGGGGACGAGCTGACAGAATGATTTTGAGCCCTGAACTTGATTGCGATGCAGTCTTCAGAAATTCGAGAAGTCTGTGTCGAGATTTTCTATCACACTCATCTAAACCATCAATCACGAAGATGACGGGGCGGTCAATCGATTCTAGCATGTTTTGCAAAAGGTCTTCCATCGTGTTGGTGCTTGACGCCGGATCAGAATGATAACCTTGAGCTTCTTTATATCGTTCGAAAAATGGCTTCCGCAGGCCTTCGAGTTGATCAAGGAGCGAAAGAAGAATACCACAGTATATAGAGACAGCCTGCCCTGTCTTCTCATCCCGACAATAGTACTGGCATAGTACGGGCCGAAATAGTCGATCTTTGTTTCTTTGGCTCAACGTATGAGCAAGAAATGCCATTGCGAAGGATTTTCCATGGCCCATATCACCGAGAATCACCAACTGCAGAGACTCTGACTTATTGTACCAATTGATAAAATTGGGGTTTTTTAGCAAGAATTCGCAAGCACGATCATCTCGTTCTTTGCTCCATTCATCGCGGAATAGATATTGCTGGCCGAGCTCCTTTCCCAGCCATTCCTTGACTAAAGTTGGTTAACAATATTTGCAAAATTATAATACTCGAAAACTCACATTGCTGCAGATGAATCATGCACTCGATATTCCCCACAATATCTAGTGTCGCTTTCTGTATAACCCGATGAAGTTGATCGGTACTCGTCAAAAACTCTTTGATAATATTTGGAAGGCGGTCGCTCTCCGAGATCACCATGTAAACCCTTTTTGCGCCTTTTTTGGCTAATATGTCAAGGGCGGCGTCATAGAATTCAAGTATCTTTTGGTACACAAGTACAAGTGCCTGGAGATGATTAGAATCGTTTTATAAAGTAAAATAAAAGAGACATGAAAGAAAGAGACATGAAAGAAAGAGACATGAAAGAAAGAGACATGAAAGAGAGAGACATGAAAGAAAAAAAGACATGAAAGAAAACATGACTTATGGATTACCTTGTGAATGTCTTTCCTGTCCACTTTCCGGCCTAAAGTATCACACTCGTCGATATAAGATATCCCTTGTAACATCTCCGCAATTTGCTTCGCGAAGTTTGTATTAGCGTTCGCAAACGTAATAGCAATCTATGCACATATTAGTAGAGGATCCCATTAATAAAGCTCTCGCTGGTCATAGTTTGATGACAATCTTACCGCTGTTACACTTCTGACTACACCGAAAACAGTAGATGCAATCGGTTCGAGGTCTGCCAGTGGGCTCGTTAGATCTAATGCTAGCTTGAAAGTTCCAAAGGGCCCTTTCAGCCCTTGTAGATGTCGCACGCCCCTCAAAAAAGCAGATTCGCGAGTTGCTTCCTGCTCAATCTCTTCTAGTTCCTTGAATAGCTGTTCGGCATTTTTTCCATGAAGAGCAATGGTCTTTTCTTCTCCAAGACTTTCAACTGCTTCACGATATGCGGCACTCCAAACATCAGAAGACGCATTGACAATGTCATCTTGAAGTGACAACTGATCGGCCGTGACGTCTTGTTCAAGACTGTTGCAGATATTACCCGAGGCTGAGTTGTCCTCAGTATCGGTCGACTGTCTGGTCTGATGACTTGTTTGAACAATGGGCAGTGAGTTAGCAGTTGCTAAAGGAGAAGTTGGAGCTCTGCCAAGCCCGGTTAGCACCGTTTCACAAATGTGATAGAATACATACTTGGTTGGTAAAAGCTGTTCTGCTTGTGTGTATTTCGAAGAATCTCGGGATCTACTTTGAAGTTGATCGTAGTGCCGGCGGACTTTTTGTCGAAACCCCTCTCTATCTTTTTTTGAGAATGGCATAGCGATGATTAATGGTAAACTTTTCAAGCTCAAGCAGCAAGCATTTCTTGGTAAATAAGGCTACACTTATTCACAATCGGTTCTTTGGAAAGGAAAACTCAATTCAAAGTTGGGAGGTTTAGTTGCAACCCCGCTTATGACTTAGCGATACTTACCCCTCACTAAGACAAATTCTGACTGGGCGGAATAAGACTAGCTGCCAGGTCATATGCAACTTTTAATCCCACAGTGGCATTGTTGGGCACACTGCAAGTTTTAAGTCTATTCTCTCTATGAGCACAAGAAAATGAAATGCTCTCAGCGCCTTCTGTGAATGGTACTTCTAGGTTTATCATGATCAGTAAGTCATGGTAAAGCACTTATTCTTATCTATATAACCTAACGGCTCCATTTGGCTAGGATACTACCCGATTATAACAGATAAGTCCTCGTGCTTTTTTTTCGAATACGCCTTTGTATCGAAGTATTTAGTTGCCGGGCTTGATCGCTGGTTTCGCTGATCCGTACGACTTCCTTGCTATGTCGGGCTCCCGAATATGGCGCCTTCGTATTCACTATTCGCGAATGTTGTGGGTTTCTTCACCTTGCCGACCGACATTCGTTACAATATATGTGACTGGTTATCGCTATGCCTCGCCCCTGACTCTTTTCAAGATTTATGAGGCCAAATGGAGACTTTCATCCCCTACCCTACGAATGGCTTGCATTGTTATATACGAACCGACAAGTGTCCTATAAAGCCAGGGCTGCTCTATACGACTTGAATCGCTTTGTCATTCAAGAAGCACAATTGAAGAATTTCCCGCAAGGTCGCTTCCTTGAATCATTCATAAATCATGTTGGACACGTCAATGCAGGCTTTCTGTCCTATCTACGCATGGCCTTCCCGGCCACAGAAAGGATAGATGATTCATCAGGAAATGGATGAAAAGGCTGTTCATTCGTGCGATATTCTCCATCTATGTGGATCAGATCAATAGAACGACTGGCACACAAAGCTCAAGAACCCGATTGCGATGACTTTGAGCGCGGGCGATACGTGGATGTGCATTCTGCGCCCATTCGCAACATCGAACTGCTAGCCGCCAATTCGAGAGCTACTCGCTTCAAAGTCCGTGCGCTAGGCGCAGACGCAAAATTTTATTTTGTTCTGGGCATGGTTATGGCGCATAGAGGAGGTTGGAAAGGAAGCTTGAAATTCCCGTGCCGCCGCTCTCGAGGGGCGGCGATATGGGCCGTGCAAGTGACCAGGGTGTGCAGTTGGCGGAGAATCCCAGGAAGTCGATTACCACGTTTACCTAGCCAATAGTGTCGCGGTATTTTTTTTCATTTTTTATTTTTTTTACTTTGAAAATGCGTTTGTCAAGGATTATGGTGGTTGCACAAGGTCCGGCTTTGAGAGGGGCGTTACGGAGGGGTGCATTCTTTGCATGCTGATTCATTATGTTTTGTTGCATACTAACTGGATCTAGGGAGATGCGCCAGTTTATCGAGAAGGCGTCAGTACCACGTGGTAAATAGAGCATGCGCTGGCCGCGAGACATGTCCTTGAAATGTAAATAAACATACTACAATTATTGTATGCGAATAACGAGAGCTTGTCCCAAGGACAAGGTATGAGATAGGAAAATGTAGCGAAAGTTCCAATGTGGTGGCCAGCCAATGCAAAAGGCCCAGTGATTCCCCCGCAATAATATTACAGTTACCGAGCTCCCAAAAGATGGCAGTCTTTGGGAGGCTCTAGAATGGAAAGAAAAAAGTATATCTTTTTCATCCCCGTGACGCCGACGCCGGAAATGAGGATGAGCCAAGGAGGAAAAAGGTGATAGAAGCCGGCGGGTGCTAAAGACACCACGTGCGTGGGCGAGAATTGAAGATGCGAGTAGAAGGCGATGAACGACAGCAAAGCCTGCTTTGGTCATGGAGATCATCAGCCCAGTCAAAAGGGGTATGCGACTGGAGAAAATGTAAAAAGAAAAAAAAAAAAAGGAAGTCCGGGAAAGAAGGCCGGTGAGAATGAAATATTCCTCGAAGATCGGAATCTAGACATGCATAATGTCGGGTCGTGGTATCGTTTCATGCCTGCTTCAAGTAGTCTCGAAGGTGAAGGCGTTAGAATTACAGGAACTCATCGATGTTCCTCATAATCAGTCGCTCACCTCCCATTGGGGGCGAGCGAGGGTCGGCTGTGGCTTTTGCATACTGCGCGGGATTGGAAGCGGGCCCATCCTCCGCAACGGTGTCGATGGTGCGAGGTGGTGGTTGCATAGGCGGGGCCAGGAACCCCGTGGTTCTTGGAGAAAAGAAGCCAAAACCTGCGGGATCTGGAATATCGCGAACAAACACATTCGTCTGGATGAGAGGGTCGCAGCTACTGACGCTACGCGGCAACCCTCGGCGTCGGCCAAATGCGGGCTCGATAGATTGGAACTTCGTCCGAAACGGCAGGGGACGCGGAGACAGACTGCGCTTGGGCGATCGATTCCCATTGTCGCTGGTCCGGGGACGACTGTTGGAAGACGGGAGGTTGAGGCAACCCATTGACGGTGCTTGCGACAGACCACGGAAAAGCGGCCGGTTCGAGTCTTCCGTCTCTGCTCGCGGGACCTGAGGCTCAGAACTTCTCCGACCGGTCTGGACAAACCACTCTCGAGGAGCAGGGCGCGAGGGAGAGCCTCGGAGGAGCCGGTTACGGAAGTCCGTGAGCTGATAGATGAGGCTCATGTTTGGGCTCACCCACTGGCTGCGTTCCTTGACTGCCCCGTACATAGAGTTGAAATCCATGTTCCGGTTCTTGTACAGACCGTACGCAATAACCAATGACGCCGAACGACTGGCACCCAACTGACAGTGCACAAGTACCTTCTGGCCCTCTGCAATTCGCTCATCAATGATTTCACACAGCGGCAACAGATCGTCGAGAATTTCGGAGTTGTGATCCCACCCGACATGGATATACTCTGGAGTCGAGGCGGAGTCAGGCATGGGAGTCGTTGGAGTCGCTGTTTCAGAGCCGGAGGACTGGAATTCGAATGCGGATTTGAACGAGATCTCGGAATTAGCAGTCTGAGGATCTCCGCCAGAGAACCGCTTCGAGGCTCGGGAGGCATTGCGCCAAGTGCTCATGACGGTGTCGTTTTGCTCCTTCTGCTCAGTGTCAAATGGATTCTTGACCTCTTTGGCGACATTCACGACTACATCGAATTTGCCAGCTTCCTCGGCGGTCGGTTCAAGATACAGAAACACGCCCGTGTCGTATATCCGGATAGGTCCATCCGGATAGCCACGCGAAGCTTTACGCGTGGACTCTCGTGAATCAAGGTGATCGTCTTCTTCCTCGAGTCCGGGAAGAACGCGCGTTGATAATGTAGATTCACCGTCTGGGATAGGCGTAAGAGGCGAAGCTGTCTCCTCGGATGATGCACCGGATAACGGACGCGCACCGTGGTGAGTCGTCGGCCGTGGCAATTGCATACCACCCGTAGGAGCAAAGCCTGGCGAGGTAATGGATGCGAGAGAAGGCGAGGATTCCGCATGTCGTAAGGACTGTCGTCCAAGAGGTGTCGAGGGAACTACTTCCGAAATATTGCTAGAGAACGACTTGTCGAATCCCGGTGTCCGGATGGTAAGATTCGCAGGACGCCGCCTGCCGCTGTTGCTCTTCTGGGGTATTTGGAGAGGGGAGGGTGGGGCCAACAGGTGGTGTCTAGATGATGTCTCCAGAACCGAGGCTGTGGCAATGGGAGGTCGGGACTGTGACGGCGCCGGCATCCGCAAGGACAGGTTCTTCAGGTTGCGCTCCCGGCGACCTGGCGAGACTGGACGTTCATTGTTGGGGGTTGGCAATAGCTTAGAGCTCTCCATCGGCATCATGGCGTGCGACGGAATCTCCATGGGGCGCGTAGGAGGGATAAATTTAGGGTAGGACAAAGGCATTGCTGAAGGGGATTCTGGAGATGAGCTAGGAGAGATATCTCCAGTAGATGGGGAATCGAATGGGGATATCGTGGTGGTGGGTGATGATTCGGTCGAGGCCGAGGTCACGGACGACACGCTTTCGCGGTGGGGGGAAGGAAGGAGGCGTCGCGACGTGTTGACAGGAACATGGGCCGGGACCTGGAGAGGATACTGGTTTTCGTCCTGCTTGTAGGGGGACAGGCCACCGTAGACGGACATGAACGACGGGAACGAGTCCGGGAAGGACGGTGGGCTGGTTTGTACCGGCATGGTTTGGACGGTCGAGGCGGGCGCGTGCGAAAGGCAATCGTCCCTTTCAAACCGCCTTTGCTTTCTCTCGAGTACAAGGTATCCACGGGATTTAGAGGGGCATCCGGATGAGATGTTTGCTGCCTGCGCAAAAAGGGCTCTCTTCAAGGGACGGTTAGTGACGTTGTTCGGGGGATGAATCGAGGGTGGCGGGCGAGCTGCAAGGGAGAAACGATGATCGGCGACCATGCAAAACAGAATCCGCTGTTTCAAAGGTTTTGTATGCACGAGTCACGCAGAATAGTGGTGAGGTGAAAGGAAGAGGCGCGATCGAGATTGGGGTTGGTGCCTCACATACCAAATCACAAGCCACCGGGTAGATCAGTGACACCTCGCAACGGTCAGGTGGGACTAGTGTCGAGTTGATTGAAGACGTCGGAGTATTGAATGGTTGAACGAGTTAAGGAATGACAGGTGTGTACAGCCGGAGAATAAGAATCGAAGGTCGAAGATTGGAAGTTGAAAGGGTCTCAAGCGTCGAAAGGGTAAAAACAGTGGTGGGGGCCTTGGGGCCGGGTCGTTCCTCCGGGGAACGAGAATGCGAAGGAGAGGATGCAGAAACAATGCCCTGGAGAGATGGAAGGTCAAAGAGGGGGGGGGGGGGGGGGTTGAAGAAAAAAAAAAAGGTGCCGGCTATAGGGAGGGGGAAAAGTAGGACCCTTACTGTTTTTATTTAGGTGTACAACACAACTCTGATACATGTTAGAGATCTCTTGCGGGCCCGTAATTTGGGCAGTGGAGGCGGCGGCCTGAAGACGCCAATGAGCGCCCGCAGATCGGGGGCTCGGGGGCTTCACAGCTGCCTGTGCCAATGACCGCTTGCCTCTCTAATTTTAGCCGCCCGGGGGCGTCATCAAGTCCTGCGTCGGCGCCAAACGCACCACCATGAGAGGCCGCATGTGTGTTCTGCGTGTCCATTTTGCGTTTGTACGGTACTCGACTCTTTCTACAGTAGACCTCCTCGGTAGGGACTGTCCAGGCCCGGGATGGCGTGCGAGATGGCTCGGATTTCTCGAACAGTACCGGGCCCACCCCAGTCCCACCAGACGCTGAGCCTTGGGGTTTTCACGTTCGCACATGCTTTGGCCTGTTCTTGACTAGTCCCTAGTGAGACGCGGTCATTGGATGCCCTGGCACATGTAGATCCGTATTTTCTGTACAAGATAGTAATCCGCTAATGGTGGCAAGTCCAAAAAAACTCCAGGGACTGGGAAATCCGCGGACGGCACGGTGTGGAGATATGCACTTCCTATTTCCTACTTCCTCGATACACGAGAAATTCCAAATTCGGGCCTATCCGACCCGTGTCTGTGCACGGTTCTCGAGAGCAGGGGATGCTGATGGCCATGGAGTACTGTGTACTTGCGTACATTGCATACGCTACGAGCAAAGCCCCTAAGAAGCCTAGGAAGCCTAGGAAGCCTAGGAAGCGTAGGCAGCCCCTAGGAATGACAGTACACAGTGTAAACACGGGACGTCGGGTGAACGGTGGGTTGGCTGACCCATGGAAATCCTCGATCTTCCAAGAGGCCGCCATCCATGATTGGCCCCCTTGGTCACCCAAAACCCAACAGTTCCGTGTATTTTCATCGAGTCTCGGGTGGAGCCAAAGAGGGGCATGAATCCTGCCATTCTGAAACCCCGGAGCACGATGGATCTGGCGTATCCATTCTGAAACACGCCAAACTTACGCTAGTGAAGCCCCCAGGGGCCCTTGGCGCACGTCGTGGCCTATTGTACCTCTTCCCGTCGATAGTTGCTTCTTTCAGATTCACCTCGTGTTGGAAACATCTTGGAGTTTGTACGGATCGGCCTCAAGGTGAGGTCATCATATTACTCACTCTTTACTCAGCCCTTCAGCGAGCCTCAATTCGTAGAATGCGGTGAAGGGGATAATCAAGATCATCCCGTCCCGAATTGATCAACCCTTTTCCACGTGGACGCCGTGACCACCCTGAAACATGTACGTTCGAGTGGAGTGACGGGAGAGACGGGGAGAGATGGGGATGGCGAGAGATGGGACGTATGGGGTCGTCGTCGTATGGCCAAGACTCCCAGCCAAGACTACAATTGAAGCTGTGCTGTGGAATGATCTGCATGTGCACCGACCACCAAGCACCTCAGTGCTCTCGTTTCCCCCTCGCTCTACTGACGGGGTACGCACTCTTTGTGCAATACAGGTTCGTCTCAGGCAGCGCGTTGCAGATAGATGAGATCCCCCTTGTACACTCAAGGCGTTCCAAGAAATGAACCGGTTTCTATTTTTGTCCCTGAACGGCCTGTCCGAGCGGGCTTACATTGATCGGTGTTTCGACCATGTTTCGGGCCCGTTTGCCACACCCTCAGGAGCTCGCTTTGAGGCATTCTTGCTTGTGGATTGGTCCATGTCACTGCTCCCGGCCGCGGTAAAAAAAATAGTGTCGTGATTTCGGTTCGCCCGCCAACCATGGCCCTTGCTGTCAATATCAGACGCCAAAGCCAATCTATGCATGTGTATCATATATATTTCTCTCGGCTGTGGCTAATCTGAGGCCATGGTAACATTAAAATGGACCTGATGCAACACTTCATATCGCTTAGTCGGGTCCAATCGATGCTGTAATTGGATATGGCGCTTTTTCATCACGCGCCTCCCTTGCTGCTTCTGTTACAGACGTGAAGAAGGACGATATCGGCTTTCTACTCATGAAGATACTGGACCCTCTCCGATGGCTCATAGAAATGATCCACCAAGCCTTTTACACCGTTAAGTATGCCTGAGACGACAGTGAAAATCTAGGTCGCTTACAAACCTGGTCCCGTCGTTTGAGCCTCTCTCAAGCTATAATTGCAAGATCTTCGCACCCCATGGCACAGAAATCGAGCATGAACCACGTGGAAGATCAATCCACAGTGCAAGATCGAACGAGACGGGGCTCTTCCGGTCTTGATCTTGACTAGAATCCTTGATTAATCCACTCATTGTGAGACTGCCGAGCATCGGCAGACAACAGTGGAATGGCTCGGTTGGAGACCCACGGTTCCTGACATGGCGGTACCAAGGTTCACTGCCTTTGTTTGTTGCTACGAAAAGGAAGGTGTTAGATGTCCGGTGAGAGGGAAAGTGGAAACTAACGAAGACCTGGATTCCTCCTAGAAGATCCGCAAATCCCGAAAAAGGTTGAGCCTGACATCGATATAGATGGAACACTATAGAGACCCGGGCCGGTCCCTGTATATGCCCCTGGGTGCAAGTCCCTGTTGGAATATGCATAATCCAAATATTGGAAGACCAGTCTGGTTCGACAATATTCAGAATATACTAGATGTGAATACCTCTCTGTGCCTACCCAGTTATGTAAAGCGAACACTGGGACGGGACGGAGGCCCTCGTCCACTTCTAAATTTTCCCAGCCACACGCCCAGCCCACAATTGGCACCGGATTTTCTTTTTCTCTTTGTCATGTCTGCTCGATAGGTCAGAAGTGTCGGAAGTGTCAGAAATACCACAGTGATCACACTCGTGTGGTTGGGTTTTGTTTTGCATTGAGGGATGCAAGATGCAAGATGCATATCCTCACAGTACTGTAGCTTCCCCAGAAACTTTGAATCGGCGGTGACCGATCACATCCCATCAATTCAGGTTCACACGGGGAGACAAACGCAGATCTTAGGCCCAAGCAATTCTTCCAGCCCAAGGCAAAGGGTAAACCAGTTTCGCCAGTCCAAACCCGTCTCTTCACGTCAAGAGCTGTAGCCCCACCCCATCCAGTGGTGAAACGCCTGCTGTGACCCAGAACCAGGCGCTCCCTATTGCGACCCCGTCGATCCGTTCCAAGCTTCCTACCCCCAGCCTCAGCTCTTTTAATTCTGCGATACTTCGCTCAATGCCGTACCACCCTCGCCGCGCCCTGATGTGAGAAGCATGTCATCGAGCGTGGCATATTCCGAAACGCGAGCCTTGCCCGATCATGGTCGCTCTCTGAACGGATCTTATCGACTCGGTGCCGACAGAGTCAACATGGACGACGGGCGCCCGAAGAATGACGATATATTCCTGAATATCGCAAGGTCGGACTCTGGTCGACGCGACTCTCTGGGTCGCTCAGACTTTAGACGGGTGAGTTCCGAGTTCCTCCTGCGTCATGGTCGCTGGCCGTTTTGACCGTGGTACCCACCAAAACCCTGGGTGTTGCTGGCTGACGAGATGAAATCAGTCGCGACTAGGATACTCCGGCCAGGGTTTACGGTCGCCGATATCCCATGTCGATAAAGAAGAAACCCCTTCCCCCGATCAGCGCTTCAGCAATGTCGACAACCCCTTGCTGTCCCAGAATGGCTCTCCTACCCTCCCGTACAGCTCTAACACACATACCTCATCTGCCTCTGCCCACCCCCTCGACGACCCGAACCGTTTTCGCTACTCCAGTCTGACTACCGGTGCGCGATCAACAATCGGCGCCCCTCGAAGCCGGCTCAGTCGCACAAGTCCCGAGACCTCTCCGCGATCACCTCAAATCAACAGAGAGAGACGCGCTTCTGTTCAGGAACCCCAGCCCCAAGCTCGTCTTCATCGTCGGTCCACCCTATCCACTGTTCGAAGCAGTCGCGAGCCCTCTGCCTCTGAGACGACAGAAAGAGTCCTGGCCGACGCCGAAAGAGCTCGAGTCGACGGGACCGAATCAACACTGTCGACTACTGCACCTTCGACCGTATGGGACGAGCTGGACGACTTAAAGTCCCGAATTCGCAAGCTGGAGCTTACCGGGAAATTACCGCCATCATCCCAAGCCGCCATCTCGGGCGCAAACCAGGAAAGACCGCGGACGGCCGCCACTACGGCTAGTGCCATATCTACCTCGCCTAGACACTACCGCAAAGCGAGCACTCCGTCCGCGGACGCCGACAATGCGGTTCAAAATCCGGTTCATCCTCTTCTACAATCGGCATTGGCCAAGGCCAAGTCTGTCTTGACCAGTGAAGTGTACATGGCACTGGAAGCGACGATCACCGATGCTCTGAATCTGTCGACCATGTTGGGCGTCAGTACCGCACCGTCAGGCTCAGTGTCTGTTCTGAACGGGGGATATAGCTCCTCTGAAAGGCATGCCCGACGCAAAGCGGATAGTGTGTGCCGCGGCCTGACCGAACTCTGTCTGGCCTTGACGGATGAGCAACTTAAGAGAAATCGACCACAATCTAGCCATGCTGGAGGCGTCCAGCCTCCGCGGTCAAATGGCGAGAACGGTTCTATAACGCCCACACATTCCTACCAGCGAGCTTCCAGTTACGAGCCCGAAGCAGTCGAGCGACCTGAGCGGCGCCAGAGTATAAGCAGCCGTCTACCCAGTCGCCTCGATGCGCGAAGGGCCTCCCTCGTCAGCCATAGCCCAGGCACTCCAGCGACGGACACTAAGCCGACCCCGTCATCACCTGGAGGCCCTCCATCGAGCCGACTTCACCGTATTTCGGCCTCTCTTCGCAGTCGTAGGCCACCGACTGATGAGGAAAATGGAGAGCCAGCGGTCCCGCTTAACCGTTCATTTTCAAGAACCATGACCGACATTGGCACGCCGAGCCCTGGGCAGACCGTATCTCCACAACAACGGTTCTCTCGAGCTCACTCGGTTTCTCGATCAATCTCTATCGCAGGGTCTCCGAATCAAGAGCAGGGACTGGGCATCTCCCCGCGCTCAGCACATTTCCAACAACCGTCGACTCCATCTCAGGCACCTTCATCACTGCCTCGAACACCTTCCACTTTGTCCCAAACTGGGATTCCACTCCGCCGCAGCTATGCGACCCCCCTCTGTATATTCCCCTGCCACATCTCGCTCCAACATCCAGGCCGGATCCCGCCGATATGGTCTCTCGCCTGCCACCCCGGCCTCGGGAGCCGAAGACAGCCCTCGACCTCCTCAGCTTGAACCATCACAAACCCGCATCAGCGTACCATCTAGCAAGACAGTAACAAGCTATACCCCCATCCAACAACCACGCCTCCGTACCAACAGCCTGGGTGCTCGGAAATTCGGCCTGAGACGCCGTTCCGCAGTCATGACAGATGACAACACCAATATGGACGATAGCATTGATTAGCCTATCATGATATTCTGCACCCGCTGAGCCACCATCATGCATGCCTACCGACCAAAACCCCCGGTTACGCCTTTTTGAATTTTACGCAGCGACCTCGCATCTGATTATGACCCCGATGATTTCAACCTCAGCTCGGCGTTTTTTCCCCTACCTCTTAGACGCTTTCTGCTTGTGTATGCATACCTGTCGATCTGGAGTCCTTTATCGCATTGTCCAATCCACACATGGCACCTTCGACGGTGATGCATCGTGACGAATTTCCTCTGTTGAAAGAATTCACATACTGTCAATGAGACATGGCCACCAAGGCCCATTTTCTTATCTCATTTTTCACGCCACCTCTTGACAAGTTCATTTCCTTGAGATAATTCAGGACATGAATGTCCAGAGTCCATCGAGTCCTGTACAAAATCAACCATCACCGGCGCCCTTTCTTCTTTTCGCTTGTACATTTCCATCTGGTCCATCCCTTGTTGACCAACATCTGTCCTATGCTTTTCTTGATCTTGATCTTGACCCGGAGCGTGTATTCACGTTTATGCAAAACGAACTTCTCTTATGAATGAATGAGGCTTTCATACTCCAGTTTCTATTAAATAAGGTTTCTAGTCCTTGACTTACCTACTCTGTTCCATCCTCATAGCTTGCTTAAACTTCTACCTCTGTATCTCCAATCAATCCCGTAACCGTCCGACGAGCAGATGGTCATACTTCCTCGCGGAAGAAAAGCCCTATCCAGTCGCCGAACGGCCCGCCTTATCTTCGAGGGTGAGTTCTCCCACTGAAACGTTAATGGATTGTATCATGCGCGGAAATGAGTTAAGCTTACCCTCTAGGACAGCCCCAATTCATCGTTTTCATACATCGACGGAGTCGATTCGGGCCCCCCCTCGAGATGGAACCATCCGCCTGTTATTGGGTTCGAGATTGATTCGTTGCCTGTTCCTAGGTAAACCGCCACGAGGGGATTAATTGAAGGAGATGTGCTGCGAAGACGTATCTGACTACCAAACCTAAATATTGGAAATGCCGCTGAATTTAGGAATTATGACGATGTTTGTCTTGTTTCTGATATGAAATACCATTTGAGTGTAGAACGATGTCCAGGTGGAGTTTCAGCACACATATATGCACCTATATAGACAGGATAATATCTGCCAGGTGGGGCCTTTCCTATCTGGGCTGCCGCCGCTTTATGAGGGAACTCAGGCTCAGGATCAGTAAGTAGATGCCAGCACGGGCTCGACTCAGTGACACGCCTCAAGTATTTTTGTCGAAGCCATTAATATCATCGTTGTAAGACTGTTAGCAGCGGCAATGGTGGAACGGCTTTCACCGTCGCCGACTGCGGGGGTAGCGCAGGACCCGTTACTATTAGGTTTGGGACGGAAGTCGGGCATATCACCAGACAAAAGCAGACATGTTGGCCGGGCTTCATCTTGCAGTGGAATTCGTACCATCGTCGAAATCAAGACATTCGGCATTGCTCCAGGGTTGCAAGGCGGATTGAATTGCCTCGAAAGTTCTGTGATTGGTGGCCATGCATTGGACCCCTCGGTTATCGGCGTATTCGCAACCAGGGTCCGCAAAATCGGCGAGACATTGTGTAATCGGTAAGATCCTAATGTACTTTCCAGTGAATAACGCCTCCATAAAATCGGGCAAAATGAACGGCCTTCTCGTTACATGCAGGTTAAGATCATAGTGACAAGCCAAAGTAATATACATTGATTCGTATTATGATATTGTGACCTAGTTCCTCATACTGTCGCCTGAGAACAAGGCCTAGCTAGAGAGAATATTGTAAATGAGCTAAGCTAAGCCGACTAACAACACCCCTGGAATGCCGGGGTTGAGGAGGGCAGCCGCGTCTTTCTTAGGCAGGCAGCTAACGGCAGGAGTCACTGCGTAGCACTCGGCTTGCGTCAATCTTGCCGAGATACTCGAAGCAGCTGACAGTACCACACTGGCCCGGCAAGGGCTGGGAGTGGGCGCTGGGCTAGCAAGTAGGGCGCACATCGCGAGTCCATCGCCGGTCAGTGCGCTGGGGACATTCAAGTACTGCTTAACGTCGAAAGCAACGCCCTGAGTATTGCCACAATTATTGTCGGTTGTGATAGTGGTGAGGTTAGGCTGACGACCCCCCTTCTTGGTGGTAAACTGAAAGGATTGGAAGTCCAATTGTGCTCGCCTATGAAACCCATCGTAGTCTTCGACCGTGTGCTCGTCGTCATATGCAGTACCGTTGTCGGACGTAGAGCAGTTGACTGTTCTCAGCCTCCAAGAGAAACCCCACTTCCCTTCTACGTTAAGTATATTGGGAATGGCTTTGTAGAGGAATTGCGTCGTTTCGTTGGCGGTCAGCCTGTTGATGTCGAGAGTCGAGAAGCTACCGTTATAAGGCCCTTCTGAGGGATACACTAAGTACTCTGGTCTCAGGTAAGCTGCTGGATAGCGGCGGGATTCTGGGCAGCGATTACGACGGGCATGAGTGGCATCAGCCCATAGGTGCCGTTGCGCGGGAAGACGATGTTGACCTCTGCAACGCCCGTCGAGTCCGCATCGGCTAGTGCCAGCAGGCTGAGTGCGAGAAGGCGCGCCTGAACACCGAACATTCTGCGGAAGCGGAGCAAGAAAATGCGTAGGAAGGAACAGAGGTTGGAGAGCAGAGGTTATTGCAGAAGAAAACTAAGAGACCAGAACCACGCTAAACAAAAACTGTGGCAAAGCCGCCAAGCCATCACTAGGGCTTGGCGGCTTGCATATAAAACAGCAGCCCAAGGGTCTGTGGGTATGGAGTATAAGGCGTTCGACTCGGTCGATCCACCTCAGGGTCCGGTGGCTCAATTCGCACAGCGAAGCGACCAAATCCACTCTCCACTAACGCAGTGTGCTTACTGTAAGTGGACTAGGCGACCACTGTGCAGTATGTAGATACCTAGCCTTCCGAATTTGTAGGTGACTTTAACCTGTCTATATAATTCTGCGGCTATTACTTTGTTTTATACCAGTACCAAAGCCAAACATGGGGTGATTATTTACTCGCTGACCCATGCTACAATCCAAAACCACCAGTGGCCAACCAAAGCCAAATAATGTTGGTGCACCTTTGCATAAAACCGCCACTTAAAAAATGTCTCCATCCTTACACAGTTGAATGTTCGTCACACCTAGCGTTTTCTCGATCTGTACAAGGCAGGGTTCTCCTGCTTCATACTGATACTAACCATCTTATACGAAAGACATGATATCCGTAGATGATTAAATGTAGTCAGTCAATATTCTGTTTGTCATCTCGCTGGTTAGTAAAGCTTTTGACTTGTAAAATAAAGAAATGCTTGTCACCAATGCTCAACACTCTAACTATATGTTAGTCTTGCCGGATCGGAGCCCTGCTTAGTCAGCAAAACTAACACTTTTCAGGTGTCGACGCTAACATTGTTGATTGTTTGCGGAACATTGAGCCGCATTCCAGTTATGAGCCCGGCCAGGAACGCAAAAAGAAATACCTGTGTTGTTATTCTACTAAGAAGCCGAAAACGTAACCTGGAACTTGAATCAAATTAAAAAGAGCAGCGCGAGAAAAAAAAAAAAAAAAAAAGGTTCATGTCGCTCAAGCTTCATGAACCCTGCATCCACACCTAGGGTTGGATCTACTTTTGAAGCCTTCAATCACCATGCTTCAAGGCTATAGAATCCTGCAGATTGCTGCCGCCGCCGCTTGCACATATCTAATCCTCACCTTTCTTTCTTTTGAGTCCAGAGCCACAGAATGGCGCCAGAATATATCCCACTTGTCTCACAGTGGAGTTAGCGACAGGGATCTTGCTCACATACAGAATGAAACTCTCGGGGTAAGTCTCAAAATACCTTTTCCAGGCGCCATAGATTCTGAACCTTTTGAATCCTTAGTTTGAACACATCTATGCGATCGGTATGAAAGAGCGACCCGATAAACGTGATTTCCTTGATGTTGCAGCGTCGGTCACGGGCTTCAAAGTGGATTGGCTCGAGGGAGTAAGACCAGATGAGTTGAAGCAGAAGGCAATGCCAAATGTAGGTATTCTACCCATGAGAGGTATTCGGTAGCTCACACACAACACAGGGGTTGACTCTCTCAGACACCAAACCCGCTATTGTTGCGTGTTGGCGCGCGCACATGAATGCATTGGTCAAGTTAGAGCTACTCTCCCCAGGTTCATGCCTATTTTACAGAATACAAACTAAATCTCCACCTATTTAGGATCATCGAGAACTCCTACTCGAGTGCCTTGATTTTTGAAGACGATGCCGATTGGGATGTGAACATCAAGTCGCAGCTACACGAATTCGCACGTGGATTGCACTCATTACAAGGGAACGAGAAGGTGTCTCAAGAACACCCCTATGGTACTGACTGGGATGTCCTTTGGATTGGAGGATGTGGTTCCGAGCCGAACAAGAACGAGACTCAGTTTTATGCCATTCCCAACGACCCTACACTCCCAAGTCACCAATACCGACGTTGGGATCTAGGCGGGACTCCTGATAGCTGGAAAGAACAGTTTCCCGAAGATTCCACACGCTTTGCTTTCCGGGCAGAAGCAGCTTGCTGCTTATTTGGCTATGCCGTTTCTAATAGAGGAGCGAGAAAGATTCTTGCCGCTCTTTCCATCGATCACCTTGAACAACCGGTCGACAATGCTATGAGTGGGCTGTGTGGAGGCAATTCAGGACGTCGACAGATTGACTGCTTTGCCACCTTCCCACAACTCATTGGAACATACCGGAAAGCGGGCCCCGCATCCAGCGACTCGGAGATTGAGAACTATAGTGAGAACCAGTACCACGAAGAGGTATCCAACTATGTGATGTATAGTACCCGGCGCAACATTCATCGTTTGGTTGCAGGCGAGGAGACTGTTTATGCCCAATGGGACGATGTTCCATGGGCCGAAGGGCAAATTAATCCTAAGGAGTTGATCTACCCTCACGGAATTCTGGTCAACTGAGCCCAAAGCTCATCTATAACTACGAAATTGACTGTTTAAACGGCTATCTCGATGCATTCCACTCAATAGTATCCCTTATTTTCACGAATCGAAAAAAGGTTATTCATCAACTCCCAAATCACTTGTGATATGAGTTAAGGTCTATATATGCACATGGGTTCAGTAGAGCGGCTTCTTACAGCGTCAGTTTCATCGAGGATTGGACCCCACATTCCCAGTGTGTACCAACGCTCGATAGATATTAGCGGCGAATTTTAATAAGCCTTGGTAGGTAGATTTGAAGAATAAAGTGTGATTCACTAGTGCTTACGCGCAGTGGGAGTGTAACAGCGCACGGAGTAAGCCAAACTAATGGAGTGCTGAGACGTAATTCGGATTTTTGCTTCTATGAAGTAGCTCAGAGGGTAGGTAGACTACGAGAAGCATAGTTTATTACCTGCAGGAGCTCCTTATCAACTACAATTTCTATTGGTCCCTGGTCTCATGGCGTATTTGATCGGCGGGTGTTTGATAATAAAAATGTGAAGGGCGATATGTCCCTGCCAGGTGTCTCACCGAGAGCCACACTAAACATACATAGCCAGTTATTGCTTTTTTAGGTGATGGTAAGAGCTAGTGAAGGAATCGTCATTTTGGGATGACTCGAGAAAGCCTTGCTGGTTTGTAGCTAACGTATTGCCGTTTGTGGTAAGATCAGGGGCTGTAACCCGTTTCAAACGGAGTATTCCGCCCCCAGATTTAATTTAGATCAGCAAGAGGCTGTATTTCTCACTTCAATCTATGAAACAACAAGCAAAAGTACAAGGTGAAAGTTCATGTTGTGTTCGAGCCATTGATTGAATACCTATATAGCTTGTGGATTATCCTCATTCCTCCATCATTAGTGTATGTGTAAACATCGCGGGTTTTCTCTACTTCCTACTCTCAATCGTCTCACTCCATCATGAAGTGGAGTACTGTAAAGTATGCCTATGCGGTGGCTATTTTGAACGGGTGGGCCACTTCAGCGTCCCCATTGATGAGCAGAGGTCGCTTCTCGTTGGCGACTTTCAAGGGCCCTAAGAATGATCTTGCTGCCCGTTCTATAGGCTCAACCCCGTCTAGCGCTACAACCAACTTCTTGAACATTACCCTCGGAGACCACCAGACATTCCTTATGGAGATTGATACCGGATCATCCGCCCTATGGCTCTTTACCACGACAAATACTCCAGCCAACGAGACGAACGGCCACCCGCTGTACAATCCTGATGACTCGTCCACTTATGCCAACGCGGATGGTTATCACTTTGATATTGAATATGCGGACGGCACCGGATTGTCGGGCCCCGTTGGCACGGAGGATGTCACCATTGGTGGCATCACTGTCCAGAGCCAGTACATCGGTGTGCCTGATGACGTTCGAACCGACCCCAACGTTCTTCAGGCCGGATGTTTGGGCATGGCCCCCAATCCTTTCACTATGACCCCCGGCGACCAGAAGACATGGCATCAAAATGCCGAGCCCATGCTGGATGAGCCCCTCTGGACGGTCGATTTCCGCAGTGATCGGCCGGGATCTATGGACTTTGGCTACATTGATTCTTCCAAGTACACCGGGGAAATCTCTTATGTCCCCTGCGACTTCTCGAGTGGAGCATGGTCATTCAACATTACCCAGTGGAACGTCCCAGGTGACTCACTCATTGGTGGTCTTTTGAACATGATCGCCGACACTGGCACTCCTGCTACGACCTTGCCTGTGGGTGTGACTGATTACTACTATTCGAACATCGATGGTTCGTCGAGGTAAGCTTAGCATTCGGGATATACAATCGGAATATAGAAGATCTGCTGATAAGTGTTTGAAACTACCAGGGACCCCTCTGATGACACCGCATATATCATTCCATGCGACTCGAGTCCGCCGGATTTGACTCTCGGCTTTGATGGAGGATCCGTGACTATTCCTGGATCCCAGATAAATCAAGGCACCGTTGACGGTGGTTGCCGAGGCGCTCTCTACATCACTACCTCTGGAGGAAATCTTGGATCGGCTATGTTCGACTCGAACTTTGTTGTTTACAGTCAGACGAATGCGCGTATTGGATTTGCTCCAAAGTCGAACTGACCAAGAGGACCTTGGAATGTCATAATATCAAGACATGCTCATTTACAGCCAAATGAGAGAATTAACAGGGGTTCTCCCTGTCTATAATGTATAAGATCAAGAGCAATCTCGGAAAACATCATCTAATAAAGCTGATTCTGAAGCGCAATGTTCATGAGCAAAACCAGCCGCCACATTCGGGGTAGCCTCTCGCCCCGCAAATCTTAAACGACGACCTTAGGTTGGTCTGTTGTGTCAAAGATAGATTCTAGACCGGTTTTCGCAAAGGGCCACGCCCTATCAGTCAGTGATATCTCCTGGCACCAGACAATATCGGGTCACTCGGATAGCGGTTGAGATAATCCCTCACCTACTCCCAGGGAACAGGATGCAACTGCTCAATGCGAGTGATTGCAGTGTCTGTGATATTTTGTGTTTCCTGATACCTTTGTCGGTGCCATATACACCTGACCAGTGCAGTAGATGACTCTCCCAGTTCCAGATGGGCCAGCGATTGAACTTCTGTGTGTTGGACCCGTAATAAGAGGTTGGAATCGAGAGCCGCCGAGAAAGTCCTCGGCGTTAGATCAAATGGCGGGATGACGCAAAAGTGACTTTGGAGAAGAAAATAATGAAAGCTATAGAAGTCAGTACAATCTCGTGGACCAGAGTTCAAAAGAACACACGCTTCCGGAAGTCTCGATGTAGCTGCCTTCTTAACACATGAAATATATTCGTCGGAGTAGTCATGTAGACCACCTGCACGTTGGCGTCCTGGTGCTATCTTGCAAGCTTCTACGTTGATGGCTGGATATCCAGCTGGGCCGAGTACAATCTGAAGACTGTTTGAAAATCAGTAGCATACAATGTGTAGTGTGGCAGTTGGGGTCCTGACATGACGCTGGGGACCGGCAGGGCGCCCCGAACAGCTATTAGAACTCCGACAGGTCTCGAGAGGGTTGACAATTTGGATCCCGCTACTGTTGGCCGGCGTGCGCCTTCCATTTTACTACTACAGACAAAGTAGGGTAGGTACATAAGAAACAAGATAATATCAAATCGTAGCCTATCCGCGGCAGATAGGAATCTCTTTTGATATTTGGAGTAAACTCGAGATATGTAGTCACATGACTGAGCGACTTTGGGAGCAGTAAGATAGTGAAGGGAGAAGAGGAAACAAGAGTAGCGCGCGAGAATAAGGGGCGGATAGAAGGCGACGATTAGGAGAACAGTGAAGAAAACGGTTGTTTTTTCGGTTTCGGAAGTTTTGTGTTGGAGGGAGGGAGACGCGGTCAAAGGGAACTTCTCGGAGGTAAGGTGAAGGTGAAGGCATCGCGCGATTAAGTCAGGAGGAAAGAGAAGCTGCGTGGTGTCAAGCGAGGACGAAGCGCAGCAAGCCGAGCGCAACCTCCAGGCCGATGTTGCAGTAGAGTGAGCGGAAGTAGGAGACTTTCGCGGGGACGAGATGAGCAAGAGGTAGAGACAGAAGGAGATGATATGGTGCGCGAGAGTTGCGGTAGCGGCCGAAGAAGTGGTGGGTGATAGCGAGGTAATGTTTGGTTGAAAAGCAAGCTGGACTTCCGAAGCGCAAGGACGAGAAAGCAGGGCCGCAATGATATTCAGGAAGCAGAGGGTCCGAAGGATATGCAAGAATCAGGAGCTTCGTGCAAAACGTGCGATTCAACTCAACGCCGTGATCCACTATGGCACACAAGACTTGGTATCTAACACGCATGGGCCCGTCCATCGCAGCAAAACTTTTGCCTCTTGATCATAGAAGCGACGCATAAGATGAGGGAATACATCGGGGAGATTGAAAGGAGGAAAATAAAAGCAAAATAACGCGCTTGCACATGACCGCCGCTGATCATGACCGACAGTCTTTAGGGTCGTTAAATTGGAAAAGAAACGCAAAAAAGCCATGTCGGGCTCCCCATAAGCCTCCCGAGGCTTTTACTCCTGAGGAAGCTGGCTGCGGCGAGTCTTCTCGGCTTCGAGGTTCTCATAAAGGAGGTAAAGAGCCTTCTCGTTGGCCTGAGCGGATCCCATGATGGTGAACATGCGCTCGCCGGTCTCATCGTGGGGAGCCTTGGCGATCGAGATGCGGGCTCCGGAGCTTCGACGGATCTCGGTGATCTTGCTACCAGCGCGACCGATGATGCATCCGACCATGTCAGCGGGGATGCTGATGTTTTGGGTCTGAATTTCCTCGCCATCTTCGGTGACCATGGGGTATCCACGAGCACCAGCGTCCGAGGATCGTCGGTTGTAGCCACCGTTGTCACTGAAATCAGCACCATTGCCGGTACGATTGTACTGACGGCTGGTGTAACCATTGCCGCTGGCTGGGCTGCTCTGGATGGGCTGCGAGCCACCGAGAGACGCACGAACAGCAGGGTTGTAGAGGACAGTCCCGGTACCGCGCTGCCAGTCATCAATGAGGCACTTGCCGATCTCCCAAACAGCCTTCTCGATGCCTTCGGGGGTGCCCTGCACCTCCACAATACGCTCTGTAGACTGAGGGAGCATTTCCTTCTGGGCGACCATTCGCACACCAGACGCATCCTGGATATGCTTGATCTTCAGACCCTGGCGACCGATGATAGTGCCCATCTGGTTGTGAGAGATCAAAAGGCGAACGGCTGATAATAGGTTAGCACATAATTTGGTCCAATTCAGTAGATTTCAACGGCAATTCATAGTTCAGGCAAAGCCGTGGAATGCGGAATGCCTCAGTTCATTTTTGCGAGGGGAAAAAGGAATGAGTAACTTACGGTGGGTTCCATTGTTCGAAACGACACCGCCCATGCCCATCTGCGGGGCACCTTCCAGCAGACCCTTAGCAACGATCGCATAGGCCGAAGCGGTGCCTGACAGAGGACCGGTGACGGTCAAGACTCGGTCATGGACACCAGGAACGACCTTGCTCACACCGGCCTTGACGCCGGTCTCGTCGCGGAGGTCAGCGACGTTCTTACCGGCCTTGCCGATGATGACACCGGCCTCCTTGGATGAGACGATGGCACGCAGAGTGAGCATCGACTGAGAGTACTCTTCTTCAGTCTTGGGAACGATATCCATGGCGTCTTGGTCGATAGCATCGTTGAAGGCAGCATCGTTCATGGGCTCGTCAGCCACAGCCATAGTAGTTTGGTGAACCTCAGTAGACTCCATTGTTGTCGGCGATTCGATTGAAGTAGGGGATGTTTGGAGAGAGAACTGGCGATTAGGATTGAGGTGGTGGTTGGCGGAGATCACACGGTCGCAGCGGCGTAAATGGAGGGGAAATCACTGCGCGGGCAAAGTCAGTTTCGGCGACGACGAGAAGGCAGCGCACATCAACGGAAGTCTTGCGCGACAGGGGAATCCGTTCAAACGTCAAGAGCGACGTAATCGACAGTGCATGAGGTGGGCGACGTACCGATGAGGGACCGAGATGAAGTGGAGAAAGGTGGGAGGGGGAAAGGAGGGGGGAGGGTGCAGGAGTTCGGAAGAGTGAACGGGTGATCGGAGAGGAGAAGAGAGGAGGGAGGAAAGAGAAAAGGTGAGGAAGAGGGAAACGAGGAGGGTTGTGATGGGAAGTGAAAGGTGAAGAGTTGGCGGAGGGAATGTTGTGAGTTAAGCGGAGAACCCAGTTGATTTCTATCTACACGCCACATTTTACTTTAAAACTATCGGTCTTTTACTCATCCGCCACAAACACTACCTTTTGCACCTTCATCGCATTGAATAGTTCGTACGCTTCCACTGCTTGCGACAGAGGCATAATTTTCTCGGTCATGAACCTGTCTGGGTGTTAGCGCTTCCTGAAAAGGTCCGCTTCGTGGTCTTCAGTCTACTTCGAGACGCCTGGAGCCACTCTATTGGCGGTCTTATTGACCAGCTGCGACGTCCATTTGACGGCCATTCAAGAATAAACTCACCCAAGCTTATGTTGGTTCTTCTTCAGAACTGCCAGTGCCTTGTCAGAGACCGAACGCACCGGGCATCGACCCATGTGGACGGTCAGGTTCTTGTTATAGGCATCGTTTCCATCCCAAGGAATCTAAAGAGAACCCAGTCAGCACACTGACTACCAGCTGCGGGGAAATAAAAAACACTCACCTCAGCGTTGTGGACTCCAACACTGCTAATAGTTCCGAAAGGTCGCAGCAAGTCATACGCAGTGCGCAGAGCAGGGCTCAGACCAACGACCTCAATGACGGCATCAGCACCCCGGCCCTCAGTCAACTCCAGCACGCGTTTATCCAGACCCTCGCGATCAGTCATGAAGTTCCAAGGCTCGGCACCAAGTGACTTGGCAAGCTCGAGTCTGGACGGGACGGAGTCGACAGCCAACACACGCTTAGGCTTGTACTCGAGAGCGTTGATGAGCGCGCAAAGGCCGACAGGACCACAGCCAATCACGACCACAGTTTGTTCGGCGATTTGCTCAGGAGTGGAGTTCTTGAAGGCATTGCTGGCGGCGAAGTAGCCCGTGGGGAAGATATCACCCATCAGGACGAGATACTTTTCATCGACACCCTCTGGGGCCTTCATGACAGTGCCCTCGGCATTCGGGATACGGACCTATCAATAGCGTTAGTATTTTGAATATCTTAGAATGGATTGAATTGAAGTTCGCGCACATATTGGGCTTGGGCACCGTCCAGGCGCTCACATCCGAAGAGAGTGTTCTTCTCACAACGGGAAGAGAATCCCTGCTTGCAGTAGAAGCACTTGCCGCTACCACAATGTGAGACATTATAGATATAAAATCGAATAACCTTGAATAGAGGACATACCAAGAAGTAGTAAAGGCACTGACCACGCGATCACCTTTCTGCAGCGCCTTCACATCACTGCCCACCTCGACAATCTCACCCATGAACTCATGACCCATGATAGGTCCCGGGGCACTAGGCTCAATGCCACGGTACATATGAAGATCACTTAATCAACCCATCAGTCTCAATTCCGAGGAAAATAAATGATTATGACAACTCACCTCCCACAGAGCGCCGTATATGCGACCTTAACAACAACATCCTCTGGCTCCTGCACCGTGGGAATAGGTCTCTGCTCAACGGCAACCTTAAAAGGTTCCTTGAAAACAACAGCCTGCATCATACCGGAGGCCGACATCTTTGTTGCACGTTTTGATGGTGGCTTAAAAGGAAAAGGTGGGGCTTAGAGAGGAAGTCAAATGCCGGTGACTTCGGGAGAACTGGGAACTGAGAACAGCCGGCCCGGTCGGCTGCGAGTGGCTTTTGAAGGGGGAAGCAATCTAGCAATTTGCGGGTCCCCTTTGCCTCCAGGCTTTTCTGTGCGGGTGGGTCTGATGGTAATCTATCGTTCAATGCATTGGTTCCGCAGGAGAGCCGGAGGGGTTGACTAGTCGGGTTAAAAAGACGGTATAGACATCCAAGTCAAAGAGGTGGAAAGATTTCTTCAGTACCTAGGAATTTGTCTGTCGGTCCGGTCATAGTTAGAGTTGATATCAATGCCCTATATGTGGACCCCTCACCTTGCGTGATTCCCGCAAGGTTCTCCAAGTAGACTCTTGTCTCTCTGCAGTGCATAAAGGTGACTTTACAATAACGATACCCACATCTACTTCAGCCTACATTGGTCCCCGGTGGATGAATGATCAAAATTGGTTAAGCACGATGCATAAAATAGCTTCAGAAATCAAGGTAATGGCCATACTGTGATGCCGAAGATGCATTGCCCAGAACCTGCCATTGTGCCCATAGTCCCTGCCTGTCCTGCAAATGACCTGGTCTGTCGGCTTCAGTGAAGAAGGTCCATCGCAAAAAAGAAAAAAAGAATAAAGACCCATGCGCACCGCGCAACGCCTATCAAAAACACCGAGACTGAGAGAGATGAAGGGGAAAGACGGATATGGTATCGAGATATCAAGGCTTAATCGATCAAGACTATACCCTTAACACACGACACACAGCAGCTCCTCTTCCAGAATGAACTTGCCCTCCTTGTATTTCTCGCTACTCTCGTATGCCTTGTCGTACTTCCATCCTACTGTTTCCTTGCACTGTCGGCAGTTGATATCGCGCACAATGTGTCTTCCCGTTGTCATGTTACGTTCGACCGGATCAGATTGGGTGATGTTCACAACGTTGTTGAAGAGGTAGGCTTTGCCATGCTGGCCGCGGAAATTCTAGAGGGACGTGTCGGGTCAGCCGGGTGTCAAGCCGACAGGCAAAGGACCTTTGAAAGGGAAGAGAGGGAGACTCACCCGACTTATAATGTCATTGTAATCTGCAAGATGGGTTTTGCATGTTTTGCATCCGAAGATCTTGTTGGAGGTCAGGTAGACGTTGTACGAGAGACCCATGGTGGCTGGTTGGTAGTGCTGTCCGGGCCGGACGGGCAAGCTATGGTTTAGCGGGGTATGATAGGAAAAGAGAGATCTGATGTATGTAGCAGAAACAGCAGATTTAGCTCCTGAAGAAGACTGGAAGGAGAAGTTCGAGCGTGCTTCAGAGAAGTGTCCGGCCTGCGGTCCTCAATAAGGAGTGCCCCGCCCTGGACGGCTCAAGAAAAGGCCCGGCCTTTCTCTTTGTGTCGAGTCGATTTATTTGTGGCAGTGGCCTTTGTCGAGCCAGCTCCGACAACAACACTCGAGGTAGCAAGGAAGCCTGAAAGGAGCAGGGACGTTGTCAAGTACGTGGAGTTGACGGGTCGCTGACGATAAGGTCTCCGCACGATAAGGTGGTGTCGGGATTCGCGGAAAGAGCACACCGAACCTCTTGGGAGATTCAAAAGGTGGGCCTGGGTCTAGGGGGAAGCTTGGTCAAATAGATCAAGTTGAAGTAATCGAAGAGGTTTAAATCAAGAAAGTCAGAATAGTGCATGGGAGCCTCAGGCGTAGCCCCGCGCCGGATCGGGCGTGATCAGGTGTTTACCGTAGTTAAACAGTTGACACGATTGACACGAGGCTCCACTAACGATATGGTAAGACTAGTAGAGCACGGAATATACGAGGGCGTTGCATGCGATATCTCTATTTTGGGTAAATTCACAAAAGATCCCTGTACAATGCGCCAGTAAAATGCCCTCCTGCATGATGACCATATTACACGATCTAGACGTGGCACTGCCTCGATTTCCTTACAGACAGACCAGACCACCTAAACCAGTCACTCACTCATAATCCCGCACATAACGGCCGGGGAGTTCAACATCCCACATCGGCCGTTCCACCACCGCCACCTCCAGGTTGCCGCTCGAGCTATCTTCGGAATCCTCACTCGGGGCAAGAGGGACGATGCCGAGAATATCACGGTACTTGTATGTGTGCCACCAGCGACGTGCAGGCTGAGCTGAAGTGCCGTTGGTGAGCTGCTTCTTAGAGGTATCTCCATTGACGGCCTTGCTCTTGGAGCTCTTTTGCGGTGTTCCGTTCTCGATCGCGGCTCCATCTTCACGTCGGAGACGGGCCAGGTTGGTCTCGTTAGTGGCTGCAAAGGCCTCGTCGTATTCGTAAGCCTCGTCGTCTTCGCCAGGCACACGGGGGCGTTCCTGGTCGAGGGAGATCCACTCGCCCTTAGACTCGTCGCTTCCGACAATCTTGCGGACCTTTGTACCAAGGTGAATGTCCATCTGAGAGCGAGGGATCCGGTCACCGGCACCGGTGTTGGCCTTCTTGCGGTCGTTCTCGATGTCCTCGGATGGGTCGCGCTTACGCTTCGATGCCTTCACAAGCTGAGCGGACTTGCTCTCCCCGGCTTCCACTTCCTCGGGGGACGGGAAGTCTTGCTGGAGATCAAACATCCACAACCAAGAAGCTCCGTACAGCCAGAGACGCTCACGGTTATCGACAAGATCCCACATGCAGCCCATAGCACGGTCCTTCACGCCGCGGAACTCCGCAGGGAGGTATGCCTTAGGATTGCGCCTTGACCAGTCGGAGAGCTTGCCGCTCCGGGCCTCGAACTCGATGAGCTGGTGCTCACTGGTGAGGACCATCAACCGGTCCTCGGTAGACTCTGTGCGGTTCTTGCCATTAGGCAGTGCCTTTGAAGAGGACTTATACGGGCGGAAGGACAACAGAGTAATTGCAGACTTCATTCGCGGAATGGGAGACTCATTGGCTCCGAGAGTCCAGCGTTCACCCTCGATAGCAACATCCTCTTCCTCGTCATCAGAAGATTCAGCATCAGAATCGGCGGCGCCGTTCGTCTTGGAATGGCCATTTGTGGCAGGGGTAGCAGCACCCAACACCCAGGTATCCACACAACCAGACAGGTCACCAGCAGCCAAAATCTTGCTGTCGTCGGAGAAAACAACGGAGCGCACTGTCCTCTCGTAGTCACCCAGGGTTCCATGCGAGGCCTTTTCGTGTCGTACATGCCGAGAGGCACGCCTAATGTTGGCGAGCTGTGGCAAAATTTGAGGCTTGTCAGTGGCTGAGGAAGCCGGCTGGATTCTAGCCACATAGAGGTCGCTGTTGGGTCGTGCGACACAAAGCCAGCGACTGTCGGGAGAAATAGTCACAAGACGTGCACCTTCATCGGAGAGAGCCTTGGGGACATCGATTTTTTGGATGCGCAGAGCGCCCTTTTCGTCACCCTTGCGGCGACGTACGGTAAACATCTTAACGTCGGAAACTGTTGCAACCGCCAGGATCTTTCCATCCGAGGATAGCATGGCTGATGTGATATTTTCTTCACCCTGAGTAGGACATGAAATGTTAGTGAAGGGTTCCCAAACTGGTGGATCTGGTGCTTTGTTCTTACCTGAATCATAACCTTTGCAACGAGTCGGTGTCGCGGACCGTCCATGTTCTCATGTAGAGAAACCGGGCCTCGAGATACACGCCACAAGCTGACTTCTCTATCCCAGAAGCTCATGACGAGTCGGGAAGAGGGTGCGGAAGTCAATTGAGGGATCTGAGGCAGGCTGGACAATTTGCGGTGGTGCTCTTTTCCAAATTCGCGCAGAGGCAAGACGACGGGGGTGGCATCGGGACCTGGAAGTAATTAATTAGCAACCATGGACTGGGCTCGGACGAGAACAGAGACATACCTCCAGAAACAGCAATGCTAATATCCTTTGTCTCGTAGACAGCAAAGGTCTTAACATCGTGAGAGTGGTATCTACGATGCATAACCTCTGCCCATCGAGACTTCTTATCTCCCTTCTCACCCTCCTTCTTGCGGTAGACGACAGTTCTCTGGTCTGCACCTCCACTGATGACAGTATCTCCGTTCGCGCTCACGGCAACATCAAGACAGTCTGCCAGATGACTTTGAATCCGCTGAGTGAGGGAGTAGTTCTTAGCATCCCAGAAGCGAATTTCACCGGCAGAGTCTCCAGAAACAATTGTGCCATCTGGCAGACACTTGACTGACCAGACCAACATCTCCTTCGGGCCACCGGACGGACCCTTTCCAAGTGATATTGTGCGCAGTTGTTGACCGTTGCGAATATCAAACAGACGAATGGAGCTATCAGCATAGCCCGCGACGATGGTGTGGCGGTTCTGGAAGGTAACGCTGAGCACGCGAGCTTTCTTGGTGGAAGGGCGCATCAAACGAAGAAACTTGACATCGTCATCTGCGGTAGACAAGACCACGATAGATCCATCGGCGCATCCAGCGACGAGGTGCTGGCCGGTGTACTCGCCCTCAGCAGGAGGAAGGAATTTTCCATCCTTGCCCCTCTTCGTTGGCTGCCAGCGCGGCTGGGCCGCGAGACACCAGATCTCTCCGTAGTTTCCGCTGGAGTGACGCAGAGGACGTCCCTGCTCAATGTCCCACTCAGTGACAGCCGTTGAGTAACCAATGCTGAACAGGCGCAGCTTGCCCGGCAGCTTGGAACCATCAGGTCCCTCCTCGGAGGGATCAAGGGTCCAGGTAAGACCCTCAATACTGCGATCCTTTCCTCCGCGCAAGACCGTCTCCTGGAACCAGGCGCCACGCAAAGGGTTCCATATTTCGATATCGCCGTTCGCACGACCGATCGCAAGTCGGAGGGTAGGCACACCACGTCCAGCAAGATCAGCTGACGGCGGGTGGGAAAATGCGAGCGAGTTGATCGCTTGGGGGTTGTAGGACACGAATCGACAGCGGTGGATATCCATGGCTAATGTGAAGGGCTTCTGTTGAAGCCGAAGCGCTCTTGCAGATCGAATATAATGTTTGGGTGCGAAAGAACGAAAATCGTGGCTTTTTATTATCAATTCAGATCAGTTCCAACTCGGGCTGTGACGCCAGCCCTTAGATGCTCATATCGTAGATTCGAAGTGGTATTGTCGTGCGGTGTCGAAGCTGTCCGTCTGCTGCGCGTTCACTTTTTTTTCTTTAGATAAATTTTAGCGGGCCGGAATATCTTGGCGGAAGGCGTATGGTCACGTGATGTGGTGCCCTGTATCTCAGGCATCAACGTTGAAGCTATCACTGGCAATGTCATTGTCAGTGCGGAAATTGAATCCCATGGGATTAGGTGAGTTTGCTATTAATTCGATGCTTAGAAGGACATTATGATGACGTTGAAAAATAAAAATAAAAAATGATATTGCGGATTATCTTCTCACAAAGTGCTACCCGCGTATGAATCGGCAGTGGAAAAAATAGTTCAAAGTATAACCAAGCAAGTAAGTTACCACCGCATTTAAGAACAGGTCAAAGGGGTTGTCATGAACGTTCGAGCCTGGTTTTTAATTTACGTCTTTAAAACACACAGCGTACGCCATAACAGAGCGGCATATCTTGAGTCCCCAGCCGCCCAGAGTCGCCAGTGCAGAATTTCAAATCGATCAATTGGTAAGGAGCGGTCAGATTTCTTATCAAGCATTCCACATATAGACCAGTCGGCGGTTGCTGATCAGAAGTGCTAGACCAGCCGTGCTTGTATGGCGATTAGGGGATGCGGCAGCACTATTGGGTACATGGGTGTGCGTCCAGGCGTCTCGACCCCAGACGATTGGGCAACCATCCCCAATTCGGGTATCGGTAGCGGCTCCTATGTACGCTAAGGGCTAGTGTGGATAGACCGGATATGCCAGAAGCAAGGAATCTGTTAGCGACAGTAAGCAATGCAGTGACATTCTGGGACAGGCCGCAGCTGAAAGAGTCGCTGATTGCCCCCGGGGACGTGACACTCGGCCAATCCCCGATGCGAGGAAGACCGGCTTGAAGCTGCCATATTAGTGCTTTGCACTGCATGTAATTCTGCGTTCACTAGGCGTGCCACGTCAGAAGCAGCCCCATTCGACTTTGACATGGTGTGGCTGATCCTGATTCATGCATATTGTATGTATCAGATTCCAGAGAAATGTCGCACAGAGGCACTCTGATAGGGTAGATCAAGCTTGGTAGTGCAGCACGCATGCGATCGTCACTGTCAGGGAACAGGATGAGAGTGCGCAGTGGCTGACGGGGGGGGGTTCTGTCCCGGTTTCATTGGATGGTGTCACGGCAGAGTTGCGCGAGGGGAAAGACGAACTCGGACATTCTTGTCCACCCAAATGAATATTGCTGCCCTCATCCATAGAAGCTATCATGGTACAAGGGCATCTTGATGCGATTGTCCGGAAAACAGGATCGCTAGGATGTGATTTGGTGGCTGGCGAGTTCGTGCTGACAGGGAGGGCTCGGGCGCACTTACAGTCGAACGAGATAAGCACTAAGATCCTAGTACCTTAAGATCCCGTCAGTTTGAGATCACAGAGTTCCCCAGGTCTATCTTTTCCCCGAGAGAGAGGGAGAGAGAGAGAGCCTGAGTCGGAGTCAAATCCATGTTCTCCTCGTATACTGCCTTGGTCCGGGTTAAAGAGTTAAATTGCAAGATCCACTGGGGGCTGTGTGAATGGCACGATCTCACGAGATCTGGCCCCCGATACCCCGCTTCTCTAGCATCCGGATTTCGCAATGAAACCGATCAAGTCCTGAGCCAGTCAAAGCCACGTTCGGGCTCCATCCACGGTCTATCAATTGCACTATCAAACCGTGTTAGATTGATATATGTCCATTCGTAGGATCGTGTGCTTTTCGGCTCAGGAACTGGGAATTGGCGGGAGCTCGGACGCAGGTTAGTGAGCTTAGACCCCGACTATCAGTCCCAATTAAGGCCATCCGACCCCGTTACGATATTTCTCTAGCCCTAAATAGAGACCGGGAGATGAGAGACTAAGACATCACCGTCCAGATCCACGGCTTAGGTCCATTTCGTCAGTGTCGGAGAAGGGAACGATATTTCGGATCAGCAATATAACTGCATTGTCAATCTCAGGCAATGGCCGAATCAGCACACATGCAAGCGTCGATTGGGCTTTGCGCCAAGCTTGAAAATAAATTCTTGTTCCGGGCTCCCGTATACGGAGACTGACCGAGCCGCTGATCTGGTTGTCGTACAAGCATGTAGATATCATGCTACTCAAATCGAATCTTTAGCCATGGCTTAAAGTCCGTTGCAAGGTTATATGCATTAAGTGTTTATTTCGTTGAGACTTTCTCAGGTCAGCCACGGTCTAACAAGCGAACGCGCAAGACTAACACGAAGTGTGGGACGCGAGGCCGGCGATGACGGCATAGCTCGATTTATGCCGAGGCCGCCTAAACAGTACGCAGAAATAGTGAGTGTAGGGCGCCCCGAAGACAGGTTGTAGCCTTGCACTGCAGGGAAAGTTTTCCAAATCTCGTTATTGGGTCTCTCATTTCCTATTTATCCCCTTTCAGCCGAGCACCGTAGAGTTAGGTAATCCGTAACTATACAGAGAGCTCCGAAGTGGAGACTCTGTTCTTTACGCGACGGGTATACCCCACCTTGTTTTGGACTCTAAACTGCATTTAGTCTAGTGTCGTATGGAACAGCCTTACTGCTCCGACTACCTTTCTCTCTCAATCGAACAGGTCTTGCCTAGAAGCAGGGAGAACCTAAGATGATCCCAGTAAGACTCGGCTACTACCTCTATCCCTGAAAAGTAAATGCAAACACGATCAAGAAACATGGCCGGAATTACTTTTTAGCAAGCAAAACGCAAAGAAAAGGGGCGGGGAAAAGGGGACGAATTACACCCCAAAACCATGGTTGAGCCTCCACAGGCCTCGCCCGAGAAGCATCGCTATTCCTAAAAGGGTCATATTGTCTTGGCCATTGGATTCGCGTTGCTAATTAGCACCACTCTTATTCGTGGTGGGGTCACATGCGAGAATTTTTGCCAGCTCCATGCTTGACATTGAATTGCTCTTCAAGTCGAGTAGTTTTCCATTTTTGGATTTAAGCGACGATCGGGAATTAAGATAATGTAGTGGCTGGGTTGGAGGCGAACTTGCGATCTACAGTGTTTCGGAGGCAAATTGGCAGATGGGCCGCGCTGAGACGTGATGCAAGCTTGACGCAGCTTGTCCACGACCCAGGACCCTCCGCGAACTTAAGGACCACCAGAAAGGAAACGTCTGACATTGTGGAGCTGTTTCCACTACTGCAGAGAAAAACCTTCACGGCAATCTACACCTCTCCGCAGAGGGGCTCGATACAGAAAATTTTTCACCGGTCAAGAACATTTGTTCTTCTCCGATACTTACAACTCGAGAAGACGGTGAGCCTCGCAGCTCAGACAAGAAATACATGGCGATGGTAAAAGTAAAAATGTCTGCGAAATATACTAGGATGGGAAACATGTCGCATATTTATATTACGCTGTCTTAACATCTGTAAATAGATCCAGATACTAGTCTGAAAGCACAGATCTAGTATGTTCAAACGGATATTAAAATCTTAAGTGGTTAGTATCGAAAGATCTAGAAAGCCTCAAAATTTCCACTTTCAGTACTGGGCGTTTGTGCGTACGGTATCCGTTGCATCCGACCATCGCCACTCTGTCACGTCAAAAACGGCAGTGGACCGGAGAGCTATCAACCGGGTGGGGCGACCACGAAAAGAGCGTTTTGGATATGCTGCTTGTCCTCCGTACTATCCGGATAAGAAAACAGTCAAAATCTCATATTGACGCACACTACCATGGTTATTCGGTGCCGGTTCGGCCCTGCTGTACAACCATTGTTGAGGGTGTGGAGCTTTCGTTATATACTTGGATGGATCAGAGGCTTTCCATGGTTGCCTCGCCCCAACTTGTTAGAGGCAGACAGGACCTGTGGACGTCGATAGCGGAACGTATTCGTTTATCGAGGCTAAAACGGATCTCTGCTCTGTTACTTACAATCGGGTTGCTTCTTTTCCGCCTTGTAAGCAGGCTGTGGTATAGAAGCGTCTTGTACAGAGTATGTATATCCTACTGCAAGTCTCAGGATACGAACCCCAATTATCAACGTGACCCGGCACATTCGATGTACTATACTTTGTAAAGAACCGAATTGAAAGGAACGCCGATAAAATTCAATAGAAGGATACCTAGGTACTTGTGGTCTATCGAAGTGTGACCTAGATAAATACCAATCAGGCCACATCTGTTGAATGCAAAGTAAATCACAATGTGAGACGCGACTCATTCAAGGCTCAGGTCTGACCTGCATAACAAAGAGGACCCAGGCACTGTAGATCATTAGATCAACGCAAAAATCCGAAAGCCAGGCTCGAGCGGTGGCGGCCGCACTACCACCTCACACTGCTGTTAGTAAGCCGTAGGAGACTGTCTCCCTTGCGGAGGGAAAATGTGATCTGCAGGAACGGACTGCAGGGCAAACAAGCAACGTGGGAGAAACCAGTAAAGTGTTCTTTTCTGACATGCAAGAACGCAAGGGCGGGTATATCTATACCATGTCTCTCTACCCTGGGGTTCGGATTTTGCAAGAACCGCAGAAACAGAGAGGGTATCATCGAATGAGATGTCTCGCACGGAGATTAAGGTAGTCCTTCGCAAAGACTCCTCATTGGCTTGCATTTCCTAGGCCTTGAACTGAGCACAAGCCTAACCCCATGCTTGACACTTGGCTATCGAGGGCCAGCCAAAACTGTCTCGCAAATTGCAAAGAACAAGAGCCACAAAAGGCCGAAAGGTTCCAGAGTTGAAAGAATAATCAAATAGTCGTAGGGAGAATAATACTGAAAACATGATCAGAAGTTGCCATAGTCGTTTGTGAAGGCGCCGGGAAATATAACCAGCGAAGACCTAAATAGAGGCTAGACCGAAGTTTGAAAACCGCCCAGGCAGCGCATCAACGCATGCGTGCGACTTAGGCCGAACACCTGGCCTATCACTTACGGCAGCTAAAACCTAAGCTGAACGAGAAATTGAGCAGACACCACAGAAATGAACGCGCCCGAGCCGAGTCGATCACCACGATATAGTCGCCCCTTAAACGGAGGGCCCTTGCAATACCGGGTGTGGGCGTGTCCGACATGTGTCAGCCTGTTTCCAAGCCATCCAGGTCGCCATGGGTACAGCCGGGTCGCTATCGCTTCGCAAGCCCACGGGACAATGCACAGTAACTACGTGTTCTGAATGCTTTTCTCGGCCCCCAGTCCAACCCCTTTTTTTTGGTTGACCTTGGGCCGCTTTGCAATTATACCGCTCCGTCCAATGGTTTCCGGAGATCGACGGCTCGGAAGGTGTTAGATTGATTCTACTAACTTGGTTCGTTTGGCTTAGGGAACTGGATTTTTATTCTGGCTGGGCGTGGTACAGCATCCTGATGAGCAGTCCTTAATACATTGGCGACAAAGTACTAAGTGCCGCGCTATGCGTCTTAATTTAGAGCACGGAGGTTTCAATGCTGCATAAGCGGATGGAAAGCTCGGCTTTCCCCCGGCATGAGGCCTGTTTATCGAAACGCACGAATGCATGTGTATTGGGTATGCAGTTCTCGTCCAATGTGAAGAAACGCTCTATGCTTTCCAGCCGAAACACATAGCCCCTTGTTGCTCCGAAGCTGTCTACTGGAATTTTGAAATTTATTCTGCGAGGCGCTACATGGTGCCAGAGACTTGGAAAAAAGACTTGTGCATGTCCGCGTTTGAAGGGGAGTGCAGACCGAGCTTTGCGAAATGAAGCATTCCACTAGTTGGGGTATTCCGGCTATTGGGCCTGCAAAATCAGGGAAGACAATAAGGTTGCCCATGGGGTTTGGGGCTTTACACAAGTCCCTGGCATGCTTGGAAGACAAATTCTGACCATTGAACACTGCGTGTGAGCCGCCCACTCCTGCAAAGGACCGAGGGTCACGTTGGCGATCTACCTCTACATTCTGGCTGTGCCTATCGCTATCATCACCTCAATGTCCCTTACGTGGTCAGGTTGCACATTGTATCGAGGCCGTAGAGATCTACCGGCTCCCCACTTACCTTTTCTATTCACCTACCACGCATTGGACAAGTGGAGATAATTCGAGGCCTGCAATGTTCTTCCTAAAAGAGGTAAACGCCTTCATTCAGTACCATCACCTTCTGATCCGCATACCTGGGCGAGTTCAGGAAGCGAGCTGCATAGTCTGTTGCAGTACAAGCGGAGCATATCCCACGGTCCAGACCCTTGTGAATCGTGCCGGTCGGAGTGGCCCCATTGCAAAAACGGCCGAGTCGCATAAACTCCCATTGATAGCATGGAGTCATGATGGATTGACGAGTGGTCGAAGTCTAACTTCCTTCGGTAGCCTTACAGAGCGCCCAGTAAGGGTCTAAGCAAGGAGATCCCACACAAGCTCCGAGTCGCACTGCAATTCTGATCTATTGGCTAGGGTTTAACTAAGATGAGCAAAATGTCCCGTGTCCCCTTGTGTGCCTGTGTGCTTATGGAGTGCACCTGTGCCTTAGATGAGTTTCTGGAAATACGAAGGGGGGCAAATTGACCCAGACATCTCTTTATTGCAAACCTTATCTGGGATTGCGAGACCTGGGACAAATCAGGTACATCCGTCGGGTCTCACAGGTAGCCAAGACGGGGGGCAGTCGGCCATAGTCTCACGTAGCAATCGTCGCGTGTACGACCGACCCGGAGATAAGGCGCAATAGCGACGGAATGAGCTGAGGCCAAGTAAAGTGGTCAGGGACGCGAAGGAACGCGAACGATGTAATATGTAACTCCAATCGAATCAAGTACCATTGAAAGAAGATCCGGGAACGTGGAGCCACTGGCTGCTTGGGACCCGAGAGAGAACCTGCTTTTGCGACCGAATCATCCCCCACATGGCAACGCAGGCGAGATGAGATCCCTGTAGTACCGAGGAGGCTCGCGTTCAGAGGGGCCAGGCAAAAGCCACAGAGAGTTCGACAATGTATCCACCAGCTGAACGACACGAATGGCTGGGGCAAGGACCGGCAAGAAGGGCAGTATGCCAGGGTCATCCTGGCCAGTCAGGGAGCATAAGCGGCAGGAGGCCCTGGAACGCGAACGTATCGGGCCAAGAGGGCTGGGTGAACCATTGAAGCCCCGGCACAGCGCTAGCCAGTCCAGGGGGCCTTCTATGACGAGCCAACAGGAGCCGATTTGCATACGCGGTACGAGTCGATCTTTAGGTTCTCGTTTCAAGGAGACAGGTATAACCACTCTAGGGAGCTAATAAAGTATGTGCTAAAGAGTCGTGACGTAAAAATTGCCGTGTCTCTACCCAAGGACATAAACAGAATGGGAAAATCAAAAGGGGATGGTCGGAACGGAGATCTCTCCACCGAGAAAGGAGCAAGCACTAAATTGGGTGACTTTCGAGATTCGTGAGCCAGTCGGGCGGGCAGAAGATCGAAATACTGTACTTCGGCACTAAGTGTATGCGGAGCAAAATGACTGGGTCGCGGCAGACCCAGATACTGTACGAAAGTACGGAATCGAGGTACGCAGAACCAGGAGAACATGACCCAACTCAAAATTGTTAGACCATATAGTCATGGTCAAGATGAGAGATACCCCTTCGTTATTGAACCATAGTTGACCGTGGTTGATCTATCGAGCTTACACTTCAACCCGGAGGTAGGCGTGTGTAATGTGCCCGTTTCCCACGCGAGCAAGGGCCACTCCGGGCACAGGCCGTCACTCCTGAATCGCCCCAGTGTGGGAAATTGGAAAGGCCATTTCAACCGCCTAGAAGCTGTAACTTGGAATCTGGAATCTAAAAACCTGTCTAACTATGCCAATCGTTAATTTTATCCCCGTTCTTACTATGGACTCCGTATACGACCTATGCTCAGCCATGGTGTTTCCTAGGTTAAGAGTGGAGGCCGGCGTAAACCGTAGTTCAATACGCGGAGTTTAGCCCTGAGGGCACAAGTCACTTCCACCCCCAGTAACCCTTCACGGGGGGAAGAAAATACAGATGTAAAACCACGGCGAAACTGGTAGATGAGGGTTTCAAACCACCCACTGGTTGCAGTTCGTCCTTGCAGGGTCGGGGACAGGTCAAAATTAAAGCCCCGCCTCCCTTTACCAATACGCGGTACCTGAGGGTAATCAGTAATACCCTGGTACCTTCAATACCTTCAGCCTCCACCCGGAAACCTCGTTATGACGGTACCGCACAGCTAAGCTGCTGGTATCTCCGTGTCTTTTGTCTCAGCTCTCTCTTCTTCTTTTCTTTCCCACACCCGCCTGGAGAGAGAATCCGAATTCCTCCTCCTTGTACTCCTCCCCTCCCTTCTCTTCTTCTATACTCTTTTCTTCTTCCCTTTTCTCCTCCCCTTGCCAATTCACGGAGAACGGAGAGCCTGGCTGAGAGAATCACTTCCTTCAGCCCTTCCTCCGGTCGAGTCGAATCCCCTCCTCGAACTTGACGATCCTCCTCAATTCGACGTTTGTTAGCTCAAACGGCGAACCCTTCGTCCCTGCCCGACGGTGCCTTCCTGATCCCCGGACTACCCCGGACGAATCCCTCCCTGCTCCAGCTCCTACCGGCTAGACGAGCGACAGCGTGAGGACAACATCTCGAATCTTCGGATGATACGAAAACTCTCGCTTTTCGTCTTCTGATTGACTTTGAGTCTGATAGTGTGGGTAAGTCGTGAAAATATTTTTAGGGTCAGTGTGGTTGGGTTGTCCAGGACGGCAATCTCGAAATCCCTCGGCAGGCATCGACACCAGTATACCCTTAACGGGAGACATGTGGAAGGCTAGATTGGAGAGGTCAATATTGCTGTAGGCGGCTTGGAGGTCTGAGAGGGGAAAGGGGTCAATGCTGGAGAGCACCCGTTCAAGGTGGTCTCTGCATGCCCAATTTCTGAAAACTCCAGATCCCAGGACGCTGAGGTACCTATTCATGCCATATCCGGAGAGTTGAAAATTCACCATTGTGGTGTGAACGTCGAGAGTATGGCATATGCACGTTGGGTCTGGGTGGATGGTGGCAGAGGGAGAAGGGAAATTGATATTCAAGTGGGAAACACTTCGGAATGCAGTCTCCAGGGTCCCAATGCCATGCTCACCTAGGATCTGACTTGTTTATCAATCCTGGACTGTTCTCCTCTCTTCGGCCCGGGGTTGAATTAAGGGGTCGTGAAAACCCTGTACTGGGGTTGAACATGCCGATGGGTTTCGATGATCACTAACCAGGGCAACACATGCCATTGACTGCCACTCTGTTGCCTCCGAGGATATGGTTGACTGACCCGTTTGGACCGATTCAGGATTCTTTAGTTCCAAGACTTTTTGACCGTCATTCGTTTCTCTGAATGACATCTGAGAGTCGTTGAGCGACCCATCTTGCAGTCTCCCTTTCAATCCGCTCGGAGGTTCATTCAGAACACGTTAACTCGTGAAGTGTATGTCGTGGCCATTCCAGTTGCACGTTCCCTCCCCTGACGATCTGGTCTTCCCATCCTCCCCTGCATAAAGTCATCCTGTGTCCTGCACTCCACATTCCATAAGGCCCTAGGGGTGAAGACGTTCGCTCGTGCTTCATCTCCAGGACTGGCATCCACCACAATCTTAATCCATTCCTGCGTGCTTTCCTAGCCTAGATGCCATCGCCGTTACGGTAAGGGTTGCATTGTACCCTCTGCCCGAAGGCTGTTACTGGGTTAGTATTCTCCGAAGGAGTTGACAACCCTTTTCCACTGGCTCTTGATATCAAAGGCCTTTCCATCTCGTCTTCTCTTCCTTCACCTCACTTCACTCACTTGTCATACTCGTCGCTTTTGCCCTAATTATAATTCCTAATCACGGCACCGGTCCGCTAATACGCCAGTCCCTCCAGCTTTTCATTTTTCGAAGACTTCCTCCCGGCATTCCGGCTTCCTTCCCAGCAAGACTATTGTCTCGACGCTGGTGTCCACTCTTTAATCGTTACCAACTACATCTCCAGTCATTCATTTCAACAACTAATACCCGACGACTGTCATTCTCTTAACTCCGTCGTTACCTGTTCAGCCCCCGCTATTCAGGTCCCTTCACTCGGTATTAAGCAAAGCTAATTCAATCTCGCCCCTCATCCACGGTCAACCGTCAAATACCTTACGACAATCATGGATTACATTCGTCCTCGTTCAGGCTTCCAGCCTTGTGAGACCTTCTTCGTGGAGGATGACTATCGTGTTCGTGCCGAGAAGCAGGCCAAACAGGAGCACGAGAAACTCGTGGCTCGTGAACGGCAATATGCTATCGCGGATCAGCTGTCCAGACTCACCAGCGAAGAGCTTCGGGACGATGTCCTCAGCCACATGCTGGAGATTGATGTAAGTAGCTGCCAGTCTCGGCTATTTCTTGTTTTTGTTTTTTATGTGGGTGTGGCTAATCATTATTATCAGGGCCAAACGCTCCCGGACGTTGAATCGATCGATATCCAAACCGAGATCCAGTGGTTCATGCGCCCGTACCTCCTTGACTTCCTGATCGAGGCCCACACTGCCTTCCAACTTCTGCCGTCGACATTGTTTCTGGCCATCAATCTCTTGGATCGTTACTGCTCCAAGCGTGTGGTCTACAAGCGTCACTACCAGTTAGTTGGTTGTGCGGCTCTCCTCATCGCTGCGAAGTACAACGACAAGAAGGATCGCGTGCCCACTGTTAAGGAGCTGAAGTCTATGTGTTGCTCCCTCTACGATGACGACATGTTCATCCAGATGGAATGGCACGTTCTTCAGACCCTTGGTTGGACCATTGGCCACCCTACCGTGGACAGTTTCCTGCAGATTGCCGTTCTCGACGAGGTCTACGATCCTGAGGTGGAGCACATGGCTCTCTACGTCCTAGAGATTGCTCTGTTCCACCGTGACTTTGTCTCTAAGTCTTCGTCTGAGCTCGCTCGCGCTGCCTTGGCTCTGTCGCGCTGCATTCTGAACCGACCCCAGCCTCGGCACACTGACTGGGCCGCCCAGTATGACTCAACGACTCTTGTTGGCCTGTCTCAACAGCTTCACCAGCCCTCTACTGTGGTTGCCCGGAAGTATGCCTCGGCTCACTACTCCCGGGTCTCCAAGGTGCTGGAGCACTTCCTCAACCGCCAGGCTTCTTTGTCCAACTATGCCCGTTGCACCCCACCGGTCGAGACTCCAGTGGAGTCAAAGCCGTACAATGGGGAGATGGGCCTTGCCACGCCTCAGAAGTCTTCGCAGTTGACTGCCGTCCCGCACGGATATCTCACCCCACCTATCACACCAGAGAACGTGGGATATGCTCAGGCACAAATGGGTAACCATGAGCTGAGCAGGGATGTCCCCTCTGTGCCCGGCTGCTCTCCATCACCAGCTCCCGAGGTTGAGATGCAGTACATGGCCACCGACGCTTACCAGCAACAGGAGGCCATTTACATGTCTCAGCAGCAGCAACTACAGCAGTTCCCGCACCCCCAGATGGCACTGGACCCGACGTATGCTAGTGTGATGTAAAAGAAAAGGACAACAGAAGAAGCAGCATCAGCCCAAAAGTGTTTCGGCGTCTTGCACATATTCTCGGTGCGCCTTTTCTTCTCTTCTCGACCCGCATAGAAGGAGCGTCTGCTTTGTATTGTCACAGCACTCCTCCTAATACAACTATAATCCGCTATGCGCTTCTTCGCCTCGTCGACCTCGTGCCATCCCCCGACTTGACCATCTTCAATCATCATTGAAAGCTTTGCATATCAGCTTCGGTCAGCAGAACCGGAGTTTGAACCCTCCCCATTTTTCTCTTCTTGTTCCAAAAATTGCATACCCTTCTCGTTCGTGCCCGGATCGTTTCTGGGTCATCATTTGCATTTTGTTCTCATTTTCCACATAGCATTGCAAGAGCGAGCCATTCTGATTTTTGTCATCCTGATTGCATCGTGTTGTTTCCTCCCCCACACCACACATTTTCACTTCGCATCTGTCGAGGAAAAACATACACTCTTCCTCCGGCAACTTTCTGTCTTGCTGCGCGCCCGCTGGCGCTGCGCCTTTGCATCCCCCAATACACTCATTACGATCCTTAGCAGCACTGCTGCGTCGACCCCTTGTCACCCAACCCCAACCCCAACCCCCCCCCCCGAAGAAAAAAAAGCCTTTAATGTGTCTAGCCTCACATTTCATCCTTTCTTAAGGAATCGGAGTGTACTATCTTGTCATTGTTCTTCACCTTTCCCTATCCGGGAGCGCGGGCAGATAGGTCACAGGCCACAAAAAAAGCAAAAAAAGAGCGAAAACCTGCAAAAAATAATATTGCGGTCTCCTGGGGAGCTGAAGGCTGAGACCTGAGATTGAAACCATCCCCCCCTTGTACCCCTCTTTGTGTACCTAGCCCGAACATGGCCCTTTGCTGCTAACTCCGCTTCGGCGTGAGGTCAGTGGAAGGTGCTTTTGGATTTCTGTGTGGATTCGAAACTGCCACATGGCCCACGAATGATATCCAATTCTGTGGAAACCTTTCCAAGTGTAGACCAAAATTATAGATTGAGCTTGTAACCCGTGCGAACGTCGCGGTCTGGTCTGGAAGCCCGAATCCGACCGAATCCACGCTAGTTTTCTGGGTCTTCATATCCGGGTGTCAGTCGGCCCCCTTAGTTCCCGGCAACCAGTAATGCCGGCTACCACTTCCTAGCTGTTTCTCCCTCAATGGATAACTTTCAGAACATCTGTTGGCGAGTCAAGATCGTCTCACATGTGCACGGTATCTAAGGAACTAAACCTAGTGGTTGTTCCTGTGGGCTGCTTGATATATATGTTTAACCATTGTCTACTCTCCGGAGGTCCCGAATATGTGTTAAATATATATACGATGCACCCTTCCCCCCTCACCTGACTAGTTACCACATCCTTCTAAATTTACCATCGTATACATATTGTGCACATGACCGCTTAATCAATAACCCGCCCTCCCACCTGGATACGCACACCTCATAAGATGCCCCGGTGCACTAGACCGAAGATAGCCCAGCTCTACATGCCTAAATTGGACTCGAAAAGTAGACCGCAAGCTCGGCCACGACCCACCATTGAAGCGGTCAGGACTGCCCCAAGCAAACTACTCTACTAGCTCGCAACTGCGACCACCAACCAAGGCCTCCAAGAAGACCACCTGGGCATCTGGCCAACCATCATACTGACAGGCCTCATTCTCTCTCCCCTAGGCAATTACCTGGTATAATTATCCCTTCCATTCCATTCAAGCTCCATCTGGACCCACAGAGCGCAACCATGGATCGCCCGTCCATACCCGCCCCAACAGCCAATCACCACGCCATTACGGGGCACTATGTAGAGACGTGGACCCAGAATCCCAAAAGAGTAGAAAGTAAATAGTCCCAAAAATAATCATTGATCAGGTGACCATTTCAACTTATCTACTAAGGAAAGCACAAGAAACATTCAGAATTCAAGTATTATTGAACCTTGGAAAGGTGTGGAGAAGTAGCACACATTGAACACAAATTCGCTCAGTTGAAACAGATCCCAATTCCCCCCCCATCGCTATGCAGAACCCTCACCAGAAACCCACAAAAAAAAAAGAAGATAAAAAAGAAAACAAGGGTGGTAAACCCGCTGTATCGCCTGCAACCGATGCTGCCAGACGGATGCGTAAATGATAATATGACACGTGTTACCGCTCTCCGGGATGGTCCCTGAAGAGGCGGTAAAGAGGGAGGAGAATAGACGTATAGACCGATGAATGAAAGTACATTGCCTATCGGGTAGATAGGCAATGGCACCCGTAAAGGGGAGCAATGAGAAAGGAAAACAAGAAAAAGAAAATCAAAAAGAAGCGAGACTGAAACGCCCAACTCGGAAATAACTCCAGAGAATGAGAATAGTGGTACACGGGCCGGAAGCAGGGGGAAAGAGAGTCTTTGACGCAAGAATGGGGGATCCACTCTATTTTTTTCTTTCCCCAGTGCCTCACGCCCTGGAAATCCGGGGCAGGACATGCCCATGTCCGCAAGAAGCAGCAGGCCGGTGGGAAAGCAGCCAGGTTGGCAAGGACCAGGACCTTAGGGAGGTCCAGGCCCGATCTGGGTCAGGGGTGATGATCGGTGCCGGTGACGATAGATAGCGCATCCCTTCATTTGAGCGTTTGTGGAAAAAGGGGGCGTCGACGAGGCTCTCAATGCGCGAGTTTCCGTCATTGAGGGAAATCGGTGCAGAGTGCTTGAAGGGCACTTTGGATTCCTTGTCGATCGCCGCCTCACTTTTTCTTTCTTCGGCTTGGTCCCATTTGGTGTCACTGGCAAGGATCTGGAGACGCGCGCGGATAAAGCGGACGCCCCAATCGAGCTGGACTGGACTAGGCATGCTCCTGCTCCTGCCTCTGCTGCTGCTGCTTCCGGGGGACAATTGTTGGCTAGATTATTTCCAGCGTTGTTTGTCCCAGTCGGACGGCCGTGTTTCGTCGTAGATTTGGCCGCCCTGATTGTGGACGATGACGGGTGGTTTTCGAGCGGGATTGGCGGCTGGAGAGCGCGTATTAGCCTGATTCTGGAGATCGACTTGGGCTGTCATAGTGGTTGGAGACTCACTTCGGACTTCGGTGGCAACGACGGGGTCCCCGGCGCTACCTCTGCTTGCGAGGGTGGAATTGGAGTCGTTGTTGACTTTGTGTGGCATGGCGGAAAGGGGTATTAGATGGAATAGATGGAATAGGTGGAATAGGTGGAATAGGTAGAATAGATGAAATAGATGGAATCAAAGTGAGTGAGGCTGAGAACGGGCTGATGTAGTCTCGGGCTAGACAGTGTTGAACTGTGTGCAACGAGAACTAAGGTAAAATATTATATGTCAGAGTCTATATCGAAGGAAATGTCGAAGTATAAGTGCAGGAAGTGAAGATGTCCGGGTAGATGTGTATAGGAAGACAGGAGGACCATGGACCTTTTTGTATACCCCAGGCCATTCCCAATTGGGCGTGCATCTGATCGACTCCGGGGGAGTGGACTAAGAGACTGGAACTAGACTGGAACTAGACGGGAATGGATCGGCCGTGTATCGGGGTGCCTGGTATTACATAGATCCATTTGATCGGTTGGTGAGGAAGCCAGCGTGGAACGCAGGGCAGCCAGTGACCGTCCCGGGTGACCGTACGACCAGGTATCACCGATACGGGGCTGAGTCAGCCATTCTTGGACTTGGGAGCTGGGACCTGGTTACTTCAGTTACCTCAGTCTAACTGCTCCAGGAACAGCTCCAAGAATAGTAATGAGCTCCGGTTTCCTCTGGATTCCTCAGCCTCACCGCTGTCCTGGATCGCGCACCAATCATCGTAGGGATGCCCGGCTGCGTCGAATGGCTCAGGTACCCAGGAACTCCGTGATGTCAACGATCCAGGGGGAGAGAGAGAGCTTCACCGACTGACTCCACTCGGGTCCAGATTCTCCCCTGCCGAATCAAGACGACGGTCTATTCAGTGGACTTGGACCTTGCGGGTGATCATTGTACTGGTCTCGCCAATCGATGGATCCCGATCGTCCTTTCGGCCTAACCTCGCGTTCCTCTAATTCCGCTTGCCCTGAGATACCGAGGGTATCCGGCCTCTCCCTATCTGGTATAAAACATGCAATTCGCGTCTTGTCTGCGTCACTGATCTCGATCGAGATCCCTTCCCCGGAGGACGTAGGTGGCTGCAGATTTGGGCACATAACACCGGTCGACCAAAAAAAAAAAGAATATAACATGTCTACAAAATGAATGAGGCTGCATGACGGGGATCACCGGGATCCCTTGAGGCTTTGAAGCTACTACCCGTTCTAGAACTTGTCTACCGCTCTGGGCCTCCGCCCTCCCGCTTCATTCGCTCCTCCCATCCATTCATACTCCGCCGAATCCCCAGCGTCCGTCGCCCTGCGCCCTGTTGCCGTACACTCGCCATTGTCGTCGTGTGAAACGTGACCGACTGGATGCCGGCGGGGCTTTCCTGTTTTGCCCTCTCCGGCCCCGTCCCTGCTTCCGGGCTGTTTCCATTAGGGGGCTGCGTTAGCATCCTCGCGGGTTTTACGGCTGGTCTGGACGGAGCCGCCATCCACGTATAGTTGCTTGGTTGAGCGGGCTCCAGGGCCGGTCGACTTGGTTGGAGGGGTCGTGGTTGGAGGCGGTGCGATGTGAGCGCAGGCGGAACGACATCTGGCCCTGGGCGTGATGTCGGGGCTGTCGGGTGACTCCGCTGTAGCTGAATAGATGGTCGACTGGCGGGAAGGGGTTCTCGTTTCTGGAAGGATCCCGGCCCACCAAAGAAGTTGGAGATACTGGCTTGGGTCAGCCCGTCCTTGCGGCTGGCGGTGCTGGATGTCTTTGACCTGATAGGGGCCGGTTCGAGGGCAGCTTTTGGTGCAGGTTCAGCGACTGGTTCCTGGCTTGCTGCCGTAGCTGCGTAATCTCGAGCAGAGAGGAAGCCCGTCGAGAGCGTTGTAGACACTTGGAAGTTGGCCGAGCTGTTCATCAGACTGCTCGCTGACATGTAGGTCGTAGACGTTGGCTGGTTGACCTCAATCCGTCGCCGTTTCGGGTTCGACCCAGCCAGGTCATTAGGATCCACGGCATCCTTCCACTGCCCATCCTCGTCCTTCTTCTCCTCGCCTTCGGCAGTCCATCGATCGTCCAGGGTGGATGGTAGTGAATTGAGATCCTTGTACATATCGTCGGCAGTGGGACGTGGCCGTCGTAGGATATCAGCAATCGCATAAATGACTTTCTCCTGTAATTGAGGCCCCTTCGGACGAAAGCGCTCTTTGACCAATTTTGGCGTTAGAAATGGTGTCAAAGTAGTCGAGCCATCCTCGCCCTCGCCGAGTCGGGGTTGTCGTAGAGGGAGGCTCAGGTACAATAAAGCTTGGGCTCGGGTCATGGCGACATACAGCAGTCGCCTCTCTTCGTCGATTACCTCGGCCCGTGAGTGTGGAATACTCCCATTGTAAACAGCCGGGATGAAAACAACGGGCCACTCGAGACCCTTGGCTGCGTGGATCGTAGATATCGTGACTTTCTCTGTTTCCGTCTCGCCTTCTTTAGTGGCCTCTGTAGCAAGAGCAACGTTGGCCAAGAATTTGGAGAGAGCTTCTTCACCGGCGTGTGATTGCTCTTGCTCAACACCTTCAATCTCAGGAAGGTCCTCTTCTTGGGCCACGTCCCCAACGGAGGCGGCAGCATCATTGGCTTGGCCCATCAGTTCCCTGACGTTGGCCCAGCGACTGTCCTCATCCAGTGGATAGGCTCTCATAAGATAATCCTGGAAGGACAGACTGTCTGTGATGTGTTCAAGAAGCACGCATGGCGCAGAAGCATCAGCACATTCCTGTAATTTCTGTTTCGCAGCTTCAATGAGCTTGACCAAGGAACAAAGACCCTGCTCTGCTGCCTTTTGCAACTTCTTCTCCGTCGACCGGCGACCTTGAATAACGTCTTTAATGAAAGTCCAGAGTGGAACTTGAGCCTTGTCAGCGCCACCAGTCAACTGTTTTATAGTCTCGTCACCGATCCGACGAGGTGGAACGTTGATAATATTAAGCAGTGCATCTGCATGCCCCGTGTGGCTCACAACCCTGAGGTAATTGACTAAAGTTTTAACCTCCGTCCGGTCAAAGAACTTTCGGCCTCCGACCATCTTATAAGGAATACCCGCTCGCCCGAACGCCGTTTCAATGCGCGTGGACAGTGAGGCTGATCTGAGCAGGACTGCAATATCTGACATTCGCACAAGGCCCCCGGTCATCGCAACAGCTCGCTTGATCTCAAGCACCATCCAGGTGGCCTCTGCATTTGCCGTCGGGAGTTTCCTGAGTACAGGTAACGTTCCGAATGAGTGGGTTGGTTGTAGTGTCTTTGCAGGCCGTGTTGTATCCTGCTCAATCACATCCTGAGCAGACTTCAAGATGGATGCTGACGAGCGATAGTTGGATTCGAGCAAGACGATCGATGTATTTGGGTATCGCCGCTGCATGCGTCTGAGATTTTGAATTTCTGCTGAGCGAAACCCGTAGATACTCTGGTCGGGGTCACCAACGATCGTGATGCGTCGGTTCTGGGCGGCGAAAAGGTTCATCAGGTCGTATTGAATGGTATTTGTGTCTTGAAACTCATCGACCAAGACGGTCTGAACGTTCGATACACACTCAGGGTGTTCTCTGAGAAGATCGCCGCAGCGTACTAGCAGGTCATCATAGTCCAGGAGGCTTGAATCAGCCAGCGCTGCTTGATAAGCGCGGTAGATATCAACCACCTCCATCTCTTCTGCCTTTGCCCGTTCAGCCAAGGCATCAGGGGTGATTCCCTGAGCCTTGTGGCGGGAGATCTTTCCCTGGGCAGTCTTCACTTCAATGGTAGCATTCAAGCGTTTGATGATTCTCTGCTAATTGCATTAACGGCACGGAACCAAAACACACTAAGACCGACCTTGAAGACTCACTCGTAAGATAGCGCGACTATCATCCGAATCCGCAATACCAAACCCCTTCCTCAGACCGATCAAATATCCATACTTGACCAGATACCTCCGACAAATAGAATGGAAAGTACCTAGAATCAACCGACTTTCCAAACGCTCACCGATAAGTTTGGCCAGGCGCTCACGCATCTCGCGGCTCGCCTTGATCGTGAAAGTGCAACAAATGACATCTTGAGGTAGGTATCCATGGTGAGAAAGCAGATACGCGACGCGTGCTGTCAGCGTCTTGGTCTTTCCGGAGCCCGGGGGCGCGAGGACTTGCAGGACCGGCGCAGACGAGGTGACTGCGTCCCGCTGGGCAAGATTCAGGCCATCGAGAATGGGATCCATGACATCTCGAGGGCCTTGATTGTCCCAATAGGGATTGGGTGGTTCGCCAAGAGTGAGACGCGCCAACGCGCGGTGTCATGTGACATTATTGAAGAAGTGCGCATTATGCATGCACAACCGTGGTCAGTGTCCCTAGGCTGGGAAGTTCGTCTTAGTAATTTGCAATGCAATGTTATTATGTAAAATAAGGTTTTTTAGTGAGCATGATTGTGGATGAGGATTGAATGTAGGCAGTTTTGGCCGACACCTGTGCAGCCACCACCGTCACCGTCCCATACTTAGTCCACGAGTGGAGAGTTATTAGCACATTTGATAAATTCTACTACTATCCCTAGTAAGGCAAATCCTCCTTCGGGGCTCGGATTAGTCGGCTGATGGCAAAAGAATCAAATTAGATATGGGTTATGTATTCTTATGGGTATGGGCGTCAGGTATGACCTATACGCAATCAAGCCAATACTCCGGAGTAAATGGCCTCCCTGCAGGGAATGCTGGACAGAGCGCTGAGACCACATCACAATATGTACAGAATAAAAATAGTAAAGGTAAGTCAGCACCTCTGGGTATCAACGCCATGCACCACAACACAAATGTCTCTCTTCCAAGGCTCGGGGCAGCCAACGAAAATATTCTATTTGCTGAAGATTCCCAATGGAAGAGTCATGGCCACTTCAAAGTTGGGCACGTTGACAATTTCAGCAATCTTCAGGTCCGCAGCCACACTGGCCAGGATGTAGGCCTCGCTGGGAGTAAGCCCCTTGGTCGAGACGAGCCATTGAACAAGGTTGCGAGTCGCGATCTTCGCAGCCTCGAAGATGTCAGGCGAGACACCGAGCACGCCGTAGGTTCCAAGGTCCGGAATAGGGTTGGCTATTTGAGCCATAGGGGGGGTCTGGTATTGAGGGGTCGTCACCCAGGGTTGGTTCTTGCAGAGTTCGAAGCGGAGGGTTGCGCGGATAGGAGTTTCGATGGCGGTGCCGCAGACTTCGCCGTGACCCTGAGCAGCGTGTCCATCACCGCAGCTGAAGAAGGCTCCAGCGGTCTGGACAGGCAGGTAGACAGTCGAGCCGACACCCAGCTCACGGCAGTCCATGTTGCCACCGTGGTTAGTGGGCGGCACGGTCGACAGCTCTTCGTCATTGCCGGGGGCCAGCCCCATGCATCCAAGGAAGGGACGGAGAGGGATCCGCATGTCCTTGAACTGAGCGTAACCCTTCTCACGATCGAGAGACCATATCTTGATCTCAGGCTCCGGGAAGTCCTCGGCCAGAAGACCAAAGCCCGGGATGATGGCGGACCAACCCCAGTCGGCCACTTCGAGGTTCAGGACCTCGACCTTGAGAACATCGCCGGGTTGGGCATCCTCGACGAAGATTGGACCGAACACCGGGTTGGCAATACCGAGATCTAGGGTCTTGATGGCGGAGGCGTCGGATCCGGTGTTCAGTTGGCCGTTGCTGCTGTCGATAGCATCAAAAGTGACAGTCTGACCGGAAGCGACAGTCAATTTAGGCGTGATTTTCCGGGACCATTTGCAATGACCGCAGTCTCTTCCAACGTGGAAGTTGTTCCAGGCCGGAGCCATGCTGCGAGATGAAGACTTGGTGCGAGTTTCCGTAGAAATCATGGGGAGATGTAAAGGGCGAGGGTATGGGAAATCCGAGAGAAGCCACGGCTTAAAAGAGATTTCTTAGTATCTCGGTCCAGGCAAACCGAGATCCTCTTCAGAGTTGACCGTTCTGGAAGGTGGATAGTTTCGGATCTTACCTATTGCTTGTTCCCTATGGAATCCCCACCCGTGAACCGACGTTCTATCGCCTTCCTAATTGGGTGTGGCAGGGATAATAACTGTAACAGAGTACTTATTCTCCTGAGCCTCTGGGGTTGAGTACAAGCACCGATATGCAGAAGGTGGAGTAGTGGCGGTCCAAACCGACGCGTTTAAGCGACTCCTTATCCGCCTGCTCAATTGGTGACCGCGGAGATAACCTTGTCGGGCGGGGGGACCATGAAGGGGCTATGAAGGGGTCACGAAGAAGGTACAAGCCGATCATGCTGATACTATAACTAGCATGACTAAACAGGCAGACTGGTTTTCCCATTCTGTTACCACCAAGGTCTTCCATGTTTCAGGGTTCCATTTCATATCTTGACAGGAGGAAGACGTCTGGAGGCCTGCTGGAGGAAGAGCAACCATCATAGGATAAGAACAATCCCGGCCAGTGACAAGTACGAGATATGACGCCACCGCGAGAGATACCTTTCCAGGCAGGTTGTTAAAAGGTTTTGTGGCGAGCATCGGCCTCCTACCAGAAAATTCCTGCTCCAAATTATGGACCCGAACAGCACAAACCACCTTCCGTTCTAGGTAAGAATGGAACCGGTCGGCGACCATGAGTGGACACTTGCCGGCATGCATAACATCGTGGATCTCGGACTCTTATCTATTTCGGGGATATGAACAACTTCTGATCTACTCATGAACATAAACCCCAACCCCAACTCCAACCCCCACCCGACACTCCAACCTCCCACCTGGCATCTTACGATCGTTGTCCATCTACCATGATCACAATACATGATGCATTGTCGCTACGTGGATGACGGGCCGCATCGCTGGCCACTTTTTGCGCAATCTCACTTGCTCGCATCCCCCGCATTGACAATTCCATCACGTGCTGGATCAGGCCCGCGTCGTCGGTGCGGTCGCTGACTCCATCCGATACGATCACCAGTAAGTAGCGCCGACCTGCCCGCAATGTGCGTCTCGACGTATACGGGTCATTGGATAGGAAGTCTCCGCGGATGGGCATGGATGACGACGAGGCGCGTCGGGCCCCGGGGATCCAGTCCTCTTCCTGGACGGTGTTCACCGGTTTTTTGTACTGCAAATCACCCAACGCGCGGGACATATTCAGGGATCCTACGTCCTTGCTATTAAATTGTATCCTCCGACCAATGGGACGGTCTGGACTCACCTAACCGAGGGACCCCGCTCCGCACTTCGACCGTTCCCCCGGCCTCTTTGATGCGCGCCTGTTCGTCGGGGGTGTCGGGTTTATGTGCCTGAGTGAGCCGGCGCTGGGATTTTGGGTCAACCACCTGATACCGCCCAACGGCGAGGCATTGCTCACGATGTGATACGGCATCTCCGTTTTAGGATCACGCTCCGCTAAAATGACATGCGAGTCCCCCAGGTTGGAACAAACCAGCTCTCCCTGCGTGAGATTGATCAAGCACAGGGCCACTGTTGATCCGGATATCGCGGGCTTTGCATATTCGTATTTGAAGCTCTCCAACAGGAGGGCGTCCTCGTCCGCCAGAGCGCCCTTGATGGCTTGCGCGTATTCTCCTTTTTTGAGCTCGGGTCGTTGAGCCAACAGATTATGCAGGTTTTGCGTCGCATGCTCGGAAACCAGACCGGAGCCACTACACTGCAAGTCAGATGGTGCTAGGATCAGAGGTTGAAGTCTTGCCACAAACTGTCCATCGTATATTGAAAAATATGCAAGCGTATCCTCCGTGTCTGCTGGAAATCGACCGGGTCGAATCAACACATAGCGGTCCTCTTGGAACCTTCTACTTCCCTGGGCCTGCGCTGACCATGATCAGCATGGGCTCTCCTGACCGAATCTGGGACCTTACTTGACCTGCTCCGGCGTCAAAGAGCAAGACAGCGTCGGACGTAGACATGAGTGTATCCCGGTGCATTTGATCCCTCACAGCTCCGTCGATGAACAAGCTCTATTCTTGAACAATTCAACAACTAGGTTGACACTGCGCTGGCATCATTTTTCCAAGTTCCGTCGCCGTCTGATAGTGATGATGTACTGACATCATACAGCTACGGTGTTCTGTTACTTTCTCCGGGGGCAAATCGAGCTAAACTGATCGTATCCAATATCTCGCCGAACCGAGCAACAATGCGCAAATTTGATCAAGATTTGTGACGATATTCTAGAATTACTAGAGCGAATTCGATCTCTCCTTCGATTGAATCGATGCATTTCACAATGCCTACAGACTACTTCATCTGGTTGTAGAATTTTGACTCTGATCTTGCTATCCCTTTTCGTGGTTCAACGGGTTGCCAGTAGTATTTCTAGAATGGGCTTATATTCAAATGTTGTAAGTTTATAGATCTCTCGATCCTAGGAGCGCACGGGCCAAGGATCTCGCCGAGCCATTCTGCAGCAATTAATAATAGTCATCCAGGCACAAGACCCCGGAACTTTCTACCTCTGCACCTCTAGGGCTATCACTCAGTCTGAAATGGGCTGGGCAGGCGTCGTGACTCTTGTCGCGACTGCGGGCTATTTTCTCTATCGCCATCCTCCACGCAGCTGGACTACCGAACATCCCTCCGCCACTCCAGATCCCGGACCCGAGGCACGGCCTACTCCTACCTCTGAGCCTCTGCCAGCAAGACATGACGAAGGCTTCTCGACTCCTCCACCGATAGAAATAGAAGAAGAAAGTTCTCCGACCACGCCGAAAGCTTCGGCATCGAGCGCACCACTCCCGGTCCTTGCAGTTCCTGCGCTGAACCTGGAGTCCGACACGAGCGACACTCGGAGTGCCGCAACGAAGCCACCTGCTCTGCAAAATATGAATGGATCAACCAAACCGCAACCGACAGATCACAATGATCAATTTTCGCAGACCAAGTCCCAGCCGCAGTTCCTTACACCCCGCACGCTCCCACAGGCACAAAAACCACCCACTCTCTCCGCACCCGCAAATACCTCCTCCCTGATGCCACCACCCTCAGTGCCTCGTCTCCGAGCAACACCACAGCCGAACAGAGCACCGCCCGGTCTTCAGCCTCTGCGCTCAAATGCAAGCTCGCTTATGCCCCCTCCCTCCGCCGCAGCGGGACTCCGCGTCCCACCAAGTGGCGGGGGCGGAGGTCTCAGCAACAGCACGCTGAAGCCTAGTCTGAAGAAGAACACTCGCAAAGTCGTCCTTGATCCGGGATACTCGCCCCTCGACTGGGCTGCTCTGGCCGCGAACCCGAAAAGCCAGCTCCGAGGCGTCGGTGTACCGCCTGGCCTGCTGCGCGTGACGCCGTCCATGTTGAAGATACAGAATGGGCGCAAGGGCCGCGATGCGTGGACGTCCTACCAGGGCAAAGTATATAATATCCAGCCCTACGTCCCGTACCACCCTGGCGGAAAGGGGGAGTTGTTGCGTGGTGCGGGCAAGGACTCGGCGCAACTGTTCCAGGAGATTCACCCGTGGGTCAATTGGGACGGGATTCTCAGCGAGTGTCTTATTGGAATCCTGGTATCTGAGAACGATACCCAGTCCGAGAACGCGCTAGATGCGATGGATTAAGAGAGTTGTGTGCATACGTTGTGGCTGCAGGCCTTGTACATCTTACTGATACACTAGAAGAGATACCCAATTACATATTCATAGAGACCAATCACAGTGTCAAGATCGAGACTCGTTCTCGTTTCCGGGTATATTCCAAGATATTCATAGACTAGATACCAAATGCCGAAAGTCATACTCGACGTCATTGCCATATCATTCATGCACGGGCTGCTTTACAGCTCATCCTTGTCAACGCCCTCAATGCCAATTAACTCGGTCTCGAAGATCAAAGTAGCGCCGCCGGGGATGGGGCCAACGCCGCGGTCACCGTAGCCGTACTCGGGGGGAATGGTGAGAGTGCGCTTCTCGCCAATGCACATGTCCAGAAGACCCTGGTCCCAGCTATTCACAGCATTAGTCAGGTCCAACCCAAGGCCAAAGAAGAAACCAAAACTCACCCCTTGATGACACGGCCGGTTCCGAGCTTGAAGCTCAGAGGAACGTTGCGCTTGAAGCTGGAGTCGAACTCCTTGCCGGAGTCTTGTAGGGTGCCACGGTAGTGCATCTGGACACCATCGCCGTTCTTGGTTTTGCGGGTACACTCGACCTCGTGGGTGACCTCGATGCCGAGCTCGGCGGCACAGGCGAGGGAGGCGAGCGAGAGGAAGATGGTGGTGAGACGCATTGTGGATGGGTAATTGTGAAGAGGAGAAGCAACGTGGACTCGAACTGCGGAGTGAAGGTGGTGACCCACTTTTCATGCTCGTGCTGGTGGGTCTGCCACGGGTGAGACGTAGCAACGTAGCAACGTAGAAATGTATACAGAATTACAGAACCCCCAAAGTGCAGAAATTGGGGCGACTACAAGGCCTCTGCTGTTACCATGGGCTAGTTGGGTTTGGTTGACATCGTCTGAATCTCACTTTGCAAGATGACGCTTTGAAAAATCCCATCTACAGAAGACGTCAGTCATATTCGTTCTCTAAACTGTAGGCCACGTCCCGAGGTTCCAGCAGGGGTATCCATTTACCCCCGCGAATACTCTCACTTGACAAAAGAGCATCGTTTTTCCCTCCGACAACTGCCACCTCCCTCTTCGTCCAAGGATTGTCCCCGACAACATGGCGACAGACGACCATGTGAACATGGTTACCAAGACTGATGCCGTGTCTTCCACAGACATTCAGCGCAAAAGCATCGTTAGCGATACTCTGCACGAAGTTTCCAGGAAGCGCCAGAGCTTGTCTGATCTGTTCACCATTGTGAGTTTGCCTTCCCCGCTTCAATACAGATACCGCTTGTGAGCTGGAGACGTTGCTAATGGACCACTTTGTTTAGTTCGCCAGTGGCTTTGCTCTGATCAGCGATGGATATCAAAATAACCTGATGACCATGAACAATGTGCTTCTCAAGGCCGAGTATCCCAAGCAATACACCTCCTCTGTCAGTACGCGTGTGTCCAATGCGCTGCTGATTGGCGAAATCATCGGCCAGATTGTTGTCGGGTAAGACTGAACGGACCTGGATTATTATTGTGCTGTATCTAATTTGTAAACAGTCTGACCTGCGACTATCTGGGCCGAAAGATGGCTATTGTCTTCACAACTGTCATGATCGTCGTCGGTGGCATCCTCGCAACTGCCTCCCATGGAGTGACCATTAACGGCATGTTCTGGATGATGACCGTAGCACGAGGCATCGTGGGGTTCGGTATGTTCTTGCAAGACACTGCATCCTGAAGTCGATATTAACATTCGGAGTTACAGGCACCGGTGGGGAGTATCCCGCATCCTCAACATCTGCCTCTGAAGCTGCCAATGACTTGATCCCAAAGCACCGTGGTCCAGCCTTCATCATGGTGACCAACTTCCCACTCTCCTTCGGAGGCCCATTCGCGGTATCAATCTTCCTGATCGTCCTGATGGCCTGTAACCAATCACACTACAGCACAGTATGGCGCGTCTGCTTCGGCATCGGATGTATCTGGCCACTGTCCGTGTTCTACTTCCGAATTCGCATGCTCAATTCCGTACTCTACCGTCGCGGCGCAATCAAGAAACATGTCCCATACAAGCTGGTTCTGAGATACTACTGGAAACCATTAATCGGTACATGTGGCGCATGGTTCCTTTATGGTATGTTCCATCCAAAAAAAAAAAACACTTTATATGACTTCCTCTCGTTAACTATACTGAGACTTCGTCACCTTTCCCAACGGCGTCTTTTCAGCAACAATCATCTCCTCCGTCGTCCACAAGGGTACGATTCGCCAAACAGCCGAATGGCAACTTCTACTCGGCGCAATTGCCCTCCCCGGTGTATTTCTCGGTGCCATCCTGTGTGACCGCGTCGGCCGCAAAAACGTAATGATGATCGGCTTCAGCGGCTACCTCGTCTTCGGGCTAATAATCGGCTGCGCCTACAGCCACATCACCAAGATAGTTCCCCTCTTCGTCATCTTCTATGGCCTAATGCAGAGTTCGGGCAACTTCGGCCCCGGCAACATGCTCGGCCTGCTTTCCTCCGAATCATACGCCACTGGTGTCCGGGGCACCTGTTATGGTCTTTCGGCGGCGATTGGGAAGGCGGGTGCGGCGATTGGGACCGAGGCTTTTACGCCTATTAAAGTGAACTTGGGGAACCAGTGGACCTTTATCATTGCTGCCATCTGTGGAGTCGTGGGCATTCTGGTTACGTGGTTCTTTGTGCCCGATCTGAGTGGGGACGATCTACGGCTGAGGGATGAGCGGTTTAGGACTTATCTTGTTGCTAATGGGTGGGATGGCGTGATGGGGGAGGATGATTTGAAAGCTGATGCGGATGATGGGGTTGTGCCGCCGGTTATCGCTGCTAATGGAACTAAAGACTAGGGGAGTCGATTGTGGATGGCTGGGGATGAGATGTGAAGGGTTTGAAGCACGACTAATCTCTAATTTAGTTTGATCTCGGATGTATTATGGACATCTTTTGGGATATTCAGTCTAATGAATGTCTCTTTTACGCTTTGCATAACTCTCTACATGGCGTACGATGGTAGGGTAAAACAGGTCGACGTTATTGATCTACCTTGAAGCATCATGATAAAGAAAGATTAACGCCATATGTGTGCCGGTCGACGGCAGCCAGGTTGCCCTGTGGGTATCACATGATCCAGAAATGACAAAGACTATCCTCCCAAACTTTTTGAAGCACGAAAATGAAGTGACATGAAAATAAATCAGGAGTCCATCTATGCCCATTTACCCAGCAGAGCCATGAGGGCAGCTCCGAGGCACAGAAGGATGAAGGCGGCCAGCACTTCCCGAATAGGAGCCTTGCGCATCGACTGGCTGAACATGAACTCGTGCGCCATCAGCTCCACCAGGGCGGTATAGATCAGGATGCCGGCGGAGATGGAGTCAAACACGCCGTTGACGATCAGAGTTGTTCGTGAATCGGGCGGGTAGCTCTCGCGGACTCCCAGACCAATGGCAATGGCGATGGGGGTCGAGATGCCAAAGGCCAGCCCGAGGAAGTATGGCGTGTGGCGTTTAGATTTGGGCCAAGGGACAAGTGCCAGGCGGGAACCCAAACCGAGACCTTCGAAGGTTTGGTGGAAGACGAGAACAATGTACAACGTGGTGAACTCAGCGCCGGAGACAGCAAGCGTGAGACCGATGAAGACCGAGTGGAAGATGATTCCGAACTCGAGGATGAAGATGGATGTCAATTGCGCCGCATAGTCTTCAATGGCTGCCTTGTCATTCTCCGAGTCGTCGGCGTCGTGGTGCTCCCGCGAGTGACCCAGGTGGTCTTCTCCGGGGATATAACTCTTGGTTTGTGTGACCTCGGCAACCTCGGGCTCAGCGTTCTCCAGCTGTGTGTGAGAGTGACCCTCTTCATCATGCACATGACCTGCACCAAACCGCGAGAACCGCATGACCATCAACTCGACGAAGAAGAGAGCGATAATCGTCATGAGAACGATGCCCTCGACCCAGCTGTATTCGGTGATGGGGCCGGTCAGACATGGGTTGGTCAATGCTTCTTCGGCCGGAGCCAGAAGATGAATGAAGGCAGTTGCAACGATGACACCCGAGCCGAAGTACTTGGCGATAAAGAATGACCATCCGGGGACACCTCCGCGGCCACTGAAGCGTCGTGCAAAGACGGGAAAAAGTGCGCCAAAGGATGACCCGACCAGGATGACAAAGATAGATGAGATGCGTAGGCCGATACGGCCATCAAAGGAGTTTCCTGTCGAACAGGCATCGGTACGCCCGATGAGCGTGTTCAAAGGATCCATTCCCATTGTGTGAACGGTCTTGTCAAAACGTCAACGGGGCGACAACGGACCAATAGGCGTACAATGGCGATCAAATGCACGTGGAGATCGTGGCAGGGTCAACGAGATTAGATAGATCCAGAATTGGCTCTGAACGATCAACTCGGAGGCAAGGAAACGTGAGCACCTTGGGAGACAAGAGGGCGAAGAGGTCGTTTGGCAGGTCGACGTGGAGGGGTTCCCAGGCTCGACCTAGTTTTGTGTGGGTGCTGTGCTGCAGCGTCCTAACCCCCAAGGTCCTCGATGTGAGGCACCACGGTCCAATGGCTGGAGCGAGATTGTACTGGGTTATCCTGTCACGCAATGGACCCTCAAGCAGATGGCACACACGACTCAAACACTACCGCCACGAACAGTCTTGATTCCCGACTCTTTTGGGCGAGGTACGTCTGGTTTCTGGTATTCTGGTATTCCCCCCCCAAAAAATTGTGTTCAAGCCGAGCGGGGGTTGGGAGATTGATTTGCGGCGTTCCGATTGCGGGTCCTTCTTAGTGACCGGCGTGAGGACCTTGCGCGCCAGCAAGTAAAGATTGGCCGACTAGTTCTGAAGAGAGCAACAATTCTGACAACAGCATATAAATCATAGATTCCGCGAATGCTTCGAGATCTCAGAAAACAGAATCTGCAGGAATCATACCCGTCGGCGGGCCCAGGTGGGATCCACGGGGACCTTGTTGGCCTCGAAGACGTCAAGTAAAAAAAGTATCTGGTACTTCATGTTCGCTGGTAGACTGGTGCGGGCGAAAGTACCGGGTACTTGTCCGCCGTGGGGACCTTGGGGACGGCCAGTCCTTTTCCGGCGCCGGCGGTTGGAGGCAGTCACGTGGGACATACTAGGCGGGTTTGATCGGATCTTTGATGTATGTGGTGTAGGATGGAGCCCAAATCACATTTGGTAAAGCATGATACCAGGACATTGAGAGAAGAAGGAAGGTTGTCAAGTCTAAGATGAGGATTCTCCGCAGGGATGTTGATGGCGTTGTCTTCACCAATCAGATGATCTGCGGCTCTGAAGCTTGGCAGAGCTCACATTCTCACATTCTCACATCCGACTTCATCCCGCTACAATAATCATGGCTCCCATTCGTCGCTATCTACGCATCAGCAAACATTCTGTTATCGAGTGTCGTATCTACTTGGACAGTCCTTCCGATAACCGATGGCTCCTCGACTCCCGCGATCCCGTGCTTCCTCGGGTCTTTGAGGCGATCCGCCCACTGGTCTTGCCCAAGCTGCGCGAGGAGAATGAGCGACTATGGGCGCGCAAGAAGAGCAAACCCGTCAAGGATGTAATCGCTGAGGGTAAGACCTTGCTCATATCGAGGAGATGAAAGCTTATTGCTAATGCATCATTGCTCCCGCAGATGAATTCGAGGTGGCCATCTTCCTGCGCGAATCCCGTACTCGCCATTCACTTTTGACGCGACAGAAGACATTCGAACAGCCCGGTAAGAAGGGAGACGCGTCGACGGGAACCAAGCCTGGAAAGGGACTGTCAGAGTCGGCGACCGACTCATCCAAGCCCATCGATGTGGAGATCATCCCCGACAGTGACGAGGAGCCCGAGTTCGACCTACGCAATATCCCCCAGGCCGAAGACCAGCCAAAAGAAAGGGATCCATCTCCGCGAAGGAAAAGGAGAAGAGTACAGGCGAACTCCCCGGAAGCTGAAACTAAGGACGAGAAAAAGCTCGGGTTCCTTACGCATTATGAAAGCTTCAATATCTGTGGTTGGGTGTTGTGTCTACTCATCACCCGTAAAGGGGATAGAGCCCGGCCAAGTGCTGCGACCGAGCCCAAGCAGCCACTCATGGAGCAATGGATCTCAACCCAGGCCCAGACAGCTGCTGACGAGGATTGAGCGGCCACAACATTGACTCCAGGCACATCTACCCCCCCCCCCCAAGGCGGCTGGTAGTTCCTCAGCCAAGCCTTAATTATTCGAGCTATACTGTAGACACCCGTGGTGGCGCAATCGGTTACAAGCCACTCAGGATGTCCAAATTGCAGAGTAGCATATTCCTATCTCTGCCCCTGTTGACTCCCCCTGCTGAATGACAAATCTCATGGATCTTCGGCAGCACGGGAGTGCCTGCCGTGCGGGAGTGTCTCCCTGTCACGCGGCCTTCGCGTGACAGGGCCCAAGCCCCTGCCCTGGCCATCCCCCTGCTCAACGAACGGACCGCTGCAGTGTGCATGGGGATGCAGTCATCTTTTCGGGGCAATGGCATGATGCTTGATGCCTAGACATGTTACGCAGGTGGCGGCCACTGATCTTCCTCAGCGGCCCGGTCAAGAATACCGCTAGCTCTCGGCTTTCCAGAATGGTCAAAATTAGACTTGCCGGACTCAGACCCAAGTATTGAGTTGCGGTGGCTGATCCAAAATGATACACCCGTCATGAGACCCGGTGACTTCAGTCTCTAGCTTTGTAATGTCTCGGTCCAGTTCATGATGGAATTACGCATCGGTACAAGCGGGGAATGCAACACAGCCGCAGGTAGCCTTAGGCAGTGATGACTCAAAAGTAATCCGCCCCAAAAACATAACTAGATCATGGTCAATTATTCAATTCCAGTTCCCGCTCGTGTCCACATGCATACCTCGGCTCAGGGTTTTCCAGAAGACCGCGTAGAAGGTACGGAGACCAGCATAGGTGTCCATGGTGGAGCCCTGCTTGGCAAAAGACATGACACGACCCGCTCCTAGTCTCTTCCTATGATGAGGAGGAGACTTTCCTTCTCTCCGAGACCCGGGTAACTGGGTACTGGAGAATGGAGACTGAAGACCGGGAGATAAAAAGCCAGCCAGTCGGAACGCTATAGGATTTGCACCAGGAGCTGACGAATATACTAATGACAATCGTCCACTGGCTATCGCGACCATAGCGAGACAAAAGAAGCCAAAGAGGCATTGATTGACACGGAAACCCACAGATCCTTCGCCACGTGCGGTCAGGTACCGAACCAAACGGGCAACTCGCTGAGGGGAACTCAGGAACGCGGTGAAAACCTCCGACACCAATCGTCTTTCTCATTTCCGGCCTCCACACTGATACCCAACGGCGCGGAACGGCAGACAACCCCATGGCGCTTGTCCCTGGCTAGTCCCCTTTGGTCATTATTGAAGTTTGCGACCCGTTAGCGCTGTCGAGGGTTTTTGGGGTTTTTTTTTCTTTCCCACATCTATTTGCCACCTCGCCTGTTTTGGTCCCCACACAAGTTGATTAAGGAGTTTGTTGAGATGTACAGTACAGAGACATGGAGTTTACATGAGATTTCCAGAGCGCCGGAGCCGCCAGACTGGTACACCCGGGAGGTAGGAGCTAAAGTGTTTTGGTAAATCCTGCGCCACGATGTTCCACGACGGTCCATGGTTACCATATAGGGCTGTGGTCATGCGCACCCGACTTCGGACACTACTGAAGAATTCACGTTCCCTCTGGGGAAGGTGACGTCCCCAGTAGCTCGTACCCGTAGTTACACGGTGTTTCGAGGATGTACGGTAGTGTACATCACGAGAGCTCATGCCGAGCACGCAATGGTGTAATCGACGCCACACCAATCCAGTAGATCTGCTTACATGAAACACCGACTCCAGTGATGTACGTGATCAACCCTGGGGAGGGAACAGGGGGGATGAACATCTTTCTGCACGTCCTACATGCAGCCAAAATGAAGACTGGCAATGCACAGTCCCCTCCCTGCAGAGCTGAAGAAGATTGACCTCATAGCACAAACAGGTCCAAGTACAGGGCGGAGGCCACTCGGCTGTGTTCTCCGTTTCGCTCTTCACATTCCATTTTTTCCGATGGAGTCCCAAAATTGAGTCTCCATCGGGGACTCGGTGGCCCTTACCCGCCGATAAGCAACAAATAAAAAAAACCCAGACTCCTATCCCCGGGGAAAACTAGCGGGAAGAAACTCTTTTTCCCTGAACCCTTCGCGTACTCCGAGATCAGAAATAGCATGATTACCCGCATTCGATTTTGCTGGAACAAACCCACGGGTACGAACCACGGTACGTGATGGGTCCGGGTATTCGTCTGACTTTTATTTCTATTTTTTTTTCATCCTCTTTTCTTTTCTGGGAACCCCTGAAACAGTACCACCCCGGACCGTTATCAGAGTCAAATTATCAAATCATCAAATCATCAAATCATCGATTTTAGTTCGCAAGGTTGACGTGTCATATCATCAGCTTAAACCCGGGTTAGGCAGGTAAACGAATCACCGTGGTTGTATGAGCCCCTGCGCCACGAACAGCTTATTCCTTATCCTCTGCCTAGAACCAATCCCGATATCCTGGTCGACGTCTAGGTAATACGAATCGGTCAAAACCCGATTGTAATTCATTGTGGAGGGTTTTTCCTATGTGTATTTGGATTTGGATTTTCTTTTTCCCACCGTCGATCGACGACGCAGCACGCATGGATCGGACCCTGGTCTTTTCTCTGTTTTATTACTCGTACAGGCCCCCTTTTAGTTGAGTCAGTAGGATTATGTGCTCAGGCCTTTTCTTTAAGTCTATCTGCCTAGGAACTGCGGATTACCTGGGGTCGCGCAGCTCAGCCCACCAACAGAAAAGAAAAGAAAAGAAAAGAATAAAACAGACTAAAAAAAATAAATAAAAAAATAGAGGGAAAAAAAAAAAAGAAAATAATCAGGCTTCGTTCCTTCGTTCACCGCATCGTGCCGATGGAGCCATGAGTGGGCCCACGGGAGATTGCCCATTCCCAGTTGTCACCTCGCGTGGTTTCAAGATTATTTGGCGAACACCGTTGTGACACCGGAGACGAAAACGAAAGGTAGGATTGATTGTTAAAAAAGATTTCCAGTGTCTCACATACCAGCGTTTCAGTAGGATCCCCTGGAACCTAACCCACTAGTGGTTCACCAGAGACAGACTACGCCACACGGGAATTGGGTGGGGAGCTTCTAGAAAAATTCCTAGTTTTTCCATTGGATTTCCGGTTGGGGCTGCATTATTCATCCTGAACTAGGTCAATCGCAATAATTCCTACGTCAGATCAGGTGGATCCTCAGCCTCCTGTTCATGGCAGGGATGCTCGATGGGGGGTATTAGCACGGCACTAACGTAAATTAGTCCTACTGTAATGGTGTCGGCCTCGGGGAGATCCATTTCTGCTATAAGAACGCTCGTGCTCCTCGCTTGCTTTTTCACACACATACTGAATCCCGTCTACTCTGCTCTACCTCTCTACTCAACTTGCCCTATTCAATCTGCTTCACTTGACTCTAGCTTTCGAGCATTCACATCTTCCCACCCACACAGCCTACCACTTCTACAACATGCCTTCCGTCGGCTCCTCTCAGTTCCCTCCCTGCCCGGGACCTCCTCCCAAGGGCCCTCTCCCTCCTCTGCCGAAATAAACATGCCTCGCCCAAATGACCGTGATGACTCTGGCGCAGTCTAGCGACTGCGCTCACGACCTGGGAGGCTCCTCCTCGGCATGGATATGAAATGACCTCGAATTCGACCTGGTTTCGGCTCTCTGACGATGCTCCCTCGATTCGGCCTACACTGCCGTCCTAATACACACACACCCCCCCGTCTTCGACCTCTGGCACTCCGTTGCTATGATAAGGAACGCTAGCTCCCGAGCGGTGTTCCGCGGCTTCCACCAGAGCCGCGCGCAACCGGAGCTAGCTCTCGGAAGACGGGAAATAATTTGCATCTTCTCCTTTGCCATGGGGGCCCGCGCTGGCGCTACGATGCCCCTCTCGACTCTCTCTCTCTCTCTGCATTAATAGCCACCTCATCATTGATACCATTTTACTTTTCGCGGGTTCCGCGTTTCAACTTTCGACTCTTGTGCGGGGTTTTCCAATCTATGTGATCTCACCGGGCACGCACGTGCGGAGAAAGCACACATTTACGCCAATCGCGCATCCGCCGTCTGCAACTTGCTGCAGGCCCCGGTCATTCAAGCCGCGATCAGATGGTTGGATCTCGTTTACTTACAGGCTGACGCCTGAAACCGCAATTTTCTCTTTTCTTTCACATTTCCGACTTTCCATCATAGCCTTGCATGTCGATGTGACTGGCTCCCGACTTCCAATCTCTTTCTAATATCTTCCGTCATTTGTTCTTTATTTCTTTTTTATTTCTTTTGTTTCAGCATGCATCTCGGCCGAACCCAAATCCTCGGCTTGTATCATAGACTTAATATACCCCAGCAAGAAAGCAATCTACCTTATCCACTTATCATGTTGTGCATAATCTCCCAAGCCTAAACACCCCAGACGGTTCTACAACCGATCTACTGTCCTATAAGGATGAAACCCTGGGCCCACATGCTCGTTTCACCAGTAACCCGTCCCCTACAGTGCATCCGTCTCAAGCGTCACAGAGATAGTACAGGGGCAATGACATGTTGACAGGATGTCAAACTGGTAGGCCGCGCAGCACGGGCCTGGGGGAGGTCCCAGTGGAACGATCATACGGAAGAAGTCTCCGTCGATCTTGGCACCGATCTGGCGTGACTCTTATCAAATGCCCGATAACTGCGATATGGAGCTGCATGGCGGGATTTGTTTGGTTTAGGCGCCTATCCGGGGCCGGATATGACGCATTCCTCCCCATTTCTATCCGGTTGCATGGTCAGCTCATACTGTAGAGAATCATAGCCCCACTCCCTGGGAACCAGGAAGAGCCAGGAAGGACATTCGGTCTCCGTCCGAGCGCTCGGGGCGATTTGCCTAGCTATAAGGGCGCTGCCTAGTTGGGATGGGGGTGCTATTGGAGGAACCGGGGTCCGAAATTAGAAGCTATGGTTGCCTGGGGCAGTGATACCAGTGAATCTAGTGATTTAGCGCGGTCAAACGGCCAAGGCGTGCCTGCCTCCAAGTTGGCCGTTGGTCCCCTTCTCGGCGGCATCGTCATCATTATCCTTGGTACGGAACAATCAGATCACTAGTCCCCCCGCTTGGCAGTTTTCAGCCCCGAGCACGGATCCTGGTTTTGGGGGCCTGGGTTTAGTTTATGGGGACTCGCTTTGACTGTTACCTGCTAACCTTGGATGTCTTCAGGAACAGCTGACGGGGCTCTTGCGCGGCCACGTGTATGCGGTCATTGCGTCCTTATCGCGCCAAGGACGCATGCAATCAGCAAGCAGCAATCCGCACGGTGTGCTTGGTAATTCCCAGATTGGTATATTTCCCAGATCGGTCTTGTCCGTCTTACATGCAAAACAGGGCCAAAGTCATGAATCATGAGTTGCAGTGTCTCAGTGGGAATACGGGAAAAGAGGAGTCGGCAAACTCTCGCTCGGGTGAACTCAACTAGGGTCTTAGGGTCGAAGTATGAAGCGTCTCCTCTTTGACTCGTACCTGGGAAGCAAGCTATTGTGGCATTTAATCTCCGAGGCCGGGTGGATATATGTGTCAAACCTGGAGCCGGAACTTTCTGAACTCAACGGGATTAGAGCTGCACGCCAATTACGGAGATGGTCCCCTCCGCCAACGAGCCTCGACTAAATATCAAATGCATTCGGGAAAGATAGCCCTACAGAAAATTAGACCCTAGTGAACTTAATAAATCCAGGAATAGAGACTTGAGGCGTTGCAGATCTCGTATAGATTGTGTAAACACACGTGATTCGTCCGCCCAACTTGCCCGCGGCCGCCTTCCTCTGTCCACGCGCAAACCACCATGGTCCTACAATTGCATGTGTGGGGGCCGGCCTTCGCGCTGCCCTCAATCGATGCGCAATGTCTTTCCGCAATCGCATACTGCTCTATCGCCCTCCCCAAGGACGCCTGGGAGCTAATCGCCAGCAGTGATCCCTCCGTCTCCCCTACCGGTAAGTGACGTGATGCCAGGCATCCAATCAGCCGAAGCCCCCATCGAAGAGAACCAGCTTGGCTAATGCGCTCACTTTCATCGCGACACAGGTGAGCTGCCCGCGCTCCAGAATGGTTCGACCTGGGTGAGCCGCTTTCGCAATATCGTCGACTATCTCCGCCAATACTCGGACGGCGCGTGGGATTTGGACCGACAGCTCGACGAGTCAGACCGGGCCGATAATACTGCGTACATGCAAACCCCAGCTTCTAAAACCGTTCTCAGCTAATCTTGTGCGCCCGCCATAGGTTCGCCTCGTTTGTTGAATCTCGTGGCCAGTCCCTCATCGACCTGTCGCTGTATGTCACCAGCCATAACTATTACAACAATACGTCGCCTGCCTACGGTAATCTCCTCCAATGGCCGAACCAATGGATTCTTCCCCCGAAGCTGCATGGCGCCGCCAAAGCCCGTACCGACCATCTGGGTCTCTCGTCGCTGGACCTGCAGGCTATCGAGGAACACCGTCAGCGCGACCACTCCGCCGCCGTGGCTGCGGGTAAGATACCGAAGAATCTAATCCAGCGACCACGTGAAACCGTGTCTGGGTTACTCGGCCGTGGCTCCTCGAAGAACCAGTTCCGAATGGAAGCCTTGACAGCCGATTTCTTCGAACCCCTCGAGGCCATGCTGGGCCAGAAGGCGTACCTCCTCACCCTGAAAGAGGAGGACGTGCCATCCAGTCTGGACTGCATCGCGCTCGGCTCTCTTTCCCTAGCACTTGTGCCCGAGCTCGCTTTCCCTTGGTTGCGCGACGCTATGCGCGCCAAGGCCCCGCTTCTCTCGGCGTACACCGAGCGTCTGCGACGACGCTGTTTCGGTGATTCACCAGTGGAGGTCGCGCATGCCTACTCGCCGCAGTCCGCCCCCGCTTCTCCGCTGCCGTGGCGCGCACCTGGGCGCATCTCTATCGCTGCTGTCGGCAGTACCCTCCTCGCTGAGTTGGCGGATTCCACTCCGTTCTTGAGCGAGATCCGCAGGAACAACCGTCTCAAGCAAGCCGCAGCAGACTCAGACTTGACATCCGTTGAAAAGGGTGCTGTTTCGATGTTTGCTGACTCCAGCAAGAAGGACATGTATGTGTCCATCGCGGCAGCGGTGGGTGGTGTCGCTGCCCTGGTGGGTTACATGTTCCATGTAGGCTTGATCTCGGTTGCAAGTCAAGAGCAGGAGTTCGAGGAAGAAGAGGAGGAGGGTATCCCGGACTTTGGAAACTTGTCGGCGGGTGATATCCTCGGATTATAACGAAGCGACCCACGTGATGAAAAGTTGCTAGCTGTATCTTCTATTTTGAAGCGAGTCCAAAACTGTACCATAGGGAAATTCACTTTCCTACTCCCATCCATAGACAAGACGAAATTGCAATCGATGATAAAATCAAAGAAAGCCAAAAAAAAAAACAAAATGGACTTGAAAGATTAATGACCGTGAGACTTGAACGCTCGACCCTGAAGCGTCGTAGCCATGAATCGCAAAAATCATGTATCGATTCTATGGCGATATCAAGTTGCGAATAGCTTCACTTCACTCCAACCCCCTCCCCCTTCTCCCAACCCGAACACCGTCAAGGTTCTTCTAATCTCTTCGTAACTTGAAATCAGGTAAGAAATTCCATCCATTTCATGTTCATCGGAAAACCCCAACTCCATACGATGCCCGGAAGGTGGCGTGGGGCGGGTGCGATCACCAGTTGAAGTAAACGGACACCCTATATTATTGAGTTGTTGGTTCACTGCTGCGTGGGCATCTCCATGTGGTGTAGTGGTATCGACCGTCATCTGATGGCTATCATGAGACCAGAGTGCTTCGGTGGCTACGAACTATCCGCATACCATAACCCTTGAGGGTACTATTTCGACATGGGCGAGACCTTGGCTCCAAATCGGGGACCTGCTATGTCGCGCACTTGGGGCAAATCTGGGGGTTATTTTTATTCTAATTTAATTTTTCTCTGCTTTAGCCTTTCTTGGTTCTTGGATGTGTTCTTCGCGTTGTCTTCTGCTCTACTATTATACTGGTTGATCGTGTAGCTTATATACATTTAATCACAGGTTTCGGTCCCCGTGAAACGTCCATGTCCGCGTCCCACCCTTTTCCTTCGAGAATTGTGCTTCAGATATCCAGTTCACGTCTGGTCCTTCGGCAAAACTCTCTTCCATCTCGATCCCCCATCGTAATCCTCCATCTTCGTCAACGAACCAGCCCAGTCGTGTCCGTAGATGCTCGTAGTCGTCTGGTCTTAATCGTCCGGCTTGGATCTCGCGGACTACTTGGAGGAGGTTTGCACTTCCTGCTATTAGGACAAGCACGTCGCCTAGGCATTCCACGTTGCGAACTAGACTTCCGAAGTATCGTTTTTGTAGCACTGCTACCACGGCCGTTGTGATGATCAACCAACCCATGATTCCGATGCTGAGCCAGACGGCGACAGCATTCATTTGCAGGAGCTCTACACGTTGCGTGACGTGTGCGGCGGCTGTGCGATTTGTATGAGAAATTGGATGCATGACATCTTGGTATGCTGCAGCCTTGGTACCAGGGAGATAATTGTTGACAATTTCGATCACAGGACCCAGGGTGCTCGGCAAACTGGCATTTATTTTCTGGTAGCCCCAACCACCAGTTTCGAGGGAGACGTCGTTGCTGACATAGTGCTGGAAGAATGTCGTGAATGTATTCTCGGCGAGGGTTCGATAGGTGGTCGAGTTGAGGAGAGCTGTGGGGTCCTTGTTGACCATACAGTACATGGCATAGGTCATGAAGTCCATGTTGAGGCCATTTATTTCGTCGCGAATATTGTACGTGTTGTCGTATAGATCTTCGGTCAGGAAGCCGCTGGTGTGGGCTGCACCGCCGATGCCCAAGGTATCGGCGGCAGTTAACATGGATGCCATGAAGAGTCGACCGAAGCTGTCTTGTGATTAGTTGCGTCTCGTTTGGTGTCTTGGGATATCTTGGCTCACCTCACTGTCACATTGTAGGTGACCTGGCCAGTTTCTCGACTGAAGTGGGTTTGATTGTGAGGAAGGAAGTTGTCCGCGAAGGCTTCGGTCAGCTCTTTGGGTGTGGACGTGATATTGAAGGATTGGATTTCGCCGTTCGCCGGGTTTACAATAATGTCTGCCTCGGCGGACTCAACAATTGGCTTGCAGTCCAGCAGTAATATTGAAGGTATGCTGGGGAACAGCATGTCAACGTCATAGTAAGCACCACCGAGAGTGTTTTTATTATTCTTGATTCCTGTCACTGCATTTCCGTACAGCCACTTGGCAGTGAAGTTTCGATGCCACTGGCGTGTCGAAAATGACTCGAGATTCGTATTTGGTGACCAGTACCCAACAGCCACACTCGGGTCCCACTCGCTGCTGCTTCCATTTTCACAACAAGTGATCTGGGACGGATTAACGAAGACGGTTGTGCAGCCGGGGCACGATCCGTTTCCACTTAGGGCCGCGTCGGATGTATTCACCGGGTATATCATGCTGGGATGTGGTGTTCCCGTCCAAGGTGCGACTGCGCCCAATTGATAACCCCCTTCAACGTACGCTCCTTTGGCATCTTTGGGAATTGTGCTCGTGTTCCAGATAGTGTGGTTGCTGATATCCTTAATCGTAAGCCAGTTGGAAATGTTCATGAAAACGTCGAGAGGGTATTCGCTGCATTCAATTCGACCTCTCATCGCAGGGGTCGCGAGAGAAACATTGGTTTGAGATCCGTCAACAGCTTGATCAGAAGCGTCGAGGTCATTGGGCAGGTTGATAGTGCTGAGATTTGTCATTTGGGTGGGCACGAAACTCCATCCGTCTTTGCTCCATGCAGGCTGGGATCCATTCAAAGCCAATTGAATCGTAGCGGTATACATCCAATGGGTAGAAAGATTCTTGTAGAGATCTGCGAGAATAACTGCTGCGTAGTCATTCGAAGCGCTGGGGTAGTAAGACTGTTCAGTGGGGAAAACAAAAGGAATGTCGCGAATCTCGATTGAACGTTCGAATGTGATCGGCTGAGAAACAACCCCCGGGCCGCGATCAAAGAGAGCAGACATGGAAATAGTGACTAAAAGCGGAGGTTAGGTCGAATTCGCGATTAGGGTAGACGTATTAACATACATATAGGCGAGAGACTACTGCCGAAGGTCAGAAGAGCAAGAAGCCAGTGCTTGTTGAGCGCAGCCTTCATGCACGCCCACATCCAGAATGAAGACTGATATGACAGACTAGCGCCTCGTGAAAATTGTGGATGACTCTTTGACATGGCTATGAAAGGTTGGAGACGACGAAAGTTGTCGTCAATGGCACTCCACCACAGGCCAATACCCGTTGCAATGACAGTAGGAATCATGGAGAAGGGGGCCACAGATGATATACCGTTGCTAAGCCAGGAGAAGTTGACTTCGTAGACAAAGGCCTTCTGGTACAGACCTGACGTCTCCGCAAAATGGTAGAGGACGGCGATACCAACAACCACTGCCACAAGAGCAGTAACCAAGCCAAAAAGAGCCGGTAAACGGAGTAGTTTCGGCGTCCCATTCTCAGACTGAGATGAGTTGCTGCTCAGCGCTTCATCAGGATTGATTCGAGATAGGCCATGAGAATTTGTATAGAATTGAACACCATCCAACTTCTCATGCAATTCCTTCTCCGAAGGTTGCTTGAAAGCCTGGAAACTATGCTGGGTTCGAGGATTGTGCGTCAACAAGCAGGCCACACCCAAGGTAGAAGCCGGGTCTTCCTTCAAGTTCAATGGTCTCCGTCCCAATCTGGAAAGCCACCAAACAGCGAGTACAAGAAAGAAAGAGAGCGCAAAAAGAGTTCCTAATGCAATGGCGACACCGGCTTGTACGATCACTCGATTCTCAATGTCTCGAACGATTCCTTGCAATCCAGCCTTCCTGGATGCACCCTGGTTGCTTAAAGCTGCTTGTAAGACCTCTCCAAAATAGCGCTGCTTTGATTTGGCCGCTGAAGTGACCCAATTCGGATCTTCGATCAAGGCAGTCATGTTGTAGTCATACAGGGCCCCTAGTAAAATTGAAGGACCGCCTAACAACGCGGTTTTTGACCACAGGATCGAAATCATGTACGTCGGCCAGTCTGAATCCAACATGAGGCTTCGGAACTCAGTTGTGTTTACCAAAGTGTCGGGGATAGAGACTTTGTTCGCCTCAAACTCGGTCTCGTTGAAAGAGATATTGGGATCATCGCCCGTAAGACCAATGGATGCTATAACGTTGGCCATGTAATACTTGGTGTCACACAGCTGCGCCGAATAACCAGCTCCTGACTTTTTCCAGGAATCAGTTACAATCAAGACCTCTTTGCCTTTGCATTCTTCCGTCATGTTGGTGGTGAATAAAGGGCTTCCTGCATCATAGAAGAGAGAACTTGTGGCGTAGTAAAATGTTGATGCATCAGACCAGCTGCCGCCTCCCATATTGAAGAAAGTCTTGTCCACGGATAGGCCGTATTTGCATCCGCTCGGAGTGGACCAGATCATTGAGACAGAAGGGGTGGGTCCATACATGACTCCATTTTTCGTATAATTTACGTCGAGAAAGGTTTCACGATCCACGGTCATTGATGTACAGCTGAAGTCAGTTTTGAACATCATTGTCTCTGCCTCCCATGTTTGAGATGAGCTTGACGGAAGGGAATTGATAGGTGCCATTTGTAAGTTGGAGGGCCAGACTGGAAGAATGGTATATTCATCGGTAATCCATGGAGAGGTCGACACATTCTGCAACAGATTGGCGATTGTTTGGAAGTGTGTTGAGCGGTCTGCATCGATTGGCAGAGGCGAGTCGGTTGTTGGTACCAGTTGAAGAAAGTCGGTCGACTTTGGAACCTCCACTTCATTGGAGTATAGATAGGCGGAAGACAAAGAAGAAATTGCCAGAAATCCAAAAATGTTAAGAAAAGAAACGCAAATCAGAGCCCAGCTACGTGAGCCATTTTTCTTCTTCGCGAAACCGTCGTAGAGCGCAGTCCACCAGGCTATCGGTGGTTCGAGAATGCTAACAGATGCATCTGCTCCACTTGAACGTGCCAACCGTGCGTAGGGCTCTGTACGCTTGATATCCCCAAACAGTACAGCAGCCATTTGAACGTATATCACAGCAATCAAGGTCGGTGTATATCTCCAGCCGAACAGGAGAGCTGACGAGCCATCATCAGGCCCAAGACCATAATTTGTTGAAGACCGCCACCAAAGTAGAAATGTGACGAGGCAAAGGGATAAGGCGACAAAGCTCAAGACGGCCAAGAATGGATGTTTAAAGGTATACGGTGTCCAACTCGCCGCCCAGGCAGCGGTTGACTTTTCGCTAATTTGAACGCCATTTGACGGTTGTATATTATACCGGGCGGTGCTGGCAATACTGGTATTGTCTGACTGATCGCTTCGAGTCCGGGAAGTGGAGCGGCTTGGTCGAACAAAAGGCTGAAAATGAGGCTTGTTGCCAAGGACGTTGCGAGCCTCCGATGTATTATAGTCCCTCGAGGCCATATTCAAACAAACAACAGGCACGACCAGCGTCCTTTCGCTCGTAGCGTTAAGATAGAGAACAGGTAGTAGTAACAAGAAACTAAAATAAGCGCAATGCCCGGCATGTTTATAATTCCGCGGGGAGCCTCGCTTCAGATTCCACAGGGTTCAGGGACCGTATGCAGGTCCACCGGACTTGATACGCCGGTCTTTCACTAGAGAAGGATGTGCAGCCATCACCCAATGGCGGGGGTCCTGTAAACGCAGGTCGCTCATAAGCGAGACTAGGCATGGGATCGACAGTCGACGAAGGGGTCTAGCGTACACCTGTACATTGGCCCCCAAATAACAGGATCAACAGGCTCGTCGTGAGCCCCCGCCCGGTGACTCCAACGATGACCTGCACAACGGAGCAGCAAGCAACATTAGAATTCAGACCTTGCGCTTCGAAACACTTGATCTCCGATGTTCAAAAGATTTGATATTGGTGAATCGTTTTAATTTTGGAACAAGCGCCGACGAGTCATGTTGTGGAGGCGGATACTGAACCTCTTAGTGCCCACGAGTTAGCGCCAGGATTTGATGGACCGTTCGGGACCGCGATCTACTGCAACACTAACAGCATTTTCACAACTGTGCAGCTACCCAAACATCCAGTGTTTTGAATAGGCGCTTGCAGACGGGTGCTCCCGAGGCACAGCCGTTGCCACAAAGGATGTGATTTAGCCTTGCGCCCTGCAGTAATTCACACAATGCCTTAAGTACCCCGCCACATCTTATAAGTAGCTCCATATTGCTCACTTCAAATAATTCATTCCAGACTCTCGTAAGGGGGTTGAGTTCCTTGATTCTGCTTTAAACTTCTCGCAAATCCTTTGTGGCTATCGAGAAAACACTTGGAGTGACTGAGCGGCCTTGATGTTGGCCCAGTCTCAAACTTCTTTGTGACACAGAACTCAGAATCTTCACTACCTTCGTTCACTTGCCGATTTTTTTCTGGCCCCGAGCAAATCATTCAGGCCTTATGGACCAGGTACCATACCATGGTGAGTTGGAATTCTCTTGAACTCATGATCTATTGATGGACTAACGAGAAAACAGTAAAATCGTGCAGAGGCAATTTGATCGAGACATTCATCGAAACACTTTGTCGTTGACATGCACCTTGTGATACAAATGCTAACCCAATGAAAATATCACTAACAACGGCCTTGGTAGGAAGGACATTCGGACGCCTACTTGCTTACAGAAGTTGCTCTACAGGACGAAGATGCGAGGGTATCTCGTGGCACAAAAAAATTGATATGAACTGGAAGGCAAAATGGTATATGTACACAGAATCATAAGAAAGGCGATCGTGATCACACGAAGGTATGTATGCGCTTCCTTGGAACAAACACGGAAAAAAGTCCATGAAGGCGCGGCTCAAGATGGAATGTCGATGGCCGGGAAATTACCATGCCGTCTTGAGTTTGAATCGTTTGCGCAAGAAAGATAAGATCACACTGGCTTTCGAGTAGGACCGGAAATTTACTCGACGTAGTCGAGAGTGACGACAAGACGGACGGCACCTGGGGCCTGGGCGATGGCCAAGTGGTCATTGCCCTGGTCGGCAGAGGTGTAGGCGCTGAGGAGGCCAACGAGACCCTTGCCGATGTAGGAGCAGTCACCGCCCATGTGGTTACAGATACGCATACCCTGGATGTCGAGACCATTGAGCTCGGCGATAATGCAGGAAACGTCCCAGCCGGAGTAGTATTCGTTCTTCTCGCTGCTCATGTCAAACTCACCCCAGGTAGCGGCATACTGGCCAAAGTTGGTGGTAGGGATGTCCTCACCAGGGGCGGCAGCCCAGCCACCCTGGGAGTTGTCGTCAACAGCGACGTACTTGACCTCACCCTTCTCGAGAGTGAAAGAGAGAGCAGCGTTGGGCTTCCAGAAGCCGTCCATCTTGCCGTCGGGGCCGTAGGTGTTCCAGAACACGACAGTCCAGGGCTCAGTCTCACTGCCCTCGAAACGCATGACGTGCTTGTACTGGTTGGCATCGGCCTCATCGACTTGGATGATGTTGCTACCCCAGGGGATACCGACGTTACCGACGTAGTCCCAGTCGAGGAGACCAGTGGTCTTGCTCTTGGACTGACCGCCGAATCCAGAGCTAGAGTACGAGCCACTGGAGGGGACCTCATACCAGCTACCACCGGAGGTAGAGGAGGTAGGGACGGGAGTCACGGTGGACTCGACTTGGCTGGGGGTAGCAGTGAACTCGGGAACGGCAGCCGCGGTGGTAGTCGGGACGACAATGGTGGAGGACGAAGATGAGGAGGACTCAGCAGCAACCTGACCCGACCACTCGTTGATCCAGGTCTCCAGGACACCATCGATAGTGGCAGTCACGATATCGCCGACGGCACGATCCTCAATCTTGGGGGCATCGGTAACGGTGGGAAGCTGAGGCTCCTCAATCTCGGCCTTGTGAGCGTGACGGCGCTCATGGCCGTGACGACGAGCGACAGCGGTGCTCGCAGTCAGGGCCGAAGCCAGCAAGAAGGTGTTCTTGAAGTGCATTTTTGCAAAAGAAAGACTTGAATGAGTGACAGAGCGAGAATAACGCTCGAAAGAGAATTTGCAAAAGAGTGTGTGGGTTGAAGAAGGAGAGTGGAATCCCTTAATATGAAAATGGGCCCTTGGGGGGAAGGCAGTCTGACTGTGGACGCCCTGGTCGTCTCCACTGAGGGAAACCTGGATCAGGGGTTACCTGGTTCTCATTGGCTGCTAGGTCGCTCCCGACTCCGATAGCGCCACTGCACCTTTTAATTGGTCAAGTCCAAGACCCTCGAGCCCTGGGCCGAGACCCTTTCCTGTATTTTATCGCTTGACCAAGGTACCGTATGGAATAAGGTACTTGGCTGACCCAAACCTGTGGCCTGGATCAGGTACCCGTCCCTATCATTCACCCCCTGTTCATCTTCAGGCACTTCACTCCTAGGTACACCCTAATAACAATCCCTGTAGATTATCAATTCACTGCCAAACACGTGTTCATCGGAATGTGCTGGCAGGAATGTTGCCTGGCACATTCCGATGCCTTGTACTTCCGAAAACCCTGACCCTGACCTGACCCTGACCCTGACCCTGATTACAAGACACCACACCAAGACAGGACCAAGCCACGACAATCTCGCGCTTCCCCACACAAGCCAATCGGACCCCATGCATCACTGACCCCGTCTTACGTGTCTTGGGAAAATCCCTTTTTTCGAGGGTCCCTCAGACTCGACACGCCCTGTTTGGCCTCGACATATATCTAATCCTCCGTACAACGCATTGTCCATTAAGCGCCCGACCAAGCCTCCGAACGTGTATACGACTCACCGACACTAGTAACTCACCATTAACCAGATTATCTGGCGCAAAAGCCTGGGCCATGGACGATCGCCACCCAACGGCAACGATTTACGCCGATGACCCATCCCTGACCGCCGATGGAGCCCCTAGACGGTGCGAGGGCCGCTGTAAGGTACCAGTCTTGGCCGCTTCGAAATTTCCGGATCCACCGGGTCTTGATGTCTCCTCCACTGCTGGACCGACACAGAAACGGATCTCAGCGGATGACAGAGTGTACATAACATACGACTAGACTCCATCACAGCGGCATGCAATTCCAAGCGACAGCTGCCTATTCTGGATCCGCCAGCTTCGAGACCCCCGAAGATTTTAACGTTTCTTAGCTCGCTTCTCCTATTGACCCGGAAGTTGGCTATTGACCATCCTGGAAATAGGTACTTATGCAACTTAAATATGATCGGGTTCATCTTCTATATTGTGACTCCACTCTCATTCAGCACATATGTACTGTACCTAGGATGGATAACACGTCATCACTGTTGATTTCAATTTCATTCAAGAGTCTACCAAGGTTCATGTGCCGTGCAACGCAGCGTAAAGGGGCTTTAGCACGGGACCCGTCCCTTGGTACCTACCGACGATCTACACGGGCTCCATTACCGCTCCAAGGCTATTCTGAAACGCGTTATATTTATCAACACTACCGAACGCCCCGGATATTTCTTCCAGCCTTCTGATTTGTTTTGCTTATTATCCTAACGACAGTCGACCGCCACAACAATCATTTGTGGAGTATGTTACTATTTACAGCACCTTCACTGCCCCCGTCCACGCTTGGAAAGACATACGATGCGATCCCAACTTAGACACGAGTCAAGCAGCCTTGGAAATCCCATCACCCCTGGAGAGGACTCACTTCCGCAGGTCAACACCTCCCTCGAATGAGACACCCCCAGCCTCAGCATCCAACTTGACACTTTCATCCAGCCCACAAGCCCTAAACAAAGCCTGCGGCGTCAAACTCTCGTCCAACCCGGGCAATCCCAACCTCTTCAACTTCTCCAACCCCTCTGCCATAGCCGTAAGAGCCGGCCCGATAGTCGCAAACGGAAAAATAATAATTTTAAACCCAATCTCCCTCGCCTCCTGCGCCGAAATACTCGGTGTAGACCCATGCTCGACCATATTCAAAAGCAAGGGCCACGGCGCAAGGTCCTTCACAGCCTGTTTCGCCATCTCCCGCGACGAAATCCCCTCTAGGAACCCCACATCCGCGCCCGCGTCGCGCGCAGCTCGAAGCCGAGTAAGCGCTTCCTCGTACCCGTGTCCCTGGAGGGAATCCGTGCGTGCGATCACCACGATGTCGCTGCCGAGTCGGTTACGTGCTTGCACGGCGGCTCGGATTCTGGTCTCGTATGTTGGTGTGTCGACTAGGAGTTTGCCGGCGAGGTGGCCGCAGCGCTTGGTTTGAACTTGGTCTTCAATGTGGAAGGCTGCGACGCCGGAGCGGGCGTATTGTTCTGTTGTGCGGGAGACCATGATGGGCCCACCATAGCCTGTGTCGGCGTCGCAGATTAGGGGGGGTGGACGGCGATAGGTTTGCGATCATTTCGGCGTTGGTGCGCATGTCGTTCAATGTGCAAATTCCTAGGTCTGCTTGGCCGTGGACCGAGGCGGCGGTGCCTGCGCCGGTCTGGGGCGGTTATAAGTCTATGCTTGTGATCTATGATGAGGGATACTTACCATGTACAGAGCGTCGAATCCAGCCGCGAGGGCCAGGCGGGCTGAGAGGCCGTCATATACGCCTGGGGCGATCACAAAGCCATTGGGATCCTTGAGGGTCTGGCGCAGACTTGTTGCAGCCGAAGCAAGAGGCATGACGTTTATCGCTATCGATAACAGATACTAACTAGATCAGGTTGAAGACTGAAACTGAGGAGCAGTATCGAGGGTGAAGTTTTAGACGACAAGTCAAGAACGACTCCGCTTCCCATTTATACCTTTCGTTTCCACGTGGGCATCCAAATTTTTTTTTTTTTTTTCTCTCTTCAACTACCACCAATGAAGCTTTCTCGTCGGTGATGATGCGCGCACTCCCCACCCTCCCGGGCCGAAAGCCGATATCGGGAGTCTTATGTCACCGCCACTTTCTCGGTCTTTTCTCGCCGTCGCCGAGCAGTATCCGTACATTTTGGTAGTGGACCGTACATAGAATAGTTTTTTCGGTGTTTAATCAATTATCATTGAGTATGCTTTGGCGTTGCAGTAATGTGCCGAGCCTATGTGCAGTCTGTGACCGCAAGGATGTATGCGGATTTCAAAGATAAATCTCGGGCTTGTTCCAGTCAAAGGCGGAGTAGCTTATCTAAAGTGCTCATTTGAAAACCCTCTCTCGTTAAAGGGATTGCATATTCATTTAATCACTATGCTCTACTGCTGGTTTTACCAAGCCTCATGTGTAGGGATATTGATGCAGGGCATTCGATGGTTTCATATCGAAATCTTGCATAGTGGTCTCTTATTGGTTGATCTGGACCCACAATCGTTCGGCCGAGCGCTGATGTGTATATTCTATGCCTCGCCATAACATCACGTCGGACTACTAGAATTTAGAGCCGAATTATTAATTGAAGATAGGTAATTTCAGCTCACCGAAGCCTAGAGCTCTCATATAAAGCAGACATGGCCTTGTGCTTGAATTTGTAGAATAATCACTTCTTTCTCCAGACTTGAAAATTACACCCAGGAAGGTATACATACCTCACTCTAATATAACCCGCTCAATTGTTTTGCTTAACCTTGATCAATTCACCAAAGCCCTGGAACAATGCTCGGGCAGCCCAAAGTCTCTCCACTGCCCTCAGACATCGACCTGAGCGGCAAAACCGCCGTCGTCACCGGTGCCAGCGGAGGCCTCGGTCTCGAAACAGCACGTCAACTCCTCCAACTCAAATGCTCTACCATGGTCCTTGCCGTGCGCAAAGTTTCCAAAGGAGAAGCATGCGCAAAGGAGCTTCGCGAAGACCCATCTATCGAAGCGAACCATCCAACCATCAAAGTTCTCCAAGTCGACGCTGAGCGTTACGATAGCATTCAAGCATTCACCAAGACCTTGAAGGAAGAAGTCCCAACGGTGGATATCCTGATCCTGAATGCGGGTATCAACCGTTTCAACTTCGAGCGCAGTCCATCTGGGCACGAGGCAACGGTACAAGTTAATTACCTCTCCAACGTCCTTCTCCTGGTGGAACTCCTCCCCTACCTAGAAACTAGTGCGGAAAGATCCGGCTCCCCGACACGGGTAACCTGGATAGGAAGCCGAATGCACGATCTCGGAGAGGGTCTCTCTAAGAAACCACCTACTGGACCGATCCTCGAGTACATGGATTCGGCGGAGACATTCGCCAAGTTCACTCGGTACGGAGATAGCAAGCTTCTCTGTGCGATGTTCGTCTTTTCTCTTGCGCCGAGACTCGATTCGAAGAAGGTTATTCTGAATTTGGTTTGTCCGGGGATGGTCAGCACGAATCTTGAGAGTGATCTGCCGCAGCCTCTTCGGTTCCTGGTTGTCATTCTTAAGGTGATGCGGGCTAGGACTGTTGAGGTTGGTGGGTGGCTGATTCTCAATGCGGCTCTTGTTGCTGGTGAGAATTCGCAAGGGAAGCATCTGGGCGATAAGGAGATTTTGAAGTTAGTGTTTCATTGTAAGGTTAATGATCTTGGCTAACTGGTCCGTGATAGGAAGTCGAAGTATCTCCAGTCTGAGACTGGGCTGAAGGTTCAGAAGAAGTTGTGGGATGAGACTATGGTGGAGATGAAGAAGCTAGCAACTTTGCCGTCGGAGTTTCATTAAAGGATCGGAGGGCACTTCATTCTCTGTATGAATGCGTTATATGAAGACAGGTTTGATTTTATCAGTATTTTTGGTTGTTACATGACTTGACCTCAAGAGTGCCTCCCTCAAGTACGAAACCATCTCTGGAAAATGTACTCTAGAGTACCATCAGATCCCAAAGGTGAGGATCCCTTCAAGTTCGCTTGAAATGTAGATTCTTCAGTTCTGTCATCCTGCTGCCCTGTAGCAATGCGTGAAATCACATCGCAGCCTGGTCCGACATAGGAAGGCGTGCTAGAAAGGTCATTAGATTGAGTACTCCTTTGATTATCCGAAAAGACATCCACCTGCTCCCAGAGACGACTCAGGGTTTTCATGGATAATGTGTCTTGTCCCGTCCACCGCGGGCGGGTTTGAGAGCGATGGGTCAAGAAGTTGTTCACACACGTCACCATCTCTTGCTCATTTTCAGGATACAAATGGTGTTTGAGGTAGACTAGTATCAGGAGGGCACATTGTTCTGGGCAATAATAGGTTGAGCCAAACCAGGCCCATGGTTCCCACGCAGGTACTTCCTGGATAAGTGAAAAGAGTTGGAGGTAGTTGAGACATAATTGCGCCATACTGCGCAATCATTGCAGTCAGCATACATAGATATTCTAATATCCAGGCAATTAGTATTTCTTACCTGTGCCATGAGGCTTGAGAAGATGGGCTTTGAGAGTTGGGGGGACTGAGAAGAGGTTTCTGTAATGTGAGAATCGCCTCGGATCTGAGCAAAGCGAGTGTCATGTCGGCCCACCAAGCAATCACATTGTTCTCCATATGGTCATCATAATATTCCGGATTGGACTGGGGCGTTGCATTCTTCATATCATCAAAGCGTTCGCGATGCGTATTTTGAAATGTCATATCAACGGAGCTGCCCATATCAAGGAGCTGGGGAATTTGATCGTTGATAAGTCGTTGTAGCTCTACAGTCGCAAAGACGAGTTCAGTGATCGTGTTTTCCGAGACCTGCCGGGAGTCTTGTAACTGGTGGATAATGCGATTTTGTAGTCGTGCGATTTCATACCGACCAACGGCTAATTTCATAGTTTCAGATTGACGCTCTGCAAACTGGGAGGTTTCCTGTATTTTGAGAATGAATTGGTCGATCATTGGCGTTCCTTCAAGATTATTGCCACAGCATGTAGGCAAGCCCGTAGACAGACTCGTTTGAACATCGAACCAGACAATATGCCACCAAATGCGGCGTCGATATTCGCGGATTAACGGATTCTTTACTTCATGCTCAACTTCTCGGTGGAGCCCCATACTTTGAGCCAGGCGGACGGTTGCCGCAATGAAAATTGCATCCCCAAGCGGCTCATGCTTAGTAAAGTGATGGACTAACAAGGATGCAGCAAGTGTATTGAGTGTCGGATGTTCAGTATACTTGCATGCCGTAAGACTGTCATGACAGGCCTTTTCAAGCAGATCCATCATGCCTTTCCTCTCATGATTCTTCAATTCGGGAACATTGCATGCTGACTCGGTGGCCACCGATGCGCCTGCAAATAGGACTGCGAAATGAAGACAGGTGAACGTAGGATCTTGGACCAGGCTTGAAGGCGGAGCCATCAGCCCATCTGCATCAAAGCATCTCCAGAATGATTCACACTCGGATTGAAAAATTTGAAGGCTAATCAGAGGAAATATTGGGTAAACGCCAAAGATGAACGCTTGAACCAAGGCATTAGATGCAAGCTTGGTAGGGAGGAGATGTAGACATTGTACAAGTGAAGTTACCGAGACATGGGGTGGCGGTATGTCGGCTGGGTAGTCATTCTCAAAAAAGAAAGAGTCATTAAGATGTTCCTGGTGTGCCCATTAGCCTTCTGCTTTATCGACGAGATGCACACAATACACCTACTTGGCCGTTCACAAACCCCCAAAAGGATTTCCCAACATAACGCAGCTGAGAATCATGCTGCGTACTGAGGTAGTTTGAGGGAAGGACAACAGTGTCGGGTGAGCTTTCCTGCTCTGACGGTGCCTTGGGTTGAGGATTGTCTCGGAACTCCGGCAAATTTGATATTGATGACTCGCCACTGTTTCCTTCTTCGAGCTCTCCTGCTCGCAAGACTCGACCTGTACCCGGATCCCGTGTGCCTGTGTTATATACGCATGTTTCCCCCAGGCGGTGGCAATTGCTGCAATGTGGTTGTTCTCGTCCACAGCGCACCTTCCGGCGACTGCATACAAGGCAGCTGAGCGCCAGCCGGGGCCTCTTCACGGGACGCGAAGTCATTTAGCTAATCATATCATCATCTGCGAAGACAAGCACAGATTGGGCATTCAGAAGATGCTCGAATATACAACAAGGTCCAAAAGAGCCCAAAAGGGAAAGCGCATTGGGGGTCCGCCATGCAGATCGCTTTAGTCAGCATGTCCAGAACCGTGGAACTTGCAGCTCGACGTTTCCATCGCGAATTTATTTCATCTTGAGATGTCCTCGACTTTCGCCTAGAGTGCGCCTACCTCCCATCCCTCCTTCGCCATGGTCCTCAGGACCGGCACTCCCGTTGTCCAAGAGTATGCAGCTCCGCCGCCAACTCTAAGCACCGACCAGAAGGTCGCCCACGAGCGCCAAATCTACCGAGTTCCCAGACCTTCAGGCTATCGCGTGTCATGGCACGCCAACCCCGCCGTCGAGGGCCACCATTTCGGCCAGTCACATCCGATGAAGCCATGGCGCCTCACCCTGACCAAGCAGCTCGTCCTGTCCTACGGTATGCACCACGCTATGGACCTGTACTTGGCGCGGGCGGCGACATACGAGGAGATGGCCGAATTCCATGAAGCCGACTACCTCGACTTCCTGCAGCAGGTGGTGCCTGGTGATATGGATCGCCCGGAGCAGAGTGACAACGTGGTTCGGTTCAATTTCGGTGACGACTGTCCCATCTTCGATGGTTTGTACAATTACTGCTCGCTATACGCGGGCGGCACCGTCGACGCTGCGCGCAAGCTCTGCAACGATCAATCCGAGATTGCAATTAACTGGTCCGGCGGTCTGCACCACGCGAAGAAGGCCGAGGCCAGCGGGTTCTGCTACGTCAATGACATCGTCCTGGGCATCTTACAACTTCTACGGCACCACCCACGCGTGATGTACATTGACATCGATGTGCACCACGGCGACGGCGTGGAACAGGCATTCTGGTCCACAGACCGTGTCCTCACTGTCTCCTTCCACAAATACGACAAAGACAATTTCTTCCCGGGCACCGGCGCCCTCGATGACACCGGCCCCACGCACCCGCTCAATCCGGGTGCCCACCACTCCATCAACGTCCCGCTTCACGATGGTATCCACGATGACTCCTACATCAGCCTGTATGAAGAAGTCATCGGTGCCTGTGTCGAAACCTACCGACCTGGCGCGATCGTCCTCCAATGCGGCGCAGACAGCCTAGGCTGTGACCGACTCGGCTGCTTCAACCTCAACGTCACGGCACACGGCGCCTGCGTCGCCTTCACCAAGAAATTCAACCTACCCTTACTTGTTGTCGGAGGCGGAGGCTACACACCCCGCAACGTATCCCGCGCTTGGGCCCACGAGACCTCCATCCTCATCGGCGCCGAGAACATCATCGACCCTAACATTCCACAAAACGTCGCGTTCCGCAACCACTTCGGACCCGACTACACACTCTTCCCATCGCTTTCACTGATCCGTCATATCGAGAACAAAAATTCCCGCCAATACCTCGAGGGTCTCGTCGAGACCGTCCACGAACAACTTCGCTACATCAAGGGCGCCCCAAGCGTGCAGATGAGCTTCATCCCGCCGGACATCCTAGGTCTACGCGAAGAAACCGAAAAAGAGATCGAAGAAGAAACCGCCATGAGGGAAGAAGAACGCGAAGAACGCGAAGGTGGCGGCTTCGCTGCAGCCATGAGCGGCTTAAGTGACATTCCCGGTTCAGCGGGAGGAATCCCGCGGACGAATCGTAGGCGTGAGCTCGAACGAGGAGCTGGATATAAGGGCGAGCTGTACTCATGATGACCGAAGGTTTGACTGAGTTGCTCCATTGGGTTTTCTGGATCTAGGAGTTTTCTTTTTCTGGTGGGATGGAATACCTGGCATTTACAACTTTTTATTCTCCGGGGTGTTGGTGTTTGATTATCGTGATATCCCCCCTTTGACAGCATTGTGTACAGTAGTTTTCGATATCACTTATACATACCCCCATACTCTTACTACTTAACTTGCGGAGAACACTTCCGACAGAACCGTTATCGTAATGATTTTACCACTGTTGATGAGTAGTTGCAAAAGTAGCGTGGGATTGATCGACAAGCCATATGCAGATCTACGCACACTAGCTAACGACTTTTTGGTCCTGGAAGAACTCTTGAAGTTTGCCAGAAATGCGGGACTAAAGATGTGATAAGATGGGATTTTTAGATTGTATCTGCTTCTCATCTTGTGAGATATCGATACAGTAACAAAATGGGTGAAAAGGTTAGTAAAGGTAACGTAGGCTCGTCCCATTGAAATGCAGTGAGATGGGGCCGCTCCGAGACTGAGGAATTGTATTTCGAGCGACCTCGTGCTTAGCTAGCAGTCTAATTGGTATCAAAGTGCCACACGGCCTTTGATCTCACATTATATGTATGCATGGCAGGTATGCAAGGTTGAATAGCTCGATTGAAGGGCAAATAGCAAAATCCCCCTAGAAAATAGGGTTACTCCCGATCTTTCGATCCACTGCATCTGATAATCGCCTGCCCAGGTGGACCCACGCAATGCCGATCGTCCATTAAAGCCCCAGAGTGCATGATGACAGTGTGACTCCCGATTTTTCACTCCACAGTATCTGTCATAGGTCGCTAGAACGCATGCAATGCCGATCATCCTACGTAAAGCCTCAGAAGGCGGATCGCAGAGTCCGAGGCAAATTCCCTTAGAAAAGAGAATGCCTCCCGGTCTTTTATTACATAGAATCTCATATTTGCTTGCCAATGATTGAGTCAAAGCCTTCTGGGTTCTCGAAACCCTCTCGGGATATGTCACCGTGACGTCGAACAATTATACGGCGCTGCGGAGCTGAAAATCGGCGATATCGACAATACCACATTTGGGCGAGCGCGTCCTGATCGAAGATTGGAATACCATCGTATGAGTGTTGAGGAATAGCTGAGGTTGAGAATTAATGTAGTAAAGAATGAAACACCTTTATTTGAATTGAATAGCTACATGAAAGGAAAAATTCAACATTCCGTCCTGGACCCCATGTGTATAGATCCCAAGTTCCAATGTTCCCCTGGTCTATTCATGAAGACATGATCATCCGCGCCATGTGAATCAGATTCCTCTCCCAACTTTTTTTTTTCCCCTTCTCTCTTTTCTTTGCCATTTTTGTAGATTGCTACAATGCAGCGATTCCATGTTGAATTTTACTACGTACCTCGCCCATAGCCACTTCTCCCCACCTGGCAGGTCGAGGTCGAGGTCAGGCTGTGATATGGAGGTAACGGTTATATTCATTTTGTTTTATTTTGAATCGTTTTGGGGTTAATAAATCCAGAATCGAATCGGGTATCCAGCAATGGGGCGCGGCTGTAGCCGGGAAACGCTTGTGTTGAACATCATGGGAAGGACTGTGAGGATGGGCGGCTGGGTGCGAGCGTGCTGGGTAGTCTGCGCAGGTTGACTACGTCGTCTGACGGACTGCCAGATGAGTGGAATGGATTCGGTTTTCGAGTGCCGCCTGTATAGGGCGGCGGGGCTGTGCCCGGAGTTTTGGGGGTTTTATTGGTTCTCCTCTGCATCCACGAATTGCTCCACGGCTGCTGTTTCTGTGTCCTGTCGTTCCACGATATCGGTCGCTGGTTCCTCGGGGGTCGCTCCTGCTGCTTGGCCTACTCCTGGGTATTAGCTACGGGCCTTGTATCCTGGGAGGGTGCCTAGTTTGCCAGGTTGGATCGCCTGTGTGGCGGTATCCGGAGCTGGGTGGATTCTCTCTGACCTGGAAGGATAGGTGCAATGGCCATGATCTGTTTTGTGGCAAGTTGGGGGTTATGCGAATCGCTGGTTTTGAGGGTTAGTGGACGGGGTTGGTGAAGTGATCGGCTCGGTAATACATACACCTCAGTGTTGATAATCCAGTCGAGATCCTCGTCTCCCTCCTCGGAGCCACCGGGCCCTCCCTGAACTGCGCGGAAAAGTCGAGGCTTCCAGTCAACACCCTCATCGGCGCGCCTGGCGGCCTCCTCTCGTTGACGATCCTCGATCTTGGTCTTTTCGTCCGTAGCAGCGACGTGGTTCGAGGTTAAGATGGCCTTGACAGTCTTTTCCCATAACCGTTGAGACTCACGCTCTCCTTGCTCCTCGGTTGGGCGCGCCACCGGTTTCGAATGTTTCGCATGGGAGGCATCGAACAAAACCTCTTTTTGGTGGGTCTGCGCTTCGTTAGTGTCGGGCAAACAGTGAATCAGAAGACAAGATGAAGCGTACGAGAACATTCTTGATGTGCATTTCGCCATTCCAGAGACCAGACAATTCAAAGAGAACCTCGCCAGTCTTTTCGTTCTTGATAGTTCCTCCAATGGCGTTGTAGGTACCGGAGAAGTAGCCCTTAGTCTTGAATTCGATATCGGCCACAAGGTTGTTCTCCGGGCATCGGACATAGCTGTGGTCACCAAGCTCATACTTCATTTTGCCGAAAAGGATGCCGCGCGCATACATGTTCGGTTGCGTCAAGATACTGCCATTCGTTAGTACCCCCACATTGGACCCCATATATTTGAAACGTACTATCGCTCGCCCCTGTCCTTGTCCTGGCCGCAGTTAAGAAGTCGCAAAATCGCTATCCCTTCCATCAGACTGGCTGCCGAGTTGCCCAGGAACTTGCTGCGGGGTTTGAGAGTTCCGTCGATCCGGATGTTGTGTTCGGGAGCCATGAAGAAATAGCTCGACTTGGGCGGGTGGTGGGAGGTCTGTTCAGAGACATAATATCCGCGCGTTCCATCGGGGTAGTCCCAGTAGCAGGTAAAGGTTTCTCCAAGAATAGGGTTCAACGGCTTCTTCACTCCACTGCAAGATGTCAGGATTCGGTCATAGCGCAAGTATGGAAAAAACTTACGGAGGCTTAATGTGCCATCCACTCAAATAAAATTTAACCACGGAAACAAAACGCTCGACAGGGTCTTCGATCGTGGGCATGGGAAGGAGGGTATCGGGGTGCGCCATGAAGCTAATAAAAGTCCGTCAGTCATCCAGTCAGTCCGCCCCAACTGCGGGCAGTCGAGAGTTTTGGACGTACTTGGTGATGCGTTCCAGCATGGACCTCGGCTCAAGAATGAAGGTAGGCAGCACGACCCGACTCAGGTCGGCGCCGGGGCGCAGTTGCGAGATGATGTGCGAGAGAACTGGCCTGGTTAGCGCGAGCGCAGCATTCTTGAGCAGGACGGCTTACCATTTCCCTGTTCGGGCTCGACGATCTCATCTTCCCCACTCTGGGGAGAATCCTCCCTGGACGATCTACCTGGATGGGCGAGGGTATTAGACTCAGTCATGGTGCTGGGAGCTTGAAGCTTGGGCGTTTGGAAGAGAAATGGTGGAGAAAACACTCACTGGCCATGGACGCACGGCGGAGACCCGGGACCGGCATGGCTGCTTTCGGAAGTTGGCTGAGTGAGTGAGTCTATGAGTAGCACGGCATCTAAACCGCAAGAGACTGTAAGATGGACTGTTTGGTGGGGAGTTTAAAGAGAGAAGAAAAAAATAAGGAAAATTGAAGAAAGGCTTAGCCTCGGAGGGGGGGGGGCAGTGACGTCGAGCCTCACACCTCCACTTTAGGCGACTTAGGCTACATATTTACTCAAATCCTGTCTATTCAACCAATGTAATGCCCGGTACTCCCCAGCTCTGACTGCATGGTCCCATGTATCCTTTCCTACTCGTCCGTCCCTTAGTGCTTTCGACTCAATGAGGGGTACGGCTTGGCACAGTGGGGGTTCGATGTATAGGCAAGCCAGGTCGGACCAATTCACTGCAGCTGCAGAGTCTCTGCATTGGATGGCTCTGTGCCTGGGTCTCCGATCGTCAGTGCCGGGTCTTTGAACCAAGACCTTCCAACCTTCCAGACCCTCTCCGTCATATCCGATCGATGAGTGGTACATCTCCTCGGGTGATCTCCGCCACGAATGCCATATCTGGCCGATGGAGCATGACGTGGAAGTGTTCAACGGCGTGCACCGATTTCAAGGATTTCCAGTTCTTGAACCACACGACCGATTCCGCCGCCACCGAACGGAATGTTCGCTGCACATATTGTTCGATCATATCCCGGGCCTCCCTCGTCAACTCACCCGTGGCTGGGTCATCTGTAAGCTCGAACTTGGTCCATACTACCAGGTGGACGATGTCAGTGTCGATGCCGTAGGGCCAGTCGTTGTACAGGATGCAGACGTCCTCTATTCCCCGTCAGCCAGCTGTTCATCTCCCATAAACAAACATCACGCACCGTCGAACTCAAACGGAGATCCCCGCGGTCTCAGGTCATCTGTATCCCCATTACCCCAGTGCAGCCTTTCCTTGACGACAAAGCGCATGACCGATCCATATTGAGCCTTGATGTGGGCGGTGTATTCCAGGTATTTTCGTAGATCGGTCGGGACACGTTGAAAACGATCGATTCGGTTCGTCTCTGTCAGACAACCCCTGTAAGCCGAGGCCTTGCGCTATGCATGCAGGAGACAGGCTCCACTTACTAATGATCTCCTGTACCAACTTCCAGTCCTGCCGTTGGTAGTGTTCGTCCGGGGTCGATAGACATCGAATGTTCTTCGGCGGTTGATCGCGTAGAAAGCTGGGACACTCAGTTGTCCACTGCGATCGAGGCACGTTCATCAGCCAGTAGGGTAGATTGTCGGATGTGAGACCGTTCTCCTGAAGAAAACGAGCAGGGAAAGTCGCGTCGGCGTCTGTCAATTTCTCATCCAGCGCGGTGATCGTCGCCGCCGGGGTCGACGGTGTAGAATGAGGCATCGTGAATTGGAGGCACAGAGCTCGAGGATATTGCTTCTTAGCAACGAGAGACTAGAATGTCGCTTCCAGCGCGACGTCACCTTGCAACGAGGTTAGAGAGTGTGGCAGTCTAAAGGGAGCTGATTCCGAGTCGTCGTTATCATGTCGATCACACTTGGGCCACTCCTTTCCCCGGAATAATCCACCCGGTGGCAACCTGATTGGAAAGTGGAAAGGAAAGAAACCATTGGAATATAGATTGACCAGCATCTTTATCTTTATCTCAATTAGATACTTAGATACTTCTAGAACTACCTCACCGCCAACTTCTGGATCATTGGGTCGTCTGCATGGATCACCGAAACCCCGGCAGCCTGAACCTCCTGCTTGACCTTCTCCCAATCAGTCGGCACAACGCATTTAGTTGCCTCCTCGACAATCCAGCTCCGGAAGCCGGCCTTTGCAGCATCAATCGCTGTACATTTGACACAATAGTCCCCCGCCAACCCCACGACAAAGACATCTGTCACCTTGTGGTCACGGAGGAGCTCAGCGATGTCCATGTTGACCGACTTCTCCGCCATAGCAGGATCACTGTTGCCAAATGCATCGGCAAAGGCGGAGTACATCTCGACCTGCGAGTGCTTTCCTTTATGAACAACGACATCGATGAGATCGGCGCGGATCTCGGGGATAAGCTCCGCGCCGGGGCTGTCGGCCACGCAATGAACGGGCCAGAGCTGCTGGGGTCTTGTCTCCATTTCCTTTCCAGGCGCCGGGTTCTTCATTTCGATACACGATTCGAAGGGTCGGTTGTTTGGTGGGGGATGGTTGCTGGCAAAGGAGATATGGTCTGATGGATGGTAATCTTGAGTTGCGATTCGCGTCACAAATCCTGATTCAGAGAGGAGGCAATTAATCAGCGGCGCAATATCTCGGCCTTCTTGTACTGCAAGAGAACCCTTCTATCCTCCCAGCGAGCATTGTTGCATCAGCACGCCGAGGTTGGAACTGCAGTCACCTAATCGTCAAACTCACGGGTGGACAGAAATCCTCCTGCATGTCAACCACGATTAAGGCGGGCACGAATGGCCCATCTGTCCCGATTGCGAAAGGCATTGTCAGAGAGAAGTTCCGGAAAAGTGCCCGTAAAGCAGAGTCTGGTAGCTGGTAAGTAGATAGCGAAGCTTGAGCTACAGAGATAGCCTTGGCGGTCCCGGATGAGTCAGCAGGCGGGTAAAAAGCAAAGCGAACAGCGGCACAAAACTTGCTTCTTCTCTTCCTCCCCAAGGGCTGCGGCCCCATCTGAATTTACCAACTAGTTCAGCTCTAAATGCGTGATAATTGCAAGGTATGTGAAAGCTGCTCTTTGCACTCAATCACCCTACATGATGATCCTATTTATTGGAGCTGTCTGAGCTTTGGCTATGCGGACAAACTCTTTATACGCTTTTTTATCTGAACCCTCCTTCTCTTCATCACCTCGCAATCATTGAAATTATGACCAGGGACTTTGCTAATTCCCTTCAAGCCAATAACAGGACATTGTAAACTCATATTCAAACCACCCTGAACCGGCCTCATTGCCCACTTAGTCTCAATCCATAGTCCTCTCCACCACTACCATGGCATATGACCCTCGTCGAGTAAACACGGGGAGCACCACTCCCCAAACTCCTCCCCCCTCCCCCACCACCACCTCCCGAGTCCGCCATAAAGGAAGAGACAACGGACTCCACCTCCAACCCGGACTCCTGGAAGCTAAAGTTCTGCACCGTGTGCGCATCAAACAACAACCGCTCCATGGAAGCCCACCTCCGCCTCTCCGCAGCCGCAGCCGAGTTCCCAGTTATCTCGTTCGGCACGGGCTCTCTAGTCCGCCTGCCAGGTCCCACAATCACCCAGCCGAATGTGTACAGCTTCAACACGACCTCCTACAACCAGATGTGGGAAGAGCTGGCCAGCAAAGACGAGCGCCTGTACCGCTCAAACGGTATCTTGAACATGCTTGACCGCAACCGCAATTTGAAATGGGGTCCCGAGCGCTTCCAGGATTGGGTGCCCGGTCTGCCGCGTGTGGACCATGTCTCCAAGGGTGACAAGGGCGCGCTCGGCACGGAAGCCGGTGTCGTCGATGTGATCATCACCTGTGAAGAACGATGCTGGGATGCTGTCGTCGACGACTTGATGAACAAGGGGAATAATCTCAACCGACCTGTTCATGTCTTCAACGTCGATATCAAGGATAACCACGAAGAGGCCCTGTTGGGAGGCAAGGCAATTCTCGACCTGGCCAATGCTCTCAATGAAGCGGCTGTTGAGCAGCGGGCGGTGCATGGGTCTGGGGGCTGGGAGAATGGTACTGGTGCCGCGCGCCAGAGCTTCGATGAGCGTGTTCCGGATATTCTGGCGAATTGGCAGGAGAAGAATCCTAACCTGCCTGCTTTGTGGACGCTTGCTTGGTTGTAGCTTTGTTTTTCTGAGTTGTGTCTGATACCCCCGTTTAATGACCGGTCTTGTTGAGTGGATTAGATCGTGTCGGAGCGATAATACTACAATGGATGCCTTGTTTTTATGAAGCAATTGAGTTAAAGTCGTATACGAGGCTAAAGCGTAAAGTCGGAAGAAGATAATCTAGATGGGTCCAAACAGTTTGCGCTCAGTCCTTCAAGATCTCTTCCCAGACATTTCCCTACCAGTGCCTCAAAAGCTTTGAATTTTTTTTCGTTCCCTCACCAAGCCACCCTTTGGAGCGACTTTTACTGGAGGCATGCGAATAGCAATCGTCTTCATTCGATCTCAAATAACAAAGGGGTATCATCGCCTCCAGTTTGAACTCCAGCAATAATATAAACAGATAATAAATCACTTCGCATCCTTGATATCTGGCTTCGTCTCAATCCGGTCTTCAGGCTTGATCTCTCTCTTCATTTCGCTCTTGATCTCCCCCTTAACCAATATATCACGCCTTTCCTGATACCATCGATCAAGAGCTGCTCTCCGCTCAGCCTGAGTCATGTTTTCCACGACGAGTGCGAACTCCGTAGCATCCTTGTATCCGAAGCGCCGGGCCATGCTGCAGAATTGACGACGTTGCACATCCGCTGGTGGATTGTACTTGAAGTTGAAACCCCTTCCTTCAGCGGCCCAAGGGGGAGGCATTTTAGAATCATGCAGAGTTTCAGATTCTGCAAATGGATCTGTGATGTCGGCATCAACTTCGAGGGGGTCGAACACTTGGTAGTTGGCTCCTGGATCATTTGTTGTCTGGGCGGCGTGCCGACTGAGTTGTTCTTCGACGCGAGAGGATCCGATGACTTCGTTATTCAAGTGGGTATATTCAACTCCTGCGTCAGCGAGGATTGCTTGTACTGGGTCATGTTTCCGTGGCGTTGGTTCGGAGTTCGAGCTGTCTTCAGCCTCGCCGCGGATCGTTGCAGCCAGCTGGCTCATTGCCTCGTCTTCGGATTTGACGACTCCTTCACCGGTGGAATCCTCCTCTTCCTCAAATTCGAAGTCCATTACCTGCACACCAGCTCGACTCTCGGCAACGTTTGTTTTATTGACGATGTCACGCAGGACGACGTTGTCGTATTGGTATGAGAAGAGGTTTTTCAACCCGAAAATTTCGCCCTTTTGGTCCTTCTTCTCTTGGACGCCCTTGAAGTACCGACGTTCAGAGCTAGCATTATATCCGATCTCGGCCTGTTGTTGCTTGTATATTTGCCGGGCGTACACAATTTCTTCGATAGTGCCAGCAGAGACGAGTCGGAACACTTCAACATCGCGAGTTTGTCCGATACGATAGGCTCGGTCCTGGGCTTGCAAATCATATGAAGGGTTCCAGTTTGGGTCAACAACCACGACCTTGTTCGCGGACGTAATGTTCAATCCGACGCCACCAGCTTTTGTGGAGATCAAGAAGACAAATTGATTAGGATCGGAATTAAAATCGTCCACTGCTTTGGCACGGTCTTCGTAGCTCATAGAACCATCCAGATAGCTCACATTGTAGCTTGTATGGTTGAATAGAGTCTGCAACATTCTCAACAGTCGGACGCTATGTGAGAAAACAAGAACTTTATCTCCATTCGCATGCCAGAATCTTAGCAGCTTGCGTAAGACTTTCCATTTCCCGCAGAACTCAGGGTTGGCGTAGTTGACAATTGAGTCTCGAGAGCGATACAATTCTTCCCATTTATCGGGCAAGGCAATCTCCAGCATATCCCTGTCCTTGTCCTGCTTTTCTCTTGGATCATTTCCCTGTGGAATGAGAATCGCCAGGTGATTGCTAAGCTTCTGCAGTACGGTAATGGCAGGGAATACAAACGCCTGCCAAGGTATATCAGTCCCAGGGAGGAGCCTCTTGTGGCACCAGCCTTGCTTTTTTCCTGACCCGCAGTGACAGATATCCGAGGAATTTTTAATGTAATCGACAATGTCACTGTCCAAAAAATTTTCATATGCCTCGGCTTGTGTCCAAGTCAATGGGCAGAAAACCACACGATCGCTTTTCTTGGGCAATTGATCCGCAATGAGACTCTTCATGCGTCGCAGGAAAAACTGCGGGAGCAGGTTCTCGACAAGCTTCTTGGCCGTCTTTCGAGCCTTGCTGAGCTCGTTAATGGTCGCATCATGAGACTGGCCAATTTTCAGAGGATCTGAGATCTGGGTCTTCCATGTAGTGACTGGGCCGAGGACACCGGGATTTGTCCAGTTGAGAAGAGTCCACAGCTCTTCATATCGATTCTGTATAGCTGTGCCGGTCAAGCCAATACGGCACAGAGCATTAATCTGATTCATGGACTGTGTCGTTTCTGACTTTCGCTCCTTTATCTTGTGACATTCGTCTGCGATCACGCAGTCCCACTCGACCATGTTGACAGAGTCTTTGTTATTCACGTAGGTAGTGTATGTGGTGATGAGAATTTCCACTCTGCCAGAGCGTGCAGCATGAAGGGCTTGGTCCTTGTTGGGACCGTGGTACATATCAACATGCCACCATCCCCACCGTTGAAGTTCTGCCATCCAGTTGGCAATCAAAGTACCGGGACATATGATTAGGATACGCGGGTACCACACATCATCTTGCGATCTACGTATCTTGCGCATTCGCTTGGCATCTCTTTCGTCAGCTGTCTTTCCATAGGCTGCAGTCAGAAAAGCAATGACCTGAATCGTCTTTCCAAGGCCCATGTCATCCCCGAGCACGCCGCCTTTCTGATAGACAAACATCTCATGCAGGAACGCGACTCCTTCCACTTGGTACTGGCGCAGCCATTGCGCGATCGGCGCAGGGATAATGCCCAGAGAGTAAGGTAAAGTGACGTCTTTGTATTCACGACCTGGCGTCCTCCCGGGGAAGGATGGTTTTTCTTGTAAGTGTTCAAGGCACTCGTCATCAGAAAACTCCACATTGTCATACGAAGGCGGCACTTTCAAGCCCAAGTCTTGAAGATAATCGGTTTTGCGGTCAAACTGGAGACGGCGCTGCTTCAAGTAACCTGGAAGCGTATGTTCCATCAGTTCATCCTCGGAAGATACATTGCCATGCTGTAAAGGCCGCTTAGGTTTGGACGTCGATTGCTCTTGTTTCACCCGGCCGACGATCACGTCGCTGCTGTGCGGTTCTTTCTTGGGCATCTTTGCCTTTCGAGTGGCGGCTGCATTTTGTTTGCGCTTGACCGACTTGCGCTCCTTGAACTTTTTGTAGGCCGCTTCGCCATCGTTGAACTCATCTTCGCTTTCAATGGGCTGTATTTTGATTGGTGTACTATTGTTTGTGCTCGATGCGTTTATGATTTCTCGTTTGACGGGGGCACAGTCCTCATTGTTGGTTTGGCCGACGTAGCTGTCTTATATAATGTGAGCTGCATTCCACGCGTGGATAGTAGGTGCATACTAGCAGAGTTGATGGCGGAGTTCAGATACGGTGTCACCTCGAGATCGTCATCGTCCGAGTCAATAGTGATGACCTCAGGATTGGTACTGCGACTCCCCATGTCTCCTGTAGAGCTTGCATATCCAGTAGAGCTTGAGTGTTGTTGGTGAAGAAGCGTGGAAGTCGCGTCCGGCCGCGAAGGCGGAGAAGTTGGCGATGTCATTCCCGATCGGCGAGAAAAAAAGCTGCTCCGATCACTTCCTCCCCTCCAAACTGCGGACTACCTCGCCGCTGTTTCCAATTGACTTCAAAGCTGTTCTGGATTTTATTACGCGACCAGAGATTTGTAAGTCTGTCGCGATCGCTGCGCTCTTTGTATGAAAGATGGACGTGGGCTAACTTTCATCCCACCAGTCGCAAGCCAGTCGAGCTTCCTACTTAAGCCTTTTCGCACCCGTCACAAATATTTGCCCCCTCAGGAGGTCCATTCTCAAACATGCCTCTTGATACTTCGACTACATACCCTCTCACCCGACTGCGCCTAGATGGCCGTAGGTGGAACGAGCTGAGGCTGCTCCAGGCCCAGATTTCCACGAACCCCGCCAGTTCGGGCTCTTCTTACCTTTCTATGGGTAATACTGCTATTATGTGCTCTGTTCACGGCCCCGCCGAGGGTCGCAGGGGTGAGGCTAGTGGCTCGGCCGGGAGTTCAGGTGCTGTTGTTGAGGTGGACGTGAACATTGCAGGATTCGCCGGTGTGGACCGAAGGAGGAGAGCCGGAGGCAGTGACAAGTAGGTCGACCCTTTCATGCAGAGAACGTGCAGAGGAACCAAGGTTCCAGCTCTGCGTGTTGGCTGCTCGAAACTTTAGACAAGGATACTAACGCCCATCTCCTTGCAGACAATCCTCGCGCATTGCAACCACTCTTCGCTCTGCCTTCCAGTCGCATCTACACACCTATCTTTACCCGCACAGCACTATTAGCATTCACGTCTCAGTTCTCTCCGCCGACGGCTCTCTCCTCGCGGCAGCTATCAATGCCTGCACTCTGGCTCTGGTGGACGCCGGTATTCCCATGCCTGGACTTCTCTGCGGCTGCACAGCAGGCATGAGTGGTAGCGCGTCCACACCGAAGGATCCTCGCAGCGATGAGTTGGATCCCCTGCTTGACCTCTCTCTTCCCGAGGAGCAGGAGCTTCCCCAGCTGACCGTTGGTACTACCACGTCTGTTCCCGTGGGAGAAAATAACATGGATGACGAGGGAGAAGAGACGAAGGTAGCCGTTCTGAACATGGACTCCAAACTGCACTTTACGTACATTGAAACGATGCTGGCTGTTGGGATGGACGGATGTAATCAAATCCGCGAACTTTTGGAGGGCGTCATCAAGGAATCCAACCGGGCATAAAGTCGATACCCATTTAGCATCGGTGTTCAGGTGTCTCAATTTCACAAGTACGCAATACTGTCAAGCTGTATGTACTCGTACCTGTTTAACTGTAAACATTCACAATACCAAAATCCCGAATTGGATTAATCTGCTCAAACACGCGCGAAATGCGCTCATCATGTTGCATCTTGTTTTGTCTTAACATCAACCTCTTAAACCTGCCGTCTCTTCACTTCTTCATCTCTCTTCACGTTCTACCATACACCTGCGTCCAGTATCAGCGGACCGCTGTCGTGCCTCCACCTTGAGACAGTCAAAAGCCTTTGCAAGTGTCAACAGCTCGGAAGCTCATCTTTTGGAATCGACGGTATGAACATGACAATGCCAACCTCGGCTGCATCCCACGAAATGCCTGCAATGACTGGGATGCCCTCGATTGCCGACATGCCCGGTATGCCTGCGGGTATGGACCTGAGCTGCAAGATCTCGGTCAGTCAATATGGAATACTTCATGCTGAACATGAACTGACATTGTGTTTTCAGATGCTGTGGAACTGGGATACTATCGACACCTGTACGTAGTGCAGTCTTCTGATGACCGCGTGAACTTACTGACCAGAACCCTTCGTAGGCTTCCTCGCCAAATCCTGGCACGTCAGATCCCACGGTGCGTTCGCCGGATCCTGTATCGGCGTCATTTGCCTCGTCCTTGTCCTAGAGCTGTTGCGCCGTTTGGGAAGAGAATACGATGCACTCATTCTCCGTCGCGCTCGTCTCAACAGGATGTACATGCCCGGCTCTTCTGCTACCTCGGATCAGGTCAAGGTGAACAAGAGAAGCTACCGAAGCATCAGCACCGATGACGATGCCTCCAAGACCAGCAGTTCTGACGCCATCTGCAAGACTCACCTCCAGAATGATCGTATCACCGCTGCCCCGGTCTCTTCCTTGAGCCTCGATAGAGACTCTGCTAGTACGCCCATCTCGGATAGGCCACTTGCTGAGGATCCAGGTATCACGGAGTCCTATCGTCCTTGCGTCATGGAGCCCTACCGTCCCTCGGCCGTGGAGCAGGTCGTTCGCGCCTTCATGCACATGCTTCAATTCGCCGTGGCTTACTTCATCATGCTACTTGCTATGTACTTCAATGGGTACATTATTATCTGCATCTTCATCGGCGCCTTCCTGGGTTCGCTGATCTTCTCCTGGGAGCCCGTGTCTCTGAACAAGGAGTAAGTCCTTTACTGTCTTGCCCCGACACGGCCTTGGTGCTAATACCATTCTAAAACTAGGAACGACGCTACCACCGTTACCAAGTGCTGTGGCTAAATCGCAAACATCTCGCCAGCCGTGGCGTACACGCAGAAATGGCTGAAGGTGACAGAATTATCAATGCGGAATGAAATGGTGGAACTGGAATCATGAACTTACGAAAACCATATTCATTATCTCACAGACTACGTACACATTAATCTTATTCTCTTCGCTCTTAACACATCTGGCCAACTGCACCTCTCTCCGTATCTCCCGGCCTCCCTTCTCTTGGTCCAAATCGTCTCGAAAACTTGCTTTGCAAGAGAGGCGTTGACAAGCCCTGTCATTGTCAAGCAAGATTCAAACCAGGATGAAAAGAATAACTGCGATTCCGCGCTGACTGCCTCGCAAGCAGCAATAAACGCTGGCCAGATGAGTGTCGCTGTGTTGCCCTCGCTTTGTCCAGTCCCGTCTTGTTGAATTTGTACCAAAGAATCTTGCACACTGTTCACCTCCTGTTGGAGCAAAGCAGCATCAAGATCGTAGATCCGACGATGAAAGAAGATCAACAATGCATTATACATCGCCTGTGCCCTTGCACCTCCCATTTGAAATGAACACCCCTCGTAGGTCGAAAAATTCCTCGAAGTGCACGATGCAAGAAGATGATGAATCCCCTTTTCAAGTGCTTTCGCACGTACCCAGAAATCTTTCAGATTGAGCATCTGCTCGTCTGCATTCTCAAGTGATCGATCTCGCTCATTAGCAAGACGAATTACCTGTGACAGGAGCATAAGGAAGCTCTCAGCGACTCCATACATCTTCGGAAACAGCGTCAGGCTCCACCGACCGGGAATTGCTAAGTGGAGATCGCGCTGTGCTACACAGGGGTCCTTTTCCATCGCCATTATGCTATCCGAGAAGGTGATGTTAGGACAAATTCGGAAGTCTGTGTAGGTTGGGACTTCGCCTGCAAAGATAGCGGCTTCTGAGATATTCGCACTTAGATTTTCTGCGATGCTGGTAGTTTCGGCCATGATTCGCATGTATGCGTAGCAATGATGTAAAGCTCTCCGTTTCGGCGAGAGGGTCGATTGTTTGAAGCCGTTGATGCAGATAAATTTCTCGGCTTGAAGGAGGCAGAATAAGCGGTTCTCAGAGTCCCCTTTGACCATCTGGGTTAAGGTGGCATGTTAGTTATTTTCTGAAGTGAGCTCTATAATTGAACGAGTACATACGTAAGCAGTTGAGAGACTCAATATAGCCATGAGAATCTCCTTGTATTTGCTCCTCTTCATGGTCGAATTACGCGCCTCTTCCATGCAGCGCAGGACGTGGCTCTGAGCTCGCTTCAAGTAAGTATTTCCGGTTGTTATCCAGTGCTCGATGCACATATTTGAGTGACTCCCAAGATGAAAGGCACTGGTGCTTAACAAAGCATTCAACAGAGCGAGTCGCGCATGTGTCGTAGCTCCACTCATTGTGATATCCCCTAGAGTGTTCACTGCACATGGCATTACAAGATTGAGCCACGGTGCTTCTTGGCCATGCCCCAGGGGAGAGATCAATGGGACAATCCTGTCTTTGTAGTGAGACAGTATTGTCCAAGCCTCCGTACTCTCACTAAAGAGATGAGGCGACAAGCCATTCCATGGATCTGGTGCATAGGTGTCTGTATCAAAAGCCCCTGGAATCATATCCCATACTTCTGGCTCCTCATTTCCTCGATCGTTTGGAAAGTCTAGAAGGCTAGAGATGAGGTCGAACTCGGTATCTTCCTGCCTAATCAAGTCGTCTATTTTCATCGACCATTTCTCGGGTGATGATAACAAGCCATTAAACTCAGTATCTGGGGCTTCTGGCTCGGATACTCGAGATAGCTTTAAAACTCCAAAGGGTCCATGGAATAGGGAGAATGGCGCAGTTGCGTTCGAGGTGAACTCGAATCTTTCCAAGTCCAGTAACGCTTTGGAGGTGTCATGATATGGCACAGAACTGATGACTTCATTACTCATAGACTGCCGCTCAGCATCTGTAAATTGTCAGGGAGTTCTGATGAGGAGGGTAGTCCCGACGCACCGGTGAAGATCGCATGTCTGTGTTTGGCTGCATTTTCCGCGCTTAACCACCGAACATCGTGTTGGCTATCGATAAAGGTCAACCTGCAGCCCGCAGGCCTGATATCCTGTTGCAAGCCATTTTCGGATATGGCTGGGTCTGGTGGAATGGCTCTGTTTCTCTGGGCTGAGTCTCGAGGCCGCATAACACTAGGCACTTGGGACTTCCAAGTATCCTACAGTGATGTCTTCAGGAATATCAAGAGGGTCTAGCGAGGCCCAAAGATAAGAATGACGACTGAGTTGGTCCTGAAAACGACCCCGCTGTTATCGCTGCCATCTCCAAGTGCGGAAGGAAGGCGCTTCCGACGAAATGCGGGGCCTACAACTTGATCACGACGAACGCTTCAAAGACCAATCTCATGTAAAAATTGATCCTTAGAGATTCGGGGCTTACAGGGGGAGAAAATCACCATATGAACCAAGTCCTTGCCACAGAAGAGGAATGCATATTTGTAGTCTGTAATTTCGGAGACACTTTCCTCCCTTGGGCGCTATCTTAAGGACCCACGTACTTCCCGACAGCTCTGGAAGTTTACGTCTATGTGACGACCTGTGAATCTAATATTAACCCCATTCTAAGGTCACTAAATATGGCCACCTCACATGACTGACTGGAGACGAGGTAAGTTTGGCATCCCGCGAGAGTCCATGTTCATTAAATGAACCCAGCTTCTCGGCTGTTATCCGACCTGTTTTGCACTTGGTTGGAGTCAATCATTGGCAGAGTAAACAGACGGCTCCCATATTTTCAGGCTCACAAACGGGGTTAGATAATGCTCTACGATATACGCTAAAAGGCTAAACCCAAATAGCTAAGGGACCTGCTTGGCTGAGAATAGCAGAGATCCTCCGGGAATCTCCAAAATGCGGATAGCCCTAGATTCGGCCGTTTTCCAGCCGATCGATTAGTTGAAGTAGAGCTTAGATTCAGCTTCTGGCCTTGGCATTGACTACATTAGGCGTTTACACAATCTATGTTATCTACTGGTACCTTGATCTCACCTGTTCGGCTCTGATTCACGCGCTAATATTACAAAATTTTAGAGAATATCTTTCTAGTGTCTATGTAACTCACCATGCTAGACCAAAGATCCTCTTGGAGGGCATCAACTATGAATGAGAGCAATTTGAAATCGTAGAATAAACAATTTTGCTTTAATCTGAGAGTACAATTCATTGCTATGCCCGTCTGGTCAGATTAATGAATAAAAAAAATCAACTAAACAGCTTCGCAATGCGCAGGTTGTTGTACTCCCAAGCCGTAATGTCATCATACTTGCACGGCGTCGAAGGAGTAACGAACTTCTTAAAAGGGAACAGCGACGCGGTCCGATTTGGCTTCGCAAAATATGCAATAGAGTAGCGTTCAGGAATGATCTGATCTGAGCCAACCTTAATACTAGGCGGATAAGTGACGCGGTGACAAGCAGCGCGAAATGTATCATTCGTTAATCGCTGCAAGGAATCGCCAATGTTCAGAATAATCTCCGTCTTATCCGCAGACTCGATGTTCCGGAATGTTCCCAGCTGTTGCTGGTCCTCAACCTGCAAGCCGCCCACTGAGTCCTGGAAAAGCATGGTGATGGTGCCGAAATCGGTATGTTCTGCGATTCGTGTGGCAGTGCCGTCTGCCAGTTCAGAGGCGTTAATAGGTGGGTAGTGAAGCAGACGGAACTCGTTTTCGGCTCGGCTATGCAGTGTTTTCATTTGTTCGGAGGGGACGTCGAGCGCTTCGGCTAGGGCGGCGAGGATCTCAAGCTCGAGCTTGAAGCACTCCTCATAGAAGCCTTCCATGAATTTGCGGAAGCCTGGAAGTTTGGACTCTTCTACCCAGATGTTGTCTACCAGGTCGTCTCGTGCTGAGCCCATGTCGAGGGTTTCCTAAGGCCTTCTTAGTACGAGCTTTGAACTGCGGGTATCAGGGAGGCAAACCTTGATGTCACGGATAGACTTTCCTTGAGACAAGCCTTTTTCGTACCCACTAATGCTGGAGATTGATTCTTGACCAACGTAGCTGTATCCACGATTAGGGGTGGACTCGGGAGGATGCTTGGCTGTCATTTTGTCTTCGTGCGAAAGGGCGAAGAACTTGCGAGTCTGTGAAGAGGTAAGACATATGAATACATAGACGACAAGTGTCACGTACATAGTCGAAGAGATTGTGAACCAGATCGTCAGAAAGACCATGGTTCTTCAACTTAGCGCCACCTCGGGTTTTCAACGTCTTGAGCAGAGCTGTTGAGACCGCCTCTCTTTGCTCGGGAGTTCCCTTCAACAAGGACAAATCAAGAGTTTCAGACATCCTGGTGACAGTAAATTTTTATCAATGAATCGTGTCTTCCACTTGGAATGCTTGAACTGCTTCGAACAAGTGAAAACTTGAGCTGGGCAGTACCTTCAATTTATAGATCGGCCCCGGGGAAGAGGCGTCATTATCGATGTGATAGACAAGAATCCATTTGAGAAGGTGGCATCCAATCCAAGGGCTTGGGTTATCATCGCCTTCTCTTTCTGACAATCTTAAACACACCCCCGCAAGATCTAGAACCGATCATGTTCCCGAACGAGTCAAGTGGGGACAATGTTTACCTTCCCCATCGGTAGGCCCTCCAATCAGAGACCCGTATAAATGTGGATCGCCTTCCATTTACTCCAGAGGTGATAAGTAGTCAATAGCTGGGGAAAGTGAAAGCCTCGTGGCATTCAATGGAAATCGGTCTATCAACTTTTCTTGTGCTCCGTTAAAATCCTCGCAGTATCTTTTGGTTTTCGTTATCTGTAAAAGAAGATCAAATTCTATTGCAAACGAAAGAAACCTACCTGAAAGATGCCCATTCGATAAACGCAGTTATTCCAAGCAAAAAAGCAGTGATTTGTTAGAGACTGTAACCATTCCATTATTTTTAAATTTGGATATAGGCTTAATGTCAAATCACATATGAATATACGCCTTTGAACTGTACCATCTTATGAATAGAGAAAATAATGGTAGGCAGAGGGGTCAATGGGGTGGTCAAACTCATTAGGAAGTCCAAGCTCCTTAATTTGATTAGCCTACTCAGTGTCGAGATTCTCAAACTGCACGATACCGCTGCGGCACAACTCATGGAATGTGGGCAAAATTAGAGTGAATCTAGAGAAAGAGCAGTCCGGCGCAAAGCTCCTCTCTCTTGAAGCTTATTGTGCTTGGATTCATCTGTGATGGCACTGTCGCTATAGAAACTTCGCTGCTTCCGGCCCGTGTACCTCCAAATTCCTCGGCATACTTTGTTCAGATACGGTGGGTCCATCCGAGGATGAGCTGTCGTCCCAGTTTGTCTTTACAGACTGCTCCTTCTCAGGGGGTTCCTTCTCAGAGGGCTCAATGTCAAATCGCAGATTAACGAAGCCTTGCGCAGTAGGCCAGCTCAGAATTTGTTTAATCCGTCGGGTGCCTCGGTTGAATCCGCCTAAGACAGTATATGCGACCATCTTTCCAATCCTGGTGCCTAGTAAGGCTTCATATTCTGGTGTGCCCAAACTCCAAGCTTGGGGCTTATCATTCGGCCAAGGGATGCTGTTAGCAGGGTATAAGAGGTCGCGGACAAAGTTAAGTGTCTCTGGCTGGACCACAATACAAACGAAGATGTATTTCAATGTGTCAATGGGGAAATCTCTCTTGTAAAAAGCCAGGGTAATGTCGGAGATATGCGGAAAGCCTTTCTTACTCTCGAGTACTTCGAGAAAAATAACGCCTGGCCCGGTACGTCCTACCCATTGCATCTCCCCTCTTACAGACGTGTAGTCAAAAGCTCTATACACAGATTCTTCAACATGTTCGACAAATTCATTGGGAAGTCCCAGACCAACAATATAGTCTTCCATATCCGATGCGATATTCTCGGTTCGCACGTTACCCGAAGGGATCATCTGATGAAAAGCGTCGAAGGTTAGCGTAGATTTAAAAATAGGGCAGTCCGACACACTAGGATGCTCGATCCATTGCAGTCGCAAAAGTCCTGCCTCCTGCAGCCTTCCGTACTTGAACTGCTCCGTAGTGGCTATATATTCTTCACGTGCCCGTACTTCTCTCTCTAATCTTGCGCGAACCATTTGCCCGAAGGAAGTTTCGCTCTGTTCTGGTTTATGCTGGAGAATCTCTTCGGAGGGCTGGCGTTCGGAAGCATGCTCTGAAGCGGACCGTTCTCCAAAGAGAGGCTCCGAAGAGAGCGACGGTCTACTAGAAGAACTAGTATAAGACTGTATGCTAAGGGTTCGTAGACTAGGCGGTTTATATGGCTCGTTTTCTGGGGGCAGCTCCTGAGGGCCAGTACCAGATTTCCTAGCAGAAGCAACTTCTTCTTCAAAAGAAAAACTTCCAGAGTACGGAGCAGAAACCGCTTCGTTCTCCTTGTCTCTACTCTGACCACCATTGTCCAGTTTCAAAGAAGATGGGTCCACATGGGGAAGTTCGATTGCAACCATAGGAGCAGGCAGATCAGACGAATCAGGCAGTGCTGCTGCTCCTCCTCCTCCTTTTTCTTCTTCTTCTTCTTCTTCTTCTTCTTCTTCTTCTTGTTCCACATTGAGTCCACCTCGATTCAAATGAGCGAGGTTGCTCAAACGACGACCTGGTCTGTCAGTTGCTTGGCTGATGCGGCGGTTGAGTCTACCGGGGGGTTGGCTTATGCGGCGCCCTGTATTGTGCATATTGTCATGGAGGCTCTGGCGGCGAGAGTGAGATATGGCGTAGGTATATCAAGTGAACAGGCCTTGGTTCAAAATATAAAGTAGTCGATTTTGGTTTCAAAATGGAAATTGCAAAGTGTTCGTTGGGTTTGAATCTACTTCCAAGAACGAGTCTTACGCGTCTTATATACCCTAAGCCTTGGACATATTCGCAACACTGTGAGAATATCTTATCTTATTGAAATACTCTTATTCAAGACAACCCGAGACAAAGGGATACTTTGTTTTACAGATGTGCCTGAGCACATGTTTGAAGGAAACAAAGTTCTTTGTTGTCCCCCCGGGTTCTATTTCTTTATACAATTCCTCTTGAAACACAGCATGTCTGAGAATGAAGACGGTTCAAATGTATCAGGGTATCTTATCATACACTTTCGAACTCGATTGGCCAATCAATCACAATTCTTTTACCCTCATAGAGACTGTCTAGGCGCTCATTCTGAAGTATAAGCTTCGATAAACAAACAAACCCTGACAAAGAAGGTCAAAGAGTTGGAGAGACGATCTACAGAAAACCGAAAATAGACTAGCACGGACTAGAACAAGACTAGAGCAGAGAGGATAACGGAGGGCACGGATGTTGAATGCATGGAAGTAGAAAGGAGGAAGGAGGAAGTAGGAACCCGGGTACGAACACCGTGAGGTCATCTACCAAAACGTGGTCCAAACTACCCCACTTTCCATTTTCTACTTTCTACTTTCCGCAGATTCTCAACCCGAGGCCCCTGCGCAAAGTAGCAGGGTGGCTTGGTGACAGGCTTACACGAGCCTACGCTCTGTTCTCTACAGTACATGAAGGTGAAAACTTGTTTTTCGTCTCCCGCCTCAAAGAGCATGCATGGCTAGCTTGGTAGACTGTCTAGATTACATCGTGCAAGAAAAGGTAAGGCCACCATTTGAGGCACAGCCAGTCCGCCACTCCTAGGAACAGGAAACACACGCTTTGAAAGAGATTGTTTCCGCCAATTCCAACTAGATCAGAAATCTAGCATTTAGAGCTCACCAGCACCGACGATGGTGGGCTTGACGTCGGAGCGGATAGCACCGGAGGAGGAGCCAATGGACTCAATCTCGGCCACGATCTGCATGGAGGCATCGTCAGCGACCTCGCCGAAGACGACGTGCTTGCCATCGAGCCACGAGGTGACAACGGTGGTGATGAAGAACTGGGAGCCGTTGCTGGAGAGGGAATCTGAGTCAGTAAGGGTTCCGTTGGGGGCGTGTTGATCAAATCAACCGGATTACGAGACTTACGTGTTGGGGCCGGCGTTGGCCATGGAGAGCAGACCGGGGCGGGTGTGCTTGTACTTGAAGTTCTCATCGGGGAACTTCTCGCCGTAGATGGAGCGACCACCGGTACCCTGTTCCGGATAGAAAGGTTAGACGCGGTACTCCGGGAGGAAAGGTCGAGGAAAACTCACGTTGTGACGGGTGAAGTCACCACCCTGGAGCATGAACTGGGGGATCACACGGTGGAAGCCGGAGCCAACGTAGCCCTCACCAACGGGCTTCTTGCAGAGCTCGCGGAAGTTCTTGGCAGTCTTGGGGACATCCTCCTCGTAGAGGTTGAAGTTGATGCGGCCAACCTTCTCTGGAGAGGGAATTAGCCATCAATGCCAAAAAGAAAACAAACAGCAGGGGTGAAATCAATTGATTCTGGGTGAAGAGAAGGTGGAGGGCATCCAGGGCAGGGGGCTTTGGAGTGAGAGAATGGAAAGAGGCCCATGGGTTTTTTTTACCCCTCCATGTACAGAGAAACAAACAAAGCTCAAAGAAGGGAATCACTTACTGGCGCTGGAGCCAACGGGGGCGTACTCGACGTCGAAGTAGACCTTGGTATTAGACATGATGGAGCGGGTGGATGAGAATGAACGAGTAGAAGGGTGGAAGGAGCAATTGAAAGAAGAAAAGAGGGAGGGTGGGGTTGACTTGAGGCGGCAGAACATGGTGAGGGGCAGGGCGGAGCGGGACAACTCGGGTGCCGGGCTACATACGGGTTAGCTCTTTTTGTTTGCCCATAGAGACCAAAAGTGCTGTTCTTGGGGTGCCTGAGGCTATCAATGAGACGACCAGGGAGATGGCCAACATGGCCTTGCTAGACCCCGGTGGAGATACACCGGGCTCCTAAACAGGGCCTCGATACCCCCTGCGTCCATTGAGCAGAGGGATACTCACAAATTCTAGGGAGAGATGATTTGTAGTTTGGTTAACGGAAACTATAGGGGAAAAAATGAAGCTCGACGCGGAAAAGCTCCTGGAGCTCCGGCGTCACGTGATCTGTCTCCGGCAAGTGCTTCCGGGGTAAGCCTTATTTTGATGCCTTGTGCCTAGTTGCGTTGTCTATTTACAGTATTTTCATAGCTTCATGGTTGTTGCAACTCAACATGTTGTAGACCATTCTACGGGAGTCTTGCTGAGAGAAAGAAATGTGCTTCTAATGCATGTGCACGAATATGCAGAGACCGGCGCCTAGGTGCAGGGCCGAGAGAACCGCAATATCAAGAAAATCAACAGCAGAAAGGAAAACAATAGAAGTAGATCATCAGAGACCAGAATAGAAATACAACAGATAATCTCAATAAGGGTAGTGCCGGGAAAGGAAGATGAATCGAGGGAAAGAAAAACGTGAATGCCACGCGTATCAGGACATCATTTCGACATTGTCGGCTCGTTGCCACAGATGGTAGTCGCTTAAAAGCCAGAAAATTGGGATCAAAAGTGAAATAAGGAAGGGTGGTAGAAGTGAAAACGTATATGGGCGGTGTCGGGGACACGGTCCTCGTACATGCCAGGTTTTAGGACCAAGATGTGAAGTTATCACCGGAAATCATCTTCGTCGTCGCCTTGCGCCAACGACTCAAGGCGCTGTACAAGCTCCTTGGTCTGTCGCGCAATTTCGAATGCAATCGGAGGAAGCTGGTTTGTCACTTCTCGTAGTTGCTCGGGGTTAGTGACATCTTGGCCCTCGGCGGCAGTGTTCATCAGGCGGCCACGGCATTCACCTAGGGTCTGAATGATTGGCGCGGACTTTTCATGCAGCGCGGTATCACCACTGCGTTCGTGGATCAGGTTCTCTGTAGAGCTAACCACGTTGGCGACAAAGTTCGAGATGGTGGAGATGTGGGTCTGGACGATGTTCATTTCCTGTTCAGACCGAATACTAGCCACCAAAGACTGGATAGATTGAACCATGCCATCGGTCTGATCTTCGACATAGTACTGTAGATATTTTTAGTCATAGTCCATGCAACATATCCTACAGCTAGCTTACCTTCAGTTCCTGAAGCTCGTGGTCACCCTGCGGGGCCCCATAGTTGAAGCCATTAGACATGCTATTCTGCATAACGGGGTGGTCGTCGCCAGGGTGACTCATGGCACTATATTGAGAGTGGTTGCTGTACCGTCTCTGGCTATCAGACGTGCTCAGATAGTCTGGGAACTTTTCCTGAGAGACATCCACCTCATAGTCGTCAACCTCATCGGCTGGGGAAGCCTGAATCTTGACGACGCGCACCAGCTCCACGACGGCAGTGCAAAGATGCGAGGCCGCAGCATCGAGTAAGGAGACTGGCGAGAGACCACTGGAGTTTGCAAAGTTGCGAGCGGCGGTAATCATGTTATTAGCAGTCGCAGACACCCTGCCCTTAGCCTTCATGCGAATGGTGGCTGAGCCGTCGACGGGCACCGGCGCTTGATCCACATCTTGAATCATATAGCGAACAGCCATAATGACGAATTTAACGTGAACAAGGACGTCCTGGGAGTCTTCGAAGCGGGCCACGCGGAGGAGCTCGTCAATAGCCATCTGGAACTTGGTGACATAGATATCCTTGACGACACCATCAACCTGCACCAGTTCATGCTCCTTGGCAAGAACGCTTGCGTCAGGCCCATGGTCAGACATACCGCCAGATGAAGTGCGAAGATGGCGCAACTGGGACTTCGCTTTCGCATAACGGTGCTTCCACTCGTTGACCTCAGTCTCCAAGCGGTGAACGTTGTTGGACAATTGTTCTTCGCGTTCCCAGTTGGAATGGCTCTGAGCAGTGATGGTCTTCATCTCCATAAGGAATTCAGCTGTCTCGCGCCGAACCTCCTGTGTAAGCTGCTCCTGCTTCTGCAGTTCAGCTTGCAAGCTTTGGTGCTTGCTCTCCAATTCTGCATACCGGACAATTAAGTCTGCATCTCCCGAAGCGCTAGCAGCCTCATCAAGCTGCCCGCGAAGATCACGCTCCATGCTTTCATGCTCTGCCCGGACTCTATCAAGTTCATACTGAAGCGAGCTATTCAAATCCTCGGCCTTGGAGACCTTGCTCTCAAGTTCGAATCTAAGATCATCCCACTCCTGACGTTCATTGGAGCTGACTCCAGATTGGTCTGCGTCGGATGATCGGGCCAGCTCCTCATCCTTAGCGCGAACCTGTTCCTCCAGCTTTTCGACCTTGTCTAACAATGCCGAAATTTGCGATTGGCTTTCCATCAATAACTTCCTTTCACTGTCACCGAGCGTTGTCGTGGTTCCCCGTCTGCTGAGCACTGCGTCCAATGCGAATGCATCGCTCCGAGCATCATCGTCATCATCCGCGCCCATGTCATCACTATCCTCCACCATGGTACTCTTGTTAGGAACCATTGTATTGCTTTGGAAGGATCGAGGGAACGGTCCATCTCCATTCATTGATGGCGGGCCACCAAGAGAACCTGTTCGAGGAGGGAATGGGCTGGGAGGTCCACCAGACGGATATCCTCCTCGACCGCCACCCATGCGACCACCTCCACGAGACTGTGAGCCCCGAGCGCCCGGGGGCATACCACCAGGCGGTGGTCGCCCTCGGCCTGTAAAATGCGGGAATCGACGCTCCAACTCGCAGAAAACATCGGTGGCTAAGTCTCGGAAGCGCTGGTGTTGAAGGGAAGCCAGCTTTGAGCGTGCATGATTACGTTTCTCGTGGAAATCCGCACGGGGAGGGAGGAAGGTAGGTACATCGGGGCGAGGAGGTCGGCCAGGCGGCGGTGTGGCCTGCTGGCGTCGGATAAGTTCATCGTACACATCGGTACTGAGCTCGTGGAATTGTGTGGGTGAAAGGCGGAGAAGCTTATCGCGGGCTTTGTTCGATCGGGCGTTTAGTCGATCGTCGCGATACGAGGCGTTGAGGAATCTCTTTAAGGCAGTGTAATGTGATGAAAGGATTTCCTCCATTTGACGACGTCGTATGCCGGTAGGAGGGCCATCGCCCCCCAGGGTGCCGACACTGGATCTCGCAGCGATCGAGCTGGGCGGAGAAGGGTTTCCACTGCCGGTAGGTGTCGGCACTGTCGGGCTCAAGGGCGCGCTGGGGACGCCGGAGGTAGGAGGAGTAGCCAGATTGCCTCTTGATGAGATTGTCGGGGAGAAGGGCGGGTCCGACTTCTGATACGTATTGAGGCCAGACCAGTCGCTGCCATCGATGGAGACAGGCGACATGGCTCCGGAGCCATTCATATCAAGGTCGCGAGGAAAGTTCAACTCCTTAGCTCGCGTTTGAGTGTATCCTGAATATCCTTGGTATCCTCACTGATGTTGGTCGTTCGAAGGGGGTTTGGCTAAGGCCGTCGCATTCAAGTCTTGTCGATAGTCTTCACACAGATCCACCGATCGATCTGAGACAAGGGAACCGGGGGAAGGCGAAGCGGGTCACCAAAGAGGGGGTTCCGTGAATCAAAGGCGTCTAGATCCTGGTAATCCAGCCAGAAAAGGACCTGGTCCGAGGGAGTGAAGGACGCAAGATGGTGAAAAAATAAAGGGAGAAAGGTGAGTGTGCTAAGTTCTCCTTCGCCGTGACTCCGGACTTCCCTTACGCCTAGGACCCGCTCTTTAGTTAATTTACGCATTTGCAGGTGCAGGTATCAGACACAACTTGACTTTATAGATCTACTTACATCTTCGAAGCCTATATGGACAGCTAGATCCTAATCTGATTTCATAGTGAGATCTTATTAACCTCGTGGCATTCTTGTTGACCTGTCAAAGCACTCAAGGTTTCCCAATGATTACCGTACAATACTGCTGGTAAGGAACAACTAAGGAACGCCCAAGGAAAACGCCCCTGCCAAGGGCTACACAAGCCACAGGGGCTGAACTCCTCCGGGGCATCAACCTATCCCCAGCATGCTACCCCTGCCGAAAAATTATTGGGTCTTGGTCTCATTAAACCTAGTTTATTCCATAGACAAGTGAATTCATCTTCCTTGAGGCTTGAAGGTCAGGGGGAAGGGCCGAGGGCATCGTTCAGGAGACGACATTCTAGGCCTCTTTGGCCCCCATGGCTGTGCCGATATGGTAAGGGCCTTGTAATACACCCATTAATTAGCACGGACCAGTTGGTACTTAGACTTAGGGCTTGCGAACTTTAAGGGGTTTGGATCTTGAAAATCGAAAAAAATACAAGTTCATAGGCCATGATCGGCTGACATATCTATCCAGTAACGAAACTAAGTACACAATGTAGAACAAGAGCGTGGCTCGTATCCGCTCGCAGCGGCTTTGGGGGGTGTTTTGCCCCAATGGACTCCCGCAGGAGTTGGGGAAATTGTATCCCACGGGGATAACCATCACTCGTACCACCCCATTTCTCGTGGAGTGGGAAGGAGATGCAGCATCAACGAGGGAGGTCGAGGCAAGTGGTGGAATCTTGCCGGAAATAAGGATCTGCATCCCAGATGGTATCGAGGGAGTTTTCTATGGCTCACATGGAGATATACGATATTATTTTTGCCGCACGCCAGAAGTGGTTGCGACAGTTTACTTCGAGGTCATAGAAAGGCCACGGGCGGCACCAACGGCAGCAGAGACGGGGGTCGATGACCGCGTAGGAGCGGCACTGCGGTTGTGGGCCATGTGGGCTCTGACAAGGTGACCAGCGGCGAGAGCAGCACAGAGACTGAGCTCACCAGCGAGAACGGAAGCCGCGATAATCCGGGACAGTTGGCGGGCGTTCTCACCAGGGGTGGTGGTGTGAGCACCGCGGACACCAAGCAGATCCAACATCGCGCCCTGGGCCTCGAGGATAGTACCACCACCAATGGTACCGACCTCAATGGAAGGCATCGACACAGCGATTTGGAGGTCACCGTTGTTGCTGCAGGCACGGTTAGTATGATTGAACATGAGACGTGGAGGTATTGGGAATTACTTACTTCTTCATAGTCGTGATACAACTGCTGCTCTCGACGTTCTGGGCGGGGTCCTGGCCAGTGGCCAAAAATATGGCAGACACAATGTTGGAGGCGTGGGCGTTGAAACCACCCAAGCTACCAGCCATGGCGCTTCCAATCAAGTTCTTGCTGACGTTCAGTTCCACCAGAGCGTTGACATCGCTCTTGAGAACACTCTTGACGATATCGCCAGGAATGATGGCCTCGGCCACGACAGACTTGCCACGACCATCGGTCCAGTTGATGGCAGCAGACTTCTTATCGGTACAGAAGTTACCAGACAGCGAGATGATAGACATGTCATCGAAGCCACACTCCTTTGACATAACGTCGAGAGCCTTCTCGCAGCCCTTGGAAATCATGTTCATGCCCATAGCATCACCGGTGGTGGTCTTGAAGCGGATGTAGAGGTAGGTACCAGCGAGAGCGGTCTTCAGACTTTGGAGACGAGCAAAACGACTAGTCGAGTTAAAAGCAGCGGTGATGATGCTGCGGCCTTCTTCGGAGTCAATCCAAACCTTCGCCGCGGCAGCCCGAGCGAGGGTAGGGAAGGTCACGCAAGGCCCACGAGTCATACCGTCACCAGTCAGAACAGTCACAGCGCCGCCACCAGCGTTGATGGCCTTGGAGCCACGACTGGTACTGGCCACGAGCACACCTTCGGTAGTAGCCATAGGGATGAAGTAGTCTTGGCCGTCGATCTTGATGGGACCGGCAACACCAATAGGGAGGGGGAGATAACCAATAACATTTTCACAGCAGGCACCGTGAACCAAGCCGTAGTTATAATCCTTGAAAGGAAGCTTCGACACCTCTAGGGAGCTGGTGATATGAGAAGTGGCAGGCGTACGGGCGATCACAGCACGGCGGATCTTGACAGCTCGGGTAAAAGCATCCACGCGACTCATCAAGTTCTCATCCTCCATGGTCTTCTCAAGAGCATATCCGGGGAGCTTGCCCTTGAGTGACAAGGCGATCAACTCCTCATCGGTCAGGTGGGGTGCACGCTTCTCCTTGAGCATCAGCTCGCAATCCGCCATGGTACGATCTGACTCCTGTTCATTGGGCTCGAACTTGGGGTAAACCTTAGGCGCAACCGGCTCCTTGGGGGGAGCAGGAGTAGCCTCGGGTTCCTTAATACCCCAGCGAGCAGCGTTGAAAAGATAGCCATTGAGAATGATACTGAATGTCAGAGCGGCAATGATCCACTTGCTGATGAAGGGATCCTCCACGCTCTTAAGCAGACTCTCCAGAACCTTGCCACCGACAGCATCGAGAAGCTGATCGGTGTATTCGATATCAAAGGAGCTGGGAGTCTCACCAGCAGCGTAGTGAATGGAGGGGTACTCCAGCTTGTACTTGATCGGGGGGATAATAGTAACGATGGTCTCTTGCTTCTGGCTCTTGGCAGCAACGTAGATAGCATCCAAGCCATTCTCAGCGACCTTGAAGGGATCGATAGGGGCAGGGGCCAAAACGTTGGAGAGGCGCGAGATCAAAGCACCGTTGCTAGTGTTTCGGAAAGGAATGGCGGACAGATTTACAACGTTGACAAGGATCAAACCACCGACCATGAGGATTTTGAAACGGCGCACACTGCTAGACTTAACCTGACGTCCGAAGATGCTCGTGTCACCCTCACTGCTGTCGGAGCCCAAGTTCGGCCAGTCACTGCTGGAAGCAACGTTCTCAGCGACGCTGTGAGTAATGCCGTCCTCCTCCAGGGCCTTGCGCAGGGCAACGTGGCGACGAATGCGAGTGATCTCGAGCTTAATGCAGAGAATGGTGGTATAGAAGGTGAAGAGCAGCACACAGTCAAAAAACAGAATCCATGCTGCGAGGAAGCAGAACTGCTGAAGACCACCTTGGACACCAGAGGCAGCGCCCATAGCAAGCAGACCGATCTCAATGCAGTAGTGCTGAACAATCTCGAAACCTTGCTTCTTGATCGCAGTCGCAATTGAGTCTTGGATGGAACCGGAAGTGCTCGAAGCCAGTGGCCGAGGGGCGGCACCAGCACGAGGACGACGGTTATCCACTGAGGCACTCAAAACGGCGCGAGTGAACATGATCGGCTTTTCAAAGCCGATCGTCACAACCAAGAAGGGCAGACCCTCGGAGAGCAGAAGCAGGTTGATCTGGACACCGAGCTTGGTAGTCACGAGAAGACCAAACAGGAAGGCGAAAGATCCGGAGAAGAGCACAGTCGCGGCAAGCCAGAAGTTGGAGCCGAGACGGCGCATGGAGAAGAAGAGCGATACAAAGCTCAGGTGCATCGAGAGGTAGCCAAGAGCCATGATGACAATGTCAATGGTCTCGGCGTGCTTGATGAGGTCCACAAAGGAGCTCCAAGCATCCATCAACCACAGCCTGAGAGCCGTGTGGGAGTTTGAAGCACCACGAGCAGCTCTCATGATCCATTTCTTGGACTCCTCTTCCTCCTCATCGGCAGACGAGTCGGGGATCTCCTGCACGGCTCTCAACAGGTCAGAAACCTGGTCGAAAGGAACGCTGTACACCAGCGACGAATCATGGGAGAAGGGCGAGAACAGGTTGGGAGTGTGGGGAACGGGGTGGGCGGAGACATTGGCAGGAACCGGGACGTTGTCGGCCGACGGGGCGGTTGATGCAGACTTGGAGGCGGAGTCGGGGAAGATGAAGGTAGTCAAAGCCAAGTGGCGGACAGCGGGCGTCTCGACTTGCTAAAATACAGGGTTAGAAATGGATCAAATGCAATTGCCCACCCGGGGCATACTCACTGTCGAATCGGCCCAGGTGTCCTCAGCCTGCCACTTCCACGAAGTGGACTCTCCTAGGCGCAAGCTCCGGCTACCCTGAAGAAGAGTTTCGGTATCCACCTGACCAGCAACATTACGAGGGTTCCGAGCAGTGTCGAACAGGCTACCCTCCAGCAGACCGACATAGGTGGTGCTGGCGAGAAGCGCAATTACCACAATGGTGTGGATAGGGTGAACACAGGCGCGACGAGAGATGCATTGCAGACCAGAGGTGACCTGACGGCGAATCCAGCTGGGTTCGGCGTCCGGATCAGCCTCGGAGGAACGCAGTCTCTTGGAGAGGAGCGAAGTAGCCATTGTGTTGAGTCGCTAGGAAGCGGTGTAGACGTCTGTTGAAGGCGTTGAGGGGGGAGGAAGACGGTCCGCAGGGACCAACGCCTGCGAGAACTACCGTCTGGAGGCTCTGCTTTCGACCAAGATCGAAGCGAGAGTGAGTAGAAGTGAGGAAGGGCCTAGTTCGAGCGCCGCATGTGGCTCACGAGATCAATGTTTCAGGGACGTTCCCACTGGGACTTGATTTTTTTTTTTGCAACGGTCAGCTCGCCACTCACAGGTAGAAAGGAATAAGGGGAAAGCGAGAAACATACCGGAAACGAATAGGAAAAAGAACAGAGCAGGCCGCCCGGGGCAAGTGAACGCGATATAGTGGAGGAAGAGTACGGGGACCCCCTGAAGGCTGCAAAATAATTGAGCTCCGGGCCCGCGCCGATGGAATTAAGTATCGCCGACAACGGGGCTCGCCAAGCCACGCTTCAGTGGGGAGGAACCAGGCTTTTCTCGTCGTAAGGGGGCTTGGTTTGAAAAACAGAGGCCTCGTATTTATCTAGCTAGTCCTGGACTTCTTTGAGAGCGTGATTGAACAATATGTACGGAATCGAACAATGACATTTCCTTATCGAGTTAATCCCACACAAACCCAAGGCACGTGTTCGGTATGCATAGAGGTTCTTTGTCAATTCAATAGTTGGCCTCCAAGATTTAATTTTTAGTTTTTCTTGGATGTAGCGACTCAGGGTTGCCCTCGAAATCCGCGTGTAAGGTTAACGTTAGTTATTTATTTTATTTTGAGGCGGTCAGCGAAAAGGCGGACGGCAAGTCACTGCAGCTGCAGCTGCAGCCTCTGCAGCTTCCCGCAGACCATCGCTCATCACGTCCTAGTCGGGTCGATCCGTCTGGTATTCGGTTCCAAGCACCGTGATACCTCCTGTAGGTCTACATATGCTACCTAAGTTCCCTGTATATCCCACGAGTGTATCCCTGCACTATGCACCGCGCACAGACAGCCGTTCCCAACTATTGCAGAAATCTTGAAAGTGGGCAAGTTCAACTGATCAGCGATGCTCCACTCCCTGGCATTTTTCAGGGCTGTCCGACCTCCTTGCAACGAAATATGGTCGCCACAGTACGTCCACGTCAGCAACGCTGTACCACCTTCTTCAATCGGGAAATCTCGACAGATACCTCATTCCGAAGCTCCCGATAGCGGCATTTACGACCGTATTTCTCGTCGAAAGGTCCGATTGAACCCACCGGGTGGAGCGGACGGAGAAATCAGATAAAAATCAGGTAACTCAGGTCAAATCACCATCCCAGTTCTTTCCGGCTGCCCCGCGGCTTCTATCCACAATAGGACGTAGCCGAGCCTCGCCAAGCTTGATAAAAATCAAGATAAGATGCAAGTCCGACAATGGAGACCCCCGAGGCACTTCGCCCGTTCTCAGTGGGTGTAGTGCTTTCTTCCAATCTGCCATACCCACTATCATCCGAGGAAACACGCCAAGAACACGGAACACGAGAAGTCAACACAGACTCAATTGAACCTCGGTCCTGATCTCCCAGTATGGTGTGGCAGTGGGCATTGATAGACTCACCGTTTTGTGCAACCGTCTGCTGGGAGGAGAAGAAGGAGAAGAAGGAGAAGAAGAAGAAGAAGAAGAAGAAGAAGAAGAAGAAGCATTAGGCCCAATTCCCACCCTACCGCTGGATTTGCTGAACCCATCTTGAAGCTATGACCTAAATGAGCACTGACCAGATAGTTGAGGCGCATGCATCTGTGGCTAGTGACATCTCGGATATCCGACCATTGGGCCGAGAGCGAAACAAGCCTTCGGGGCGAATTTAAAGATGACGATCCCAGACCCTAACATGACAGATCGATCATCTCTGCTAAATGCAAAACATGGGGCGTTGCAGAGGCCCTGGACTCCTGAGAGGGCGAAGCGCTAAGAAAGCTGCTTACTGGGCCAATCGCAGAGCTCCCAGAGCCTCGACGTCTGTAGACTTGCAACACTTGCAGAAGTTCTGTAAGCGCCAGGAGGTGCGGGATTCCGCTTGGCTCGGGCATAAAAATATCTCGATCTGAAGCGGACCGTTTCGTCAATCCTCCGACAGTCTGGACCAACCATTCATCCTTAACCTCCCTTTCCTCGGCGCTCGGTAACACTAAGTCGGAGAATGATAGTTTAGTGGCGGGTATACATCGTTTCAAGCTTGAGGTCAATTTTCCTTCAGGCTCTATGGTTTGTATGTTACGCCAATTACGCGCCACAGTGGCCCTGAAAATGACCGCCTGTCCCTATATTTGCAACGGGTGCCCCCTCGAGGGGTGCCTATCTGATTCTCTTTGTCTTTGCCGAGTCTGTCAGTGGCTTGACGCCTTGAGATGAAAGATCCTGAAACAATCTCTTTGATCTTTTGTGTTGCGGCCCAATTATCAGCATGACTTGGTGTGAATGCCCGGGGTTTTCCTTCCTTTCTTGCTATTCATTGTTGTCATCTGAAATATAACTCACCTGCCTGCTCTTCGCCTCAAGGCAACCCTGACACTCGCGCACTTGCAACACTTGGCTGCCTATAGACATCTGGAATACCTTTGACTTTCCTCAGCAAAGTCACTATCTTCAACTACACCGCTGGCCGGCCTCCTACAAACCCCATGAGATCGTGGCTTCCTTCCTTCTTTCATCGCCCTCGAAAAATACCATGAAGCTTGACAGCATTATTCAGACCTTCTGGGTCCTTCCCACATTTGTTTTATTCGCCACCGCGCATTCATGGGTGGAACAACTCACTGTAATCGCGGCAAATGGAACATTTACCGGCACGCCAGGCTACGCTCGGGGGAACTGGCTTCGCACGGCACCCGGATTCAATGATACGACCATGACCTACTTGATTCCACCCGATGGTTCCGCAAATGTGACCCTGGTTCTCCCCACCGACAAGCTGTGCAAGAACACCCAGCAGACCCAAACTCAGAGCGACGGTAGCCCTCGACTGAAAGCCAGCGCTGGCGCGGCAATTGCACTCCGCTACCAAGAGAACGGCCATGTTACTCTTCCTTGGAACCAACCTGGGAAGCCCAAAAACCGAGGCACCGTTTACGTCTACGGAACGACGGAGCCCAAGGTTGGAGAAACCCTCCTTGATGTTCACGGTGCTTGGACCGCAGATGGCACTGGGGGCGACAAGCGAGGCGTTCTTCTGTCAACGCAGAATTTCGACGACGGCCGCTGCTATCAGATCAACACTGGGAATATCTCAGAGGCTCGTCAGACAGAATACCCGCACCAGGCCAATTCGCTGATGGGAGCCGATCTCTGGTGTCAACAAGATGTTCAATTGCCAGCCACTGCCCCATCGGGGAAATTGTACACGCTCTACTGGGTGTGGGACTGGCCCACCGCGCCAGGTGTCGATCCAACATACCCACAGGGCAAGAAAGAGATCTACACCACTTGCATGGACATAGATGTCACTGGTACAACCACAAGCCATTCACAAGAGCAGGATAGCTATGCCACTGATCAGAATCTCGACAGTGCAGCCATTCCGTCGGAATTTGCCGATCTGGATGAGGATGGGTCTGCCAAGGCAACCCAATCGCCGTTAGAGTCGTCATCATCGTCATCATCAGCCGCATCTTCAGAGTCATCTGCAACTGCTACAACAATCTGGCAGACCTTCACTTCCACGATTCCTACAGTCACCGAGACTGCCTGGCGAACAATGGAGAAGACTGTGACCGTTCGAGAGTGCCAGGCGACGGGGGCTACGAGCGCGGGACAATAGACAGATAGTGAGCTTTGATCAGAGAATGTTTGCATATAGAACCAAAAATGAAACAAACCTTCCATTCAATCGAGCCCAAGTCGACAAAGAGCACAAAGAAGTCAAAACCAAAGATATACTTAGAGATGTATTTCCCTGAAACGGAATGGTGCCAAATCTGAAACACGCTAGATGGCACGTGACGTGATTACTAAGTCCCTTCAAGCACCTTCAATTCACACAGGAGGCTGTGGGCTCTGTGAAGACGAGAAGCGCCTGTTCAACTTTCTTCTCTGACTGAGAACCTGGTTTCCCCCTTGAGGCCTCGGCAAACCACACTGCGAACCCGGAGCGACCCCCCGCTGCTGATCAATACCTTACAAGGGCGAAGAGAAAGAGTGAGATCTAGAGGTACCTTAAGGTATGCCCCATTCTCCGAGCCGCTCACATTTCCCTCCTGTTCAATGTTGGTTGAGGGCCACGAGATCATCCTGGCCCCCTAATCTGGTCAGAAGTTGAACCGCCCAGCGTTTCCTACTATCCACTTCCCTAAGCGCTGTGCCTGCGGTGCATTTATATCTGACGCTCTGCGATCACAGAATCTAATTATAGACGGTTTCATCTGCGGGACAACGTCTGGAACAACGACGTTCCGATCACCACACCCTTGACAACTCGCGCCGGAAGAACTGTCTCAACCTCATCCACCCGGGGTCCGCTCTTACCCTCCGGACCCGTCATTCGGTGACCCCCGTTCGGTGCCCTTGAACCCTCTTCCCCTCATTCAGCTTTCCCAATTCCCGAGTCCCCAACTGTGCGGGTCCTCGTCCACGCCCTATTGGATCTGGGCAATACACTTATCTGGTCTTGTTGGACTGTGGTTGGGAGGTTGTGTGCATCGTGAAAGGACCCCGTGTTCTCCATAGTTTCGGTATTGTGGCCCAAACATTTCCACAGCTCGGTTTCAATCGCAAAGTGGGATACTGTTGGCGCGTCACCAATCGCAATGCAAAAATAGAGTCTCGGCGACGCGATCGATGAACAATTCCATCATTCCTTACTGAACAGTCGACTCGATACCTACTATTCTCAACATCGACCGCTTGGGAACCAATAACCTGTCTACCCAAGATGTCCGAACCGGTATCGCCGAACAACCTGTCGGTGCTGCCGCCCATTCTCACGGATGGCACAGTGAAACAGTCGCCGAGTGCAAAGGATCGCCTGTCCTTGTACTCCAACGTTTCCTCTTTCTCCCAGAATCGCTCGCGCCCAGGCTCGCACGTGTTCCCCATCTTCCATTCCAGTCTTCCCTACGCCCTTGTGCGAGACTTTGCCTACCCTCCGATCCACCCTCTGCACTATGGACCACCGCCTCCGCGCGCCTCGGAAGTGTCCACGCCGGCTAGCGAATACCGCCGCTTGTCTGACCCGCCCCCTTCGTGGGACACTTCGAAGGGACCATGGGCTACAGGCCCGTGGAGTACAGAGAGTGCTCCAGCCCCGGGCCATCAGCAACTTCCGGCCATGTCCTTCGGAGATGGACCTCCATACAGTGAAGATGAGGATTTGCATAGTCCCGTTGTGACTACGTCGCGTCAGCGCCATAAGTCCACTGCAGGGTTGAATAGCATGGTTGACGAGAACGGCATGTTGAGCACCGGGCAAACGGATCGCACATTTGTGGGGTTAAACCCTGATGGTACGGAAACATACTATGTCAATGGCGGCGATGCGATGGATGACGGACCTGGTGGAGAGTACGTCACAGTCCCCGCAAACGAAGGGCGATATTCGTACATGTATGGCAACCAGCAAGATTATGTTCCAGATGCAGGTTTCCAATCAGAGAACGGGGATCGATATTCAAATGACTATCAATTCGCCGTTGGTTGCCCCGACGAGGAGATGCATGGTAAGGCCGTGGCACTCTTTGACTTTGTTCGTGAACACGAAAACGAACTCCCTCTTACAGAGGGTCAAGTCATTTATGTCTCCTACCGGCACGGCCAGGGGTGGTTGGTGGCAGAAGACCCAAAGACCGGAGAGAACGGTCTTGTTCCCGAGGAATTTGTCCGGCTTCTGCGCGACATCGAAGGTGGACTGACCTCGTTGAACGGAGAACCCGGGCCGGACGTCTTAGAAAGCAGCGGATCCATCAGTATAGATGGCACCGAAGATAGTCATACTTCGACTCCGACTCAGGAGTATCATAAAGGGCTCAATGGCGACGCTCCTGTCACCGTCTCACTTGATGGCACTCAAGAACCCCACGCCACATTAGAGACCGGAAAGACTGCTGATGGCGCTGGTAAACGCTCTAGTACGTTAACTAAGACTTGAGCCATCTCTTCAAACCCCACGACGCGGCTTCACTCGACCAAGAGCACAGTCGGCAGCTCCGGCATGGCTCGGCTTCTCGAGATAACCTGACGGTGATGACCCCGGCTTGCGAAGGTCTCCATTTTGCCTTTCTTCATACGAAGGGTCCAGAGGCCTTCAAAGAAGCGCACGCCCAGTCTGCCTTGTCTTATGTCGACCGGCGTACACTGCCATCTGGTCGGCAATAGCATTAACAAGGAAATAGACCGAGTAGACCACGAGTCTTGGCTCACAAATCACAAGCCAACCTCGACATTCTTAAGCCTACAATCGCTTCACCTGGTCACAAACCAATCCCCTTTGTCCGAAAACGCCACCCTCAACCTGACTGACGAATGATTTCCTCCAACCTTCACTTCTACTCTTGATATCCCACAATTTTCACTTCTACCTGGGACGAAAGCGCTAGAGATGGTCTTATTGTCTCTCGGACATGCGCATTCCCATTCTTCAACATTTCTTTTCTTGTTTTCTGCCATACAATTGCCTGTTCCCCCAGACCTCTCCTCCGCTTCTTGCATATGTATCTAGCTTCCTTCAGCGCAGGCGTTGTCCTAGCATCAATTAGCATCAGCGTAATGCCTATTCAACACTACAGCTATTTATTTTGGTTCTCGTAGACTGATTTTGAATTATATTTAGTCTCGAAAATACCCCTAGGTCTCGTACATTTAAATCTCGTAACAGAACCTTAGATGAGAGAAGAGAATTATATTTTCATCAACCATATCTGAGTAGCATCGGACCTCATATGGCTTGTTGCAATGGACTTGGACAAAAGAATATAGGTATGGTTATAGATCATCATGACAAGGAAAGATATAACAGCGAGCATTTTACTATGAGAGAAGACACGACGAGATTTCAAACATCAAGAAGAGAATTTTCAAAATGAGCTCTGCTAAAGTGAAAACATTCCAGACTAAAGGAACAAAATCGAATGGAAAGCAGGAGGGTGAAAAAGAGAAACCAAGAAATGAAGATGAAGTCTGAAATTATGTTGAAACCTGGACTCAGTATCCAACAAAAGGGAAGGGGAGGATTAAACAAGCAAGTACGGGTCTCGAGATCAACCGAGCAAATCGTCGAATGCTGAGCCGCCCTGCTTCTGCTGGGACTGGGGTGCTGAGGCACCGCCGGAGGAAGCGGGGGCGCCCCAGATTCCGGCGCTGGCCTTCTCCTTGGCCATGCTGGCAAGGTTAGGACCCTTGTTTGCGTTGCTGTTGGACTTTTGGATGCCGGCGCTAGCACTAGCGGTGGACCAGAGGGAACCGAAGGCATCACCAGATGGTTTCTTGGCTGCTGTGTTGGCGGCGGGCTTGTTCGCGGTGACTGGGGAGGCCGTGGATGAGATCGAAGACGTAGCGGCGTGCGATGAGACGGGTGCGGGGTTAGTGTTTACGCTGGTGAAGTAGTTGGGTGTGGCGGCCTGGTAGCCTGAGGGCTTAGGGGCCATGGGCTGCTGCATGGAGGAGTACTGCGACACGGGCGAGGTCATTGAGCTGGTGGATGGGGTGGGAGTCGCCGATGTGAAACCAACAATGCCGTTGATGTTGTTACCCTGCGAGGCCGAAACGGGTACAGGCGCCACGAATTGGGTGCTGGAGGTTGTGCTGCCGTGGGAGGCGGGAGGCGCAATGCCGAATTGGTTCGAGGCTGGTGCGGAGGGCGCCGGTGTGGCGGACTGGAAGTCGTCGAAGTCATCATCCTCGGCAGGCGTCGATTCTAGCATGTTCAATGCGCTGCCAGCGGGCTGCTTACCGGCAGCGGTGGAAGTGGTAACAGGTTCATCGTCACCGAAATCGAAGAGGTCCGCTACAGGCGCAGGCGCGGGTGTAGGCTCCGGCTTCCTAGGTTCCCTCTTTGCGCTAGACGCAGGCTGGCGCCGCGGTGCGCTCGTTTCTCCCTCGTCGTACTCGTCGTATTCGTCAAAGCGGTTACCCTGGCGGCTGGTGCTGGTGCTGGTGTCCTGAAAGTCACCACCACCACTATCTCCGCCAAAGCCTCCGCCATCACCATACACGCCGCCACTATATCCACCGTATCCCATGCTGTCACTTCCGAAGCCACCGTAACGGCCGGAGGAGCTAGAAGACATTCCTCCAACGCCCATTCCACCCTCGAATCCACCGAACTTGTTTCGGTTGGACTTTGCCTTTTTGCGCTCGTTGCGAATCTGGTCGACATCGCCCAACAGCTTCACCAACTCTGAGGATCGGTTGCGGACGTTGATACCTTGATCCTTGCCGTTCTGATCAATGAAGTGGAATTGCCGAAGCATCCGCAAAAGCGACATGTGAGACCGCGCGTCGTCGACTACCCGCTCTGATCCGTTCTTGACGAGGAATTCGAGAAGCTGCAGACTCTATTGTTCGCAAGAATAACAATATCAGTATGATGAGATTTTGGTGATCGTAGCGCAACCCTCCCATACCTTGTAAATCTGTCGCCACTCCTCCGCGGCCTTATCGGTGAAACGCTTGTAGATTAGAGGCATGATCTCATTGAGCAATTGGCTATTGTGAATAGAATAAGCATGTGCGCATTGCGATCGGCCATGGGACAGAAGTGTCACTGACTAGCTGTGTGTTCCATTGGCAATGTCCTGCATCAACGTGGTCGAGGCACCCCAGGGTTCATTGTTTGTAGCTTCCCGGACCTAGTCCGCAGAGGTCAGCTTGATTCATGTTTCTGAATCCTCGGATCGTCGGATCGTATTCCATGGAGTATTTTGTGGCGCGGCGGGTCGTGGTTGGGTACGAACCTTGGATTCCATCTCGGTATAGTTCATGACGGCTATGACGGAGCGGTCAGCTCGGTTTCCCGGGATTGCGAGACAAATGCAGGTCGCCTGAGATCGCAACACAGATAGATATGAGGAATCATAACATACCATTTTGCACCTTGCGAACACCAGCCTTGAGGTCATACAAGGACAGGTTGCTGACCTGATCTTGGATCTTGGAGAAGTCCATGGCGAGGGGTGGACTGTTGTCAGGCGGAAGGGGACGTAAAGGGAAATGGGAGGAATGCTTTTGATTATCAGGCAGCTCAGGCGATTGAAAGTCAAAGACAAGAAAGCGAAGCCCGCCAGAGTTGCGGTGTTAGAGGAGAGTTGTCCTTGGAGGGGGAAGTTGGCCGGTTTCCAGCTGGCCGATTCCCACGCGCCACGCAGTCACGTGGCAGCCCCTGACCCCGGCGACGGTATACTTCCTCCTTCGCCACCAAAGCCTACAAAGCCTACAAAGCCTACAAGATGTATGGAGCTGACGTTGTCATATTCTGTACATTTCATTCGGGGACTCGTATAGACCGAGACATCATTCGCTATCCAAAAAACGCATGAAACAAATACCCTAGGTATCTAAACAAAGAAGTAAAACAAAAAAGGGTAAAAAAAAAAAATTACTATGAATGCCCACCCAAATCATCCTTCGTCATAGCCATCAACATGAAGCTCACTCATTGTAGAACTTCTTCATAATCAAATGCAAGAAAAGGTTCACATTAACACGCATCTGACCCTCGAAGAAGTCCATGAATTGTGTGTTGTTGAATTGGGCCTGGAGCAAATCATCCAATGGGATCTGTGCATTGGCACCGGGCACCATCATGTTGCCACTGCTGCCGTCGAGCGTGAAAACTCCAACTTCGTTACTGGAGATAGTCAAGTCCACGCGGTCCCATTGGCGCTCAGAATAGCCCTTCCAAGCAACCAAGACACCTCGGTCGGCCAGGGTGCGAGCAGAGTACTTGTAGGACCCGAACTTGAACACCTTGCCGGATTTCTGAAGTTCTCTTTGGTGATCCCATTGTTTGGTGAAAGGCATTAGGAAGCGCTTCTTGCCTTTCTTGTTCTGGAGTGTGATCATAGCCTGTTCAATATAATCGTTGTAGGTCTTGAGCTGCTGGTCCAGATAGAGGGCTTGATCATTGAGACGCGTGGACGTGAGGCGTGCTCCCTCCAGCTCTCGCTCTCGTTGAATTCGCCGACGGTGCTTTGTGCGAATGTCGATAGCAATCGCATTCAGGAGGTCTTGGTAGTGGTTGTGTCGAGAGATCTTGCCTGCCTGCTCAAGACGAAGGATGTTTTCAAGAGCAGTGCCCTTGAGCTCAGAGTAGGTCATTGAGCCGATGTCAATCAACGTGCTAGCCTCGCCGTAAGCGCCACGTCGAGGGTTGTTGGTGTGTAGCTCCTCCCGAACCAATGTCTGCCACCTTGCCTCATCTTCATCAGTGGGCAGTTTGACCATAATGTCCATGAGGCTGGCACCAGTTTGAACACGGATAATGTAAAGGATGCATCGCTTAGTTTCCATGAAGAGTGCTTTGACCTCGGCCTCTGGATCTGTAGTATGATTAGCGGATGTTGACGAATGACAAGATATAATAGAATTGTTCATACCTTCCATCTGGGCCAGTTTCGGGTTCAGCGTGAGATTGATCTCAGTAGTGCTGACGCCCATCAATTCGCTCTCATTGCGTTTCACATTGCCAAGTTCTCTGACAAACTGCTTGAGGATGTCATCAGGGTTTTGGCACATGAACTCGATCTCTGAGGCCACAAGTTGGTGAATGGAGAAGATATCGGACATCTTAATATACAAAGTCGGTTTAGCCTTGGCGTAAAGATCATTGAACTCGTCAATGTCAAAGTAGGACTCTGCATCCTGGACCGAGATAACTGTCTCAAGTTAGCACACCGAATGATGAAGAAAAAAAGCAGTAGAAAAGAACGTACCTTGACCCCAGATTCGACCTAGCCGTTGTATTGACTCGCCGATGTAGGAGTTAAGAGGTTGGAGGTAGACATTCTCTGCCCCAAAGAGTCTTCCGGAAGCGACCTGCGCAACGACCTTGGCGATCTCGCTGAGATTTCTCTTTTGTTCCTGGGTCAAACCGCGCTCCACAACGCCGTACTTTTCTGGCTCGAGCATTGCAGGTTGGAAATAATTCTTCCAGATCCAATGGCCGACTGTTTGAAGGATAAAGCCAGGGTCCTCGTTCGAGAATCGTGCGATGAGGTTGTCATACATTTGCTGGGCAAGATATCTGGTACCGAAAGGCATCCGGTACAGGAAATCTTCGAAGGCTGTGAAGAACTGATCGGCAAGGTCGCGCAGATCTTGCAAATGTTGGATGAAAGTCTCTCGGGTTTCGGGATCCCTGATCGCTTCTTCCCGGGGAAGGTCTGCGGGGCGTCGGCTGCGTTGACCCGTGTGCAGCTCTTCATTGTTGATAGAGGAGCGGTAGATCTGGATCGGGTCGCTCTCGAGATCAAGGTCGGGGTTCGCAATAATAGACTCTTTCACCATGGTACCCATAACATCACGCATGAACTTTCGGTCTCGGGGTGACTTTGCGTATGAACCAAAGAGTTTGTTCCAGAAGGAAGTAGAGCGCAGATACTCGGGGAGGGAGGCAAAGTTTTCAATGTCCTCCTTGGCAGAGCGAGCGATGAGTTTGACAAGGTAGTATTCTTCACGGCGTTTCTGTGAGTATCCGAAAAGACCCATGATCAGGAGCCTGATTCTCTCATACTCCTTGTCCGACGTGTTGATCTCACGAAGTCGACGGAACAGGCGGGCCAGATACTGGGATTGCGTTTGAAGAAGGAAGAAAAACACCTGGTACTGGTCCAGCTTTCTCCTCGACGTCTTATTCAACGCCTTGAGATCATATGGATCCTTCGAAGATATTTCGGTGTTGGACAGCAAGTTGCCAATGTGTCCCCCAAAGTGCTTTTGGTGTTTGACAACTTCATCAAGCGTGATTTTATTCTTGACAAGGAGGGCAATCTTGATATCCAACTGGCTGATATACTGCTCCGCCTCTTCATTCTGTCGAACTTGCTGAACCACGACTTTTCGCAAGCGCTCAAACTCGATCTCTTCATCAAAGTCAAAGTCGCTGTCGTTGAGGAGATGTACGAAGCCTTTGACGGTTCCAACAGGGGGGTTCTTGCCATTAGTCAAACTCTTGTAAGCCTGACCCTGAATGCGGCCTCTGATGACACTCTGGGCCTTGATAACCTTCTCCATATTCTCGTTGTAGTGACGCCGTCTCTCCTCAAAGCGATTGCGAATAATCAGTCCTCTAATTCGAGCCTGGAAATCGGTAATGATGTCCTCATCCTCTTCAAGATCAGCCAGCATGTTGCCAACCTCGACTCGAACGAGCATGGCGCGAGCCAATGCTTGGAGGTCCACAACTTCCTCTTCATGTTCTTCAAGCCGGGAGAGAATGCTGCCAACCTCGATTCGGCAGATGGCTGCACGAGCAAGAGCTTGGAGGTCCACAATGGAAAGTTCTTCTTTCTGCAGAGCTTGTCGGTCGGCATCCAAGTCCTTGCGCAGAAGGGTAGCCCGCGCCGTTGACTGCAAGTCCAAAATTGTGCTTTCTTGGTCCGCCAACGCTGCTCGCTGCGACTCCAGGAACTGTCTCATGGCTTTGCCTCTGAGCATCCCCTGCAGGTTGGTCACGGCCGATGTATGCTGGGCCAGCTCAGAGCTCAGAGCTGAGTTGTCTTTTCTTGAGGCAGCACCTCGGATGAATGCTTGTAACTGAATGCATCCATTTTCGGTGGATTTGAGAGCGTTAACGAGCTGTGATTGCTGATTTCTGGCCGCTAGAGCCCTAGCAAAAGACTGCAGTGATGTGATGGCAGGTACCTCATTGCTAAGGGACTTCTTAATTTGGGAGATGTTTTGGCGAGCAAATGTTCCTCTAATCACTGCCTGCAGTGACTTCACAGGTTTGCTGGCTTCTTCAACGGCTTGTGACTGCACACTCCTTTGCTTTCGTTGTAAAGCACCTCGGATTGCTGCCTGCAGTGACCTCACAGGGCTGCTAGCTTCTTCAAACGCCTGAGATTGCATACTTCTGTGCTTTCTTTGCAGAGCACCTCGAACTGCTGCCTGCAGGGTCATAACATCGTTTTCGGCATGATGCGTTTCTTCGTACTGGTCGGTAACATCCTTGCGCCTGAGGGCGCCTCTGATGGCAGCTTGGAGTTGCTTGATCCCATGCTCTTCCATTTGAATGCGGGATTGCAGAACATTCGTTCGAGCTCGCGCCTTCGAGGCGCGGATGAGGCTTTGCAGCTCCAGAATATCGCATTCTTGGTCTTTTCGCCATTGCATCTCTCCTTGCTGGCGATGTCGTACGATAAACCCTCGGCTGGCTGCTTGGAGTTGGACTGCAAACTGGCGCATGCTCAGTCGATATGAGCTGATTTGTCGTGCCCAGTCTCCACGCAGGCGCGACTGCAACTCAATGAGCAGAGGCTCGAAGTCCCAAAGATCGTTCATCGTATTCCCAAGCTTCAAGCGCATCATCGCTCCTTTGATTTGGGCCTGGAAATCTCCAATTGAAGCTTCATTTTCATGTAGCTCCCGATCGATGCGTTCCTCCTCTGATTCGACGGGTTCAGGTTCAGGCTCAGGCTCTGCGCCGAAATTCGCAGCCATGCCCGCAAAGCTCGGCATGCTGACGCCTGCTTTTTCAAGGCCTTTCTGGGTTTTCTCGAGTTCATGGTGCTCAAACTCGAGTTGACCAACCAAATTTCCCATGCGGAAGTCGAGCATTCCATTTTTGAAGAGCAGCCAGGACAAGGCGTGAATGCAGTGGATGACCTTGGGGATGTTCTTTTTCTCGTAAAGATCGATCAGCTCGAATCGGAACAGTTCCGGCAACTGGGCCTCGTCTAAGAAGCGGAAGAAGACGGCGATATTATCTGAATGACGGTATTGCAGCTTTGGGTTACGAAAGATGCGCAGAGGCCGATCCGGGTACATAGCCTGAACCACCTCTGCGAGAGTAACGCCATCCCGCAAACCCTCCTCTAGCTGAACAATCGGAGGAATTTGCTTCTCGATTACCTGCTCGATCCACTCTTTGGCTTCACCAATATGGCACAAGTATTCATAGGCTTGCAAGAATTGACGTTGCTGATCCATCCAGTTACCTGCTGCCCAGGAGGACACTTTGGGCTTCTCTGGCGACCGGGCGCCATTTCTCCCAGCAACCGAGTCCGCGCGCTTCAAACGTCGCCGTCCTTGCAGACCAACGACCGACGGGGTTGTTGTGCCGAATTTGAATTCCTCTGTCTCGCCAGACTGAGCGATTTTGGAGAGAGTCCTGAGGTGGCCCGTCGCTGATTTTTGCAAAGTTTCGAGTTCGGGTGCAGATAGAGCGGTGGTCAGCGGTGGAGGGCGAGGGCTGTTTGAGAGCGTCTTCTGAGGTGATGAGGAGAGCGGCGACGCTGGGGTTGGAGTCGGGGACCAGTTTCGAGGCGAGGTACCACGGGGAGGTGTTTGAGGTTCAAGCACAGGCGATCTATAGCGAGGTGTTTCATTTTCTTTGAAGTGGACCTGGTGCGATTCGGGAGTACTGGGCCGATTTGACTTGCTGAACTGGTGGTCATCGATAGTGTTGCTACGCGAGTGTCGATACCCGCCGGTCTTGGGGGCAGATGGGGTAATGTTTGGTGCCTGTTGCAAAGGTCGTAAAGAGCGACGAATGTTCTCATATGTCGACCCGGCATTTGCCCTGTTTCCCTGTCCGGCCGTGTCCATGGTTAAGAGACCGGCTTCGCTCTTTCCTCGGTGATGGCCTAGGTTGCTCTGAATCGACGCATTGGATGAGACCGTGCTTGTTCGACTTGGTGCAAATGAGCTGGACGCAATGGAGTATGCAGAGGAGTTTGTTGACGCAGTTGAGCCGTTCCGCAACGGACTGGATGACTGCGCCGGGAGATCCGTATGGGCCCGCTTGAACGATGGGAATTGTGTCGACATTACCATTACCGTCGCGACGAGGTTGCGAAAATCGGAGAGAGAGTCTCGTTCTCGATTGACCGCATCCCTGCTTTACAAGCAGAGGCGGAGGATTTTGGTTCGGTCCGAGCTTTGAAAGACTGGGTTTGTTATTTCGGATCAGCGGTTGGAATGTGAGACCCGGTGAGCGTGCACGGAGGAAGTGGGTGAAAGCGGTGACAAGTTGACAAGTTGACAAACGCGAAAGTCGAAAGTCGAAAGTCGAAAGTCGAATAGGTGATGGTGAAGGTGTGCGGCTCCAGCAGGGCCCTCCGATGATGGAACTCTTGTTGACAGTGGGGGACGGTAGGAGCGAACCGGGATCTTGGATCTTCCCACCCACTGTTGGACATAAACAAACCTCCCAATCGAGTTTGGCGGCGATCGCCGATCATCAGCCACGGATCACGTGTTCAGATGCCCATGAAGACACGAATCTCGAATTTCGAGATCTGAACTAGCTATTATCATTTCATTCTTTTCTTTTTCTTCCCTCTTAATTATCAATCTATGGCTAATTGGTGTGTTGGACTTGTCAGACAGGGAAGATACCGGCAGTCTTGGCAGGTGTTGCTGAGATCCATTCGGCAGGTTTTGGATTCCGTAGCCCCGTGCGACCATCAGCTTTAACCTGTCTCTACCGTCCCTAGGTTCATTTGGTTGCTATACTTGACTTCCTCTCAATCAGGAAATTGTATCTTCGTGACATTGGAAAAATAATTTGCTTTGAAAACATGGCTGAAGTATCCTTTTCGCAAATACCTTTTGCCGACCTCTTGAACGGTCTTGAAAGATTTACTTGGACTTGGTTGGCCCCTTCCGCGCTGCCACAGTCCTAGCGCAATGCAACGCGAGGTCTTGGGGTAAACAAGCAGAGTAGATTGCCTCTCATGGTCTCGTACCTTGGTCTTCACTGTCGGTCTAGTTTTCTCTTCATTAGAATCTTTCGAGGTAAGAAAAGCTTATCTCGCGAGTCAGGTGTACATTTTGAGTACTCCACAATATATGAAGGAAGTATACCGATGTGACTGCCATCAAGTTTCATCCTGAAATTAAATGGGAGGGGGGTAACAAAGACCACATATGCCTATCAAACGCCTAAGAGCTACATCGGAAGTTTCCATGGGCCGTGGCGCGCGATTTCTAAACATGGCCGGTCGAACCGTCGACCCCGCCAACCAGGAGAATAACGCGAGAATAATGACATGCTCCAACCGCCATTCCTACCTCTCACTCCCGAACAACCACAACATTGGAACTTCCTCACATCGCCATCATGGCAGCGCTTGAGACCCAGCCGCGCTATCTCTACAAAATTGTTGCCTCCAACGCGCCCATCCGCGAGCCTATCCCCGAGCGCCTGCCGGTCAGCGAGCTCGACCAAGACTCCGGATTTGTCCACCTCTCCATGGCGCACCAGGTGCCCAACACGTTGAAAATGTTTTTTAAAGATGACCCGGTCGTGTACATTTTGCGCATCGAGTACGGACGAGTTATTCAAGATATTCGCTGGGAGTCGCCCGACGCAAAGGTGTGCGGGCCCCGGCCGGGTGAGGGTTTGTTCCCGGTGAGTAATACAGCTACCTCAACCATTGAAATGAAAGAATTTCACTAAACGATTGAAAGCACTTGTATAATGGACTGAAGTTGGGCAAAGAGGAGGTGGAGAGCATCGCGATATGGCAGAATGAGGATGGTTGGGACAAGGCGTTAGAAGGGGCGGAACCCTGGCTATTGTACTAGTCAGATGTGCTGGTTGCATTGAGATCCATCATGAGTGACAAATATATAGTTTAGCCACTAAAAGTGTCTAAATTCAAGTCCCAGACATGAAGCTGAAATGCCAGTACGTTCTTCAGCCGCATGGATATGTGATGCATAACAATACAACCCTGAATAATTTGTCCGTCTGCTTACATATTTGCTTTATAGACTAGAATAGTAGACTAGATGAGTGGAAAGGACCAATTTGCCTCCACAGGAACTTGGCCAAAGGAGCAAAATGGTCACGGCTGGTGTTCATGTCAATCCTGTTGTCGTCAGGTTGCTGTCGAGTCACTGCCACGAAAAGGTGTTAGGTCTCTAGTTCACGAGACAGTTCCATCCATAGATGGAACTTCTGGTAAACGCAAAATTATTTGCCATGGTTCACGAGGCAGACGATTTGAATTTCAGTCCCAATATTCAAACGTCGCGGAGTTCGTGTGGGCAGCGATTTGTTTCCTTCACCATCATCCTACTGCAATTCGAATGACTGACATCTTTGGAAAAGAATAGACGACTACTTCGCCTCCCATCTTTACTTTAGGCACCTCAAATAACCTCTGCCCTCGAGTCATCATTGCTAAGCAGCTCAAACTCACCGCCCGAGCATCTCTCGTTTATCCAGCCAATCAGTGCTCCGAACGGTGAAAAAAAAAAAAAAAAGGACGGTACGCTACTCTCGATGGGGTAAGGTCCCCTCCGGCTGGCCGTGCGCGGAAAAGAAAAGCTGGAACTCTTCGTCGAACTTTTTCTTTTCTTTTCTTTTCTTTGGGAAAGCTGGTCTCTCTCCATCAACAGATTGTTTCATTCCTGTTGATTGATCCTTGATTGCCTTTTATACCCCATCATTTCCTGGCATCCGAGATCCCTTCTTTCTAATAATTATGCCCATCACCGACAAGGAGGCCGCGCCCGGTGCCGCCATGAAGGCTGAGATCGTGGACTACTCCAAGGCTCTCGAGGTCGTGAAGACCTACACTACCCAGGATGGCCTGGATGTGGACACTCTCCTTGACTCCGACAAGCACGGTGCTCTGACCTACAACGATTTCCTGGTCCTGCCCGGTTACATCGGTAAGGCGATCTCACTTGGGGAATGATCCGAGGCCATCTTAATAACATCTCGATATAGGCTTCCCTGCCTCTGATGTTTCCCTTGATACCCCTGTGACCAAGCGTATCTCGCTGAAGGCCCCCCTTCTGTCGTCCCCCATGGACACCGTCACTGAGCACAACATGGCTATCCACATGGCCCTGCTCGGTGGTCTCGGTGTTATTCACCACAACTGTGCCCCCGAGGATCAGGCCGAGATGGTCCGCAAGGTTAAGAGATACGAGAACGGCTTCATCCTGGATCCTGTCGTCCTCTCTCCCCAGTGCTCCGTTGGCGAGGTCAAGGAGCTGAAGGCCAAGTGGGGTTTCGGTGGCTTCCCCGTCACTGGTAAGTCGATCACAATTTTTTTGTTCTGTTTTATCCCATCACCACCTTTGCATGATGACCCATCATCTTTTCTATATAACTTTCGTTCCACTGGAGCAACGAGAGTTGCGCTGTAGAGAACCGATTCTCAACTGATCGCACTCCTATTACATACCTTGTCCACTCAATGGTTGTCTAGCATGAATGCTAACCAGCTGTTATACAACAGAGAACGGAACCCTCAAGTCCAAGCTCATTGGCATGGTCACCTCCCGTGACATTCAGTTCCACCGCGACCTTAATGACCCCGTCACTGAGATCATGTCCACTGACCTGGTCACTGCTCCCGCTGGTACCACTCTGGCTGAGGCCAACGAGGTTCTCCGTCAGTCCAAGAAGGGCAAGCTCCCTATCGTCGACGCGGCCGGCAACATTGTCTCCCTGCTATCTCGCACAGACTTGATGAAGAACCTCCACTACCCCCTGGCTTCCAAGCTCCCCGACTCCAAGCAGCTGATCTGTGCTGCTGCTATTGGTACTCGCGAGGAGGACAAGCTCCGTCTTAAGCTGCTTGTTGAGGCTGGTCTTGACATTGTCATCCTGGACTCCAGCAACGGTAGCTCCATGTTCATGGTTGACATGGTCAAGTTCGTCAAGCAGACTTTCCCCCAGATCGACGTTATCGGTGGCAACGTTGTCACTCGTGAGCAGGCTGCTATCCTGATTGCCGCCGGTGTCGATGGCCTGAGAATTGGCATGGGCAGCGGTAGCGCTTGTATCACCCAGGAGGTTATGGCCGTCGGTCGTCCCCAGGCCGCCGCTGTTCGCAGCGTCTCCTCTTTCGCTGCTCGCTTCGGTGTTCCCTGTATCGCCGACGGTGGTATCCAGAACATTGGCCACATCGTCAAGGGTCTGGCCCTCGGTGCCAGCACCGTTATGATGGGTGGTCTCCTTGCCGGTACCACTGAGTCTCCCGGCGAGTACTACGTTTCCAACGAGGGTCAGCTCGTCAAGGCCTACCGTGGTATGGGCAGTATCGCTGCCATGGAGGACAAGAAGGCGGCCGCCGGTTCTAAGGACAACAAGGCTAGCAACGCTGGTACCGCCCGTTACTTCTCCGAGAAGTCCAACGTTCTGGTTGCCCAAGGTGTCGCTGGCTCTGTCCTCGACCGTGGCTCCGTCACCAAGTTCATCCCTTACCTCGTGACCGGTGTCCAGCACTCCCTGCAGGACATGGGTGTTCGCAGCCTCGACGATCTGCACGCCGGTGTCAACAACGGTTCCGTTCGCTTCGAGATGCGTTCCGCCAGCGCTATGACCGAGGGTAATGTCCACGGTCTTCACAGCTACGACAAGAAGCTTTACGCGTAAGAGCTAGGCTTCTTTGAACTATGGACGTTCCCGCTGTGAATATGATTTGGGATTATCCGCACGAAGACATGGTGAAAATAAAAAATGGGGTACGATATGGGTAGGAGTTACGACTTGAGGAGTTACGCTTTTCAATTAATGAGCATACTGTTCCAAACACCATCTGTGCATTTGTAGATTAATAAAGTAGACAAAGTCAAAGCACATGGCGCGGCTATCGGCAAGCCCGAGCGCGGCCAAGGCGGACGCGGGGTACAAGGATATGCCTAGGCTCTCGGGTTTTGTCCTCGACTATAACCACGGGCCGTCACACAACTTTGGGCAATGTCTGTTATTTTATCTGAACACCTCTGTCGCCGTTTATTAGTATCTGGGTTGGCCAAACGATACCCTTTGAACCCGAGAACTCAGGATAATCGGTCATCACTTCGCATTGCGCGCTTTCGGGCTTTACCGACGCGAAATACCCGAGCTTCAGTCAGGAACTATTTATCAAATCCAACCTCAGCGCCAGCAGCCCAGTCCGCCAAAATGCCCCGGGAAAAAGGCGACGTTGACAAAAACAAGGCCCCGGCTGTTCCTCGACCCAGTTCAAGGTGAGTTAGTGCATGCATTGGTTTACACCCTGGCCGCATATAGCCGGTCCTTCAGAATGTCCCTCGGCATGATGATGTTGGCCATAACTCAATGACCACAGAAGAAGGCTCACTGACCAACGGTATAGTGTGATTCTGGTGTCTCCACGGAATGAGATTCTTCTTCTTCACCGCGTCCAGACATCTAGCTCCTTTGCATCGGCTCATGTGTTCCCGGGCGGAAACCTTTCGAGCCAGGATGGGCCACTCCCACCAGCTGAAGAGCATGCCGTGCATGAGGACTCTCCTGCTTACCGACGTGGAGCTATTCGGGAGCTTTTTGAGGAGAGTGGCATTTTGCTTGCTAAAGATCGAGACTCCGGAAAGATGCTGGTCGTCAATGAAGAGACCCGGGAGCAAGGCAGACGACTCATTCACCAGAACAAAGTGACGTTCACAGACTGGTTGAAGAAGCAGCATGCTAATGCCGAGCCAGATATTGGTTAGTACGCCCTTTCTCAGTGGACTTTTCCGAGGTTAATCTTTGGAACAGATCAATTGATTCCATTCACGCATTGGATTACCCCGACCAATGTTCCGAAGCGGTATACGACACAAATGTATCTCTACTTCATGCCATTACCAATCAACCTGGATAAGAAGTTGCTCGAGGAGCTTCCTGCTGAGGGCGAACGTGAAGAGATTCAAGTCCCGAGTAGCGATGGTGGTATCGAGGTCACCGAGGCGCAATTTCTCCCAGCTTCAGAGTGGCTTCGTCGCGCAAAGAGCGCGGAGATCATTCTCTTCCCGCCGCAATTCCTACTCCTGCATTTGACATCTGGCTTCCTGGATCAGGAACCCCGATCGGGCGCGTCCGTGGAAGAGTTGGAGAAACGTCGAGCGGCACTGGTCGAGTTCGTACACTCCGGCTCACCTGCTTGGACTGAAAAGTACATTTCGCCCAAGATGCTCAAGATGAGCGAGGACGGTCGGGCAGTCCTGGCTCTGGATGAACCTGGGCCCGAGTTGAAGGGGTCTGGAAAACGAGGCGAGTCGGATCGGGTTGTCCTTGTGAGGTTTAAAAAGGGTAGTGCGAGAGAGGTGAATGTTGCCTGGAAGAAGGATGCCCTCAAGGAGGGTAGAGAAGGTCACAGTAATCTTTAGATCACATAAAGGTCCCATCCATGTCAATCTACAGCGATTTCGCATACCTAATTAGGAATCTCCACATAGACCGTATTGCCACGGCCCACCATAGCGGTAAGCGATAAATCCACGCTTACCGCCTTCCTACCACGCGAGCCCTCGACAAAAGATCACATGACCCACACAAATCATTTGGGTCTTTGATTTTACGGGCCACCAAAAAACCCTCCACCTCCAACCTCACCGTCGCCCGTCAAAACCTCTTACACCAAATCCGCCAAAATGGAGAACGAGAAGGGAGAGATCGTCGATCTGTATGTGCTTGAGTCCTTCGCCCTTCAACAATTCAACCCGGTGTCCTGAGCCTGGCTGTCCGCAATCGCAATTCGCAATCCACGATTTCCCAAGCACCAAGAGATGGATAATCGGGGTCGATCGCAAATGGATGGGATAGCGATCAGACTACGGAAATCATGCGATGTCGTTTTGAACAGCCAGGCCCTCGACACCATCAGGATTGGAGGGGAATATTTCAACGTGGAAAATTGGACCATGAAAAAACTAACATATCCTCCCCTCGACAGCTACGTGCCCCGCAAGTGCAGCGCCACCAACCGCATCATCAAGGCCAACGACCACGCCTCTGTCCAGATCTCCGTCGGCAAGGTTGACGAGAACGGCCGCTACACCGGCGAGAACAACACCTACGCCATGTGCGGTTTCGTCCGTGCCCGCGGTGAGAGCGACGACTCCCTCAACCGTCTCGCTCAGCGTGACGGTTACCTCAAGAACGTGTGGGCCGCCTCCAGCCAGCGGTAAATTACCTGCCTGTGATGTGGTTTACACTGGGGGTGTTGACGGGTTGATATGATGGTGAGACCAACTCTTTCCCTTCTATCCTTGACAATGATACTAATATGCGATAGATGAACTAGGGCTCGATGGTCCAGGTTCGGGGATTGGTTTACGAAGTAAAAAAATAGGAGGAGGGGTCCTACATAGTCTCCTTCGGCCTAAATTTCTTTTTTTGCCTTCGGAGAAACCCTGTTTTCCTATTGTCTATCTATCATGAAATGGAATCGACGACTTGATGGGTCCGGTTTTCTCCAAAGCCTGTTCAAATCCTCCACGCATTCGCGATAGATCTTTCTAATGAGGGTTCTCCCTTCTCGCAACCTCCCAGCGGCCATGAAAAACAAAAAGCCAAAAATGGAATGCCCAAAAATTTGAAAAAAGAATTTCCTTCCTCTTTTCCTTCACTGTCTTTATTCTCTTTCCTTTCTTTCTCTGGTTTGCATCCATCGGCACATCAAGGCTTCCTCGCACTAGCGGACTCGAAAGCCGGATCGTTTCCGCGGTCTGTGTTTATGAACTCTGCGTTCCATGAGCGAGGGGGTAGAAAAAGCACATTCAGCCGAAAATTATTATCTTCAAACGCGCCTACTGAAGAGCCACTGTTGCTAAGATCCATGCACTGGGGCACAGATACGGGTGGGACATCTCTTGTAGATTACGTAGACTACGTAGACCTATCTAGCCTAGGGTAGCTGAATGACAATGAACTCGCTACCTCATGCCCTTATCTTCTAACAATCTTCTCTCATCTACAACTATGATGTGCCCTGTTCTCAGAGCAGCTGTGCCGGTTTAGTTGTAAGATCTGATTGAAATTTTTGATTCATTTCTCCTCATGAATCATATGCTTTACGTGGTCTTCCACATGGACTCGTGATTCGAGTGAAGTGTGCCCGGCACGCACAATCCCAGGACCTCCACAAGCAAGACACAATTGATAAAAACAGTTTTGGCTCTATTGACAATTCATGCAACCCACATCTAACGAGGAAAGGATGCGATTTTCTTAGTCTTTCTCCAGGCGCACGGCCGGGTTGCTCTCGATGAAGTTCAGGTCAACCTTGTGGCCGAGGAGCTCACGGATGTTGCTGACGCCGTATCTATGGGACCTGTTAGCTGATTGCTCAGGATTCAGAAACTCTCGTGGCACTTACTTGATCATAGTAGGACGCTCCAGACTCAGACCCCAGCCATATACTCTCATGTCCTTGGGGATACCCATGGACTCCAGCATCTCAGGCCGGAACATACCACTGTTACCAATTTCGACCCACTTGCCCAAACCCTCGTGGTAGCCGAAGATCTCCATACTAGGTTCAGTGTAGGGGTTGTAAGCAGGCTTGAAGCGGAGCTGGTGGATGCCCATCTTAGCGAAGAAGACCTCCATGAAGCCAATCAGACCACCCAGGGTCAGGCCGAAGTCGGCAATGACACCCTCGATCTGGTGGAACTCAGCCAAGTGAGTAGCATCGACAGCTTCGTTACGGAAGACACGGTCGATACTGAAGAAGCGGGCCGGCCGCGGGTTGGCCGCGAGCTTGTGCAGCATGTACGCCGAGATGGAGGTCGTGTGCGTGCGGAGAACCAGGCGTAGGGACTCATCGGGGTTCCAGGGGTAGCGGTACCCGATGGAGCCGAACTTGCCCTTCTCATGGACCTCGTGGACGTTATTCCAGTATTGCTTGTAGTCGAGACCCTGGACCTTGGTCGCATCTGAGGCGGTGGGCATAATGGCCTTGGTCAGATAAGGGTCATTTGGCGGATCCTCGCGGGGAGGATCGGCCGTGAGAGGGTCGGCGATGTAAAAGGTATCTTGGAGGTCACGGGCAGGGTGTTGCTGGGGCACGAAGAGGGCATCGAAGTTCCAGAAACCGGTCTCCACGAAGCGGTTGGTGGGCATTTCCTCGAAACCCATCTCGAAAAAGATGTTTCGGAACTCCGCCCGCACCTTGTTGAGAGGGTGCAGAGCACCGGCGGGTGTGGGAGCACCCTTGGCGTTGAAGTTGTAGGGCTTGAACTGGGTGTTCTTCCAGGAGCCGCTGGCGAGCATCTCAGCAGTGAGATCGGTCTCCTCCTTGGCGATTTCGCGAGCATACTTGGGGCCCTTGGTGATGACGAAAGAGAAGTCCTTGGACAGGGAAACCAACTTCCTGCGCTTGAGATCGGCAAGTTCCTTGGAGTCATCGCAAGACTTGGTCTTCTGAATGGCGAGCAGCTGCTCACGGGTCTCATCGACAATTGACTCTTTGGTCGCACGCAGCAAGTCATTATCCTTCTTGATCCAGCCGCGCTTGAAGGCATTGCCCTGGCCAACCTTGGCGTTGTCCTTGCCCACGACTCCGGGCAAGTCGGTGATTTTCAGACCGTCCAAGGCCTTGACGACGGCGTCGAAGACTCTGGCCTCGTGAGAGCCATTGGCGGCAACAGCCTCGCCCTCGGGGGTAAGAGTAATAACATCCTTCTCCTTGGTCTCATACTCGACCATCGACCGTGATGCCAGGCGGTCCAGCGCACTTTTGACGTTCAATGAGGGGTGGGAGGGGAAGGCTTCGTGGGAGAGGATGGGCGCATCGGACGCGGACAGGGCGTCCAAAATCGGGGTCGTCAAGTCGGACGCCATGGCTGCAGCCGTTTCCTGCAGGGGATTTGGCGAGTGAACAAAACGTGGGGAGGGGTTATCGGTCTGGTATCCGCCAAATTTACGAATGACTCTTTTCCAATATCCCAGGCGGTGAGCCACAGAGACCAGTATATTGCTGCCTCAGGCGCAAATATTCATCGACCCCGCCATTGTCTGCCTCTCTGCCTCACTGCCCTATGTACCTTTCGCAGTGTAAGTATATATACGAAGCCAGCCACGTCTAAAAGTCCGACGCAGCCTCAGGAAATCCACTTCCGTGTTTTGAGCCTCTTAATTGCTTTGGCCCTATAAAGCGATGTTCTACCAAAACGGTGCCAAAATGGTGCCAACTCTATAGTTGCTTCCACAGCCCTGAATGCCATGATAGTGATTTCACGTTGCTGGACACAATCCCAATCAATGGGGGCCAGTTCTCGATAGCGTGGTGGCTATCTATGCGTCTCCCGCTCCACGTCTGCACGTCGTATTATCGAGGCTGTGCGCTAGGGCTTTGCGAACCGTGTTCTGTCTCACACATGAAGTTCAACTACAGGGCACCATGGGACTACGACCCATGAAACCTGAGTATAGTCTATTCCCGAAGCAGGTAGTGTGAATGTAAACTTGGGTGTATCACAACGTAGCGAAGTACAATAGGGGACACATCTCAGGCACAGGAGATCCCGTCCCCGGGGGCACTTGACCACGTTCCGTAATACTAATCGCCACAGGACGGGGACGCTAAGACAGGCATCAGCCACATGAAATTTCTTTTAGCGAAGTGGAATCCCACGCGTGGATCTTTGTGGCACGAAATGCTCCCGAGACAACGAACCTTCGATACGCGCTGTGAGTGGACGAGACTAAGGTTCGCTGGGACCACTTCTGAGTCCACCCAGAGACACGCCGGGATTCGCAGTCGTGATACTGTTTTCGGTGTGGAAGTTAACTCCGTATTTTAAATATTGACCTTGAAACAACGCATCAGTGACTTACACGTTAATGATCGCCACTAGTAGGGTCGATCATCGAAACCCTGCTGGTTCGCAGACCAAAGGGAGATGAAACGAGTATGGAATTCCCGAGAGCCCTGAGAGTCACGAGAGTCGTGAGAGTCCTGGAGCCTTATCGTCTTTATTTGAACTCTATCAAAGTCCGTGCACATGAGACTAAGGGTTAGTTAATAAGAGAAACAGAGGGAAACGAGAAAAAAGCGAGAGAAGAGAACGGAGAGCAGTGCCAGCGGCACTAACTCTGCGGGTGGGTGCGATTCCCATCGAGTCGAGCGTATCTAGGGACACCAAAAAAAAAAAACGTAGTTCGGCATCACCGCCCCTATCGAAATTCTTCCACTTTTCACCCCCTCTTTCCTCCTGGGCTTGGATCTTCATTCCCCTTATTCTTATCCTCCTCTTGCAGTTGCTGTCCATGTTGGGTTTCTCCCCGCAAAAGAAGACACGCTTACATAACCCCCTTGCCGGGCGCTTCATCCCCCCTTCTCCGTTTCTCTAAGCTCCTCCTTCAACCCCGAGCCGGGACGTCGATTCTCATCTCGTCTCGTTTCTTCTTCTGCTATCCATGTCGCCCTAGACCCCCCAAGCCGCTCATTTGTGTCAGGAACCCCGTACGTGGTCCCCTCCGTCCGTCTCCCATCATTCTCGACTCCCTTTTTTCCAACCTATGGTTCACTTGGGAGGTCCTCCGTCAGCTTATGCAGCTGTCATGGCTTCTACTCTTCATTGGCCCTTTCTCGCGTTCTATATGTTCGTCCACTAACCAGCTTAGGGCACGATGGCTGACGAGACTCTCGTGGCCGCAACGGCCGTGTTGCAGTCTCTAGCCAGAGACGAGCCCACTGCCGGCTCCGCTTCACCTCCTTTTGATTTCCAATTTCCTTCGAGTAACGGCACGAGATTATCCAAACTACCCGGAGAACCCACCCCTGCAAAGGCCTCCTTCGAAGCCGAGTTGGAGGCCTTGGTGCGGCGCGTGCATCATCTGGAATTCCAAGCTGTCAGTCATCACAAATTCCCCGACAATCCCCAGCAGGCTACTGCTTCTGCTTTCGGATCCAACGAGAAGGACCCTGATTTCTTGTGGACCTTTGGGCTCGATCGCTTGTCGTCCGGTCACGGTTCTGACTCTTATTGCCTTCCACAGCAGCAAAAACTGAATCAACCCGATCGGCGGCAGCGGACCCCTTCCGGTCCCGAAGAACCTCCGGCTGCGGATCTTGATGACGACGAAACCGACGAGGAGGACGAGAATGGTGCTCGCACCCGCATCGTCCGTGAGGAGGATATTAGCATCCTCCGAAACCATGTTCAGAAGCAGGCCGAGGAGATAAGCTTCCAAAAGGACATTATTGCGCAGGTTCGCGATGAGTTGCAGAAACAGGAAGAGCACACTCGCCGTGCTTTGACCAAGGTCGAAAACGAAGACGTCGTCCTTCTCGAACGTGAACTACGCAAGCATCAACAGGCCAACGAGGCTTTCCAGAAAGCCTTAAGAGAAATCGGTGGTATCATTACCCAAGTCGCCAACGGAGACCTTTCCATGAAGGTCCAGATTCACCCCCTAGAGATGGACCCTGAAATCGCCACTTTCAAACGTACAATCAACACTATGATGGACCAACTGCAAGTTTTCGGTAGCGAAGTGTCTCGAGTCGCCCGTGAGGTCGGGACCGAAGGTATACTTGGAGGACAGGCTCAGATCACTGGTGTCCATGGTATTTGGAAAGAACTTACAGAAAACGTGAACATTATGGCCAAGAACTTGACGGATCAGGTGCGAGAAATCGCGGCTGTCACTACTGCTGTCGCCCACGGTGATCTCAGTCAGAAGATTGAAAGCCGTGCTCAGGGTGAAATTCTGGAACTGCAACAAACGATTAACACAATGGTGGATCAACTTCGAACATTTGCAACCGAAGTCACGCGAGTCGCGCGTGACGTCGGCACAGAAGGTGTACTAGGTGGACAAGCACAAATCGAAGGAGTACAAGGCATGTGGAATGAGCTCACGGTTAATGTTAACGCCATGGCCAACAATCTCACTACGCAAGTGCGTGATATCGCTACAGTTACCAAGGCCGTCGCCAAGGGTGACCTCACGCAGAAGGTGCAAGCCAACTGCCGAGGAGAAATTGCAGAGCTCAAAAACATTATCAATTCCATGGTGGACCAACTACGACAATTCGCACAAGAAGTCACTAAGATTGCCAAGGAAGTCGGTACCGACGGTGTTCTCGGAGGTCAAGCCACGGTGAATGATGTTGAAGGCACCTGGAAAGATTTGACAGAAAACGTCAACCGAATGGCCAACAATCTGACCACTCAGGTGCGAGAGATTGCCGATGTCACCACCGCTGTCGCCAAGGGTGATTTGACCAAGAAGGTTACTGCCAACGTCCAGGGTGAAATACTAGATCTCAAGAGCACTATCAACGGCATGGTGGATCGGCTGAATACATTCGCCTTCGAAGTCAGCAAAGTCGCTCGAGAGGTCGGTACAGACGGTACCCTTGGTGGTCAGGCCAAGGTCGACAATGTGGAAGGAAAATGGAAAGATCTTACCGACAACGTCAACACCATGGCTCAAAATTTGACATCTCAAGTGCGAAGTATTTCCGACGTCACGCAGGCCATTGCCAAAGGTGATCTTAGCAAGAAGATTGAAGTGCACGCCCAGGGAGAAATCCTCACGCTCAAGGTCACCATTAACCACATGGTGGGTCGTCTTGCCAAGTTCGCAACAGAACTTAAGAAGGTCGCTCGCGATGTCGGTGTCGATGGTAAGATGGGTGGGCAAGCCAACGTTGAGGGCATTGCAGGAACTTGGAAAGAGATCACCGAGGACGTCAACACAATGGCCGAAAACCTTACGTCTCAGGTGCGAGCATTCGGTGAAATTACCGATGCAGCGACCGACGGTGATTTCACCAAGCTCATTACAGTCAATGCTTCCGGAGAAATGGACGAGTTGAAGCGCAAGATCAACAAGATGGTTTCCAACCTGAGAGACAGTATTCAGCGAAACACTGCCGCCAGGGAGGCTGCCGAACTTGCCAACCGTACCAAATCCGAGTTCTTGGCCAACATGTCGCACGAGATCCGAACACCAATGAACGGTATCATTGGCATGACGCAGCTGACGTTGGATACGGATGACTTGAAGCCGTACACACGTGAGATGTTGAACGTTGTGCATAACTTGGCGAACAGCCTACTCACAATCATCGACGATATTCTCGATATTTCGAAGATCGAAGCGAACCGGATGGTGATCGAAAGCATTCCCTTCACCGTGCGGGGCACCGTCTTCAACGCCCTCAAGACCTTAGCTGTTAAGGCGAACGAGAAGTTCCTCAGCTTGACATACCAGGTGGATAACACTGTACCTGACTATGTTATTGGTGATCCATTCCGTCTGCGCCAGATCATCCTCAACTTGGTTGGCAACGCCATCAAGTTTACGGAGCACGGTGAAGTCAAACTCACGATCCGAAAGTCCGATCGGGAGCAATGTACCACCAACGAGTATGCTTTCGAATTCTCCGTCTCTGACACCGGTATCGGCATTGAGGAAGACAAGTTGGATTTGATCTTCGACACCTTCCAGCAGGCCGATGGCTCTACCACTAGGAGGTTTGGTGGTACCGGTCTTGGTCTTTCCATCTCCAAGCGCCTGGTCAACCTGATGGGCGGTGACGTCTGGGTCACCTCGGAGTACGGCCACGGCAGTACCTTCCACTTCACCTGCGTGGTCAAACTTGCAGACCAGTCCCTGACTGTCATCTCGTCTCAGCTTATGCCATACCGAAACCACCGGGTCTTGTTCATCGACAAGGGTCAGAACGGAGCTCAGGCTTCCAATGTCTTGAAGATGCTCAAGCAGATTGACTTGGAGCCGTTGGTTGTCAGGAACGAGGAGCACGTTCCTCCGCCTGAAATCCAGGATCCCTCTGGAAAGGAATCTGGTCACGCCTACGATGTCATCATCGTTGACTCGGTGGATACAGCTCGCATCCTCCGTACATTTGATGAGTTTAAGTATATCCCAATCGTCCTTGTCTGTCCTCTGGTCTGTGTCAGTCTGAAGTCTGCTTTGGACCTCGGTATCAGTTCATACATGACTACACCGTGCCAGCCTATCGACCTTGGTAATGGTATGCTCCCGGCTCTGGAAGGCAGATCAACTCCGATCACCACCGACAACTCTCGTTCCTTTGACATTCTCCTTGCCGAGGACAATGACGTGAACCAGCAACTTGCGATGAAGATACTCCAGAAGCACAATCACAATGTCTTCGTTGTTGGCAATGGCTTGGAAGCTGTAGAGGCCGTGAAGAAGCGTCGCTATGATGTCATTCTCATGGACGTTCAAATGCCCGTCATGGGTGGATTTGAAGCCACTGGAAAGATCCGCGAGTACGAACGCGAGAGCGGACTGCAGCGCACCCCGATCATTGCGCTCACCGCCCACGCCATGTTGGGAGATCGTGAGAAGTGTATCCAGGCTCAGATGGACGAGTACCTGTCGAAGCCGCTTAAGCAGAATCAGATGATGCAGACCATCCTCAAGTGCGCTACGCTTGGTGGCTCGCTGTTGGAGAAGAGCAAGGAGTCTCGAATTTCCAGCAGTGGAGAAATGCATCCTATCCACTCCTCTGTCTCTTCGAACGACCAGAACCAGCAGCAACAGCAACGCTCGCAGAAAATGCAACCGCTGCCAACACCGCCGCGTCCTGTTGTGGACACTCGGGCAATCACAAGCTCTGGCCCTATCACCCGTGGGAGTGTTGTCAGCCCTGGTCCTCCCGAGGACAAAGACGAAGAGATGATCGATGATCGGGTACGTTAACAAGTATGTGGTAAAGGATTATTTTCCAGAGCACCCGAACTGACCAATCCTTGTTCTCAATAGGTATTACTGCGATCTAACAGTACTTGAGCTCATTTGCACGGATGTTCTCGCCATGCAGATTTTCAAATGGTTTCGATGTAGCCGTTGATACCCTGTCCATATGAGGCTCGAGGTCGAGAACCTCAGCCATTTGCTGTTTTCACATTCTCCATGCTCATACCCACCTACTTCATTGTCCCCATTGTTGAACCCCTATTCATACTACATTCCATCGCTGCATTCGTTTCTTACTTTACAAGGTGTTGTTGGCGCATCTTCTGATTGACAGGGCTCGGGTTCTGCTCAGCAGTCTGGGTGACTACTGAAAGGGGAGTTTGCAATTCAGAGGGGTGCTTCGTTTCCGCCTCCGGGGAAACCATTGTCATGTTTGCCATCTATTCTCTCGCTTACAACTAGCCTCGGAACCTTTTTCATCCTTTCAATTTTTTGTATTGTACTTAGTTGCTTCTCGCTTTCTGCTTTAGCCATCTGCGGTCCGAGTCAGAGAGTGCCATGGTTCCGAGGTTTCTCCTTCTAGTGGGCCCTTTTTGGTGGCTCGAGGTCGTTTCCTTCTGTTTCTCTCCGGGCGATTTCACCATCCCTCGTTTATTGAGGCCACAATGCAGGTCTCTGTTGATTTCATTTGCTCCCATGGTAGCGCGTTTAGAATGAAGCTATCTCCCGTCTTTGATAACCGAAAGCTTGTACTATCTACTCAACGAGGCCCTGCTGCTGGAACCAAGCTTCCAGGACCTCATTAACTTTCTGCGGTCGCTCCAGCATAATCCAGTGCGATGAGCGAACGTCCTCAATTGTCAACTCCTTCACGTATGGTGCCATAGCTTCCACCATGCTAGCAGGGATCGCAAAGTCCTCCGTTGCCCGTAGGAAAAGCGTCGGGCACTTGACGGCAGTCCCATCTTCATCATCGAGAAATGATAATTCGTCCACAAAGTTCTGATACCCCGTTCGATAGGTATTGCCTGCAATTGATTAGCATCGAATCTCGACGAGGAAAATCCGTAACTTACATGGGCCCCGAAGTCCGTTCCGCGCATACTCGTCCACATAATACTCCATCTCCTCACTGTCCAATAACCTGGTCTCTGACAACCCTGGCAGCAATTCAAAATCTATCCCAGTCTTAGCTTCAATAGCCTTCCTTCCATCCTGCGTCCTCCCGCCAAACAAGGAATTCAAGAACTGTCGGATCCCCTGCCTATGTCGCGTATGCGATTCTATCACGCCATCTTCGCTCCCGAACTGGAGCATGTATCCAAAGGAAGGACGAAACTTGACTAGATCATTGACGGCGATGTATTTCGATACGGGGGGTGGGTAGGGAACGACGAAAATAAGGAGATGGGATACGAAGGAGGGGAAGTAGAGTGCGAAGCGGAAGGCGTATACGGCTCCCCTGTTTTATATAAGTTGACTATTAGGTTCTTGGTATTAGAAAGGGAAACGTACCAGTCATGACCCCCCCCAGGATGATGTTTTCGCAGCCGAGTTGCTTTGCCAGCTGGTGAAAGTCTTCGCAATGGGATTTCATGGTATATGGGAGGATAGAGTCCGTGGGAGAATCCTACTCAATGTGAGGTTTGGTTTCAATAAGAGTGTAACTCGACCTACCGATCGTCCATATCCAATACAGTCAGGGCAGACTACGCGAAATCCGAGCCTCAGGAGCAGGGGGATTTGGTATCGCCATCCTAGGGACAGGTCTGGGAAGCCGTGGATCTGCTGATATGTTAGATCTGTTTTATATCAAGAGGGCTCGCCGAGAGTCATGCCAGGAAGATCGTCCGAGCAAAGCCGTGGGTTGGTTCAGCATAGAGGTAGCCTGCATCGAGTCAGTAGACCTCAAAGTCACTGGGTAATTTCGTGATACCGTAGGTCTTCCCGTGGATGGTGGCAGAGCGTCGCTGAACACGAGGATCCTCGATCTTAATCTTATCAACAGCTTCAACCATGTTGAGAGGTGTAAATAGACTTGGGCATTGTTACGTCCGAACCTCTCAACGGCCGAAAATACCCTACTTGCTGCATCTGCACATATACCGGAGAAGATGTAAGGAGTCTTCGGGAGGGTGTGACGAATCGCCTGCATAATACCCACTTCGTATACTTTGGGGCTCGGAATGCGATGAATCAATGTCCCACAACGGCCCGCCCTCGGATAGAGACGTTCAATGCTCGATCCTTCTAGGTTTGACGGGCGAGATAGCCCTCGAAATTATCCAACGGCGACTCCCTCTCAACATCTTTCCAAAACGCATCAACCTTCTCTGCCAGATCCATACCCCACGGACCCTTTTTGATTCCATTCATTGCCCAAAAATTAGGTTTATGATCGATAGGGACCGGGATCGGGCCGTGCCAGAGGGCCAACGAATCCGGTGCGGAGCTTCGTCCACGATAGTCGAGCCCCGTATTCTTGATAACCAGCCTCAATTTCTTATCCCGGACAAAATCCAGAGTTTTTGGAACGTCATCTATACTGCGAACATCCATACATATTATTAGTACCCTGCCTTGTGAGCACTTCTTGCTGGAATGGACTTGGCTGATTCTCCGTATGCAGTTTGGCACATCGCGTCTGATCCGCTCCATGTGCGTGTCCGATGTCATTGTCGAAACAGGAAGCCATCAAGGGTCTGCCGTCACAAAGGCGCCCGTCAATACTGCGGTTAAAAGCATACCAGGTGGGTTGGTCAACGGAGAGTAGAGATAGGGATTTCACCGATCGAAGCCCTACTAACAGGACCAAGAAATAATATGTTGCAAGATCATCGCTGCGGGAGGCTTGGTATCAGTTCTGCACTCCTTTTTAGATTTCGCGAATATTTGCCTCTGAGATAATCCATAAACAGACTCATTTCAAATATGTCACATAGATAAGGCTTGGTACATCAATATTAGGACATGACTCCACCTGCGAACTTGTACACACCAATCAGCTAAGCCTTTCTCAACGAATTTCAATTTGGTATTGCACTGTACTATTGACGCCATTGACGGCCTTATCTCTTGGTGGCCAATAGTAGTGAAAAGAAAAACACTGTGGCTTGAAATGTCCCCCTTCAGGAGACTTCTGATCTGAATGCGCTTCATTCTCCTTACATCAAAGTGAGAAATCCAATTGAGGAATATTATAGGGGTAGCTTGACAGGAAGCTGAGGTGGCGGTCTTTCATTTCAAAATATAATGGAATGTTAATCTATGTCCATGAATACGATCAACCATGAATGGGATCCGCGTTGGAAGCGAGGGGTAGATAAAGCAAAATCTCACATTGATCTGGGACGGTTCTGGATGATAGAGTATCAGGGATATATGGAGAATATAAAGCAGTGATTTTGCTGAATTGTGAATTGAAAACTAAAAGACTTCCCTTTTTCCTCAGTCAAGATGCCTAAAAAGTTATCTTTCACCGTCAAATTGTCTCTCTGGGCCGCTATCACCTGGTTTGGGGCACGAATTTATGGATTTCGGCTGGAGTCACTGGCGCCATTTGCTGTATGGATTTGCGGAACTTGGTTATCCTATTTTATTCTCATTCTTGCTTGGAGGATACTCGGTCGAAAGTGGTTCAGTCCGCTGAAGGATTTACCTGGACCTAAGGTATGCTCTCCGCGTGGCTTCACCCGCACATTGTGTTTTTAACATTATACAGAGCGGGAATATTATCTTCCAGAATGCATCCGCCATCTTCGATGAACCACTCGGAACTCAGATCACCAATTGGGTGAATTCAATTCCGAATGAGGGCCTTCTCCATTTTCATGGCTTTATGGGAACTGAATACCTCGTGGCGACCAGCGTCGAGAGTCTATCAGATGTTCTTACTAATAGGTCCTACCAGTTTCAAAAGACTAGTGGCCTTCGTAGGTACGCCGAGCGCTTTTTTGGTCGGGGCATTGTGATTCAAGAAGGGGACGAACATAAGAAGAATCGAAAGTCGTTTGTTCAAGTCTTCAATCAGCGTCAAGTCGACAAGTTAAAGCCGATCTTGTCCTCGAAAGCGACACAGATTGTACAGCATTTATCCAAGAAATGCGTTCGCGATAATGAGAAGACGGAAAAATTGGCAACAATCAGAGTTAACGAGTTTGCGAAATTGATCTCTTTCGATGTGATGGGTATCATCGCTCTTGGAATGGACTTCAACAGCATCCTCGACCAGAACCTCGAGATCTTCGATTTGTTTCAGACGCTATTTGCGTCTGATTCCTTGAAAAAGTCACACTTTATGTGGCATAACTGCGCGCCGCCTTGGCTAGTTACAATGTTTCCCTCCGACATAGACCGACAGATGGAGTTTGCTCATGAGCAGCTTCGCAAAAGCCTCCAGCAGATGATCCCAGAAAAGCTCGCATCTCTGAAATCAACCGACTTATCTGAGGAAGATATCTTGACCCAGATTGCCTGCTCTGGCTCATTCACACACGAAGAGATTATTCCCCAAATCGTGACTACGCTTGCCGCTGGGTACGTCTGCCCTCCAACATTAGAATGCTGATGCTAATATCAAGATTCAGGTACGAGAGCACGGCTAGCTCATTATCTTGGACCCTTTGTTGCCTTGCAGATAGTCCAGAGACTCAGGTCAATTTACGGCAAGAACTTCTCGAAGCGAAAGGAGCCAAAGACGCATTGGATGAGGAGGATTATGAGAGACTACCCTTGCTCAATGGAGTATGCAACGAAGCGTCTCGCCTCTACCCTACATTCGCTATGACATTACGCAAGGCTATATGTGATACCTACATCAGTGGGCGACTCGTTCCTGCCGGCACCTATATCGCCATTGTTCCGAGGGCCATCAACCGAGCGCATCATTTATGGGGCCCTGATGCGGAACAATTCGTTCCAGAAAGATGGATTGACCGATCCAAACCGGAAGCGCCTAAATTCAACGCAACTGGAGGGGCTTCGTCCCCCATTTGTATGCTGTCCTTCCTTTACGGACCAAGAAGCTGCGTTGGACGATCTTTAGCACTAGCAGAGATTAGAAGGGTGACGGCTCGCATAGTTGAGAGCTTCCACATTCAAAAGTCCGGTACCAGCATTCCTCAACCGACCGGTTGGCTCTCTTCGGGGCCACCGCCAGACTTGGATCTTCTGTTCTCTCTGGTGGAGTGATAGACTTGGGCCATTTGTTTATCTTATAGACTGATACATTGTACAAAAAGGAAGAGCCTCTGAAAACATAACAAAAGTATAAGCAATTTTAGTATCTATTCCCTCAACCCACCAGCAAGGTTACAAATAGTAATCAGCCATGATCCTTTCAGATCATGCAATTACCGCAAATTCCATTATGAGACTACCAGCGAATAAACGACACCTTCTAGTGGAAGCGAACCCGATTCTTGAAACGAGGGAAAGACCCAGCATCTGTAGTCGTTGACTCCTTCGAGATACTCGTCATGTTCAGAGCAGCGAACTTCGAGCTTGAGGTCGAGGTCGAGGTCGAGTTCGAGAAGCTAGTCGTATTGGTAAAAACCGCAGTCATGTTTCCAAACGTGACGCTCACTATGCCACGTCGAACGATGCCAGCAGTGATGGATGCCCTCGCACTTGTGACTCCGATCCCCGATGGTCTCTCAACACTAGATCCGGGAATTGGAGCCGCGGTCGAGGTTGGAAGTGTCCGCAATGTGCTGGCCACTGGTGTCGGTGCCGTGCGGATCAGTGGTGTCGAGCTTCGGGTTGCTGGTCCGATGGATTGTCTGCTGGCTGGCGAACTTGAAGCTGCGATTCTGGAGCTCGAGGTAGGGGTCGACGAAACAACAGCTGATGATGACGGGGTACGCTCAGCTGGGGATGAGCCTCCACCCCCTCCGCGAGACGAACCACTTCCAGCACCACCTCCTGAGGAAGGACAGCTTGCGCTAGTCGCTGTGACAGTCGATGTGACAGTTTTGGTGGCTGCAGTCTGAGGGCAAGCGGCACACAAAACGCTTGCCAGTGGACAAACCGAGAATGACCTGTTCGGGGCAGTGCTGCTTGGGCTACCGCTTGAACCTGGGCTTCCTTCTCCGGGGCCAGAACCAGCACTTCCACCAAGGGAGAAACTTCCAGATCCTCCAGACCCAGACCCAGAGCAAGAGCTGGTGTCTCTTTTATATTTACCGGTCCCTCCAAACGGTAGCCCTGGAGTAGCTGTCTGCGTCTCATCTGCAAGCATAGAGCTCAGCAAACTAGCATAGTGGCGCTCCTCCAATCCAGCCCGCTCTTGAAGGTGGATAAGTTCCTCGCGCCTGTCGATATGGACAACACCATCTTGTCCTTGGACATGGGCGTGATCATGACGATCTTGTAATTCGGCGGTATTATCAGCGTCGACTGGGAGGCTCTGGAATAGCAGCAAGAAAGTCGCCAGCAAGGCGAATCCTTTCTTTGTGTACATGGCGAAGAGTCGTAGAAGTTGCATGCGAAACAATTCAAAAGTCGAGGTAGAGCCGTAAGGCGGGTTTCGTTAGACGTGATGGTTTGGAGAGTCGTTCTAGATGGATTGGAATTGGCAATTAGGTCCCGCGCAGAGGGTGTAGTCGAGAGCAAAACCAATTACAATGAAACCAACCAACCATTAGACTAATGCGAAGTGAAGAGCCCGGTTTTCACCGGATAACAAGCGAAAAGGTCAAGCACGAAATAAGCTAGGACCGGAAAGGGAGCAAGACCCTGTCATATGTAGCGCACAGGGAAGGTTTTATTTCAGGTGATGAACGCTCGATGTCATCGAAGCGCTACGTTGGGAATCGGAAGTCATGTCCATTGCATCGCCTTTAGAGTTTACGGGCTGGCCAGCCCTATCTCGAGATCCTGGGTACGCAAAGGTTCGGCCATCCTATTGGAAATGATCTGGTCGTCTGGTGCCGTGGATGAGGAGTCTCGGGACCATCATCGTGACTGTTTGGTTACACATATTCGGGTTGTCCTGTCGGATATCTCATGCGCGTGGAGTCATTTGTTTGGGTTTGGTGAGCCTCGCCTCTTCGATCTGTACTGGAATTGCAACCAATCCCACTTGCTAGATCGTCATCAATACCAGGGGTTCCTTAAAACATCGTTGAGATGAAAATAGCAAGCTTCATTCTGTCAAGTTTTGCTTTCTCTAAAGACATTGGCTTGAAGTATTCGGAGTCGAGATCCGATCCTCTATTGATGGTTGTAGGACATGATCTCACCGCATCTTTAGCATCTGCCATGCTGATAGTACTTCTTTGGATTTTAGCGAATCAGGAGAAGAATAGTTCATAAAGAATTTTGTCGGGATTTGTAGCATTATATATTAAGCGGCAGAATATATGCAAAGGCAAGGTCATGTCTCGTTGAAATATCTCAAGCGCTCACAGAATATCAAAAAAAAAATGTGACGCACAATCTGCATGCTTATCAAAATGATTGAACTTTTTGCTCTCTAACGCGTTGTTTGTGATTCATCAAGTCGTATCGAGATAGTGGAGGGTAAGGTAAGCAGGTCAGGGATCAAGAAACTATCCAAAAGAGCCTGGCCCGAGTTTAGTAGATCGCCAAAGGGCTACGCCAGCCAACCTGAATGACCTTGACGGCCGTGCAGCAGACTAGACCGGCTGCGTAGCAGATCGTGGTGAATGCAATAAGGCCCCAGTACTGACCATTGCAGCGAGCCAGGATCTCACCAGCAATTGGGATTCCGGTCAGGGTACTAGTAGGCAGGGTATGTCAGCCCAAGGTATTCATGACATCACCAAAGTCGAACGAAAATACTCACCCGAAGCTGACAATCGTGTAGGCGGTTGCGTAATACCGGCCATAGTTCTCGGTCTTGCAAAGCTGGCCGACACAGACAGGCGTCAAGCTGATGTTACTACCACTAGAGAATCCGAAAAGCAAAGCGTAAATCACGAGTAAGGCCATACTGCTCCCGGCTGGAAGCCATAGGCATGCATTACAGAGAAGACACAGAGCCACGGTAGCAATGAGAGTGTTGAATCGGCCCAGGAAATCTGCGAAGAACCCCGGAAGCCATCTGCCAAAGAACGAGCCTACATTCAGGATGGCGAGGATTTGGTAGGAGAATGAGTTCGAAAATCCGTGGTCAAGGGCGTAAGAGGAAATGTAACTGATCGGGATGAAAAGACCCCATTCGATGAAGAAGACGCTGGCGGTGGTCAATGTGAAACGAGGATCGCGGAAAATCCGGAAATCCGGAAGGACATTCTCCTTTGAGAAGGGCTTCTGCGGCAATCGCGATCTGATCAGGAGATTGGCGAACCCAAAAGCGATCAGGCAAATCAAAGCCACCACTCGAGTAGCCCAGGCCCATCCAATTTTGGGCAATAGAGCCTCCAGAATGAGAGGGAATGCAATACCACCGATGGAACCACCTGTAGCAGCCATTCCGGTTGCAACTCCACGCTTTTCGTAGAAGAAATGACCAATTGCTGAGATGGCCGGGGTAAAAATCAACGAGGCACCAACACCACCCAAAACACCAATAACAAGCATAAAATGCCAGTATTCAGTACAAAAGCCAAGAAGAATTATCATGGCCATTTCACAAATCGAGCCAGCGAGGACGAGGAAGCGAGGACCGCGTGCGTCAAAGATGGGACCGATTTGCACACCGCAAAAGAAAGTCAAGAAGGCATACATTCCAAAGATCCATCCGATGTTGCCAGAGCTGTAATCTTTCAGCTGGTGGTTTTCGATATAGGCCTGGAATGTGCCAATCGTGTTCACGAGTCCGAGTGATCCAAAGAGTCCCAAGAAGCTGCCCAATACCACCAACCAAGCCTCTTTGCCGCCTTCGGGGTAGACATTGCCCTCGGCGTCTGTAGTAACTCGACTGAGGGGATCTCTGTGAACAGAACGGAGAGACGGCGCTAACGTGGACGCTCTACGAGAAAATCCGTCATCTGCAGTGGCAGTCGTTTCTTCATGCTCGCGCGGCGTCTTCTCGGCCGAGTCTGTCTGAGCTGGCTTCTCATAGTCTGTAACGTGCATGGAAGACTTTTCATAGTTCTCGGCAGCATGTGTCTCTGATGTTGTCATCACATCCGGACCGGGGTTGGTGACGAAGCCATGTTCATTGTCACTAGCGACAATGGATGTGCTGGCAGGCCCGGCCTCGGTTGACATTCTACGCGGGATGTAAGCCGCGTATAGATATCTGCCTGTGGCTTTGCCGTGTCGATAAGCGCTTTTATTGATAAATGAGAGCGCTTGTGCCGATAAGTATGGAGTGTGGAGGAGTTGTATCATAGACAAAGCAAAGAGGGGGTTCGCCGGCAAACCAAAAGTCGGAGTCATCGAGAGTCCGGGTATTCAAACGCATGCATAGCGCGGAATTATCCCTATTGGCTTTTAAAGTTCCTTTGGAGGGTCTTTCTAGACTCTTTTCAGTACGAGAGAAAAATTCGAGGCAGACGGCGATTGGCGGTTGCGGAAGATGTGGAGCGCCACCCACGAGTTGTACCTGTCTTTGATCGATGCAGCAAAGTTTTATCGTGTTACAGTAGTTTTTGAAATCAGTTATACCGTAACTCGACACTCTTTTTACTTAATTCCCGAATAAGAAATGAAAAGCGCTACTCCTCTTAAGGAGGCGTTCGGGTGGGGGCGAAGACTAGGGCCATGGTTGCTATTCAAGCTTGCCATTCAGAATATGAATCAGCTACGAGCCCCTGAATTTCCTTACAGTATGGAGCTTGTTTCTGGAATCGATTTAGCGAAATACTTTGACACCCCCGCCTTGAGAAGCTTGTCTTTACGTGCGTTGAACAGCGATGTCATCAATGGAGTACCAGAGGAAACATTTGGAACATGATCAGTTACAAGCCTGTCCATATACATGGACGAGCCAACAGATGCTCTACGAAAGATGATTCAATGGCCACGTGCTCTTGGTCATTTTGAATTGATTTATAAGGAACCTAGCCCCAGTTTTAAGGAGTTCATATGGAACTTTGATACGGACCAGTAGTTAGGAAGAGTATCGAGGTATAGGTGGTTTCGAATAGTACTGTAGTCAATAATTGTCAATGATTGTGATTTCCAAAGACTCTAGTGATGTATCACATCTCGTAAAATAAATGTACGCTGGCTCCCATGCATGCCATCGTCGGAAAAGTTAGCAAATCACATTCTCCGCGGGGAAATCGAACCCACTTAACCACCGACCTCTTCCTCTAAGTTAGGGCTGATGGTGTTTTTGCTCTTGTAGCATGTTTTGGAAGATCTCTCTATCAATTGGGCTTGTGGTTTAGTGGTATAATACTCCCTTAGCATGGGAGTGGTCCGGGGTTCGATTCCCCGCGAGTCCATTTTTTTTTGCCATTTTTTTGCCATACGCCTCCTACCAGCACTGCTTTGGATGTGGGAACATGCTACGGTCAAATAGATCTCAAATAAAACAATTTCACCGCGAAAAAGATCCACCAAATCCCTTGTTTTGTTTGTTGGCTCTTATCATCAAGTTACATCAAGAGCCGACGCACGCCGTGCATGCTGGTTTGCCTGACCCACCCGATAACGCACTGAGGTGAGGCTTATCACCTGAGACCTGATCGGCTGCTCACTATGCAGCTCCCTGGCAAGCAAACGGTCCCCTGACTAAGGCTTAGCATGATCGGGAATTTGTTCCTCGATGCAGATAGAAAAGACTAGAAGAGAGCCCGTGAAACCTTGATTCAGGTACAGCGGCTGGCACGAACTCTACCACTATCCCCCGCGTCGAATTTGTGGAAGTGATTGTCAGGGGCTGCGATACACCAAAAATCCGGGTTTAGGGCTCCTATTCGCTCGAGGCTCTACGGGTTATCTGCTAATGGGCAGGCTTAAGGCTCACCGCATTGTCGGTCGCGGCTAAACTTGGAAGCTGCCCAGGTAAAAATATATCCTCCTCGCCACTGTACCTTCGCGACGTAAACGAGCGGAGATCAAGCTGCGGGGAACACCCAGGCAGAAGCCAATGTCTTTACATGAGGGGAAAAGATAACAAGGACAAATCGAGGAAAGCGTCTTTGGCGGCTTATACGACTATCATCATCGGGCGAGAGAATATAGGTCTGATTGCCGGAATCCGTCGCTCCCCCGGGAAGCCCTAATTTGCAACAACCCGCGTCTGAGCGTTTCTCCAAGTAAACGAGGTCAGCGATGAGCTGTGTTTCATCGATATATTTGTATACACTTGGGTATGCATTCGCTCCTAGTCAGTATTTCTCAATTAATCACAAGATCACAGATCTGCAATGGCACAATCGAGTGATTCCCGACCGGATTTCCGCATCCGGGACTGGTGGGATGATCTACCCCGCCTACAAGTGCCTCACGCTGATATCAGTGGCCAGTGGGTATTAGCAGGGGTCTACTGTAGCAGGTGGCGGCGTAGAAGAAGAATTGCTTAGCCGGCCTCTACAATGCTGGTTGGCTGTCAGCGGGTCTCGCCCTGGCTCATTTAACGTGCCTGGTTCCTTGATTCAGAACCCCGTAGTATTTAAACCAGATCATTCCGCACTGCGGGTACTTTTTGGAAGATTAAGTGTCCTTGTGCACTCTATTCTCTTCGTTCTTCCAGCCCGGGCTTCTTTGACGGCCCCCCTTGATAGGATGTTGTTGAAGTCGGTTCTGACCTCGGGTCTCCTGGCCCTGTCTATGGGAGTGGAGATTGTCGAGGCTGCGAAATTCGGACGTCTCGGTAATCTCGTTCGTGCTCCTCTGGAGCGTGCGAAGAGGGTTGTTGAGACGACGCACGCCAAAGCAATTCGTTCTAAGCAGGACTTCCGCTTCTTGAGCTCCAAGACCAAGAGTGAGTGACGCAGTGGCTGCTGTCGATCACGTAGCACTAAATTAACCGTATTGGCAGAGTACCTGGTCAACAGCCTGCCCGATGTCAATTTCGACCTTGGAGAGATGTACTCGGGTCTCGTCCCTATTAAAGAGGGTGATGATTCGCGACAGTTGTTCTTCGTCTTCCAGCCCACCATTGGTGAGCCTGTCGATGAGGTTACCATCTGGCTGAATGGTGGTCCCGGCTGCAGTTCCATGGAGAGTTTCCTGCAGGAGACTGGCCGTTTCCTCTGGCAACCTGGTACTTTTGCGCCCGTTGAGAACCCCTACTCTTGGGTGAATCTGACCAATGTGCTTTGGTAAGTTCACACTTCAAGTGAAACAGGGCCGTTGAGACTGGTTATATTGACGTACATCTAGGGTCGATCAGCCCGTTGGAACCGGTTTCTCTATTGGCAAACCAACTGCCACCACCCAGGAGGAGACTGCGCAGGACTTCGTTAAGTTCTTCAAGAACTTCCAGAAGACTTTCGGTATCAAGAACTTCAAGATCTTCGTGACCGGTGAGAGTTATGCTGGCCGCTACGTCCCATACATCTCGGCCGCCATGCTAGACGAGAAGAACAAGGAATACTTTGACTTGCAGGGTAAGCGACATCCAAACTAAACTCAAGAGACGGTATTTGACTCTCAATTAGGTGCTTTGGCCTACGACCCTTGCATTGGTCAATTTGACTACGTCCAGGAGGAGATCCCCGCCGTGCCATTTGTCCAGAAGCACGCGAACATGTTCAACTTCAACGAAACTTTCATGACTGAGCTCGAGCACCTACACAAGGAATGTGGCTATGCCGACTTCATCGACAAGTATCTGACCTTCCCTCCCCCTCACGAGCAGCCGCCTCTGTTCTTCAACTACACAACAGATGCGAAGTGCGACGTGTTCGACCTCATCTATGATGAAACCTTCAAAGTCAACCCGTGCTGGGATCTCTACGAGGTTAACTCCGTATGTCCTTTGCAGTGGGACGTCCTGGCGTTCCCCGGCTCCCTGAACTATCAAGCGCCCGGATCGACGGTGTACTTCGACCGTGAGGACGTCAAAAAGGCGATGCACGCCCCCAACATTACCTGGTCCGAGTGCTCGAATGAAGCCGTCTTCGTTGGTGGCAATGCCGGCCCCGAACAAGAGGGCGACCTCTCCGCCAATCCCATTGAGAAGGTCCTCCCTCAAGTCATCGAAGCCACTAACCGCGTTCTCATCGGCAACGGTGACTATGACATGGTCATCATCACCGACGGTACTCTCCTGTCTATCCAAAACATGACCTGGAACGGCAAGCTGGGCTTCCAGGAGAAGCCCGAGACCCCCATCGACATCGAGATCCCAGATCTCATGTACAAGTGGGTATTCGACGATAACGGTTACAACGGTCTCGATGGCGGCCAGGGTATCATGGGTATCCAGCACTACGAGCGTGGCCTGATGTGGGTTGAGACGTACATGTCCGGCCACATGCAGCCGCAGTACCAGCCGCGTTCTTCATACCGTCACCTGGAATGGGTGCTTGGTCGCACCGATCATATCTGAGCGTGATTTCTGCTCGCTCAGGTGTATAGGCGCGACCATGTGGGAAGGAATGCTCGGTCTAGTATATAGTCGCAATAAGCGTATATAATTGCATAAATCGTGGTGAATAGAGCCATGCGCATTGAGTTATGAACACAGTTCGCCCCTGGTGTGTACTAGTCTGAGAGTCAAATCTGACCGCAACCCACGATCTGTGTCAGACGCAGTACATGTAATTTTCAGCACCGAAAGCCGAGTTTACTCCCGGAAATAACACTTTGGGATCAACTGCCCTAGCATCCCCATGTGGCATGGATATCCCGGCCTCGAGAACTGGGTTTACCTATCTGATGTCTTAATGCCGGTAATGGTAATGCTCACCGCGGAAAACTCATCTGATCGACTGATACTGAATTCGATGATTGTAATTGATCCAATTGGCGTGGTTGATGTCCGTGCCGGGACTGCTTTGCCCTTTCGAGTATCGTTTTCACCAACAGGCCGTCGCCACAGTCCACAGCTGCCTCGGCAGCTTATCCGGGGCTCCTAACAAGTTGGCTTTTTGACGGGTTATGTGGGCACTTTATCAGCGCAGGATGACGCGGACAGGGGTGAGTATATACAGTTGCTGGGTACGGACCGTGTCCGGGCCGTTGAGACTGTCCCCAGGTGGGTTATTTAGACACCAGGTCAAATGAGGCTGGTCGGCATTTCTTCCAAAACTGGACAGGTGAGATGCTACGGATACACGGGGTGTTTAGGATGGTCAATTAAGATCTTATGATATTGGTCAGACCTAGAAGATGCTTTGTTTTGGATTGAAATGTATTCCGTGGCTCTGACCAAATGGTTGATAGGTGGGGTTGCACAGTTCAAGGGTGGGGTTGGACCCTGAATCCCCAGCATGGAGATTGATCAAGTGCAGAATAATCCCAATAACCCCAATTGCTGTTCAACTGCGGCTTTGTGCCTCGTTCACTCCGGGAAAGCAGAAGTTTCAAACATCGTCCTACCCGCAGATTCGTATTTCAATTTGCGTGATGCCCGGTTCCAACGCGTTCACTCCCGGCTTCAAAGCCGCTAGGCAGTAGCGCCGTTACCACGTTACTAGTGTTCAGCCAATCCTTGCCGAGAGGAGCACCCGTAAGACACTATTTTCTATGAGAGGTACAGGTTTGGGTGCGTGCCAAGCATATAAGCGATCGGGAACAGGGCAGAATGGCCGCCATATTAGCAAATCTGAAATGAAATGAAAGACTCTATATCCCTCAGTGGATCTGCGCACAACATGGCTGCAAGCCTTTCTTTGCGTCATGGCCAGTTCGTGGTTTTTGCACGAGGGCTTCGCACTTCTAGCAGGCTGGAGCCAGCCCACGTTGGAGGCGGCCCGTCTGTCGCATAGAGCCGAGGACGACCTCCACGCGGTACCAATCTCCATGTTTCGGCCGTACGAAACATATCGTAAGTTTTCAAAGCCGGATTTGAGGTTGCGACAAGCTGTGGGTTGTGGCGCCGCCGCCCGCGCCGCCGACGATACAGAGGTGTAACCCGCGTGTAACCATTCGTAATTTAGGAGCCTCGACTCACTTGCCCCCATGGTGAATGAGGGCTATGATTCGCGAGGGAAAAGGTGAACCGAACCAAACTCCGCCGATTCCCCGAAAGCGGCAGCCCATACGGCCCTTCGATGTCATGTGACCGGGGTTGATCGCGTCACACTGCCTCATGGGTTACAATTGCATTGCATCTAGACGCAGGAATGATTCCTACACGCGTTCGATGTGTGGTCATCCCGCCGGAAGATCATCCAAGAAGATCCAAAAGCACCCTTAGGGAAATTCCCCCACATAAGATGACGTCGGAAACGTGGGGACAACCAGCAAGAATTGAGAATTTTTCCCGCGATCCGAGCCCCGTCGGCTCCGTTTTTTTTCTCTCAACAAAGTGTTCGGATCCAGGGACGAGTGGGCCATGGGACATAGGAGGTGGGACATGGCATAGGACGATGACTCCAGACCTACTCCCTATGGATTAGTCACATTAGCTATCGGAGCGTGAGAGTATTCCTATCTACGGGATGGCCGATAAGTGACTAGGATAAAGAGCCCAGACTCTCAGTAGCTAGGACGGTCCGCATCAGACGGACCGGTTCGCAACGTCAAGTCAAATCGACTACATGCGGTCCTGACGCCTCAACTCAGCCACTCATAGCCCATGGGTCCAGTGATTTGCATCCACGCTATTCCACAAACGGAAGGATCCCGTGCTCACAGAATCTCTCAATCTTACCAGGCTCGATCGCCAGCATTACGATTGGTCTTTCTATTGCTCCAAGACCGAAATTCAGGCCCAAACGAGTGGCAATTCGCCAGTCTCACCCCTAATACCACGTATTGGCGTTACAGACCGCGACTATTCCTTGGTAGGAATGGTCGAGTACCCCAACATAGTATCCTGGCAGGCCCGCTTTGCCTGCGCTCCGACCAATACTGGCCTCGGCGCATTAGGTTCCCTTAGAACGGTCATCCCGTAATAAAATAAAAAAAGAAAGAAAAGAAAAGGGAACGAAGGGTGGGAGATTGTGACAGAGACCGTGGTTGCTGTTTTTTTCACGGGTTATATAGTGCTTCACGATCCCACCTTACGTCTTTCCTTTCCCATCTTCATCTTTCCCCATCTCTACCTATCCACATTCTCTATCCCTCGGGGTCCCGAGGTATAGCTATCGATAGCTTTCCCCGCCCATTCTTCCAGGATTTCCACGCCCTGGCATACTGAATTTGGCTCAGCCTTTCCCTGTCAGAAAAAGACAAAGCAATTGTTCCTTGACCAAGCACACTAGGTCATTCTGTGATTCGACCCGGCTTTCCAGTAGCACGGCGACGCATTGGCATTGATCATTCAGTATTTCGACCTGCGTACGAACCATTGCGACATCCTCCCTTTGCGAACTTGTCCACCCTTCTGTTACGACCTGCCCATCCGGTTTCACGATCTACGAATCCATTGCGCCAATTTGTAGTGCCCTAACGGACGACCTAACGACCTTCCACCCAACCATTCAATCCGATCGCAGCAAGCCCCGAACCATTGCATTTCCAAAGCGCCTTATCCCACAAACCAAATTCATCATGAGTTTCCTCACCTTTAATCCCTTCAAGAGGGAACGCCAGAACTTCCCAGGAGTCGTGATTCCTCTATCTGAGGCTCCGCTCCGCTCCCACCCTGTCGAATTTGAAAAGGAGAAGGACGACTCCTCTATCGACCAACCCAAGCCCTTGGATCGCGCCCCCTCTGCAGAGAATGGCTCTGCCGGCTCTCTGCCCGAGACCAGCCACTTGACTATTGAAGCTCTCCGCGCGGAGATCGACGCCGAGTCATCGACTGCCGGCCTAGACTCGATGTATGACCGTATGTGCCCTCCAGTCGAAGTTTTCCAGTTTCCACCCACATGCGCCTATCTCACCGATTTCCCGAATGGAAGATACATGAGTACCTTTTAATGTATCTGATCTGACTCGATTGATTTTGCAGGCAAAGCCAGGGTGATCAACAGGGCTATCCAGGATATCGGCATGGGCCGGTACCAGTGGGAGCTTTTCGCCCTCTGCGGTTTTGGATGGACTGCAGACAAGTGAGTGACTGTTTATTCACGGCTACAGAAAACCTCTTATTAACATGTTCCTTCAGTCTCTGGCTTCAGGGAGTTGCCCTAACTCTGACCCCCATTCAAAATGAGTTCGGTCTCGGAGAATCTGAAGTCCGTTTCACTACTTGCGCTCTGTTTGTTGGTCTTTGCATCGGTGCCTCCTTCTGGGGTGTCGCCTCTGATATCGTTGGTCGTCGTCTGGCTTTCAACTGCACTCTTTTCCTGGCTGGTGTCTTCGGTCTAGCTTCGGGCGGTGGTCCCAACTGGGTTGGTACTTGTGCTCTGTACGCCTGTCTGGGTCTCGGCGTCGGCGGTAACTTGCCTGTCGATGGTGCCACATTCTTGGAATTCTTGCCCTGTGAATCTGGTAGCTATTTGACCATGCTGAGCGTCTTCTGGCCTATCGGTCAACTGATCGGCAGTCTGTTTGCCTGGGCCTATATCCCTCTCTTCAGCTGTGACCCCACCGTGGAGACCTGCACCAAGGAGAACAACATGGGCTGGCGCTATCTGGTCCTCACCCTTGGTGCCATCACCTTTGCCATGTTCTGCGCTCGATTCTTCCTCTTCCACCTGTACGAGTCGCCAAAGTATCTGCTGTCTCGCGGCCGCCAGGACGAGGCTGTTGCTTCAGTTCATGGCATTGCCTACCGGAACAAAGCCAAGACCTGGTTGACCTCCGAAATCCTCAACGAAATCGGTGGTATCGCTGAGACCAAGGAAGAGGAGAAGCTCTCCGTTGGCGAGATTATCAAGCGATTCTTCTCCAAGTTTTCGATGGAACGTATTGGACCTCTCTTTGCCAACAAGCGTCTGGGATTCACCACCGTCCTCCTCTGGTTCTGCTGGACAACCATCGGCATGGGATACCCTCTCTTCAACGCTTTCCTGCCCCAGTACCTTGGAAGCTCTGCCAGCTCGACCTATATCACCTACCGCAACTATGCCATCACCTCGATCGTTGGTGTCCCCGGCTCCGTGCTGGCCTGCTATACTGTCGAGATCAAGTATATTGGTCGTAAGGGTACCATGGCCATTGCCACTCTCATCACTGGCGTTTTGCTATTCTGCTTCACTGCCTCTACGGACTCCAACGTCCAGCTTGCCTGCACCTGTCTCGAGGCCTTCTTCCAAAACATCATGTATGGTGTCTTGTACGCCTACACTCCCGAAGTCTTCCCCGCCCCAAACCGTGGCACCGGTACCGGTATTGCTAGCTGCCTGAACCGTATTGCCGGTCTCTGTGCCCCGCTGGTCGCCATCTATAGCAGTAACACCAGCCCCACGGCACCCATCTATGCTTCTGGTGGTCTGATTCTCGCATCCTTCGTGGCGATGATCTTCCTTCCTATCGAGACTCGTGGCAAACAGGCCCTCTAAATTATTTAGAGAAAACGAGGACCCATCTACATGGCATCGTTAGATTCAACATTGCAATGTTTCGTCGCAAATCATCCAGACCCGTGATGAGTATATGACTACGTGTGGTGCACGATATATGAGAGGACCCAAAGACAGTATTCTCTCTCTGCTACCCCTGGTCTCTACCTGGCATGGTTGACTCCGAGCCGAGGACTCAGATCCGGCCTGGCGCCGGCGATAGAATGGGAGCTAGACTGCTCCTATTTAAGTACATTATTTTACCTTGTTTGTTTTATACGGAGCTTGACTCCTCTGTGGACATAATGTGCAATATACCATCGTGACTTTGAATTAAGTTTATACCCATGAAAGTGTTCCATGTAAATCTGTAGAGGGCTCCAGTTCGAAGATGTTCAAGGATAGACGAAAACATTGCAGAGGAAGTATCACATCTCAAAGTCTATTTGGCGACAGTCAAATCCACTATACAGCAAGTAGACATGCCAACGCAATCTACAAAAATCTCAATGTAAGCCTTGGGACGGTCCCCAGTCAAGTCTAAACGATGAATCGGGTAGCGGATTCGAAAGCTCAGTCAAAAGAATTTGCTAGTATGGAATCCCTAAGACTCGAAAAAAGGTAACTCCAGCCGAATCAAGAAGCTCCGCAGCGAACAGTTAAAAAAGCAAAAAAACGACCAATCGAGCCCATCCATTTCGTTCCCAGTCAAAACCTTTGAGGCATGTATGCTCTTCACCGAATCCATAACGCACATACATGAAGCAAACGAAAGAAGAAATGAAAAAAAAAAAAAAAAAACCAGAAAGCATGATGTGTCATGTCATGTATAAGAAAGTAGAAAGGTCATGCAACATCGCTCGTCAAAGCAAATGGAACAAAAGTCGACTCCAACGCTTAAAAACAATGGAACTTTTTCTCGTGTACAAGTTCCTGTCTAGGCGACTGGTTGGTTACGGCGGCCACGCTTCTCAAGCAATGTCGCGCCGTCTAAGGTGAGTTCGAAGGGCTGTTGCACTCTGCCAATGCTGCTCTTCGCTGCAGCGGCAACCTTCGCATCGTGCTGGCCATAGCCCTGCGGCTGTCGGGGTTGGCGACCTACTTGCCGGGCTTGTGCGGCGCTGCTTTGGCCGAGGTTTGTGGAGCGGAGCTTAGCGTCGATGCCGGCCATATCGCCAGATTGCTGGGTTGCGGACTTGGCGACCTTCTGGGGTGGTTGGCCGGCGGCTTGGGCACGGTAGTCGGGTTCGTCGTCGTAGACCTCGTTCAAAGCACCCAGGGCGTTTTGGAAGCCGGCAGTTGGGTTGTTGCTGCGGGCGCCCACATCTCGTCGGCGTTTACCTTCCTCTTCTTGGCGGTGGACGGCGTAGCCGACGTCGAACACTTCGCGTAGGTTGAAGGCGCCTGGTGAGCGGAAGTCCATGCGGCGCTGCTCGGTGGTGGAGGATGGAATTTCCAGTGAGGCCCGGGTGCTGTGGGGTTGGTACGGGGTTGACTCTGCGCCGCTGGCTTCAACGTCAAGAGGGTTCTTCTGGCGAACCTGGCCGAAGGGCGTTGCCAACGGGGGTGCGTCGGCAGCGGCGGTTGTCTCTTCGTTGGTTTCGCGGATCCAAGGGTGCGCAAGGAACTCCTTAATGGTGTATCGCTTCTCGGGATCGACGGTAAGCAAGTGTGAGATCAGGTCCTGGGCGGACTTGGAAATGTCATCCCACCACGGGGACAGGAAAGTGTACTGGCCGCGTGCGACCTTCTCGGTGAGGACCTGGATGCTCTCGTCGTAGAATGGAGGGAAACCACACAGCAGCGTGTACAGAACACAACCCATAGCCCACATATCAACACTCTTTGAATACCGCTCATCCTTGACAATTTCAGGTGCCGTGTAACCAACGGTTCCGCAAGGCGTCATGGTCTGGCTGTCCCAAATGACCTTGGAGAGACCAAAGTCGGCGATCTTAATTCTTCCGATACCACCCGAGCCAACTCCTGGAATAAACTCTCCTTCGTCTTCCTTGTCCTCATCGCCTGGCTGCTTGGGCTGCGGGTTTTTACTCGGAACAAAGGGAGTGGGATAGAAAAGGATGTTTTCGGGTTTGATGTCACTAGATCACAAGTCAGCCTCGAGTGGATCCGACGATAATGAATTGATACGTACCGATGCACGACACCTGATGTCTCGTGAAGATATTCAATGGCATCTGCGACCTGGGTAATCACATGTCGACTGAGATCCTCGCTAAAGTAGGTCAATCGGACGATCTGATGGAAGAGCTCGCCTCCTGGACAAAGTTCGAGAACGATATAGTAGTATTGTCGGGACTCGGAGAAGTCGATCAGTTTGGTGATGTTGGGGTGATCTAGGTTGCGCATAATCTGAACTTCCTTGAGGATATTCGCTCGCTGCGGTGAAATATGTCAGCAATGGACTAGGATGAGATATCACAATAGATGCATATAACAACAAGGCAGCAAGAGTCACCACTGCCAGGTGAGTTGGTGTGTGGACTAGGAAGAATTGCGCACCTCCGCAGCCTGTGGGACCTTCTTGACGGTAGGATGAAGAGGGTCGGACTGCATCTAAAAATATTGGCGATGGTTCCTTTTTTTTGGTTTCTTTCTTTCCTTTTTTTCCGCCACGAGGAGATGATTGACTCAAGCCATGAAACTTTGAAAGCAAAGGATAAGGAAGGAAAGTACGACCATCGGTCAACCTACCTGATTACTGTTCATCTCGAACTTGCGCACCACCTTGATGGCCACTTCGTTGAGCTGCCCTGTCGAATCCTTGGCGCGATAGACATTGCTGAAGGCGCCGTCGCCCATCTTCTCCACCAGGATCCAGCGTTCCAAACCGGGATATTTGGGCATCTTGGACCGATTCATTTTCTCTTCAGCCACCAAGCGTTCAATTTCGACGGACTGATCGCGCCGGGAGTGCTCTGTCTTCGGGGCGGCAGCCTGGCCATGCCGATCGCCGGTATCAAAGGCTTCGAGGGCGGGAGAGAATTGGCCTACAGGCTGCGGTTGCTGCTCCGCGTGAATCGTTGAGACGTCAGTAGTGGGTTCGGCGTGGGGAGTCACTAGGCGTGCTTGTTTGCCGTGTCGAATGAAATTCTTGATGTTCTGTATCGTACTCATGGCGGGCGAGTCTGAGAGAGGGGAGGGGGTAGGAGAGGAAGAGAGGGAGGTAGGGAGAGACTGAGACTTTGAGAGCTCCGTGATGCCGGTTCGAAGGGAAAAAAGAGTTGGAAAGTTGGAGAGGAAGTGGAGGGGGGAGTGGAGTTGGTAAGTTAGGTTAGGCAGTAAGACGTTATTTCTAACCCCGCTAAGAAAATCGAGCGAGAATATAAGGTGAAAAAAAGAAGAAAAACCGTGGACGATGCCCAAAAGACAGGGGGAAATAAGAAACCCGAATATGAGGTCAGTCTAGCCCAGGAGATAACCTGGTAATTCGTATTGGTAAGTTGGAGGGGAAAGGGAAGGAAAAAGCCTATGACGACGTGGGATCCGCGCTCGATGTCATCGGTTTACTTGCGGGATGGCCACGGCCATGACGACAAGGGCCGCCACCAAGAGCCCGTCACGGTGGGGGATCCAGGTTAAAAAGGGGCTTAGAGCTTCAAATTTCCAGTATTCCCATAGTGATATTGATTAATGAACTCTAACGAGGAGCGAGCGTCCACGTCTTGTCCTCCCTCGAGGGCAATTTCACTACGCAATTGGCTCTGTTTTCAAGTGTTCTGTACCTATGACCCCCCTTAGACGGAGTCTCTCTCACGTACATATCCTCGCCAATTTCCCAGCAGATTCGGAGTCACACAAGGCCCGGGTCCGTGAGTCTAGTGTTTGCCGGGATGATATCAAGGCCATACCTTGTGTGGAGTTCGGATATCGTCATCTTCGCCACATGCTTCCCCGTCCGGCTGCGTGAGCTTCCCAGATCCGATTTGCACGGCTCGCCGGACTGTGAGGGCAATCTAAGACGTATCAGCACTGGAATGTGACGGGGAGGTGGCTGATTTGATTGTTAGCTGCATCAAGGGCCAAACATGAGCCAGACATGCCTCTGGAGATGCAAGGACGGAAATAAAGATGAGACACTGAGTCAGCAGAATTAAAAGGATCCAGGGACGCGAATGTGGAGAGATCTCCTACTCGGGCAGTCTGTATACTCCGTAGCTTGTAGATGTGATCTAGGTGGAAGGGTAGACGAGTGGATGTCTAGACGCGTAGAACAATTGAAAGTGCCAGATCGGACGCAGGGGCCAAGAGGGGGCCACCATTCCGGCCATTGTGCACTTGTGCACTTGAAACGCTTGCGCCGCTCTTTGTCACGATCCTATAGGTACTTTTCTCTCCTTCCCCTGCATTTTGCAGATTGCAGTCTGCGTGTTCTACGTGTTCTACGTGTTCTGCGTGTTCTGCGTGTTGCTCGCCTGTGTTAACTAAAAGTTGACTCCCCCACCAGCCACGCCCTTACGCCTCTGACAGGCCGCCTCACTAGTCTTTTGCTCTGCACCTCGGTGACTCGGCCTCGACATCCCCTTGCATCCCGGAGATCCTACGATCTTCTTGACACCTTATCTATCCTTTGAGAACACGTCCTTCCGCCATGCGACCCATGCGACCCTCAACCATCGCCATCTAATACCAGTCTTGTCATGAAAAATTCTATCATTCCTTAGTCGCATCCGTTCCAGTATTGCGCTGGACAAGTCCATCACGATCTGGTACCTGTCATCATGCCCAGAGGGGAAATGATGGACGCATCGGTGGATGCAACAGGGCGACCGCTCTTGAGGTCCCACAAGGCACTGCCGCGGAGGGGCATCGCAGTCCCCAGCGTGGACGTTGCCCAACCGGCCTCACCGGATCATAATGGTACTGTCACTGCGGCGCCCGTCCCTCCATTGACTCCGCCCGGTGCGAACCAGGAAGAAGGCATGGAGGACGACCGCACACCGCGCAAGGCCGACTCTATCTCCGAGAGCCATACTGCAGGCATGTTGACACCTCGACGGCCCTCGAAACCTCCAACGCCCGATGTTACACCACCTCGCACGAATTCTGCTAAGCGACCGACCCTCAACAACTTCGTACATCTGTCCTCCTCGTCTCGCGCCGAGTCTTTTCAAACCGCTTGCGAGAGTATCTCCTCCGATGGCGATAGAGAAACGCCGGGCCGTTCATCCTCGATCGCATCAAAGAAGATTAGACCAAGGGTGACCTCGTCCAGGCGAACTGTGTCGAATGGGATCCGTGCGAAACTTACATATGCGAAAGATTCGCCGCAGATATCCCAACCACACAGCGAAACAGAATATGAAACCGGTTTCGAATCGTTCGACGGAGAATGGATGTCCCCCAAGGGCGATGGGTCTCCGACACCACTGGTTGGAAAACGGAAAGGCTCCCAGACGCGTAATCGATCTGATCAGAAACAGGCAGCCGATAGTGACTCGCTGGACGTGCAACATGTGGATGCCTCGTTGATGCGTGAAAAGACTCTACGGGACCGCGTTCATAATACTCAAGATCTGACAACCACACCATCAATGGAGCGGTTTCGGGAAGATATCGGATGGCCATCCTCCTACGAGGCTCCTTCAGGGGTGGATGACGACCCTGACTCTCGTCGATTGTCAGGCCTGTCTTCGACCTCCACCGTCGAAGCCATGATCATCGACTCTCCCAAACAAGCCCAGCGATTTTTGCGACACACGGAGAAGAGAAAGTCCTTGCGCTCGGCGAGCTCTCCCATCACAAAGTCTGAGCGCACGTCTACCACCTCCCATGCCGATTCGCAGCATCGTCTAGTCCACAAGGCTGCTCGTATCTCGGAAAGTGATCGCCGCAGCATCTCATCAGATGTCTCTTTCTCGGTCAAGACAGCCAGTACCGCACCTCCACCATTCGTGGATAGAATTCCCGTCGTGGTTGTACCAGAAAGGAAATCATCCTTGAAATCAGGACCCAACAGCCAAGTTTCTTCCAGACAGAATTCTCAGAGGTCTAATCAACGACCTCCGGTGACTCCAAGGAGCCCTGCAGATGCCCGACGACAAAGGCAGCGAACCATGTCTGACTCTGTGCCTGCAAGTCCCCGAGACTCGAGCTCGAGGAGCCGCCCTCTAGCACGTCCCGTTATCCCACCTCGCAGCTCGTCGCTATCTGCACAAACGAGCCGGACCAACTCCCGCACCACGTCCCTTACGTCCGAAAGTCTGCGAAGCCACACTCTGGCCATGGATCTTGACTTGCAGAAGCGTCGTGACCAACAGCCTGTCTCACCTCCCCGCCACAATATTTTGGGTATTCACCCCCCAGGACTCGTGGAGCCTCCCAAATTGCCGGGTTTGGTCGTTACCTCCTCGGAGGATGCTGCGACTTTGCGGCCTCCGTCTTTGCCCTACACCCAGTGGTCAATACCGTCGTCTTCACCCGGGCCCGTGGAGATTCATGAGGCCAAGGCTGTCAGCTTGTTCCCGCACAACAATCGATCCCTCCTTTTGGTTGACCAGCGAGTGCCGGGTGAACCGCAACCTGTTCGAGCATTCCATTATGGGATCTCAGATCATGAAGTGCTCCCGCAAACACCAGATGCGCCGATTGGAACAGCACTCATGCAGGTGCATTCTCCGTTGAAGAATCCCCGTCCTCCTCCCAAGCCTCCCATCGGCAAATCCCTTCCACCGATTCCAACACAGGAAGAAAACACGGATGCTCGCCAAAATGACGACGAGCGAGTGCCCGGTCGTTGGGGTTCCGTTCGTCGAACCTGGGCTGCGCGACCCCGATCGAATTCCTTCAACACTGTTGTACGGTCCCTTTCAGTGCGATCAGCGAAGAATAGGACAGCTGGAGTGGACATGGATAGTCGTCTTCATCCATTTTGGCGCCCGCGCGGGTTCTGGGAAGATGGGCGCGGGTCTCCCATCAAAGACCGATCAGGTCGCCAAAGCCCCTTGAAACAGGAAAGTTCAATGGTAGTCAAGAATTCACTTGGTCTACCCCAGCACCGGGTCATCATCGAAGGACCGGCTGCTCTTGCACGACGCAGTCCCGAAATGAGACGACTCTTTAATGCCAGCCACGCCAGCCTGGCCCGTACAGGCTCTCCGCTGTACCCAACCCGCTACCGAGCGCTTTCCCGATGGGGACGTCATCTTCGATCAATCTCATTGCGCAGCACGCGAGCCCGTCTGCGACGCATGCGCCAACGACGCGATGAGAGAAAACTAGCCGCACGCCGCGAGAATCTCAAGCAGAGCATCGGCTTCCCAGTCTATGTGGCGTCCAGCGCCACCAATGGGGTTGTGCGGTGATACTACTTGTCATGCCACGTTATGCCCAATATCCTTGACTGGACATGTTCCACATGACCAGATACCTTTTACGATGCATCCGGGAGTATTGCAATACTTTTTGCTTTTTGCCTTGCTAATTTCCTGATTTTTCTTCTTCCTATTTTTCATGGGGTTGTCTTTCCGATACATCTACGATACTTATGAAGCACAATGATGACTCGACGATTTATGTTAAACGCCTTTTCCGGAGGCCTGAGATGTACCATAAACATGAGTTCTAACGCGTTGGACACTTTGCATTTGCTTCTTTAGAACTTGGGATGTTCCGAATATATTTTTCCGATTAAGACATGCTATATACATGTGCTTTATCCCGCAGCCCGGATTAAACGCCAAGTAGTCCATTCGTAGTCTCGTATATGCATCATGTATGCAAAGATTTAATATGTTCTCCTTCCTCCCCTCCCTCCTGCTCTCCCACGGGGAACACTCGATCTGCCCCTGATAGCCATGGTCCCGTACTCGGCCTCTCGCTCAAGCCTCCGCCGCCGCTGCTCAGCTGACTCACTTTCAATCTGTACGCCTCCGTGACCGGTGCCCTCATTCTGCCTCGACACGGCCTGTTCCTTTCGCTTCAGCATCGCCTCCCACGCAGGAGGATCGACGAAGGGCTGTGGGGGAACCGCAAAGGCAAATTCTGTGCACTTGTACTTCTTTTCGTATTCATCTTCCTCTTCGATCCCTGAGGCGTCTGCGGCGTCTTGAGCGGGTTGTCTCATGCGTGTCTCAGCCGGGTCCGCGCTCGGATTTAGCACTTTGGCCACTGGTTTGCGGCTGGACCCTGTCCTCGGAGGTAGCAGTGCGCGTTTTTCTGGGATTATGAGTGGCCGGGAAGGCATTGTGAATATGCAATGAGGCATAATGAAGGAAGGAGAGATGCCGGCGCTTGGTGTCTTGACGTCTTATCGCTTATCGCTTATCAGGCCCACTTGACCCATCCACGTAGTAACTGACTAGCGGGTTAGAATTTTAGAATAGTAGAATTGGAGAATTTGAGAACTCGAGAAACGGAGAACTGGAGAAATGTTGAATTACATTATATTACCCCCAGTTTGTGACTAGCTTATCTCCCTTCTCAGGCGCGGGACATTTTTACTTCTGTCGCAGGCGAATCTTCAACCCGAAATTAGGTACATAAAACTCCTCGAAAGAGAGCGACCCCGTTAAAGGCCCCACCGAACCAGGCAGGACATCAAAATGCAGCAATATATGAGCAAAGACAAGTTTCATGAGCGCACTCGCCATCCATCGACCCGGACTATGCAAACAAAGCGAGTCAGCCGATGATCACCTAGTCGAAATTAAAAGGATCGAGAGGATGAAAAAGAAGCAAAAAGTGTCCAATCAGTCTCGAACTCTACCTACCAGGCATGCACGCCCATACCGAAGACGAGATAATCGGGGCTCAGATCAACAAGCCGCGTGTTTGAAGCGCCCACCCCAGCGCGCTTTGCGAATCGGAAGCCATCGAAAGCCTCAGGGTGTTCATAGCTGGAACTAGAGCGCTGGATCCACCCGGTTGGGACCCCGACGTGGGTTCCCGGTTTAAGCACAATGCCTGTCCCAACCTGTCAGCTGAAATCCTATCTTGCGGTGTGGATATGACTCGAGGCTACCGTTGGAAAGCTTCAGCTCAGAAATGCAGACTCGGTGAGCGGAGACTGCTACTAGTCAGCCATTGCATAGACCCAGGATACTGGCCAGATGGACATACCGGCTGCAGGGGGGCGCAGACGCTGACACTCTTTTAGGAAAGAGTCTAGCAGGATCATTTGATCACAGCCGGCCACGGTGGTTCCCCATTCGGCGAGGACGCTTTCAACTTCTTCGCGGAGAGGCTGGATATACTGTGGACGCTGCGCTAGCTCGGCCAGCGCGCTGTAGAGTCCCTGCTTATATGTGAGCTGTGCTTTTCCTGTTCCGTGGGCTTGAGTATGTACGTAAGCGGTTGTGTAGACGAATGCGAATTGGAGGAGCAGCATTTCTCCAATTACTTCGGAATAGGTCCATCGTTGGCGGAGGATCGAGCTTTTGTAGAGCCAGCGGAAGATCTCAACCTGGGGGTTGTCAGTTTGGAGAGTTCATAGCGGTTGCTCCAATATGGAAAAAAAAAAGCAAAATGTACCGGCTTGTCCACCTGTTCGGGATTGGCCTTGATCATATTGTCGCCACTGTTCATTTCATTGCGGTATTCTGCTGCCCGTGCGTCGAAATGCTTAAGCAGGATTTTGCGTGAGGCATGCATGTTCCATCGAGTGCCCAGAGAAATCAATTGACTGACAAAGCCGCCAATGTATCTATTCAAGGTTATCAATGAGTGGGAGTTGGTAACGGAGGAGTATATGGTCTAGTATACCTCTTGAGACAATCTGGGATCAGGAACTGAACGCGGGTAGTCACGATCATCCCCAGGATATGATCTTTGACAGCCTTGAGATATTCTTCGTCTTGCGAGAGTCGCGAGCCAACCATGGCGAAGCTTCCACTACGGGCAACCACCGAGTATGCAAAGTCGAAGCAGTTGACGATGCATTCTGCCACTTGTCAATGTCATATCGATATGAGCCAGATGAATTGACTTACCGCCGTCCGTGAACTCAAGGGTGCGCAGCTGAGAAAGAATAGCATCGTTCATTGAAGGCTCATACTGATCCAGTTGCTTGTACACTGTCCCGCGAATAAGGCCCGGTGTTGTTTTAGCAATGGCAGGCCAGCCTCCTCCTTTGGGGAAATACCCTGGCATCACATGGGATATCTGCAGTAACTATTGACCTGGTCAGTTCACCCTTGACAGTTGAGTCAGAGGCGTAATCACCTGGTCAATCCATGGCTCGGGAGAGGCAATCACACTCCCGGTGTTCTTTAGCTCCTCGATCAGCTCTGGCTTGCAGAGAATGATCTGTCCGAAGCGGAAGGTGCGTGGAATCTCAAATAAACTATCGGAGAACCGGGAATATCCCTTCTTGATCAGCTCGGGACCATCAACCACGAATTGGTACTGCTGGTACAGGATAGAGGGCAGGCTGCTCCCTGTTGCAAATGGAACGCGGTTCTATAAGTTCGTGTTAGCAATGGTGTTGTCTCGGCTTTATCTTTTCAACCCGATCAGAGAAAGGTGAACCAACATTAGCAAGGTGCTTTGATGTAACAACCAAAGCCAATGCAGTCACCAGAGCAATTAGCAGAGACACGGCAAGATATATTGCAATCGATCCCAATCGGAAGTCGACGCCGAGGCCGTTAGGCCAATAGATAGGCATCGAGATTATCCCGTTCATCGTAATCCGGGCACGATGAGTAGACAAAGGAGAAGGAATGAAGGGAATTGAGGTCACAATAATGGATCATACGCGTATATGCACGTTCTAAGGTTGAAAAGGACGTCTGATGGGCAGTTTGGAGAAGAAAGAAAGCTATTATACGGCGGGGCCGTATCGAGTCACAGTGCCCAAGGTACACTCAGTGATCACTGCCGACTACTCGCAGCCGAAAGTAGTGAAATCAAACACCACGTGTGGCAGTCTGCACGACATTAATATGTGATGTCGAGTGCAGTGGCTGGGATGCCCAATCCTGGTAGTACATGCGGCTACATGGTCGATCGGACAAGTAATGAAATAGAATGACAAGGCCGTGTTGGACCACGGCTTGAGGAATTCTGAAATTCGTACAAGGAAACTCGTCAGAAAAAATAAAAACAAAGCTAGACCGGATAGAACATTTCCCCCAGAAAGGTATCAGCGATTGGAAGTCGCGTGGTATAATCGTACAAGCATATTAACGCCCGAGAATAAAGAATAACGCCTGGGAATCGAGAACACTGGGTCGCCTATGTAATCTGTGTCTCCATCCCGCCCATGGTTGAATAGGAATATGGCAAGTCGACTAGGCCGTCGAGGAGCCAGTTGAGTGGATCGAACACTTCGTAGTTGGGCTCAATGAATCCACTAGGGAGCCCGCCGGCTCCATTGCTTGCTGCTCCAACACCGAGGTTTGGAAGTATCGGAGCTGGCGCCAGACTTGGATCGCCACCAGCAATACCGGGGGTGGATGATGTTGTATGCGGGGGGCCCACAGATGAGGCAGCAGATGAGTCGGCCGCTGAGTCGGGATTGGTCGGGTTCTTGAGGTAGGCTAAACGGAGTTAGTATGACTAACAAAACAATCTTGTGTAGGTTGGACTGACCTTCAATGTTTCGTCCCTTCGTTCGTGCGTCCTCTCGCCACCGCCAGACAGAGTCGAAGAGAAGAGACATACTCATGCGACAACGAACCTTGAGTCTCAGCGAGTCGTCCACATCGGAATTGCTTGTGGCTGACCGCTGCGAGGTAACTCCCAGTCTCCACATCTGAGCCAATACCTCAGCCAGGCGCTCGGGCAGGTCATTGTTTGAGACGGATACCCCACGAATGGCCCAGATGGTCCGATTGAACAAAGTTTTGGTATATTCCATGTCGATATGGTTGCTGAAGAAGCTCTTGCTCAGTTTGAGAAGAGTGCAGCCCGCCGCAACCATCATCTGGTAGACATAGTAGGGCGTGTACGAGAGGACGGGTCCGATTTCAGTTTCCAGGTTCATTGTGACCTCGAGGAATGATGTAGTCGCCACATAGAGAGACAGAAGACGCCCGCGGTAGTCTTTGGCCGAAGGATCATCAAAGAATGCTGACAGATGTAAGTGAAGGTTGGCAGCACGGAGGTATAAATCGGTGATGCCTGAACCTCCTGTTAGTACCAAGAAAAGACGGGAAAGAGAGATGTGGTCTTACAGTCATTTTGTGATTTGAACTGCTCTTCAAGGTCGTCAAAGTCTCGCGAAAGGAATGAAATCATTGTCAATCTTTCTTGATCATTGCTCAACCCTACAGGGTCCCGTCGGTTTGAGTAGAGTGCTCTGGTAATCTTGTCGCAAAACTTTTCAATCTCTAACCGGGGTTTGATGTCTCCAGGTAGCTTGAAGTTCTTATCCAATGACTCCCCAGACAGTGTCCAGTCATAGAGGCTAGAGGGTGGCTGGCCATAACCAGTGGAAACCCTAGAGATTGTCAGAAAAGCTCTTCTCACGTAGAGGATGATAGCGTACCGTTGCGCAACAATATTGCAAATGGCCCAGGTTCGCACTTTGTCCCTCAGTTCTTCCTCGATGAGCTCCACGCGGAACTTGCTAAAGTCCTGGCTATGAGAAGGTCGATGAAGACCAAGCTGCATAGCAACTTGCACCATCATTCCGCAGAGCATAAATGTTGGGTCGGTGGATGTACTGCTAGTAGGGAATGGCCAAGAACACAGCAGACAGAGCGCTTTCACAACATGGTAGCTTTGGGGAATATCGGCTAGTGTGCTCCAGACGAGGCGAGTGACAGGTCCCGCCAGCGAGTTGAGTAAACCTGTGTCACTCTGGTAGCGCCTAGCGCCAACACTAATGACGGTCCAGAAAAGTAAGGGCGAAGTGTTATAATAATCGTCCGCGGATTGCTGACGATCGAGGAATGGGAGGAATGGGTGATAATATGTAAAGAACCTGTCAAGAGAAGTTAGATTGATTGCCCGAGGTTGCGAAAGATCCTTGCACAAGTTGGAGTCTTACAGGTTGAACAACTCCGTGGCTTTCTCTGGTACGACCATGACATCTTCAATGCGCTTGATCTGGGTACCACCGTTTCTCATATAGTTGGAGCTGTCAAATCCCGAACGAAGGTCCAGGAGGGATGCAACTGCTTCCTGGGAGCCCATGTATTGGTCTGTAGACAGAGCGGATGGGGTCTGGGTCTGGTAAACGCCCGCGGGGCTAACCTGACTAGACTCTTGCTTGGGTGTCAACTGCCCCGAAGAAATGTGCTGTTGCTGCTGGTTTATTGCGGGAACGGGGCTGCCCGTGGCGATCTGCTTCCTCAATTCGATAATCTCTCGCTCCATCTCCGCATTGCGGCTGCGCTTCCCAACCCGCTTGAAATTAGACTCGATCTTGCAATCAAGTTTTAGTCGCCGACACCGGGAACAATCAGACCAAGGGTCCTGAGTCACATCGCATCGAAGCTGCAAGGAGGTTGAGTTAGCATGAGCGTTGGTCAGGGCATCGCCGCTAGCATCGCCACTTGCGGAATGCATGCCACGCGAGGCGGCACTTACCTTCTGCTGCCGACATTCATTGCAAGCACGCTTGACAGGCTGCCTTCTCTTATCATCGCGCGAGTCATTGTCGTCCATATCCTCTATACTTCCCGGAGAGCTGTCCATGCCCGCAATGGTCACATTGCGTTTGCGACCCTGCACGTCGGAAGCGGACATGGCGACAGATGCATGATTAATCCCCGCCATTACGGGACCTATGACGACTGGCGCATTATCGTCCTTCGCTTTTGGTACTAGAGTTGGAGACTGAGACGCTCCAATGCCGTTTGATTGTCCGAGAGATGCCAGGCTGATGACGTTGATGCGGGCGGAAAGTTGATCCCGGGACTGAAAATTTTAACAGTGGGGAGGGAATGCTCCGGCTGCAGGCTAGTAGACGCTCGGGCGCAATAGACGCTATCTTGCCAGGCAAATCAATCCGATTGTGCTCCGCAAGTTAAGTTCGCAGAGCTAGGTTCCCAAAAGGTATTCCGTTGCGCCGGTGAGTCAGCTGGCCCCCGCACCAGGTTCGACACGTGACTGTCCGGCTGTCAAAGTTTTACTATGTGCACACCACTCTCCCACCAGATAAGTCCAATTTCTTGGTGCCCTGTGGGGTTTCTCTATCAACACTCTCTCGGGTGAGCCGGCGCTAATGCGGCCACCGGACTTTTTCTCTTGCTCCCCGGCAGACTTTTTGTCCTACCGATTCCCGTGGGCTTTGTTCTCGATTTTATGGATAAAACAGCATCTTTAGGGATTGATGAATCTTATTTAAATCTATTTAAATTTCACACTCCCGATTTCTAGTCTGTCGGGAGTCGCTGCAGTAGCTCATGCATCGTGCTTCTGTTCCATCGTGACGATCCACAACGGACGGGGTAACTCCAATCCATTAGTGGAAGATCAATGAGCTCATCGAAGTCGAGACCTGTTCCAAGGTTCTCGCTCAAAATTCCCAGCCGTGTGGGGCGTATAGCTGCCGGTACCTTCTTATCGTTTTACTCCAGGTCTAAAGCATATGGAACATCATGTACTGTATGATATTCATATGCACACGTGGATACGACGATGGGTGCTGTTGAGAATAGTACTGGGTGTACAGCCACCATGCCAGAAAGTGGCAATAGACCCGTCTCTACGCATCCGGGCTGACACAGACTGGCATAGTCGATAACATAGTCGATAACATGGTCGATAACCGCGGGAGATCTTTCAGATTCCATATGTCAAGTGAAAACTAATATGTAGGTGAAAACTAGACTCTGTCCTGAAGAGTGCCGAGCAACCAACCCAGTGTACAAAACTCTTCATGCGCTACCGCGCAGAACCACCTTGAAACCAAACCCTTCCTGCGCCAGAGAGGTCATGTCTCCGAAACGACCTGCTAGGCCTGGTTTTACACGAAATAAGCTCACATCTTGAAACCCGCGGATATGCGAAATATCGCCATTGATCCAGAGCTATTTTGGCCTTCACATAGTACATAAAAGCCATATCGGCCGAAGCTCCCCATGCTCATTTATATATATATATTTTGATACCGACTACAACGGTCTTACCATCCCGGTGATAGAATCGTCCAAATTGAGTTGTTTTTATCAAATCTATTTTTCGAACGACTCAAAATACTAACGGACAGATAAACCATCGCCGCATGGTTAGACTCGTGTAAATATTCCTCTTGGTCGGCCTGTAGTAGAACAAGATGCATGTGTGCTCTATTTTGCATAGTAGCGAAAGCTAGGAAAACACCCTTGATGATGTCACGGTTACCAGTAACCAATGAATGATAAGGAATGATCAGAAAGTACTTACATTGGATGCTTTGGGGGCGAGGCTATACATCGAGGCAGTGCTCGGGGACTTTGCGCCCGACTCGAATTAGTAATTCCCACCCGCACTCAGACCCATGGATCTTGCCCAGTCATGGGGAATTACTTTGGTCATTTAACTGGTTTCGGAAAATGGAGAAAGAACATCATTCTGGAAGCTTGATCCACGCGCAAGGCTTAGCTAGGCGCACAGCATGTTTCCACTCTGGTTCATCCAAGGCAGCCAAGCTCGCTATTCAGTGCTTATTATTGGTGTATCCGCGCCCGCCAGGGCACTCAACTCCATCCAGGGTCTCGTTTAGATCTGCTGATCCTACAGGACCGTGGTTGGCCCCCATTTCTGACCACATCAGCGCTTTCTTTATCGGCGTCAGATATAAAGTGGCCGGGGTGGCCCAAGATCATCTAGCTTCGTCAACTCCGACTACCCCTCAATCCCGAAACACATCCTACTTTATTTTGGCTGTCATCAAATGCAACTATGGGTGTTTTCACGAGCGAAAAGTCCAAAGAGGCCTTCAGCAATATTGATGGCGCTGTAGAGAACGAGAAATCTACAGAGAAAACTACCGAGCGGCCGCCTTCGTATAACCAGGCTGATGAGCTCGCGCTTGCTGTGCCTCAGCTAAACCTCGGAGGAACCGGTACCACCAACGACCCTGTCTCTGCCGATCAGTGTGTCGCGCACCTGAAGCTCCTGGCCGTCTTGGCAGATTTGCGTGATTCTATCTCAAATAACGATGGCCTGTTTGGTCTCTTCGATTCTGAGGCTGAGCGCTTCCCCGCCTCATCAAATGAGGCAAACGTTCGTATTCGCGAGAAGCGTTGGGCTGTGTATACAGCGCGCGCAGTGGAACGGTATAACAAGTGGTGGTTTGACTGCTTGCCCCTCTCGCGCCCCCTATTACTATCAAGGACCTGGAGAGTCCCGAATATGAGACCATTGTCGATTCCCCCACGCAGGTCGTGTGGTCTCCGGATAATATGCCCCCGATTGGTAAGTCGAATGCTCTGTCGGATGATATCACAGCTAATTGAATTATAGATATTTTGATGGTATGGCATTCTCACATGCTCAACCCGCGAGATTTTCTCGAAGATTGCATCCGATATGGCAGGATGAGCACCTGGAGGACCGGATTTCCTTTCGAGGTAATGAATAACTGCATCGACGACCGAACGCTGGAGTACAAGACCCCGGAATCAAGTCAGCAAACTTTCGAAAATAAAGTCAATCTGAAGTGGGACAATCTTCTCGATCCGCCCGGCAAGGAACTTGAATGTCCTCGCTGTAAAAAGCCCAAGACCGTGCTTTGGACAGAAGGGGGGATTGGGGAATCACTCCAAGAAGCCTTCAAGGAGAATACCGGCTACGCCGATGCCTCGTTTGAAGCGAAGTGCCAACACTGCCAACTTCTCATCAACCACGAACGACTCAAGGTGGCCAAGTTCTATCAAGATACATTCGATCTCGTGCAATTGAATCAACCTATGCCGGGATCGATTTACAATCTCGATGGCATTCCGGAAGGTCCGAGAAATTTTCGGATCCCGCTATCCTGGACCAACATGATCTTCCCAAGTCGACTGCTCAAATGCATTGATCGGGATATGCTTGCATTCACAGACCCCCGTCTAGATCGGTGCAAGAGCATCGACGACCTCCGTTCTCACATGGAGGTCAGGCTTCGCGATAGAAAGGTTCTCCTAGCAATAAACGGTCGAGGCCGAAGCCTTCTTAAAGGCGAAAGAATACACTTCCGACGTATGATGGCCCACTACTGGGACAACAGCAGTCCCTTCGCCCTCGACCTAGTCGGCGCCGTGATTCGTCAAGGAACCTTCGTCCAGAAGATGGATAACATCGACTGGTTGCACTCACCAACCGTCATGGAGACCAGTGAACGCCTCATCAAAAAGTACAAGGTCTTCATGGATATCATGCTTCAGAACCCATCGAAGATGGCCGTCCCAACCCTGGACGTTGACCTCGCCTGGCACACCCACCAACTCCAGCCACGACACTACTACAACTACTCCACCATGGCAACATACCACGGCCACCGCCAGTTCATCGACCACGATGACAAAGTCGACGAGAACAAGCTTTCGGATGGATTCGAATGGACTAGTAAGATGTACCGCCGTGCCACTGACGGCGGTATCTACAGCGAATGCACATGCTGGTATTGCGAAGCCACACGCGCACCAGATATTTACGACCGTCTGTTCAGCATCGGCTCTTCATCGCGCGCACGCAATAATGCAGACTCCCTACACGACCGCCCCGATATCTCCTCCGATCCGGAACGAAACCCGCATATCTCAGCTCACAACGCCGTTCGTCCGACTACCCGGGCCACTGAAGATCCCCGCGTGGGCCATCTCCAGAGAATCCGTCTTCATCAGAACTATGAAAAGGCCGCTCGCCGCGCTGAGAAGCGCGGCCGGACACGCAGTGATGCTAAGTCCTCCAAGGATGGCGGGTATGAGCCGATGTACTATGCGCCGTATGCCTGGGGATACCCTATGATTGTCCCGTATTACGGCCCATACATGTGTGATCCGGGCATCAGTGGTGGGTCTTATGCTTGCAATCCGGCATGTATGAATGTTAGTGCTGGCGGTGTTGGGAACTGCTGCTCTGGGACTTGTGGTGGGGGTGTTGCTGCTGGCTCGTGTGGTGGTATGGGGTCTGCTGCCTGTGCTGGTGGAACAGGTGCGTCTCGGGATAATTTCATATCATTTATTCCTGAAGGGCCATCACTGACTTTTTATAGGTGGAGGATGCGGCGGAGGCGGCGGCGGAGGAGGGTGTGGAGGTGGAGGTGGCGGAGGAGGATGTGGCGGTGGCGGCGGAGGTGGTGGTGGATGCGGTGGTAAGTCTACTTCCTCGACTTCCTCACAATTGGTACTGACTGTTTCTCCTAGGTGGTGGTGGTTGCTGATCTTCCAGAGGAATGAGACTTATATACCTCAGTTGCTGTCGTGACTTGAACCTTGTTTTACTATCTTAGCGCTTGTTTGCTGCTGCTGGGTATTGATACCATTTTGCTTACTGTCTTGCTGTTTTAGCCTTTCTACATAGACTTTGTCTTATCCTATCAATTCATGTTTACATTGAAACCTGAAAAGTCGCCGTATCTAGTTACTGAATCGGGGTAATTGGGGGGTGGAAAGGGAAGGAGAAGAGGCAACTAATGCCAAGAATTTCTCTGAGCATATGTCATCACGGGCCAACAGCTGTGAAGCCATCAAGCCTCAAGACGTTGGGGACTCATACCGCTCTCACATTACTGAGCGCACCCAAACCCACAATGCCCACATGCCCACAGATCCCACGGTCCCGATCTACGGCTTACGCATATCCGACCTTGCTACGTCCTAGGAATCCATGATCGGGGAGTCAGGCTATACGGCTGGAGTAAAGAGGAAGAAAAGAAAGAGAAAGGAGGAGAGAGCGGTTCTTACAAGGGAGAGGGGCCGCGGGAGCACGCCCTTATCCTGAAAATTCCATCGGGATATTATGCTGCCTAGGTTGAGCAAACTTCCACTCTTTAGGATCTGTGACTAAGACTATTCCTTCTAGCTATCTAGCTTACGCCGCGAGGCTCTCTAGATTGCATCCAGATCGCATATGTAGGATCAAGCACGACGACACCAGATAAAGTAGATCACTTTCACTAAGGACATTTCCTCATAGATGAATTTATCGATATGGATGGTTCAAGGAATCTAATTTGAACGAGGGTATATATGCCCGATGGCAATGCGTGCGAACGCTACATGACAATGCATTTGCTTCTTCGTCTCCGACTTCGTTCCTGAATGGTACGTTCATTCCAATCCTCAATGCGCCTCCGCCATTCCTCATTCTCTGACGGTGGTAAGCTGGTTGGCTCCGTCGAGACCCGCCGACGGAAAGACCTTTGCCTTGCGGGGATGTCGTCGTCATTATCGGCAACATCCAAGGCGTTACCGTATGGCTCGGGGATGTGCAGGAGATTTGGGGATGAGACTGAGTAGGGTAGATAGGCTTCGCCAAGCATCGTTGCTCCCAGGGATGGCATTGCCATTATGGAATTCTGGGCCCGATCTTCAGCTGGATAGACGGCAAGGGTGGGTAAGGGTTGGAGTTGTGTGTTGTGGCCTGTGGCGAAGGGGACAATTGGGGTTGTTGCTGTGTGTGGACGTTGAGGCGGTTGATTCACTAGGGCGGATCCATTCACAGCGGCAGCGCACTGGGGAAGATGAGGAACTGGGGGCGCATTCGTTCCCAGGAAATTGACTAGTTCTTGGTTTGGGTCCTCAGGGGAGGTTGTGGAGCCCCTTCTATTTCTCCCAGCGAGCCTGGCGCCAGTAATGGTGCCCAGTCTTTGAAGAATGGCTGATTGAGGCCGCGGGCGGTCTTGGGGATCTGGTCTTGCTACAGTGATTTGCGCCCTTTGGATTGGTATAAAAGCTGTGGCATCCCCGGGTGTTTGAGGAGCTCCAGACACCCCAGGAAGAAGTGTCTGCTGCAGGTGCTCTGGCAATGGTGCGTCCGGGTCCTTTGAGTAAGGCGGCGGTGGCGGTACCCAGTTGTCTGCATCGCTTTCATGGGGTATTTGACGGCGACTAGGAGTGTTGCGATATCGAGAGTCGTAGCGCCCCCGTGTTGATGCTGTAGCGGTGGCAGCACGATGGAGCGTCTCTTGGGAACGAGGCTGCATATTGTCATATGGAATATCAACAACGTCACTGCTTGTCGGCTCTCCGGGAATGGGAGCCACAAGGCTATTGCGACGACGGATTGGGATCTGCGCTTGGCTCGTAGACCGCTGGGCTCCTCTAAAAGGAGGCATTGATGGCCGATGGACAAGCGACGAATCGGTATCAGGACGGCGCAAGCGAGTTCGCCTTCTCTCCAGCTCGACCTCTGTGTCTAAGGAAGAATCCGGTTCTGTGAGTATTTTTGCTGCTGTCTCGCCAACCTCAATATCGAGTTCGAGGTCCTCGCCATGATTAGTCCATCTTTCAAAGTCTAGGAGTAAAAGCCTTCCGCCATCGACAGGGACATCTTCGTCGCCAAAGGCTTGTGGACGGACGCCACCAGGCGCCACGGCAACAAGTCTCCGCCTTGCGTTGGGTGATTGGAGTGGCCTAACCCAACGAATAGAGGTGATTCCATGCATTTCAGTGACTCGGCGCCCACGAACGAGAACTTTGGGTTGCTGGACAATTTTATCGAGCTGGGCCAGATTATCTCGAGGTGCGGTTTGCCCTTCATAATGGTGATTGCCGCCAATTCGAGTGCCACTTATTGTTTGTGATCCGGGATTAAGGCTTGTCTGACTTGCGTCCAGAAGCCCTGGAACCCCGTATACCCAAATTTTTGAATCCTGGAACCCGAATGCAACAAGTTCTCCAGTTTCATCGGTAGTGGGAAGCATGGTGGGCAACAATTCGCGTGTCTCTTCTGGCAGAAACGGGCTAGCGAAATACACGCAGCCCGACTTGGTATTGTTGATTCTGATAGCTCTGAATGCCGCAAGCTGAATGTCATACCCTATGATCCAGTTATCGTCCGCTTCATCATGGTTTTCGATTAAGCAAGCGTGCGTGAATCCTTGGGCTATTTCGGGAAATAGGATTTGTGTTGTCCACATACGCCTCTGGACTTCTCGTGGCGAAGCGTCAGTCCCAGATTCTGTGTAAAACGGGGCTGTAATGGCGACTGTGCCATCCTCTGCATAATCAAGAGGTGACCCGAGCAGCATGGACCCATCTGACGAGAAAGAGAGTGCATCGACACGTGGGCAACGTGCTGCTCGACGTTCTGTTGACAGGGTCTCCTCTCCGATAGCATGAACTTCAATAGAGTCCTCAAAAGATAAAGCTAGCACACCCCCGGTCGGGGAGAATGTCAAGTCACGTGGGGCGTCATTCAAAGTAATCGTTTGAATATGCTCAGCCCCGTCGCTGTCAAGTCGGTAAACATTGACACGGTGTGTAGAAGACAGAACCGCCAAAAGGGAGCCATCGTCCTGGATCGTAGCACCCATAGGTCGACGGCGGGTCTGAAATTCATGTTTCACAATTACAGGGTCCGTAGCCACGTCTAGTACGACAATCCTGGACGAGCTTATGCAAAGAACCAACCGGCCATTTGTCGAGAAGGCAAAGCGAAATACTTCTCCTTGCGGGAAGGCAGTGGACGAGCTCATAGAGCTGGAAATCAGCCGCACCAGGGTCTTTCGAGGCCGCAAAAATACATCGAATGCATTTTGCCTGGCTTTTGCAAGAAATTGGCGCTTGAGGTCCGGCAGACTATCCGCATCACCGGGACAAGGGATAGCCCCTCTCGTCCAAGCAAAGGATGGACAATGGGCCAGATGGTGAGCGTAGAGTGACGGGGACTCTGACACCCGCCTCCATTGCCTGTTTAACAGAGCTAATGAGGCAAAGGCGTTGGCATCGGCGACATAAAGAATGCTAGATGGGGTCAGAACATGCCAGCCTAGAAGCCTCGAAGCCAAGGGAACAAAGGGAACTCACAGCTCGATGACATTCGGGGGCAGCCGATGGAAGGGCGCCTGTGACGAGGCATCCTCCATGATCACCAGAGATACCCGACATGAATTGGCATAGGCACCACAAATGATGCCAGGCTGTGCCAACCTTCACGCCGTCGCGTCGATCGATCTGTAACCTATTAATAGGTGGAGCACGTGAGTCAGCATCTCCCCGCATGGAGTTTAGCCTCAGTCAGTTTTTGGTTCTTATCGGCATTTTATCGATCGCGACATGCACATCCTTGACTTGACTCATGATGAACTATACGGGTTGATCTGAGAACAATCATGGTCCTGTCTCCATAAACCACGGTTGTGAGCCTCGCCCCCCTCGATCGTCCTCGCCTGTCGCATTCGGCCGGGTCGTACCCCTCACTCGCCTCAACTCTGATCGGCCGACTCCGAAAAAATCCCCGGGAACTTTTCCCCAGACTTTCCCCCCATCTTTCCTGGTACCTTCAATCGGGTTGCGCATCATGTCCCCTGCAACCCTTCCGGTCAATTCGTCTTCCAAGTTGCCCTCGCCCGGGTTCAACGCCGGTACACGGCCCTACCGATCTCACAAGGTTCGCGCATGCGATCTCTGTCGCAAGCGCAAATCTCGATGCACCGTCGACATACCCGGTCAATCTTGCCTCCTGTGTCGCGTGCAAGGGGCCGACTGCCATTACCAGGAGGAAGCCAATGCTGACGCCTCGGTCTTGAGCACAAGCGAACCTCCGCCATGGTCGGGAGCGCAGCCGGTCAAGCCCGAGCCGGTGTCGGGGCATAAGCGCAAGCGAAGCCCCGACTCTCGTCCGTCTACAAATGGTCCCAGTCCGCATGGAACAACTTCCTCGTCTGGTCGCCGAGGAAGTGACTCGCGGCGCAAGGAATATGACGATCCTCACAACGAGTCAGTGCTCATTGTCGGGCCGATGGTTGCGGAGGATGCGCAAGTCATTGAGAAACATATGCCTCCGGAGCGGTCCAGTTTTTCAGAGGAGCCCAACAGTCACCCGTACAATATCTACTCGAGCGATCCCAGAAAGCCTGTACTCTACACTACCATCTCTCGGCGGAGGAAAGGTATGCGCCAGGGCGTTCCGCCAGGTGAAAACCAGAAGGAGATCTTGGAGCAAATACTCGGTCCCTTTAAACATGACTTGGTTCGGCTCTTTATTGACAGGTTCAATGTCGCATTCCCTATCTTCGATGGCGAGCAATTCTGGGATTCATATATCACTGAAGCATTGGAGGATCCTCCCGCGGCGCTATTATGTCAGGTTTATTCGATGTCTCTGGTGTATTGGAAACACACACAGAAACTTGCCTGTCATCCGAAGCCCGACGTTCGATATGCAGTCAACATGACTGTGGCTGCATTGCACGAGGAATTCTCTGCGCCAGGTCTGTCGACGATTAGCGCTGCGCTCATCGATTTAACCGGACGACCTATCTTCTCTATGACAGGAAACGCCATCAGCTGTGGTCGCATGCTATCTTTGGCCAATTGCCTTGGTTTGAACCGTGATCCGAGTCTGTGGAAGCTCTCAGAGCAAGAAAAGAACCAACGAATTCGCCTTTGGTGGGGCGTTGTAATCCATGATCGCTGGTATGACATTTCTGTCACAAAACATGTATAGTCTACTAACGTATTTCACAGGGGGAGCTTCGGTCACGGCGTGCCACCCCAGATCGCCAAAACCCAATACGACGTGCCTCTTCCTACAGTCGACGGACTTTGTCCCCCAAATCTTCGAACTACCGAGCGCGTACGAGCAGCTCATTGTCATATATTTTTGTGCAAGTTAACCGAGATTTTGGGCGAGTTACTACCATTAGTATATGGTCTGCAAGCGAAATTGGCACGCGAGAGCTCCAAGAAGCTGAGGCAGATTCGAACGGATCTGGACTTGTGGGAGGATTCTCTTCCGGACTGGTTAAGAACACCAGTCCCCCACCGTGGCGAACAAGTCTATGCGTCAAGCTGCTTACAGCTTGCCTTCCTAGCTGTCAAGATGCTTGTTAGTCGAGTGGAGTTGAACGTAAGAATCGCTTCCTCAAGGAGACCATACTTGGGTAGTTTGCTAATAAACCAACATCAGGAGGTTAACAACGCGGAGACCGACAACCCCGAAGCACGTCGTTACTTCCAGACAGAGTGCCGCAGATCCGCAGAGGAGATCGTTCGTTTCATTTCGTCTCTGCGGAAGGAGCACTTCAAGGAATTCTGGCTACCTTGTATGTTGAGAAGTGCCCCAAGATCCTCATGTCGCTCTAACAATTTCCATAGACAGCGCTTTCCATCTCACTTCAACGGCCACTCTCCTTGTACGCTCCGCTCTTGAAACCGACGACACGGACGTCGCCCGATCCTGTCTTTCCAATGTCGAGACCCTGCGCACAGTACTGCGCCGAGTACGCGAGGAGGAAGACTGGGACGTCGCTGACATGTGCCTGGACCACTGCGAGAGAATCATGCACCGACTTCCCGGCACCGGCGCGGCCATTGATCAGACATTGGCCTTTGCAATGGCGGACAACGGACTGGTTAACCCAGCCGCAATCTCTCTGCCAGAGACTCAAACCAACAACGACATCGTGGATGACATGATGTCTATTTCTAATACGTTCGGCACGATGGACGGCTTCCCATTCGACATGACGGGTATCTGGGATGCCTCCGTTTTCCAGGACGTCAACTTGACCTAAGAGTTTCCAATTATTCAACTAATTTTGGTTCTTTATGCTCTCTCCTTTCTTCAACGGGTGTACAGGGAATCGTGTACGTTAGAGATGGTCCAGCACTGTGGCAATGTATATACCCAGGGTCTTCACGGACCCTTTCATGCAGATAATTCAACCTTCGAGTCTCATATTAAAGCATTTGATCAAATTTTTGTACATTGAGAATCAAGAAACAACGAGAAAGTCGGACACCAAACGCTATTTTACAGTCGTTCCAGAAATGCTCAGAACGAACCCAGGGAATAATAAACCATCTAATGCCTCGCCCCTTGCCCGTGAATGACATAACATAAACCCCAGGAATGATGAGTAGGGAGATATTGCATAGCAGGATCGAATGTGAAAGTTCATCCAACTCGCAGGGATCAGGCTCCGGCGAAGCCAATCTACTGCTCCTTACCGCCAGCACCGAACACGCTGGTGAACGAGCCCTTCATGCTTGCCATTTGCTCTTGGCGGGCCTTCTCCTCCTCAGCAGCCATCTCAGCAAGCCACTTCTCACCGTTCTCACGGATCTCCCGCTCGATCAGCTCGTAGTTCTTCTGACCGCGCTCGCGGATCTGGTCCCAGAGCATCTTGCCCTGAGCCAGACCCTCGGAGGATGAGGGCTCGCCGCTCATAGTGCTGCCTGACTTCAGGCCAAGAGCACTGGCCAAGCTGCCCATGGAGACAGAAGGCTTCTTCTTCTTCTCCTCGGCAAGCTCCTTCTCGAAGCGCTCGCGCATGGCCTTCTCGCGCTTGGCGAACTCCTCGGGAATAGCGGTGCCCTCGAAGGACTTCAGGACGGGACGAACGTCCTCAACGCCCATACCGGCCATGTACTCCAGGAAGGGAATGAGAGCCACAAGGGTCTTGTCCTTAGGGTCACCGGTCCATTTGTTCAGGATGACGGCGTTCTCGGGCTGCAGACGGGCGTGCTCCTCCTTGGTATCAATGAGGATAACCTTGGACAGGTCACGGTTCAGGTAGGCGAGATCCTAGTTAGAAGGGTCAAATGATGCAATTAAATCTCAAGTGTCGGACGAAACATACCTTGACGTACTCTCCATCCTTGTAGCGAGTAGCCTCGCGGAACAAGGGCCAGCGAATGATGCGGTAGGGGTCAAGTTTGCGCAGAACCTGGTCAGCCATCATGCTAGGCACACTGGTGAAAAGAACAAGCTCGTAGTACTGGTTGAGGTAGCGAAGGAAGTAGTCGACACCGGGTCGCTTGGCCACACGCCAACCGTGCTCACGGGTCCACTCGCTGTGGACAAGTAGGTCCTCGAGACTGAGAACAAGAGTGTAGGGTTGGCGGATGTTGGGGTCTTCGTCAGGAAGCAGCTTGGGGAAAGCAGGATCCTTATAGTAGCTGGTGAGATCGCCCATGCGAGCCTTAATACGGGCGTACCAAAGACCCAGACCCCAGCCTGAGGGCTGCTCCGGGTGGATGCGCTCCTCCTCTTCTGTCTCCCAGTTGCGGCCGAGGTAACCGACACCGGCGACACCGGCGGCCAGCATCACGGCGTACATGATGTTGGCCATGCGGGCCTTGCGGCGATCCAACGATGTCTCATATCCTCCCTTGGGGATGTCACCACCGTGGCCGGACTCGCTATAGTCATCGGTTTGGGTAGGGTCTTCGGTGAGGTTCAGCTTTCCTCCGACTTGTTTCCGGCCCTCAAGCTCGGCGAACAATGTCGATGGGATGCCCTGAGTCAGGTCGGGGAGGGGCTTGTTGGGGATCTGTTCCGGCTCGGGCTGAAATGATGGTCAGACGAGATGTTTCCTATACTAGATGACAAGTGTATCTCACAGTAGGCTCAGAGGCTTCGGTCTCAGGCTTAGCCGTGGTATCAAACTCGGGCTGTTCCGATGCGTGCTGGTTCTGCTTGGGCTCTTCGGTGGCTTTGTTCTTCTGCAAGTGCTCGGGGAGCTTATACGGGGCATTGTCCTTGCCTTTGGCGTACCAACGGGGTCGCTGGGCGGACAGAGAGCCCACGCGGACAGCAGAGGCGAGGACGTTAGGCCTCGTTAGAGGCAAGACGGCACGACTCAGCATGACGAAAGGATGAAGTGTAGGATTGAAACCGTGCACTCCGTGTAGCTGTTGAAGTCCTCGGCGCGGGTCGAGTTTCCCGCAAAAAAGTCGGAGCGCGTGAACAGCACGTGATCAAGGTACATATTCTCGACGTGCAAGTTTCGCCTTCCTCTTCTTCTTTCTCTCCTCAAGTTGAAAAAGTTTACACCCAGCGATAATTTGACCTTGCAAACCTCCTACATGTCTGTCGGGTTGAAATAGCTGGGGAGACTATTGAGGTTTACTTCTATCCCACTTCCAAGAGCCGCTGCGAAGGCTTCCATTGATGTTGCGGCTCCGTTTGTGGGACACATTTCTTTTCCTTTTTCTTTAGATTTTGACGCGACCACGCATCATGCTCGCCCTCTAATACAATTATGAATCTCGTCCTGGTACCCGTGTCTTCTCCTATATAGAACGACTTTCCTATCCAAACATGGCCAAAGGCAAGAAAAAGGCGCAAGCCTCCGGCTTGCACCATGAGGCGGACTACGTTCGTGAGCCCGAACCCCAACCTGTGCGAAAGACTTTCCGATTCCTCGATCTACCGTCCGAGATCCGACTGCGCGTCTATCATTTCGTCCTTTTCACACCGACAAGAAAAAGCGCATTGCAAAATAAGGCCGGCTCTGTGGGCTCCTCGGCGAAGAAGAAAAAGCCTGTGGCACCTACATCCCATCGAGTAGCGCTGTTCCTGACATCGCATCGTATCCACGATGAAGCCAGTCATTTCTTCTATTCAAGCCAGATATTCCGGCTTTTCCCTGTACAAGATTTTCAGCGCATGCCAACCGTTCGCGCCATACCCCGCCGCTACCGATCCTCTGTTTCGATAATCGAGTTAATTTTGGGGAATAGTTGGACGGCACCACCCAAGTCGTGGACTGTAAACCAGGGCCTGGGATTACACGATATGACATACTTGCACACACTGAAGATCTTCGTGGAATGTGATCCGTCGCAGCCTTCCTTCGAGGGCTTCCGCATCTCCAAAGAATATTATACCATATTTGCAGGACGCCTGTTGAAGGAGATTCTAGATCGGCTTCCAGCCCTTGTTCAGGTCGAATTCGACGGTTATCCCTCGGTGTTGAAGGGCGGATCATTGATGAGCAGGCTGCTGCAGGAAACTAGGGCAGCACACAAAAAGGTCCGTTGGGGTCCAGAGCGTGGATGGTACGACGGCCAAGAAGACGATTACATTCCATATCATGACCCTGCAGATGCTGCTTCACATGCTGCAGTCGATGCGCTGCCTCCCCGAAGTCCGGATTCCGTGCATAACCGGCTTGATACCGCGATTGATACATTGGCCAACACGCTCGAGGCGGCTAGGCTGGAAACATTAGACTCTCCGGAAATCGCGGTGCAATCAATGTGAGATGTGATATGATTTTAAACATACATTGCGTGGCGTTGCCTACTTGAATTGAGACTTAGAAGTACTGTTCATTGAAATATTCTCCGAACATCACTCAAGCAGAAGATCCACCTGAGATCGATAACATATCGCTCAGGGTAGACCTGAATTTCACCGCTTCCCAACTTTGACTGTTCCGTACAAAAGCCTTCAGCGAGCAACTCAGGATTGTTATGCCGTCATGATAAGCGTAGTTCACAAGCTTTCTGAATACTGCACGCGGGGCTTCCTTGTTTGGTCACGACTACGGCAACAGAGTACGTCCTACTCACAATGTTATCTTGGGAAAGCGAAGCGAACCATTAATGGTATAAGGTCCTTTGGGCCATTCCTAGGTAATGGATCGACTATATTGAGGTCGAGAACAAAGTAAGATTTCGTAATTAGAGCGTTTCTGTGGATTTCATGCGCCTCCTAATTCTAAAGCTCCTCATCGACATCCATGGAGGCACCATTGGCTCCCTCCTTGGAACTCGACTGCCGGGCTACCGAAGCTTCTTTGTCAATCATCTGCCTCGAAACGGCAACAATGTTGTCCTCGATCAATTGCTGGCTGACGTCCTCGATGTCTGTATGGTCATGTTAGCATATTAACTGCAACTCAAATGGTAGAAATAACATACGCTTCTTAGGATCCACCTTGCCCACATATCGTGTCTTCAGCTGCTCCTTGCTCAGCTCAGTCTCCTCCTTCACTCGTTTCTCGTAGCCCTCGGCAAGAGTGACAAGCTGCTTCATCTGGTCCACGTTGTGCTGGCCCTCCTCATGGAAGTCGTTCATCTGCAGAGCCTCAGTCCACACATGCTTGTGCAAATTCATGAGCATGTTCTCCTCAAGTCCCGTCTTCCGGTACGCAATTCCAATGCTGTAGTAGTGGCGGTTGAGACCGTGAATCAGAGCCTGGATGGAGGGCTTGTTCAAGTGGCCCAAGTTGGATGTTGTTTGACGGGGCTCCTGGCCCATGACCACAGTCTGGGGCTGAATGAGACGGAAAGCATCAATGACGACCTTGCCCTTCACTGACTGAATCGGGTCAACAACGACGGCGACGGCACGGGGGGTCAGCTGCTCGAAAGATTGCTGGGTGTTGATATCGACGGAAGACAGCCAGCAGCCGAAACCAGGATGAGAGTGGTACCAGCCGACAACAGTCTCTGGCCTGCACTCAAGTGAAAACAATATCATTAGCCTGTAATCTCTAACGCGCGGTTTACCAAACCAGAAAGCTTACCGTCCCGTTTGCCGAAGCATCTCCATCATCTTGGTCTGAAACACAGGGTCGACAGCCTCGACACTGACACCGGTGCCACTCTGAGGCATGGCAAAAACATCCGTCACGCGAACTGTGTACTCATCGACGAATTCACCTAACATCAGACCCATAACCTCCATCGGCACACCGGCGCGGCCATGTCGCAACATCTTCAACAGAGCCAGGGAGGAGATATGGACGGTTTCGGAGTTATCAATCAGGTTGGCAGTGTCCTATGCAATGCAGTATTAGTCTCCAGAATATTGCCAATGTGATGCCAGCGTCTAGCTTATGAATACGAGCACAACAGCTGGGGACGACACTTGGCGAGATTAGAAACATCCTGGGAGTACTTACACCACCAGGACCAGAGCCTGCGCCCATACCCATGCCCTGAGCGGCCTGCAACATCCGGTTGAGACGATCCATAGCTGCTAGATGCAGTCAAATGAACTGTGACGAGGCAAGGATAAAGTGATAGCTTCCTGGCTGGAAGCTTCCGATGGATCGATTTGTCTCTCTGGGAGAGAAGTTGTCACAGCTTTTGATGCAAGCTGAATCAAGGCGAGTACCAGGGAAAGTGAACGAGATAGTCTGATGAGGAGTATAATAGACGTGGAAGATTGGTGTGTTGCTCAGCGAGAGAGTCGGGCCCCGGGAAGCTCAACTGACGAAGGCGGTCTGTATTTCTGCCGATTATGGCTCCTTCCCACGCGGCGATCGATTCTCCCAAGCCTCTCCCGTGAAAGTTCATAGCAGCATGAGCAAGTCGTTTCTGGCCTGCTGTTGAGCTTGATTCCCGATTCGCCTTCCTTACAGTGGTACCTGGTACCCTGGTGGATATATATCGACCGCGTCACGAGACGTCTGCTTCCTATTAACTCCCTAACCCGCATACTTCCTCTCCTCCGCTTCTTCCTGATTAACCTCTCCCAACCTCTTCACCGTACTCGACCAATCTTTCCTCGCAATGACGAGCGGTATGACGGCTGGAGAGCCCCTCTCCAACGGGGTCAACCCTGGCGACAGCAAGAAGAAGGTCGCCTACTTCTACGACTCCGACGTGGGCAACTATGCTTATGTCTCCGGCCACCCGATGAAGCCGCATCGCATTCGCATGACCCACAGTCTGGTCATGAACTATGGCCTCTACAAGAAAATGGAGATATATGTCAGTTTTTAATTCTTCGTTTTTGTTGATATCCAAGATTTGGTGCTAATGCGCATATCGGACAGCGCGCGAAACCAGCCTCAAAATACGAAATGACACAATTCCACACCGACGAATATATCGACTTCCTGTCCAAGGTTACCCCCGATAATATGGACCATTTCTCTAAGGAGCAAAGCCGATACAACGTGGGTGACGACTGCCCGGTGTTCGACGGTCTGTTCGAATTCTGCGGAATCAGTGCCGGTGGCAGTATGGAGGGCGCAGCGCGCTTGAACCGTAACAAATGCGATGTCGCTGTGAACTGGGCTGGTGGTTTGCATCACGCGAAGAAGAGCGAAGCTAGTGGCTTCTGCTACGTGAACGGTAAAATGCAATCCCTTTGCTCAAATGAAGATCCCAAAACTAATACTTTTTAGACATTGTTCTCGGAATTCTTGAGCTTCTGCGATTCAAGCAACGAGTTCTCTACGTCGATATTGATGTCCATCACGGTGATGGTGTTGAGGAGGCCTTTTACACCACCGATCGCGTCATGACCGTCTCCTTCCACAAGTACGGCGAATACTTCCCAGGTACTGGTGAACTGCGCGATATCGGTGTCGGCTCTGGCAAGTACTACGCCGTCAATTTCCCCCTGCGCGATGGTATCAACGATGTCTCCTACAAGAGTATCTTCGAGCCCGTGATTAAGAGCGTCATGGAATGGTACCGCCCAGAAGCCGTGGTCCTGCAGTGTGGTGGTGACAGTCTGTCTGGTGATCGCTTGGGTTGTTTCAACCTGAGTATGCGTGGTCACGCCAACTGCGTCAACTTCATTAAGAGCTTCGATCTGCCAACCCTGATCCTTGGTGGCGGTGGTTACACCATGCGCAATGTCGCCCGTACCTGGGCCTACGAAACCGGTATTCTCGTTGGTGATAATCTGGAATCTGAACTTCCTTACAATGATTACTACGAGGTGAGTCCATCCTCTGTCGCTTACAAAAAGCCGGCATGCTAACAAACGTTGTTAGTATTTCGCTCCCGACTACGAGCTTGATGTCCGTCCTTCAAATATGGACAATGCGAACACAAAAGATTACTTGGACAAGATTCGTAGCCAGGTTGTCGAGAATCTCAAGCGCACATCATTCGCCCCTTCTGTCCAGATGACTGACGTACCACGTAATCCGCTCCTGGACGGCATGGACGACGATGCTGATGATGTTCTTGATGATCTCGACGAAGATGAGAACAAAGACAAGCGATTCACTCAACGTCGCTTCGACCAATACGTGGAGAAGCCCGGAGAGCTCAGCGAGAGCGAGGACGAGGAAGAGGCCGCTGCAAATGGTGTGCGTCGCCAGCCGGGCGCTATGCGCCGCCGCAACATCACCAACTACCGAAACCTTGACCCCGGTGACTCTGGTCTGGATAGCGGCATGGCAACCCCGCAGGATGCCTCTTCTGTCGGCGACGGGGATATTGATAGCGCCATGGATACTAAGATGACCGATGTTCCCCGAACGGACCCTGATATGTCTGCTGCGGGTGCAATCTCGCAAGGCCAGAACACTCCCACCACTGATGCTGATCGAATGGCTGTGGAGGGTGAGAGCAATGGTGCCTCTGCTGCTGCTTCTCAGCAACCCTCGCCCTTGGCACACGATGAAGACACTGCCATGGAAGATGTTGCCGCGGCCTCTGCTCCAGAGCAGGCTGAGCCTACGGATGAGGCACAGGAAAAGAAGACTGAGATGTCGCCTGTCACAGATGACGCATACAAGGCACCTCTGTCCCCTCTTCGCGCTCAATCCCCTCCAAAGGATTCACTTGCATCTGCAGGGAAGGGACCTGAGGCCTCAGCACAGGAGGCTGCCCCCACTGGTGACTCGGAGGCGCCTAAGGCGGCCACGACTGAGTCTACCGAAGAACCCAAGAAGGAGGAGTAGTCAACAGTAACTCAAAACAGCAATATCGGATCTGGCGCAATGGACTATGGGCAGAAAGGTGTTATCGGTTTGCAGCATGCTTGCATCTTCTTTGACGATGTGGGGCGTCCCGTGGCTCTAAATGGTGGAAAACGGGAGGAATGGTTGTTTCACAGGTTGAAATTCATTTAGTCCCATGTCTTTTGAATCAAATGTACTTGGTAAACCTTGGCGATCACTTCCAACGTCATCTCGGAGTTGATCTTTGTCGGTTGGGAATGGCCTCAGGTTTTGCCTAGCTCATATCTATCTCATTTTCTTTGGTTATCTAAATTCTATTATGATTTGAATGTAAAACAGCGAATAGCGACATTTTTTTCTTGATCTTTAACTCTCCGGTTCGAGAAAACTCATTAGAAAATAGGCCGTACAACCTTGAAGCTATAGATGCATGTCACGTGATGGCTTGATAGAACTCATGCCTGAGGTGTCAGTTGGGGCTTCCTGAACAGGCCTAGCGCTAGGGCAACCGAGATCCACCACAGCAGCGCCAAGATTTCCACACTACTCTGCGCACTAAGCGAGAAACCACTGTGGACGATTCTTTGACTCCCGACCTGACCTTCTGTCGCCAACCCTTTTCGACTACCGACAACCCCCAACAAGTCAGCCATCATGTCTAAGAGAGGGTAAGTCTGATCTGCTTCGCCCCCGGAATACACCATTACACACTTTGCATCGAAAATTGGAGGACCTCGACCGTTGCAACGCATTCAATTCAACATTCAACACGTTGAGTGGGGGAAAATGGATGGACGACACATATTCCGGGTGCAACACGAGAGACAAAAATGAAAGCTAACGTTAATCTTTTACAGTCGTGGCGGTGCCGCCGGCAACAAGCTGAAGATGACTCTCGGTCTGCCTACGTACGTTTGAAGAATTTATCTACCACAACTGTACCCTCATCCAATGAACCTTCGAACGACACAACACCCATTGCCAATTCGCCGCGGTCGATTCGCCCCTCGTCAATCTCGAAAGCACTCGACAGAGCACGCAACTGGAATTACGGGACGACCTCGACATACGGCATGGAGCGAAATGTCGACATCGAAATCATTGGATGGGGCTTACGGCTTGAAATTTGGATAGGAAACAATGACGGAATGCTAACGGTCGTCTTCGAATAGTGGCGCCGTGATGAACTGCTGCGACAACTCCGGTGCTCGCAACCTGTACATCATCGCCGTCTGCGGTATCGGTGCCCGCCTCAACCGTCTCCCCGCTGCCGGTGTTGGTGACATGGTCATGGCCACCGTCAAGAAGGGTAAGCCCGAGCTCCGCAAGAAGGTCATGCCCGCCGTCGTCGTCCGCCAGAGCAAGCCCTGGCGCCGGGCTGACGGTATCTACCTGTACTTCGAGGACAACGCTGGTGTTGTAAGTACTCCCTCTTCTCTGGGACACGCGGATGTGTTGAGGCATACGTTTGGATCTACCGGGTCTACGCGATATCTCTACACATTCTGCGCAACCCTAGACCCCTCATTTTACAACCAACCTGCTAACCGACCCCTCCAGATCGTCAACGCCAAGGGTGAGATGAAGGGATCCGCCATTACCGGCCCCGTCGGTAAGGAGGCTGCTGAGCTCTGGCCCCGTATCGCCTCCAACTCCGGTGTCGTCATGTAAAGAGAGAGATACGCGAATTAAAACCAACCAAAAATTCAACGATACCAAACCTGACTTTCCTTGGGACCTGGGAAAACATGTGGGCTGCATGAGACATTTTGTGGAATGAGGAGGTCCAATTGACGAATCCACTTGTGTTATTTCGAGCCGGTCTTCCTCCCATTCGTGTTTTTCTCGTCGGATCTGGCGACTCGGATGTATTCTGGAAAAATTGTTCTTTTTTCATGACTCTCCCTGTGCATGTAGGAGGTTTCTTCGGTTTCGGGGTACACTACAGTGTTTCTCGGTTTGGTGCCTTGGCCTCGACCTCTAGACTTAACAGATTCATGAAACTTATGATCTGTGGCTTGAGTACCACCTTAGACCTTGTAGTCGTCGGGGTCTACTGTAACATGTAATTGTAGTCGTCGGGGTCTACTGTAACATGTAATTGTAGTCTACGTACTATATCTATCATGTATGCCTCGGCTGTCATGATAATGTGGTACGGCACTGTCGAGATGGGGTGAAACCGTTATTCTGAATGACAAATGTACTTGCTATGCATTATTCACAGGTCTTAAGGCAAAACAAAGGTAAACGCTAATATACATGCCCAATCCATTCTATATCCGAAACACCATCCGTCGAGACGGCTGTTATCACTTCTTACTCGTCTTTGCCTTTCCCATTCCTCCCTCAGGCTCTTGTTTCGCACGAACAATGAGTGGAATGACTGGGGGGATAACTGTCGCCTCGATCTTCTCACCAACCAAGATCGATTTTGAGTACTTGATTTCTTGAGAGCGCAGGCCCATCCAGAGCAAGAACCGAACGAATTGAACACCAAAATGGATCAAAACAATCACATGCACCGCCCACCAGATATGCTGCACACCAGCAGGGCACAACGTCATCTCATAGTCCCATCCACCAAGTTTAGCATCAAACCAGATGGAAAGAAGACCAGCATTGCCACCAAATTCACCCATCATCGAACGAAGAGTCACCTCACGGATGGAAGCCTTTTCTCTCTCTTTGATGTTAGAGCCATCGTAGCGTCTAGCGGCCCATTGCCAACCCTCTTCAGTCTCGGTCTCGTTATGGGAAACATAATGCACGACATCACAGCCTGTATGATCGTGGCCTGTGAGGATGAGTCCATTACGGCCATTTCCACCGGCATGCGCATTCTTATCACCACTTTTTCCATAAATGCCTTGCAAAATCCCATTCGCACTAACAAAGCTGCTCAGGTGGTTCTGCTCCTTCAAACCGCCGGACTCAAAGCGCGGCACTCCGTCCGGGCCGTCTTCATCGTCGTCATCGTAGAATGAGAAGTAGGGCTCATCTGTACAGGTACCTTCCTCCTTGTGTAAAGGCACATGCGTGAGGAGTAAAGTAAAGGTGGAATCATCCTCAATCGGGTCCAACCTGCCAATAAGGTCGTTGAGGTAGGAATAGGTCTTATCCTGGACATCCTTTGATAAAGCAGGCGTGTCCAGGGTCAGCGTGTTCAAATTGATCAAATGCAACGTGGGGACCGTCCGCTGATCCCAGGTAGAATTGGGCAACAGGACAGGCGGGTGCTGGAACTTGATATCCCAGTTTGCGCGGCCGAATTCACGCTCAAATCGCTCCATCCGCGCTTCGCTCACGTCGCCTGCATACCCGATGTCATGGTTTCCCGCAACATTGATCAACCGTCTTGCCCAGGCTGGGTCGGCGTCCTCTCCTAGTGGCTCCATGTGTCCTTTAACCTCCGGATCCTCGTTGGCTTTCCCTGTGCTCCCAATCTCGCCCGTGCGTGTAATGCTGTCGTTCACGGGTACGGCGCCACGGAACACACGATTCCAGTATCGCGTACTACGCGATTGGAATTCGGCATCGTCAATCCATTGGCTGCCCAGAAGATCCCCTAGCACTGTTGTATGCGTCGGTCTCGTCCACCAGAAGAGGGTGCGGTAGATATGTGCGAGGTACCAGTCATTACCGAGAAGGTCGATCTGTTTTTGTGTTGCTCGCAGTGAGCGTGGTATATCTTCCCTTATGATGGCCCACAGGCCGACGGGCACCTCGCGGTTCAGGAGCGAGAGCGGCCATTGGAGATCTGAGGACTCTGCGGACTTCTGGACTTCGCGCCAGTGTTTGCGTATACGCGGGACTAGTTTCCATTCCGGCAGCGGGAGAGATGTATCGCCTTCCAATTGGGGGTCTGCAAGGACTAGGAGCCTAAAGATGGCGGGGGGGTCATCTGGCGCGAAGTTCGGAACTCCGAGGTGTTGGAGGACGGTGTTGGCGAAGGGATATTGCTGTAGCGTCCCGATGAATGGGGAGTTGGTTTTCCATGGAGACTGGCCGTGGGCTAGGGGGAATGCGCAGCCCTTGAAAACGGGGTAGAGGTATAGGTAGGTGAAGCTCACGGCGCAGAGCGGGTAAAGGAGTAGCAAGGCGCGGTCGAGCGACGTGTGGAGGAGTTTGAGAAGTCGCATGGTAGGGAATTAGAAATATTAATAGCGAATAAAATACAGCATGGTGAACGTAATATAGGAAGTGAGCGTGGAGGAGCGTAGGTCGAAAGCATCAGGGGCAAAAACAAATAGCGGGATCAAAGAACCTTGGGATCTCCGCGCCCTTTTGGAGCCCACACCATGCCTGATCGGAGGTGTCATTCTATGCAAGGCGACAAAATACAGTGTTCTTTGATTGTTTGCTTCTTTCATTCCATTTTCAATTTATGTAAGATCTTTATTTTCTTCGTTTCTTATTTTTATTTTGTCGAATCCGCGGATATTGTTCGTGGTGCTAGTCAGGTGATACACCAATCCCCGATCTATATCCTGGTCTTATATGAGCCTCGTGGGTAATCTAAACATCATAACATACATTAGCTATATACTTATTTGGTACACGGCTGAGTAATGTATCTGGTGGATTCTATTGCCACGTATATGTAATGCAAAAAAATAAAATAAAATCAAAGATCAACATTCAAAGGTGGAAATATTCTCCTGATAGGTACCGACCTGGCGCATGCCTATGTGGATATGGAAATGCGCATCTCAGCCAAATGGTCAAGACACCCTGAAACCCTCCAGGGCCGACGAGGGACCGAGAAATCTACCTATATACAAGAAAAGAAACTCTACAAAAGACACATAGGCAAGTCAAAGTTGTGAAAAGAGCTTAAATTAAGATCTATAGCTCCGCGATGTCAGTCGATTAAGACCACCTCCAAACACCAAGATAACTCACTCGTATATATGAAAGGTATCCGAATTAAAGCCATGGACAACATCCGCAGCCTCACAAGCTAATAATAAGAATAAAAAATAAAAAAACAAAAAACTAGAGCTCATCATACACACAGCACTGGAGCCCACGTCAACCCTTCATATCCACGTAAGTGAAACACAAATCGGCAGAAGCCAGACACGAATGGAACAGAAGTCGGAGCGAGGGGTATATCACATTGAACGCCGAAACAGGGGGATGGGGCTATAGAAGCTAGTAAAAGAAATCAAATCAAACCAAGATCAAATCAAGAGAGAAAGAGAAAGAAAAAGAGACATCAAAATGTCGAAGATGATTGACGGGACATACCCAAGGTATCGGTCAAGAGGTCCTCGGAAGAAAGGCAGCAAAATACCCCAAAAATAGAAGTTGGGAAAGCGAGACTTGATCACTGCGAATCGGTCTTGGCTAGAGGGGAGGGAAGGAGGGAGGAGTCTCCGGTGTCGATTTCACCAAGAGGGTTTGAAATCGGAGGGTTTGATTGAGGTCGGTCGTTGCTTTGGCGTTCGTGGTCGAGATCGACTTTTGCATCAACGAAAGATGCCCCTTCTGAAGAAGGTGCTTTGTCTAGGTTCAGGCCATCGATGCGGAGGCCACTGTCTTCCTCTTCTTCATGGATGACTGGGTCTTGTTCAGCAGCAGCCATCAGAGTAGGTGGTCGCTGATTCATCAGTCGAGCCTGTTTCAAGCTGATAGTCTTCTGCTTGTTGGTGCTCTCGACGGCCATTGACAGGTCACGCTCGATAGTTGCCTTCATCATGGCGGCCATCCACAAACGACCCTCTTTGACGTTGTCAACCTGGAAATAGTGGGTGGTGGGCTTAGTGAATTGCACTGTGCGGGAGTTGCCCGTCTTAGGAGGCACTAGCTTGAAGAAGAAAGGCCCATTGCCGTCCCTGTTGGTAAGAGAAGAAATGACGGCGGGGGTTGTGAGCTTCATGCCGCTTCCGTTCTCGCTGGTACTGGCATTGGCGGGTAATGCAGTAGCACCGGTGACAGTGGCATGCAGCGCGATAATAGGGTCGTTGTCCGCACGGAGTACACGATGCGCAGTGATATCAATCAGACCACGTTCTTCCGTGTCATCTTCGGAGTAGTAATAGGACAAGCGGCGGCCACGGAGGACAAACAACCGAGGCTTCCACGTTGTCATCATATTGGATGATCTTTTCTTCATCCATCCACTGTAGTCACAGCCATCCATCTGTTCCTGGGGTGACTTCTTCTCGAGGCCACGGGTATAGGCACTGGTATCCTTCTTGGACTTGACCGTCCGAGGACGGGCCATGAATCCCGCACCCTCGGCAGCCTTACCAGACCCATCAGTGCTGTGACGCTCTGAGCTCTTCGATGTTGCAGAGGGAGTGGTAGACCCAGTACGACCAGTCATAGGATCGTACTCGCGGGGCGAAACAGGAGCAGAGATATCAGTGGTCTTTGTGACACCATCGGAAGCATTGCGGAGGCCGACAGCGCGTCGGATCTTGCCAGCACCAGCCATCTTCGGCAGCTGGAAGTTCAAGGGCGAGCGTGTCGAACCTTCCGAATCTCCCTTTCTCATCCCAAGGCTAGCGAAGAAACCGGGCTTGCCATCCTTGCTATCGGGATTGGATAATTGGGAATCATTGGTGCCACTTCGCTGAGACACGCGAGTACTCAGACTCCTGAAACGGCTCTTTTGGGGCGCATCGCCGTGATAAGTTTGGGCAGCGGTGGAGACGTGTCTACCAGCAGCAGCATCACGTATAGAGTCAACACTGGCAATACGAGACTGACGCTTGCCAGCAGATTTAACTCTGTAAGGCTCATCTGCGTAGCTTGACTTTCGAGAATGGCTCATGCTACCAGCTGCCGAGGCTCGTTTCTGCAGAACACGGCGAGAGCGGCGGGAATCAATTTCAGTGCCGGAGAAGTATCCCCGTTCTAGGTCATCGAAATGATCGGGCGTGTTAGGCTCTGATTCGACGGTCTGCTGTCCACGGAAAGCCGATGTTGTGCCTATCGAGGTTCCTGGACGAGTTGGCATGGTTCCAACACCACCGTTAAGCGTCCAGCCCCGGTCGAATGAAGGCTTCTTTGAATGACCATTCATAGCCGAATGAGGCGGGCCATGATGGGTGGCATCAATGGACGAGTGTCGTCGCGTATGGTTGAGGTCTCGAATGGAGGCAGCGGATATTCTTCTTGGCGAGTCCTGACCGAATGGTGGAGTATTTGGGGTCATGGGGGAGCTGTTGTTGCTCGCAAGTCGAGGGTGCTGGACAGGTCCAGCGGATGCTCTATAGCCTGCACCAGTCTTCTCCGACACCGTAGGAATACGTGGCAGGAAGGGCCCTGTGTGACCGGCGCGAGACAAAGTTCGTTCCTCGGGGCCACCAAAGCCCGAGATGGAACCTCGTGTAGCTTGCGGCGATTGTGGCTGCTGCTTGAAGCCCTTCACGTCCTCTTGGAAGGCCTTTATTTTGTGCCAAGTCTTGAGACGCTTGCCCATGACTCCAAAATCAAACTCCTTCATGAAAATGAAGTCCTGATCCATATCAAGAAGGACATCACCGGTAATTTCCTGCTCTTCAAAAATATCACAGTGTTTTGAATCAACGCCAATGGCACGCATCTGTTTGGCGGTTTCGGTCTGACTCCATCGGCGTACTTCCGCTTCAGTCAGATGTGTACCCTCTTCCTCATCCGTCTCATTCCCGTTGATGTAGGAGATGCGATGGCTCATGTGGCTACTGTACTCGCTACCGGAGTCGTTCATCGTTTTCGCATCCTGGGTTGACACGCTGTGGCGAGGCGTGTTCATATCGGTAATGTGTTCATCAATGACACTCAAAGTCTCATGCATCACCGGACTATCCTCGCCCTTTTCATGACTATCAAAGCTTGGATTGCGGAAGGCAGCCTGAATATCGGCCGCCAGACTCGGGCGTGGCAGCGGAGAAGAGGCAGATCGCTGCTGGCCTGGAGAGCTCATCTGCGCCTGCGTGTCCGTGATGCTAGCATGGCGCGAGGCCTGGGGAGTCGTTTGCCCACTTCCCACCGTGGGGAAAACTGAGTCAACCGGTGTCGTCGATTCCATCTGCGTCGGCGATTCGGTCTTTTCGAATTCGATCGGTTCTTGGTACGAAGTGGTCATTTGACGGGCCTTCAAGCGCTCGTGGGCATGCGCCTTTCTAGTGAAGCCTGTCGCAGTTGTAAGAAGCGATTCTGGAGATGGTTTTGTCTCTTTTCGAATTCTTTTGCTTTCTTTGTTGAGAACATACCTGCAGGGAAGAGGCCCTTGTCGCCGGAAGCTGGGTGCTGTCCAAGCCACCATCCATCTTGAAATTCTTCATCCATCTCTTCGAGAAGAATAATATCGCCGCGCTTCATCTTCAATTCATCCTCTCCACCGGCTTCGTGAGGGTCTATGATGTGTTAGGCGCATCGTTCCAGATGAGGGGGGACCGGACAGGCGCGATCGCGCGATCGCGCGGGCGCACGGCATCGTCACTTACGGAGAACGACGAGGTAATCACCACGCGAGACATTCTGCGGCGGCGCAGGCGACACCTGCGAATGGTCGGCCATTTCGCAATGGATTGGGCCCAAATCCTCCGATCGCAGCTATCGCAGTTATCGCAGTTTTAGGGAACAGGTCGAAAGCGAGGGGGAGTCAGGCGCAGGACATAGGGCCCGACAGCCCTTTCGGGAACGAGATAAAGCAGAGATGAGACAACCTGTCAGGAATCTCGAAGCAATGCGAGATTGCTCAAAGGGGAGGGAATGCAGAAGGCCGAGGGAAGGTCAAGGAATCCGGCGCCGAGCACAGGTCCTTTGGACTCGCGGGGTTCGCGTGCGCTAACCTGGAAGAGGGCCGAAGCTCCCAAAGGGGTAGTAACGAGGGGAAAAACGAGGTTGAGCAGTTGATCGCCAGGGCGTGGCACGATCTACCTTGCCGGGGGAAAAATGAAGCAATGAAGCGCGGAAGGGTGCTGGAATGGGTGAGATCTAGGTTTCATCAACAGAGTGAGAAGTGTGTGCGCACAATGAACAGTCCACGCTAGTAGATAGGGCGATCCAAGGCGAGCCGTGAGTGTGCCCAAGACTGACAAGTCGATGGAAAAAGAAGTCGGAAATGTAAGGAAGTGACGTGTGCGGTCGTCAGGTTCTCACATTCACACAGTTTGAGGGTTCTGGACACGGCGTACCCACGGTTCATCTGTGGGAAATTACAATTCTCGAGCGGCTGAGGGTTGCACAGTGTAGACGTATAGGAAGATTGTGACTAGTTGACTGTCTAGGTAGATGACTAGTTGGATTATTTTGATTATTATTGATCCATTTGGGGAAGTAATGGATGCATTTGTCACTGCACCCGGCAGTGGATGGATGCGGCCATTCGGTACATTTCTACTTTCCACCAAGTTACACAAGAGAACATGTCGACTGTCCCCGTCCTTGTCCTTGTCCTTGTCCTTGGTCTTGACAATCGTCTAGTCATAGCCTGGTACTTTGGTCTGCTTCCTTTTTCCTGTTCGTACTTTCGGACCTACTTGGGTAGCCCTAGGACTAGCCCAAATCTAAGAAAATGAAATATGCCTGGGTATACATTGACGGTCTCGAACTGTCATAGCATAGACTTTCTAAGCGCCCGTCACAAAGACCCATTTGATGTGCTATGTACCAGGTACCAGGTACCTGCAGATGCGACACACGCGCCCTGTATGGGCAAAGAAACTTGAGATTTTACGCATTTTTCCTATCTCTACGTATAATACCCTAGGGCGTTCGTTCGCGGGAAACCGTTTCTTTGTCCCAAAAGCAAACGCCGGCTCTTTAAAAACCCTCTCCTCCACTCTAGCGCGAGGCGGCGATAGCGATGTGGCTTTGCAATGGTTCCTCCTAGGTCCCAGAGACCACGCCCAGGCGTCGATCATATTGAAGAGTCCAATTCTACCGCCAGCTTGTTCCTTGGTGGCGCGCGGAGAGCCTGGATGCCCGGCCCTATTGGTCCCCAACCCCGCGATGCTCTGCCCGCTGCGGTTTCTCTCCCCGATGCAGGGCCGATCTCCAACCAGGAAACTGTCTTGACATCCCCAGTGACACCCGGCATCAATTTACAACCCTCGGTTTCGCTCGCCAACAATCCCGATGCGCCGGCTGCTCTTCCTTCACCAGTTCCGAACACCAGTTCTCATCCCAGTCCCGTCGTCGCGCAAAATCCTGCCTCTTCTCCACCCACGGACAGACGGCCCCTTGCTGTCCCCCAAACCGGGCACAATGAGCAAAACGCAATGCACCCAAGTCAGCATGCGACTGTACCTCAACAAAATCCAACGGTGATAACCGCCGCGCCTCCCTGTGGTCAACACAGTGCAAGTCCGGGACCACCGCCTCCCAGCCTTACAAATGACTTCCCACTTCAGTCTCCGACGGACCGAAGTTCGTTCCAGAGCCCGTCGTTGATCCCAGCTGGACCTGGAAATGTACGTGAAAGCGCAGACGTAGGGTCCAGGCCAATACAACAGGCCCCGACTGCGATGCAGCCCTCAGGCCTAATCCTACCGGGCGATGAAACATGGGCACAATGGAAAACGTTGTTGGAATATCTCAAAAAGGAAGCGCAAAAGTCCCCCGCGCCAAAGCTCGCTGGACCTAGAATCCGCCTTCTAGTGGATGCGTGTGAATATAAAGATCTCCTCTTCCTGGTTCTACATCAGTTATACTGTCAACAGTCTCTTGATGACAAAGGGCATCAGGAATTCCCTATGATGCGGGATCAAATTTGCCAGACTGGTCTGGTGAGGGTACAAGAGCTTATAGAACCCAATATCCCTATGGGGTGGCCAATGACCTGGAAGTTGGCTCGCTTCCCGCAACCCCTGGAAGAATTAAAGCACCAGGCATGGTATCGTGTGGCCGTTGGGAAGGTCGTTCACTGCCTCACCCGATTGGCAACGAGTGTTGCTGAAAACAAGGCGCATCTTTTCGATTCGGTCTATCGCCGAGGTTATCCGCCGACGGTTGCTGAGTTGCTGGGCTTTTTGGACGCAACTTCACCTGTACTGATGACTATCATTTTCGCGTCCAAGTGCCGAAGTCTCTATGAAGATAAATCAATGGCAAAGTTGAACAAGTTATTTCGGCGTGATCTTTGGGCAAATCTTCAGGGTCGACCTTCGAACTTGACGGAAGAGTATAAAAAGATCCCGTTAATGCCTAGACCAGTGCCTTTAATGGCTCCTGTCCCACCGTCATCTGCGTCACCGGCTGTACCAAGACCGGTTGCGAGGGCGCCTTCAACTGGTAGCCAAGCTGCTATAGCCAGTCCGGTGATCTCCGTTCATTCGAATCCGCGTTCAGGCCAAAGCTCGCCACGTGGTTTGGCAAACTCAAATGTTCCAGCTCCGCAGATTGTTGCTGGAGGACAGTTGCAGAGCCCAGTGTACCAACACTCTCCATACCTTCCTCCGGAACAGCCAACTCGACAAGGACAGACGGCACCCGGACAGTTACCTCAAATGCAGAGGTTTTGGTATCAAGGGCAATGCATGCAGTACAATCTCCCACAGATGCAGCACCCAGCTCCAGGGCAGCCTCAGCCGGGAGATTATGGTCACACTCAAAGGGCGCAACAGGGCACAGTGCAGGCGCACGTACAATCTCCTCGGACACAACAATCTCAGGCACAAACACAGCAAGCCCTTCATGCCCAGATGCAGCATTCTCAGATGCAAACACAACACCCTACTCAAGCTGTGATGGTGTCGTCGAATGTCTCACCTATCACTTCAAACTCACTCCAACAGCCACAGCCAATCTCTCCTTGGTACGGTCAGATTCCGCCGCAAACCCACCAACGCTCTGCTAGGCCTTCTTGCATCACCGCTCAGAGTGATCCACGCCAGATCCCATCAATACAAAACCCTCGCACTCATTTATCAGGGCAGGGACAGCTACCACCCCACCGGCGCCAGTCATCTAGGTCTCTTGCCAACGCCCCTCAGCAATACCAAGGTCAGGGCTCGTCAGCACAGCAGCTTCCCCAACCAGGACAACAGCTTCCTCATAATCCAAGGGTTCAGCTTGCGCCCTTCAGGCCTTTACTCCAGCCCCCTGGCCATCAGCTGCCGGAAACAGTGTCACCTAATCCAACATACATGGCGCTACATCAAGCTGATCTTCGCGAGCCAGAAAAGAGACTGGTCGAGTTTGGGCCAAACAAAGAGATGACCGAGGCCCAATTGTTTCAATATCTTGGTGACCTCGTGTTGCAACCAAAAGTCATTGATCCGAAGGAGCTTCGGTACGACTTGAGATTCATTCTCACAGATGACGTTTGCGGGAGATTTCCACGACTCGAGCACGCAGGCATAGGGAAACGCCCCAAGCAGATCATTCAACCAGGTTGCTTCATATTTCGCTTGCGGTGCATAACACTGTGTCCTTCTGAACAAGAGAACTCGGAACGCCTTTGGTCGACAAAGAATACTGTATGGCCTAGTGTGCTCTACATCTTTGTCAACGAGAAGGAAATGTTTTTGCGCCGAAAAGCCCACAACGGGAAGGATCTCCCTTTGGATATCTCCGAGCATCTCCGCCCGGGCCTCAACACCGTCACAATTCACTTACTGCTCAGACCGGATGAGTGCAAGACTTTCAATTACGTATTTGGTATTGAGTCTATGTATATCAGCAAGTTCGAGTCAGTCAGAGATCTTGCAGGCAACACAACAGCAGACCAGACTCGCCTGAGCATTCAAAAACGTCTCACAGCGGAGGACAGTGATGACCTGGCTGTTGTCACCGACAGCTTGAAAATTAGTCTCATCGACCCTTTCATGGCCCAGATATTCAAGACCCCCGTTCGCGCTCGAGACTGTGAGCACCTCGAGTGCTTCGACCATGAAACTTTTATTATAACCCGCAAGAATGTGTCTGGCTTCGCTGCACTGAACGACAATTGGCGATGCCCAATTTGCAACGCTGATGCGCGCCCTCAGCTGCTGTGCGTGGACAAATTCTTCCTCGCGGTACGCGACTACCTCGTCGCTACGGATAATCTTGATGGTGCAAATGCGATCGAAGTGAAAGCAGACGGCAGTTGGACTCTCCAAGCCATACGTGACGAGTCACCCAATGCCCCACGCAGCCCGAGAGTAGAAAAATCCCTAGCCCCAGCCTTGGGCAAGCGCAAAGGCGATAATACAGAGCAGGGGTCAGATGCAACACGTCCCAAATACGAATACCCCCTTGATAGAGGGAATTCCTCACAGCCCACCGAGCCTGTCTTGATTGAGATTGATTAGGGCAACATCACAGCCAGCTCGCGTTTTTCATTCGCGCTTGTTCTTCTTTGACCCTAAACCCCATTCACATACATGATTCAATATGCGAGCGAGCATTGCAAAAGCAAGATACCCCATTTTCTTCGTTGTTTCTCAGCGGGTTTCCATACCCTCTCTCGGCGTTTTTCTTTTCTGTATTATGCCCCGCTCGAAAAAACGCCATCATACCGGTGGCCGAGCGAGGGCTAAATTATTATCATTCACCCACAAGGCATGAGAATTTTGGTTCTTTCAGTATTCGTATGAGCCCAAGTATTTACCGAGACGTATAGTGCTGAACATCCTTACAATATCGTATGCCTTCAATTTCATTTACCTGTAGGGGAGCGAGAGCACTGAGGCATTTAAGGTCAAAAAATTGTTCTAGTCTGAGTAAATTTCTTCTAAGCCAGCTCTATTCGTTAAACTCCCAAAACAAGCTAAAGCTAGACCTTGGGCATAAATCTCAAGCCCAAAAAACAAAAACAAAACATCATGCTCATTCAGTGAAGATCGTCTCCACTTTCGACATTAGATTATACAGGTATGGTATACGTGGTATATAAGATGGTACCGCATGTAGGCTTACTTCCTAACCCGACGGACATGACTGACAAGGTTCTCAATCACCCCTTCAAATGCCTCCTTTTCGCCAACCAAACCATCACGCCGCTTAAGCCAGTACTCCAATAGTGAACTGGCGCGCAGCGTGACGTTTTCCAACTCCTGAACATGTTCTTTCAGCTCTGGGTCTGTCAGACCGCCAAGCGCAGCATCGGTGGTTGCGCACAGGCGACGGACAGATGAAAGGTCCAGTTCCGGCGGTGGGGGCGCACCGCGGCGAGTGGTCTTGCTGCGCGTAGGGGCCTGCCCTGTCGTATTTGTGTTTTGGGTGCCTTCGCCTTCTTTTGGGGCTTGGTTGCGGGTTGGTGAGACTCCATCGAGGTCAATTGACGGAAGGATGAGCTTCTTTTGCTTGGATGCAGGGAGAATCTCGTCGAGATCGACTGGTACGCCTAAAGAGACAAGGAAAAGTCGGCGGATGCGTGACTTCACCCAGTTCTGTGGTTGGAGGGGGGGTGGGGCCACGAGCTGGGACCAGAGGGAGAGGGAGCGCTCTGTGCTGAAAATTGCTGAGGAGTCGGGGATTGGTTCGACTGGTGGTAAAGAGTCGAGATCTTGAGAGGCTGGGAGAAGGTTATCGAGAGTGCCTTGGAGGGCCGAGAGAAGTTCGGAGGTGGATTTAAAGGCGTCGAAGTTGATGAGAGGAGGCTAACACGGTTTAGTAATTTGCAGAGAATGTAGTATATTCAGGTACTTACGACAGAAAGAAGTGCAGGAGGCTGCTGTGGTGTCATGGTGCCATCCATGGGAGCTTCCTCGTTAACATCGTCGGTGGGCTCTTGGAAGCCGTCATCAAAATCTCCAAAATCGTCGTCTCCCATGTCGTCTTGCTCTTCAACAAATTCATCAAAATCATCTCCGAACTCTTGGTCTTCGCTGAATTCTTCCGCAGTGTCTTGCGACAAGGGCTCCTCGGGTATTGAGGCGTCAGGCACTGTTTCCACAATATCTGGCACTGCGTCACTCGGTGAGCTCTGATGGGCTTTCGGATGTGATAGTAGCCCTTCCTCAGTAGGCATGGCTTCCACTCGAGAAACTTTAGTCTCGGGAATTTCCTGATCAGAGAAGTTGGCATCCGGAGATTCATGATCCACAGAAGGAGGTTGAGAATCGTCAGGATCATCAGCCACCTTGATGAAGTCAGGTACGGCATCAGCTTGACGCTTTTCATATGCCTCTGTTCCAGGAACTTCGCCATGGCTGGGCGTTTCCGGGTCAACTTTTTCGACCATTGTTCGCGGAATTGGCGAACCGCCTGGGGTCAAGGGTCGGTCTTGCGACCCCGCGGGCGAAACATCCTTGCTCTGAGTACCCTCAGCACTCTCTGGAAGGACTTCAATCTCGTCGGGAACAGCGTCTTGCTCTCTCATTTCATATGCAGCCGTGCCGGGCACTTCGCCGTGTTGTAGATTGCTGTCTACCCGTTCTACGCGAGTTCGCGGGACAGGGGATGTGCTACCGGATTGGGGGCTTGATTGTACATCGTCGTGACCTTCGCTGGCGTCTGAAAAGTGTTCGTCATCGCTGTTGGAAGCTGTAGAAGCAGAAATTATTACTTAGTATTCGAAGTAAATTGTCCTCGTGGGGGTTCTAAAGGGCATACCCGTGTCCTCAGCTCCTGGGTCCTCTTTCTGGGTGGTGTTGCTGGGAGGTTCAAGATAGGTTGACGGATCGGGAGTCGCCTCCGACATTTTGGCTGGTGAATTCAAGGCTGGAGCATGAGAGAAAGGGGAAAGGACGAGAAGGAAGAAGGAAATATGTCATGCAGGCCGTGTGTAGTGCGAGTGACGACGTCGTTGGCTGCGATCGACTCGAGTCCAGACCATTCGTGCCTGAATGCCTAAGGCGTAAATTGATGCCCGAAGGCCCAGGCCACAAAAAGCGCGTAAGTTGCTGAAACTCCTGCCAATTATTATTGCTTCACCTGCAACGAGCTCTTTCCCTAACCTTTCGCAATCGGGGGCTCAATTCACTTCGTTTTAGAGATCGCGCCACCAAGTCGGATCCCGTGATCCTTTTCGCAGGATCTCACGTCCTTGCATCGGTCGCAGGTCGTCTCTCCGTCTTCTTTTTCACCCAAGCTTGCCGATTCCCTCGATCGCGACAACCCATCGTCATGTCATTCTCCTTCGGCACTCCCGCTTCCAGCGGAACCTCCAGTGGAGGTCTTTTTGGCACATCTGGCGCTACCTTCGGCTCCAACCAAAACAGCTCCAATACTGGGTCTGGTGGTGGCTTGTTCGGAAATGTAGGAGCTTCGTCTACCAGTGGAAGTGCGTCTCCTTCGCTTTTCGGCGCTGGCTCGGCCGGTGGCCAGGCTAGCCAGACTCCTGCAGCTGCGCCGATGTTTGGTAATGCTGGTGGTGCCAATGCTCCTAGCAGCGGCACTTCAGGCGGTTTCAGCTTTGGTGGTCAGGCAGGCAGCGGCGCTCAGTCCAACTCTATGTTCGGCAACAATGCTTCGACCCCCGGATCTTCCACACCTGCCCAGCCCGCTGCCAGTGGAATGTTTGGAGGAGGAGGAGGAGGAGGAGGAGGAGGAGGAGGAGCTAATAAGCCTCCCGGAGGTAGCTTTTTCGGTGGGGGTTCATCAACTACCCCAGGCCCTGCCAGCGGATCTTTGTTCGGCAATACCTCGACCACTCCTGCTGGCCCTCCCCCTGGATCCAAGCCTGCCGGTAGCCTCTTTGGTGGGATGAATGCTGGTTCTTCTACTACACCGACCTCTTCCGCAGCCCCTCCATCTACCACCCCATCTACCACCCAGGCACAACCATCCGGCGGGCTTTTCGGCGCTGGTGCTGCACCTGGTGCCAACAAGCCTCTTTTCGGAGCAGCACAGTCTACAACGCCCGCTCCTGGGGGCGCTGGTGGTCTTTTCGGCGGCGCAAACAAGCCGGCTGAATCCACCACACCTACCACAGCTGCAGGCAGCGCAAACAAGCCGCTATTCGGAGCTGGAGCTGGAGCTGGAGCCCAAACACCACAGGCTGCCCCTTCTCTTTTCAAAGCCCCTGCCGCTGGCGGTGATGCTGCTGCAAAGCCTGCGTTCTCTCTCGGCGCACCTTCTACTACAACTACAACTTCCCAGCCTGCTCTGGGAGCTCCTGCAGCATCGACCGCAGCTCCTCAGAAGTCTCTTTTCCCTTCTCTTGGTGGCGCCACATCTTCAGCTGCTCCGTCGACCACACCGGCGGCAGCTTCGGCCGGTGGTCTGTTCCCAAGTCTGGGTGGTGCCAAACCTGCGGCCAGCACTCCGGCATCAGCTGCTACCACTGCAGCTCCGGCGGCCACCCAGCCTGCGGCTTCTGGAATGAGTCTGTTTAACAAGCCTGCTACTTCTATACCTTCAACTGCTGCTCCTGCCACAGGCGCCACTGCCGGCACGACCACTGCTACGGCTGCCCCGGCCACGACTGCCACTGCCGGTACCGGTGCCGGCGCGGGCCCTTCAATTCTCGGACAGTCGACCACCGGCCCTGCACCCCCAGCCCAGTCTCGTCTCAAGAACAAGACCATGGATGAGATCATCACCCGATGGGCGACGGATTTGACTAAGTACCAGAAGGACTTCCGCGAGCAAGCAGAGAAGGTTGCTGAGTGGGATCGTATGCTGGTGGAAAACGGAACTAAGGTCCAGAAGCTTTATGGTAGCACTGTTGACGCGGAGCGGGCCACCCAAGAAGTTGAGCGACAATTGACTTCAGTGGAGGGTCAGCAGGAGGAGCTGAGTTCGTGGCTTGACCGCTATGAGCGGGAGGTCGATGAGATGGTTTCAAAGCAAGTGGGTCCTGGCGAGACACTCCAGGGACCGGACCAGGAGCGCGAGAGAACGTATGTTATCAGCCAAACCACTCAAAGTCTCGCCAATATACTAACCCAATTGACAGATACAAACTGGCCGAGAAACTCTCAGAGCGCTTGGATGAGATGGGCAAGGATCTCACTAGCATGATCGAGGAGGTGAACGGTGCTTCAGCAACCCTGACCAAGACCAACCGCGCAGACGAGCCTGTAAGCAAAGTACATTCCATGTTATCAATTTGACTTTTTGACTGACAATTCCAACAGATCTCCCAGATCGTCCGTATCCTCAACTCACACCTGTCCCAATTGCAGGTCATCGACCAAGGCACCTCCGATCTGCAAGCTAAGGTTGCCGCAGCCCAAAGGCAAGGCCAGTCTATTTCATCCCGTATCGGTTACGGTTACAACAGCCCTAGTATGGGCGGAGGAAACGCCGCCGATGATTTCTACCGCTCATACATGGGCCGTCGGTAGACGTGGTGTGGTGATGGATGGATGGACGTTTTAATGAAATTAATTGGCAGTAGTCAGCTGTCAAGTCACTCAATGGGAAAGGATTGTTTCTTCTAGTTGGAATTACGATAACTGCGTATTCGCCTTGCGGCCGATGGCTAGTCCTTTGGATGTGTGGCACCCTAGGACAGCTCTGTGTTTTATGTACATCTCCAGCATTTGGTCAATTGGCTCGCTGGGTTAGGGAAGAGATGGGCGTAAGTTTAAAGGATAGCAGCGCTTTCAGCCGTCTTTGGGACGTTTCGAATAGTATTGTAGGTTCAATGAGCTCTGCCAATTGCAGGAGTTGATCGTATAGTCTGGCTACTATGGAGTCTATTCATTTGACCGACATTCCCTATGTTGAATCTTCTACATCGCCTATTTGGTGATTGGGGTTGGGGTTGAAGGATAATGGTTCCGTCTCCACGCTCTTCGTCCAGTTCAGACGCGACTACTTCGGTACGGGCCCGCACAGCGCGAGCTAAGCCGTAAACTACAAGGGAAGACTACAATGGACGACGCCAATGGAATGAAACTTGTATCAAAATAGTGCTGATATGCTATTGCTGTCTTTCTCTAGACATAAAATTCTCGCAATTTAGGCCTTGTAAAGCAAGGATCGCTGAGAGGAGAGGTATTGGTACAGAGCATGTCAAAGCTCTTGGTCGTATTAGAGTCAAACAGCGCAACAAGTTTACTTGCGCTGCTCCTTGGAGAGGCTATCACTGAAGGAAGTCAGTATCGATATCCAAATGGAAGGTCATGGTGCAAACATACATGTGACCCTCGAGTTCGTCGAGGTGAGCGCGCTGATCACTGATCTTCTTCTTGAGCTGTTGAAGCCTATCCAATGCACATTAGTTGATGGTTTCACGTCTGAAGCTATAGATGACTCACTTCTCGATCTCCTTTTCACGGATGTACAGAGCTTCCTGGGCGGCCTCGCGCTTGGTGAAGGAATCACCGCTGTAGCAGGGTCAGCAATTGACAATGTCATGAAGCTGGGGTAGATAGATGCGCTGTGCGCTGTGCTTTCGCAATTGTGGGCATTGCCCGGTTGGAAGAGGAAGCACAGGCGATGCAGGTGGGAGGAGGAGGGAGGAGGGGGCCACGTACCCTGACGAACCACCACCAGAGCGAGGAGCTCCAGTATCACCCTCGCCGAGGCGGGGAACAGCAACGGAGAAGGACCGCTGGGCGAGGGCCCGGTTGGCGGTAATGAGGGGACGAGCAGTAATTTGACGGAACATTGTGATGAGATTGATGAATGAGGGTTGAATACGAGGAGAGAAGTCCAAGCAACCCTGGAAGCTTCGGAACACTGACAGGCATCGTATGACGACACATCATGTGACTACCGGGACCCCATCATGTGATGTCTTATATACGAAGTGCAGCCTGAGGAATAAGGGAAATTTCTGCGATAAGTCGACGCGATCTCATTCGGCTCAAGTGGCAGATCATGAGGGGGCGTAGGATCACTTGCTTTCTACGATTCACGGGGCCAACATTGTACGATTCATGGGCCATGTGGTCAATGCCAGGGAGTAGTGACAGCACCGCCTGGGGTCTGGACCAGGGTTTGGATATTGTGACCGGCCGAGTGGTTAGGGCTTTTGACACGGTGAAACCAGGCAGTCTGCCTTGGACTGGTAACTAATAACTGGTAAGTAGGAAAGAATGAGGCGCATCTTGGGCGATTGGCGGGTGCGGGATGGGGGATGACGACGGGGAGGCCCACCGAACCACACAGAAGGTGAAGGAGAGGGGGGAAGATAGAGAAACATGCAGCACAGATGAGACTACGGAATAGTAGAGGAATAGAAAATAAAAAAGAAGAAAGGATAGATGGAAATCTAAGGGAAAAAAAGAGCAAGGTGTAGATCCGAAGAGGGTTTGTTCAGGTGCGGTAAATCCCAACAACACCGCCTTCTCTGTTTCCCCCCTCCTTCTCCTCTCTCCTTCTCTCTCTCAACTTCCCCCTTCTCTCTTCATCCTGTTCCCATCGCTTTCTCTCCTTAACACCTCCCTTTTCGTCAAATTTAGGTGAGTTTCTCTGCTTTCTATCCAATTTGCCCATCCTCTTGCCCATACCATTGCCCCCCTGCAACTGCCTACACACAACACACATCCACAATGGGGTTGAACTTGGGGAAATTTTGAGGGGGAGTCCTGAAAAAAAAATATTACTCCTCGACGTCTTCGACATCTCGTCTACAGGTGGAATATACTTGCCGTCGTTCCCCTATTTACTTGGGCGGGACCCGCGACCGCTATGCTGTGATCCTGCCCCCCTCTCAAAACACGTTCAGCCCCGGGAACCCGGCGACAGTCATCAGCAACAATGATCGTCATGATCTCCACTTAGAGGATAGATCAGATCGAGGATTTTGAGCGATGTAACTTCCTTTGATAGGATGGGGAATCCTTGTGTCCTGTTGGTGATGATGACGGCCGTGCCTACCCCTCCCCGGTCGCTGGCAATGATGTCGATGGCGTGATCTCCACTATCACCCTCACCTCCAAGCCCATCTCCAGAAACATCTGCTCGAGAACACCGAAAAACTGACAGAAATTGATAAATATATAGAATCTTTCACCATGGGTCACGAAGACGCCGTCTACCTCGCCAAGCTCGCTGAGCAGGCCGAGCGCTATGAAGGTTCGCTCTGAATCCTAATGCTCCTCCCTGTCAGGTTTCAGCTATTGACACAAAAATCGCAGAGATGGTCGAGAACATGAAGGTCGTTGCCTCGGCCGACGTTGAGCTCACCGTTGAGGAGCGCAACCTCCTGTCTGTTGCCTACAAGAACGTCATTGGTGCCCGCCGTGCGTCCTGGAGAATCGTCACCTCGATCGAGCAGAAGGAGGAGTCCAAGGGCAACGAGGGCCAGGTCACTCTTATCAAGGAGTACCGCCAGAAGATCGAGGCCGAGCTTGCCAAGATCTGTGACGACATCCTTGAGGTCCTCGACGAGCACCTTATCAAGTCCGCCCAGAGCGGCGAGTCCAAGGTCTTCTACCACAAGATGAAGGGTGACTACCACCGTTACCTCGCCGAGTTCGCCATTGGCGACCGTCGCAAGGGTGCTGCCGATGCCTCCCTCGAGGCCTACAAGGCCGCCACTGAGGTCGCGTCTACCGAGCTCGCTCCCACCCACCCCATCCGTCTCGGTCTCGCCTTGAACTTCTCCGTCTTCTACTACGAGATCCTGAACTCCCCCCGACCAGGCTTGCCACCTGGCCAAGCTCGCCTTTGACGATGCCATTGCTGGTTAGTTTTCGGCCATTTTATTCTGTTTTGCGCCACGCGGATGTTCGGATGAACTAACAAAGAAAATACAGAGCTCGACACCCTGAGCGAGGAGAGCTACAAGGACTCCACTCTCATCATGCAGCTCCTCCGTGACAACCTCGTTAGTCAACTCCGATCACCTTATTTTTGTTTTAACCTCCTAACCACTTGCCCCTTTAGACCCTCTGGACCTCCTCTGAGGCCGAGCCTTCCGCCGAGGGCAGCGCCCCCGCCGAGAAGAAGGAGGAGGCCGCTCCCACCGAGGAGAAGGCTGCTGAGCAGTAAAGAGAGAATTTTAAAAAGATTTTGATGATGGATTCACGTCCTCTGGGTGGACGAGAAACAACCGAGAGTTGCGCGACGGGTTTCCCCCGATGCACGCCTGAGCGGATGTCGAGGCTCAAGGAGTGTAAGGCGCATTGATCCGAACTTTCGACATCACCATCACCATCTAGGAGCCTCGCGGCCCCAGGACGGTAGAGAATGGCGAAATACTAGTATCAGTGCTCTTCATGACCTCCTCTCACTGCTTCAAACGTTTTGCTTGTGCCGACTTTTGGTGCCATTTCTCTGCACCTGGGAGAGCGTATCCCGCCCCTTTTCGTTTTTCTGTCTTCTCCTTGTTTATTTGTCTACCTGCCTCCCAACTACCCCCTGAAAGAGTCCCCTTTGCGCGCACTCTCCAAACTTTATCCCCAACATACACCCGGACAGAGAATCTTCCATTTTTTAAACGAGTTCCTTATCAGGACTACAACGAGGGCCTAGTACTGATCCCCGATCTGGCTTTTCTCCCTCTCTTCTCTTCTTTTGATACGTATCTGTGCCTTTTGGCGTTGAGTCCTCGCTAGATATGGGTTAAAGAGCAAAGTCTTCCAAAACCTGAATCCTGATGGGTAGGCTTTGTAGTTGTGTAATGGGTGAAGGAGATATTTCTAGACACACCTCTTCCGCCATGTATTCTTTTTCTCAGGCAAGCCCGTGGTATAGCTCTTGTGTCTCCGCTTCCCACGCTCCCTTCGCCAAGATGGCTTCCAAACACCTCCATACATCGCTGTCATCGTCCCCGGCAACGACATCCCGATGCCATGATCCGTCCTTGGTCTCCATATTATTAGACTTAAGACGTCATGATTTCTTCCCGTGAATCGCGACCTGCTAGACCGGTCACAAGAGGTCGAGCATATATGCCGAGTACAGCGAACATCTTGAGGTCACAACCCACCCGGAAGCCTCCCGTGCGTAAGTGGTGAGCGTGATCCATAAAACCCGACTCTAGAGCCGGGTAGGTGACAAGTAAGCACCATTCACCGTACTGCATTGATCCAGAGGGGATATAAACAGCCCGGAAATACACGCTTCTGGGAAGGCAACCCATCTAGAGATACTAAATCAGTGCATTCACTAGTGATGCATGTGTCGGGATCGCTCCCTCTGACCGCGGGTCGGTTCTTATTTTGCGAATTGACTCGGAAATTACCATCGATCATTGAGGTGACACCGGCATGAATGTTCCAAGTCTGATCGGTAATTTGATTGTCGTTCGGGGTACTTGACAAGCACATCCACTATGTTGAATTCTCGTTCGGATGAGTCGACATGGACGTGCAATGACGAGTAGCAGCGGTGTCGGGGAGACCCAGCTCTACGATGTGGTCTATGCGAGTCCACAATCACGCCTATGAAAAGACAAACCTCGAGATAAGTCATAGTCAATCAAGCATAGTGCATTGTCACGGCGGTTTCCGAGGGATGGTGACTTAATCAGTGTGTTGGTTTCGGCGTTAAGAATCAACTTCGGCTGTAGGTCCCTCCCAGGTGGAAAATGTTGGTCGAGGGTGACCCTTCGAAAGCCAATGTATCATTCGAAGTGGTAAATGGTAAAGAATGGTGGACTGGCTCGGGCTGTGGACTGTCAGTCGAGTAAGGTGGCACACAGGTCATAATATTGACCGTGTTCCTGAGCGTCAGCTACTTCTTTGTGACCACCCTGATCACATGATGCATTGTGGGTGGAACGAGTCACTTGTCCTGTATACCGGTGGGGAGATTGCGATCAGAATGATCGTGATGATCTTGGGAGACTTTGTTAGATCTTGCAGAGAAGGTTTATGAAAGGAGATATTGATGGGCTGATGACCGTGGTTGTGCATGGGTTCTTGATGAATGTAGGAGTTCTCGTAAGCTTTGGGATTTGGGCAGATAACATTGCTATATCTATTGAATGATGAGCTTAGTCTTCTACTCTAGAGTGCTGTGCCAAGGGCTGTTTTGTGGCGATTTGCAAGCTCAGGGCTGTGGTTTGGAAGAGATGCGGAAATTTGGTATCGAGTAGATGATGGCCGACGAGCATGAAGAGTGGGAGTCAAGGTTAATCTCTATTGGAAGATCGTATGAGTAGGAAAGCCTTCGCGGAGAAAGTAGCATGGTTGAAGGATCACGTCTATGCCGAGGACTTTGGCAAGTCGAGTGGAAACTACATAGGGCAGTCAAGTTAGTAGAAGCCAGAAAAGGGAACGAGGCATCCTAGGAAAAGCAAAAGTACCACAAAACAAGAATATCCCTGAGACCCCTCTGAGTGAGGCTCTCGGGTTAGCCTTGGGTTAGCCTTGGTTTCCCAATACGGACAGATAAGCCAGCAGAGCGGCCAAAGCCCGGAAAATCATAAGCTTACGCAGTTCTATATCAAGCCTTGCACTAGGTCCAACACTCTGTGATCTCGCAATGCTGGAGCCCGAACTAGTAGATCACCGTTCCGCCATCATGTACTCAACTCCTCATATACCCTGTTCACGGGTGCCGCAGATCGCAGATGTACCACAACCTTGTCAATACTTCTGTCTACAAAGCTCCCACATGGCACGAGAGGGAAGCCTAGCGGTGTAGATATATGCATATCTATGCGTGACCAGCCATTGACGTAGTCCATCAGCGATATAAAGAAGGCAGCCAAAGAGACACGCCCAAATGGCAACAATGGCAACCGCACATACCCCAGACTACGGGAACTTTGTTCTCCGTTCTCGCGCCAGTCAGACAACCCGTCAGCCTTGCGATCAATGGCGTGAGATGCAGTTGCACTTACCCATCATGCCACAGTCATTGATTTTCAAGACCGAAACGGGTGGCGGGTATTCGAGTGTTGGTACGGATGGTGGCAAATACGTGGAATCTGAGACATGACTCTCCAAGCCCCCCCCCCACACTGTGGGCTGTACACTGTGGACTGTACGTCCCAACGATCGGGACAGTGTTTTTTAGCCTCATCCTGTACGCGTCAACCGGATCGTGTCGGTTTCCAGACCAGGCTGGTGCCTATCCGAACCATGTGTGTCCTTTGTTGACACATGTGACTTGCCCGATTTGTACGATTATGGATACTGAAGTGAGTCACGGAAGGGGCGGGAGGCAACGTCACCACTACTATCCGAGATTACACGATCATTTTGAACTATTTTTCATTGCTGTGGTTAAACCCATCACGCTACCAGCTATGCAAGCTAGACAGAGGTATCAGGGCAGAAGAAACAAAGCGGGGACTTGAGACATGCACGTTTCTTGGGTATGGCTGAGCAAGAGCAGAAACAGAGCTGCAAAGAAAATAAAGCAGAAACGATCGTTTTCTGCAGGGCCAGTCCATCGGAGAATCGAAAAAAGTAGAAGAAAAATAATTGCAACAAAAAATGCGGGGAAAATGGAAGATGGAAATGTACAAGCCCCGAAGAGCGATGGTCAGAAAGGTAAGAAGAAGAAAGAGGAAAAAGAAATCATGGACTGCTCCGAGATGGACCCCCCCCTAAGATGCTTTCCACCACGCCGTCCTGCTGTTGACCATGACCATGACCATGCAATGCCATATGACGACGAAAACATTTCCAGTTGGCTCCGGCGAGGAGTCATTCAATCAAATCGAGTTCTAGTCCCAGTCCCCGAAACGCCCAAGGTGCTATGCATCCGATGATAAAACGAGAAGAAAAAAGTACAAGTGAAACATGTCCACAAAAAGCCGCCGTGGGAGATAAAAAAAAACAAACGCCGAATGAGAGGGTAAAGAGAGGGAGGGATCAGGGTAGGTAGGAGCCCGGTGATATCGACAAATATTGAAGAGGTAGGTGGTTCCGCGGTATTGATGCCTGATGTTTGGGTGTGGCACACCTGAACCGGATAATTGAAGATCATGGATGATCACGGTGCCAAGACTCAGGTGGCGGACCACTTGACGAAACCCCAGGTATGCAATGATGTCACGGACAATCCTTTTACCCCCTTGAGTAAATAAGCACTTGTGACGATCGTCATAGTTCGACAGATGTCTTCTGCGCCGGGTGGAGTTGGTGACTGTGGCGTAGATAGGTGAAATGTATGATGAATGGCCACTCGAGCCAGTCGGGTAGCCGAAAGAGAGAGAGAGAGAGAGAGAGAGAGAGAGAGAGAGAGAAGAGAAGTGAAGAAGTGGCGACAACCGTCCGTACGAAATACCTCCACTGGTCGATACGAGGCTTTCGGTGGTATCGTTTCAGAAACCTGTCATGCTTGTCTCGTAGTGTACACGAACTGCAAGGTGTATGATGGAGGCGGTTGTCGTTAGGCGAGAAGAGAATAAAGGAATCATCGGCATAGGTCGCGGCGGGCGGCTCCCAAGCTGCTTTTGCAATGTCGTAGGATAGGAGTCACGCCTCCCAATGTCCTGCAACGCCCATCCCTCCTCTCGGCAGCGAGTTATTTCTGTGCTTTCCGAGCCTTTGTACTGCGGTTCATTTCACTTTTGGTCATATTGCGAGTTAGGCCACCGATGTAGTCCTGGAGAATCTTGTTCTCGTTTTCTAACTTGTCGTGATCCGACTTGACCGCGTCAATGCGCTCGGCGAGGGCCTGGAGAGAGGATTGGAGAGCCTTGGCTTGCCTATGGAAATCTCACGTTAGCTGGATTCCGGTCAGTTATGCAGTGAGAAAGCACTCACTCTTGAAGAGTCTGACGGGCCTCCTTGCCCAATCGCTCCAGATCGGCAGAATTCCGGCGCGGACTCATGGCGCGGGCGTCGTCAGGAGGGAACTCCTCCTCCTCGATTTCGATTTCGGGGTGGTCCCGGGGGACGAGTATTGATGCGGACGGTTTGCGGCTCGCCATACGCGGACGTTCGGAGCGACCCCGACGTTCAGTCTCGGCGTCGGATATAGATGAAGATGAGGACAGGGAGGACATATGCATGCGGCCACCGTCGTTGGGTTGCGGCAGGGTGGGCACCGGTGAAGCTTCATTCATCTCTGTATCAGAGGCCATGGGGGTGGTTCGCAACAGACACGGTCGAAAAGGGAGGATTTGGCGAGGTCCAGCGTGGCGGCGTACACGATCCCGTCTTGGATGGGGTTGATGTGATCGAAAACAAACGATGAACGACCACGGTCTACCCCTAGCGATGTACCCCAGACGAGAAATCTGTGTTACGCTTGAGGTAGCTACCGGGGTCGGGTGGGGGAATCGAAGGTTGAATGGACCGGGAGTCGGAACCACAGTTGAACAGTGGTTTTGGGAGCGGACGCTTAGGGAAGCCTTTCGGGTAGATCGTATAGGTAAGAGAGCGTGGGAGGGTTGGAGGGGGAAGTGAGGTTGTTGATTGACGAAGACGGTGAAGGTTGAAGGAGAAGAATTCGAGTCGGAGAGAAAGCGGAAGGGTGCTCGATAAGGGAAGAAGGGGGCGTGGTGGTGTATCGTTGTTACACGTATGGAAGGTACATAGTGGACTAGCGGGGGGGCTACGGTAATGTATCCAGGCACTCCTGGTACTGTAAACTGCAGCGGTACCGGTACCTTCACCTCTGATCTCTGCACCTTTTAAGTAGGTGGAGAGAACCTTTGTTTCTTGGGTATGGGTGGAAGTGATCGTCCCCTCCAAAATGAATAATTCGGTGAGAATACTCTAATCATATGATCCGAATGAATCCAATACTATATCCCCGACATTTGAGGCATTAGATTCTTCTCTTCTTTTCCAACCCCTTTCCCTCCAAGAAAAGTACACCGCTCGTCCCACTGCAATCGGCTCCGTCGCCCTGTTCTTAACGGGCTCGGGCTCCGCTCTCACTCCATCCAATAGGAGACCGCCCTGAGGGGGCCCACATCACTGGCAGAAACTGGCTGAGTTTTACCGAACTTTGATGAACACGTATTCCCCTAAACGCACCCGGGATTCTACGGTCAATACCACTGTTTTCCGTGTTCCTGAATATTTTCTACTTTTCGATTTTTGGACATCACTCTTGTATGTTTACGCCTGCAGAGTCTAGCATGTACAATGTACTCCAAGGGGTACGAGGAAAGCAACCTTTCAGGGGAGGGGGGGGGGGCGCGCTATGCAATGTCGATCGAGCCGCAAATGGGAAATGACGCAACTTGACTGGTTCTCCTTCACGGTGCATACGGTTCGCTATACAGTAGGGATAACCCCCGGATGACATCGGTGGTATGACGGTGGCAAAGTATCAAGGGATAATCTTCAGATCATCTGAGAGATGAGATATCACACTGTAATTGGGGATTTGAAGACAATCCTGTCGGACGGGCAGGAATCCATCTCCGACATCACATTCCCTCGGCTATGTACAAGTACCTGTAGTATGAAGCCTACAGCAGTATAGATACTACGACTTCCTACGCGACGATCTCAGGCAGTTTGATATGGGTTCTTCGCTCTCGGCAACTGCGCTCTGTAGTCGGTCGTCGGTCATCCATCATCCAACCCGCCGTATCTGTACAGCTGATCCTGACCCTGTACCCTGATCATCTCGGTCCAAGCTACAGTACAAGATCCCTGCTGCTGCACCTCTGCTGTAGACTTCGGAGCGGCAAAAAGGTGAACCAATGCGCGCCCGATAGACGCTGACGATCCATTCCCGCGGGCTCAGCGGACTATCATTGACGGGTCGGGGTCTGACTAAAAAGGAGGTGAAACTTCGCAGGGTCAACGCAGCCGTCGATCCCTGTGGCAGGCCCCTCCACGTCGGGTGAAGATAGACTGGGACCACGGACAAAGCTCGGTGTAAAACAGTAACAAAGTACATTGGGGCTGCGCGGACATAGATCGATGACCATTTCGACCCATTGAGTACCAAGATAGGTAAACAGTGTAGTGATCCGGTTCGAAACTAGTCCGCCTTTTACAGGTACCGGACCCGACCAAGAGCGCCATGGGTCCCGTACCGGCAGTGGCTTGTCGGAGCCAAGTGGCTGCAGTACCTCGAATCAAAAGTGCCGACGCCACTCCATCACTTGCACACCTTTTTCCGGGGAGCGCGGTCCGACACGTTTCGTGTGGCTATTTGCTTTTTTGGTGGAGAATCTTCGGAAATAATAGTGTTCCAGGGAAGCCTAGGAAAAGCCATGGAAAATAGCGAGGGAAGAACGAGTCGACCCGAGGAACCAGTGGTAGAGGCTCCTGACCCCCCCCCGACTCTGCGTTGGAAGCGCTCGGGCCTTGGAGGGGCGTGTGACTGCCTTTTTTCTTTCGCGGTTCCACCGTCTACCGTCTACCGTCTACCGTCTACGGGGACGGAGAGAGAGAGAGAGAGAGAGAGAGAAAGAGAGGGAGAGGCTTGACCTCTGATTCATATTACCGTGTACCCCGTTGATCTGCAGCCACGCTGATTCGCTTCAAACCCTTCCTACTCCACCCCGTACGAATATGTTTTCCATCTTACCAAGGCGGATGGCGCGCGCGATGGAGGGGTGGACTTTTGAAGTGGCTACTTTTTACCAGTCCCTGCCCATCGCGAGCGAACCAATCGCCCGACAATTTTACTCGTGGGCCTTTTTATCTGGGTTGTGTGGGACCCAAACCAAACGGAGCATCCGTGCTAGCCATGCTAGCATTGCTAGTGCTAGTCGACCCGGAGTATTGTACCCTCTCTAACCCTCTTGCTCCGATGGACGTTGTCCGATTATGCCTTCTTAATTTATTAATTTTTATTTATTTATTTTTTTCCCTTTTTCTTTCTGCGCTATGCTGCCTGACCCCTCGGTGGAGGGGCTACTCATTAGGACCGAAGTACCTTTGTACCTTGTCTGTTGGCTCCACTATGGTGATAGCGTATGTCCAACGCATGCAGTAGAGTCGTATGAAATGTGTTTGTGTGGAAACGCCCGTTTTGATGTTAATTTTGAGTACTTTATCGCTGTCACAGCTGTCAGAGGCCCTCGTTTCAGCTTGTCTGCGATTAAAGACCTGGAGGGGTATACACCGTTGGGTAATCTGACATGCATGTTCGCCGGTTTACATTGGTCAGACAAGTCCCCGAGCGAATGACTCAATAGCGATACTGGGTCAACGTGACCGAGGTCATCTGACCCGAATCTACTCAATTCGGGAGTTCGGTCAATACGAATCGAAATCTGGAGTAATCGCTTCCTTCTCTTCGGCTGAAACTAAAGGAAATACCAGTTTCACAATGTCACATGGTGCCTTGATCGAGGATCACTATGTCGCTTGCAGATCTATCGAGCTGCAACAATTAGGTCTAGTATTATTTACCTTCGTTTTCGGTTCCCGTTTCCTGCTCGGGCCTCCGTAGCTTTTGTGGAGCGAGAAACTATCTGCGGATGAGCTTGGATCCGCTCGATCCAAGCTCCAATGTAAGACTAGGGCCGATGGTGTTCTCCGTGCACGGGCTGGGGTGCGCAGGGTGGATAGGAGGTTATTTTCTGTGGTGCTGGGGTCTGGGGGTAATCGGTAATGAGTATAGGTACGAGGCAGGGACCTGTACGAGCAGGGGATCCTAGTTCTTAACGTGCCGAAATAATCTTATTCAATGGCTTGGGATGTATTGTACAGGTGCAACGGCGCTCAATGATACCCGGGGCTCAGAGCCCAGAATTTCATTCAATTTCATGAAGCTTCTTCACTGGTCTGCCACTGGAGCAGTGCTCTCAGCACGGCAACGCCGCCAGATTGGGTCTCAACGGTACGGCCACGGCCGCGATCATTGAAATCCCGTGGAACTCCCGGGCCGGAAGTTTTTGTATCCACAGTGGCCCCGTCGTTGATATAGTCCACAGCACCTTCAGGGAGAGTACTACTATTCACAAGTTCATCGGAGACGGTAGCCCGGTTGAAGGGAAGTCCCCACCACATGCCGAACTTGCCCTTTTCGTCACGAGTCATAAGTGCAGCCCGTGCATTATGTGCAATCCAAGTACCATAGGAACGGCATTTCTTGAGATGCTGGCGGTACACTTCATCCCAGTCATGGTCAACGTCAGGAGCCTTTTTGCTTGCAAGGAATGATTCCTCTTGCGGCCGCAAGTGCCGACAGAATTCCGTTAAGTGATGGAAGAAGATGCCCTTGAATGTCTGTCCATCCTGCGAGCAGCTCGCGTGGGAATCACATGTGTCTTCCATCACACCGCCACGTCCCAGGCCGGCCCACTTGTTCGATGAGATCTGCGGCCATCCGGTGGCGCGAAGAATCTTGCTGATCAGATCATGGCCATCGTCGAGGTAACTCTTTGAGCCGGTGGCTAGCCAGAGTCCTCTCAGCCCGCTGAGAACCACTCCCTGGTTGTACGAGAAGACCATTTTGTTGAGGACGTCACATTTCTGCGATCCGGGATTCGACGAGCCCTGCCAGCCGCTGATGTGGAAGCCGTCGGCATAGAGACCGTAGATGCCCGTCATGTTCGAGTTCTTCAGCCATGCATATGCATCAACGGCTGCTTTCAAATGCGTCGTGTTATGCGGGTTCTCTTTCCTGGGTGCATTGCTTGTCGAAGTGGCGACGAATGGTGCGTCAATGGGGTCGCCTGGGAAATACAAGTACATCGCTATGCTCGCAGAGATATACAGTTCGTTTGTGATCGCGTTCTTGTACGGTATCAGGGTCGGATTCCAAATCATCCCACCGTTGCAGAGAGTCTTATCCCACCCGGTCGAGGCCAGCTCCCAGAAGATACGTGCCCGGTGTGCTGCTGACTTGCGGAATTGCGTGCCGTACCATTCTTCACCCGTGGTATTGTCGGACGATCCGCCAGAGGAATAATGCAGATCCGAGTGCAGGTCTTGAAATTTGACGTTCTCCAGCCAGTCCAGAACGACCCAGAGCATATCGTCGTAGGCCTGGTTTCTGAGACTAAAAGCATTTTCGCCAAAGTAAAAGGTGGTGGTGTGACTGAAAAAATGATTGATCGTATTCTCGAGCGCAGTGAATGACTTTTCTTCTGGGGGTGCCTTATCGAGTTCAGACACGCTGGACGTGAAGGAAGAGAGTGTGGCGGCGACATGTGTTCCCAAAACAGCCGCGGTCCAATCGATACTGGTCGGCCAAGTACCCATCCATAGTACAAAATACTCTTCTTGCATGGCCCGCAATGCACTGAGCAGGTGCTGCTGCGTCTCAAGGGGCGTGGACCATGTCAAAGGCCCTGTCGCATAGCTGACATCGGCTTCGTTTGCAAGGTCATCCAAGGTGTTGAAAAGACTCTGGACGCCGGCAAGGTCCTCACCAAGTGGCTGTTGAGGCGGATACGCCAGCGCATTGGCCGCAGGCGCAAAGAGAAGAGTGAACAGAGAAAGAACCATGTATAGAGACAGGGCTAGCCTAAAATAGGCCGCAGACGTGGATAGGAGAGCCATCCTGTCGTTTCTGTCAGAGCCTAAAAAATTCAGCGCCGAGCCCCTCCTCCTCTATAAGAATACAACACCAGGGGCACAAGGAACGACAGCACAAGATTGGGGATATCGATGCGGGGAAGGAAGGGTTTGGCTCGGAGCTAAAACGGGGCTTAGTCACCCGACCCACCGCAATTGGAAGTAGATATCCCATGGAATAAAAGCGAAGTACCTGTGAAGGACACGCGAGTATTCACCTAAGAGATAAAAATACAAAGTACCCAGTGAGCATCACAACAAGTGGTGTGCTGGTAGTGTGCGCCACATGGAAGCCGCGTGATGCATCCCCGTAAGGGTTCTTAGACTACGCTTGGACAGACCCGAGCTTATTTCAGTACAAGTACACGCTAGTCCGCTACTGAGTTCAGAATACAAGTCTAACACCGGTATATACCTGGAAACAGATAGCGTTCAAGGTGGAGACCCTGGATCCTCCTTGACCTTTTAGGCCTGTCGATCCAAATCACCAGCCAATGCAAGCCAGGCGTGATATCTAAAATAGCTACGATCATATTGACTCGTACACTTCATGGCCATTTTGCATTTCAAGTACAGATTGGTGCTAGCTGAACCATCAGATGTCATGAGGCTAAATGGCAGACATTCGTTGGAAAGAGCGGTCTTCAAACAGACCAAGATCTATCCCATTAGCATTCTTTTGTTCTGATTCCATGTCAGTAGCTAATACGAAACTGGCCGGATGGAAATCATCATACCCATCAGGACAATGTATTGTGACGCCGGCACAAACCTCTTCGAAGGTAAAGCTTCGTCGGGCTCACAAAGCATAGACGGAGCATTAAAAGAGGTATAATGTGCCGGCGAATTCATGGAACCTCATTTCATTTGTCATCAATCCAGAAATCGTATGGGTATGCGGGAGTAATCGAGAGAAAGCGCTGCGGCGGAAAGGGATGACAGAACGAGTAATCCAGGTATCAAAAGAAAGGGGACGGGCAAAAAGTCCCCGGTAAAAGTTCATCCTTCGCAAGGAATATGTATTTAGTTGCGATCACCCTCGGGGCTGCGACTGCGATCCGGGCTGCGGCTGCGACCCCGGCCGGCGCCGCCACGGCCATTCTTAGCTCCGGCCTTGCCCTTGCCGGACGGAGGTGGGCGAACGAATGCATAGTCAACTGAGATTGTCTGGTCGAGCAGCTTCGTTCCGTTGAGGTTCTTGATGGCCTCACTGGCCTCGGGAAGAGTCGAGTATTCAATCAAGGCGTATCCCTAGCGCGGTGAGATGTCAGCTTCTAGTTCTCTCAATATTCCCAACGACACGGTAATTCCATCTCTGATAGGATTCAAGGGCTGGGGTCACAGCTGCTAGTGCTGGCGACAAGCCCAAAGAGTAGCCCGCACGCACCTTGACATAACCTGTCCGTCGGTCCAGGTTCAAGTTGAAGTTCTTGATCTCGCCGTAATCGGCAAACAGTTCTGTGACGTCCTCCTCTGAAGCTTCCTCGTGGATGTTGGACACTATCACAATCCATCCCTCGATACTGCGCACGGCGACAGAGTTGGTCTGAGTTCTGGGCTCGAAGCCGTCGCCTTGCGGTGCGTCGTCCTGAGCGACGGGCGGGTCGACTTCCATTTCGTTCGACATTTTAGAGATTGGTGGAGAAGTAATAGGGTCGGAGGATTCAGTAAAGGAATTGAGGCGCTGGTGTCCAATGGAGCGAAAGGGGGATTGTGTTCTGACGTCTGCAAAGTGAAGGCGCGGAGCGGAAAAGCTTTGGCCTCCCGTTTGGGGTTAGCGTCCGCCGTTGTCTTCACATCATGTTTGTTACTTGGACTTTGTTGCAGCGGCCTCTGACATTTTGGACAAATAAAGTGTGCTTAATTCTCTTTTGGCTCAATTTTTAATACCGTGAAGCTGTCTATTCAATATATTTTGAAATGAACGCGAGGGTCTGGAGACATCTCCCTGCATATGCATGAACTATAACTTACGGTTTCATACAGCCTGCTGATATTGCTAGATCAAAGGGTCAATTACCAACAATTTGTGTGCTCTAGCAAGCTCAGGCTTGATGCAGGCAATCTATTATTGAGTAGACTCAAGGATAAATGTCGTCAATTCGTTGAAGATTCCACAGTTCAAAATTCCATTCGACAAAGAAATTGGGACGAGTCTATTACAGGAGATGCCGCTTAAAAGATAACAGCATTACTGAAATCGTCATTTGACAAAATACTACTCGAAGAGAAATACAAGTCGCATTTGTACAAAGGAGACATGCTGGGCAGATTTCATTGACCCATTGACCTGGGGAGTATACACAGGAGTGGTCCGAATAGAGAAGCTCTCGAGGTTGTTAGATTTAAAGGGAGACGTAAAGTGAAAGGAGGGATGGAAGCAAATAGCGTACTGAAATTTTCCTCGATAGCCTTGGGGCTCGAGATTCGACACTCGGGATTCGTCTCTTCACTACTCTTTCCCTCTTAACTATCCCCTCCACCAGCCCAAGACGGGGGGCCCTCTCAAGCTCATCCTAATCAAGATGGCGCCAGAGAGATTCCGCTACACGGATTACGAACCTGAGACAGGCGAGGAAAGACCTCCAAAATGGTGGCGCTGGTGAGTGCTGAGAGTCCTCGCATCCGCTGGGACGAACGGACACAATTGAAACCAAATAATAAACAGTGATGATCCTCTTTGTGCCTGCCAGAAAGCGCCAATACCGCCCCCGAAACGACCCATTGGACTGCTCATGTACGACCAGGAAACAGGCAAAATGTGCCAGCTCCATGAACCTGACACCGAACTCGATGCGAGCTTCGATTTGATCGTTGGGACAATGCGCCTTCAGCAGACGTTACGCGACCGAAAGACTTGGCCACATGCACAGAATACAGTAACAGTACACTTCAACAAGTGGTCCAGCGCCTTCGTCAACCTCGAGGGTCTTGCCGATAACTCTCTTCTGCTTACCTTCAAAATCCTCTCGGGTGATCAAGTCACCCATCTTGAGTCGAATGCCAACAAAAGTTCCGGCACCAACGGAGCCAGAGTCAAAGATATCTTGAATAATGGAACTCATATCAACGGAACTACTATCAATGGCACCAAAGTCAATGGCACCAAGGCCAATGGAAAACATAACGAGTTAGGATCGAAGCCAATGCTGCGACAAGGAGTTCTGGGATTCTTCCCTAACGACCAGACAAACGAATGCCCACTCTTCAAAGCTGTGAATGAGAACCCCGACAAGGAAAAGATTATGCAACTGCACCTCCCCGAGGACCGCATCAATGCATGGAAGACAGCAGGCCTGATTTTGCTCACTTTCCGAGAGATTAACGCTAGCATTTGGCATCGAATTACCACCAAACAAAAGGAAAAAGACGTGGCAGGGCTCAACTGGATCCAGGTCCGAGAGAAAACAGCTCTAATTTCGGTAGTCATGACGCTCGAAGAAAAGAGAAGGGTTCAAGCTGCCCTCGACAGGGAAAGGGCACGATCAGCTGCTATTATGCAACAGGCTATCCACCTTGGATTGCAGGGAGATCCTACCGGGGGATATATCGGGTTCTCGGTCCGTGTGCGTACGGCACAGTATGGCCAATTGCGCGCAGGAGATCTCGGATTCCGAGGCTGATCTAGGTCTTTACTTCTCATTTGGAGTGGGCCTTTCGAGATGACGGTCGACTTCGCATAGCACCGGATAACTATGATACCTCGTCCACCTTTTGAATATTCTAATAGGGACTACCGATGACCCTGGATACGAATGAATGACATAATAACTGGCGATAGCGGAATGGAGTTTCAAAAAGATTTTGTATTCCAAAGAAGCTAGAATATTGGCTCGTAGCAATATGTATTGAACGAAAGTCAAGGAGTGGAGATTGTATTCCCCGTTCGTAGACCTTGGGCAGCTTCTATAATAGAAGCTGCAAGTGAAGCAAGAGAATAAAGTAAAGAAATCGTTTAAAGTACAGTCCGTATAGATGAAAAAGAAATGCAACCATTATAACGCCCATGGTATCAATCACCAGATGGCTTACTTCCGGTTGTTCATGCTGAGGATCTGCACCATGCGAACGAAAATGTTAATGAAGTCAAGCTCAAGGCTGACACTCTCGTTAACAACATCACGCTTCATGTAGCCACGCTCGGAGAGACGGGCGTGGTGCAGGATCTTTTGGATATCGTAGAGAGTGAAGCCACCGAAGACAGCCAGACCACCGTACAGCCAGATACGCTCAGACCACATCAGGGTGCGAGCAGCGGTGACGGGAAGAACCATGGGTGCGAGACCAGAAAGAGCAACGAGGGTGACACCTGCGAGAAGAGGACCTCCGAGATACAGGTACTTCTCCTGCTTGGCGGTGGCGCCAACGAAGGCAATCGAGCCCATGAGACCGACAGTGTACAGACCAGCACGGGCGAGCAGAGCAGGGTTGTGGAACATCAGAGGGGAGAGGAGCGCAGCCTGGGTAAGGTTGAACAGGGTCCAGAAGCCATACTTCACGGCGTAGCTGTTTGAGAAGTAAGTACTTTCATTCTCAATCTCAACCGTGGAGTTATTAAGGGAGACTTACTTATCGGGGGAGGTGTAAAAAGTGCCGTACATCGAGCCAATGCTGCCAACCAGGCCGACACCGAGAACGAGCCATGGGTTCATGGACATGAGGCGGTACGACCAACCATTGGAGTGAAGTGCGCGTGCAGCAATGCCAATGATAGCAATACCAAGTCCAGTGTGCATGAAAGTCTCGTTGAGGAAGCTACGCTCGTAAGCGGGCATTCCGCCGTCCTCGCGGGTCTCGCGGTTGAAGATGAAGTTGGTGGCCAAGATGGTACCACCAACGATGGCACCGCCGTACAGCAGCTTCTGCGTGAAGTTACCGGAAGAAGGGTTGAAGGTCTGCTGCATGTAGGTGCGACGGAAGGCATTCTGGAAGGTCTGGCGAGACTTGGCGAAGATGGTGGAGGCAGCTGCAGAGGGCTTGGGGGCCTGAGTGGGCTTGATCGGAGAGTTGTGAATGAAACGAGCGGTGTTTGAGAGCTTAGGTGCCTGGCGCAGTGCCGAGGACACGGCGAACGGACGCCGCAGGAAGAAAGCCATGACGATGATGTCGAGAAAGGAATGGCAGGAGAGTGGTTTATATCTGGACGCCGCCCCAATGATGGCGGATTACTCACCGGAAGCTCGGCAGTTCTTAAGTCCGAAGCTTCTGGAAGCGCACGTGACATAGTGGGATGGCAGTTTTTGGAATCTCGAAATACGTCATTCTCTCATTGTGGCCCTATCTAAAGGCACTCATTCGTGATCATGGCGCTTCTGGAGACTATCGATATCCCTCATTTGCCTTCGTCACTACCAGTGCACGTGGCGCTGTATCGCAATGTCGAAAATGCCGACTATCTGAAGCAGCAGTTGCTTGCCGGCAACTCGGAGTTTGAATATGCCTTGATTGATGCTAGCATGGTATGTGCATAGCCACTATTGATTCGTATAGATGATACATTCTAATTCAAACAGGTCCTGTCACGAGCTCACGCGATCACTGCGATTTTCCGAGCTATTAATGATTACATGAACGGCCGGCTTAAGTCTCGCAATGTGCACTCCGAAATTGTGTTCTCATTTAGCTCCACAAACAATGTATGTTACACCCTGCATCAAATATCTAAGAGAATTACTAACATGTTTAGATTGCGGACTCTTTCCGCAAGTTCGGCATCGCCGACTCCACTGAAGATCTGCTGGTCGTTAAAGTCTCCGTGGCCCCGGAGATAACCCATGACTCCGTGGCGGCGCACCTGGAAGCATCTATCAAGGGGACCCCCGTTCCATTTGATGACGAGACATTATCACAAATCTCTGACGTTGCAAAGATCAAGAAGTTTTACAAGCTCGGTGCTTTGCCCGACCCCAAGCCTATCTCCGCTGAAGCTAATGGTGTCTATACCGATGATGCCAAACGTCGTTTGGAGCTCTCGCTGCTGGGTGCCATTGCTTTAAGAGGATCATGATGGAGTCTTTCAAATTCAAAGGTTTCCATTCTTGCGAAATCACTGTTCGCGAAGATCTCATCATAACCACCACCAGGCCTTTACGGGTGAATTCACTGGCAGTCAGCCCTCGCGTCCAAACCCGCTGTCCGGAATGCTTGAGCACGGGATTACTCATGCAGTCATCTTCGAAGAGGGTGCTTCGCTAAAAACCTGTCGTAATATGGCGCAACAATGGGCCTCACCGACCCAAGTTGGACTTATTATTTAGCTATTACCCCATACATGGCACAGATACCCCTTGACAAATCATCCAATCGGATTCGAATACCATATAGATATTGTTGAATAAAACTAAACGATCTTATGGGATCTAACAACCATTTTGAGCCGGCTACGATTTGAAAGCTTCTAACACTTTTCGAAAAGGCTGGCATCCAGCTTGGGCCATACCATTCAGCCTTAAAATCGTAAAGCAAGTGGTCAAGATGACTTGGAACAATGCATTCGCTTAGCTTCAAGCACTCGAGATAGAATTCAAGCTACATAAATCAAAATTTGGTGATGACGAGTTAAATACCGAGCGTTGCCCGGCCCAACATGCAGTTCGTCCCAAAACGGCAATCCCATTACTTGCCAAGAGTCGCGATCGCCGCCGCCGCATCACATTGTAACGCGACATCAAACCGCTCAACGCGCAGGTGACCGACTTGGCGGCCATTCTGTCCTTCTCGATTATGGCAGCTGTTCATTCAGGTCGAACGTGAACTTTTCAGCCTTCAGACGCGCCCAGATTCGACATTTATCAGCTACAACGCGCCGCTCGCCACGATGACGAGCTCTGCGGATGTTATTGTCATATCTTCCTCTCCAAATCCGCCGCGGACTCCCACAAGAACGGCGATTGATCCAGATAGAGAGTTCGCCATTTCGCCACAAGACGAAACGCCACCGTCCCTACCCTCGCCCTCGGAGCTGCTCCCATTACCTTCGCGCTCTCGCTTCTTCCCTACGCCAAAGGCCACCGACGATGCACCCAAGCCGAAACGCCGAACAACGAAGAAGACTACAATTTCGGATCGCAATGACAAGGATGCGTCAACCAAATCGTCACAGAGAGCAAAGAAAGCTACGAAGGAGCCAAAGCCGAAAGCACTAGGAAACGTTGAAACAGACTCCCTTGATTCACGGATCGACGCTTCCAAAAAGGCTACGGTAACCGCGAAAGGTCGTCCACGGAAGAACGCAAAGAGCATGGGGTTGGGTAACATGACACTAGCCGGCAAAGTGACGAAGTCGAGCAGTGAGCCTCAAATGAAGAAGACGAGTGAAGCTGAGAAGACGGTACAGCAAAAGTCACCCAGTGGCTTGTCTGAACAGCCTGGCACCAAAGAGTCGAGGGCCCTGAACAAAGAGGAAGAGCTACATTTGGACAAAGCCATGAGAAGAAGGGTGAATTGGACACCACCTGAGGAGGATACTCCTGGAGAGGTTCTTGTGGTGGATGATGATGATCATCTCAACCAAAACGATCCTCACCCTATCACGACTGGGCTCGGAAAGCTTCTATCAGATTATAACTACTCTGGATCTGGTTCGGAGATACGCAAACTCCCGGCAAATGCAATTCGCGGTGGTCTGACCAAGCGAAGGAGGATAGAGGTATGTAGTGCTTTGCTCGTAAGCTTCTTTTCAGGATTTCGGCTGATTTTCACCAGCTGGTGGACCCTCAAATTTACCACCAAACAAACAAAATCGCTTCCAATGAGGAGTCTTCGGTTCAAGAGGGAGACTCGTCATCATCCAGTGCCAAAACTAAGAAGAAGCCGAAAATTCAGAAGCGTTTCACAACTTTGACGGCCCGAATGACTGCCCAATATGCAACCAAAGAACCCGAAGATGATTTGATGGGTGACATTGTCCCAGATGTTGGTAAGCCAAAGTCTCGACGAGGCAAAGCCAAGTCAACGGATAAAGGCCATATATTCACCGTTCTGTCGCCTGAAGCTGCTGCCAAGTCATTGGAAACTCAGGATCTCATGTTCGGTACCTGTAGTCAGTTGGAAAGAGAAGATTCCCCTCAAACACTTAGGGAGATGCAGCAAGCTATTCGCGAGTCAGAAGGATTTTTTTCTGTGGAAAAAGAAGCAGGCGCCGTATCAGGAGTCGTATCTCGTGGAGCTGGCGAACGGGGCTTGTGGTCTGTTGGTGCTCGGGACACAGAAGGGTCTCTGATACAGGCGGAGCCGCTGGATATGGTGGATCTTACAAGTCCATTTGAAGCCCCTCAAAAGAAAGAATTTGCCATCGCAACGATCAAGGCTCATGCTCCAGCAGCTCGGGGTGATGATGATTGGCTCGACCTTGACATTGAACAGCCTGATACATCGCCCAAGAAGACAACGCTGCAGCCCGAGAAACGCTCAACCCCCGTAGCGAAGCCTAAACTCGCAACCCATGCTGAACCAGTAGTGGCCCCTCGCGGAATTTCAGCAAAAGTGGCAAGTCATCAACGGGCAGAGTCTCAACAGCCTTCGATGCCGCATTATAGTGGATTCACAGATGCCGAGCTGTCCAGCCAAGTTGCCTCTTTCGGTTTCAAGTCCGTTAGAGGCCGCAAGAAGATGATCGAACTGCTTCAAAAGTGCTGGGAATCCAAACATGGAAGCTCAGTCCCCGTGACACTCAGCCAACTCCCGCAAGTTGCCGATTCTACACAGACCGCTACTCAAACAACGATAAACAAACCAAAAGCGAAGGCGAAATCTAAGCAGAGCACCACCATGTCCACATCAAAGGCTACGACCAAAAAGGCAGAACTTGCTGCAGTGTCTACGCCAAAGAAGAGTATACAGAAAGCCTCAAAGGCAGGGCAAAATACCCAGCCGTCGTTCATAGATGTAGAGGAGATCCAGGATTCCGAAGATGATATCTTCCTCTCCCCCAGTCAAGTGCAAAAGCGATACACTGAAATCTTTTCGAAAACCGCCAGCTCGAACCGTGAGCCTTCCCTCGACATCACGACAAAGTCATCACAGCCACAGAGCCCAACGAAACGCAGGACGACCACCGCCAAATCTGCACGCACGGCAAAGCAAGTGACAACCTCAATATCCAAAGCCGACAAGGTAGACTCCTCCAAGCGGAGCAGCCTGGCAGACCTATCTATGCAGATCACCAAAGCTGTACGGCTTCAGTCCCAGTCCTCTCATCCATCAACGCATGCCAGTCGACTTCGCCCAACGTGGCAAGAAAAGATTGTGATGTACGACCCCATCATCCTGGAGGACTTGACAGCCTGGTTGAATGTCGAAGGGCTTGCTTTAGTTGGAGAGGACCGCGAGGTCCACACTGGAGTTGTACGGGGGTGGTGCGAGAGCAAGGGGATCTGCTGCTGCTGGAAGAAAAACGCACGTTGGTGAAGAACTCACCGACATGAGCATCTCTAGAGTCGATTTGTATTTTATCTGGATCTGTATATAGAGGAGTTGATACCCTCAAGATGTGGCTGGCGTCTCAAGGGATATAGATAATTGATCATCCTAATGTTTGAAAACAGTATCTACCTCGTCTTTCCAACCTTGAAATCTTCTTCAACGGATACCAGGCATTACGTTACTGTTTCTTAAGCATTCTTTTATGCAATTTTTTTTTCTGCACGCTCTCTCAAGTGCTGAAGATGTCCAGGATAGACAGTAACAATTTCCCACGGAGAAAGCAGCCAGTTTGCCGCAACAAAAAGAACCTCACCGGCGCATTGCGCAGATCCTGAAATCTTGAAAACCCGCTCATAGCCCTAAAAGAGATCCTGCATCTAGAAAACAGAAGAAGATCAGAACCAATAACAAGGAGACAAGGATAACCACGGTAAGTGCAATAGAAAAGCGTGACAATGAGACAATGAGATAGTGAAAAGGCGACATTGGAACGGTGCAGGGAAGTATGTGACTTCAGCAGGGGCTCAGGGCAGTAGAAAATTTCGAGGTCAATGAAAACGTCCCCTCTAGGCTGGTTCTGCCAACCCCATATCAATCTCGTTGATCTGAACATTGGTCTTTCCTACCTGGCACTGATCAAAGTAGGCCTGTAGCAGCCCATGCAGCCTTTGGTTTTCCTCACGCAGTTCCGTAACGGTCTTCAACAGAGCAGCGAAATTGGCTCTGAGCCTCTTGACCTCCCCACGGACCAGTGTCTCGCCAGTGACTCGATCGGTCATCTGACAGGGAAGATCTACATTTGAACAGGCAGCGCAGCCCCCGGGGTTGGGGTCGCAGGCAAGACGACGATACTATTGACCGATTAGGCTCAATGGATGGATATTTCCAGGCAGAATGAAGAAAGTGAAGGAATGAAAGTCGACGTGTAAACCTACCTTGCAACGATCACACGCCTGACGAGTTCGGGCGCGTTTAGCTGACTCTGGAGTATTGGCCCTTTGGGCGGCTGCTTCACGACCACGATGTGCGTCTTCACGAGCACGCTCTGAGTAATACTCGGCTGTATCACCATCGTGCTTGCTGTGACGCTTTCGGGAAGTTTTCGGGGTAGAGGTAGGGCTCGCACTTTCTTCCTTGACGTATGTTCGATCACTCAGGTGGCTCTGGGATTTGGCTATGGGACCTTCGCTGATTGCGGTCTGGGAAAGCCCCAATTGCAGCAACAGTTCGAGATTAGTGCGATCGTCGCTCATATGCTCAGGAAGGTTGTGGCTCATAGCTTCAGACATATTGGGATATGCTATGGGCCAAGGAAAGACAGAGGCTGTTACCAAGATCGGTCACGCGGTTAGCTGGAACAAATAGGACCTCAAATGGTGTATGAGTGGCTCAAGACGCTTGATATCTTGAATTTTTCCAGTATAGAGGCAGAGGTGTTCACCTACCTAGTGTTAGTGTTTGTAGATGAAATTAAAGTGGAAGTTGTATTCAAGGGTAAAATAACAAGCAAAGAGATAGAGAAGTAGGATATCGAGTGCGCGTCTTGCGTAAACATCAAACAAACATAGATGATGGCTTGATCAATTTGCAGGCCTCAGGTTTACCACTCAGTTCCTCTAGGCCTGAAAACTATTCTCAAATGTTATCTTTCAGACCCTTAAGTGTTTGATGTAGTCAATAGTTCATGCCTCCGGAGAGATAGTATTTATCATCACGGCTTCTTTATATGAAGAATGCTCATACTGCTTCCAGATGCCTCACTTTTTGTTTTTCGAGGGTCCATATAAAAAATACCTCGAACTTGACTCACAGACTGCTGCATCAAAGTACTACACCATTGACACCGCTTTTTTAAATTGAGAAACCATGTTTTGTGAAGGCTATGAATAAGATACTATGGTATGGCAGGCCATGTTTGACCTTTACTACACCACAACGTTAGGTAACGGTAAATTCGACCCCGAAAACGGCTGCTCTTGGCACTGTTTTTAGCGTCAAGAGCGGCAATCAGGGATTTCGTCATGCCTTGTTGTTTATGTTATCCGATTTTAGCCGTCAATTGCAAACTAGGAAAGGTCCTTTAGTTAGGCAGTCCACTTACCCCCACACACCTGTAGAGAACGCCAGCAAGTAGTGCAGGGTCAGTGGTGTCGACGCCTATGGTAATGAGGTATGAGTCTGCAGGGATGCTAGCGGTTAGTTGCGTGGTAGTATCGGGACCAACTAAATTATATGATTCATAATTAGCTGAAAATTATCAAACAGCTTCTTGGCGTTGACAATGAGAACAGTACCTAGGGCAGTCAATCCAAAACTGCAGTAGTATTTATTCAAGACACAATTTTGCGCAGTCACGCTTATAATTAGGCACGTAATTCCAGTGAGAATTGGAATGACAGGCATTTCGGTAGTGTGCTTTTTGGGTAGAAAGTCGATTGTGAGGTGAAAATTACTACTGGTATCGTCTGACCCTGGACAGAAGAACTTCGAAGAGACTGTGCTAACGGCAGAGGAAAAGAGATAAAATATTTAATAAATTTTTCAGATTGATTACTTTTTAAAATTCTCATTTTTATTTTTATTTTTATTTTTTAGCCGGTCCTCTTCCAGTCCCTAGCGTTACTCCAAAGCGCCGTTATGAACTTCGTTAGCAATTGTCCCACGCCCGCTCGCCCCTCATAGCGAGCTAATTCCCGAGACGGAAGATGCGCGATTTCTCTCCAAGGGCAATCCACCCTGGCAACATGGGCTACGCGAAACCACCGCCGTCGGTGTCGAGTGAGATTCCGCCTTTCCACCAACGGCCAGCCGGCCTTGGTGAGCTTGGTATTCACACGACGAGCCATCATCGTGTGTCTACAGTCAAGGCTCGGCTCAAGGGTGCCTACCGGGTTCATTATATCCACCGTCGCAGCCTCCTCGTTAAAATCGTAACGCTGGACGAGCTGGTCTCTGATGACTATGAAGAGGACATTGGTTCCGCATGGACAGGATCAGCTGTACATATGGACGAGGTGCATTCCTCTTCTCATCCTTGCTTTACTTTCCTTCTTGTCCATGTACTCGGCGTGGGTACGTGCTTGCTCCATGTGTATCATAATTTATGTAGTCGATGATAGCTACCTTCAAAACCAGACTTAACGATACATAGCCGGAGTGCAACAAAGCCAGTGTGATACAGAGACAAACCTAGCGGCTAGGCAGGCACATATCCCTCCTTTACAAGACTGATCCGAGCGTGGTAGCGTAAGCGGCTAATTACTAGAGGAAAATTCTCATTTGGATTGCGAGGAGACTGGACAGGGTTTAGGTCGCAACGTCGAATCTCAAGTGGCTGAAGCGGGTCACCAGCAGGCATAGGGAAAATAATCTCAGTCTGCGTGCGTCTTGGGATCCCTTGTCGGTCATTTTTGTAAAGTTCGAGGACCCCGCTGACTGATTTATTTGCATGCTTCGTCCACTTAACAAGAATGACGATTTTGATCGCCCCGTTACCACCAATGAGTAGCCGATTCATATCATCAAGTCGGTCATTGTACGACTCGCTCCACCCAACCTCTGCGACAAGAGTTGGAAAGGGCTACGATGGGATGTGGAGAAGAGCATCTGGCTCCTTTCGGAGACCGCGATATGGACCATTTGTGAATGACAGTGCTTTAGACATATTATTAGTAAGGCTACGATCAAAGTCGTCAGTTGAGCTCACTTGTGCCTTGCTGTAGAAGGAGAAGGTCTAACTCTGCTAGGTCCAGGAAATCTATCGCGCAGGCTCTAGAAATTGAGGCTGAAATCCATTCGGCAATACAGTTGTGGGCATAAGTTGGCATAATTTTGAGTCGTAAACAACGGCTCTCTGGGTTATAGGTTTTTCGAATAGAAGGGAGATCCTCCTCGACTTCCCAGAGGAAATGCTCCCACCCTGGCGGCATGTTGGTAATCACGAGCTCATGAAAGCCTTTAGCCTCGCGAAGAGTATTGTGAATAGCCTCCTCAAACTGTGGCTGTATTTTGAACCGATCTGCGGAGACCACAGTCCTCGATGAGACGCTCGAGGGAGTCAAGGAAAGAGTAGACATAGCGAAGACAAGAGGAAATAAGTGAGAGATAAGTGGAGAAGAGAAGAGTAGGGAATGCGGTGTTGAAGAACTTGTGTTGGGAAAGAGCGTCTTACAACTACGCGGCTCATAGATCGCGGATTCGGAAGAACAGTTGATCCGGGTCACTCGTTCTGAATACACATGACGTTGCTAGTCTGGAACGGAAGGTCTGAAGCTTCTATTACATTTGTAGGAACGCTGATATGGATGGTGATACTGACTAGGCGCTCTTCTTCTTCAGAGACAAGCGGTAATGAGAGTCAGAGTCGGATGTTGTATGGTGGAGCAATGGGGTCGTCTCATTCAGGATACTATCTAGATTATATGGCGTGTATTTGGTTCCGGCGGCTTTGAGATCGACCGAGACCATTGTGTTTGTATTCAATTGGGTTATACGGGTGAGACGAGTTAAGAAGGCGATCGATATAAAGATACTGTGAGATCAAGTCGTTGTTCCTTTTATAATAATTTTGACATCAAACAGGTTAGTTGTATGATAAAAGATGAGAGTTGGAAGAAAGCAGTGATAACACAACATACATTGGCTTGCGTAGGCCCTTCAGAGAGAATCTAGTGGTCGATAGTAACGTTGCCTACATGAGAGAGAGCAGTCATTAGAGATACTCGGATTCCTTGTGAAATATGGAAGATGAGGCCCGTAAGAAGAGGGTGGGATAAATCTATCCATATGATCCGACGCGATAATAAATGGTTCATAACATCACCGGGGCAATTAAAGTATCATCTCTATGGTACGTACTATTTATATCGGGCGTTACTATGTCCAATCATAGAGTAACTGCAAGAGAGAGCGAGAATCAATTATAACAGAGCACCATAATGAAGTACATATATTGTCAGGTATATAGGAAACATATGGTCAGTACCAGCAACAGAGTACCACGACATTAAACACACAACCAAAGAAAGAAATCGGCGGTGCAGCATTATTTCGTAAATGTCAACCAAGAAAAGCGTATAAGGGCCATCCAGCATAATTAAAATATAAAACTGAAAAAAAACCAGATGCTGTCAGTCTTTGAACTCCTGCCATGCTCGGCCAGCCCAAGTCGCGAGCCCAATCTATACGGATAACCAAAAGAATGATATGTGTCCAAGTGTCCCGGAAAACCTGGTATCCCAAAATAAAAGAGGCTGGGAGTGTGATAAACCCAAGAATTGAATGTATGAAGACAGAGGAGGTACAGTAGAGATAGTGTTGATTATGGTAAGGTGTGGTGATGAACCTCATCCGGATTTTCTCTTATTAGGGGCGACGGTTTCGAACTTGATACGTGGCTGATACCGCTTTGTACCGCCTTCATCGAGCCAAGACGTAAGATTCTTACATTGGCTCACGTCAAAAACTTGAAGCTGGTGGCAGCCCTCGGCGACCGCTTCAACACCAACACCGGTGACACGAACACAGCCACGCACAGAGAGGTGTTCCAAAGAGAGTAGGTGGAGGCCAATACTTCGTAAAGAGGGGTCGGAAATTGCGGAGCCGCAGAATGACATGTTCAGATACTTGAGGTTTGAACATTGTAGGGCGAGGACTTCGGTTGCCGTATCAGAAAGGGCACAACAGAAAGACTAAAAAAAAACCATCCGTTAGTGATTGGAAAATAAGATAAAATGGTTGCTCGTGGTCATACCAGATCCAACTCTTGCAACTGCTTGGCGGCGTTAGTCAGATGCACGATGGCGTTGTCTGTCAAGTATGTGCAGTCTGCAAGACAAAGCTTCCTCAAGCTGGTGAATCGAGCATTGCCCCAATACTGGAATCCCTGGTCCGTGATAGTCGTGCAACGAGTCAAGTCCATCTCTTCGATTCGCCCTGCGGCGTGCGACGCAATGTGATGCATCGACCGATCCGTGACATGTTTACAATATGAGAGTGTGAGCTTTCTCAATTGCGGACAGCCATAGATGGAGGCCTCCGCTGTTTGAATTGTCGGCTTGATGGAGGCACTTTTGCCCTCAATCTTTTGGGTACTGGGGACAATCCAACCGATGATGCGAGCCATAAGTGTGTCACCCACCTTCCGGCAATTGCTCAAATCCACCTCCTGCAAGTTCTTAGCCTTACTAGACATTTCAAGAATAGCCGAGGCGGTGACATCCCAAACACTCTTCATCTTCCACGTCGTAGAGTCAGGTGCGCATGTACTAGCCAAAGCATTGAAACCCTCATCGGTGATATGGAAGCAGTTGTTGATATTGACAGAGCGGGGGCGATTTCCGACGAATGGGCAGACGATCTTCACAAGAACGTCGTCGGTGAGCTGGCGATTATATATGCTCAGGTCCAAGTCGTGCACTACGTCGGCTGATTGAGTCAACATCTCTGACCAATGTGATGATACACCGCGGAGTCGAAGGAGATGGTGAAGGTCCAAAAATCGGAAGATGTTCAAGAGAACGCTATCGGGGAATATTCCGCGATAAGCGTCGCCGAATGAACGGGAAGTTTGTGGTTTGAAGAGGCTAGATGTCTCAGGTAGGGCGAAGGAGGAAGAGCTAGCAGAGCGTGGTTCTGAAGGGGGAGAAGGTCGGGGTTTTTCGCCTGAGACCTCTTCTAGTGACAAGGGTGCAACTGATCCACGTCGACTTCGAAGTCGAACTTTGTCTAGTCCCAGGCTGAGATAAGGGTCGGGATCAGATGGCCGTAAGACCGCCTGGTCCTGGTCCTCCACTGGCGAGGATTGATGCGGGCCATCCAACTCAGTTTCAGTCAGGGTCAATAACGGCATTGAGCGTCTGCGAGATGCCGTTATCTTGACCTGATCATCGATGTTCAAATGGCCCATTGGTGACTGCTCGTCATTTGCATCTGACATGATCACGTCACCATCTGCAGCTGCCTGAAGTCTCTCTTGAGCAGTGTGTTCGACCTGCTCACGAATCTCATGGGGACACATTTCCCAAAACTTGGAAAGGACATCTCCACTGAGCATCAGGCACTCGACAGCCGTGACAGAGCGGACGGTTGCTGTTCTTCGAGGTGCGAGTGCTAGACTGACCACTTCTCCGAAGTACTGGCCTTGCTTAAGTCGAGCTTTTATTTCGACTGAATGGTGACGGGTTCCGTTGGGTTGTTGTTGCTTGTGTTTTGAGTCATTCCTTTCGGTCACGACCTCGACTTCGCCACGGACAATGAAGTATAGTTCACGCCCATGTGAGTCTTGCTGAATGATGTCGGTGAATGGAGGAAAGGAAGCTGGTTGAGCTTCTAGACCCAGAAAGTGAAGGATATCGGCGGGCAGACCAGAGAAGAGAGGCAGCTCCTTGAGCAGAAGACGGACATTAACAACCGCATTTGCTAAGGCGCTGGATGCATCCCGGCGGCCCGGGCTTGGTGATTTCCGCTTCTTATACACTGATTTGAATGTCAAGTCCTCTTCATCTTCAATGACCATCAAGTCTTTAGCAGACGTCTCTCTCAATCGTTTTGAGCCTCGCCGCACCGGACTAGGGATCGGATCGTCCACCACTGGAGCAGATGTTTCCTTCTTCTTCTTCTCCAGGATCATCAGTCGCTCCTGGGCTTCTTCCATAATCGCCTGCTCCACCTCCGGAAAGCGTGGCAGGATATTTCGAAAATCCTCCTTGGAGAGCACGACCAGCATGCATCGGGTGCGGGCGATGATTGTCGCTGTGCGCGGCCGATCCATCAGCACGCCGATTTCTCCAAAAAAGGCGCCCGGCTGCAACTCGGCATATATACTCTCGCCATCACGCGAGGTGACCGATACCGCACCCCGTACCAGCCAGTATATCGCCCTTGCATCGTCACCTTCGGTCAAGATGTAATCGTTAGGGGCGTGGAGCTGCGGGCGCAAATGTTGCCCGACCTCGATTAAGAAGGATTCTGGGGTCGCCTGGAAGAGGGGGAACGAGCGCAGCCGGTCGACGAGTTCTAGCGGCAAGGCTTTGATTTGGGAGGAGGCTAAAGGTGAAGGCCGCACCGGCCGGTTGGGGTTCATGACGGAATCGAAGGAATGGATGAGGGACACGGCGTCAGACATAGGGACGGCCTTGGTCGGGCCCCCGCTGGACCTGCCATGGCGACGCATGGTCAACAGTAGCAATAGGGGAGATCAAACGGAAGCACCGATGGGCGACAAGGTAAGTAGGCCCTTTGAGGGCGTCAATATAGCGATGACGTCGACGAAAGTAGCGCAAGTGTCGAGCTTGTCGTCGGCATTCTTCCACGCCCAATGGGTAGAGACGCGGTGCTAGCGAGCCGGCATCAGCGGGAATCGGAGGAGAGTGGGAACTGAAGCTTTTGCAGGAGGGGAGCAAGACGAAAAGGTGTCAGAGCTCACGGACGGGGCCAGGTAAAAAGGTGGGGGGTTTCCGGTTCAGCGACGTCAAATGCGGTTGAGCTCCACCGATCATCTGAAATCCTTCGGAAACTCTACTTTGAGCTCCACTTCGTCTAATGACTCTTGGTAGATAGGATAGATAGGGCCCAAATTCATGGAATTCGGGGATGGTTCTTTTACGACCTGGTGGGGGGCACAAAGCGGTCGGCTGTTTCGTGGATCGCCGTATCCTTCGGTGCCTGCAGAATGCCACGGCCGATCTATGTTGGCTTTCACCACGGAATACACTATCATAGACTACCTGAGCTATCAGTTCTAGAGCGATAGAGTTCGAAATGAAGGGTAGAACTAAATGTCAATGATGTCTCCAGGAAAAGAAAAAAAGAAAAAGAAAGAGTCCCCGGATGTCGCTAAAAGCAGCAGTCCAAATCCGGGCTTCCCTCCGAGCCCCTCCAAACATGCATCACAGCCCTACTGTGGTATCCCAGTAGTTCCGTACTTTCGGCTGCAAATGTGCCTGAGCCAGTAAAGCGTGACTTTGACGGTGATTCGCCTGTCACGTGTCCACATATGACATGCATTGTTAGATCATTATAGAGAAGAAGAGTATTTCAAGTGATGGGTTCGGGGGTATCAAATGCAATTATAGTACAGCAAAGGGCAAAGGAATGCATAACGGCAGACTACAATGTCGCCCAACCTTAGACGCCCTCGCATGCCAAGTAAATAGGCTTCTAGAGCCCACTTGGACCCATGTATGGCACGAATAAAAGCCAGCTTTTTTTGGGAGGGCTAGGCTTGATGCACGACTGAGATGGCCCTATCCGGGAAACCCCTGGCTATACCGGCAGTACGCTGGTTTAGAAAACTCATACTGCAAGCATGATATCAGGATCATGTGTCGAGCTCGCTGGGTAGATGACAGGCAACATGAAGGCCAGGCCTTGATAGGGCTTTGTGGCCTGCGACCGGCAACAATGATGGACTCCTTTCATGCGAAGGACTCGGGCGTGAAGAAGGCTAAAGTGTGGCTGAATTGTATCAAATCAAATAGAGCCTTCTTTGCTGGACTTGGACCGACGATTGCCCAGGAAAAAATCCACATATGTGGGTCTATTCCCTTTAATTGACTCCAGGCCATCTTGCAACAATCCGTACACAAGACTCAATTTCAATCCGAGCTTTGCCGTGCGAGCAGCAGTGTAGACATCATGGCGAGCTAGAAGACGAAATGAGTCAGTATTATCCTCGTCAAAGTATCAAAGAGGAAACCCCAAAACTCTCTTACATAGTAAACTGTATATTCCAGAGAATGACAATCCCGCTGTCACCGTCGAAAGGAAGTCTCTCTCCTCATGACGGGCATAGTCCACAGTTTCCTCAAACAGACAGAATGCAAGTGCACCGGCACCGAGCTTCGAGCCCATTTTCATGGCATCCTTCACGCCTCCCACCACCGAGATGTAGTTTTTAGTCTTGTGGTACTGGAACCACCCGGCGGACGTCGTAGGGAACCGATGGGCATTTTCGGCACGGAATCGGAGACCTGCCTTATTGCTGCCATGATAGTATCCGAGGACCGCGCCCGTAGAGAAGGCGGAAACGGTTGCATAGGGAATGCGCCTCTCGACGTCGATGCCTAACCGCGGCGGGGTGTCGGAGTCGAAGAGCTTATGCCAGTAGATTAGTTTCAGGAGGAGCGAATTCTCCCGTGCGGAGTTGGACGGCGATTGTTGGGCCTCCATGTTGAGCTTGGAGCAGATGAATGTTTGACGTAGGTGCAGCGCAGCGCAGCAGAAATTCGGAGCGCGGCACTCGGGGACCCGCCTTCTTCTCCGCCTCCGTCACTCAGTCGAAACGACTTCATTCAAGAACTTCTACACTATTTATCCAAATCTGCACAATGGTACGTGTCCAACTACTCTGGATCCATCCATCCTTCATTTGAAAGCCTTGTTTTACTAATTCGTAACGTAGCCACCAAAGCAAGCAAAGCTAGATTCGCGGTCTTGCACCCTCCTCTTTAAGAAGCACAAGACCACCGTCCTCCTCTCGCTTCAATCCCATGAGTCTATCACTTCAGCCAAAGAGAAGCTTCTCCAAGCTTTGAATTCACGACAGCTTCGCGATATCAATGGCGACGTTATTCCCGATGACCCTGCGGCGATAGAGCTTGGCGTGCCCATGGACCGAAGCGACCTAGACAAAGGATGGATGAGCTTAACAATGGATGTCCCAGGTCAAGAAAGCGGTGCAAAGACCGGAAAGAAAAAGTTGTCAGATACTCTGCAAGCTGCAGGGCTGGAGAATGGTCACTCAGTTGCATTCCGGTTCCGCAAATTGGGTGCAGGTGACGAGGTCGATACGGATATGGATCTTAATGATCCGGGTTGGGATGTGATTATCCCAAGCTTCGATGAGGAGGAAGAGGCATAGGAGCAATGGGCCACGGTTCGTAGAATAACGAAGGGCTTAGGATGGCTCAAGGCGCCGGGAGAATTTATTTGATCACTTGGCTCCATGCTTCATGCGTCATGCTTCATGCGTCATGCTTCATGCTTCATATACTTCAATCCGGTGTTTGGCCAACTTTCTGCATGATAATTATGAATCTACACGAGACTGACACGGTCCTAACGTCTGAAACTACAGCTATGTGTATCCAAGGGAATTGCAAAGCACTCACAACTAAAGATCTCTGTGTACATCGGCCATCGATCATTGATCTTGAGTGCTTCAGTAAGGGGCTTCAAATCGTGCCTAAGGTTTCCGAGTAGACACATTGTACATAGCGGTCTGCTGTCATTGTAGTCGATCTCCACAGCCCTGCGAGAGCTGAGACAGCTAAGAGCGTGGAATGATTGAGATCAGTGCGTGGTCAATATCTGAAACACTACAATTCAGGTGGGCCCTTCCCCCGTGGACCGCAACTGCCACACACAGATCGCGTCTATCGCCACTTTCAAACGGTTGCTCGGAGCAACCAGGAGGGGAGACCTGCGCACTCGCGTCAACAAATGAAATCACGGCCAGGAGTCTTTTCGGAGAATACTGCACCACATACCCCATACACCTCTAGATCCACACATTCTTCATCTTCACATCGTTACCTTCGACATTATCTACTGGCCACGCCGACCCCAGGGTCTGCTACGACACACCGGCCCCGCAACACCGCCAAGGGGGCAGACCAATCCGACACGACACCATGGCCTCCGATGGCGCCTCCTCAATCTCCGTCACCGTTCGAGTCCGACCTTTCACTATCCGAGAGGCCGCTCAAATCTCCAAGTGCGACGATGGCCCCCTCTTCCTGGGCGATGGCTCGCTGGCCGGCAAGCCTGCTCCGAAGCTTAACCAAAAAGGGATTCGATCCATTGTCAAGGTGATTGACAACCGTTGCTTGTGAGTCTGAACGCATCATCTGCTCTCTGCAACGGGGCGACACGCTAACTTTCCAACCAGGGTATTTGATCCTCCTGAAGACAACCCCGTTCAGAAGTTCTCAAGGAGCGTGGTTCCAAATGGTAAACGCGTCAAGGACCAAACATTCGCTTTCGATCGGATCTTCGACCAAAATGCCTCCCAGGGCGAGGTGTACGAGTCGACAACCCGCAGCCTTCTCGATAACGTCCTCGACGGTTATAATGCCACGGTTTTCGCGTATGGTGCAACGGGATGTGGAAAGACGCACACGATTACTGGTACCGCCCAACAACCGGGTATAATCTTCCTCACGATGCAGGAGCTGTTTGAGCGGATCGACGAGAGATCGGCTGAAAAGGCTACGGAGATCTCACTGTCTTACCTGGAAATCTACAACGAAACTATTCGCGACTTGCTTGTCCCCCACGGTGCCAAGGGTGGACTCATGCTCCGCGAAGATACCAACCAGTCTGTCTCGGTGGCCGGCCTGTCAAGTCACCACCCACAAAATGTTGAGCAGGTCATGGACATGATCATGCGAGGTAACGAGTCCCGTACCATGTCACCAACCGAAGCAAATGCCACATCTTCTCGATCCCACGCCGTCCTGCAGATCAACATCGCCCAGAGAGACCGAAATGCCGACGTCAACGAACCCCATACAATGGCTACCTTAAGCATCATCGATCTTGCAGGTAGCGAGCGAGCCAGCGCGACAAAGAACCGAGGCGAACGTCTATTGGAAGGTGCCAACATCAACAAGTCTCTGTTGGCATTGGGAAGCTGCATCAATGCCCTCTGCGACCCTCGCAAGCGCAACCATATCCCTTACCGCAACTCCAAGCTTACCCGTCTGTTAAAATTTGCCCTTGGCGGTAATTGTAAGACCGTCATGATTGTCTGTGTCAGCCCTTCGAGTCAACACTTCGACGAGACACAGAATACTCTCCGATATGCAAATCGAGCAAAGAACATTCAGACCAAGGTTACTCGCAATGTCTTCAATGTTAACCGACACGTCAAGGACTTCTTGGTTAAGATTGACGAGCAAATGAATCTGATCAACGAACTTAAGGCGCAGCAAAAAGATTCCGAGAATGTGGCCTTTGCCAAATTCAAGAAACAAAACGAGAAGAAGGATGCCGTTGTACGCGAAGGTGTCGCCCGCATTCGCAACGCCTACGAGCACACACTGCCTGAAAGACAAGAGAAGACCAACAATATGCTTAAATTGAGACAAATCAGCCGTCGAATTGGCATTTTGTCTTCTTGGATCGCCGCTTTCGACAATGTGCTGGCTTCGCGGGAGGATGGTGAGGGCTTGGAAAGTCTGTGGGCGATCCGCAAGACGGCCCAGGGTATTCTTCTTGAACTTGAGGGCAGCAGACACCATTATAACCAACGACTGTCGAAGTGCACATGGGACCGAGCCTTGAGCTCGGCAGTTGAGAATGCAATCAAGCAGCTCAAAGAATTCGACATTAGTGACAATAGCGACTTTGCCAACCTGGACAGGGAGGCTGACCTTCTTCGATCCAATGCAGAGCGTGAGGCTCTGGCTGCAGTGGTGGATCAGGATAAAGCTGGAGAAGCTGCAGCCGTTCAATTGCTTTTGCAAGCTCAATTCGAGATGATGGCCTCGATGGAGGACATTATGCAACTCAATGCCTCTGAGGCCATTCAGAAGGGACGCGTGATGATCACAAAGATGCTGGACAACTGCTCAAACACGGCATCGAATCTGGTCAAGCCAGACGGCAGTTTGCCTCTACTTCCTGCCCTACAAAGCCCAGTCAAGGCAGCCAGCCCTCTCAAGCCAAAGAAGCGATTCAGCTTGGTCAGTATGCCTCCGCCGCGGACAAGCCTCGGCTCTGCTGTCCAGTTCGCCCCAGCAGCTCCTGCGTCTCCCACCAAAGCATCGCCCCGCCGTCGCAAGGTCGCTGCTGGCCGGAAGAGCGTGAGCTTCTCACCGAAAAAGACCCAGGTCAAGGCCACCAAAAGATCTGTTCGCTGGAAGGATGACGAGGATGATGGTCCCCTGACTGAATTCCAGAAAACACCTCAGAAGGCTCTTGATTATGTCGATTATAATGACGAGGCCAGCTCGGAAGAGCCCTCATTGCCTCGGTCATCATCTCCTATCCCCCGAAGCATCCCGCGGGTTGTCAGTCCATCGATTGCCATTTCTCCTGCCCCGGTCCCCACTGAGGGCACTTTGAATGTCCAAAAGAATAACAGCCGATTCAAGGCTGGCTTCCTGGCTAAAAGAGTTGGTAGCTCTCCTCTGGCACCACCTCCTACCGCCAGTCTCCCACTGTCTGATAGCGACAACTCTCCACTTCGGGACATCGATGGCAGCAGCTTCTTGAACCGCGCCTCTTCAGAGCGGCCATCTCGAATCGCAGTTCGCAGCCCGAGCGGAAACTTTTCGAGTAGCCCGATGTCCGACAGCAAGTCCGAGAACAAGGACAACTGGAAGAACGACAAAGAAGAGATGATCAAAATAAATTCTGCCATGCGCCGCATCTCTGTTGGCGCAGCCTCCGGTGGTGGCTCACTTCGTGTTCACCGGCGCCGCAGCCCCAGCTCCAACACCTACGGTAGCTCTTCCAGCGATGGCAACATGTTCACCGCATCTCAGGCTCGCCGGATGGTCAAGAGCGAGAAGGAACTCGATTCCAAGCCTCGTGTTCTGAGCCCTCACACTCTGCCCGTGATGAAAAATACCGGGAGACGCACTACTCTAGGTGGCGAGATCCGGCCTCGACATGCCAGTCTTTCCACTCGGGATGCGACGCGTCTCAGTGCGATGGCTACCCCTACTGTTGACCGCAACTTGCGGTAGACATGTCGATTTGATGATTCTTTCAAGGTTTATGGGCACGATATTGTGGTACATGGCATATTGGCGCTGGCGTTCGGGATACCAATTTCTTTCTTCATTAATCTCCTCCATTCCCACCGACGGATTCCATGACGACTTTGTCTTTTCCTAGGTCTTCTTTCGTGTTGTTACTATGCTCGACTGCTTTCTGCGTCGATATTTTCGTTTTTTTTTTTCATTTGATATATTATTTCTTCCTGTGTACATTAACGATGTTGCTCTGTTTATCACAACGTTGCCATGATGGCTCGTACACTTCTAAGAAGTTTTTAAGAGCCGTATAGATATAAGGTCCTGGGTAGACAGGGTTAAACTAGACTGCGGGGAACCCTGACCTTAGGCAAGGTACAGTGTACGAAAATCCCGAACCATCTCCGCCTGCTTTGTCAGAATGAATGACGCCACTGGATAGAGCTCTAGAACAATTCCTAGCTTCACTCGACCTTTCGATTCCTAATCCTCTTTATAGAACATCCTCTGTTCTTTGACTTTCTACCCTTTCCCGAATCACGTCGCCTCAGCTCCTCCTTCCCCACTTTCCTTGGGACGTTCCCCACCAGAAATTCTTCAGATGTCCTTCGCCGCACCGGCTTCAACACTCTTCTCACGACTCCTGCGCCCCTTCTCCACCAGCTCTCCAATCCTCTCCCTGGGCCCAGAATCCCAAGCGCGCAACATGTCCACCGAACAAGCCACCGTCGCCGCAGGCTGCTTCTGGGGCGTCGAGCACCTGTTCCGCAAGACCTTTGGCAACGGCAAGGGCCTGCTCGACGCAAAGGTCGGCTACAGCGGTGGCAACACCTCCTCGCCTTCCTACCGCGCCGTATGTGGCGGCGACACTGGCCGTAAGTCTCGCGCACACTTCTCAAGCTGAAATGAAGCTCTTCGACGCGTTCCGAGCTAACCGCTTTTTTTTTTTTTGTCAGATGCCGAGGCTCTCCAGGTGACTTTTGATCCTTCTCTTGTGAGCTACCGCCAGCTTCTTGAGTTCTTCTATCGCATGCATGATGCTTCTACGCTGAACCGTCAGGGTGGAGATGTCGGTACCCAGTACCGTAGTGTGATTTTCACCCATGGTGAGGAGCAGCAGAAGATTGCGGAGGATCTTACGGATAAGGTTAGCAAGGAGTGGTACAAGAAGCCTGTGTCCACTCAGGTTGTGCCTGCTGGTCAGTGGTGGGACGCCGAGGATTATCACCAGCTCTATCTGAACAAGAACCCGACTGGATATGAGTGCCCTGCTCAGTATGTGGATTCCCTGTTGTCTTTGGAGGTTGAAAGTGGATGCTAATTCGCTTTTTCCAGCTTTGTGCGCAACTTCCCTCCTCTTTCCGATTGACTTCAATCTAGATTTTGATTGAGTCTTGCGCTTGTGGGATATAGGAATATTTGGTTACCGTGACGGAAGAAAAGGTCACTGCATGTGAAACGACATTTGAATGCCCTCTGCATAGGGTGAACACTCATTGGTGTATAGTTCTTTTTTGATTGTGAACATTGTCTTGATGTAAATGAAGATGTTTTTTCTATTAATGGTCTTTCGTATCTGATTGGACTCGGTTGTCTTTTTGACAGACCTCGGTCTACTAACATCCAAACGCCTGAATATTAAATCGCAAAGTCATAAGGAGGGTATAAGCAAATCGATCGTGAAATCATCCACGAATCACCAGACCATAGAATGACACTGCCGAAGGAACGACAATTCCCAAGACGATGGCATGGAAGATACTTCTCTCATCCCACCCAGCCATGTGCGCCGCCATTCTCGCGGCAGTACCACCGACAACACCCATCCATACAACAAAGAATCCAAGATCATTCCAGCGCTTCCAAGCCTGTCCACGCTTCGACAACTCGGAAGTCGAGCGCATAGAAGTTCCCCATCCATCTTGGAAAACGGTAATCAGACTCCAAAGGTGGATCATTGGCAATGGGATGTTATAGAACAGAAGACCCGGTACGATCCAGAGCCAGGAATTGGACGGTCCGCGGTCTGGGTTGCGGGTGTAGTTGTACATAAGCGTGTAGGCGATGCGGATACCAACGTCGTACCAGTTGAAGTAGGCGAAGCAGCGGCCAGTGAAGAGGTAATAGAAGATGTACAAAAGTCCGAGAAGAGGGCCGAATTCCCGCTTGATAGCGGCCCAAAAGAAGAGTGGGTTGGTTAGGAGGTAAAGTTTTGGTTGTTGGAAGGATTCAATGTGGCCTGCTCGGCTCCACCGGACCTTTTGGAAACATTAGGACCCCAGATTCCCGATAAAGACAGAAGGAGACTTACCTGTTGCATGATCCATCTGCTCAGGGTTGTTGGGGTATCGGTTGCAGCTAGTGTATCGGAGACATAGGTAACAGTCCAGCCGCGCATAAGCAGATTGGTGGTGAGATGGCGGTCCTCGTTAACCACCATGCGGTGACCCAGTACGGTCTGAGTATACCAGGGATACAAAACAGCTGGGAGAGCACACACCCGAAAGGCTGAACTGGGGCCACTTTGGCAATCGCTGGTACCAGAAGATGTCGATGTCGAGCGCGTCAGATATAATTCGGACCAGTAAACCACACTGCCGAGCTTGGTAGTCACAGAATCGTCTTCGTTGTGCACAATCAGTCCGCAGCTGGCTCCTCCAACGTTCTTATCACCCGCAATAGTTTCAATGGTATTGCGAAGAGCATCACGCATGATAATGGTGTCAGAGTCCGATGACCACAGATACTCGATGCCGAGCATCTCGGAAATGACAATCGAAAAGATGAACGCAGTGAACATAATACCCTTCTTGTGAAGATGGGGTTGGAATAAGCATAGCTTTGTAATGCCGTCAGCCTGGCCTAGTTTCAGGTCGTGTTCGGCCAGGATCTCCCGGGCCAACTGGCAGCAGTGTGCAATGGTTGACTCCATATAGGCCTCGGGAGCTTGCAAGTTTCCGTCAATAGTTGACATCTTCTCGAATGTCCGCATGGCGACCTCGCCGAAAGGCTCGTCGACTTGAATGACGGCCGAGTTTTGAGGGAAGACCTGTTTCTGATGATTAGCTTGATAGCCACGAAAGTTGGAAACCCTTATTTTGTTTTAATGGCAATTTCATACATTTTGGAACACTCGAACCATCTCCATGTCAGGCACATCATCACCGTCGACACCCACAAGGACGAAGCGGCATTCGGATGCAAGCTTATAGCTATCCAAAGCACGGGCAAATAACTCGGGATCCTCGCGGTATCCGACTATTGCGGCCATGCAGTCAGTAGCATGATTGGCAATCTCGGATAGATGACTGGCTTTTTCAGGATCTTGCATAGTCCGAGAAGGACCCTGTAATTGTCGGCGACGGCTTTCATTTGTGTAACGATTGTACTCGGCAGCGAAGATGGTCAAAAGAACGTCTAGCGTCAATGGATGACGAGTATAGCCGGTTATAATAGAGTAAATAGGGAGTACGATAATGCAACCGACGAAATGAAGAAATTGGCGAAAGCGAGAGATTTCCGGTCCCCGTTGCTGGAACATGGAGAACCGGCTAGGGGTATATACCTTCTCGTCGAACGAGTCCATGGCGACACTCACGGAGAAGAGGAATTAACGAATTGGATAATCATCAAAAGCACAAGAATTAACGAGAGTAGTGCGCAAACGAATGTTGATTGACTTGAGCCATTGATTTTGGGGCGTTTTTCTTTTTTTCAAGGCTCCGGCGGACCTCCAACTTTCTCCAAGCCCCAAGCGCGGCCACCCGCCAAGATGGGCACATTATTCAGGTCAGACCAGTCAGCTTAGCGGCCACTAGCTCGTGCTAGCAGACGACTTGCTAGACTCGTAAAGGGTGCCTATTTCCGGTCTACCCGGCAGACGAGACTTTCTTCTCGTATAATTCTGCAACACCGCCAATGATCATTGTGGAAAAGGAGCCGCATAAGCAGCGCTAGAGCAAAAGACGATCTAGGGCTGGAACTAAGTCGGCCTAACTCGATCTAATTATGGACTACACCCGGAGCGGTGTGGGTCCGCCACGGGACTAGGTATGGATTAGACGAGAAAACCCTGAAATCCGTGTGAGACAGTGGGCCGTTAGTGGAGCCAGCAGGAGTTGCATCGCATCCAGCCGTGGGATGAGCCCCATCTGCCTTTCCTTGGCGTGTTGATGCTCACAGAAAAAGGAGTGGAGGACCATGAATGGGTTTTGCCATCTTCAAGCATGCAGCACGCATTCTACAAGGACAACCGCATAGTCCCTCTGGGGATTATGCTGGTGACCTTCTTCATCTTCGTTTATCATTTCGAACTTGATCGTCAAGGTCCACTAGGGGAGATCCCCGCTTCGGCTGTGCCCGCGACGTTCGTTGTCGAGTCGTCGCGACAGAAGGATCCCGTGCCATATGTGGAATACTTGGACACCGACAGCAAGGAGGTCAACCATGTTGCTCCTTCGGCAGTTCCTTCCATAGTCCCGTCGAGCCCGCCCTCGCCCGGCAGTTCTAGCTCTCCACGCCCGCAAACCGGCTTGACTACGGATGATGTGGTTCTTATGTTCAAGACTGGTGCCACTGTTCTGTGGAAGAGGGTTCCCATTCATCTGGCAACTACTCTCTCGCCCAAGCGCATCAATCCCGACAATGTACTTCTCTACTCTGATTATCCCGAGACCATCGGCTCGTGGGAAATCATCGACGTCTTACAGAACACCACCGAGAAGGTGCGGAACTCTGAAACTTTCCAACCGTACCTGCAACAAGAAGACTACGAGTCGCGCCAGAACTATGCTGAATCGTCCAACGTGCCCGGCGATGCTGCTGGTCCTCCGGGCGGCTGGAAGCTCGACAAGTACAAGTTCCTGCCCATTGTCCGCCACGCAGGCCTCAGCAAACCCGACGCCAAGTGGTATATCTTCATGGAAGACGACTCCTACATCTTCCTTCCCAACCTCCTGCCCCACCTGGAGAAATTCGATCACGCCGAGCCGTGGTATCTAGGCAGCCTGGCCTGGATTCATGGCGACTACTTCGCCCACGGTGGCTCCGGATTTGCACTTTCACGAGGCGCATGGGAGAAGAGTTTTGGCAAGGACCCGCTTATTGTAGAGCGGTTCGAAGAATTTACAGAAGTCCACGGTTGTGGAGATCACATCCTGGGCCATGTACTAAAAGAATATGGGGTTCAGTTCGGCGAGACTACTGGCGACAGTCGCTTCCGCTATGGATTCAACCCCGAGTCGCACTGGTCGACATGGTACGAGCAGGCCAATTGGTGCAAGCCTGTATACAGCTGGCATCACACGCACAGCAAGGATGTGGCGAGGTTCTATAATCTAGAGCAGGATTGGAACTTTGAGAAGGTTTGTCACCCTGCGATCTTACACTTTGAGCAGAGCAGAATACTAATACTCTGTAGGGCCCCTTGAGATTCCGTGATATTTACAAGGCGCTGGTCGCCCCATACCTGCACTCCCGCGTGGAGTGGTGGGATAACTGGTCATCCAAGTATGAGATCAAGTCCAGCGTCGCAAAGGACATCCAACCGCCCAGCACCGTCAAATCCACCGATGTCTGGCGTAATGCCTGGCAGTCTGTGGATGCGTGCGAAGCCGCTTGCACGGCCTGGTCCGAGTGCGTACAATGGTCCTTCTACGAAGACCGATGCAAGATGGACAGCATGTTACTTCTAGGCAACGGAATCCCCGAGACCGACTCACGCCGTCAGACGAGTCTACCCTGGGTCAGCGGCTGGTTGCCTCGACGAGTGGAAAATTGGGAATGCCAAGAATAGATTAATGTAGTGGTAGTGTATATAGAGTAGAGCGATCAAAATATGCTTAATAACGGCCCCGTTTCGAATATGGAGTCTTACAAGCCTCCACAGCCATGAATTATTTTTAAAATCCCCAGTAGAAGGAACCAGTCCATACATCTTCCTTGTTTCCCCAAGATCCAGAAGGGATTGGCCGTGTGGGCCACTTGTGGATGTTCAGGGCCCGTAATCGACCGGGGGAGTGCCCGGTTCCACTCATTTACTGAGACAGCGCTAATCAATTATAGCAAGTTTTAGCTCAGCTGCTTATTCCTCCCGGTTGACCCTTTTTTTTTCCCCTTCTCTCTTCCCTCAGCCTCCAGATGTCACTGTGAGCTATGGATCGCACCACCTGGCTGGATGGCCTGCGTGGTATCGCAGCGGCCATCGTCGCGACAGATCACTACTTCATGGGCGGCGTTTTGGACTACGCTTTTAATTCATTCTGGGCCGATCCACCAGAGGAAAACAGGCGGTTACTCCAGCTACCTCCAATTCGCCTCATATTTGCAGCCCACGCCATGGTGCCGATGTTCCTGGTGATTTCGGGCTATGCCATCTCAATCAATCTTCTTCGACTGCGAAATAGCAGCACCGCTGACTTTGTGCGCCGGCTGTCGTCTGCTGTGACGCGCCGTGTGTTCCGCATTTACTTGCCTGTCTTTGTAATCGCGGCCATCTCACAGGTCCTTTACTTCTGTAATATCTACCAGTGGAGCTTTGGTGATGAGGTCGTGTGGGGTCGGAAACCTTGGACTGCACCGTGGCTACATGTCACTTTTGTCTTTCGCTACATGCTGGACATTATGAATATCTTGAATTTCCAAGGGAATCCCGGACTCAACGGTCAGTTGTGGACTATGCCTTTGGAGTTCCGGGGATCGTGTGTTGTCTACCTCGCCGTCTTGGGATTGGCATTCTGGAGGCCGCAGCTTCGCAGGTTAGCATTAGCCGCACTGATGGCATATTGGTTCTACTTTGGACTTTGGGACATCTTTGCATTCTTAACCGGTCTCTATCTCGCTGAAACGCGTCTTTTGTCCGGTGTACGCGCAGAAGACGGCGAGCCGAAACTGCCCTATTACTCGTGGACGCCGAGTATCAAGTCCATCGACTTTTCAACAGTCCGAACCGCTTTCTGCTTCGTTCTTGGGATTTATCTGGTTTGCCTTGGTGACGACGGAGAGCTACCACCGGGATACCAATTCCTGAAGCTCGTCGAATCCTCCCGCTGGGAGAATGACTGGGCGGTTATGAGCAAAAGCTGGAAAACAGTGGGCGCAGTGCTTGTCGTCTACGCGATCAGCCAATCGCCTCGTCTGCAAAATCCGTTAAACTCTGCGCCCATGCAGTATCTGGGCAGGATATCATTTTCGCTGTACTTGGTTCATCAGTCGATCTACCATCTTGTGCGCGATCCGGTAAGGAATTTCTTGTGGTATATTGCTACCAGAGAGGCATATCCTGGGACGCAGGCAGCAAGTGAATTCACGGTGCCCTTTGCCTTTACATGGCTTGTGGGGTATATAATAATGTCTGCCGTTAATATTTACGTCGCAGATCTGTATACCCGTTTTGTGGACGAGCGATGTGTACGGGGTGCGAAGAAAATTGATAGATGGCTTACTAGGTAGAATCTGGGTGAATTGGAACACTTGATGAATACACGTTTTTTGCTTATTTATTTATTTATTTTATTTACAATGCCCATGGGTTATGTTCATGTAACGGAGCCTTGGAAATGCAAGACATGACCTTGAAAGGCACTTGTTCGTAAACATAGGAAACATATGTGACATCTCACACTCCCAATCCTTGCTAGCTAGGTGCCTTGACTTATGTGGCTTGTGACATAGAGATCGCAGAGTCCCAAAATGGAACATTTTGGAATCAAGGTTTCTGGGCAGTTTTCTGGCATGTAGATTGTTCGAATTGCAGTATCCAAACAGACCACCTTCCGCTCCGGGCAAGCGTCGATCTGTAACCAGCCATCTCAGATGCCCATGAGATCGACCATTGTCTTGGCATGCGACAAAACCGTCTGGTTGCCACAAACAAGGGGCTCCCTTTATATTCTTATCTCAAGCCGAAAATGTGACATCACTCTGCACCTACTTTGCAAGCTTCCATGAGAAGAACGCTTTTGCGCAACCGGTTCAAGCTATTGAGCTCATGTGAAGGAAAATCTATCGAATCGAATCATTCATTGACGTGATTACAACTTACAGTGAAATTATATCGATGGATCAACACCCTACGCCCTGTGAAACTTCCACCCTTGTAGTTCCCAGATCAGTTGGCTGACGCTAACCTGAATAGGAAATAGGGCTCGGTCGCTGCAATGCCATTGGAGACACCGGTTGTACTGCACATACAGTACACACACTGTATGTACCTGCGTCACCAAGCATTCGAATATTGAAAGAATCATGCATATGCATACGAAATGACGCATGGGAAGCTCACGGGTTAGGGAGTCAGTGCCACGACCGCGCGTCAGCCTCCCTTGCTGGCAGCACCTGAGTGACGCGGAGGCCGGGACTCTAACAAAGGTCAACAGAGATCTCCCGGACATTCCTTCTGGAAGAATAGCAGTGGTTGCTTCGCCAAACGCTTGGCAGTCCCCCTGGTTGTAGACACCGCCCCGACGATCAGCAGGGCAGGTCCGCCATAGCTCCGGAGTGGAGGCCTGTCAACGCGCGCGGAGTGGCCAGCACCATGTGAACAAGGTTCCGTTGCACTGGATCGGCACCTCGTTCTCACCGTCAAATTGCTGCAGTTTCCCGGCCTGGGCATTCTCCTTCAGGTAGGTGCGGTGCGGTCTGTATTCGACTTTCCAAGACTCCTGGTCATAGCATTCTGTTCTTGTCTTCTTGGGTTCTCGTGTTCTTGGTGCCGAGCCCTCGGTCCGGCTTTTTACGAGGCAAATGTTGGCGCCCAGGTTTTGGGGGCTGAAATGTGATTACTGGAGATTACTGGAGATTACTTGGAGTAATTGTGACTGCCTGGTCGGCTAATGCCGGTCTCCTTATCAGGGGCCGTGGCAAATTGGGTCTGGCTGTGCCTACTACATACAATTGATACAATTAGAGCCGAAGAGTGTGTACAGTAGCTTTAATTAGATGATATACCTGGGGACGATACAAACGAGGCTCAATGCACGATCGTCCCGCGCGCCCGTGTTCACAGATGGTGTCCAGTATAAGAATTGTCCCAGGATTGGAACGCAGTTCTCATTCGGGCAAACGCCTGGGGCAAATGTCTCAGGTCAACCAACGGCCAGCGCCGCTACCGTGCCTTAGGTTCAATAGATTAGAAAAAAAAAAATTACAGCTAACCAAACCTTGGGATTGGCCCATCTATGACGGTGGAAATGAGACATTTTGTCACTTTGATGCCCACTTTTTCTCTTTCCACAATTCCAGGGGAACAGAGGACAGGACAGACAGGACAGAGAGGAACAGAAAAATGGGATCGGTAAAATACGCGTATAGGGGATAAAATACTAGGGTGCACAGACAGGGACTCGTCTCCACACTCCGCGATAAGGGCCTGGGAGATCAGGGCCTGGGACGGGACTCAAAGGGGGAAACAAAGGGCAATCGGAGCCAACCCGGCCCAAACCGGTTAGCACCGCCCGCTCAGTTCCCTGGTTGTTTACCCCTACTGGTAATGGGATTACCCTCTTTAGGTCCCTGTCTCCCCCCCTCCACTCCCCGATTTCCTCTTCATCGCCCATAGCAGTGACTTGCCGACATTCACTTGCTGCCCTTCGTTGATTATCATCTCTTAATTCCCACAGTCCTTCGTTTCATCTGTGGTCCTTTTTCAAACTTCGTTGTACATTCGGTTTGATTCTCGCACATACCTCCCCCACACATAATCTCACGATGGTCCGATTCGTGACTGCCCTCCTGGCCCTGTCGGCTACTGCGCTCGCCACCACCACCTGCAGCTCCAGCAGCCAGTGCCCTGAGAGCAAGCCCTGCTGCTCCCGTGAGTGAACCCTGGCCTCTATGTGCGACGCGATTGCTAACCTGACCAAAGAGTATGGCGAGTGCGGTACTGGCGCATACTGCCTCGGCGGTTGCGACCCCCAAGCTTCTTTCTCCGTTGGCTCCTGCGCTCCTATGCCCGTCTGTGAGAACAAGTCCTACACCTGGGAGAACCTGGACAACTCAATCCTGAACACCAAGTACCTCGGCGATGCTAGCAAGGCCGACTGGACCTACTCCGGTTTCCCCAAGATTGAGGATAACAACCTGGTCATGACCATGCCCAAGAACTCTGTCGGTACCCTGTTCGCCAACAACCACTACATCTGGTACGGCAAGATCTCCGGCAAAATCAAGTCTAGCCGCGGCAAGGGTGTTGTGACTGCCTTCATTCTGCTCTCCGATGTCAAGGACGAGATCGACTACGAGTGGGTCGGCGCCGACTTGACCGCTGTCCAGACCAACTACTACTGGCAAGGTGTTCTCGACTGTAAGTGGGCTCCTCGATGAGACTGCAGAGAGCAAGACTGACTCAATTGAATAGGGCACAACAGCGCCAACGCCTCCGTGACTGACGCTGATACCTTTGATGACTGGCACACCTACGAGATCGACTGGACCCCCGATCAGGTCCAGTGGATCGTCGACGGTGATGTCAAGCGCACGCTGCTGAAGTCCGACACCTTCAACGAGACCGCCAACCGCTACCAGTTCCCCCAGACCCCCGCCCGCCTGCAGATGTCGCTCTGGCCCGCCGGCCAGGCTAGCAACGCCGAGGGCACCATCGACTGGGCCGGCGGTGTGATTGACTGGAACAGCCAGGACATCAAGGACAAGGGTTACTACTATGCCACTATCGGTCAGGTCGACGTCCAGTGCTACTCGGCTCCTTCCGATGCCGTCTCGACCGGCAACACTTCCTACCTCTACACCTCCGAGGCTGCCATGGAGTCCGACGTTGAGATCACCAGCAACTCCACCATCCTGGGCTCCCTGGGTGCTACCGGTCTGGACATGACCCTCGGTGCCAACAGCAGCAGCAGCGCCACCTCCACTGGCTCTGACAGCGTCCCCACTAACAACAGCGGTGCCGTGGGCGGTGCTGGCAACTCTACTTCTTCCTCCTCCAGCACATCCTCCAGCGATGGCTCCTCCGGCGGCAGCAGCACCACCTCCTCTAGCTTCAACCAGGGCACCACCGCCAGCAAGGACAACAGCGCCCCCAACCAGAACGAGCGCGTTCTGCGTGGCTCGCTCTTTGCCGTCTTGGTGGCTGTTGTGGTTTTGGTGACCCTGTAGATGTAGTGGGTGTACTATTTTCTGATCTGAAGACATTTTATCCCGTTACTCGTTCGAGTACATTTTTATATTCTCTACCTTTTGCGTTTTCATTTCTCCACTATCTTTGACTGAAATCCTTGGACAACCCTAATGAACACCGTCTTTGGCCCCTTGTACCTCTGTGCGACGTTTGTCTCGCACGCTCTATGTTTCCATACCTTACGCTACCCCATTCCCCATTCCCCCTGAGCGTTTTCATCCACGCTCGTTGCCTTTGATTTCTTGGTCCCGCTTATGCTCGCACCTGTACTCTATCACCAATAGGCCCAATTTCCTGCACATGTTCAGAAAATATCCATTCCGGTCAGACTTGCGTCTGCTCGGGTTCTGTAATGATGGGCGGTTTTGTTTTTGTTTTTTTTTTTCTTCCAATGTTAATCACAATCTCAATCTCAATATTAACCTCCAATTTCAAGTTGATTTGGTTATGCAATATACCATGTGTAGATCGTGATATCGCTGAAACACCCGGCAAGGATAAGCACTCAAGCTCTTGTCATGATGCAGGGGGTTTCCCAGGTGGGTTTCTGCGGTACATGGGCCTGCCTGGTTGGATGTTCAATCGTGGCCGGCAGTATCCCCAGCTCCACTGTTTCACCTCTTCCACGTGGACACTGCGACATGAGGAACGTTCGCTGGAATGTACGGTGTACTTTTGTATCCCTGTGGATCTCAGGGTGTGGCGCCGCTGCATACTCTGGCTCTCCATGGATGTTGGGAGCTTACTTGTTTAGAGATTCTTTATTGTTTGATGATACGCTGAATTGTCTCGGAATGCTTGAACGTCCTATCTCGCTTTGTTCCTTGGTCCTCGTTTTTAGCCTACCGAGTAGTGGCAATATGAGCTTGATGAGTGATGAAGATGTATTCAGCCTAGCTTGCTCACACACTAAGATCGCTATAGGGGTCATAGACCGGGCGACAATCCTGTCTGACACAGCTGTTACTGCTAGACGGCAATTGCAGATGGATACCTATTGCAGCTAGACATCGGCCGCAGCTGGCACACTTACATTGTCACCGTACTATGGCTTCTTTCAACATACGTACACAACCGCTTAGTCGCCATCTCACGATGTTCATCGCAAACCCACGGATTTACCTGCGGCTCTTAGCTCAAGGAGCTCTTCTGTCTCTTCTGGCAGCTACGTCAATTGCTCACATTGTCGCCTGAGTATCGTACTGAAAAACACAAGCACAACCTTTATTCTCTATCGATCCCTCCCCTGCTTGCCGCCTATACCGTCGGAGAATACATCTATTGTCTCGTCGGCCAGCCGTTAGCTTCCCGTCCATTGCTCCCTGGCTGTCGTCTATCTTCCGAGCGGACCTCCACCTGGTTCCAGTAACCCACCGTCGTCAAGTCGGGCTACCTCCTCTGGCCCTTATATCAACATCATTACCTCGCCGACTCGTTTCCACAAGCTGAAGATATGTGCCTCTACCGGGGAATTCACTACTACGAATGCGGCCACTGCCATTTCTTAGTCCAGACCTTCTGCGAGCACCTCTATCACCAACTACAGCGTATCAACGATCCCGAACAGCGCCGCCGATACGCTATCCCATTCGACGGGTCCGGCTGCGAGCCGCACGTGAAGCTGAAGAAGGACGGGTCCGTGGATTTTAGATCTAATTTGATCGGATGGTCGAATGTGGTGCAGTGGGAGCATAACAGAGAGGATGTTTGTCGCGAGTGTCGTGAAAGGGGGTTACCTGGGATATCGGAGGTTGGGGAGATGATACTCTGATGTCCCTGTCCAAAATGGAGTTTTGTGGGTTATCTATCGTCGGGTGTTTTAGAAGTTCGTGGATGGAAAATTTCATCTAATGCTTTAAGTTACATTGATGTGCAGCTTGTATATGCAGAGCAGTAGATTGGATAAAATTCAAAAACAAACAAGCGCCCAGGGTAGTTCAACGCCAGAATCCGTTAGTGTCATGTAAATAACAAGCCAGGAGCAGGATGCATTGCTTAGTGGAGTTCGCCGCATCCACATTCGTCGGTGGATCGCTTGCGGAAGTCGCCATGGTAGGTATCCAGGCCTTCAAGTCGGACGTCCGAGCCTACTGGGTTACCCAGCCAGCTGTACTTCTCTTGGTCGGTGGTTTCTTCGCCGGAGGCCGTCCAGTAGGATGAGGCCTGGAGGCGCTTGGTAACTGCGCCAACGTCGAGGTCTAGGTAGTCAGCGAGGAAGTGACCGACTTCGATGTTCTCGTGGTTTCCCATCAAGGGCCAGGCGTCCTGGGAGGAGGAAGCGTAGATGTTGACGTCGACGGCTGCATAAACCGTTAGTATGGGTATGAGAATAGGTCTGTTGGGGAAGATTTACCTGAGTGGCCGTGAGTGGACCAGCCGATCTGGGCTCGACGGCTGACGATATCAGCAAAGACATAGGTAGGGCTGACTTGAGGGTCAGGGTGGAGAACGCTTTCCACCTCCTCGTCCGTAGCGTCTGTGATGCCCAGGTCCTCCTCCAACAAGGTCTTGCGAATGTAGTCTCGCTGCTTGGACTCTTTGTCGTCCTTGCCCGTTCCGGAGAGGTATTCAGTCAACTTGGCACCGGCATATTCACTTGAGTGCTTGGACTTGGCCAATTCGCCGGGCAGCCAGAGGTACTCGGGGTAGCTCTTGTGAAGTTGACGCGCAGCAGCCAGACCACCAGTCTCGTGATCAGAAGTGCTCACAACAACACCAGGGGTCGTGTCATTCTCCAGGAATTCCAGCACAGCCGCAAATGCCCTGTCGTACGCCATAACCTCGTGCACCTGAGCAGCAGGGTCGTTACCGTGGCCAGCATGATCGATGCGCGATCCCTCGATCATGATGAAGAAACCCTGTTCGCTATCGCGTGTTGCTTCACTCAGAATAGTCAAGGCAGTGCGAGTCATTTCCTCCAGGGAGGGATACTTGTCGTTCTGGTAGCGGCGATCGACCTCATAAGGAATATCCTTGTCCGCGAAAAGAGCCAAAAGAGGCAGCTTCGCATCGGTGCCACCATTGAGAGAATCAAAGCCAGCCCGATCCGAGAGATAATTGAAGCCGTTCTTGGACGCAACCTCAACAATATCGCGGTCGTCGCCACGGCAGCTATCGTCTGTGGTGTTGGGGAGGAAATGGCATCGTCCACCGCCCATCATGAGATCAACAACCCGGCCCAGAGGATGCTCACCAACTTCCTGCTCGGCAATGCTGTCCTCATACCGTCGCAGGCTGGCGTGGGCAGCAAAGCAAGCCGGGGTGGCATCAGTCAAGCGTGTTGTGACGACCAGACCTGTCTTGTAGCCTGCCAAGTGGGCAGCCTCGAGGACAGTTCCGCAAGGAGAGTGATTGGGGGTAACTGAAATAGCTTCATTATAGCTCTTGAAGCCACAGGAGAAGGCAGTCGCACCAGCGGCCGAGTCCGTCACCAGGCTGTTGCTAGAGCGTGTCCGTGAGTTACCAATATGGTGCTTATCTAGAACCAGAACATCGTCGATAGGCAGACCCTCAGTGTGCTGGCGATAGCTCCTTGTCATGGAAAGACTAGTGGGGCCCATTCCATCGGAAACCATGAAGATCAGGTTCCGCTTGCCAGTCGGCTTTCCGCCCGGACCCCAGTTATTTCGTGACTCATGGTGGCCTTTGGCAGATTCGTGCTGGTAGACCACAGCTAGGACAATGACGAGAATCGTAGCGATAATTGCCCATGCGAAAACTCCGACCTCTCTCCAAAAGGCCCAGCCCCGTCGTGTTTGCCGATGGGGAGCCCGAGCGCCGGTCAGCAGGGAATTTTCTTCTTCGGCATATTGAATAGAATGTTCGGAAGATGGCCGTGCGGCCAGGAGTGGCTCGTCTCCAGCCATGGGTGCAAAGTTGTAGAAACGAGTGGTGCTCAAGTACAGGAGCTCTGAGCAAAGAGGTTGGGTGGAGCGAATCCGGACTCGGCCAAGATAAGATAGCCAGATGTCATATGACTTGGACCCTTTGCATTCCACTATTGTACAAATAACTATAACTAGCTCAATAAGATACATACAGACTAAATGAGGCCAGAACAAATATGCCCATACAATTTACAATCGACCCTTCCATCCGATAGGAATCAGAGCCGCTGCAATGTCATTGACACCGCGCTCCGTAGCCAACATGTTAAACTGCGCAGCCGCATTCCGGGTATCCTGAACCTCGACCCGAATACCAAGCGAGTTAATGTGACGTTTCGTCTCCGGCGAAAGAGGGTACATTGAGGCGCCTAGACCAAGGATGAGCATATCTGTCCAAAATGTCAGCAACGCGTGTCCATAATTACCCGCAAAAAAACAAGTAACAAATGGCCAGATGACCCATCCCAGGCAACCCATGACCACCTCGCGGGGAGTAAACTATTACGTACCCGGTCGTGGATAAACAGCACTCAGCAGACCCCAAGCGGCCTCGTCGATCTCGAATTGGCCCTTGGCATTAATCATAGACGCCTTGGCCTCGCGGTCGTTCGCGGCGCCCTGGACGGTCTTCCACGGTCGCCATGCGAATGCCTCTCCGCCCACAAGAATCACGGCATCACCACCGCTGATTTTGACGCCGCTATTCAGGTGGAATCCGGAGTCGAGGGTGGCGTCCACGGCGGTCGAGGGGGCGGGCATGTTGCCCAGCACGTCCAGTGCGGCAAAGTCGGTTTGGGTGGATTCGTCGGACTCCGGGCCTCGATCATGGCTAACGGGCTTGTGAGAATGAGAGCGCGGGATCATACGAGATGGGCGGATTGAAGTGCCATTGTTACGGCGTGTTGATGGAAGCGGAGCGCACGGCGAGGCATTGAAGGAGCGAGGCAGCCGGGAGGCGTTGACACCGAGTCGGAAGGAGCGCGGTGCATTGGTGAGTGAAGTGCGCAATGCACGGAGGAGTTGAGGCGAGGGGGAATTCATTGGAAGAGAGAGAGCTTGTAGTTGCTGTGACTTGGTGGTGGTAGACTTGCCGCAATGCAAGTTGCGGGAGAGAAAGTCGAAGAGCTGGCTAGGCTTGGCAACCACGACTACATCATAGTCTACTTCCATCTCAATCTCCATCTACACCATCTACTTCGCACAAATCATCGAATGTCCTTTATATTAGTATATCCGTCTCCGCGACCCTAGTGATTAATCTAGTTTTGTATTTCCAGTTGTCCCAACCACGGCCGTGGTGCTCGGTTGATATGAAACAAGGACATGGAGAAATGACGGTCGTACGCGTCGTGAAGCCCCAAACGCCGCAAGCGCAAATGAAGGAATAAAAATCAGAAGACCTCGCACCAAAACAGGACCCGAAAAGAGAAGAGAAAAGACAAGGGGAAAATAAAGCAAAAACAACCCATGACTCATTCCGTCCTTGCTGTCTCCGATCACATTACTTCCTCCAGACTTTTAGTGTCCTCGGACAAAGAGTATGTAAAGCATATGCACACATCGAACGATATGACAAGGAAAATGGGTGTTGCTGGGACTGTACACGTGTTTGATGCAATTTAGTGCGCCGGACGAGCGGCATTGTTGCGGTCCTCGTCCGATTGACTGGAGCTGTCATCGCTGTTGGTGGCATTGCGAATCCGCTCTGCCCGGTTTTGAAGAACCTGAGCTTCGGCTGCGGCCTTCTGGGCCCGGATCTGCTTGCGCCACATGCTGGCATATCGGCCTTTCAGGGCTAGGAGCTCTTCGTGGGTGCCACTCTCGGCAACTTGGCCTTCATTCAAGACTAGGATGCGATCCGCTGTAGTGATCGTACTTAGTCGGTGAGCGATCACTAACATGGTACGGCCATGAGAGAGTGCGGAGAGAGCTCCTTGGATGTGCTCTTCAGTATCGGTGTCGAGTGCTGCGGTAGCCTCGTCCAGAAGAATAATGCGAGGATTCTTCAAGATGGTCCGAGCAATTGCCACCCGCTGCTTCTCGCCACCACTAAGTCGCAAGCCACGCTCTCCAACCTTGGTGTTGTAACCATCGGGGAATGCCAAGATCTTGTCATGGATGCTGGCAGCACGACAGGCCTCAAAGACTTGTTCGTCGGTAACTCCCTGGTTCGCATACTTCAGATTGTACATCAACGTCTCGTTAAAGAGAACGGTGTCTTGCGGCACCACGCCAATATGCTTGCGAACAGAGTCGATAGTAAGATCTTGCACGTCGTGTCCGTCAACAAGCAGATGACCCCTTTCGGAGTTGTAGAATCGGAACAACAACCGGAAGACTGTTGATTTTCCTCCACCCGACTCGCCGACCAAGGCGGTGGTGGTGCCTGGTTCGCAGTGGAACGTAAGCCCATTCAAAGCAGGTTTCCGTGAATCGTAGGAGAACTCAATATTTTGGAATCGGATGTCACCCTTGCACATAGAAAGCGGCATAGCGCGAGGGCCATCTACCACGGTAGGTTGCTCCCGGAACAGTTCCAACATACGCTCAGCATTTATCAAGGCGGACTGAATAGAGCGATAAAAAGTTCCAAAGAAGTTCAGGGGACCCTGAAGCTGGGCCATGTAGGTCAACAGGGTAACGAACGCACTTACGTCACGCTGGCCGATCGAGACCTGGTAGGCACAGATAAAGCAAGTAGCAAGGAGACCCATCATGAAGACGGTGTTTTGACAGGTGTTGAGCAGAGTAAGTGAAAACAGAACGTGGTACTCGGCCTGTTGGAAGTCGTTCACAGCGCCGCGATAGCGGTTGAATTCGTATTGCTCTGCATTGAAATATTTCACCGTCTCGTAAGAAACCATCGAGTCGTTCCTGAGGCAAATATGTGAGCACGTCGCTCAGAATGTACTTTGAAACCGGGAGAACTTACTTGACAGCATCTTCTTGTCTCGACGCGTTAACCATCTGTCTCCGGATCTCCGCTCTCCACTGAGCCATGCGAATGGTGACATAGAGATAACCAAAGGTAGAAATACCGACCACAAGAGCGTAGTAAGCGTCGAACACAATCAAGAAATATACCACGGCGATGACGAGGTCAATCAGCATCGGGACAACTTGGAAAGTGACCTGTTCCAAGAAGGTATTGATTGAGCTGCCCTTGCTCAGAGCCGATAGAACTTCCCCTGTCTTCTTACCCAGGTGGAAATCTAGGCTCAGGCCATGAACATGCTCGAAGGCGGCAGTGCTTAGCTCCATATACGAATACTGGCTGACAGGGATCCAAAGTGTGGAACGCATCGAACTGAGCAAACCCTGGCCACCCTGGAGCCACCTAAAGACAACATAGAGGAAGATCTGGAACCATGGGACATGGAACGACTGGCCCTCGCCCGTGGTCAACGCTCCGACGATATGGCCAACCTGATAGGGCACCAGCACGTTGATGACTCTCTGGGCAATAAGGAGAACAAAACATATCGTAACAACGATCTGCAGGCGCCGAGATTTGGAGGGCCACAGGTAAGGGAAGAAGAGCGAGTAGCCACCGAGGTACTCCCACCAGCTGGTGGATGGCATGGTCGTCGGACGCACCCAAGGATCTGCTGGCTTGGACGTCTTGGAGCCTGTTTCACCATTTGTTGACCCGTAGGAATGGCCATTGCCGTTGCCGTTGCCACTACCATGCTCGGCACCAGACGCATCCAGCAATCCAGTGGACTCACTGACACCATTGGGTCGGTGAACTTTCTGTTCATGGCTCTTGGTGGTAATGGACTTGCTGGCATAAAGGAGGACGAGAATAAATAGGATGAGGATACGGACGCTGCTGGAGGCTATTTCCATAGATTCCCAAGGTGTGATGGTTCTGCGGAGCTTGCCCCCCTCGGGATCTCCCACGATGGGCTCATGGTGAACGGAGGTGTAGAGGGTAATGGATGTGCTAAGAATGACTAGCTCGATGGGGATGGCGACAGACCAACAGACGAACTGGGCGAGTGTTGGAGATGGGGTGGTATCCAGTAGAGAAATGAGTAAGACGGCGTAGTCGAAAAATGAGCCGACGATGTAGACCTGCACACTCGATAGTTAGCTTTGACTACCCGTTTAGCCGGCAAATTTGACCAGAATCCGCAGGTGACATACCACGACGGACTGACCCCGCCACCAATGCTCGGAGCGAGCGACCATCACATGAGTGATATAAATGGTCGCATCCGCAAGATAGGTCACGAGCACTGCCACGGAGAGCCAGTTGAAGACTCGTTTGACGGTCTTGGAAAACCCCTGCGTCTTGCGGAAGGGGCCTGATTGAGAGCGTTTGGGCAGTGGACGACCACCAGGGCCCATTCGCTGAGAATCATGTTTGCTAGAGTTGCTCGCCGTGAGCATGGTATTGACCACAAAGGCCACGACGAAGAGAAGCAGGAGGAAGATCGGATAGCATGTGCGCAGGTACTCCAGCAGCTCGAGAGCTGCGTGGGGATCCATGATTACCAACTCCTCCCACAGATGTAGAGAACGAGAAAAAAGAGAGTGATCAAAAGATTTCCATAACACCGATCCGGGTCAAGGTGGTGGGAAGGACGGGTTCGGATGGCGAGAACGAAGGATCGACGCGAGGAATGTGGACGCGGGGAGCAAAGGGCGTGATTTCGACCCGTGAACTTTTGCAAGTATCTCAATTTAGATCTAAACTCTTGTCGATCCCATGCAAATGTTCGTAGGGTTTTTTTTTTTCCTTTTTTTCTTTCTTGTTCCTAACTTTCGTTGCTTTTTCTTAAGCGGACGATAGCTGGATGGAATCTATGATCCGCGATTGTCAGGAGGGATACCCCACAAGTCACGAGGTTCAGCGTGGCAAAAATCACCCACAAGTAGGCAACTTTAGGTAACGGTTTCAGCTCCGAACTCTTTGCCACGAGGGAGGAGGAAGAATGAAGAATAAAGGTTTAGAGGAGGGAATGACGGTGTGGATGCGCGAGGTGCTGCAGCTAAGAAAGAGGGATCCACATACTCGATTTCAAGAACTGAAACTGGAACTGGAACTGGAATCGGAACCGGACTTTATAACCACCTCGTTTGTTTGTCTCCGTCGAAACCCAAATCACAATCTAGTCTCGATCGAACTTCCAGAATGCGTATGCCTTCGTGCCCGACAGTCTGGGTTGGAATAGTCCCAACAATGTCCCTTAGGTCAATGACAAGGGGGGTTCCACGGCTATGACTTCACGCGCAATTGAGGGGATGTTGAAGCCTGGCTTCCTCTGTTTTCAAGCTCGGAGATGACGCCTAGGACTCGGATGGATAGAAATATCTCCGATTCACGAGTCCCAATTTACAAATCCAACTTCCAATTCCCCGTTCCCGGCGATCAGATGGCAAAATCGCTAGACCGCGATCTAGATCCCGAGCAAGTGCGACCCCCGGACGTCTTAGCCATCAAAGCTCTCTCGATCAGATGCTGATTAGCTGTCTGCTTACCCCCTTCCCCCTTAGTCCTACTCTGTCCACTTTGGCTTGGTGGCCTTGATTTTCTACCTATCGAAGTATATAGTATTGGACTCCCGAATCCCCGGTCCAAATGTGAGACATTGGAAATCTGATTCGCCATGTTATTTTTATATTTCTATGCATCAACTCGGAGGGCCCGGGACTACTGCAGTACCAGATTCGAATCTTGATCCTTTCTGTGCTGGCGGCTAGACCGCTCTATGTGGGCGTGCCTAAGATATGCCTTGAATTGTCCCCATGCTTTGGGGCATTCAGGTATTCAGGCCTTGTTACTTGTCGTTCTTGCTGTTCACCGTTCCTGAGGCACACCTCCCCGCCACCAAAGCTTCACCGCTTGCGCAACCCCAAGCTTCTTAGGGGTCCACTACGGACTCGCATCCCCCCCCCCCCCTCATCCATTACGGTCAACTGGTCGTGTGCCCCCCATGGACAACGTGTGAGCCATGTCGGAGACTGGGTCACGCTCTCCGGTCCCTCCCCCGCCGCCACCTCCGACCCAGAAGTACTCGCATCGGGCTGCCAACGCGCTCGCCCGTTTCGCGCCCTTCTTCGGGTCGAGACCTCCCAGCCCGCAGAGTAGCCGCGTTGATGGCCCCCGGTCCATCAGATCAAAATCGCTGTACGTGTTGCATGTCCCTCACACCGCTCTGACTGTCTAAACCGTCCCTTATCATACCTTTCCTTCTCTTTGTGCTTTTGTCGCATCGGACCTATCCAACATTAACGTCATCAGACCCGGTGAGCCACAGACCGTCACTCACCGTACGGGCATCCCCATTCTCGCCCTAGATATCTCACCGGAGCGCACCCACGCCGTGATTGGAGGCAAGGATATCCTCAAAACAATCCGGGTCTCGCCTGATCACTCCTCGGAAGAATTTAATATTCGCAATGCAGTTATCAGTTATGCATCCACCCACCATGATGCGGGCGTGTCGATGCCACACAAGGACCAGTTGAATGTCAGAGACGTCAAGTGGTCACATGGCAATTATGACCGGATAATCGCAACTGCGGTCGCCAATGGTCGCATTGTCGTCTACGACTTGCAGCGGCCCGGCCTCCAACTATGTCGCTTCCAGGGCCACAACCGTCAGGTTCACAGACTCGCCTTCAACCCTCACCTCGCATCTTGGTTACTATCCGGTAGTCAAGATGGCACCATCCGAATGTGGGATCTGCGATCAGCCTCCGCGAATCGGGGCCTTTCGACCTGCGGCAGCAAGCATGTTTACCATGGTAATAGTGATGCCATCCGAGACGTCCGGTGGTCTCCCACCGACGGTGTCGTGTTTGCGACTGCCTCAGACAGCGGTGCCATTCAGATGTGGGATGCGCGCAAGACCAACGCTCCATTGATGAGGATTGCGGCTCACGACCGTCCCTGTTTCGCGGTCGACTGGCACCCGGACGGGAAACACATCGTCAGCGGTGGCACTGACCGGCAGGTCAAGGTCTGGGATTTTTCTTCGTCTGCGGAACGACGGCAGAAACCCGCGTTTCAATTTCGAACTCCCCAGGCTGTAACCAATGTGCGGTGGCGGCCACCATCCTGGGTAGGTGACTCGCCCTCTTCGGGAGAATGGCAGTCATCTCAGGTAGTGACTTCCTACGACAAAGATGATCCGCGGATTCATTTATGGGACCTCCACCGCCCACACGTGCCTTTCCGTGAGTTTGATCGTTACGATTCCCCAGCCGCCGATCTGCTGTGGCACTCCAAGGACTTGCTGTGGACAGTCGGTGAGGTAGGGGCCTTTACCCAGACGGATCTCCGCTATGCCACCACGGTAGTTAAGCGCCGGCCTATGTGTTCGGTCGCTTGGAGTCCAAATGGCGAGTTTGTGGCGTTCGCCCAGCCGCGACCGAGGCGGCGCCCACTAGGTGTCAGCACCACCGAATTCCTTCACCTTGATGAGGATCAGGCCAGCACCGGTGAAAGATCCTTTAGTCACAGTCCGGCGGACGACACCCTTGATGATGTCGCCCTGGCTTCGTCGCTTCGGCATCCCCAGACCAAGCTCACTACGCTCAGGGGATCAAAATCCCTGGGTAACACCCCTCCAGGTGGAATAGATATCATTCCAGTCCTTCCCCTGGAACAAGCTTTGGCCAAAAGCTCAAACCCGGTGCCTAGTCAATTGGGAGCTATTGGGACAATTCCTGGTGCCACAAATGATGCATCTCTCTTCCGATTCTTGGCAGGGCACTATTCACCGTTGATGGTCGAACGCCCGGGCAGACGAAGTCATGTCGATGTTTTGAACTCGTTGATTGAATCCCTAGATCATAATGCTGAGCGGGCAGACGAAGTCTCACTGACCAAGCTGGCTCAGACCTGGCGCATCGTCAAATTTGCGATCCTCCAAGAGCTTCAACGCAGGTCGAGGGAGCAGTCTACAAGCAGGGGTAGTTTGAAGGGCAAGTCGTCCAAAGATGGGCTACTCAACGATAAGTCTAGGACAGACGAAAGCCGCCAGGGAAAGGTCAAAAGTCGACTGTTCAAGGGAGTCATGGAGACAGAAGGTCCAAGAAGTCGAATTCCTGAAGAAAGCACGTCGAATATGACTACTCCGCTTGCACAGCCATTGCCTGATTCGCCTGATGATTCATGGACTAGTTCTGACTCTCAAATTCCTTCACTACTTGAAAATGCCGTCGATCTTGACCCTCTTCCCCCATCAGTCTTGAGCTCCCACAATGGCTGGGGCATGTCAGGCCCTGATGCTAGTCGCGTCTCATCAGCGCCACAAGAGCAATTTAGGTCCAGTCACGATATACAACCCCTAGTGGAGCCCGTGCCCGGCCTTCTACGAGAACCGTTTGAGTCGGATCCGGACAGCGATCAGCGATCAGCGCCTCGCGCGATTGCTGGCAGGGCAGACTGGCGCCTTCGTGGCCGTTCAGACCTTCCTCGCGAAGGCTCTGAGGATGACTACGACCAAAAATTGGAAGACAAGCGAGCGGCGATTCGGGACTTCAAACAATATCCCAAGAAACCCTTGACCCTTGAATCAACAATGGATTCCAACCGTCCTCCCACGCTAGAGCGCTATGGCCGACACGATTCTTCAGAGAGCTTCCCAATGTTCTCTGCATCTACGGATAGCTCGCATCCATCCAAATCCATAGGTGCCTCCTATTCCTCGAATGGAAGACTTCCCGAGCGCCGACTCTCGGATGTCAGTCAGGCAGGTGGTCGACCTAACGGCGTGGCCCAGAGGGAATCGAGCCTGGAGCCTGCCGTAGAAGAGCCTGAAGATGACATGGATATTGATGAGTCTATCCTTGAAAACGAGCGGAAGCATCTTGAACGACCATCGAGTCCCCCGGAATTGTTGACAGAGTCGACTCCGCTTGAGCAGCCGGACTTAGAAGATACCTTCCCGTCTGAGAATACGCCTCCCGCGACCACCGCTGCTTATCCGGCGATGGCAGGAATTTACGAAGATCTCTCCCGAGTCAAGATTCCTCTTGCTCCCAATTCATCGGATCTGAAGCCATGGAGTATCGAGGCGATCTTGAAAGAGGCAGTGCGCTATTATCATAGCAGCAGCAGCTCTGTCGATATTCAGACAGCGGCGCATTTACTGCAGAAGCTTCACGTCCTCTTCCAGGATTGTGAGCAAATTCTTCCTTACGAAGAGTGTGAAATGATTTTCAAGTCCTACAACGAATGCCTTATCCGGCATTCAATGGACCTAGAAGCTGCAGAGCTTCGCCTATCTTGCGTGTCAACCTACCCATGTGTCTACGACTATGCGCAGGCAGACACCTTCATTAATGTCTTCTGCTATACCTGCCAGAGACCATACGAGAACCCGATACGTGACAATACTCGCTGCCACCGCTGCGACACTCCACAAGCACCATGCTCCATCTGCATGAGCATTGACCCTCCAGCGGAATGGGTCGCAGCCCAGATACAGCGGCAGTCTGAATCAATTGGCAGCTCAAGCCCCGACCCAGAGGCTGAGACTATTTCCCACCTCTCCTCCCAGTCCTCAGTTCCTACTGAACCTATCCCCTCTTTCGAGCTAGACGGCCTTGAGCCATTCACTGCACCCCGTCCCAAAGGCTCTGCCCTCTGGACCTGGTGCCAGGGATGTGGCCATGGCGGCCACATGGCCTGCATCACCACCTGGCTAGGCGATCCCTCGATAAGTGAAGGAGGCTGCGCCACACCAGGCTGCTCACATGACTGCGGTCCTGGTCCGCGGCGCGAACTCAATCGCCAGACCCTTCTCACCGAATCTAAACGCCGCACGTCCGGCGCTGGCCTCGTGAAGCGCGACCCGTGGACCAAGGGCGAGAGCAAGGCCGTGGAGAAGGTTCGCGGAATGCTCGGAGCTGCTGGTGTTGCTGCCGCGACTGGTGGTAGCGGCGCCGGGTCCAATGCTTCTACAGTCAGCTCTGCAGGTGGTCAGGGCCAGATTTCTCCCGGGGCAGTCTCGCCTAAGAAGGTCAGGCTGGTTACACCGGGTGAGCAGGGGAAAAGCAGGGGCCCTACTAGCCGTTCGAACATTGCACCGCAGGAGTAGAACTGGGGATCCTTCCTATATTCAAGTTGTAGTGGCTTTGGATACCCGGGATGTGTACTTTATTCATGATATCCCTTTGCGATACCAGGACTTTTGGCGTTTATCAAATATCATTTTAATTACCAGGAATCCTTTCTGTTCAGCCGTACATCATTCAGATTGGTCCCAAGCTGCACTTATCGACAGACAATCCCAACAAATGGGAGATATAATCTAAATTGGACATCGCCACCAGCATTGACACTTAAAACCTCCGTTTCTTCTTCGCAGGAGCTTTACTCTGCGCCTCCAGCTGTCGTTTCAGTTCTTCTCGTTTCCGATTAGCTTTCTCGGCCTCCGTCATAGGTGTCGCTTCTGGAACAGTGCTAGTTTCTGGCGATTCCTCCTTTTGCTGCTTCATCTGTGCAGCCTTTTCTGGTGATTTTGAAGAGTCATTTATAGCCGTTGTAGATGAAGGGCCCGCATTTTCAGGAGAACGAAGAACGGACTCTGGCTGGGCAGAAGGTGCTTCGCTCGGAGTTGGTAATTTGGCTTTGCTTTTTCCGCCTATCATCCCCAGCTTCATAGGTCGCTTAGTTTGCGTGGGAAGTGGATGTGAAGGTTCGGTGGTCTGGGCTGGTTTGGGAGGTGGTGAAAATGAGTTTTGCCGCTCTGGCTCTGGCTCTGGCGTTTCTTGTTTCTTCTTATTTCCTCTAATAACGCCGAGGCCTCCTCTTGCTTTCCTTGGAGGGGCTTTAGGCTGGGGTGGCGGTGTTGCAGGCCTTGGTGGAGGAGAGATATCTGGTGTACGCTTATGTCGTGGCGCTGGTTCAGGTCTAGAATCGAGATCTGGCTCTGATTCAGACGCAGTAGACATATCCGCCATCGATACTGGAGGTGGTGGAGAAGGAGTTTTCTTTTTCGCCTTCCTAGTTGGTCGGGAGATTGCAGATTTGGTTTCTTGGGCCTTGAATTGGGGAGGAGTCGGTTGTCGCTAGATCGAAATGAGAACTATGTTATTCATGACAAACGTTTAGCGCGTACCTGGAATTCATCATCTTCGCTCTCATCTTCACTCTCTGCAGTAGTATCACCATCTAAATCTACGTCTGCTTGTGAGGATACAATATGTGCGTCTTTCTGTGTTACGAGTTGAGCTTCTGACTCATTCTCTTGGGAGAAAGAAGTTGCTGGGCGGCTTTCAAGCGTGTTCCACCAATTGTTTCGCGGCGGATGAAGACCCTCAAGACCCTGATTGTTAGATCCAAGCAGTTCATGGGCTATATTTGCAGCCACGCCTGAGATAGCAGATGAAGATACCCCGGACTCGGCAAGCCATTTCTGCTCATCAAACGGCGCAACGCCTTTGATATGCCTGGCTGCTTCCGCTCGTGTACTTCCTTTGCGCGCTGAGCGTAGCCCTGCTGCTGCGGGAAATACGGTTCCCAGGTCGATCTGTAGGGCTTCAACTTTGTCAAACAGTTTCCCAAGGACCCAATCCTTCTGTTTGATCTGGTCTAAGAGGGCCTGTTGCCGAGACTCCCAACTGGTCTCGTCTCTCAGCAATGGGAGCAATAATCGGTCGGTCAAAGCCGACGGGGGCTCTTTCGCAAGGTATAGGGTCCATTTTAGCGGCTTCAGCGGGGCTGGTAGCTTCGTGCTTGTTGTGAGCTCGAGCGAATCGGTGTGGGGTCCATTGTGTAGCTTTGCGTTGCCTCTGTCGCCTCGTAGAGCTTCCCCGATTTTCGATAGAAAGACCTCTAGCTGCTCGGCGCCCTCGCTAGGATCAATCGTAGTGATAGTTTGTTCTGCTCGCTTCACGATTCGCGCATGTGGTAGCTGTTCGGACCAAATCGAGGTCAGATCTGTCACATAGAGCTCGTAGCCTTGCCGGGTCCATGAGTATTGAAAGAGTAGCGGAGGAAGTGCCTCCAATATTTGTAGCCTGTGCCACTCTGAAGGCATGACTTGAGCTCACAAAACTCTCAGATCTGGTCCGAGATGCCTGTTATAAGGATGTGCGAGGTGCTTCGCGGAGTGCGGAGCAGCTCTGCCTGGGGCCGCAGGAAAGTTAGCCGCACGCTTGACCTGCCGCCGATCTCCCGCTTCACTTTTCAACCTCACGCTCTCACGCGTTTTACTTGCATCCTGTGTTTTCTCAGACCGTTTACATTGAGAATAGCTCATATTCTGCGACATGTCGTCGCGACTCCCCGATCGATCGGGCTCAAGGCGCAGCCGATCGCGATCCCCTTCATCCTGGCGTCAACCCCAGAACCGTCCCCGCAACGACGACAGAGAATGGCGCGATAGAAGGGACTCAGATCGGAGACCGCAGCAACCTCGCAACACACGTGACCAAATGCGGATCAACCAGCTCCAGGAGGATGAGCAGGCGCGGGAGTGGGTGTCGCAGGAGGATGTCTTCGTGCTGAAGCAGGCTAAGAAGAAGGCCGAGATTCGAGTGAAGGAAGGACGCGCAAAGCCCATCGACTGGCTGACGGTGACCCTACGCGTGATCGATCCCACACGCGACCCTTTGGATGACGAAATCGCGGATTCCGAGCTCGATGTGGTGGACCCGGACGGTGTCTTCGAGGGACTCTCACAGACAGAGCTACAGGATCTGGAGAGCGAAATTGAGACATTTGTCAAGTTGGAGACAAATGCGCAGAACCGGGACTTCTGGCAGGTATAATGTCCACCCTCCCTTTGGCTCTACTCCAGCACCTCGCTGATCATATTCTTGCTGCAGACGATGAAGGTCATTTGTCGAGACCGCCAGAAAACTTCTGCACCCGAAGGCCGCGCTCTCAGCTCTGTTGCCGCTGATATCAACAAGCTCTTGAGCCCGAAAACATACGAACAACTCCAGGCGTTGGAAATCCAGGTCAAGAGGAAATTGAATTCAAACGAGCCTATCGATACAGATTATTGGGAGGAGCTGTTGCGCAGCTTGACCGTGTGGAAGGCGCGTGCGAGACTACGTAATGTCTACCAGGCCGTTATCGACGAACGAGTTCGCGATCTTAGAACACAACAAAGAGAGGAGGCAGAGTCGGTTCGAGAAAAGCTGGCTCCCCTGGCACCGCTTTCTACCGATGAGCAGCAGCTCAATTCTACAATTTCATCGGAATTCAAGGGGTTAGATCCCGATCCGTTGCTTCAGGTTCGGCCTGAAGACAAAGGACTGGAAATCATGGATGAGTCTGCATTCCTTCGTCAAGTTGTACGTACCTCGGACTGTCCCGGCCGTGAAATCCTCATTACTGACGAATCTTACAGGCTCGCGAACGTCAGAAGATCCTCCGCATGGGCTACGTTCCTCTGCGACAGCGATCGGCTGAAAAGCCAACTACGGCTATTATCAACTCGGCTTCAAGCAGCTCCGCTATCACGGCTGTGTCCAGTCGATTTTCTTCTCTCCCCAATGATGACTTCTCGCAGGCGACCAAGGCATTGTATGAACGAGAGTTGGCCAAGGGCGTCAGCGAGAACGAAGAGATCTTTACCGGCGAAGAAGCCGTGACCACGCCTTCGCAAGCCCAGTGGGCCAGCAAATATCGCCCCCGTAAACCCCGATACTTCAACCGAGTGCAGATGGGCTACGAATGGAACAAGTACAACCAGACCCATTACGACCATGACAACCCGCCTCCCAAAGTCGTGCAGGGTTACAAGTTCAACATCTTCTACCCCGACCTGATTGATAAGGCCAAGGCTCCAACGTATCGCATTGAGCGAGAAGGTGGCCGCAAGCGTGGACAGTCCTTTGCCGCCGCCGGAGAGGAAGATACTTGTCTGATTCGGTTTATGGCCGGGGCACCGTACGAGGACATCGCCTTCCGAATTGTTGACAAGGAATGGGACTATAGTGCGAAGCGCGAGCGCGGCTTCAAGAGCACATTCGACAAGGTATGTTCTATAATGGTATTCGTACCCCGCACCCAAGGAAGGTTCTGACATGCTGGTTGTACAGGGCATTCTGCAGCTCCACTTCCAATTCAAAAGGGTAAGTTTCAATCCTTCGATAGGATGCGAAGAACACGACTGACAAGTTGTCTCAGATCTATTACCGGAAGTAACACATGCGCGACCCGTCATCTTCCACATGGACATTATATCGGGATTGGGGTTGGATTTGGTGTGGTGTGGTGTGGTGTGGTGTGGTGTGGTGTATGCAGGCAATGTCGGTTCGGGGTGTATTTCTCAGACAGCTTACACCCTTACACCCTGTGAATCAATCCACCCCACCACTGAATTGGCTGGAAAAGGTTTCCACCTCTCAAATCGATCTCGCAGAGAACTTTCAGCACAGTCCACGTGTGGAGTCCCAATGGTCCGAATACTTTAAATGTCAAATGTCTAATCTAACCGCCGATTTTTGCACTTTTTGTCGCATCATGGCTCTGTCGCCCACCATGACAAATGCACCACGGCGCAAGACATTCACAACGTTCCCGGTAATGGTACTTTGACCCTACATGCTCAGCGACGGGGATCAGCATGCTCTTTCGCGGAACGGCGGTCGTTGAAGTCTGTTCTGGTGACACCACGAGCCTGCAGCTGCAGCAGATTGATGGCTTCCGGCTGGTTGGATGCAGTCCAGGAAGAGAAAGCTCGGCTAGAGAGCCTGTTGACCTGTTGTTCACCTCCTGTTGACCTCGTCAACTTCCAGAAGGTCCGCTCCACGACGGCGAATGACCGACTGGGTCTGCAGGCGGCCGCCTCCAGCCATCCGCCTTTCTCTTCTAGTGTCTCCAAGGGCAGAAGTGGGGGCAATGGAAGACCCTCAGACCCATCCGCGACTGCTGTAGCACCGGGTTGAGCCGCCTGGACCGCCTGTGAGATCATTGGCCGACGTTTGTAAGATGAAGTCCAGTTCCACAAGGGCTTGTTAGTAGTGACGCTAGAGCAGCCCCAGTCTCCCTCTTCAGCGCGTCTTCTTGTATCGATGGGCCATGGCCCACACCGACACACGCAGGTGTGTTTGCTTGCTGCACAGATGGATTCTCGCAGCAGGATGGACCATGTGCCTGACTGGGTGTACTGGCCAAGAAAAATAATAGAGGGAACAAAAAAAAAGTGTACAGCTCCAATCTGTGTGAATGGCGACGGTCACAACGGGCATCCTGGTTACTTCTACGTTGTCCTTGCCCCTTTTGACTTCTGCCTACGACTACTCTTCTCTTATTCCTCGTTCAATCCAAGTGCATGTCTTAGATTCTCACGACATCCTTGCTTTCAAGAATGGAGAGACCTCATGGTTTCAAGATGGAGTCTTCGCTGTCATCTGATTACTTCAACTTGGCTCAAATTCCAACTGACCAGCGAGAGCACGAGTATCATCGCTCAGTACAAACACAGTCTCTCGGTTTTGAGCCTCTCCAGATGAGTGCCTCACAGCTTTACAACCCCTGGTCTTCAGGCAGTGAGAACTCGGCAGCATTCAGATCTAACCCGGCGTCGGAATTCATGGCCTCCCTTCAACATCCCGGGTATAGTAGCCCATGGTGCGCCACTTCGCTGGCACCACTCGAGTGCAGCCCCAAGTCGCGCGCTATCGGGCCTGAAAATTCCCATCTCTCTTCCCTCTACTCAAACCCTCATCATTCAATCCCTTCTATAGGCCTTTTACGAGACAGGATGAGTCAGTCAAATCTGCGAGCGTCGAAATTGCCCCATAGTGGCGATTTACTGGATTGGCCGTCTGATCCTGCCACGTCCTTTTACTTTGCTCGTGATTCCTATTATTGCCATTCGGCACAAATGGAAACCTCCGAGGGAATTGCTCTAGCCTTGAGAGCGACCCCGCCATCACCACCCATTTCAATATTCTCTAAGCAGTCATCATCATCAATGTCCATTAACAGCATGGGTCCCACTGCCTCCAACACCGTCGCTGACAGTAACTCGCCCCGAACCAGCCTCGGTGACCAAAGCGAAGGGGATCATAATGGAGAGCCCTACTCGAAACTCATCTACAGAGCCCTAAAAGATGCCGACGGCCATAGACTGTCCCTTCAGCAAATCTATGACTGGTTCATTAAAAACACCAGCAAGGGCAGAGACAGCACCAAAGGCTGGCAGAACAGCATTCGCCATAATCTGTCTATGAATAAAGTACGACCTCTCACTCCCAACACTTCCATTATCCCCGCTGCCGGTTTCATATCAAACCAGTTTCATATCACTATCCACTTCCCAGTCAGTAGAGTGCGCTTTACTGACAGACATCTTCGTCTTAGGGATTTGAGGCCAGTAAAATTGACGGGTGCACGAGGAAGAAGCCGCAGAATTTGTGGGCTCTGACTCAAGATGCCATCAACCGGGGCTATGTGGAATCCACTACGCGCTATCGCAAATCGAATCACCGCAAGGCCACCAGCTCCAATTTTCCATTTCTTGGGCGTCAGCGCTCAGGGTCTAAGGGGGGAAGGCCGCAAAACATGCGACGAAGACGCGCCACCCAATTCAGCACGAGCATTCACCAACGCAAAGTCAGACCCAGCTACCTCAGCCCCAGCCATCGGGTGATCTCGCATCCCCTCTGCCTACGCCACCTTTCGGGGATGCACCGCACTATCAATTGGGGAAGGTCTTCAATGGCCTGCCCCCCGGCGACAGCCTTGTCAAACAAGAATTCGACTTTTCCAAAGTGATTGGCTGCACGAGCTCCCCACTTGGTGATAACTCGATGTTCTATGGTGTCGCGGGACCGGCACTGAGCTATGTACCGCTCGATCTTGACCATATCGGTGGTTGGTACCCCCTCTCAGGGCCCGATAATGGGTTGACAGGGCCCGGAAAGCTATGAGATCTTCAGCCTTTGCGGAAGGACGCAGAGGCGCGGCTGAAAAAAAGGGGGCAGGGGGCGATGATAGCAACAGGGAAAAAGCCTGGAGTCTGTTGACATGCACCATTATCTCGTTTTCTTCATGCTGGTTGTTTTTTATTTATTTTTTGATGTGTATATTCTTTTAATTTTTTGATATTCTTTTGGCTGAGTGATTTTGGCCCTCAAATAACTAGAGGCAATGCCTGCATGGCTCTTGCACTTTGCATTCTATATTGCTTTTTTGTGCTAGTCTTCTATTGAAAGTAAAAGTGTATCGTAGTCAGCAACGTGGAAGTCCCGGAAAATGAGTCACTCTTCCGGGGTTAACATTCAGGGCTGTCATATCACTAAGCTTCCTATTTCCAACAAGACTCACGTTCTCAGTTGGGCACGAGGGCCGGACCGCTCGACGGCCTCATACATGCAGATCTTTAGCGCGGAAGCCATTCCAGATGGAGCCTGTAGACCTTGTCACTGTGAACATGTCCTGTACGCTCACGAGAGGCGAAGTCCGTGCAGTGCATCCAAACAAAGAAGTATTATCTTGAATATTCCTCACCTCATATCTACTATGTCCCCAAAGAAGCCGCTCCAGAACTGTCTTAGCGAATGGCTGCAGCAAAAGTCCTGCTGACGCGGACAAGGCTCGTCTAGTCTGCGCTTTTGCATCATATTGTATTTCCCGCTTGTTGCCTTCTTCTATAGATCCATCAAAGACGATCTACATCTTCCTATCCGCCCCTCCGGTGACTATGGATGCAGATTTGGGATGATCGTGATGCTCCTTAGCGCCGTAACCGTGCGTGATCTAGATCTACACTGTCAGCTGTGCGGGTAGGGGTCAGGGGACTATGGAACTAATCTGCGTACCCCTATTCCCACCTTAGATGACGAAGATCGCGACGAATCAATGGCTGGCAGAGGGAATCATTTTCCTAAGCCCAATGATACCAAGGCCCGGGCGATCCACTCCTACTGTTCCCTAGCCGGGTTTTTTATTTCTGCGTACGTTCTCTATACGTCCTTAAACCTACTTGGGAATTTGCTATCTCCTCGGTATGGGCGTAGCTGGTATCTGTACATCGTTACTTCTGTAAAGATGACAGCTGCAAACCATTCACAATTTGTCCAATCGCTGCGTTCTTGCACATTTCCTTTTTTTTTTTTTTTTCTCCCACGCAGGCCTGCCAGTAAGCTCAGCCTGCAAGCTCTTAATCTGGTTGGAATTTCCCAGATTTAAAGTAAGATTCAACGAGTGATATTCACCGAGTACAAGTATCTTCATCACTCATTATTGGGTGTTTGTATCTGCTTATTCATTTCTACGAAGTGGCAGACTATCTCTCCTAAAAATATACTTTTTCTTTGCTTTTTTATTTACCTTTCCTGTCTTACGGAGTACGGAGTATTTGGTCGATGGATCTCCGTTAGATTGCTTTTTAGCTGTGCTACATTAAAATCGGGTAAGATATCCGAATACCCAGCCAATGCGATGCATGAGTTGTCGAGATGGTGACCTTCAGAAGCCACGGTGCTACTTTCTAGATCTAGACCTATCAGCCACTGGCTTATATACCTATTAAATCTAGGTAAAAGCACTTCTAATTCCAGTTCTATGGGTTCTCTGACAGTTCGAGCAATGAAGGTCACGTGTAATGCAGTTTAATGCAACACATCTATTTCATTTTTCTTACATTTTCTTTCCGGCCGATGCCGGTAGCCTGCTGCTGTCATGCTTCCCTGATTCTTTGCAACTCTGTGATTCGGTGCCACTTGCGAAGACACAGGCAAGTCACTCCATGGAGGGCCGTTGGTAGCTTGCATCAATAGTCTGTTCGCCAATGTCTGCTAGGAACCCGCCGCAGCCTAATCCGTCCAAGTGCATTTACCATTCGGCTAGATCCCAGAATAATGATCTATCACCATTATAGCAGAAGAAACGAAAGACAGATCCTCGTCTTAAATTTTATGAAGGAGAGGTTTGGGTGAAGACCGAGATGGAAACCCCCACACGTACATTTGTTCTCGTTAGTCTTAATACTTCATAGCCGATGGGGATGCAAGCGGGTCGAGCCCGTCAAAGCAGGGATTCGATTTCTGGTCTAATGCCGGCTACTTTGGCTTGAAAGACACTTGGGTATAGTTGAAACAGGAGTCTGATCCTTTGCATTGTTCCGAGACCCTATCCTCTCACGCTGGCACAGGCCTTGGCTCTTGACCAGAAGACGGCTCAGACTCCGGACCGTTTCCGTTGAGCATCTGTAGGATGGAATACGCGGCTCGACAGCTGTCAATAGTGCATTGTGATCTTCCGCCCAGACTTTCGTGCCGAGCAAGCGCTAAGTGGGCTCAGCCGGGGGAGCGTCCGAGCCATAGAACCCTATGCTCTGACCACTCCTCGGCATGGTTCGTGGAGGTGGTAGCTCAAAGTGGAGGCCAGTTAGAAAAAAGAAAAACGAAAAAAATACAAAACAAATTTCTTTGAGAAATGGCCGGAGAGCATGTCGGTCCGGGCTGCCATTTCGATCTATTGGACGCCAGTCGAGGGTCGACGTGGCTGACGGATGGTGACGGATGGATACGAAGGATCATCGGCTGCCACGTAAGTGGACAGACCTGGCGTATATCAGTTCCAAATATCTTATGGAAGTGGAGGGAGCACTGATCATTGGTACTTTGCAGATAACTTCGTCTTCAGGATCGCATAGTTAGCTAGCGGGGTGGCACGAAGCGTCCTTTGAATATTCTTGTCAAACGTCGACAATGCTTCTTGTTCGTCGGCGGGGTTCTCTCTTCTTTTCTGTAGACATTCTTGTGTTCATAAAAATTGAGTTTTGATGCTCGAGCTCTATGCTCGACATCATATAACCTTTACGTGAAAAATAGACTTGCAGGTGCCAAAAGTAGTCCTGGTATGGCACCATGGTCTTGTTTAGCCCCTTGCCATATTGATTTTTCTTTCTTTCTTTTTTCTCTTAGCTTTCGCAGACTCTTGGTCAGTTCTGTCATGGGGATCTGCGGGCCTTATGCGTGTCAAGGGTTCAAGTCTCCTTCCCGAAGCGGCATTTCGGCGACTAAAGACTTGATAAGCTCACCTGGGGTACGAGTGCAGAAAGAAATATTATTACATTCCATATACCTCAAGCGTCAGAAAACTCAGTGTTTCGGCAGCTAAATAGTGGATGCATTAACCCACGGGTAGTTACAGACTAGATACGCTCCGCCTGTCCGACATAGGGATATATACATTTGGGAAACTATATCCACTTTGACATTTCCCCATAGGGAAAACTACAGAAGACTTCTTGTTTGGTCTTCGATGAATCACTTAATCAATCGATGGAATCTTAGAACTTTTCCCAAGGTGCTGGTTTCACTGGGGAAGCCCTGGAGGTATGCGGGCGTCCCGCGAAGTAATTATGTGCTAGTCCGTCTCAGGTCGCTTTAAGCGAGTTTCGCAGTCAATGTCCTAAAATTACCAAATGCCCAAAGTCTCAAAGCCCGAAATTCCCAAGCCTAAGAAAGAAACCGGCCAGGGGTATCTTTCTCATGGGAATTAGCTTATAATCTACATCTATATTGGCCGGAACACAATATGCAAAGCTCGGAGCAAGGAGGGGGGGGGGTTCGACCGAATAACGAGTCCTGCGAGTAATCGAAGCTATGCCCCCGTCAATGATAGGCGGCAATATATCGGCAATATATCCTCTCACTAAAACCATCTAGTTGCGAATGCCGAGATTTCGTATTATAGCGGTCTGGCGACGGAGTTGTGCTGGCTGATTCTCGACCAAGAACTCAAACAAGGATATTGTGCGGCCCCAGTTGTATACGAAACATCTGAAAATACATTTTCGCGTGGTCTGGTCGTTGGCGTGATGAAAATGCTCCAAGGTTTTTCGGTCGAAATCTAGACTTGGGACATCATACGGTGCGGAGGCCACCGCGTTGACGTAGATGTGCGTGTGAATGGCATTAAAGTGATGTCCCAGCAGGGTACCTTAGGGTACAACAGGACCGGGGCGACGAAAGACGTGCAGCTAGATCTACGGACTGTAATAAGTCGGCGACAAGGTCTACACTCGCCGCATAGTCATTCATAAGTTGCAGATGTCAACCAAGGCAATTGACGGAAATACTCGAGCCAAACAAGACGCTCATGGGAATCTCATGAAGATAGTAAATTTGGGTTTCATTTGCATAGCCCACGATCCATCATGGATTCGCGTGCTAGCGGTTCCTGATCATCCTTTTTTCTAGATTCTGAAGAACCGTTCCCACCGTTTTTCCGTAACGTTCGCTCCCCAAAAAGACCAACACCGACGAAACAGACGTTGCTTAGCGCTTGCCAGCGGCCTTCTCCTGGGACTCCTTGAGAACCTTCTTGACGATCTTCTGCTCCTCAATCAGGAAGGCACGGACAATGCGGTCCTTGACGCAACCGGCGCAGCGGGAGCCACCGTAGGCACGGCTGACGTTCTTCTTGGGGCGGGAGATCTGAGCATACTCGCGGGGGCGGAGGGCGGGAATCTGTGCGATCACCATGGTTAGTTCGTTGGGGTCTTTTTTGACTGAATCGAGGATTATGCAGTGGTTGTGTTCGGTTTTGGTTGACTCGTAGGGTCATGTCGTTCCGTTCAAGGCGATTGTCGAATTTTTCATGACCCTTCGTCCGTCCACCCCACGACCACCATACCCGCACACAACGCACACACAACTCAAAAAAAAAATCAACTCAGGGGGCACTCACGCCAGGGAGCTTGATGCCACAGTCACCGCACTTGGGAGCAGTGCCCTTCTTCTTCAGGTGAAGGTATCGGAGCTCACCACCGGGGGTCTTGATGATGCGAACCTTGTTGGACCGCGTGTTGTACCTGTCGGGGGGAAATTCGTCAACATGTCGTTCAAAAAACTGTCAAGCTCGTCTCATCCGGTCGTATTCATGTCGAATCAAGCGTTGAAGAGGCATTGCTCGAGGGAAGGAAATTTTTTTCAACGTACGGGTTCCGGCGGCGCTGGAGAGAAGAGTCAGCATTCAGAAAAAATGGTAGATATTGTAGCAATAGCACTTACGAAGGTCAGTCTGTTGTTGGGCATTTTGACTGTGGTGAACCTCGGTGGTCAAGGGCGTTGTCGTCGTCGGGTTGTGAACGGTAAAATGTTCGAGTTGCGCGGGTTTGTGTGGGTTTCGCTCTAGCGCACATTTGGCGAGGTGACGCTAACCCAATCAGGACTAGCGTCAAAGATGGAGCCGCCACCTCAAAGTTCGGCATCGCAGGAGTCTCGTCTTTGCTGTCGAAGTGCTGGTGTTGGTGTCCCCTTTCCATCATCTAGCACGCTCAATCTCTTGCGCGTCTTTTACCTACGAACTCTCCATACCTTTCAACCACGTTTACCTGACGAGTCCATGGTTCTTGACGTGATTCGGACGCGACTCTGAGCCCAACTCACGTCTAGGGAGGGTGGGTGATTCCCCCATCAACAACCACCACCATGGCATCTTTGCCTCCTCCCCCTCCTCCTCCAGGATGGGGCGCAGCTCCCCCATCTATGCCACTGGCACCACCGCCTCCTGGCTATGCCCCCACCGCCGACCCGAACGCCGCAAAATTTGCGCAGAAGAAGCATGAATGGCTGCGCACGCAGCGCAGTCGATTCGGCGAGAAGCGCAAAGGAGGATTTGTCGAAACACAAAAGGCAGACATGCCCCCGGAGCATCTACGAAAGATTGTGAAGGATATTGGCGATGTCTCGCAGAAGAAGTTCACCAACGAGAAGCGCAGCTATCTTGGCGCGTTAAAGTTTATGCCCCATGCGGTCCTGAAGCTCCTCGAAAATATGCCCATGCCCTGGGAGTCAGCGAGGGAAGTGAAGGTACTCTACCACGTCAACGGATGTTTGACTCTCGTCAACGAGACACCACGCGTTATCGAGCCGGTCTTTCATGCCCAGTGGGCTACCATGTGGATGTCCATGCGTCGCGAGAAGTCTGACCGAAGGCATTTCAAGCGCATGCGCTTCCCTCCGTTTGATGATGAGGAACCCCCTCTTTCATGGTCGGAAAATATTGAGGACGTCGAGCCTCTGGAGCCTATCCAGATGGAGCTGGACGAGGAGGAAGATGCGGCGGTCTACGAATGGTTCTACGACCATAGGCCTTTACTGGATACTCCCCACGTCAATGGGCCAAGCTATAAGAGCTGGAACCTGTCGTTGCCGCAGATGGCTACTCTTCACCGTCTCAGCCACCAGCTCCTTAGCGACGTCGTTGATGAAAACTATCACCACATGTTCGACCTCAACAGCTTCTTCACTGCAAAGGCTCTCAACGTGGCCATCCCCGGTGGTCCCCGCTTCGAGCCTTTGTACAAGGATATCGACCCTAACGACGAGGACTTCAGCGAGTTCAACGCGATCGACCGCATTATCTTCCGTGCCCCGATCCGGACCGAATACCGGGTCACCTTCCCCCACCTGTATAATACCCTTCCCCGCAGCGTGAAGATCGCCTGGTACTCTCACCCCCAAGTGGTTTATGTCCGCACCGAAGACCCCAACCTTCCCGCTTTTTACTTCGACCCTGTCATTAATCCGATTTCCTCTCGCTCCGTCGCACCGAAGAACATCACTGTCAGCCATGAGGACGAGATCTTTGGACCAGATAATGAGGATGATTTTGAGCTTCCTGGGGAGGTAGAGCCTTTCTTCGATGATGAAGAGCTCTACACTCAGGATACCGCCTCTGCTATTGCGCTTTGGTGGGCTCCTCACCCATTCGATAAGCGATCCGGAAAGATGGTTCGCGCTCAGGATGTGCCGCTCGTGAAACAATGGTACCTGGAGCACTGCCCGCAGGGCCAGCCCGTTAAGGTCCGCGTGTCCTACCAGAAGCTGCTGAAGACCTATGTTCTCAACGAGTTGCACAAGAGCAAGTCGAAGGCCCAGAGCAAGCAGAATCTGTTGAAGACTCTGAAGACAACCAAATTCTTCCAGCAGACCACAATCGACTGGGTCGAAGCGGGCCTGCAGGTCTGCCGTCAGGGTTTCAACATGTTGAATCTGTTAATTCACCGAAAGAACTTGACCTATCTGCATCTAGACTATAACTTTAACTTGAAGCCGGTCAAGACATTGACAACCAAGGAGCGAAAGAAGTCCCGTTTCGGAAATGCTTTCCACTTGATGCGTGAAATCTTGCGTCTTACTAAGTTGATCGTTGACGCCCAGGTCCAATATCGCCTGGGTAACATCGATGCTTTCCAGTTGGCTGACGGTATTCTGTACGCTTTCAACCATGTCGGTCAGCTTACCGGTATGTATCGTTACAAGTACAAGCTTATGCACCAGATCCGTTCGTGTAAGGATCTTAAGCATTTGATCTACTATCGGTTCAACTCTGGTCCCGTCGGCAAGGGCCCCGGCTGTGGTTTCTGGGCTCCTGCCTGGCGAGTCTGGCTGTTCTTCATGCGTGGTATCATTCCTCTGCTCGAGCGATGGCTTGGAAACCTACTCTCTCGTCAATTTGAGGGACGTCACAGCAAGGGTGTGGCCAAGACGGTGACCAAGCAGCGTGTGGAGTCTCACTTCGATCTGGAACTGCGTGCCTCCGTTATGGCCGATTTGATGGATATGATGCCCGAGGGTATCAAGCAGAACAAGGTCAACGTTGTCTTGCAGCACTTGTCTGAGGCATGGAGATGCTGGAAGAGTAACATCCCCTGGAAGGTTCCTGGTCTGCCTGCGCCCATCGAGAACATTATTCTTCGATACGTGAAGAGCAAGGCCGATTGGTGGATTTCCGTTGCTCACTACAACCGAGAGAGAATTCGTCGTGGTGCCACCGTGGACAAGACCGTGGCCAAGAAGAACTTGGGTCGTCTTACTCGTCTCTGGCTCAAGTCGGAGCAAGAGCGTCAACATAACTATCTCAAGGATGGTCCTTATGTTTCCTCCGAGGAAGCTGTCGCCATTTACACAACCATGGTGCACTGGCTGGAGTCTCGCAAGTTCTCGCCAATTCCTTTCCCCAGCGTTTCGTACAAGCATGACACAAAGATTCTCATTCTTGCTCTCGAGCGTCTGCGCGAGTCTTACTCCGTGAAGGGTCGTTTGAACCAGAGTCAGCGTGAGGAGCTTGCTCTCATCGAACAGGCTTATGATTCCCCAGGAACCACCTTGGCAAGAATCAAGCGTTTCCTCCTGACTCAGCGTGCCTTCAAGGAAGTTGGAATTGATATGAACGACAATTATAACAATATCAACCCTGTCTATGATATCGAGCCTATCGAGAAGATCACCGACGCTTATTTGGATCAATATCTCTGGTACCAGGCTGACCAGCGTCATCTGTTCCCTGCTTGGATCAAGCCTTCAGATTCTGAAGTGCCGCCGCTTTTGACATACAAGTGGACTCAGGGTATTAACAACCTGTCCAACGTCTGGGAGACGGCTGATGGCGAGACCAACGTCATGATCGAGACTGAGCTGTCCAAGGTCTATGAAAAAATGGATCTCACTCTGTTGAACCGCATGCTGCGCCTCATCATGGACCACAACTTGGCAGACTACATAACCTCCAAGAACAACGTCCAGCTCAGCTACAAGGACATGAACCACACCAACAGTTATGGCCTGATCCGTGGTCTTCAATTCTCCGGCTTCGTGTTCCAGTACTATGGCATGATGATTGATCTGCTGCTTCTCGGTTTGCAGCGTGCCAGTGAAATGGCTGGACCGCCTGCGAGCCCCAACGATTTCTTGCAGTTCAAGGACCGCGCCACCGAGACTCGACACCCCATCCGTCTCTACACTCGCTACGTTGACAAGATTTGGGTGTTCTACCGTTTCAAGGCTGACGAATCTCGTGATCTTATTCAACGATTCTTGACGGAGAACCCAGATCCCAACTTCGAGAATGTTATTGGCTACAAGAACAAGAAGTGCTGGCCTCGCGATTGCCGAATGCGCTTGATGCGCCACGATGTCAACCTTGGCCGTGCTGTCTTTTGGGATATGAAGAACCGTCTCCCTCGATCCATCACCACGATCGACTGGGATGACACATTTGCCAGTGTGTACAGCAAAGACAACCCGAACCTGCTCTTTTCCATGAGTGGCTTTGAGGTTCGCATTCTTCCCAAGATTCGCAACCAAAACGAGGAGTTCTCCGTTAAGGATAGTGTCTGGTCTCTGGTCGACAACTCGTCCAAGGAGCGTACCGCCCATGCCTTCCTCCAGGTCACCGAGGAGGACATTCAGAAGTTCAACAACCGCATTCGACAAATCCTCATGTCTTCTGGATCCACCACATTCACGAAGATCGCCAACAAGTGGAACACTGCGCTGATTGCTCTTTTCACTTACTACCGTGAAGCTGCCGTGTCGACCGTCAACCTCCTCGACACCATCGTCAAATGCGAGACCAAGATCCAGACTCGTGTCAAGATTGGTTTGAACTCCAAGATGCCCTCCCGTTTCCCTCCCGCTGTCTTCTACACTCCCAAGGAGCTTGGAGGTCTCGGTATGATCTCAGGATCTCACATCCTTATCCCCACTAGTGACAAGCGCTGGTCCAAGCAGACCGACACTGGTATTACCCACTTCCGAGCGGGTATGTCTCATGACGAGGAGACCCTGATCCCCAACATTTTCCGATACATCATTCCCTGGGAGGCCGAGTTTATTGACTCTCAACGTGTGTGGATGGAATACTCCCAGAAGCGCATGGAGGCTCAGCAACAGAACCGCCGTCTTACCCTGGAAGATCTTGAAGACAGCTGGGACCGCGGTCTGCCCCGTATCAACACCCTCTTCCAGAAGGACCGCAGTACCCTCAGCTTCGACAAGGGCTTCCGTCTTCGTGCTGAGTTCAAGCAATACCAGCTGATGAAGAGCAATCCCTTCTGGTGGACAAGCCAACGTCATGATGGTAAATTGTGGAATCTGAACGCTTACCGCACCGACGTCATCCAAGCTTTGGGTGGTGTTGAAACCATTCTAGAACACACCTTGTTCAAGGCGACAGCTTTCCCATCTTGGGAGGGTCTCTTCTGGGAACGAGCTTCGGGCTTTGAAGGTTAGTGAAATTTCTTTTATCCCCTGGACCTCTATGTTACTTGATATGCTCTTTAGATTTCAAGTGGTTTTTTCTCAAGTCTTATGCTAACTCACCGTTTTTTATTATTTTTACAGAATCGATGAAGTTCAAGAAGCTCACAAACGCCCAGCGTTCCGGTTTGAACCAAATCCCTAACCGTCGATTTACGCTTTGGTGGTCCCCGACAATCAACCGAGCCAACGTTTACGTTGGTTTCCAAGTGCAACTGGATCTGACTGGTATTTTCTTGCACGGCAAGATTCCCACTCTGAAGATCTCCCTGATTCAAATCTTCCGTGCCCATCTGTGGCAGAAGATCCACGAGTCTGTGGTCATGGATTTGTGTCAGGTGTTCGATCAGGAGTTGGAGCAGCTCGGCATCGAGGCTGTGCAGAAGGAGACGATTCACCCCCGTAAGTCTTACAAGATGAACAGTTCTTGTGCAGACATTCTTCTCTTCGCCACCAACAAGTGGAACGTTACCAGGCCCTCTCTGCTGTTTGACACCAAGGATGTCTACGAGCCTACCACAACCAACAAGTTCTGGCTCGATGTGCAATTGAGATATGGTGACTACGACTCTCACGACATTGAACGCTATGTCCGTGCCAAGTATCTTGATTACACTACGGACAGCATGAGCATTTACCCTTCGGCTACTGGTCTGATGATCGGTATCGACCTTTCATACAACCTGTACTCTTCTTATGGTCAGTATTTCCCTGGTTTGAAGACTCTGGTCCAACAGGCCATGGCCAAGGTCATGAAAGCCAACCCTGCCTTGTACGTTCTTCGTGAACGTATCCGTAAGGGTCTGCAGTTGTACGCCTCTGAGAGCAACCAGGAGTTCCTCAACTCCCAGAACTACTCAGAGCTTTTCAGCCCGCAGATTCAGCTCTTCATTGATGACACTAATGTCTACCGTGTCACCATTCACAAAACATTCGAGGGTAACTTGACCACCAAGCCCATCAACGGTGCTATCTTTATCTTCAACCCCCGAACCGGACAGTTGTTTTTGAAGATCATTCACACCAGTGTCTGGGCCGGTCAGAAGCGTTTGGGTCAGCTGGCCAAGTGGAAGACGGCCGAAGAAGTTGCAGCTCTAATCCGCTCTCTGCCCGTTGAAGAGCAACCGAAGCAGCTCATTGTCACTCGTAAGGGTCTTCTTGATCCTCTCGAGGTTCACCTGCTCGACTTCCCCAACATTTCCATTCGTGCTTCCGAGCTTCAGTTGCCCTTCCAGGCTGCCATGAAGGTCGAGAAGCTTGCGGATATGATCCTCCGAGCTACCGAGCCTCAGATGGTTCTCTTCAACCTGTACGACGAGTGGTTGAAGTCTATTTCTCCGTACACTGCCTTCTCTCGTCTTGTCCTCATTCTTCGTGCTCTCCATGTCAACATTGACAAGGCCAAGATCATTCTCCGGCCCGACAAGAGCGTCATCACCCAGGAGCACCACATCTGGCCATCGCTCTCTGATGAGGACTGGATCAAGGTCGAAGTGCAGCTGCGTGATCTGATCTTGAACGACTACGGCAAGAAAAACAACGTGAATGTCCAGAGTTTGACCAGCAGTGAAGTGCGAGATATCATTTTGGGTATGGAGATCAGCGCACCCTCGCTCCAGCGCCAGCAGGCGGCCGAGATTGAGAAGCAGCAGGAGGAGCAGAAGCAGCTCACTGCCGTGACTACTAAGACCCAGAACGTGCGTGGAGAGGATATCATCGTCACGACCACGTCACAGTACGAGCAGCAGTCTTTCGCATCCAAGACCGAGTGGCGTACTCGAGCGATTGCTACCTCGAACCTGCGGACGAGATCCAACAACATCTATGTCTCCTCGGATGACATTCGCGATGATGGATACACCTATGTCATGCCGAAGAATGTTCTCAAGCGTTTTATCACCATCGCCGATCTTCGTGTCCAGGTTTCAGGCTATCTCTACGGTAGCTCCCCGCCGGATAATGACCAGGTCAAGGAGGTTCGCACCATCGTCATGGTCCCGCAGGTCGGCAATACCCGGGATGTCCAGCTACCGCACGAACTGCCCCAGCACGACTACCTGAACAACCTGGAGCCGCTGGGAGTCATCCACACGGTGTCGGGTAACGAGCCACCCTATATGTCGGCAGCCGATGTTACACAGCATGCCCGCCTCATGAACGCACACCCGTCGTGGGACAAGAAGACCGTGACCATGACTGTCTCCTTCACTCCTGGATCCGTCTCACTTGCCGCTTGGGGCCTAACTCCTGACGGGTATAAATGGGGTGCTGACAACAAGGACATGACCTCCGATCAGCCTCAGGGCTTCTCCACCAGTATGGGCGTGAAGTGCCAGCTACTCCTCAGTGACCGTGTCCGCGGCTACTTCCTGGTCCCCGAGGACAATCTTTGGAACTATAGTTTCATGGGCAGCTCCTTCGGCAGTGTTGAGAAGAGGCCCATTTACGTCAAGATCGATACCCCGCTTCGATTCTACGATGACCAGCACCGACCCTTGCACTTCCAGAACTTTGCTGAGCTGGAGGATATCTGGGTTGATCGATCGGATAACTTTGAGTAAGGGAAGGTGGGCTATTCGGTGTTTTTTCTCCGGGCGTCTTGTATTTTATTTTATCTTACTCCCTTTCTCTTGTATCACGACAATCATAATTTCATGTATTGAAGCGAGGACCGAGTTCGGAAAAGCGGTGCTTTTATGGATTTTAGCTCCTTTTCTTTTGTATTTAGTATACCTCGTTTGGGCGAATGCACTACAGTTTTCAAGACACATCTGCAGCCGATTTGCGAATGCACAGATCGCGTTAATTTTCGATGACTCCGCGCGGTTCAGGGATCCCAACTCAACAGAGAAGGTTCCATGACCTCCGAAGACCACACGGTGATCTGATTGCGCGCTTACAGCAGGGGTGAAACGGGCAGTCATCGGCCATACGCCACCGAGGCCCGATCCCTCGAGCTTTGTATGCGTTGACAATCACAAAAAGGGCGGTGGAGGGGCAACGTCGCCATCACCCTGTTCATCTTCCCGTGTTCCAGCTAGTCTCGAGAGCAGGCTGCTCCTTCCTAGTTCAAGTGCTCAAGACATGGACTAAGAACGAGGACGGAGTGTGGGCCGTATGCAGCTAATTCAACAACCTGGCAACTCCTTCACCCTGAATTTCCCTTTCACCCCCACTTGCCTTTGGAGGAAACGAACCCATTTCACTCGGAATATGTCGAGTGACGCAATCGTTCCCTGCATAGCTCGGATCCCGACACACTTGCAAAGGGCAAATAATCTTGAACCTCAAACCGCGAATCTCGAACGTCCGTGACAAATGCTGCTGTCAAGGGCAAGTCAAATCAGAAAACAGGTGTGCGCCAATCTCAAGTGAGATTCATTGTTTCAACCCCCGCCACCGGATTGCTCTGGTACCATTGTGATTGATTCTCGCATACCTTGGCACCCTAGCTCGTTCGACACCGAGCTAAGAGTCGGCCAGTTTGCTTCTTTGGCTAACCAGAGCTTGCATAGATGATCCACCCGGCCTATGAAACCCCCCTGTCACTTCGTCACTTCATCACTTCGTCCGCATGCCCCCGATGTCAATCTGACGGGCGTTGCTCAGCTCTTGCCGGGCTGCGTGCCTTCCGATGCTCAGGTCTGCGCCCTGTTGCGCCTCTGTTTCTGCCTTGAATGTTTCAACCCTAGGAGTCACAGTGGGGACCCCTCCTTATTGCCTACCGGTTCTAGTGATGTTGGCGAAGCCAAAGCATATACGCAGTATTGGTAAGAAGAATGAAAAAGTGCCAGCGCTTTGGGGTCCGACTGAATGGTCCTAGGCCGTCTATGACAGGCAATCCACCCCCGATTGGCAGCAATCCGTCCTCTCTCTTTCCACTTGGATCCCGCGAAACCATCCCTGGCGACGCACGATGCAGCTGATGAGCTTCGGCACAGACTCCCTTTCAACTAGACTGATGCAAACCTCCGGGACAAGACGGTCCTCGGCGAAGAACTTATAGAAGGCCACCTCCGCGGCTGCGTCTCTTCGCTTCTATGACTAGATATCCTGTACTTTCCCCCCTTTCATCCGGCATTATGCTATAATCTTCCGTTGGGCTCCCAGTCATTACACCTCTTTGACCTCGGGAATACCTAGTTATTTCTGCCCCATTACTTGGCCCTGCTCAATTCATTAAGCCCCTTCTTATTTCTCCTGAAACTTTGCCATATATCGCCATTCTTATGTGACGGTATAACCCTGACTTGTCCCTCGACCCATTCTTGGGAGCAATACCTTGCTCTTCGGTTCGGGTCGTTCTCCTCTAGCAGAACAGCCGGCCGGGGCTCTCCTGGCAGTGTCAATGCATGTCCGTGATACTTTCGGACCCGTATCGAGGCTATGCGATCCACTATCCTTCTCCAGACAAGCCTGACGACTATGATCTGATCGCGTTCGGTTCGCCCCAGTCGCAGTTGCGCACCAAACTGATGAGCGGGCGTCCCTGTCCCTCCGAAAACACTCGCCCTTCCTTTGGCACGCACCCGTCGGTGCTGCCTCGTCCTGTCTCTCGGCCCAACAGCCACAATGAGCCTCAATTGGCCTATGTGAGCGTGAATCAGATGCTCCCGCATCAGCTTTCTCACTATGGCTACGAGATATCGTCTCTGCAAGAGACCGGGAAACGGGCCCGGTCCGAAGACGAAGACGATATTGGCCGTGACATCGATCGCAATATTGGAATGCATCAATCTCTCCCGCCTTTGTCCATAGATGGCTCTTCGATTTCTGCAGCAGAATCTCGAGAGATCTTGTACTCAGTGCACGGCGACTACTCGGCTTCTCACCCGTCCTCTAGTCACGAATTCCCTTCGCCTATTTCTCTGCCCATTCCGCAGCACCATCACCACCACCGTCTCCCTCCCCAGGCGCTGCTACACACAGGTCATGGCCTGGGTTCTAACTCTCCCCCAATGTCTGGAGTACCACCCAGCGTCGTGGGTCAACCTGGAATGCCCGAACCGGCGCCAAGGCCCCGTGGTCCAAAGCTCAAGTTCACTCCGGAAGAAGATGCATTGCTGGTGGACTTGAAAGAGGACAAGAATTTGACTTGGAAACAGATTGCGGACTTCTTCCCAGGCAGGACAAGTGGTACTCTGCAAGTCCGGTACTGTACAAAGCTGAAGGCGAAGGATGTGGTTTGGACGGATGAAATGGTAAGCCATTCCCTGTCTTCAAACATTGTGACGTTGATTCTAGCCTGCATATAGGTGCAACGACTTTATCGCGCAATGGATGAGTATGAGACTGATCGCTGGCGTGTCATCTCGGGAAAGGTTGGCAATGGGTTCACACCAGCGGCGTGTAAAGAGCGGGCAAGCCAATCCAATGCGGCCCCTCATTACGAATGATTTATTTTGTATTAGTTCTTTTGTATCGATGACTGAGTATGAGAGTAGACACACATACATCTCTTAGAATTTCCCTAGGTCAATGCTCCACAGCCCAACCAAGGAGATAATCTAAGAGGGCCTCATTTCCTCTAGATCCTTCTCTGGGTCCTTCTCAATCTCCAAAGTATTATGATGCTGGATGTATTTTGAGACTTCGTTCTGATCCTATCCAATAGGTGCTTTTCATATAGGCCCCGAAAGAAAACTCATGACCGCCTATTGAAGGGTATCTGGAGTATCTCGAGTACTCGTGATCCGGCTCTATACTTCTTATACCAGCAGGCCCTAAGCCCTACCTGCTGAATGCGGCATGCTATCTCTCTTAGTCAGCATTCGTGTCTGCCAATCAAAAGCTCCGAGTCGGCCTTTACGTTGATGCCCCACAGCTACCTCTACAAGCCAATCACAGACCGGTCCGGGCCGGCTCGACTTCAAACCTCACCCAACTCACTCAGACTCTCCCCATCACCAAACTCCCCTCCACCCAATTCACCAGCTATACCTGGACAATGTTCCTCCAGCGTACCGCCGCTACCCTCGCGAGGCGCTCGCCCGCCCGCGCTTTCACTCTCGCTCAGCGCCCCTTCTCCTCGTCTATCGTGCGCAGTATGTGATTCCCCGGTGGCCTGATCCGACCTCCTCCGACCTTCGCCAACACACGTCCCACCCGACTCAATTGGCATTCGGCACTGTTCACTCAGCAAACAACGATCGACTTGTCTTCTAAAGCCAGCAGCTAACGCGAATTGTCACTCATAGGCAACGAGAAGAAGTGGGCCCCCAAGGACGAAGGCAAGAGCCTTTCCTTCGATGGTTAGTACACCCTTCCGCCACTACACAACCAATTGCTCCGCTTGTGTCTTCGGCAAAAGGGAGTGATCCATTGAATCCACTGTCCCCGATTTCGTACGCAATTCCACTACATAAGACGTCAAAGACATGGATTGTGGGCCCACCCGAGTCGAGTCACAACACGCATGAGTTGTTCCCAAGTAGCACCGGAAGGACTCACCACTAATTTCACTCTTCCACAATCACAGAGATCAAGTCTGAGGATGACCTTATTCCCCCCGGTGCCAAGCCCGGTACCATCCCTACCGACTACGTCCAGGCCACCGGTCTCGAGCGTCTCGAGCTTATCGGAAAGATGCAGGGCATCGACATTTTCGATATGCGTCCCCTTGATGCCTCCCGCAAGGGTATGTCAGCTTTATTTGCATTGCGCGCACTTCTCACGTGCCGTCAGCGTAGCGACAACTGGGAGCCGAGGGACTAACGGACATACATATAGGAACCCTTGAGAACCCCATCATTGTCAGCGGTGCCGGTGATGAGCAGTACGCCGGTTGCACTGGCTACCCCGTAGACTCCCACCAGGTTAACTGGCTCACCGTACGTCGGATCTCTGGTCAAGTCGAGAATCACAGTATGCTAATCGGATGAACCAGGTCTCCCGCGAGCGCCCCATCGAGCGCTGCAACGAGTGCGGCAACGTTGTTAAGCTGAACTACGTCGGACCCGAGGAGGACCCCCACTCCCGTATGTTTGAATCTTGATTATTCTAGTTCTTATGGATATTGAACTAACATTCAATAGACGACCACGGCCACGGTCACCACCCCCCTCACGAGGAGCCCAAGACCTTCGCCGACTACGTCAAGCCCGATTACTGGTACCGGTAAATCCGGCGCGTTGAAGATTCCCGATACAGTGTAAGCGGCCTTTTCGCGTGCGAGTCTATGTATCTGCTCTTGTCTCTGTCTGTCTCTTTTGTAGAATAGTTCTCTAGTGGTTGAAAATGAGAGTGCCGGGGGTGTACTTTTGATCATAATTCTATTCCGAGTTCGACCATTGATCACGGTGTAATGCCCATGATTGTAGCATGTGTCTCCAGGGCTGTACAGTGATTCCAACGGAGCCTTCGTCGCGGGAGATATGCCGGAATTTGTCTCCAGGTTCGTGGGTTTCATCTGCTACAAAGCAGACATTGTTTACTATTCACTGCAATAGAGGAATAATAGTCATGCAATTATATTTTCATATACCTATTAAACGCTTACATGCAATTCAAAGAGCTAACTAGTTATCACAAACGAGCACCGTGGCAATACCGCTCACTAATGATGGCATCATGTTGAATACAAGCCAGGCAGTAGCGGTCTGCTGATTGAGCTCCTCCGTGAAAAGGACATTCGATATCAGAGTAAAAGGTAACCCAAGATATAAGAAGTATACTAACGGCCAAAGTAGCGCAGTTCCAGGTATCTCAGTGGGGGGTAAACGACCGCAGCCCAGGAGAAACCAACGTAGTTACCCATCTTTTGTCCACTCGTTAGCTTCCATCTACAATAAACACAGGAATGAATGGAGAAACACTCACATCGGCACCATAAGCACCAACCAGCTTCGCAAGCGGGCCAATATACCACACCTGAGCCATACACAACACAGCTCCAACCCACCCAACAACAAACGCAATGAAAGCAGCAATACCAACAGGCAGCTTCTTTGGATCGCGCCAAGCATCCCAGTTATACCCACTCCGCCAGCGGAAAATCCCAAACTCCTCAACAACAATAGCAAACCAGATTGCAACCCAGTAACCCATCAACGCGAGGAAATTCGTAAAGATATCCGAGAGATGACTGCGTCCTGCAAGCGCGCAAACAGTGAAGATAATGACCCCAACCGTATTCCAGATGACACGAGGAACTTTCTCGGCATAGCTTCCTAGGATCTGAAAATCGACACCGGCAGAATATGTCGGCGCCACTGTATTGGCGACTAGGCCTAGGGCGACTATGACGGAGCAAAATTTGCCGAAGCCGTGGAGAGGTCCAAAACCTTCGACGATTAGGGCGCCTTGGCCTTTTGCGTAGGCGGTGGCATATTCTGGGTGGGCGGTTATACCGGATGCGAGGCCGATGCCGCAGACTATGGCGAACGTAAAAGAGGTGAGGAGGCCGGCGAAGGTTAGGCTGAAAATTGTGAGGCGGGAGGTGTGTTCAGGGTAGTAGACGAAAAAGTCTGCGGCTAGGGGGGCATAGGTGATTGCTGCACTGAGGCAGAGGGAGAAGAATGATAACCTGGGGTTTGTTAGATGTGCACTTTGAAGTGCTGGTTGTGGGAGACGTACCTGTTACCGGCTACCGTGCGGGCGTCGCCTGAAGTGACTGTGCTTATGTCGAATTTCGTCGATGAGACACCGAATAGGATGCAGACGACGATTAGCTGAGGCACGAATGCGAATCTGTTGATTTTGTTAAAAAAGGCTGGATTCTTTATAGGACGTGTACTGACCGTTCGTAGTAGTGAAAGGCTTGAATGCCGAATGTAGCCACGACCCAAGTGATGATTGCAATGATCACGATGCCCACGGCAACAGACATGCCTCCGGGCGAAACTGCAGAGAGAATTTGTCCACCAACGACGCAGTCAATCAAGCAGTATCCAATCATCTGAACAAGATTCAGCAGCACGATGATCTTGCTGGGCCACCAGCCCATCGTATAGCGGCCGAATGCCTAGAAATAAGTAAGTCGGATATCCCTAATCCATACCAGAATAGCACTCACCATAGTTCGGATACCTGAAACAGGGCCCCAAGTGGCCATCCATGCAGCAACCAGAGCACCGGCAAAGCAACCGAAGACAGCGCAAAGCGACGAGTCCAGGAAGCTAAGGCCATACACGGCAGGGCCCAGCATTCCCAATGTAATATTGTTGGCCGCGAGATTGATTGATACCCACAGCAAAAAGGCTTGCAAATACGACATCCAGGACAGACGCTTCATACGCTCATCCGGAGCGACTCGCTCAATGCCTCGCGCCTCCAGGTTATACTCGACAAGCTGCTGCTCGAAAGCCCTAAGCAGTGAGCCCATGCGCGAACCAACGGGGTTCCTCCGATTCGTATTCTCAGGAGGATAAACCGCATCATTCTTATTCTCGTATACGGTTTGCAGTTCAGGTTGGGGAGTCTCATCTTTCTCGGAGCGCACCGCTACGGTGGCAATTTCATTTTCGTGGGCCATACTGCACGAACTGTCAGTGTATGCGACTTTGCAACAAAATGAAAGAGAGGTGCGCATAAGTCCTTTCGCTGGAATTATCCAGATCAAGTTTAACCGTATAATCTCAGAACGGCGGGCAGCCGAACACCGGTCTGTATGCAGTTCAACGAAGTGTACCTTGATCAGATAATACCACGCTACTCGTTTTCATGTCTGCATGGTAGCTCGGGGAGGTGCGGAGTCTGTACTCGAGTTTTTTTTCAGGCCTCTGTAAGAGGTCTGGGTCCCTAGATGAGTCACTGTGAAGCAACAGGTGAGCAACGGCGATTGTCTTGGTGGCGGAAGATAAGAGATGTTAAGTACCTGGATAGAAGAGGCAAGCTCGGACTCGCGCGACTCAGGCGACCGCACCAAGATGGAGAAGGTGACGGCTATGCAATTGTAATCGCAAAATGGGATAGAAAAAAAAAAGTGTGGAGTGAGAACTGGGAAAGTCAGTTGCTCCGCGGGGAAAAATGGATCCGCGTTATCGGCGGATTTCCGGTCTCCGTCAGCGGGATCTTGGCCGTTTTTATACGCTTAGACCATCTGCAACTGTACTGAAATGGGAATCATGTAGTATTGAATGTAAGAAAAGGCCCAGATCACTGGATCCATATAGAGGCCCAACGCCCACGCACATAAATATAACCAGGTCGCGTTATAACATCAAGAGGTAGTCGGTCGAAAAGAAAGAGAAAAAATAATAATGCTAGGAAACAAATAGAAACCAGATCACCAACTCCATCTGCCTGGTAAAATCAAAGGCCCCCGATGGCCAATGATGAGACGAGCATCGCTATGGAATTGCAGAATCCGGGGGAATACCAAATTCGTCAAAAGATGCGTGGGAATTCATCACTTCATCAAGGTCATCAGATCTTCATAGGTTCTTGAAGTGCTCTTTGGCGTATTGTTCACAAGCCTGTCCGTGTTAGGAGGAAAGTTCACTGCTCTGAATTGAAAGGTCTCAACGCACCTTAGCTGGCTTGCCAACTTTCTGGCCGATGACCTTCCACTTGTTCGCCTCGTATTCCTTGATCGCATCACGTAGCTTCATGGACTGTGCGCGGGTAAGTATTATAGTCTATAATGGGGTCTGCGCACGGATCGTACCTCTTCTTCGCCAAACTCGGCGTAGTGCATATCCTGAAAGAGGTGTAAGTATATGTCCAAGGTCACCAGAGTTTAGTCAGAATGTACCTTGTACCAGTGCTTCTTCACACTGCCTTCGGTGCGCGTAGGGAAAGTCTGCGGCGCGTCAAGAGACACGGGTCAGCCACAATGTCGCGCGGCCGGTCAACGGGTCGCGCTCACCTTTGCAATTTCACTCCAGCTGCGACCGGCGTCGCGCATGGTCTTGAGTCGTTGCTCCTCCTCTGCCGTCCATGGGGTATTGGTGCGACCCTTCTTCTTGGGTGTGGCTTCGACTGCGGGCGGCATCATAGTGGGATCACCTTCGATCGCGCCCGGAGTGGGCATCGGAGGGGCCATCATCGTGGAGGTTCCTGCCGTAGGTGACGAAGGACGTTTGCGTGATGTTGAGGATGTCTGCTGAGTTTGTTGTTGTTGAGGAATGGGAGCGGTGGGCATGGGGATGCCGTCAAACGTCGGCACCCGTTGGAAAGGATTGATTTGTTGTTGTTGGGCAAGCAGATGCGACGGAGCGCCTGTAGACGCCGAAGTTTTGATCCGCTTGGATGTGGGAGGGGAACTAGAGCACAAGGTAAGACTATCAGTATGAGAGACCGGATGAAAGCTCAAAAAGAACGAAACGCGACGCAAGTGCCGATGCCAAAGTCTCCCCCCCCCTGGAAGATCACAGACGAGGGACTTACGACATGGTGAAAGAGACACACAATCACACGTCGATTCATCTGTACATACACACCCAGATCGCGTAGGGGAGTAGCAGATCTGCTACTGGCGCGCCTTGGTCAACTTCTAAGAAAATGGGCTTCGTTACACCGGCAGATGATGACACAGCGCGCATCCTAGGCAGAGAGATTGGAGGGCAAGGAATAAGATCGGAAGAGACCAGAGCCAGAGAGAGCAAGTAGAGCGCGCGCAGGGTAAAGGCGACCGGAGTGTTTAGCTCCTGGAGGAGGGGGAGGGCTAAGGTCTGGGAGAGGGAGTTTAGCTCACAGGTCAAAATCGCATGGTCGAAGAGTCGAATCGGGGACCTCGAATTCTTCCGAGTATGGGGAGAACATGAGGCTGGAGAAAGAGAGACGAAGGGGGTTGAGACGGATGGAACTGGAACGAAGGTTACAAGAGGAGAAGAGGAAGAAGGAAAGTGAGCGGGGATGGAGTCACCTCATATCACAACGTCGGCAGGTAATAATAGCACACTAAGGACCCTAATCTACACTTCTTTTCAGCCTTGGGGTTGATTGTTTTTAATCTCATTATTTGTAGGTTTTGCTGGTCTTTTATTGTTCGGAATGAAATAATATCAGATAATATCTCGGAAGATCGATGGAGATGTGGAGAGTCTCCTCTTGAGGCGTGTTGGTTCTAGACCCCCTCAACCTTTGCATCTCACGCCTTAAATTCTCCCCGATAGAATATACAACGATTTACCACTCACCCTCGTCACTCGGATCTTCAGTCCTTCAGATACCTGTCTCCGGTGCATTCCACTTCGTCCTTGGAACCCAGGTCTAGGAACCGATGGGCAGGGGCCTTGTCACAGATGGCTCGTGCTGCACTCCAACTCAGCTGGCGATGAGGTATGCACAAGCACGATGGGCACGTCCGGCAGCTTCCATGAGACATTTGGGCCGAAGACGCCTGCGAGTGGCCTGTTCTAGAATCCGGTGACCCGCGAACTCTCACAACCCGTGCGAGGATGACAGCAATACGCCCAATAACCCGGCGAATGAAGCCCCGGAGAACCTGATCTTTGTCAAATTGTCTCCAATGGCTCGAGCCGCATTCATTCTACTTCAATCTCTAGGAATCCCTCTACTCTCTCCGTCTAACCCGGAGACTTGGCGGACTAAAATCAAGCCACAGGTTGAGCATGCAGCCACTGCCCCCAAATCCCCCAACCCCTCTTCTTTTCCCCCTCCCGCCAGATTCCTAAGTCTACGATGCCTCTGTATAAGGTGGGCGTCGTTCAACTCAGCCCTAGCCCAAAAGCTAAGTTCAATGGGCGGGGTAGTAGCTCGTGTATACTCGAGAGATAAGGCTGTCCCCGCTATGGCCTCGAGCACAATAACCGAATAAGATCTATCATCAGCGGAGAGATATAAAGCAGTGAGTGCAATATTTATCATGTTGTCGAGTTGCCAAGCTGTCAAGTTGTCAATTGGTGGTGGGTGGTTGGAGCGATCACCTCCAATCGTTCCTATGGTTCCAGGATCTTGCATTCCGGCAAGGCAATATGGCTGGCAATGCAGGATGATATAGGCGGAGATCTATGAGCATCGCAGACGCCACCGGGTTGGATTGTACATATTCCTCCTCATGATTGATGCTGCCCTGCGAAAGGGGGTCATCTTATCAATCAAGTTAGATACGGCCGGGGTCGGGTTCGAGTGAATCTTGAGATCGACCCTGGGCTCTACAAGGATGTCCATGCGTGTTGGGAGTAATCCTGTGGTCCAGGACTGTTGGTCTTTTTCTAATTGAACCTCTAGCACTCATCTGCGCGTTCACATGTGGGGGTATCGCAGTCGTACCTTTGTCTCCACACGTGCTGCAAGTGCTGCAAGTGTCTGATCGTCTTGGACACCGGTGGACTCGTTAGTCGCAAAACTTGGACAATGGATGGTATGCGGGACAAACTCTGGTCGCAAGCTTACATCAAAGCTCTGAGTCGTACAAGACGATGATCTACATATGCCAGTCACCCTCCATCTAAGACATGATGAACCTTAGATCTGATCCAAGCCACAACCTTGGAACACCGGCTCAGTCCTTGTATCTTGGACCTGCGATATACACGTGACATAGTTCTTACATCCCAATGTTGAAATGGCTCACCATGGGCAGGGTGAGGATCAAGATTAGGTCAAATATTTGATGTTCTTTCTAGAGTTAAGCCTCCCCCCACTTTCCCGCCCCGGATATGTATCTAGATGCCTTGCGAGCAGGCAACAGCTCGATGAGAACAGGATGCGCGAATAGGGAAACATCAGAAGATCAAAGACCGGCCATCAAACCCGTTTCTTGGTAGCCTACATGCAATACCCCAAATAGACAAAAGCATCCAAAGCCGAAGCAAACCCCGTATAGGTTACCCCGGCTGACGTCAGACCTCACGTGAGGACACGCGGTCCAAGCTTGCACTGATAACGGAGCTCCCCTTGACTTGAGCTCAGAGTCACAGCTTAGACGTCAAGGGTTGGACCCGTACTCTCAATTTCACTTGTGATCTCAATGCTGCTGGTCCTGCACTGAGAACTGATCGATCTCTCGGATCGGTCCTGACACCTACCTTCCCCGCAAACCCACGCATCCCTACCATGAGGTTTAACCTCTTTCGCGTTCTGGGCGACGTGTCCCACCTCGCTTCGATATGTGTCCTGATTTGGGCGATGCATAGGAATAAAAGCGCCGAGGGTAAGCTCTCTTACTGGTCTCTAAATTTTGAGGTGGCTGGTGGCTAACATGGTGCTCTTCTCCAGGTGTTTCACTCCTCACACAGCTGCTCTATGGGGTCGTTTTCGTCTTTCGCTATTTGGATCTGCTCGATGGGAGCTCTTGGAATATCAAACATGGAGGCTTTGGCACGTTTTGGAATCTCAGCTTCAAGTTCTTCTACCTGAGCTCCTCCTTCTATCTCGTGTTCATCATGATGAAGGTCTACCCGCGCACTCGGGAGCGGGAGAGAGCTTGGAAGCTTGGAATATACTCGGTCGCTGGGTCCTTGGTGATGGCACCTATTATGATGGCTATTACCAAGGACTGGCCCACTGGAGCCTCTCAGCGGTTCTTGGAGGTACGGCCGATCCCCTATCAACTCAATGCTTTGCTGACCAATTTCTAGATCTGCTGGACCTTCTCAGTCATTCTCGAATCCGTGTGTGTCCTGCCCCAGCTTCTGCTTCTCCGCCAGACTACCGTTCCCACCGTGATCGACTCCTACTACCTCCTTACCTTGGGCTCCTACCGAGCATTCTACATTCTAAACTGGTTGGTGCGTGGCTTTGGCAGCGAGCACTTCTGGGATCCGATTGCGTTCATCTTCGGCATCGTACAGACCGCCTTCTACCTCGACTTTGCTTGGGTGTACTACTCTCGCCAGCGAGTCAAGCTGCGCAACGGTGGCGTCGTGGACTCAGAAGATTTCAGCAAGGGCTGGCTCGTGAACCGCGTAGTGAACTTCCGTGCCCGACGAACCTCAGCCGATGAGGAACAGAACTTGCGCGACGACGAGGAAGGTATGGACAGTCGCTCCAGCAACAACCGGTGGGGCGCCCGAGGCATTTCCATCGCGGCCGATGATACCCTGGAGGAGCACGAGGAGCACCAGGATCGGCACTACGATGATGACAACCTGGATGGTGACCGGGAAGCTAGATGAGCATCATTTGGCGCGCGCGATGGCCGCACTGTTGGGTGATCGATGCACCTCCGCAAGAAAGAGGAGCTTGGCGAAGCAAACCCAGCAAAATGGGCAAGTGCGCAATGGATTCATTTATGGAGAGAACGAGCGCATGAACCGATGATGTGGATCCTGGATGATTCGCAGATTATCACCTGATTAGTTTCAAACTTGTTATGCAGAGCATTTATGTCATCAGCCAACATTCGACCTTTTAAAAGGGGACCAACTCGACTCTAGCGTAGTGCTGTACACGGCATGACTCGGCCTAGCATAAAGTCACCGTCACCTGACAAGCTGTCTCTGCACGTGGGAGTAGATCCCCGACCCTTGCCCACGTATCTACTTGATTTTCGATTCCTTGTCCGAAAACGCCCCGCCATTAGCATCAAAAGGAAGCTATCAGTTTCCACTTTTCTAATGATCAACCATGAACCATGGTTAGCCGCTGCACCGACAGCATCGGGTCCGCAACTGCGATCTGGGCGATAAGCACATGGTGGCTTGCTTACGGAAAGCAGGAAAAATGGGAAAGAATGAAGGAAAGAAGGAAGGAAGGTTTGATGTAAGCGCTTAGAATCAGTCCATCTGTAGGACAGAGCGTGGTCTGTTCGAAGGTGCAATGTGGGGTTGTCAAAGGATGCGAAAGCCGAGAAGACACCCGAAGATTACCCCAATCGGATGAGAATGTGGGAGAGCAGCATGGTTCAGCATGGGCCTTACCTGAACAGGATAGCCTACGACGCCTTGCGGCTAAATGGCTGCGCATTTCACTATTCGTCATAAATCATGTAGGGAAGTGGGCAACAACCCTGTCGGCGCTTAACCAGCGGTCGTGAATTCTCCGGAGCAAAAGCCATGGCGGCGCGCGGGTAGCCTCTTTTTCAGCCTCACCCCATTAGGTGAATCCTGCTGTCCTCCTGTCCAGTCGAGAGCCGCCGGCGATAAAGCACCTGCAGGAGGGAGGGAGGTGTGATCGGATCCATCATAATCAAGATTCGAAGAATGGGTTGTGATTCCCCCTCATTTTCCGTTCCCCCTTAGTTAGAGGAGCGTGCAATTCAATTCGGCTGGGGGCTGATCTAATGACTAATTTCGGAATATAGGAATGAAACACTAGCCAAGAAACGGTGCCTATGTCCCCAGTTTGGAGTCCCTATGCATAGCTTCATACAAATTTTGTCGCAAGGCTGAGAGGAAGACTGTGCAGAAGGTCCAGCAGGAGACAGGATGGGGGCTAGATGTAAGCTCAATGAAGCCCCCTGGCAATCGAAATCGACTAGACAAGGCTCAGTGCACAGTCTAGCGCGCATGAATCATTAATCATCGCGTGGATCCCACTTGGCGCCTATCAGATGGCGGTGTTTTGGCCCTACTCCGTCTTCGCCCCAGACTTCTAGAACCGTTAGCACAGTTCTCCATGGCATTTCTTGCATTTGGTGAGATTGTGGGCCTGCAATCTGCCAGGATGCATAGTCTGTGCTCTTTTCCTTGGGCGTAGAAGACTTTGGGGGCGGATATAAGGAAAAGTAGACTATTGATTCAGCAGGCGCTTAAATACAGGTCCTCATCGAGTCTACTCTCCCCTCCCGAGCGGTCCAGTGCAGCACGGCGGTACTGTCCGCCATTTTTGTGCCCTCTGAGCCTATGGTTCCCAGCTTTACTCCAAGCTTGAACTGCCTGTTCGTCCTGCCTTGCGAGGCATTCCGGTGCGGGCTGTGATATCTCTCAATCTCAGTCTAGGAGCGGCGTTCAATCTATATCTTATTGCTTGCTCCCCCACCTGGCTCTATTGCATCTTTTGTCTTTAAGAATCACCTTGTGAATTGCTTCGAGCTTCTTTAGATTCACCTACTCACACATAGTCTCTTAACGCCTTGTTTCATATTCCGGTACACTAGGCGCCCTGTCAAACCCTTATTTCCCTTCAACCGCCGCCTTTTACACCCATAACTGCACGGAGCTGTCGGTCGTGTTTCATATCTACCCCTTCGGCGCCTCTTCCAATCAAGTGTGCCATAGACCGCGATTTGTCAAAGAATTCCATGGTACTACCAATACACCGCGTCAATATCATGTCTCTCCGTCCAGACATGACCTCCGAGGAGGACATCCCCGGCTATTATGAAGCACTCGGCCAATGGTCCGGGGTTGAAACAGTAAGTCACCAATTGGAGACTAGAGAAAAAAAAATAATTCAAGAAACAACGTATACTAATTAAGCATCAGCCTGGCTTCCCAGCAAATTACATGGGGGTCAACCCATCATACTGTACAGGGCCCATGGTGCCACCAACCATGTTAACCCCAATTAGTCTCCCTGATAGTTCATTTCGACCCAGCCCAGCATTGAGCCACCATTCGCAAGAGTATGCCCAAGACTACAGCTACGCCATTGAGCCAGCACAAGGCCTGGGAATATCCGCCCCCTTCCCAAGCGAGTATCCTCGAACAAGCGCCCCAGATGCAAGTTACATGTATGCACAAGAGGACATGTCCTATGGCACAGGCCATACGCCAATTATGTCCCCCGGAGGTCCACCTCCCAAGCGCACGAAGCGCGCATCCTCCAAATCATCCCGCGACACACCAATCAACATCCTGCCAAACCCAGAAGGAATCCAGCGTATGGAGCGTGCCCCTCCTCAGACGCCACCTGTGCTCCCTCGAATTCGTGGATCCGGCAGAGGTAGACGGGATCCACAGGCGGAGCAAGAAGATGAGTTTGTGGAGAATTTGCGCCAGCAGAATGTTGCTTGGAAGGTTGTTCGTGATGAGTTCCAGAAGACGTTCAATAAGCAGACTTCGGAGGCACGTCTGCAGATGCGGCTGCTCCGGAGACGTAAGGAGCGGCTGACACGCTGGGAAGACAATGATGTGAGTACGTGGACCGGGATATAGCTCCTATGCTATGCGTGAATTGGTGATTTGGAATTACTTGCTAATGATGATATCTCTACAGGTTCAGCTTCTTATCAGCGCCCATGAGAGCTGGGAGAATGAGAAATTTCGGTTCATTTCAGACAAGGTAAGTCTTCTACAATCTGGGTCGAACTGGGCCTTCGTTCAAGAGTTAACACACTGCCAGATGAGAGAATTCGGCTCGACAAAAGACTACACCGCAGAACAATGCAAAGCACAACTACAGCTCCTCGAAGCTAAACAACAAAATCGTCGAGAATCAGGAAGCACTTCCCCTTCAGCCATGTCCGACCCGCCACACACACCTTCATTACCATCGATATCACGCAAGCGGGCTCGGCCCCAATCATGGGACGAGCACAATGCATAGTTGTGCCCCCGGACCCCTGTCTTTCTTCATTTCTCTTTCAAGTCTCCAGCATGGGGACTTTTTCTCAACTACACTTTCCCTTTTCGTTCTTAATGAATGTCATAGCAGCTTTGGCGTACAGTTATTGGGATATTATACTTGCATTATTAGCTTTCATTCTGGACATGCACATTTGAACCAGCTTCTATCAATGAAATCAAAACTTTAGATACCATTCTTTATCAGCATCTATATAACTATAAATCCACGTACCGTTCGAGGTGTTGCTGTTGTGACAAGTGACGGATTCTATTCATGCATCGTATATTCATTATTGACACAGTAGGAGTACTAGCTCAAAACTAGCACTATGTAGTCGGCAACCCCGGAGCCGCCTACTCTTCATCGGAACCCAGATCGTCATCAGCGACAGGGAAAGTTAAGAGCGCTGCAATACCCCCAAGACCCTCTAGACGCTTTCCACTCTCGTGATCAGAACTCAAAATGCGCACCTCTCCGCCCTCTACATCTCGCACCCGGTCCACGAGTGATACCCATCGTTTCCGCTCAGCAACGTCTTGCGACCGGAAAAGACGGTTCGACATAATGAGCACACCGCCACCTCGCCCGACGGCGCCTTGATCAACAGCTGACTCGACCTCACGCGGACCGTAGGTAGCTTTGTTCGTCTCCTTGCGTAATTGATCTAGGAAATCGTCCATCAATTTAGTTTCACGGGCGTACTTTGTATCGGAAAGGAGGGCCTTGACAGCCGGAGACTGGAGAACCTCGGAGAGCGAGTTCAGATATCCAGAAGCAGAATGCACAACCACCATGCTGGGTAGCAATCGCTTCAATCCAGGCATTGTCGTTGATGCTTCAGACTGAATGTACTTGTGGAAACCAGTGGCGACGAACCCCGGCGAAGCAAGAAGCACCGGTCGTACAGACTCATTGTTCGATCCGGAAGTGATGCTAGTGTTGAATTCCATCTGTCGCAGAAGGGTCTCCAGTGTCACACGGAAAAATTTGTTCATTCCCTTGAGATTTCATATTAGCAATTTGAAAAGCAGAGCCACAGGCAATATAAAACCCACTTTATCATGATCACCTCCACCCTGGCGTTTTCGCGGCACAGACATTTCAATCTTCTGCTTCATGATCGTCTGGAATTGCCCGATGAAACATATGTGAGCCATCCCTTCCTGCATAACGACGGCAACAGCCTCAGCACGACGCTTTCCACCCTCATCCACGGCATCCTTGAGCTGCTCCACGGCAATGCTGTCCCATCCGACACCCTCGCCATCCGCACCAATCTCCTTTTCTAAAGTGAAGTTGCGGTTCAACTCCAAGTCGAGGGTATGGAACTGGCCAATTTTGGTGTGTGCTGTCTCGTTGATGATCTGTCCGGACACATGGAGTTGGGAGCTCTGAGGGTCAAAGTCGAGGCTCTTGACGCGGATCTCGAGGGTAAGGTGGACTCGGTTGGAAGAGGTTGAGCCGGTATCTTGGGTAGTGGTAACACGACGAATGGCACTTGCGCGGATTAGATCACCAGGGCGGATTAGGTTGTATGCGTGCCACTAGATTTTGCTTTGTGTGAGATTGGGGCTTGACTTTTTGAAATGAAGTGATATGGGTAGGCTCACCATATCCTCGGGCTCCTCAGGGCATAGTGTGACCATGCCCGAGCCACCATGCTCAATCCTGTTCTTGATCAGACGCATTGCAGAGTTGTGGCTTCACTCAGGGTGCCTAGAGTCACCGCTGCGGAGACAAGACGAGGTCTTTGAGGACTACAATAGGTGTCGTGCTGGCTGTTCTCAACAAGCGCACCGCTTGTAGTGGAGTTTAAAGGGTTAAAGAAGCCCCTCAGTGAGACAGGGGGTTTCTCAAGGTATCAATAAAGAACAAAAGCGTGAAATGAACGAATTGAAGCTTGCCCTGGAAGCGTCTATAATTGCCCCGCACAATTTCTGCCGCCAACGACCGCTCTTCGCTGCCAACAGTGACATCAATAGCTCTGCTGTGCTATATCCTTTGCAGAGTTTATGATATTTCCCATAGTTTGATTATGCTCAAGTCCATTGCAAATTATTTAATGATATTGGATAAGACTTGCAGTATAATTCGAATCAACCTTCCCTATGTCGCTTCGCTACATCTCTTCCTAGTGGATCATGCCATAAAGCGAACTCCACACTCTGTGCGCAGGATGTTCCAAGGGGTCGAGGATGGATTAAATATTGAACGAAGTAACCTAATTTTGAATCTACAAGGATTGTGCCGGTACTTGAGGGCTAGTACAATTCAATTGCAACCAAATAAACCCCTCAAGGTAGAAGCCCACCGACAGGGTTTTCGTGGTGTACTCACGAGAAGCTCTGAAACACCAAAATGAGGACTCAAGTTAAGCTTGTATAGAACCTGCATCAATTGATGCTAAGCCATGAGCAGCGCAGGCTCCTCTTCTTCTGCCAAAACCTGAGACAGATCACGATCGGGCCTACTAAACACGGGTACATTACGCTATCACTTGACAAGGTCATAAAGAGATTCAACCAGAAAACAAACTCCAAAGTCGATAACATTGCTACATTAAAATCATCCCATTCTGAAGCCCTTGTATGCAAGTCACCAATCATGCAGATCAATAATTGCACTTTCACACCCTTTTACGGCTTCCATTCGGTGTACGGCCGGTCAATAATCATCTCCTTGACCGTCGGCAACTGAGGTTGGCCCTTTCCAAATTCCACTGCCATTGCCATAACCTCTCTCCACCGTAATCCCGGCGCAATCTTACCCGAGATGGTGTTAGGAGTCAACGTATCACTGTTGATAGGAACCAGAGCAGCACGACCAAGAATAGCCTCGAGCGCCTGCTGAGCAAACGAGACTGCCTCCTTGGCATCGGAGGGAATACCCGTCTCATCAAGGCTGAGAATCTTCGAGTTTGGCAGCTGCGCCTTGAGGTACTTGATGATGTTAGGGTTGCGGGCACCACCACCGCACATATAGACACCGGCGATCTTTTCAATGTCGATTTTGAACAGGGGGAAGAAGGTGCGGTACTGCTTGACAATGTTCTGGGCTGTGATGCGGGTGATAGTGGCGATGATGTCGTACTTGCTCATGCCCAGAGCCAAGCACTCGTCGATAATCTCCTGGGCTCCGTTGTCACCAAAGGTCTCACGACCCGTCGTCTTGGGAGGCAGGTGGTTACAGTACTTGTTGTTGTCGAGGTACTTGTCCACTACTGCCTGGCTGATGGTACCCTGAGCACCCCACTCGCCATCGCGGTCATACTCCATCTCGCCGTTGGTGAAATAGCGCATTGCGGCATCGATGAACATGTTGCCCGGACCACAGTCCCAGTCGACCATCGCGTCGACGCCACCCTCGCTATCAGGTGGAATGACGCAGAGATTAGCGATACCACCGATATTCTGGCAGATGCGCCATTCAGTGGGATGGTGAAGGAGGAGACCATCGATCAAAGCGACGAGAGGAGCACCCTGGCGGCCGACCGCCTGTTCAGCCATGCGGAAGTCGGTGACTGTAGTGATTTGGGTCAAGCCACTCATGATAGTTCCCTCGCCGAGGCAGAAGGCGGACCGGATCTCACCGATCTCGGGCATGGAGAGAAGCCAAATGGTCTGGCCGTGCGAGCCGATAAGATCGATGCTATCAATGGGTACGTTGTGCTTTTCACAAAAGAGCTTGACTGTCTCGCCGAGCATGTTACCGAGCAGGACATTCAGCTGGGACATGAGGGAGGGAGTGGTTTTTGTTTCGCGGAGCATGGTGAGGACAGGCTTCTTGATCTCCTGCGGGACAGGGAACTCGTCGTACTGTATGAGGGCGACTTGTCAGTTCCGCTGAAGTTGATTTGAAAAAAAAAAAACTACGAGAGAACCGTCATACCTTGAGGATCTCCATGTGCAGAGGAGCTTCAGGAGAAGCCTGACGATAACGAACAAGGGCACAGTCAATGCCATCCATGGCCGTACCGCTGTTCATTCCCATAACTGTGATGTCGAGGGTGCCATCGGCAACACAACGGCGAGTGCCATTGACGTGAGTAGAGCCATTGGGCTCGGGAAATTCAACGGCAGTGACCATTTTGGTAATGTGCATATACAAAAGTGCGAAACTCAATGACTTTGATTCCTACAGTAATCCAGAGGAGCGAAGAACCGCTTCATATACCTTTGGAGAGCCCGACCCCAATTCGTGCTGGACAAACAAAATGACCCCGTAATTCCTGATATTCCGAAGGCATGCGCGAGATAGCACGCCGAGAAATGAGGGTTCGGAGATGAGGTTCGCGAGCTACATGGCTGATCCGAGCCCGAGAAGCAAGCCTGAATTGCCTAATTAGGTATCTTCGAGGCGAGGTGCACAAACCGGGAAACCCCCGGAATCGCAAAAACGTGGAGAACCGCTTAAGCCGTCGGTCTCGGGCCGTTTATGCGACCACACGTCCCTACATCCCGTGTGATTGGCCGAGAAGATCAGGCAAGGTTCTCCCGTATTTGCGTGGATGGGTCTCATAGATGGTGGATGGTCAGTGGACCCCGAGCTCTGGTCAGGGCATCCCTCTCTTTTCTCGTTGACCAGGTGAGGATGATCCTTGGTATTTGTCTCTAAATAAGAATACTTAAAGAGTTCCCTGAATCTGCTTTCCTGCTTCCTTGACCTCGACTTTAACCTTGACCCCTGCCCAGTCAAATGTATAACAATCACACTGTCATGCCTTCCGCCATGAATGCTCAAAAGGTTCGCTCGGTTTGGACCTCAGAAGAGGGGTCGATGGCTAAACAGACGGCCGAGACCCGATGGGCCAAAATTATTCAGGGCACCGTGGACGACATTGGCGAGACAGCCGCCATGGAGAACATTGACGACCAGAAAAGAGCGGAGAGCATCGCCATTCAAATTGCCCTCAAGGAGCTCAAGAAAGAAATTGAAAAGAACAATGCCCTCACGTACGTACTTCTTCTCCAAGCACCAATACGCCGAAACTCACGACGCTTCAGACCCTTGCAAGATGACGGCAAGCCCGATATCGAAGAGTGGAACAACCAGTTGGCTGCGATTGGCGAGTGCAGTTGGGTCCACTGCCCTTGGCTATTTGGAGAGTGCTATATGTATAGGTATGACTGTTGCTGTAAAGATCGGAGCAAAGAATTGCGCTGAAAGTCCCATCAGACGCATCCAGAGAATCTTGACCTCCTCCAAACACTGGCAGAACCATGATGTTTTCAAGCGCCAAAAAGACTCTACCTTTGTCAAGTCAAAAACCGCTGTGGAGGAGCTCGCCGACCTTTATATGCATACCGTTACCGAAACTGGACTTGCCCAACATGAGAGCAAGGAAGAGGCCAAGAAGTTGCTTTTTATCGAGATGACAGAGGTCGCCCTGTGGGGAAACGCCACAGACCTATCACTCCTCGCTAATCTGACTCTGGAGGACTTACAAAACCTGCAGGGCCGCGACGCCATTCAGAAGAGCCAGCGGAACATCGTTGACAACGATACGGACGACGTATGGACGTATCTTCAACGCACTGCTGGTCAGCCTAGTCGCCAGATTGACATTGTCCTCGACAATGCTGGCTTCGAGCTCTTTACCGATGTGCTCTATGCCGCTTACCTGCTCGACACTGGTATTTCTACCTCTGTCAGACTGCACACCAAAGAATCCCCGTGGTTCGTCAGCGATGTTATTCCCTCTGATATCGAATCACTGTTCAAGCACCTTGAATCCTCCGATTGCTTCCCCAATCGCGAGTATCTCGACCAACTCACCCTTCGGCTCCGCAAGTTATTCAAGTCGGGCGCGATCACGACCACAAGCGACCCTTTCTGGACGACACCGTTCTCGTTCCACGAGATGCCATCCAAGGCACCCGCTCTCTTCAAGGAGCTCCAGAACAGCTATCTGGTCATCTTCAAGGGCGACCTCAACTACCGCAAACTGACCAGGGATGGGCTGTGGCCTCATACCACCACGTATGAGGAGGCGCTGGGTCCCCTTGGAAAGCAGAGCGGCATCAAGATTTTGGCCCTTCGCACGAACAAGTCCGACGTTTGTGTTGGCGTCCCGACCCAGAGAGAGGTAGATGCGTTGAATGAGGAGGCGCCCAGCGGTGCCTGGATCCAAAACGGAAAGTATGCTGTGGTATCGTTTAATGAGGGTCAATAATTTTTCCTCTGTCACGTTGATAAATTCCTTATATTTTTGATGTACCTAGGTATGCATTGTGAATGGGTTACGTTATCAACCACTCTTCCTTTAAAGAATTAATTATCCAACTCGTCGGCCACGCGTGCTTCGTTTCCATGTCTCGCAGAAGTCTAATGAATGCCTCTCTTTCTGCCGAATCCGTCATCAAGGGACCCCCTGTCAGTGTCAGTAACTGGATCCCACATGAACAAGGCTGGACATGTCTCACAGATAAAGGTGGAATGACAGAGTGTGATCAACGATGGCACCGTCGAAGGGGAACTGTTGCATGCACCACAGATTGCGCGAGCGTGCTTCATGACCAGGATCTGATAGCGTCAACGAAAGCTCATTTCCACCACAGCATTAATCAGAGCTTACATCAGACTCACGGGCTCCGCCATGCACCCCTCTGACTGCAAATTTAGGTGATGGTTTGTAAATGACCAGAAGCATACAGGCAAGATGATAGTATCCAAATGCCATAACTACAAAGAACATTAGACCGTGCAAAGTATAAGACTTCTGGCACACATACTATGCCAGTCCGCCGTAAACCATATCTCTGGGAAAGGGTTTCCACTCTCCGGAATGGCTTCGCTATACCAGATTGGGTCAAAGGTACTCGGGCGGGTGCTCAACCAACTCTCGACGGCCTCAGATAGCTCTTGCCACCGGCACATTCTGCTGGAAGGCTCAGGGTAACTTGACCCAAAGCAAAAGTGTACCACTGTAGCACATATCCAAGTCATAGTATTCGCCCACGCTGTTTCAGACTTCAGATTGCTCAGAGGGTCACCTCCGCTCGGAGGGGGGATGAGAACCAAGTCCAAATCCACACTGGGAGCCTGCTGATGCACACATGAATTGTACAGGCACTGACGCAGGTACACCCAGAAAGCCGCGTGCCGTAATCTCGGGGCCGAGGGGTCCACCTCTCGTCCTTGCGATGCCCGGAGCAGAGCCGAGCAGCCGGCTAAATGACGCTCCTGATCGCTGCCGGTTACCATGACTGTTTCAGCCCCGCGGAGATTAGCCTGAGCGTCTCGTGATGGCTCGAAACTTTCTCGGACTTACCGTTCAATTGTTCAAACACTCGCAGGATGACAATGGTACACAGCAGAATATCATCGTCGGCAACCGTTTCCGAGCTCAGGAAGGGGATCAAAAGTTCTACGCACCGCTCATGCGCCTGCTCGGCCAGTTCGGCATCTCCGACGTGCCGGGCTGCGTAAGAAAGCACAGCATGCAGCAAGATCGGCGACTGCTTGACCAGGATGGGGGTTTTCCGAGTGAACTGACGGGAAGCATCGGTACAGTCAAGCCATTGCCCGAGGTGCGTTGCAAAGTGGTGTACAAGGTAAGCTTCTCTGTAGGTCAGTGGAGACCCTGCATGTATCGCACCTGTGTGTGAAGCCGGAGGCCATGAACTTAATGAGTCCGTTCGGAGTAGTTGGGAGACCTGGATTTCAACCACGCTGAAGCAAGGAGAGGCGGTGGTATCGTTGACTGATGATGCCACCAGAGGCACGGAAACAGAGTCGCTGGTGTGTTCTGGCTGGATAGTAGATCCTTGAGTACTGTATGGTGATGTCACCGAAGTATTTTCGTGTTGGTGATTATTGAATTTGAGAGAACTTGGATTGTTGGTGTGTTCAGGGCTAGTTGCATTAGCAATCGCTACGTCTGCAGTTCCGGGTTCCGGAAGGAGTGACATTTCATCATGGCCATGGCTAGGAGCATCCTTGGGGTCTTCCCTGGCCTTTTTTAGTTGATAATGCTTGATTCTGAGGCGATTGGGTGGGTCTTCTCGTAGACATGGCCGGTTCTTTTTTTGACATTGCCCACAGACCGGTTTGACTTGGTCGCCTGTTGTCAGGTAAGCCTTTGCATTTAGGCTATATTAAACTGTTCATTGCTGACATTTGACATGCCTCTTCCGGCAAGTCAGGCTGTGATGAGACTTAGCAAAGGATCGCGATGGATGACGGAGCTTGGACACTTTCTCCGTCAACGGTCACGCAGTCAATATTTTTTCCTTGGCAAACTTCCCCAGAAAGTCCCAAAACAAGAAGAATAGATCTGGAACAGCCAGCGTTCCACTTAATTATCGATAGGCGAGGTGTATAACTCGTGTTGCGCAGGGGGAATGTTTGCGGGGGAAGACTAACCATCCATTTGTGGAGCGAAGCTTTCCCATATTGAGACCTATGGGGCCTGCAGGAGTCCAGATAGGTATAAGATTGCTGTAAGACTGGATTAAGTCCGTCTGAAAGAAGGAATATCGAGACGAGATTAGAGAGTAGACAGCATTGAGTGGAGGAAAGGGTTGGTTATGAGTTGTGGGGGAGGGTGGAGACTGGGAAGAGAACTCGGGATTTGCAATTGCGGAGGAGGAGGAGGAGAATCCGTAAAAGGAAAACGCCCCCGAGGCTTCTGAATGTGGAGTTATTTCCATCACGACTCATAGAGAACCAAAAGAATGTGGGAATTTGCTTGTGTCTCTCTATCTCCATCATCCATCATCCCTCCAATGGTGGAAACCTACTCCATCGTCTATAAACATCCCCACATGTCCCTGAGATGACAATGATATCTTCTCTATCAATAATCCAGGGTTGAGTCTCCCTTGGTTCGTATACATTTTCTTCTGATTCCAAGTTGTCTTTGCTCACTGTTTCCCGCCTTTATTCAATGCTATTCACCATGACCCTGAAAGGTTTCTGGCGGACGGTCCCCGGACCTAGACTGCTGAAGCTGATTACTGCAGTCTCTGCCATTGCCATTTCATATGAGGGCATGAGCCAGGGTGTCATGGGCGCTGTCAATGTCGCCCCAGAATTTGGAGTATGTACCACAGTCCTCCTGAGCCATTGTCTGCCATGAACTAATCGAATGTCACAACTACAGCATCGCATGGGCTTCGCCGATGAGCATGGTAAAGTTATCAAGCCCACTCTGCAAGGTGGCATCGCTGCCATGTACTATTTCGGCGCTTTGCTCGGGGCTTTCTGGGCCGGTAGTTTCTCCGATGCCTACGGACGTATCAAAGGGATCTGGATGGCCTGTCTCTGGTGTTTTGTCGGAGTAATCCTTCAGGCAAGTGCCATGAATCTCGCTCACATGCTCTGCGCCCGTGTCGTCGCAGGTGTCGGAGTCTCCTTCATTATCGTTATTGCTCCCTCGTGGACCGCAGAACTGGCTCCAGCGAGCCATCGAGGCCAGATGATCGCCCTGACTTTCCTCGCCAACTTTGGAGGCATTGCATTGTCTTCTTGGATTGGCTTTGCCACCTCTTTCACCGACTACGCCGGCGGCACCTTTCGATGGCGCTTCTGCTTTGCCTGTCAAGCAATCCCGGTTTTCTTCCTCATTATCGGCACCCTGCTCATTCCCGAATCGCCTCGATGGCTCATCAAGGACGGACGTAACGAAGAAGCTTTCGAGATTATCACCAAGCTTCGTGGAGATGGCGATCGCGACCACCCGGATGTGCAGAAAGAAATTCGTGAAATCGTCGCCGTGGTGCAGATGGAACACGAGATGCAAAGCTCCAGCTATATCAAAATGTTCTTGGGCATTGGTTCAGGGGATATTCACATTTGCCGTCGTATCCAGTTGGCCTTCTGGCTCCAGGTTATGATGCAGTACGGTACGGGTATCGCAGCGGTCGTCATCTACTCGGGCAATATCTATCGCACTGCTGGCTTTGATGATTTCAAATCAAACTGGTTGTCTGCCCTGTGCATGACCAGCGGTATCCTGGGAACCGGTGTCGCTGCCTTCGTTTTGGACCGAGTGGGTCGTCGCCGGACTCTCTACTGGGGAGCGGTCGCTTTGGGTATAATTCTTTTTGCTCTGTGAGTACGAATTCATTTCGCCCTTGGTGTTGCTCTTACTGACTTTTCTCCAGTGGGGGCCTGAACCGTGGAGCCGTCAATAACCCCGATAAGGCTGAACAGTATGGAACCGGAGCCGCTGCCATGGTCTTCCTCTACGTGGCTGTCTTCAGCTCTTCGTGGTTGATGATTCCTTTCATTTATCCGACCGAGATCTTCCCGACATGGCTGCGCGCCAAGGGTAACGCTTTTGGGGCTGCGGGTTGGGCGGTCGGTTACGGCGCTGGATCGTTGCTGGTCCCTGTTATGTTCGCCGGTATCCAAGAGAAGGTTAGTTCTTTTCTCCCTTTGCCATACTTTAATTTCTGACTTTCTTTTTTCTCAGACATTTTATGTGTTCGGTGCCGCGATGTTCTTTTACATCCCCGTCATTTACTGTTTCTTCCCCGAGACTGCTGGGCGCACACTCGAGCAAATTGACTTCCTGTTCGCCAGCAAGAGCCCTTTCGTGTGGGATGAGGAGAAGGAGTTTGCCAAGCGAATGACCCGTTTCAATGCTGAAATCCAAAAGATGGAGGTTGAGAACGGTGAATATGGGGGCGACGAGAAGAGATGCGAGGAGTTTATAGAGAAGGTCTGATCGGGGATATTGCCAGTTGCAAGCCAAACAGTCCGCGATTGTTTTGTAACGGTTTGGCTATTCAACACCGCTGTGATATACGAAATGATATGACATGATATGTAGTCGAGGATCTAGTAGATTACCACAGTGGGCCCTAGAATCAGATTTCAGCCTCCTCATCTATCTCAGGATGTAGTGTTGTATGGTAATCCCGGGTATCTCGGAAGTACGGTATCAACAACGGGAGAACTTGAGTACCCTTTTTATCAAGCAAGACTGAATGAGTGAGAAAGTGAAGGTGAAACAGGTATAATATAGTGTATGCAAATACCTCATTTAAAAGTGACCCATATTCTGCTATGTTGAATAAAAAAAACTATTCGAGGGGCAGCTGTACTTGCCCGTAGAGACAGGATACGCATAAACGGGCGACGTCCATATACCCTGTGCCGATTTTAAGTGTAGCAGATTTGCGCTACCAAAGGTTGCTTTTGATGCTTTTGTGAAATACCTATGCTGAATTCTCGTTCCACCGGGCCTAGTTCCCAACATAACTTGACATCCTCCTGTCTAATCAATCTTGATGGCCAATTTGCCAAAGTGCTTTTGGTCCCACTGTGTTTCATCACTCACGCCATGATATGGACTAGCCGGATTTTGGGTACGGGCCGAGAAACAATGCGTGAGTGCCTGGGGGGTAAGGGTATTCGGGAAATCCACACGACGCGCATAACTAGGAAGACTCGACCCAAAAAAGGGTTGCAGACAGATTCCACATGCTAGTCTCGATCCAGAAGGGCGACAGAATTCCAGAAGCAATGACTCATTTAGGGCAATGGGTCCCGATCGTCACTCCATTCATTAATAATGCGGAATGAAGTCACCGGAAGAGCCTGGTGAGCCCCGCGGCTTATCGATAAGCCATCCAGTTGTACACCAGGTATACCTTGGCACCATCCAAGGACCGTTGTAGATGTCAAATGATCTGCTATGCAAGGCCCAAACAAAGGTCTTCTACATATATGAGTCAAAATTTCGGAAAAGTGATGTATTCAACCAGGCCTCGCAGCCCCGCGTTTTACGGATCAACCAACGATCGGCCCAATCCGCAACCCTCTCCACTTGAATGGCGTCAAATTCCCAAAGGGGCCTGCTAAAGATCAGGACGCGCGGGACTTACGGAACCGAAGTGGTCCGTGGCGTTATCAATCACCGCTATTAAACAAACATGTTCCCTTGTCCCTCGGAGCAATTTAGTTTCTTCACTTTCTCTCCTGCATTACTTCCCCAGAACTGTATTGCTGCTACAATCATGGCTCAATCGCTTCAGTCGACTTACAAGCTCGTCTCGGGCTACGAGATCCCCGTTGTTGGATTCGGCGTATGTGTTTCATTCGATACTCTGTTCTGGGAGCTTCTCTAACGATGTGTCGCATAGGTTTACCAAACGTGTGTTACCTCTGCTATTGGTGTAGGGAGACACATCGCTAATTGCATTACATAGACCCTCCGATGTCACCGAGAAGGTGACCCTTAAGGCCCTTGAGCTGGGTTACCGTCATGTATGTTGAGTCGTACCTTCGCAGGATGAGCCGTCAACTAACAATGTTGCCCCAGGTCGACAGCGCCAAGGTCTACGGAAACGAGCAGCAGAGCGCCGCAGCCATTCGCAAGTCTGGCCTTGACCGGTCGCAGATCTTCTATACCAGCAAGGTCCCCAAGTCATATATGGGATACGAGCAGGCCAAGAAGGCCATCGAAGAGAGCATTGCGGCGGCCAATCTCGGCTATATTGACCTGTATGGGCTGCTTCGCTTAAGATATCCGACGTTGTACTGATAAGTTTCCTTAGCATGTTAATCCACGCTCCCTATGGCGGCAAGGAGGCCCGCTTGGGCACCTGGAAGGCGCTCGTCGAAGCCCAGAAGGCCGGAAAGATTCGCTCGCTGGGTGTGTCCAACTTTGGCATTAAGCAACTCGAGGAGCTGGAGGAGTACATCAAGAACGGAGGTGGCGGTCAGATCGCCGTCGGTCAGTACGAGATCCACCCCTGGTGCCCCCGCGAGGATATTGCCGAGTGGTTGCGCTCGCGCAACATCATTGTTGAGGCCTACTCGCCTCTTGTGCAGGCGACCCGTATGAAGGAGCCGGTTCTGCAGACTCTTGCCAAGAAGCACGGCAAGACCCCGGCTCAGATCCTGGTCCGCTGGAGCTTGCAGAAGGTATTTAATCTCTGGTTTCTGATGGAGCTTGTGGGATACTAATTTGTTTGACTTAGGGATACGTGCCCCTGCCCAAGTCGGTGACTGACTCCCGCATCCTGGAGAACTCGCAGGTGTTCGATTTCAAGTTGTCGGATGAGGACATGGCTAGCCTGAAGCTCAACGAATATGCGCCCGTGTGCTGGGACCCGGTTCGGGACTGCAAGATCTAAAAAGTTAGAAATTAGTGATTCACCGTATTGAAAATGAAATAGCAAGCAATATGATACGAGATGACGGAGGCAAGATATTTTCGCCTAATCGGGCAGTGTGTTGATCCTCGGCACAACGTATCGCCGTCAACAAAGCCGCCGTTTGCTAACGAAGAACAAAGTCAATGAACTCCAGTCCCCCATGACCGGGGAATCGGCAGGCAGAGGCCGCGACGGTTGCCCCCACCATGCCCGACGACCTCCCACGGCGCATCATCCTTGAGAAATCCAGCACGGTCCGACGCCGGTACCAGCGCAGCAACAAGCGCTTCCAGTTCACCCCCGCACAACTCGCCAAAATCGAGCGCGAAGAGAAAGCCAACCGCCGTGCGAAGGACCTGCGCGAAAAGGAGAAACAACGACACGCTAAGAAGAAACAAAAGGCTGAGAAGGAGGCCAAGGCCCGCGAGGAGCGCAAACGCCTAGGTCTGCCCGATCCCAACGCTCCGAAGGTCCCGTCGAGTCAACCGCTGCTCTCGAACTTCTTCGGTGGAAAACCACCCGCTCGGGAATCACCAAAGGAGGATTCACCCCCATCCGATCTCGATCCTACGACTACGGAAACAGACGAACATGATGGAGATATGGAGGGGAACAGTACGGGCGGCGACACCGAGATAGACTCGGATTTTGACGACTTGGACGAAGAAATGGAGAAGGAATTCTCCAATCTTGACGGTTTGTGCCCGTTGGAAGAACCAGGAAACCACGATGCCAATGACACCAGCAAAGAGAGCCTGCTCTCCGCTCAGGAGGACGACGAGTTCTCCGACTGTTCCGCCTTCGACGACGAAGATATCATGAAAGAGGCAGAGGCAATCGCAAGTATGCGCTCAGCACATAAGCCACCAACTATCAATAGTCCTCTTACAAACAACCCTGCACTTCTGCGGCCGCCAAACATACCCCACAAAGCCACGGCAACCCCAATCGCCTCATTAGGAGATTCCTTTCGCGACGACACCGCAGACTACCTTGAAGAAGTCTTTACCCGCGGCTGCGGTGACTCCTTCAGCGAGCTGGTTGGACTCTAGAAGGATTCCAGAAGCATCTGATACCAATGACCCCATCTTGTGGACAGTCTCGGCACGGGGAGAAACGTTCGGCTGCGAGCCGACGGTCGGATCCGTACAATTCGGATGCACTCTTGCGCCCCTCATCGGCTTGTAAACAGGCGCATGAACACTTCTTTTTTTTTTTTTTTTTTTTTTTTTTTTTTATTCCGACGGATAGTTCTTGCACGGAATGTAGTCCGGAGTAGAGGGGCAATGATTCTCTTATCGGGCATGACGCCACCTCCCACTTGAACATATAGATCAGTCTCCCATACTCTATACCTCTCCATATCGACAATTCAACCGATTCCCTACTCCTTGAAAAATGCCGTTCCTCCAAGCTAGAACCCACCGTCTGCACTATGCCGATTCACACCCCGACGGCTCACCCTCGGACCTAACCTTCATCTTCATCCACGGCCTTGGATCCTCGCAAAACTACTATTTCCCCGTCCTCCCCCACCTCACAAGCCATTACCGCTGCATCACGATCGACACATACGGCGCCGGCCGCTCCCCGTATACCAATGAGACCGTTTCAATCCCCAGCATTGCAGATGATATCATCGGCGCGCTGGACGCGCTGAAGATCCCCAAGGCCATCGTAGTCGGCCACTCAATGGGCGGACTCGCCGCCACAGACCTGGGCGCCCGGTATCCAGACCACGTCTCCGGCGTCGTGGCAATTGGACCCGTCCACCCGTCCGAGATGCTCGTCACGGTTATGAGCAAGAGAGCAGACACCGTGCTGGAGTGTAAGCTTCTTCCATCCCCAGTCAAAGTCGAAACTGATTTAACATGCAAGCACCAGCCGGAATGGAACCAATGGCCAACACCATCCCCTTTGCCGCCGTCGGATCCCGCAGTACCGAGCTCCAGAAGGCGTTTATTCGGGAACTCGTGCTTGGTCAGGATCCCAAGGGCTACGCAGCGCTGTGTCGGGCTATTGCGTCGGCGCAGCCCGCGGATTACGCGGCTGTTAAGGCGCCGTTTATGCTTATTGCTGGAGAGGAGGATAAGTCTGCTCCTATGGAGGGCTGTAAGCATATATTCGATCAGGTGTCGAGTCAGAAGAAGTCTCTCGAGGTTCTGAAGAACGTTGGGCATTGGCATTGTATTGAGGCTGCGGATGAGGTTGGGGATCTGCTTGTGAAGTTTGCCGGAACGCTTTAGAGGCTGATTTAGGTAGATGTATGCATAATTATGATAGGAAGTTGCTTTGAACAATCGAACATCCTCTATTTTGGAACAGTCGGTAGAGGGTTTGGTGTCGGCGGCCTTAGTATCTAGGTGGTTTTAGGGTTGATCAAGGGGTTTCTAGGGTTGGCCTTGTTGAATTACGGTGCACGCCAGTTTGATAAATGCCTAGGTGATATACTCAGAAACAGAAAGATCTAGGTGAAGGCACAATGTGAAGTAAATAATCCTATGCATTGATTTTCCAATCCAAGTTTGAAAGATGTACGAAGAACGCTATTCATTAACCACATGATACAAGAAAAGAAGATATGCAATCCCACCACTTATGCGGATGTACCGTTGATGGCCGCGGTCACAGGGGTATCACCCACCAGCTTCACATCATAGTTAAGCTCAAGTCCAGCTTGAGGGTCATCCTTGCGCTCAACAAAGTCCACAACCAGGGAGTCCTTAACAGCAAACACAGAGTCGTTGGTCAGATACTTGTCCTTGCTGTCGAAGATCTGGGTAGTCAGAGGGCGGTAGCCGTCTCGGGTAACCTGGAAATAGAGTCAGTTCTGCACATCTTAAGATTCCCACTCTCAGAAATCGAGAATAACTTACAAGAATGTGGATATGAGCAGGACGGAAGGGATGACGGTCCATAAGCTGGAGCATCTTGCCCGCAGGACCATCATCGGGAACAGGGTATGGTGTAGGTCGCAAGCAGTAGAAGTAGTACCTGCCTTCGGCATCCGTCTTGAATTTGCCGCGCAGGTTGAACTCAACCTGCTCGGAGTCCTGCTGCTCGTACAGGCCGTTCGTCGACGCCTGCCACACCTCAACCACAGCGCCGACAAGCGGCTTCCTAGTCACAAAGTCCATCACACGCCCGTGCATAAAGGTCATCTCGCCATCCTTGGGCTTGGTAACGACGATATCAGCGCCGTTGTCACGATAGGGTGTATCGGCGCGGAAGAAGGGACCCAGGATAGCGGTTGCGGTGGGCGCGTCCTTGGCTTCTTCGGCGAGCTTGAAGGTGATTTCGTCCACGAGGCTAATTTATATTAGAATCTATATATAGTTTGGGATATATATTTCCCCAAAGGTGAAAATGAGAACTTACGACTCAAGTCCGATCACATCGCACACCAGTTGCCCCTCATTGCGCTTATCGTCGCTCATCTGGCCGGCCCAATTGAGTAGCTTGACACCCTGCATCCACTCGTCGACGGTGAGCTCGTTCTCGCGCGCAAAGTCGTGCACGTGGCGGATCAAGCCTGTCATGAGCTGGCGCAGACGCGGCGAGGTCTCAGGACCCATAGCATTGATGACATTGTCCGTGAAATTGGGGTCGAATCTGTGAGTCGCCATGGTGTAGTAAAGTCGATATGTGCAAAGTGACGTTATAGACTTGAAAGAGAATCTGGGGAAGAAGGAGAGTCAAGAGCTTATATAGCGCGCAACTGATCCGACGGGACTTTGCAAGCGGTAAGCACGGAATTGTATGTAGGAACTGCCCCAAGTCTTTAGACTGTGACCAACGAGGCGATGCTTATTCGAGGGTGACCCCGCAAACTGGCGGAGCTGTGGCATGATTGGGCCCAGACGTCGGATGACGGCTTTACACTCGGCGTGTCGGATCGGACGCTGGCACTTGATGCTGCGAGTACACTTCCGAATCCCCGCAGTGTCGGATGTGACTAAGTGGAGACCCTTCCATAAGGCCATATCCGCATTCCCGGATCTCATGATGTTGTAGTCCAGACGTTTTGGTATTCTTTATTGCTCTGTAATATGTCTTTCCTATCGTCGGTTGCCCTTGGGGTTGCCCTTGGGGTTGTCCTTGGGAGTTCCCTTACTCGTCAAGTTCGCGGGTAACTCTTGCAACACCTCGCCATGCTCCCAGATCTTGCCAAGGCCAACCTTCTTCTCAGCAACCACGTCGAAGAAATCCATGGATACAATCTTCTGCTGCTTCTCATCTGCTTCGCCTTCTTCTTGACTCACGGGCATCCCCTCGCTGAGAATGACACCGTTCTCACTGCGCCAGAAGGGACAACCCGCCGCCAAAGCTTTCTTCAGGTCAATGTAGATGAGAACCTGTGCATCCTTTCGCATTCCCGAGATGACCTTGTTCTTGGAGTCATTCTTCTGCATACCCTCCTTTTGGGCCGCCAACACCGACTCCAAGGACGGACCCGTCGCGAAGTGGACGTGGTTGCGGCCCATGCACTGCAGTCCACCGGATTGTAAAATGGCCGGCCATGCGCCGTGGAATGTACCGTGGACAACAGTCTCTGGTAGCTTAGATTCGTCGGAGAGCGAGAGAGATTCGAGGAGTGATGCTGCCTCCACAGTCTTGATGCTGTGACCCTGTGTAGCGCGGATCAGGAAATTAGATGGTTCGGTGTCTGTGACAGAGAGCGCTTGTGCTGTAGCACTCTGCTGGTCCTCAGCGGAGACAGGAGCCTCCACTACTGAGCTGGATGACTGGTCCGCTCCTGCTGTAGGCGCAGTCGCATCTTCCACTCCTTCGGACTCGGGCGTAGTGACGGGAACAGTGGTGGCCTTAGATGTAGATCCGGTCGCTTGTGCGGAGGGAATATGGAGGAGGGCGAATCGCTTTTTATCGGAAGAATCCACGGCGTGGCGGACCTCGTCAAAGGTGACTTTGATAGACTTGAGCTTCCGCCATTGGAGCTGGGAAAAAAATTGTTAAAAGGGACCAATGCCACAGAAAAGCTTGGTGTGAGCTTACCACGTCTGCGACGCTTGCATAGCCCTGTGTGTTCATCTTCAGGCCTTCCTTCTCGGCCGCGTGCCGCAGCAGCAGACTCAGGGCCTTGGAGATTTGTACCTCACGAGTCATGGGCTGGCCGTGACCACGACCGCGACCACGACCGCGACCACTCTTCTCTTTACCGTCCCTAGGAATCTCGGCCATCTTGCGTATTTGCGCGGGTCTGGTCTGGAGGTGTTTGCGGCGTAGAGGAGGGGCAGTCGTGGAGCTCGGAGCTTTATGTAAACGAAGCTGGTGGGGCAATGCGTCAGACTTGCCTGATAGAGCCCCCCCGACAGTCGTGACTCACCAATTATTCACAGCAAAGTTGCCTGGATTGAGGTGATACAAAGCTACAGAGGCTACGGAGGCTACTTTTTCTCCGTGAAGATAATCGATAAGCAGGTGGGGGTGTGATTTCACCGTCCGATTGGACAGTGGACTCCACTCTATACAAACTATGGAAATAGGGCGAAGATGGATGAAAGTGGGTATAAAATTACGAAAGCAGACTCCTCCATGCACGGTTCAAATGATCATCGATCGCAGATGCAGCTGCACTCTGCAACTGGACAAACCTTGTGTCGTGTGAACCAATCCCGAGCATGATGCGCGTGGAAGCCGTGGTTACAATGGATACAAAAAACCACGAATCGTCGCATCACCTCCGCCTCAGTAGGCTTGCGAGTATTGGGCTCAGCCTCCGCAGCCACACCGGAGCGCGACATCGGGTCTGGCGTACCAAGCCACATCGTGCAAACGCCGCATCGAGGCATATGGCGACCGCAGCGAGGGCAGACAGTGCCGGACAGGATCGCGGATCCAAGCGGGTTGCCAATGGTCGGATGAACGGTTTCAGATGGGGCTGTGGGAGAGACTTGGGATGAGGTGTCGTGCTGAGTGAGTGGTTGCGTGCAGTAATTGCAGGTCAGACTAACTTGCTGTGGCGGCGCAGGGGTGAGTTTGCGTCCATCCACAGTCACGGCAAAGCGGCGGGAGCCCACGTCAAAACGGGCCCGTTCAAGTTGAAGCTTCCACGAGTTCATCTGCCGGCGATAGGTCTGACGCCAGGCTTCAAACTGGGCGATAGACGCTGGACTGCTGACAATTCGCGGGACGGTGTAGCTCATAGCCAGCACTGGGGTCTGGACATCGTTGAACTTGTCAATGTATGATTGGAATAGGCCCATGGCCATGTGGCCCAGACCTGTAAGAACGACCCCTTCAATATCGCCCTCACGAATAGCCCCTATTGTGGCATTCTGGAGGTACTCAGTCAGCTCGTTGTCTGGAAGCCAGCGCAGTGCAACCTCGACTCGGTACTTCAATGGCAGTGTGGTCTCCCTGATGACCGAGTTCCAGTCGCCCTTGCTCACGAGAGCAAGAATAGCCCTCGAGTACGGGTCTGTGAGTTCTTTGGAAATCTCCGCACATGTCTCTTCCCAGTCAGAGCTGTTGTCGCCCTTTGCAGAACCGGCAATGGCCATCGCGAGGAGCTTGTGGGCTTGCGTGGGCTGATTACTCCGAAGACCGAGATAGGCCAGCTTCGGTTCGTCCTGGAAGACAGCCAAAGCGGCGGCTTTAGTGTGTTGATTTTCCGAAGAGAGATTCTTCACCAGCTCTTCCAATTCTTTGTGTGACTGTGCCGCACCGCAGAGACGGAGACAAAGTCGGCGGTGCTCGGGGTATGCAGTCTCGCAGCCCTTCACTTCTGGTAGATTCAAACGCTCGGCAAGGAGGCCAATGGCTTCGGCTGCGCTTTTAGGGCCATCCGCCTTTGTGCTAATGCGTCGTTTCTCGTTGCCATGTCCTATGTGACTCGTCAGTTGGAATTCCACCGGATGATAGCTGGATACGAACCCAAATCGTTGGTCCACGTGTTGCTCACTCCCATGTAGTTCATGTCTAGACCGTTAACCACCATGGTCATACCTACAGAGTCAGCTCGAGCACCTAGAAAGAGGTCAGAATTCGGCTACACCAAGACACCCAAACAACTTACGCTCAACCCAGGCCCAGAAATCCAGAAGAGCGGCATCATCTGACACGATCTTGCGGTTTTTAGCCTCATCAAACAGATATCCTTCTTTGCACCGGAACTGGCCGATTGTTGACAGAGTCAAGGCTTCTTTCGCACTTAACAGAGTCCCCAGAGTTCCAAGGGATAGTGCACGCTCCCGGCCTTCTCGACTCGGAACAGGGTCGGAAATCACCAAGTTGGATAATGATGATTTCCTGTCCGACTTAACCATGGCTTCTTTGGAGCTTGCTAGCACGCGTGTTCTGATGTTCCCGATGAGCTCAGATATAGGCGATATCTGCTCGGACAGAGGATGGATGGTCCTGATATCCGAATCCCTCAATGCAACGCCGCAAGCCAAAACTCCTTGGGAAGAGAGATCTACAGGCGCACACGGTGGCCGCGCGGTGACAATTTGTGGTTGCCCATTGCCATCCAGGGCAACGGCACTGGCTTGAGCGGAAATAGCAAGATTCAAGAAATCAAAAGCCACGATTCTTTCTCGCTCGTCACCCCCCTGCGTTGGATGGTCGAACGGAGCACGTACATCTCGCACATACTTCGTGTACACGGGCTCTGCGTAGTTTTTGAAAGAGCCAGAGCCGAGGGTGTCGTCGATTGAAGCCCGGCTCTCTTCTGGCACGTGGTCTTTGGCAATATCATATGTTTTGAGGTGGCCTGTATTAGCGAGTGCACCTAGGTAGCCGCGATTGGTCTTGGAGAATCGCAGACTCCAGATCGAGGATTTCGGCCCGAAGACGTTTTTGAATTGTAGAGCCGCCGCCGCTTGGCCGGATTCCGGATTAGTCGCAGATCCGACCGATGGAGATGTCAGTCGAGAGGCCACTCGCCGATCCCAGACGCAGATGGTGCTGTCATAGGATGTTGCACCTGATGCGATGTAGTTCTCATCGAGCCAGTCGATCGCTAAATTGTGAACACAACGGGTTGGGAACTGAAGAGATGGGTTACCAGGACCCTCTACACCGAGACAACACAAATCAGCACGATTAAAGGCATCGTAATGACGAAGGACAACATACCTCTGAGATCATAGATCCGGACAAATTGGCCCTTCACTCCAGTGACCAATGTATCCGGTTGATCACGGAAGAACTTGATACTTGTGATAGGCTCAGAGCTAGCCAGCTTCCTCAAGGGTTCTGGAAAGCCCTTACTTCCTCCTGCAGGACCCAGCCGCTGGTTCACATCCCAGATGTTCAAGCAGAAGTCGTTGCGCACGCGATCAAGGCCTGATGCCACCAAGCCATGTGTGCTGAAGGCAACCGCATTGCAGTAGCGCTGATTGCGGACGGGGAAGGAGAGCGACTCCTTTACGTTGGCGTCTAATCGTAGAATGGTGGCTTCGCCGGACGATTGGCCTACAGCGATCAAGTTCTCATTGGAGGTGGACCAGTCGAATGCGCGAAAGAGGGGGACGTCCGTTAGGGTGGATACAATTTGATGTCGGAGCTTCAGCCCATCAAAGCCAGTGACCCTGCATAAACGAAACGATTTGCCAGTGACGTCGACCGAGAGGAAGCGCTGCTCGGTGGGGGTTGAGCTCGGCGACCAACGAATGGCGGACTCCATGGTTGTGGCAGGGCGCGTTCGAGCTGTAAGTGAGAGGCCGCAGCCTCGGGTTTGTATGTCGCCAATTGGCCGAGAAAGACAACACGAGAGAAAAGGTCAAGAGACAAGAGATAATATACCTGAAGGAGGAACGCGACCATCGTCATGGGATCCGCTAGGCCGCTCATTGGCTGCGCCGATCTGGGGACGGGCCGATGATGCGCCGACATCTTTTTTTCTGTTGCGTTGCGACACTGTTCTTGGGAATCCCCAATCCAACCATAACCATGTCTGACTTGAAGCCTGAGCGCGTTTTCAAGCGCAAGAGCCGCGATGGTCCTGAGGAGGCTCCTCGCAAGAAGCAGCACCGAGCTTCCGACGAAGTCCAATTCGAGGATTATGGTAACGGCGACGATGTTCCAGCCAAGTCCACCCGCAAGTACAAGGACAAGTTTGCTCCGCGGCCTGAGAGGCAATATCCCTCGGTCAATGACCTGAAGAAACGCATCCGTGATGTCAAGCGTCTCCTCCTAAAACCAAACTTGCCTGCAGATGCTCGAATCCTGCAGGAGCGTGCGCTCGCGGGGTACGAACAGGATCTTGCGGATGAAAATGTTCGCAGAGAGCGATCGCAGCTCATCAGCAAGTATCACTTTGTTCGATTCTTGGGTGAGCCCGCCGAAATTTCCTATCCTGTTGACCTCCGTTACTAACCTCGCTCTACGACCAGACCGGAAGGCTGCAAATAAGCAATTGAAAAGCCTCGAGCGCCGCCAACAAGAGGAGACTCTCGACTCTAAGCAGAAGAAAAAACTCGAAAGCAAGATCCACGCCGCCCGGGTCAACGTCAACTACACCATCTACTACCCTCTCACCGAGAAATACATTGCACTTTACCCAAAGTCGAAGAGCTCAGAAAGGGACGGCGCCGAGTCAGGATCGGAAGCAGAGCCGGAACAGAAGACACACGGCGGTGATGCGAAGCCACCAATGTGGGCTATCATCGAAAAGTGCATGGAAGAGGATACCCTTGGCCAACTTCGCGAGGGCAAATTGAACATTGGAGCCGATGGCAAACAGTCCGCGCCTCCCAGTGCGAAGGTGGTTGCAGTCACGGACCCCAAGAAGAGCAAGAAGGAGTCCCAGGAGCCGAAGGAATCGAAGAGACTCAAGGAGTCGAAGAAACCCAAAGACACCAAGGACCTGAAGAAGGAACAACCGGCACCCATAGAGGACAAGAGCAAGTACGACAACATGAACCGGAGAGATCGTCGTCGGGAGCAGGCCAAGGAACAGGCCAAGGAGGAGGCCAAAAAGGCCGCTGCTCGTGCCCAGGCCGGTGAAGAAGACAGTGACGGTGGTTTCTTCGAGTAAAAAAAGTTACCAGGCCAACATGGTGTCTGGTGCCTGGTGCCTGGTGCCTGGTGTCTGTATTATGTGTATCTCCAGCCTGATATCCCAAATAGCATTGCATAACATCCAGTTAAACTGATTCTCGTGATACCCACAGTCGTAGTAGTTCTGGAGAGGCAGAGTCAAGCTGATCTTGAATGATGAGACAGGGAGCCACTTTTAAAACATCTATTTCCTCGAGTTAACAACCATTCGGCCCTGTCTTTTAGATGGTTATTGCCTGACCGTGTCCCGTCTGCTTCGGTGGAATGGATAACTTCTATCTACCTCTATCCGAAATTATTCAACATCACGTTCCTGGATGTTTTCGAGCTTAGAGCCCCATACGCTCAAACGATGTCCAACTAACGTGACGCCTCGTGCTTTCAATTCCAATTCCAAGCAACTTCCACCTGTCTTTGCCTTTTGTCTGCCCCCTTCATTCTCCTCGTTTCACAACCTAATCAATTGACCTACTCAATATCCTCGACGTCTCTTCCTCCTTTATCTCACTTCAAATCTACCAAGCCGAAGAATATTGCACGATGTTTCAAGGCTACCAAAAGATCCACCAGATCTAAAGACATCACGAAGCGCAATGAGAAAGCCTTAGCGGTCATTCAAGCTGCGATTGACAAGAACCTGATCGCTTTCAAGAAGAGAATTACCAAAAAATTCCCCAAGAAATATCGCAATTAGTCAACTCCGGATTCTGCCACCCAAACTACGGATGAGCAAAGGTGACCTCTGGCTGAAGCGAGATCTCGAGCATGTTTAAAGAGTCACAGAAGCCGAATGTAAGCAACCCGGTCAGCAGAAACCCGGAGACAACATCTACTAAAAAGCTGTATACCTCGTCGAGCTCGCAAGGGATGCGATCAAAAAAACCAACTCCAGTTTTGTCAAGCTTGAACCCCAAGAGATTAAGGAGAGAGCTGAGCTATCGGACTTCTCCAGGAGGCATCCAAAGACAGAAAAAGAACCAGGGCCTAAGAGAAAGATCTATTAAGGGAAATTTTGAAAATACAAATAAAAGATTCTGGAGGGGGGATATTTAGACATTGTTGTCGCTACATAGCTAGGACACGCCTCGCGCCCTCTATCATCTTCCTCCCATTCAAAATCTTTCTGAAAAAAAAAACTCAGTTCCCAGTCCACCAAGTATAATTCCCCGTCTCAGCCGGCGTATCAAAAACAAGCAGCGAACTACTGTTCACCGGTCTATCAGGCCAAGCATTAAGCAATCCATCCCAAACTTCAATCTTGGAATACTCGACATCAACCCCAGGAGCTGAGAAGAGTGAAACCCCGATACTATCCTCCCGACTAGGATAAATCCGACTGGTGAGTGCGAATCGATCATTTACGTATACCTCGACCAGGGATCCGTCGACGAAGATATCCATTTCAATGGGCTCTGTAGAACCATTCTTGAATTGATAGGGCTCGAAATAACCCACATGTGTGTTGTTGGCGAACATATTGATAAGAGAAGAGTGAGTGCGGTTCACAGAAACGCTGTTCGATGAGGGGTCGAAGTAGATGTTGGTGTATTCTTCGCGGTTGGGAGATGCGCCGATGGTGACTCCGGCGATGCCAGTGGTGCGTTTGATGCTCACGCTGAATTGGTAGGATTTCGTGAGGTTGCTTGATACACTAAACTGTTTAGAGTCGCACTTTCTCTCATCGCATGGATATTTCGTATGTTGGGTGCCACGGCGAAGACCCTCGACCACGTCTGGAGCGGGGCGGACACCGAGTGTGCTCGCGTTCCAGGTACCATCTGCGTTTTGGATGAATCGGGAATTTCCAGGTCCCGCGTCAGGGGATTTGGGAATGACGTCTGGTGTGTCTTTGATGAAGATCTCACGGGGTAAGGCAAACGCTCCTTGGTAGCCTTGTTGGGTTATACCGAAATCGTTCATGTCTTCTTGGGCCCAGCCCCATTGGATGCGGCGGTTGTTTTTGGTGTCGCTGAATGAGGAAATCTGATGATTAGTGTTAGTGTCGAGTGTTTTAGCTTCGGTGGTAGATACCATAATTTACTTACCGCATATAGAAGACCCCAGTCACTCGCACCACCAGAAACAGGATCGAAAGCGATACTACCATTCGCGCGAACAGAGATAGTTCCCTCGTTCCATAATGACCATTTCTGTTGATGGAAGCTGACATTTCCGCCCTCGGCGCCCATGCTAACAAAGTAGCGATCCCCAATTGAGAAGAAGTTGGAGAGCTCAAAATTGAATCCGTAGGATCCGGTCTCCTCCAAGCTACCCAACGTAGTATTCATCTCCGGCTCCCAGAGAGCTCCCAAGAAAGTCCAATTGGTAAGATCTGAGGCAGGGGCGCTATAGAGGGGCATTCGAGGCCCAATACCCCGAATACCAGATCCAAAGACAGCATAGTAATGGGGCTCGGTCATATTGAGGACATCATCCATTTGCGCCCAGGGAACGAAATATGGATCACGCCAACCGGTGACGTTCCAGTTCCCAGGTGTATCGCTGAGAATGGGGTTATTCTCGTAGTGTGACCATGTCACTCCCCCGTCAGTAGAGTAGGCTAACGCCTGGCTCTCAGTCCCGGGCGCGTATGGCTCATCCCACGCTGTTGGGAGCTCAGAGGCTCCGGTGTAGAAAGCCAGGATAGTGCCGTCGATTCCACCTGATAAGTTGACTGGTTGGGCACTACCGGAAAAGATAGCGAGATGGTTATATAACGGGGGATTGTGCTTGCTGGTCAAGTTGGTCGTGCCGATTGACTGCATTTCCTGATCTTTCCAATCAGGGATGTCATTGTCGGGGTGGTGATCCATGTCGGTCCAGGTTATCAAATCGGCGGATGTTGCGTGTCCCCATGAGACATTACCTGTTATTTCAATTATGTTAATGCCCTTCAATTGGAACATGCGGAGAGAAAATACTACCCCAAGCAACATGGTTAGGATGGAACTGGTAGTGCAAATGATACAAGCCTCGAACCGGGTCATACATTGGCGCACACGGATCCTATCGAGTAACCAGTAATTAGTATACTCAATACTCATCTCAAGAAAGATTTCCCTACATTCATCCACCCAGCCGGAGCAAGGAAATGAGAAGATGGTCTCCAACGCGTAAACAAGCTATTATTTCCCATCTTCTCAATCATCTCCACCGTAAGGGATTGACCCCATACCGGCACAACGCCAGCAAGTGCCACACTCAACGCAATCGCTGATTTCATGGCTTCTGTCCAGGTTCCGAAAATTCGCAAATATTCAGGCAAAAAGCCTGCATTTATTCATGGGGATCTTCATTGAATATGAAAGCCCACGGATGATAATCGCTATATCCTCGGATGATTCTTTGGAGCGGTGGAGTCACAGGAGGGGCTAATTCAGGGAAGATGGACTATAGTCAAAGATCGAGGTTCTTGGCCCGGCGAGGGTAGAAGATCGAGTCCGTTTTGAGCTGGGGTGCCTGCCAAGATCGAGTTGGTGTCGAATGGGAGCGACGCAGATGGCCCGAGAATCCCCCATTGAAACTCCACTGATTCTCCGAGATCGTCTGTGCTGGTATTTAATCGTGCAGGTGGGTTTCATAACATCGGATCACTTGTTGCGGCCTGATATGCGGTTTCCGAGAGACTATGTACACACACACATTTGCGGTCGAGTAGCTAGCTATTCTTGGCGGTTTATGAGCCTAGACATTCTATCTTCGATGGTGGCATACATATCTACAGACAATGCAACTCTCCTTTTGTTTTTAAATGAAACCGAAAGGCATGTCAATTCCAAGATGACCCCTGCGTATAAGCCCAGAACCAAGAAAATATCAAGGAGAAAAAGAAAAAAAAAGGATCAAAACTCCAGTCCTCGCCTCGACTCTTCTACATATGCTGAGCGGAACTTTGAAATGGCAGTCTGGTAAAAGAAAAGGGGAGGTCAGGATGACGGTATGGGATGAAAATGCAGGTCGGTTTGATCTTGTCCTGACGCCAGTAATGAATTCAAAGAAAAGGAAATAATCTTCGCTTAGATAACGATGGTCGATGAGTCGTTGGAGGGGCTGTCCGTCGAGGATACCCCGCTCGAAAGGTCGTTCAATGTCCCAGTGTGAACTGGGATTGTGTCGTGCATATCATTGAATGGATTTCAGACGGACAAATGCTAGCGATCCGGCGCTGGCATATTGGAAAGGCAATTGTCGCATGCGACAAACTTTGAAGTGTCCGAAGAACACCGCAGGGGAGGAGAGAGGTTTTACATGACGACACAGCCGCTTTGGGCACGGCGACGACGGCCCCCAAGGGCAGAGAAAGTACCAGCACCGTAGGTGTCATCATCTTCGTCATCATCGGCGTTGTAGAGTCGCTCGGCCTCGCGAGCACGGCGTCGCCTGCGCCGGGCACCTGCACCACCAGCGCCTGCTTCCTCATTCGCCATCATGTAGTCGGCCCATTTGCGGTCAAGACGGCTGGCGGATGCCAGATCGCCGCGCAGTACGCGCTTGGTGTGCTCGTCAACAGTCATCTGCCATCCGTAGAAGCACTTAAGCTGAATGATCTGGTTGGGGTAGGTGGGCGACGGGGAAGGGGTTGAAACGGGCGTGACATAAGTCGTTGTCGTTGGAGAGTCGGCGTCCGATGTTTGGGTGACAGTCACGATAGTGGATGCCGGCTTACGGGAGCGTGGGATAAAGCAGTTGCTGGAAAGAACTTCCTTGACGCCCGCCCAAGTCACATTGGCACAGTCAAAGACGACCAGTCGGAGACCAAACTTGGGAACATCGGCACTGTAGCCGCGCTTGCGCACCCGGTAGCTTGCTTCCATAAGAGATAAGTCGGAGACACGGGTGTTGTCCATTTCGACGGACTGCAGCTTCGGGCAACTCTTGATAACTTGTAGCATTCCAGTGTCGCCAAGGTTTTCACAGTAGCTAATATTCAGGTGTTCCAGGGTCTGCGCACATGGCGATTTTGCGATTTCAGTGAGAACGTTGTTTGTCAAGCTCTCCAGGTCTTCAATTTCCAGATGCGAGAGATACGGTGTAGTGCGGATGACTTCGATGATGGATTCGTCGGTCAATTCCGAGCACTGCGACACCTGCAGTCCTTCCAGATCTGGGACATTTCCGGCCAGACTCTTCAAGCCGTCGTCGCTGATGTCCGGGCAGTGATGCACATCCAAGTGTCGAAGTCGTCGAGGCGGCACAATGGGTCGGTCGGTCAGTACATCTAAAGGCGGGTCGATACCGTGCATCAAGGCCTTCAAGCTCGCGTCCGAGAGATCGGTGCGGCTCATAATCAACCGCTCCAGGGTATTTTTTTCATAAAGAGCCAAGGTGAAGTCCTCGTTAGCAAACCCCCGAATTTCACTGGCGCGGAGGTCCTTCAACCGGGGACAAGAGTTGACCACTTTGAGAAGACCGTGGGCGGTGACATTGCTACACCAAGAGATATTCAAGGTCTCCAGCTGGGGACAAGACTGAGCGATGATCTTCATTGCCGAATTTGTGACGCTGGACAAAGCAGACACGTTGATGTATTCCAAACGAGGGTTCCGAAGCAGGAAGTAGTGAATGGACGTCTTGTCAATGAGACACCCCTCAAGCGAGAAATTGACGACATTGCGGCACAAATCAGAGATGCGCTCTCCATCCAAAGACCACTTGTCCCGTAGCTGAATACAGCCTCTGAGATTGAGGTCGCGCACAAAGGCTCCACCAGACGTAATGAGCTTGACCAAGACATCGCTAGGGATCTTGTTGTAGTACTCGGTCGTATCGACCTTGGCCCACAACTGGCCATCGAAGCACATATCATTCCACATCTTCGAAACTCCTGCGCAGCGGACAATTTCACGGGGATTCAAGTATCGGAAGATCTCCATCTTCAGCTCTCTAGGCATATCTTCCCAGAAATCAAGAGTCTTCGCAGGCTGAGTATCAGGCAGCGTCAACTCCGTATCCACCTCTGTGACTAAGTCGGCGGACGCAGTGTCATCGGCATCCGCTGCAATACTAAGAGGTGAACCGCGAGAGGCAGGTCTCATGTCCAGAGGCAAAGGGACCGTACGCGGCAGCGAGGCGGGTGACTCGGTGCCCATCAGACGAATCCGATTGTTGATTTCTCGAGCCTCATCGGGTGCACCTGACCACCCCGGGGTAGCCGGTCGGGGATTAAGGCCTCCATAGAGTTGCGCAGGACTCCCATTGCCCACGCATGGGGAGTATGTAGACGATAACGAGACACACGATAAGGAGGCCTTGTTATCCCGGCGATAACCGGTAGATGCAGATCGGCCGCGGCGGGTCAACGACTGACTAGACTGACGGCGGCCGAGACTCTGTAACAACTTTCGACGGCCCTTGAGTTTTGGCGGTTGGTCGAGAGGAATTTGGCCTGTGGACGAGGCTGGGCTTGTTGGGGAGATTTCGGGCGAAGGGACGATCTCGTCGGTGATTGGGGTAGCCATGGTTGCGTGAGGGGTTAGAGCGTGTACTTAGGTCCTGAGTATTGGGTGAAAGAATAATGGCACCACCGAAAGTCGATGGGCGCGACAGAGCACCGCGTGAGACCTTAAAAGATCATAGCGTTGTGGATTGTTCTTCTGCGCAGGTCGAAAGTGAAGTCGCGAGGTGGGAGCGGGGATCTTTAGATAGACGTTTATTGTTCGGGGGCTCACGGGCAGTGAACCGTGGCACTTGGGGAGGTCGACCGTCGGGACGTGTTCAAGTGACGTTCAAAGAACCGAGAGAACCGAGCGGCCCGGACAATTCATTGTACAGAGAAAGAATGTGAGTGGAAGTGAAGAGTCAAAAGAGTCAAAGAGTGAGAAGGAAAAAAAAAAAAGAAAGGCGGAAAGAATGCGATACGGCCCAGCGCAACTGTTGGAATGCAGTACACCAGTACACCAGTACACGAGTACTCAAGTACCCCGCTGTTGGTGCACGCCCACTATGCAGGAAATGTACCTGGTACTTCTGGACTTGGGAACTGACCTTCTTATCGCTTCCCCCCACCAAGTCTTACTGTACAGCCGTGGCACAGACTGACTGACCCACGCGACTCATCGGCTGACGACGCCCCATGAGGGTTTTTAAAGGGTGGTGACCCTCCTTATCCACTCCAGTCAGGAACAAATCTGGTCAATTCTCTCGTTCCTGGCGATAACCCCCCATTGGGCGCAAAGTCGCCATCTTTTGACTGTTTGGCCGTTTCACTAAGAAGCGGGGCGCGGACCATGGACGGAAATGCGGAGTAGTGTGTACTGCCCGGTGGAGCCGAAGGCGAATGGCCACTCTGCTAATTAACTACATTTATGGCTACAGTATGTCTGAAATGCTCTGAGACTAGCCGGGCACCTAAGGCCAAATGGTACTAAGCGCGATCAGGAGATCCACTCGCTAGCCCGGTTGGGCCAAGCATGGAAGCCGATCCAACCAAGATCCAAGATTCAAGATGCATCGTTCCAATATATAGATTTTCTCATGCCATGATGATCTCTAGATACATGGAGAGGGAAAAGGTATCATACTCCCCAAAATGTGTGCGCAAAAGCCATGTCGATGTCATGCAGTTCATGTGCATATGTTGTTTTGTCCAAAGACCAATCGTTTTCCACTAGAGTAAATGCCCCCAATCCGGATCCTTCAATCAAAGCATAACAAATGTCGTGGGGTATCGTGTCTTCCTTTTTTCGGGGTCATAAAATATGCGCCGGTGCTGTGGTGGGGCTTCAATTCTCGTTCTCCGTCATCCACGGGTGCTCAAGCACTTCCGTAATAGTTAGTCGGTTATCGACATCCCGGTCGAGCATCTTCCGGATCAGATCGATGCAGTTTTCCGAGAAGGGAAGGAATGGGATGCGGAGTGGGTGGTCGAGGATTTCATCCACGTTATAGAAAGGGTTCTCTTTATAGACGATTGTGTAGAGGAGAATGCCCAGGGCCCAGATATCTTGTTCTTTGCCCCGGTAGGACTTGCCCTGTAGGACTTCAGGGGCGGCATAGTCTAGAGAGAGGTTAGCATAACGGAAATATAGGCAAGGCAACCATCCGAAACAATGTCCAACTTACCGATCGTACCCACAAAGACATCAAACGGCCCGTTCTTGATATAGGCCGCACTGCCAAAATCGATCAACTTAATTCGTCCCTCTCCATCCAACACCACGTTCTCATCCTTGATGTCGCGGTGTACCACGAGGGCCTTGGTGTGCAGGTGGTGAATGGCGCTAATTGTCTGCCTGAATATGTTGCGGCATTCGGGCTCGTCCATGTTGGCCTTCAGCTCGATATAGTCGAACAGATCCATTCCCGGCAGTCCGTGGGGTATCATCTCAATGTAGTAGTTGACGTCGTCTTCAAAGAAGCCGTCCATCTCCACAATGTTCGGGTGCTTGTACCCGTCGCGACGAAGGAAATCCAGAACGTGAATCTCCAAAGGTACCGTGCCGAGCCGTCTGTCGCGTGTCCACGTATCTACCAGGATTCGCTTCTTCGTCACATACTTCAACACCATCTTCTTCTGAGCATTCTTCTTCAGGCGGGCCAACTTGACCTGTCCGTAAGCACCTTGCCCCATTTCCTCCACGATGACATAGTCGTCGATGTTTCGTTTCTGTGGAGCCCCGCCCTTGGCGTTAACTTCGGGGACCGGCTGGACAGGTCGATCGGTAAGTGGTTCCGAAGCAGCCTCGCTGAGCTGCTGACTGAGTGTCGAGCTCGGAGTTTTGATTTCTACCAAAGGCTTGCTGGTATCAGGGCTTTTTCCAACAGATGAGGCGACAGATGGGTTTTCCGATGAGGGCCCGGGTACAGGAGAAGTGGGCTTTGAAGTAGGCAGTGAAGATGACGAAACGCCGGTCGCAGGTCCAGCAGCATGAATTTGCCGGGAGTAGGTGATCCACAACGCATAAACCAGCTCTGTCACTGCGATGGTGTCGTCACTGTCTTCTGAATCGCTGGAGGGTTCTTCGATTTTCTCTGCGAGTCTCGCTGCCTGTTCCTTGGTGAAGAAAGTGCCGCTTTTAACCACTCGCAATTGGACATCCACCACGATCGTGGAGCCATCTCGATGCTTAGCCAGTAAGCCACTGGGCTCAGTAAAGACCGAGGCGGCGTTGGCCTTGCCATCCCGTAGAATGGACAGGGTTCGTGCCCGACGGAAGCTATGTTCAGGGATCACGATACCGTCGATCAATGGCACGTTGTCCTCCTCGGTTAACACATCCAAGATCTCGTCGAATCCTGGAATTAGTTCCGTGATGTGCCGTCCCTCGGGGCGTTCTTGACCGAAGAGAGCCGACGAAAACACAGAGTTCGAGCTGATGACGTTCAAAGTCGCAGAGGACACAACCATCATGCCTGCAACGTGGGGGAAACTCGACACCTGCAAAGTGCGAGTCCCATCCGTCTTGCCTACTGTCACGGGAATGCAAACGCCAGCAGCAGTGAGAGCGGCAAAATGCTTCAACTCGGCAATCTTGGCGATTCCCTTCTCGGGCGAAGTTTCGAGAGATGCTGATGGCAAACGGGGGAGAAGCTCAGTAATAGGCTGGCCAAGGCGGACAACAGATGGTCCCCAGATCTTGTCAACATCACCTCCAGTTTCCAAGACATTCCAAGATTCGTCGCAAAGGACCGAGGCGGAGTTCTCGGTGATCTCCTCCATCACCCAGATCAGACCGCCACGCTTCTCCATCACCCAGACACTAGCCGAGCCTTTGGTGCCGTTGCGCTTCTCGATCGGCACGACATCGCCGCACAATAACACGCCTCGTGATTTGTTTCCGGGATGGTTGTTGTTGCGAGGGTTTCTTTGGCTCGAGCCGTATCCATCATCAGTCTGCGCGCGCCGAGACGCCTTTTCCCTAGAAGATGGTTTACTGAGCAACTGTGCCGTCACACCATTTCCAAGACCTCGGTACTTTGGGTTTACCGCTTGGATGTTGGGCCTATTCTGGGGGATTGGCGCGCGGGCAGTGGCATCAGTGCTTGGGTCCCGAAGCTTAGCCTCAAGCCACTGCCTGTGCTCTTTCTGTACAACCTCTAGGATACTGAGCCGACGGACCTCGGATTGAGTGACTCCAAATATGAGGCACGAGATATCGTTGGCCGCAAAGATGGTCCATGGTGCCTGGGCTTCGGTCCGGAACACGGCCTGGGAGACGGGGGTCCATTTGCTGCTGTGGGTATGCAAGGCAGGCATAGGGAATCCCAATCCTGCGGTAGATGAACTGAGAGAGGCGAAAGGATCCGTGGAGGCATATGGTTGCGCTAGAGTCTCCATCAGCTTGCTTTTGAGGGTGGCAGAGTTGAGATCCGTATATGTACGTTTTAAGCTTACGCGCCTGGACGTTGATGCCGATTTCACCTTCAGGTCATTTCGGGATTGCAGGATACGGTCATTGGATGAAAGGGGGCTAAGCATTTGCGAGCTGTCGGATGTCGCCTGGGATCCTGGGGCCGAGTCCTGGGTTGAATCTCGAGCATTGATGGGAGAGCCGCGTTCCGAGAAGGCTCTCTCGAAGATGTTTTCCCCATTCACATCCGCAGGTCCAGTGATGGGTCCTTGTGTCCGGTTGGCATGATCTTCATCCAAGACGTGGGCACGGTTCAAAAGGTCCATCATATTCTGGAGATCCGCGTCGCCCATCGCATTTGCCTGGGCGTTCGCGATTCCAGCATTAGTGGCCGCCCAACCCATGCGATCGCGCATGAAATCAATCGACCTTTTGAGAAGATTCTGCCGGTTGTGTAGGAGCTCTTCGGATTGTTGTGCAAAGGAGAAGGAATGTAACGATTCCAAAGGGAATCGATGAAGATCCTCCAGATCACCAAAAGCGCTCAGTGACATGCGGCCGGTGGGAGCTCGGGAGGAAGAAGCCGAGCGTTGAGTAGGCGATGGGCGTGTATTCGAGGTTGTCATCGGGGCCAATGACGATGTCGAAAGATTGGGAAGCGTCAAAACGCGTGACGATTGATGCTGGCGTATGCGATCCAGCCCGGTCGGACCGATTCCATGCTCGTTCTCGAATAACGGGGATCTGCTGAAGCAGTGAATGTGTCAGGTTTCAACTCTACTACCCTGAATGAAGGGAGCCGTGCTTGGGCACCAACCTCGAAAGATTGTCATAACCCGAGGAAAGACTATCCACCGAGCCTCTCAAGGGCTGGTCTGTCTGCAAGGAAAGTGTTTGAAACCCCGACTCAGACTCGGGCGACTCTGAAAGGGGACCCAACGGAGACGACAAAGGACTCGGTTCGCCTATTAAGGAAAATTTTGATCAGCATGCTAGACGGCAACTCAATCGGCGCGTGTCAAAGGTTCCATTCCGCGGAGTTCGGCGTGATTGCCTCAAGTGATGATGGAAGGGGTTGACCCTCCGCGGTCAGATGCGCCAACGAAGCCGGGTCGCTTTTGACACTGAACCGGGAAAAAGAAAGCTGTGTTGCAAATGCGATTCATATGCGATTCATATGCGATTCATTCGGGTCTTACTCCATTCTCATCTCCATCTCCAAGCGTTCATAGCTCCCCCCGCGGGAACGCCCCCGCAAGTTGGCGGGAGTTCAAGCATGTGAAACAAGTGCAAGTGCGCATGACTTACCATCGGGATTGATTGCGGACCCCATTCTTTATCGCAGGGGAATATCAACTCCCAGCCGGGAGGGAAAAGGAAAGGCTGAGGCTCAATAGCGTCGAGTCGAAGGAGCGAAAGGTCATTCGCGAGTGTCAGCGGGCAGCGACCGGGAGAGGAAGAGGGCAGCTGCCTCGAAGATCGCCCGGCATATGTGGCGTCCAAGAGCACGCGTATGTGCAGTTTATAAGGGGTTGAAAAGAAAAGAGAAAAGAGAAAAGAGAAAAGAGAGATACAGCGGGGTCCGTAGTGGGGAATGAAAAAGAGATGCCGTACTCAAATGTAAAGGGGGAGGGTGATGTAATGGGCTTTCCAGAACTTGGCTCTCGGTACTAAATAACTATGCATTTACTAGTATTGTAGTGTTTTAGTATTAGTCTTCTAGAACTAGGCCAGAATAGATGATCTTAGTTAAGGACACTTTCAAGGTGATGATCCGATCGACACGCCGTCTATGTACCTTTTCTCGAAAAGATGATCCTCTCCCGACTGGGATCCTACTGTTAATGCTAGTCTCTCCATATACTCGTTAATTACGAACCCCTCCACCAACGACGGAGCAGAAATGTGCATTCCCCCCCCCCTCCTACTTGCCTTTGTTCTATTTCAAATGCAAAGTGGTTCTTCTGTCTGTGGCCGACACATCCGAGCGGTACACTACGCCCCCACCGCTATCTCCGTTGCGTGCCCAATGACAGCATTATTTATTACTCTTACGGGCCAGACATGCTCGTCTGTCCTGTACTCTGTACTGCTGAACTTGATGTGTCCTGTTATTCCCGCGAGCCGCTCCGAGATCGAGATCGAGATCTATCTTCCTAGCTACATATAATCCCATAGTTCACCGTCCATGGTTGCACCCCCTTACAGCGGGCTCCGAGCCCCACGGAGACTGTGCAGTGCCAGTTCATCATACTCGGCCTCGGTTCCTGGGTTTTCTTCTCCGCCATTCCCGAATAGTGGACTACCTTTGCCTTTTGTTCGGGGGGGTTCTTGATGCCGTGTCTGTTCCGGTGGTACCGAGGCCGAACTGACAAAGGTCGACAAGTTCCGGCTACCTTCTAGCATCCAGGAGAACCCTGCATCCGACAGGGATGGCCGGATAAGATTTGGCTGCAACTTTTCGGTCTGGCCGTCAGGGTTCTTGCTGTTGGTGGCGGTGCTGCCAATCCTGGCGGTTCCATCTTCAGTGCGCCCCGTAGCATCCGGGCGAGTTTGAGGCGTACTTTGCAGATCCTTTTGCGCCACATCTTCAGAAGTGTTTGCTGCGGATGAAACCAGTGGTGATGGCGATGGCGATGGCGATGGCGATGGCGATGATGATGATGGCAATGAAGATGCCGAGTCAGCCGTCTCGCCAGCTATTTCTGGGGGTTGCGGCGCAGAGGACCGCGGGAGTGATAGTGAAGAATCCTCGAGACAACACCGGACCGATTCAGCTCGAGCTAATGCCTGCTTCACTGCATCATTGGAATCCGAGTCAAGGTCTTTCGTGGTAGCAAGTTCGGAACGAAGGTCTTCCAGGGCATCGCCCAACGCACTCGCCAGCTCCTTATTCCTTTCCTCCAAAAGACTAATCTTCTTTTCTAGTCCAAGCTCGGTAGGCGTCGGTCCCTTGAGCACTGCGTTTGGTACTAATGTAGAAGAGGGTCTGCGAAGTGACGGTCCGGTGCGAGGGCCTGGCTCATACTGCATAGTTTGCATGTTTCTTCTGGCTTCAGTCACGGCTCCACGAACGGCTTTGGCCACGCCCCATGCCTCGGTGCGACGCTGAATGCCTTGAGAAACATCCTGGAGAAGTGTCTCAAGACCCTTAGGGCTGTTTCTAGTAGGCGATGAGGTGGATGAATTGCTGTTGCTGCGATTCCGGAATTCCTCCCAGAGATGAGCCGCTCGAGCAGGTCTAGTCCTGGAGTGGCTAGGGCGCTTTGATTCTGGCTCTCTGCCGGAGTATTTAGAGATGATAAAGCTGCCTCGCTCCGCAGTTGGGTTTTGTTCTAGATAGAGCGCATCATGCACGAAAGTTTGGGGTGTATGTGGCTCGGGAGGTGGGTATCGTAACAACATTGACAATGCACCTGAGTAGTCCGCCTTGAGTACTGTAGGTGAAACATTAGTGACGCAAATACATAAAAACCCCTGGGACGTTTTTCTTACATTGCCAACGAATCCGGAGCAGCATCGCAATGCATGTGAAGTCCACGAGATCTGATCGAAGCCCATGGGCAAACAGTAGATCCCACATCATGAGGACATCATCAAATGGAAATTCCCGTCCAAATAGAAGTCGCATCCAGCGACTTGGTATCGGGTTAGCACAACCTTGGGCGACCGTGATCAAGGTACTCACGTCAAAAATATCTGAGGCAGTACGTCCACAGCATGCAGATGTTCCGCTAATTCGTGGTCTATAATCGTCAGGGCCTCGTTGTGAAGGTACTGGCATCGGTTCACAATCGGAATGACGTCGATCTCGCCATTGGCTGACCGAGTCTCGCTGTGTTCGTAATATATGCGAGCTGTCTGCATGACGCAAAGGAACAACGTGAACGAATCGTGTTCCACAAACTTGGGGTTGAGAAGGTCCAGCATCGAGGCATCTTCCTTGTTATCTGTCAACCGTTTTGAGTCCGGCTGGACAGAGTCTCGATCAATGGCCCAAAGTATCGGGGCCACGAGCTCGTGCATACCCTGACGATACCCAACATCCAAGTTAAGTTTCGAGTAAACAAACAAGACATCCGTCAGTTTCTTCTTTGTCGCTGGATCCTGAAAGAAAAGGTTCTCTTGCATGCATCGGTCGACATCCTGCGCAATTTCTGTTTGTAGTTTCTCGTCGTTGCGTAGTGTTTGCCACGGAGACTAATATTTTGGGGAGAGTCGATCAGAACAACACTCTCGGTGCATAGAGAGCACAGCACATAAGCCAGACAGTGGCTTACCTCCTCGTCGTCCGCCAGCGGATCAACAGTAGACTCCACATCATCCGGATGTTCAATAAATTTCAGAAAATGGGTACGAAGCGCCTGGTACGCCTCTCGTGACTCGGCAAGCTTCTGTGACCATTCTTCCCGCTCGAGGCCATCGAAGAGGAGAAACACCTGCAGAACAAATGAGTGCGGTGTTCAACACCATATCATATGATGCCCACGGACCTTCCAGCAAATCGACCTCAGCCCATCGTTGCATAGTTTTCCTCCCTGTTCCGCTCGGAGGGCTGTCCGCAGGTCGGCGGGCGTTTCATTGTCGGCAAACAGGATCTCCCATCTCTTTCTGTAGCGAGTCAGCACTATCCATCACATCTTTGTCCTGAGTAAGCACCTGGTCTCCTCAATAGTTCTCATGTCATGCAGCTGTGACTTGGGGAAGTGGAGGAAGGAAAGGAACCGTCGATGAGGGGAAGACGATAATGTAATCCGCACCTCTTATCGCGCCGCAACGATTCGGAGACCCTGCACGTCTCCGAACCCAAGCTCGGTCACGAACTCATTCGAGATCGCAGGAATATTGGAGGCGTTCCGACAGTCTCAGTTCCATGTCATCCCCCGACTCTTTATGATCCACGATTTCAATGTCCGCAGACTTGTGGGCTGAGTTCGGCCAGGGTTCCGGCTCTGCGCAAAGCTCCGGCCAATCCCAGAATACACAACCACAAACAAACTCATTGATCTCCGAATTTGATCAATCTGATGACATATTCTTTGGCGGGCCCCAGCTCAGCAATCCTAAGTTTTCCAATACGAGTGTGCCGCCGCCTCAGTATACGCCTTCAGCTACCAGGCAGCCCCCCACCTTTCAGGCATTTGATCTGCCTAAACAACACGACAGTGATATCCTATTCGATGCAGCCGAAGACACGCCCGCGAGTGAGGAAGACAATGATTGGGGTGAATTCGAAGGTCCAGAAGAAAGCGCAGAACATGGCCAGCTGAGTATCTCTACGGCCATAGCACAAGAAGGGAAAGCTCCTGGTCCCAGACCTCAGACTCAAGCTCCGAGAGATTCAAAAGTCCCCACAACAATCGATCTACTAGATTCTGCACCAATTACACAGCAGCTTCCCAAACCAAGGCCAAAGACAATCCCCGAAGCCAACAATCCTCCATCAGAACCATCATGGGACGACGACTCGTTCGGTGACTGGGGTGATTTCACCGACGGGCTTCCTACAGCCTCAGCTCGAAAGAACCCAATCCCAGCGAAAGCTCATCAACCCATAAAGCTCACCCCTCCACAACCAGCCTGGGACGACACCTTCGAAGACTGGGGCGACTTCACCGACGGCCCAAGTACAGCACCAGCGCCAGTACCCCAAAAGTCAACCCCCAAACCAACCTCACGGCCCTCAACAACAAGCCCACCACCACGAAGCTTCATCTCCTCAACACCGAAATCACCCCCAAACGTTCGACCAACCAATATCCCCCCACCATCCGTCCTCCTCGAACTCCTAGTCGACCTGTTCAACAACCTCCAGAAAGAAGCAGCCGCCGCAAAGCGCCAACCAAACCATACAGCAGCAACTACGATCCACAACACACTCGAAACAGCATCTCGCATCATCGCCGGCCGCACATTGCGCTGGAAACGCGATACCATCCTTAGCCAAAGCATGCGGATCGGACCAGCTGGTAAACCAGGCGGAATGAAATTAAGTGCCGTAAACAAGCATGAAAATGTAAAAGAAGAGCAAGATGCTGTGGATGCGTTGTCCTTATGGCGTGAGCGCGCTGCTCTGTTTAATGCCGTTATCCAGACTGCGGGTCTACGGCCTATTCCGCCTATCCCGGGGCCCAGTGCATTGAAAGTCATTATGGCGAAGCCGGAGCAGGGGGGTATCAAAGCGGGACATGCTTGTGCACTTTGTGCGTTGAAGAGAGATGAGCGCGTACTGAAGGTTGATGAGGATGTGCAGGATAGTTTTGGAGAGTGGTGGACGGAGCATTGGGGGCATACAGGGTGTCGGATGTTTTGGGAGAGGAATTCAGGACTGCTTGGGCAGCGATGAGACAGACGTACATACAAATACAAGTAATTTGAAGTAATTTACGTTCAAATTTGGTCAGAGAAAAGTATGAATTATGAGATCAGAAGAATAGCAGATTACCCGTTACCGAGGTGAACAGAGTAGATCAAGACACGAGAATGGATATCGCGCCAAACACCAGTTCCTTAAGAGAAGAGAATAGATACATGAGGAGAATATCAGGATCAGAATCAAAACCAGAACCAGAACCAGAACCAGCGCAGGCCAAGCGTACAATGAGCAAGGAATTGCCCAGCGGTGAATCACGGGGCAAGCCAAACCAGTCGAGCTGGAGGCGCACCGCGGCCAATTGTGAGGGCCACAGGGAACACGGTACGTGAGATATAGAGCCAGTCCCACGCGTCGTGCAAGCATCTCTGGTCGTCATGGGATCCATGTGTTCCTGCGCTGGAGATATTTTTGTCTCCCAGGGCGGGATCGAATCAATTTTCTGTTTCTGTTTCGGGCCCACGCGAACTGTCCATGGACAATCGGCGCTCTTGACGGAGCAAACGGATCCCAGAGAGAGTCAGCATTGAGCCGGAATCCAGTCACGGAAAGGCTTTCAACGCGGCGGAGTGAAGATCGGGTCAATTTCGGGTGGTGACTGCAGCTGCGATTGAAATAATGGCGGATTGCAGAGGCCATGAGGACAGGCACTCGACGGTAATCAATTTTAAAAACTTTGGGCTGAAGGTGCCGCAGGCTTTGGGGAATCATGATCGTCAGCGTCTGAAGTGGCAGTGTACGTGGGTCTTGGCATCGTGGTACAGCGCCAAAGCACTTGGCACACGATAAGAGGCACACGCAAGGGGGGGTATTTCAACTTACAGGACTGTTCAGAATGCTGTTTCGCTTGGTGCGTCCTTTTTTGATGTGACTCTTCAGCGCTGCTGAATCCAGGGGCTTCAACAGTTCGAAACTACACAGGAGCTCGCCGGAGACCGACATGATAGCACCCCAATTGTCAAATTCACCACAATACTGTTGAATTATCAGCAACCGCTCTGGATAAGATTGGAGAGAGGGGGAGACTTACATTAGGAGCAGAGAATACCGTCACCAGGATCCGGTCCTGGTAGAACTCATATCCATCCTCGACCACCATGTGTGCACGGCACACCAAATCAAAGTCATGACGCTGCAAAAAATTCATGATAACCTTCTTGCCGAAACAATAACTCACACCCCGTTCATTAGGCTCCCAGTCTTCTTCCATATCTGCAGGATCACTCCACAAAAGGTCGTTCAGCAGCCCATAGTCGGGCACATCGGTGGGCCGGGCAATGCCCCGAATATCATCCATATGCGACAGACTGGGTGAGAGACCGCCGTGAACGCAGAATATCTTGCCTGCAACGATGGCAGCAATTGGGAGGCAATTGAAGGTGTCGATGAAGGTCTTCCAAACCTTGATATTGCAACGCCGCTTACACTCGTCATAGAATCCGTAGACTCGAGTGACGTTGGCGCACTCGTGGTTTCCTCGAAGCAGGAAGAAGTTTTCTGGGTACTTGAGCTTATAACACAGCAGAAGAAGGATGGTTTCCAGACTCTGCTTGCCTCGGTCGACATAGTCGCCCAGGAAGAGATAGTTCGAAGCTGGCGGAAATCCACACATCTCGAAAAGTCGAATCAAATCGGTATATTGACCATGAACATCGCCGACAATCTTAACGGGGGCAGACAACTCCAACAATGCAGGCTGGGAGAGGAAGAGCTCCCGCGCAGCCCCGCAGATGGCGGTAATTTCAGCATTCTTAAGGCAAACGGTCTTGGTAACTTTCGCAGAGTAACCCGCATCCAACAATCTGGAGATCATGTCATCCAGATCGATCGACTTCAGAGCTCCCATACCCATACCGGGAGATCCGGAAGTCTCGATATTGGGGTTGAGAATGAAATCCAAAATGGGGTTCAACTGGTTCTCCCGCTTGATCAGGATGGACTCTCCTGCGACCTGAGCAGTTCCCGCAGGAGGTCCGCCCGATGGGGGAGCATCCGATACATGGTCCACCTCACCACTCTGTTTCATGGCATTCGAATCCTTGTGGCCTCGCTTCAAGCTGGTCGACAGCGAGGGAGAGGGCGGGGGCTCAGGAGACGCAGGCCGAGAGGTGTCCGCCGATCCAACTGACTGGGTGGAAGAGAGACCGGCGTTGGAGCCGGGTCGGCTGTTGGAAGATTTGACGGAGCCCGCATCCGATCGGTCATTCTGGCTATCGGTCTTGGAGAGGGCCGTAGTCGAACCTCGGGGGCTGTCTGTGCTTCGGGCTCCGGGGATTTTGGAGCGAATGGATCCACGGAAGGAGCGGAGAGATTCTTTGGTGTCGGATTTCGAAAAGGACGGGTACGACTGCAACGGGTCGCCCCCGTCGGCATTGTTCTTGGAATGCGACTGACCCATCACTGCAAGGCTGGGATGTCTGCCAAGCTTGGACTGGGGTGATCGCACGAAGGGCGTTCAAACCACAACGCCGAGAAGTTCCCCTGGCGGTTGGAATGTCTTGGCTTCCAACTTCTGGGTGATTCCAAGTATATTAGGATTGCAGATTCTCGGTGCAAGGGTCAAGAGTCCGAGTTCCGAGGCAGGGGAATTTTCTGGATGGAGCTCACACCGGCAGGCTTTGTTTCCCCCGGGTAGGAGAGACGAGGTTGAGGCCGGCTGAGAAGGAATGAATTAGGGATATGGATCGAGCAACCGCAGGATCCTGATGTAATGGCGATGGACTGGGCTCGAGGCGGTTACAAAGGGGCAAAAAGGGCAAGTCGAAAAAGCTGGGCAGGTCGAAAAAGCTGGGCAGTGTGGGCGGAGCTCCGAGGCACGGGCTGAAGCTGCACGCGGGATCAGTACAAACGCGACCGATACGCAGTGTGGCAACAGGGCTGACTCTCCACACGAGATCAACGGGTTATGTGGAGGTGGAAGTGCAAAGCAAGGGAGGAAATGGGGGAGTGATGGAAAGTCAAGTGGATTGGCGGGTGGAGGAATGCGTCATCATGGTGAATTTGAGGAACGAGGTATTTATTCCCACGTCTAGACACACGAGGGGTTGATGGAAAGTGAGGCAACCGATTTTCACATTACTTACCGTCAACAAAGGATGAGTAGAGAGGAAAAGAGAGAAGAGGGGAAGATTAGTCTCCAAGTACTCCGCCACTATCGGGATGTGAGAAGGTACATTCCAAAGCGTAAAGTTTCCCAGCTCAGTTGCCTCCGGTTCTGGCCACAGCTGGATTCGGGGAAATCATTATCTAATCCCGGATCATCCCCGGGCCGAGCCATTTTGGTGTTCTGGGCCTTTTTAGTAGATTTTAGTATAGATGGGTTGTATCTATTTTTATTCTTTGCGTAGCTTGATTTAGGGTTTGTAGATGTGTTCATGACTTTTGTGAATCGATCGTATTTTTCTTTTTCAAGCTTGAGAGTGGGAAACACGGAAACAGTGGAACTTCCGCCTTCCCCAAACCCAACCCCCATCGATAAGATAAACCACGACGCATCATCCATTATCATTAGATTCGATCGGACTGACTAGTACTATACGAACGAGCGTGCACATCTTAGCTGACTCTTAATTGCTTTTTCCGTGCCTATCCGGCCAACACAGGGGAGCTTAGACCTCCGGTCAGGGCTCCTATCAGAGGCGGCGGGCATTAGGCTGAAGCGCCGCCTCCGGACCCCACCGATCATTACAAAGAAGAAAGTAGATATGTATCATCTTATCCTGGAGCTGAACAGGTGTGATATTTTCTAGGCAATAAGCAGATGGTCAGCGAGAGACCTCGAGCACTTCGGCCTTGTTGCACATTGGGTGATATGGAGTCGCGCATGCATTTGATCATGCACGAAAGCCACACCACTGCACACCACTGCACACTCCTGTGCGCCAAGGTATATCCGTGGCGGAGACACCGCCTTTTCCCCTCCCCATATGGACAGGATCTCGATAACGGGGACCTGCTGGCCAAGTCGACATGCCCTGCGGTGCAGCTGCCGTGTTCCCCGAGCCACGTTGATTGAATAGCAGTGAGTAATGACCCGCCTAATCATCGACCTTGGCGGCCCCACGTTCAAGTTCTCGTGCTGGCGGAAGAAAGGACCAGGGTGGCAGGGGAAAGTAGGGCAGAAAACCGATGAAGGTCGAGGCAGCATATGAGAGCCAGTGGGCTTGGCCTGTCGGGGTCAGGCGTGTTGGGGTCGGTTCTCATTGGGAGGGTGTAGGGTGAAAGTAATAAGATGTCTCGTGAACACGAGCATCGTCCAATACGAGTCCTACTCCAGCTCAATCTTCGTAATGTGTATTCCGGGGATCACAATTAGTCCGATGAGGCGGTTAGTCATGTTGACCTTGACAGTGGCGCTCTTATTTTCTGACGTCTTATCCCACGACTCTGTCTCCTTTGCCGCAGCGGTTTCTATGGCTGAGGGTGTCGGGAAACGGTACTCGAAGGAGTTGGAAAGGATGACATTTCGTTCCTATGGTGCAAAAAAAACCCCCATCAGCACAGTTCAGAAGCCCGAGGAGTACGATTGAGATCGAACCGCCTCCAAGATTGATTACGGAGAATCGCTTACCGCATCGGTACATTTGAAGATTCCAACGAACATGCGACTATCTGTGGTGTGGATGCGCAGCTGGCGACCGAGAAGACCATCCAGGTATTGAACACCCTGTTCAGTGTCCATTGTCGAGGCCTTGTGATCGAGGTGCGTTGAGAGAGTTTCGACGGTTGTCACGACCAAGTTTCGAAGTGGCCAGTCTCGGCGCTTGTAAAGATTGAAGATCAGGCCAGAAAGTTGGCGGAAGGTATTCCAATGGACTATCAAGTGTGCTTTAGCAGAGCCTGGCGATCACGCGTTCAAGGTCATGCAGTCGGTGGTTTGACGAAGAGAGACATTTGGCGCAGGAGACAGCTGTTGTGGTGCCTGAGGTTACTAATGGGCGGGGCGCAACAGTACTCGTCGTTACAAGGAACTACATACCTATTAGGCCTTTACTGTAGAAGATGAGAAGAAAATAAAACACTGTTTTGGTCAAAGTATCCACAATATTTTCCTTGTCAATTGTGCTCTTGAATAATCTCTGGTCGTATTTGTTTCAAGCTCCAGAAGCACACGTGCCTAACGACCTCATCAGGTACACATCCAATTTTGTACCTTAAAGTTGTCAGTCTTTACAACTCCTGCCCTCGCAAATATGATGACTGGAATGGCTCGAAGGCTGTGTGGACTAAGTATGTTCATTTCAGATATTCATCCTCTCGTCAACTAGTTAACCTAATGCACCCAGCAATACCCAACACAAACACCATGATTATACAACGCCAGGTCCTCACCGAGGACCAACCCAGAATAAGAAACCCTCGTTCCCAAGAATGCAAATCAAAAGATAACCTGGGAAGAAATGGTGCTTCCCCATATTACAGCGACCTGCGCTGAATTGACGACACAAAAAACAGATGGAGAATTACATCCATCCCATTACGTCTATATTGGAGGCTGGGTTTGACCGTTCACTGCTCTGATCAGTGTCCATATCGACATCCATATCCATATGCATCTGGTTGACACCGGGGCTCATTGTCTCGCTTCCACTCGAGCTACCAGCTGGGTTCATGAATGCTTGACGTCGAAGCATATCGTCTCGGTCAATAGCAGTCTCATTGGCCCGGGGTGCCAGCGCCTGACGTGAAGGGCGAAAAGACGACGCCACTTGAGGTCGCGGCTGGAAGAATCGCAGAAGTGTTTGCTGTCGCGGATCCACGGTCTCGGGGGAGGGAAGGGTTGGCTCCGAGTCCATGGCCTCATCGATCGGGCCAGTCGACGTTTCCATTTGTTGTTGTGGTTGCTGTTGCTGGGCGGAATAGATCCAGCGGAGGGTTTTCTCTGATTCGGTCAGCTCTGGTTACAAGCTGCATTGTGGTCGCGTGCAAGCTATAACAGCTGCTCGAGAATGTGAAGAAGGGGAAATCTGCTTGATTACTCACCATATACGACGTCGTCACTGGGACGTCCATCTCGGAAACGCTTTCGGGTCCGGCTGTTAAGGTGTTGAGAGCCGTCAGCCATGCCCCATTCGCTGGGCGCGAGAGCTGAAGGAGCGAAAGGCATCGCCGAGAAAGAAGCCTTGCGCTTGAGGGACATTGTAACGAGGGTTGTTTTAAGTTGAGTTGATGTCTGAGAGGTCCCCAGTGACGATTGGGCGCTCTGAAACCAGCTCTGAGGTGGAAGAGTCGCAGAGTTGCATTCGAAGGGTAAGGTTGGCTGGGCTGGGGAATGCGCGCCAGATTCGCGTTGACCGGGATACGCTAGTCTCATTCGGGCCATATTGCTTTTCCGATCAGCTCTATATTTCCATCTATACTACATTAATTACACATGAAAAGCCGTAGATATATACATCATACCACAGACATAATGTAATTGGCACATCTAGGGAAATAAGGATTCCTTGGATTCTGACGTTAAGTGGTGCACGCCACGTCATGGGCATACACGGAAGCCCGTGTCCATCCATCATGACCAACATATGCAAATCGTTCACGAAATAAATTACCTGGCATTGATTCAAAATGTCTATACCGTGTTTGAAGGTATTGACCAGTTAAAATGCCATTAGGATCCTTCTTTCATTCGGCATGCCGTAAGCTAGAGCATTCGGTATCCCGCAACCAGCTCCACTAGAAGGCCTCCCCGCTTCTCCTCACATGGATTCGGCGATCCATCTAAGCTTCCACGCTTCACAACATCGACCTCAATATAAGACTTACACGCCATCATGTCCTCCAGAGATGCTTCCCACGCCGGGTCCTGGTACTCTGATAGTACGCGGACCCTTACTCGGCAGCTGGATGACTGGCTGGCGCAGGTGCCGGACAGGCTGGACAACATCGGATCCCTCCCAGTTCCCGGTGCCCGGGTCATCATCGCACCGTATGTCTTCTATAATAAACAGCAAGCTTGATCAGAGCTAGGAGATACCTGATACTGATCTACTAGACATGCGGGGTACTCTTACTCGGGACCTTGCGCGGCCTACGCATACAAAGCGCTCGATTTGACCAAGGCGTGAGCATATCTTCCGAAGCTTTCATCTTGAAAATATCTAATCAGATCACCAGGAAGCGAATCTTTGTCCTGGGCCCTTCCCACCATTATCCGCTCTCGACGCTCGCCCTTCCTCAAGTCACCTCCTACTATACCCCGCTCTCAGAGGAGCCACTTCCGCTGGACACAGAGCTGATCGCCAGGCTCTTGAAAACGCAAGCAACTAAGCCAAATGGAAGCAAGGTCAGCTTTACTACTATGATCCAGTCTGTCGACGAGGAAGAGCATAGTATTGAGATGCACCTACCCTACATCCACCGTCTCCTGCAGCTACAGCACCCGAACACCCCAACCGCACAATATCCACCATTGGTTCCAATAATGGTGGGCAGCACATCCGCTGGAACAGAACAAGCATTCGGTGCTCTTCTGGCTCCGTATCTAGCCGATCCCTCGAATGCCTTCGTCATTAGCTCAGACTTCTGCCACTGGGGTCTTCGCTTCCGCTACACATACTACGTCCCAGCCGCTCCCAAGCCAGGACCTCGGCTCCCGATTTCCAGCGACGCCCTTCCCCAACCCGGGACAAACTTAGACGTCGTATCAGAGAGCATCGAATCAGTCTCGGCTGGACACGCCTTGCAGCGGCGAGATCGCATCCCAAACCAGCAACCAGCCATCCACGAAAGTATCTCAGCATTTGATATTGCCACCATGGCAGCCATCACAACCGGATCGGCAGAGACCTTCTTGGATATTATTGACCGCACAGGGAACACCGTCTGTGGTAGACACCCGATTGGCGTGATCATGGCGGCGCTCGAGGTTGTCACGGCGGATAAACCGGCAGGCAAGCAGGGCCAGTTCCATTTCCTGCGGTATGAACGTAGCTCCGATGCGGTGGATGTGAATGACAGCTCTGTGAGCTATGTCTCTGCGCTAGCTGCTCTTTAATCTGCCCCCCGATGGCAATGTTTCTTTGCCGTACGCAACCTGAAGAGGAAGTGACCTTAGAGTGGCAAGACGCCCAATGGAACCTAATTCTGGAATTACAATGTTCTACAGAGGTGTTTTTCTCTCGTGAAAGGATCGAATATAATCGTTTCCAAGAATTTAGATTCAGAGCAACGGGCGAGTTGGCACCCGGAAATTTCCAATTTCCCCAATGTCCCGTTCCCCGGAGTTTCTTATCAGCTGACAGTGGGAGATACTTCGCCTGCCTCCTATTACTGGCCCTCTGGCTATGACTGGCGATATCGTCTGTGTCTTTCCAGCATCCGGCAGGTCCCCCCCCCCCGGCAAAATTTCTGGCAGAGTGCTCTATCACAAGATCAAAACTCAGCAAATGCTCTCTGGGGTGTGTCGCACGAGTCCAGAAAAAGGGGATATCCAGCCGTTGCATCGGAGAGACCGGTGACAGATCCGAGGCTCACACTTACGAGCCAGCTGACGTATACTCCGATTCGAGATAATGATGCATCCAGAAGTAAAAAGGTCACCAATCAGTAGACCTACGGATTAGAGTTCAGGACAGGTATTCACGGGTTGAACCCTTTAGCGAAATTAACTACCGTGGGTTGCACAGTCGGCTTTGTGTACGCGGAGACTACCATCCATCTCCCCAGCATGCAGGGCCTTGTTTGAAGTACGACCAGCGTGGTTGACCCCGTATCAAGCAGTGCCTGACAACCCGATCGGAGACATCAGCCTTATCGAACACTCGGCAGATGAAACCCGTAGATTTAAATGCACGGAATCAAGGGCGCGAGCTGCAATTGGTAGTTGATTCAAATCCTAAGACTCCGGGCAAATCAATCTGCGACACTCAATCAGCCACCGGCATCATTCAAAGGTTATTATGAAACGCGGCGATCCTTAGTCTACTCCCCGGCGCTAGTGGTACATAGGTGATCGTGATGGTTATCCGGTGTTCATGTCACACCAAGTCGCTTCAATGTCGCCTGCCTTTTCCTTTTGTTCTACTTCCTGCTTTTTGCCCTCCGAAGGCAAGACTCGTGGGTGGATTGGGGTGTATAGCCAGCCGTGACGGTTCATTGTTCATTGTTCACTGTTCATGCGACTCGTTAGCGCCGAGGACCACGTCTGACAGCGTGATACTGTTACAGTCATGAAATTCCCCGTGATGGAGTTGATCTGTATTCTAAGCGCTCTTTGGTTGATTCCGGTTGATGGCTGAGATTTCTAGGGGTCGCAGGATAAGGCTGCAGGGTCGAAGGGTTGAAGGCAAACAGGGGTCTTCCATTTATTGACGCCTTTCCCTCAATCCATTTAAATTTATCTTCATTGTCTTCACACTCACTCTTACACTCCTTTGGTAAACAGTCATTCCTTCACACAGCTCACAGCTCACAGCTCGTATCTTGTATTTCATTCCCTTGCACTTGCACTGACAAGCCCCACCTGTCTCACAAGTCGCGAAACCATGCTGTATCCACTCCTTCTATCGGCCCTGATAGGGCTTTTATCTGTAACCGCTCTAGCGTGTCCTCTTCCTTCTGAGACAACTGTCTACATCACTACAACTATCACTGCGCCGGCTGGTACTGTTCCAACTACTGATCCTCCGACTACCACGACTACCACTCCCACTATGACGGCTATATCCTCAACAGTCCCGTCTTCGACTCCAACTGGATCAACCGACAGACTGGTGTTCTGTCATTTCATGGTGAGTGCCTCGTATCGGAACCCGAACTCTTGGGCCCCGATAAGCAAACCCGATATTGAACCCGAGACCAGATTGGCATCACCAGCAACCGCCAGAGCTCAGCAGAGTATGACGGTGACATGAAACACGCCAAAGCACTGGGCATTGATGCCTTCGCCCTAAATATTGGAACAGATTCCTACACCGACACCCAACTCGGCTATGCCTATGATTCTGCAGCTAGGAATGGAATGAACGTCTTCCTCTCCTTCGACTTCAACTGGTGGCATATCGATCAGGGCAGTGCCGTCGGTGCCAAGATTAGAGAGTACGCCGACCACTCGGCCCAGCTCAAGGTTGATGGCAAGATCTTTGTATCTTCCTTCTCGGGCGACGGCGTTGATGTCTCTGCTATGACTTCTGCAGCTGGACAAGACCTCTTCTTCGCGCCTAACTTCCATCCCGGACAAGGTGATTTCAGTGCTATCCAGGGTGCGCTGAATTGGATGGCGTGGCCCAATAACGGAGATAATAAGGCTCCATCGGATGGCAAGAATATTGACGTGGCGGATGGCGATCAGGCTTATATGAATGCCCTGAAAGGGAAGCCATACGTTGCTCGTAAGTTGTTTGTTGTCGAGCTTGGATGTTCTATTTACTGAGTTTATAGCTGTCTCGGCGTGGTTCTCGACCCATTTTGGAGACGAGGTCTCATACAGCAAGAATTGGGTATTCCCCTCCGACCTTCTTTGGTATAACCGCTGGCGGGATATTTTGCAACTGGGTCCTCGATTCGTGGAGATCATTACTTGGAATGACTATGGAGAATCACACTATATTGGACCTCTGTCGTCGCCTCACACTGACGACGGATCGTCCAAGTGGGCGATGGACATGTAAGTATCCCCCACGAACCATGAAGAACCATATGTGCAGGTTACTGAGCAGACAAAGGCCTCATACCGGTTGGCTGGAGATGTCCAAGCCGTTCATCGCAGCCTACAAAGCCGGCGTCACCGACCCGATGGACTACATCACCGAGGAGAAGCTAGTGTACTGGTACCGTCCGACAAAAAAGGACGTGGACTGCGATGCGACAGACACCACCATGCAAGGCAACCCAAACAACTCTAGCGGGAACTTCTTCCGTGGCCGGCCCAACGGATGGGAAACCATGACAGACGAAGTATTTGTCGTCGCACTTCTCAAATCACCGGCTCGCGTGCTCGTGCAGTCGGGCGACCAGTCACAAGCCATCCAAGCGCCTGCAGGCATCAGCGCGCATTCTGTGCCCATGGGCGTAGGCCAGCAGAAATTTGCTGTCACCCGTGATGGACAGACGATACTCTCGGGAACCAGTCTCAAAGACATTGTCGACACCTGCGTGTGCGGCATCTACAACTTTAACGCGTACGTGGGAACACTGCCGGCACCATCCACGATTGACCGGCTCCAGCCAGCTGGGCTGGCTATGTTCTCACAAGGGTTGAAGGTTGCGTGCCCAACGAATACTTTGGGGGCGAGTTCCAGTTCTGTCAGGAGCGGGGTTCCAGTACAGACAGGATGGAACGGGAAACATTAAGCTGCAGGATCAGCAAGTAAAACTGAATGTACACAATGATCAGTGATCAGTACAGAATTAACAGCATAACAAAATGTCAACATGTCAACATGTCAACATGTCGAACTGTGAAATTGCAAGTGAAACCGAGTCAGTCGAATGATCGGACTCCGGAAGGAAGTGGGACCGGATGTGTTGTCTCCGCAATCTCCTTATCTTAGATCTATCACACCGACTTCTTCATGGCTTTGGCTTGCTCTCTGGTTTGGATTGAATGGAATTGTCCTCCGTTCCTGTTTCTCTCCCCAGTTCTTGGTATCGCCACTTTCTCGTATAAAGCAAAAGACCCGCATTCACTGCCGTCACTAAATAAACAATGACCCGCATAAGGCAGGGTGTCTTCTCCTGGGAGGACGTGCTCGTCCAACGATACCAGAGTAAGTGGGAGCTCTCACAATCTACTGACAAACTCAATTCCAACTCACGCCAACAGGCAACAAGCCCCCTGTCCTCCCACGTCGCCGCCACACTCTCTCAGTATGGCAACCACAGCCCCAGTGCTATCTACTATCCCGTCTATCCCCCGAGCTTCGTCTCATGATCTGGGAATACGTCCTCGGCAGCCAACGGCTACATATAATCCAGCGCAGCGGTCAAAAGCTGGGACACATGGTCTGTCCGCTCAGCGAGAACCGAACACCAGATAAGACACGGCGCAGAGTCCACGGCAACTTCTGTGAGATTTGTACCGGGGCTGGAATCGCGCAACCTGTCAAAGAAGGCGATCTGCGTCGGACGGATATCCTGCTAGGCCTCGCTTTAACCAGTCGGCAAATGTAAGCCAATTCTGTTCAGCGCACCGGCATAAGCAGTGGCCCTGGCACTGGCACAGCTAACAAAGATCCTATTAGATACGACGAATCAATCCACCTCCTCTATACACTCAATACCTTCGAATTTAGCAACCCCTGGACCCTGCCATATCTCCGCCCAACTCTCCCTCCAGATACCTGGGAATGTATCCGCAACGTCGAGCTCCGCTGGTCATTTCCCGGCCACTGGCTTCCAAGCAAAGATCCCGTGCGCGCAGTCTACGTCTCAGCAGGACGCGTGCAGTGGCTGGAAACATGTCGCATGCTGAATAATCTCCCTGCACTGCAATCATTCGTGTTGGTACTCGGTAGTAGCTGGTTCTGCGAGCCCGTGGAGAAATTGCCTTTATTTCTCGAGCCGCTGCGTGGATTGCGTGTGAATTGCCCGCGCGGACTCGTCCGACGGACCGTGGGGCTCGATCCGGAGTTGTGGGAGGTTAGTTCGGATGAGGAGTCTGCCTCGAGTTTTGGATCTGGATCTGGACCCAGTTCAAGTTCTTCCAGCTTCGGCTCGACGTCAAGTGCAGGCGCGAGTCCATTTTCGAGTCCGAGGCCGGTCTTTTCTTCTCGAACAAGCTCTTGTCCTCAGTTTACGACGGGGAAGCTTCCTGAGGAGAGTTCACTCCCGGTTAAGGAAGACCCGGCGCTGGCGTCATGGGAACTCAGATTGCAGGGCCAGTCATATTACGTGAACGAGCTGGGGAAGGTCGGTGAGGATTTGCAGCGGAGGGGGATCGACTGTTGCATCACGACTGCGTGAGGAGAAGATGCATACGCAAGATATTCGTCACTCGGAGGCGGCCGAATGACTCCTTTCGCCCTCGTGCGTATGTGCGTATGATGAGGGGGGAGTGCATCAACAGTCGACATTACCATGCACTAATTGCATTGTGCATATTGCATATCGCATCCCGGAGACAATCAGAGGTAAAACGGGGTTGGGTCCACCTACGGAGCAAGAACCTCAGCACTGGACCCTCGCCTAGGCTAGAGCAATCTAGAGTGCAGAATCAATCAAGCCAAGACCCATAATCCCACCACGGGCGGAATCAAACACTAGCGTTACAATGCCGACCACCGCGGAATTCTCAGACCTAGATTCTTGAATCCTGTGTTTACATAAGCACATTTTACCCTCGCATCGATCCTGCAGGATCCAGTTAACACAGCCAACGAGATGGCTCAGACTGCACATCATCGAGATAACCACCTCAGCATTCGCGTACGCTACATAACCCCTCTTGTCTATCATCGAGTCTGTTACGCGGTGTACGTAGATACCGATCTCCCACATCAAGATTGTCATCGCCCCCTTTTATAGTGGGTGAGACCCTGGACCCACTGGGATCCATGGCTCTCTAAAAATACCCGGGCCCTGAGAATGGGGTCCGTGCAGGCCTGGCCCTACGCCCTACGTCTCCACTAGGCTGAATGTCGAAGGTTATCTGCGATTGCATTTGTGATTACCGCCAGGTATGTAGGTATACTGCAGTGAAGTAGTAGCCGGTAACTATGTGGCAAGTAGATGATCACTGCAGGCCAGAACACGTAGGCGGGTTACCTCCAGGGCTCCACGGTGCTCCACTCTGGGCTGGAGGCGCTAGCACAGCCATCGCGGGGGATGATCGCACATCACAATCAAACGGGTATTTTTCGGGGGTACTAGGTCGAAATTGGGTTGCTACTTTACTTTACTCGCTTAGTGAAGAGTCCAGAGTGAAGGGATTGTTCAAGATCATTAATAATTGGTATTGAATAGGGTTGGAAGAAGTATTGAAAAAGAAAAAAAAAAGATTGAGAAGTCGTTGGCCCCATATTTCGGAGAGTTGCGATCGATAGAATGGAAAATGGCTGAAAACCGTGTCTCGTAGTAAAAAAAATGTGCCGTCAGGCTGATATCAAGCAATATTATAAATCATCACCACTGGCGCCGTATAGAACCATGCCCAAGCCAAATGACATAATGCGAAGGTGTAGAATCCGATTAAAATCGATTTTCCAAGCAAGGCGCTGAAACTGCTCTTGCTGTATCGTGTAGTATCACAATGAGAGTTTGAGATGAAAAGGTAATGAAAATAGAGGTATCGTGTCGAGAATTCGGTCGGTCGTATCGAAGGGGTGATCAATGATCAGTGTGGGCCACCGCGTTCGGTTCCGCCAGCTTTGCTGGTGTGGGTCGAACAGGGGCGTGTTCCGAATTCACCGTCGCTGGCGCGCTCTGGTGTGACCAGGACGGGAGAGCCGGTACACTAATGGACGCTAGAATTTCCAGCGTCGCGAGTGCATGTGACCTGGACTCGGGTCGGAGGCGACTTTGAACCGCAATAATTCAGTCGGGAGGCGCCCGGTCCTCTTTTCAGCGCAGGGCTGGAGGATCAACGAGTCGCTCGGGGGTTCGACAGAGGGAACCAAAGAGGTTTTTGGAAGTAAGAGAATGTGTCATTATGAGGATTTACCTCCTGCCGCCAGACCGATCATGGCCTGAGTGACCGTGGCGTGCGTTGGCCCGCTGGGCCGCGGCCTCCTGCATAGCATCGGCGTGCTTCTGCTCGTCGGGACGACCGACGAGGCTGCGAGGTAAGAGGTTGTTGATCTCGGCAGCGAGAGCAGAAGCAGTGTAGCCTCGAAGCTCCCTCTCCTCGCGCTCGTCCTCCTTGACAAGGCGGGGGATATCAGTCTTGCCCATGTTCTCACGGCGCTTTCGGCGAATCTCGTGGATGGACCAGAGAACAACTTCTTCGGGCGCACGATTGCGCGGGCTGCCATGCTTAGGGAAATTGCGAACGTAGCGGCGGGTCACGTCGGTCGCACCATCAATCGAGAAGGCGATGCAGTAGGAAATCTTTCGGTTCCAACCTTCGGCGTAGAGACGGGGCTGGTCCCAGGCCTCCTCACAGGCATCAACGTGCACCCATCGCTTCTGGTGTTCAGAGTACACCTCAGTCCAGACGTAGTCCTCGGAGTTCCAGACCCAGCGAACGCGGGCTCCGACCGCACGACAGAGCATGCTGAAGCAGTTGGCCCATTCGCCAACACGGCCTCGTCGCGACCGCAGCAGTTGCCAGACATCGGAATAGCGAGGGAATCGTTCGTAGGCACCGCAGCCTTGTCCGGAGCAACGGTACAGCTCGACCCTAGTGGCGCCACGAGCGGCCTCTTCGGCACTCGGGGGCGTCATGCCCTGGGCGATGGTCGGCATGCAGCACTGTCCGCATGGGGGGTTGTTGACGAATTGGAAGAAGGATCGCTTGAACCACCTGGCAAACAAGGGATGTTAGTAACGCTGCGAATTCGGGGTCCACCAATGGTCTCGACCAACCTCAACAATGCCCGAATAACACAATCCTGATAGCCCCATTCCGGCTTTCCGCCCACGCTGGCGGCCTGTGTCTGCATAATCTGGCTCTCCTCCTCGGCTTCCGAGTACAGGCGATCCAAAGGAATGACGGTCAAGGCCTCATCGAGTAGACCGGGGTTTTCGTATTTGGTCGGTGTCACAGACAAGCTCTTAAGAAGATTAAAGAATTTGAGCGAAGCGGGATCCTGAGGAGGCGAAGGCATAATGGGCAGGCCTCGGATGGCGGGTGAAGATGTCGGTTTGGGCGGCGAGGCTGGGCGGGAATCGGCGCCAAACGAGGGCGGAGGCGGAGGCGCTCTGGACGGGGGCGGGATCGATCCGGAGCGAGGAGTAGGTGACTGAGAGGCGCGCGATCGGTGGTGTTCTTGGAGCTGATTGAAGCGTTTAGTGCGCATCAACTGTTCGAAATCACGAGTAAGTGTCGAAGCGTCGTAGTTGGCATGGGACTGGGCCCGATGCTGAGGTCTGCCGTCCGCCATGTCGAAAAGGTCAACCTCGGCGGCAGACTAGTCGAAAGGACTCCAGATTGAGTGGGTGGAAAGGACGCTGAGAAGCTGGGGAAGAGAAGAGAGGGAAAGGGGAGAAGGTAAAGGTAGAGAGATAGATGGAAGGGGAGAGCTGCGTACGGTGTATTACGAGCGTCGTCAGCGTCTGGCCCCAATCACGGGCCCCGCGCCCAAGCCGCGTGTGCGAAACGGAGCCAAGAAAAAGACCCTTTTTTTCCGTAATTTTCCCTTCCCTTGCACACGTAATGACTTGCTGGCCACGCATGGGGTTGTGGCCATCTTACGCTTGGTGTGTGGTCTTTCTTTTTTCTTTTCGCATTTTGGTCTCTCTTCCTTCTTCTCTTTTCTCATTTTTATAGTTTCTTTCCTATAGTCTCTTTTCTATAGTCTCTCTCTCGTCTCTAGTCTCTGGTCTCTCGTGGTTTACGTATTCGTATATCGACCTAGGTAGGCGATTATAGGAACGGTCCGAAGACCCTGAGTGTATAGCGTCATGGAGAACAGTGAAGATCTCTCTGATCGTCCCGTGTTCGACGTGTACCCTATAACGCGTTCGATCCCAAAGGGGAAGACTGGCCTCCAGTATTCAGCAACCGGTGGCGGAGACGCGCAAGCGTCCGTCTTGGCAAAAGGCGCGATCGGGCTAGAGCCTCTGCCTGACCCACCATACTATACCTATTACAGACACGCTGACACGGTCCTGCGATCAAGACTTCCCGATTCCCATCCAAGACTCCCGTGGACCCTGGCAGGGGGCTTGGCATTCCCTCCAGAATGTTGACTGCCTGGTATGCTTCCTATTCCTCCTGTTCCTGTCGATCGAGATGCAACCACGCTGTTTTTAAACTTTGGATGTCTCGAATTCTTGACCGTTCTTCACTATCATCTATTACCTATTATCTATGGTCTATGGTCTATTGTCTTCTAGGTACGCGTGGTTCTTCCCCTATCCTATCTAACGACAGCACTAAATAGAGGGTGTACGCACTCTCCCAGTGGCTTACCAATCACCGTTCGAGAAAATGCTCCGGTCAAGAGACCCTGAAAAAAATAAAAATAAAAAATAAAAAACCGGATCGGTTCCATCAAACTGTCGCTAGATTCGCAATCTTGCGCTTCGTTCCGACAATTCCACCGAACATACGTACTGTATTTTTGGTGGCCCGCAAAATGTATTGTGATAGCAAGATACTACTGAGTATAGCTTCGGATCACCTGATCGTGGTACATATTCCTTCAGTTTGACTAAACCGTACGGTCAGTCAGCCTGCAGCTTACCTCTACACCACCATGACGCGTATCCCCTTAGCCCGTTAGTCCCGTTTGGGCAGTTGGTGCCTTCGTGCCTGACTCGGTCACTTGGAAAATACCCTGGCGTTTCCACACAGCCTCAATCCTAGCCTCTCCTCCGTGGCTATGCTGGGGCGTGACTCGTTATATCATAGGTAGAATCCGTTGATTTCGATCATTCAGTACGGTTTGTTTGGCTTTATTTTTTTTGGTTGTTTCGAAGCTATTCACACTCTGTAAGCCGGGATAAAATTACGGGACCGATGGCGCAGCCGCCAACTCATTTCACGCAAAACGCCGGGCTGTTTCTGCGGGCCATTCCTGCCGTTCACCCTTTCAGCCTCTTGACCCCAATCCATGACGCGAGCAGCACTTCAATAGTAGGTCGCTAGCGGATTCGTCAACCACGCAAAACGCCCATTCTTCACAGCATACGAGTCAGCGGCAGATTTGAATTCTACGGCTCGTCTTGCCGAGCAAGTGAACCAATTGAACGGATTGAATGCTTCTCCCCACGCCAAGAGCCAAGAGCCTTCATAGTGCGCACTGGCCAAAGCAATGCAAGAAGCTAAGCTAAGAAGCTAAGGACACTGCTTATCCTACTCTTGACGTACCATACCTTCATATCTTAATCCTCGCGTCCCCAAGCCTTTTTGCTCCGTGTCCCAAGCATAATCTCTTGGCAAGACTCTCCCCAACATCCGCACTCGAGCTGATCACAAAAACAAAAGCTGGGCATTGCGACCACACCGGCGGGGCCTCTCCTTGGAGCTGCTTTTGCCATCAGCCAAGACATACATCCACGCAATCTAGAGGAGATGATGCGCAGAATCAGTGGCACCGGTGCAAATCCTTGGTCACATCCCGTGCTGGATCTTCGATGATCAACGTACACTGTCGTCGCTTCAGCACACTATCGTCGCTTCAGCACACTATCATCCAGAGAAAGGCCAGGTGACGAGCGACCTGACGTAGGAGATTGCTCACTCATGTCTGACTCAAACACATTCGGAAGTTTTTCATTTTAAGCGGTCCACCATCGCACACGCTACCGCACGTTAGCTCTGTACTTCCGCGTCACCCTCTCCGCGGAGCCCGTTGACTTACGTTGGCCCGATTTGACACCCTTTTTCAGATGGATTTTCCTTGCTGGATCAGAGTTTGTGCATTGCAGAGCTTTTCACGACTCCACGCAACTCGCGATCTGCGATGATGTTTTACGGGTCTGTTATCCTGGCAAGGGGGAGTCATATTTGTTGCGTGGCATTCATTTCTTCCCGTGTAGACTTACGAGTCTTTTCGGTGCTCGGTCCTCTTCGGAACGTCTGCCGAACGCTAACATCGAGCCTGAGCAGAAGCGAAGCTATTCCGACTACCTTTTGGGAATGGTCGCTTACTAGTCATCCGGCTTTCTACCAACTACTGGTCTGAGCTGCTTGGGGATGCACTAAAATGCAATGCACAGATACGCAAATCCACTCTATGCGACGGCAAACTCCATATATTTTCAGCCGCTGTGTTGCCCATTTTCGTTGTTCTGCTTTCGGGCCATCTTCCGGGTGTCTGCGAGCTAACGTTAGCCTCTCCGAGCGTTCTATTTTAACATCCTCGCTGTAGATTAAATGGAACTATAACGTACTATTGATCGAGCACTCTATTCAAGCACTCTGTCTAAACGGACCGCCTGATATAAGAGAGGAAAGAAAAATAAATAGAAACCCCCCCCCCCCCTCTTCACAGATATTCACCGCCCAACATCGGAGCCGAGTCGCGCGGGAATTTCTAGAATATAAGCTCGAGCTTTGAGCCAGGAAGCCCATGAATCATCTATGCAAGTTATGCAGAGGGCACAGGGGTCACAGGCTGGGAAGAAGACATAGGCTAAATCCAGCTGTGACTATGAGGCCTTTGATGAAAATCCAACCCGACTACCCTGGAACACCAATAAAATAACCAAAGAACATGAATCCCCAGCATCCGAAAAAATGGTCTAGAGAGGTCCATGGATGCGAGAGACCGTTCGCGGCTATAGCAGGGTGAGGTATAATATCCCTGCGCAACGTCGGGTAGACAACGTCTAAGCTCGGAGCTTCCAGTATACCAATACAACCTTGGAACTGTGACCTCGGGCAAGCCTGAACCCCCTCAGCTGACCACCTGCACATTTCAAAAAGCTTCAACTTCCAAACTCATCCTTCATTTCCATCATGGCTGTACTCTGCCAGTAACCTTGACGTCGCAAACTACCTGTCCGCCGCGATGACGGTCTTCCTGGCTTCTCTGTAAGCACCGTGAATACCCGAAGCCCCAATCACAACCAACTAACAACCACCAGTTTTCTCCCATATACCATCGACTTCAAGACAGCTGGTCAGAAACCTGGGCGTCGCAGGTCTTCACCCACCTATGCTGTCGATGGATCCGGGTCCGGTCCCATTGTCGGGCGTCTGCCTCGCCCGCGATCCACCAGTCTTGAATTGACTCCGGGTGCCACGACAGAAGATGAGAAGATTTTCAAAGCCTACGCCTCGCAATCAGCAGGTGAAATTCCCAGTACCGATGATCCCAAAGGGCCCAGTCCCAATGAACCTCGCGCCATGCCCTGGGGCAAAAGTCGCAAGTTCAACCAGCCCCGGTCCAAGGCAACCACTCATCCAGAGCCGTCGATTCTCAGTCGTCCAGGCTCGCGACAGGGATCCAAGGACTCTTTCTTGGGTGGGGCGCCGGATCGACTGGGCCTCATGCCCCAAGGAAGTCCCCGGGCACTGCTTTCAGCTGTGGACTGGGTCGTCAAAGCTGCTGAACAGGGCCATGGCGGGCTTCAAAATGCCATTCATGCTGCGGAGGAGGCGGGTATTTTGCAGAAGAAGATGTGGGTAGGGACGTTGGGTATGCCAACAGACTCTCTAACAGAGAGGACTCGAGATCTCATCGATGATACTCTTCGCGACGACTACGAGTCCTTGACTGTGTTTGTTGGGGACAGCGAATTCGAAGGCCATTATGCCCACTTCTGCCGCTCAGTGCTCTGGCCTGCCCTACACTATCAAATGCAGGAGACTCCCCGACACACAGAGTATGACGATTACTCCTGGAAGCAGTATCTCAAAGTCAATGAGGCATTCGCCGACGCCATCGCTACACATTGGAAACCCGGCGACTGTATCTGGGTTCATGACTATCATCTCCTTGCCCTGCCTACACTTCTGAGAAGGAGACTACCTCAAGCAGAGATCGGATTCTTCCTGCATACCGCGTTCCCTTCTTCGGAGATTTTTCGCTGTTTGAATCCTCGAGAGGCTTTACTGGATGGTCTTCTAGGTGCAGATTTGATCGGATTCCAGACAGAAGAATATTGTCACCATTTTCTTCAGTCCTGCAGTCGGCTTCGCAGACTCGAAGTCTCAGTCGATGGTGTTCAAGTCAATGATCGTTTCGTTCATGTTAAGAACTATCCCCTTGGAATCGACTACAAGTCTCTCAACGTGCTGCGTCAGTCAGCCGAGGTCAAAGATTGGATCTCCAATATATCTGAAAGATACCAGGGCAAACACTTGATTGTGGCTAGAGATCGGCTTGATACACCGGGTGGTATCAAGCAGAAGCTTCTGGCATATGAGGTTTTCCTGGAAAGCTATCCGAAGTGGAGACAGAATGTACGTGGACAGGCAGCTCGTGTCAGGGATGCAGATATACTAATCAGTTCCAGGTCGTCCTCGTCCAAGTTGCATCATCGAGGTCAGAGATTCCAGAGCTAGAAGCTCAAGTGTCGAAGATCGCCATGAGGATCAACTCTGTTTATTCGACTCTCACCCACTCACCCTTAGTCCTACTGCAGCAGGATATCAGCTATTCCCAATTTCTCGCCCTGTTGAGCGTCGCCGAGGTTTTTATGGCCACAAACCTCCGCGAGGGTATGAACCTGACCAGTCACGACTTCATCCACTGTCAAGATGGTGAGCTTGCCACCCAGCAGTACGGCTCACTCATTCTGAGTGAGTTCACGGGTAGTGCACGCATTTTCCATGGCCATCCACTCCTCGTCAATCCATGGGACTATAAAAAATGCGCGGATGCAATCAACATGGCTCTCGAAATGCCGACAAAGCAAAAGAAGTGCAACTGGGAGTTCCTCCTTGCCCGTAAATCCCCCCATACCGCACTGGCTTGGTACTCGTCTCTCCAGTCCGCCCTCCACGAAGCTCACAGCATGCAGCAGTCCCGCGACATGCACACAATCTCACCAGTAGACACAGACGCTCTAAAAGAGGCCTACAACGCCTCACGAAGCCGTCTCCTCTTCCTCGAAGACGGTGCAACATTCAGCCAGGCACCATTTCCCTCTCCTACAGCAACTGACACTCTCCAAACCCTAGCCACCGACCCCAAAAACACAATCTTCTTAACCAGCAACCACAGTCCCGACCAACTCACCACTCTCACGACATCCCTACCCTCCGCAATCGGCTTCATTGCCGAAAATGGCTGCTTCATCAAACCATCCAACGGCACCTGGACACCCCTCGTCGATGTCGACGACACCCGCAACTGGCGCGCTGGCATCAGAAAGGTTATAGAATATTTCCACGAACGCACAGAGGGCAGCACAATCTCCGAACGCCGCTGTTCACTAACTTTTCACTACGACGCAGCCCTTGACGCCGACACAGCCGCGCACCAAGCCTCGGAACTGGCTGATCAAATTAACGGCGCCCGAGGCAGCGAGGCTATTCGCGTTGTTCGAGATGCTACAGCTGTCAGCGTTGAGCCTTTGCATGTCTCTAAGGCTACGGCTGCGGCGAAGATCATTGATATGGCGGAGAAGTATCCGGATTTTGTCTTTGTGGCGGGTGGTGCAAGGGGCGATGAAGCCTTGTTTCGCTGGGCTAATCGGTTGAATTTGCCGAGGAGTGAGAAGGTTGAGCTTGTTGCTGTTACGACCATTACGGCTGGGAAACATGCTACTGAGGCTAAGGCGAGATTGCCGGCTGGGGTTTCGTTGCTGGAGCTGTTGGGTCTTCTTGTGCCTGTGCCGGTCAAGAAATGTCTAGATGAGGGTGAGGTGCTGACGGAGTAGATTGAGCGTTTGATGGTGGTGTGTTGTGGATGTTTTCTTTTTCTCCTTTACTGACGCTCTCTACTATGTTGACTCGGCAGTCTACTTATGACCGAGAAGAAGACACCTCATGACGCGGAATGAGGTATAACGTGAACACGATACACTTATGCTTACAGATTTTTTTTATTTTAGTATTAGATAGTTAATATTTCAAGGTTATTCTTATTGAATCCATTCGAGTGTTTTATTTTCTTTGCATTGCCTTCTCAACTCGGCTTCTTACTGCAACAATCTACCCCGTGTCTGGAATTACATCACTCATCCACCAAACATGCTGAGGAGTATTCCTCAAACTTAAGAATGAACAGATAAACGAAATCCGACAAGAACATGTCAAACAACCAGATACATACGCGCCGCATTCAAGCAACCGGGGCATCAGGTCCGCCGGGGCAAATATCTCAGCAAACGAACCCATGCGAGATGCATTGCAAATACAATTCAGAATACAGAAAAGAGTTCCATTCCAGAGCCGTGGGAATTGTAAAAAAGAGGAAAAGAAAAACATGAATCGTGAAAAGTCCGTGGCCGCAAATGGCTACCTTGCGGCCTGTGTTGAATCCAGGGATCATGGACCGGGGGAGAAATATCAATGAGATAAGAGGAAAGGAGATAGATACCCTTATGTGCTAGCGCCTGCATTGCCGTCTTTTGAAGGCGGGATGTCGGTGCTGGCTGAGATGAGGGTTGGTGCGATCCGGCGTTTCTTTGGTTGCTGGCCAATGGTTTCTTGGCCTTTGCTTTCTTCTTTTTCGGATTCGCTGGTGGTTCGCGTGTCGCGTTTGCCAAGGACACTAACGGTTGTATTTGCGCCGCTTTGTGATGGTGTTGGCAAGGGGGTTTGTGGTGGTGTGGTGAGTGGGAGGGCGGAAGGCTGCGCGGAGTGTGCTGCTGTAACCAGAGGTACGGAACCGAGAGTCGGGGTGGGGTTGTTCACGACGCCTTGCTGGCTTGACGATTGGGTCATGACAGAGGAGGCAGAGTTGGAGCGGGCTGGACTTGCCGGCGGTCCGTGGGGTGTGCTGGATGCTGGACCCCCGCTGCTTGCTGGACCATGACTCGACTTGACGGGGGATGGGGAAACCTGTGTTGGAGTTGGGAGAGGAGTGGCGATTGACGAAGTGACCGCGTTGGCCGCGTTGGCAGGTCCAGTCGGTCCAGTGTAGATTTGTCCCAGCTCGCCTGGTGCGAACGAGAGCGTAGAGCAGAATCCGTCTGAAGAGCTCATGACCAATGTCAAGCCATCGTTGGACCTATGGAAATGGGTTAGAAAGGATTGGATTTGTTTAAATAGAGACCTTACCAAGACAAGTCCGTGAATGTAGCGAAATGCAAGTTGCTCACAACACATAGAGGGGTCTGTTGCTGTGTGTCATAGACAAGTACGGCATCCTGCGTAGCCACCCCATAGACAACTCGGTAAGGAAGCGCGAAAATTGGTGGTGTTGAGCTCTGCGCTTCGCTATCAAGAGTCTTCGGGGATGCTTGAGGCTTTGAAGTGTCCCCTTGAGTGGAAAGCGGTGGATCCATATGTGGCTGGCTTGTAGCCGATGTATTTGACACAACCGGGTCCGGCAAAGGAGGGAACATCTCCCCAGCAGACGATGTATCAAGAGTGATGTTTTTCGCGGGCTGAAAACTCTGTTTGAGCGTGTAGAATATCGGAGAGCACTTGACAGCCACTGATGGTTTCTTGTGACCGGGAAGGTGGGAGATTGGCGGTTTGTTGAAGCCCGCTCGAGTATACACGTAGACCGTGTTGATAATATCGTCCGTGGTTTTTGAAGAATCAGTAGCAGAAACACAGGTGGTCTTGTATTGACCGGCAGGCGTAAATAAAAGACTTCCGTCCGGTGCAAACGTCAGTCTTCGGAAGAAGGATGTGAAGGTCTCGTTAGCATAGATGCTGGCATTTTTCACTCCCAGACCACCAAGAATGCTCGGTGAAGAAACCTCTAAAGGCTTCACTGCGGGTAATGGCAATGATGGAGCAGGCGACGCAGAGCGTCGAATAGATGGCGACGAGCCGAACGACGAGCGCCGACTGTGAGAGACAGGAGGAGGGTCCATTGGCAGATTGGATGCCATTGGTGTACCCGGAGTTGAAGGGGCAGGTGAGGCAATTGCAATTGAATTGCTTGTGCTCGGTGGAGGTCTGCTGGTGGGTTCTGGGGGAGCGGGACTACTCGAGGCTATGCGTTTCGCAGGCAGATCCATCTTGAGAACTTTGCCATGCGGCGTCAAGGTGAATTGGCCATCCTTGGTCTTCAAACTATAGATGTGAACCGATCGATCCGACGACTGAGTCGCGACAAACTCATTGAGCGGATCCCACGCGACGCCTTGGACATAGTGAGAATGCTCTGCGATCTGCCGCACCATTTGTCCTACGGAACCGATTGTCAGCTACTATAACGCGAGCGGTGTGTTTTTTGAAGTAAACCAACCGGTTTGAGCATTGTAGATCCGCGCGATGTTGTCCATGCTCCCTGTCATGATAAAGACACCATCGGGAGACCAGGCCAAGTCGTAGATCTCTGCACCGGACGAGCGGCACATGTGCTTCACGCGCCAGGTCTCCTGGTCGTCCGACCGGTCCTCTCCCAGGCCGGGTTGTGTTTGCAGCTCCGATGGTACCCAAAGCAGGACGTTGCCGTCGTCTCCGGCAGATGCAAGCATCTCGCCTGCACCAAGTCAGCTCGTTATCTGCGCTCCATCGGACGGAGGTCATACCTTTCGGACAGAATCTGACCACATTGACGGCCTGTGTATGCTTCACCAATGTGCTCAGGTAGTTAACCTTGCGATCTTCGCCGGTAGACTCGACTCGCCATAGCTGTAGGGTGTCAGACGGGGGATTCTTAGGTAGGACGATAGGGGCGGAGACATACTCGGACGTTGTTATCACTAGCAGACAGATGTTAGTAGAGAGTACTCTCAGGCTTAACGGTGTCACCACTCACTTTCCAGCCGTTGCTAGGCGTCCCTTGCCATTCGGGTCGAAATGCACAGAGTAGATGGGGGCATTGTCGTTATGCCATGAGATAAGCAGCGGCGAGGCCTTCATTTTGAGCTCCGCAGCTCCGTGGGCCGATCCCTAGGACCACTCTTTCAGGAGAAATGTGTATGGGCTGGATTCCACGGTGGTCTTCGCAGGATCGAAGGTGCCTTCCGTTTCGGTGGGTTGATGAGAATGGTCTGTGGGGGTGAGAATGGAAAGGGAGCGACGAGAGAGGAAGAGGGAAGGAAGGACAGAATGTTCAACGGCGGCAATGAGGGGAGGATAGAAAAGCAAGAGTAGGGTGAAGTGATGATGCTTCGAGTTGTTTGCGCGGGAACGCGACCGAGACACGATGAGACCCGATTAGATACGACCACTGACCGTTGCCCGATTTCTACTCCGAGTCGGCGATGGATGGAGTAGCCTAGAAGGGTTCCCAGATCTCTTGTACTCGACCAATCTTCTTTTCTCCCTTTGTGTTCAATGCTCAATGTTTCTCTCGGGTTCTTTTTCTTTGGTGGCAGGACCGAGGCTTCAGATGGGCTTCCGTGTATTCTTCGCATTCCTTCTCAACCTCTTCCTAGGTCCGCGGGGAAATCGACGTCTTTCGAGACATCGCGAGACATCGTTCGTTTCTATCTATCCCCGTATGCAGCTCTTGGAAATACCTCCGGAGAGACAGGTCATACCCATCGGTCCACTTACAATGTTTCCCCGGCCCCCGTGGATGCCCGGGCTTCTACGAACCTGGGAATATTAGATATATAAGCGGGCATTCCCGAACGCCTTTTTCTTTCGCCCGTTCATTAATGATACACAAAGAATATTTCTTAGAATACAGAGCAGGTACTTCATGAGACCCATTTGCCGATTGTCTCACCAAACCAGCTCACGGCCTTTTCCTGCCGCTTCGTCCGAGTATCTTCCTGAGCCTTCACGAACGGACTGGCCTCCTCGAAATACAGCTTCTGCTGCTCCAACTGGGCATTGTGGGATCGAATTTCTAATTCTCTTTCGTGTGGCGTGAGTTGCCACAGTGGCTTGGATGGCCTGAATCCTTCGGGGACAGGCTCATCTCCGGGGATCACAACCTTGGCCTTGCTGCCCTCTGGTATTTGTTCTTGCGACGGCCGCTGTGGCCCCTTCTCGGGATAGAAGAGGGATGTGACGGGTGGAATCTCAGTGCCGGCAGCCTTGGCCTCGTCCACTCGCTTCTCGTAGTCCAGCATCTGGTGGTAGAGCTTGTCGGCGTGCATCTGGATGCGTTCCTCCCTGGCGGGGTCATAGTCGAAGGACGAGGCATAGCCGAGGGCCTGTAGGAATTTCTACTCGGGTGTTAGCATAGTTCTATGCTCGGCAATAATAGTAGACATTGTAGAAGACTCACGCTCTGGGTTGTGAAGCATCGTGAGAAGATACCATTCTCAGCCGCGCACATGGTCAAACGAGACTCGAGTTGCTTGCGCCAATTCCCTGTCTTGAAGCAGTATGTCAGGGCTTCATGCTCCAGCGCACAGTTCTCCATCGCCGCCCGCTGCACAGTGTCGCCGCGCTCCTTATGATGCTCAATCACTCGCTCCGCTCCGCGAGCATCGGAACGCCCATCGAGATTGGTCGGCGGCTTGTAGGTCTTCCAAAGGTCTGCGTAGCGACCATCCTGATAGAGTGAGGCAACGGGGACGGTAGACTTCGATGGATCGGCTTGCTCTTGTGGTTGAGGCGTTTGCGCGGGTGTAGACGGCTTCTTCGCATCGTTTGCGGGCACGTATTTGTCGGGCGTCTCCTGCTCAAGGTATTCACGTAGACCCGGTTCAAGATTCTTGACCGGGTCATTCTTATTATCACTCCAGAACCAGCCCATCGTGAAGATGCGAGGCAAAACCGTTGATTTCAGAGCTGCGGAGAAGTCGGGACAAAAATGGATCTGCCCCGATTGACTCGCGCCCGACCGCCGTTGGCGTCTTTGCTCTTCCACCACAACACGACGCGTCTTTCTCGACGCCGTTCCTCCACCATGGCTTCCAGTATGTATATTTGTTCTTTGATTGATTGTGCAGTTCCTTGCTAACTATTTAACAGCGCGAGAGGAGCGGCGACAAATGCGACAGCGCGGAGCTGGGTACGCGCCTACCCCGCGAAACCATAACAGAGATCTTGAGCTAATTGATAGTATAGCACGCGCGAAATTAAGGCTGTTGACTTTGGTTTTTCATTTGGAGGACCAGCACTAGGCGCAGACCCTGCGCCATTGTCTATTGTACCTGAACCAGCTGCGCCGATGACCTCAACACCGCCGAAGTTGCAGGTTTCACAACAATCCGAGTCGCAAAGCCAAGGGAAGAATCGGCGCACTCCAGGAAGCGCACGCAATTTCCTCCCACAGCGTCCCTCTACATACGACATACCTTCGGACGACGTACCTGCAGAGCCGCGAAGCAACAAAAGGAGAAAAATCAGTGCGTGACGGATCATACCAGACTCTTTAGCATGATTTTGCTATACTAATGCATCCGAAGATCCCCCTAACACCATATCCGACACTCCTTCTCGTTCAAGTGCCCCACAAACTCATTCTGGCGACTCTGTGTCCAATGGAAATGGCGAAAGGCCCGGTACCGAGGCACCCTCAAGTCAAGCTCCTGTCGTTCCTGTCGTTCCTGTCGCAGAAGCGCCTCGACAAGTGACGCTTGGTAACGCACCTAAGTCTCAATTATCACCCGCCCCAGAGACCTCTACCGACAACCGACAGACAATTACGACGCCAGAAGCTATAGGCGGAGTTACTATATCGAAAGAGCAACAACCCAGCAGACCAGGCACATCCTCTGGTCGCATTCGGTCGCCCAAAGCTCCGCTACATCAAACTCAACCTGTCGCCGAAGAACCCCAAGCTAGGCCATCGAGCAGAGGCCAGCGAACAAGTCGATCCCCACTCCAAACCAGCAACCCGGCGCAGGAGAATCAAGAAGATCAAGCGCAGGGACTCGCGCACAACTCTGCATCTGCAGCTCAGGCGACAGATGTAAGTGTAGGGGATAATGAGCCTATAAAGACCGCAAATGAGGCTTCTTCGAACCCCAAGCGTCCTCGCGGGAGACCATCCCTTTCAAAGAAGGCGACAGAAGTTGGAAACATACCATCAAGTGAGCCTACAGAGACCGCGACGGAAGCACCTTCAAAACCCAAGCGTCCTCGCGGAAGGCCATCCCTTGCGATGAAAAACGCTGAGACAATAGAAGTCGAAGATCGGCCCAATAGTCCAGTTGAACCCGCACAGACCACAGGCGAATCATCAGGGATAGGTGCACGCTGGGGCCGTAAGAAGAAGGCAGAGAAAAAACCCGAAGCAGAGGCACAAGCAGAGGTAGAAGAACCTGAAGCGCAAGAACTGGAGACAGAAGCTTCACCGAAGGCTCGTCGTGGCCGACCTGCAAAGAAGCCTAAGCGTGCAACAGAAGCCGAAGCCGAGGTTGAACCTGAGGTAGATGTGGAAAACGTTGAAGAGCAAGAGGAGGAGCAAGAGGAGGAGCAAGAGCAAGAGCAAGTGAAAGCTGCACCTCGAAAGCGTGGCCGACCTGGGAAGAAAGCCAAGCGTGCAAGGGCGGCCGAGGCCGAGGTCGAGGCGGAAGAAGTCGAGGAGCAAGAGCAGGAAGAGGAAGCTGCACCATCAAAGCCTCATCGTGGCCGACCCGGGAAGAAAGCCAAGCGTACGACAGAGGCCGAGCCTTCACCGACAGAAGAGCCAGAAGCAGACGCCTCGCGAGAGACACGCCAGAAAAAGAAAGAGCGAGAACCTCGTGGAGAAATGGTGCCTGTTACAGTTCACCGCCTTACCAATGCTTCTGCGCTGGGCTCGATGTACACTGATGGATCTGGCGATGAGCACGAGGAGTCGGCGGACGAGCTTTCGTCCCTTCGAAAGACGAAGCTGCCTAACCGCGGTGGTGTCAACCCTGCCGACGTTCTGAGCCAGATTTGCCGTGAGACGCTGGAGAAGACACTCGCGACACTTAAGAACGGCATCGCAAATGAGACCAATCCCACTAGGCGTGCAGAATGGACTCGCAAACGAAAAGCTGTCGAAACCTTCGGATCAGAACTGGATGGCCGACTTCTTGATCTGAGCGAGATGCTCGATAGTAACTTCGTGTTGGGCGTGCAGCTCAAAAACTCAAAGCGAGATATGATGGACCTGCGAAGCCATTTGTACAGGGTACGACGGGAACGTGAGAGTATAGCACTGCGGATGGATGCGGTGCGCGCGAAGCACATGGAAGAAGAGAATGGAAAGACAGTAAGAATCTCTGCATGGCTTATCAAGGATCTACGGACTGACAATACTCAAGGGTCGCGCCACCATCAACAATTCCCTTCACAGCCTCGAGCTTGCGCTTGACCGCAGTCAAAACCAACCTTCTACGGAACCCTCTTCTGCCGACCTGGAGTTTCTGCTACGCACTGCCAGCGACGTGAGTAGCCGGGCCGGAGCACAAGGGGGTCTGTTGAATCAAATCCGTGCCTTCAATGCACAGCTTGAAAGTACGGCCCATCGCCTGGCAAGCAAGTAAATCGGAGTCATTTGGAGCCATGTTTGTCATTCGTGATACCAATTTGTTGGAGCATCACCCGAGGCCGGTCCCGGGCACAGGCGCAAGGGGAATCAGGTACTATACGTCATATGTAACGATGAAGATCGATTAGCGCGATTGAACCTACTGTGAGAGAGTTATTGAAACCTGAATTAAGGATTAAAGTTGAACCTTGGGATACATTTGTCAGCCCGCAGTTTGGAATTTTCAAACATGGTAGAGTTGATCCGACTCGGAGACTTCTCGATTCTATGCAATTCGGCAACTCCACGGCAGTGGCTCCACCGGCATACAGATCTGCTTGGAAATCACCGTGGGTCTAGCATCCAACTACTGTATAAAGACGCCCCGGTCTTGGACCTACTATAGTCCATCCATTAGACTACACTTTCCATTTTCCATCTGCCCTGTGTTGCCCGGCATCCCCCCGCATTGGTCCCCAACTAGATCTATATACGACCTCAACGAACAGAAAGCGCCCAAAATGACCAAACTCTCCGCCCCTCTCCGCGTCGGTCGTCTAGACCTTTCCAATCGCATCGCCATGGCCCCCATGACTCGCTTCCGCGCCGACGACAGCCACACCCCTCTACCAATGGTGGCGGAATACTACGCCCAGCGCGCCTCAGTACCGGGAACCCTCTTAATCACCGAAGCAACCTTCATCTCCCCGCAAGCCGGCGGTGCACCAAACGTGCCCGGAATCTATACCTCCTCCCAAATCGCCGCCTGGAAAGAAGTCACTTCCGCCGTCCACGCCAAGGGCTCCTACATCTACCTCCAACTCTGGGCCCTAGGCCGCGTCGCAAGCCCAGACCAGCTTAAACAAGAAGGCGATTTCCAACTCGTCTCTAGCAGCCCCAACCCCATCACGCCCGACGCCACAGTACCCCACGAGCTCACCGAATCCGAAATCCAGGACTGGATCAAGGACTACGCCCAAGCCGCCCGCAACGCCATCTCGGCGGGCTTCGACGGTGTCGAAATCCACGGCGCGAACGGCTACCTCATCGACCAGTTCAATCAGGACACCGTCAACACTCGCACAGACCGATGGGGCGGCAGCGTCGAGAACCGCGCCCGCTTCGCAGTCGAAGTAACCCGCGCCGTGGTTGATGCCGTCGGTGCAGACCGCACAGGTATCCGATTCAGTCCCTTCAGCACATTCCAGGGCATGCGCATGGATGACCCAGTGCCGCAATTCAGCTACCTTGCACGCAAGATGGCGGAGTTCAAGCTTGCGTATGTGCACGTGGTCGAGTCGCGGATTGCCGGAAATGCGGATGTTGAGGCGACGGATCAATTGGATTTCTTCCTTGAGGCGTATGGAAAGGCCGGGCCTATCATTATCGCGGGTGGGTTCAAGCCTGATTCGGCGAAGGAGGCGGTTGATGGAAAGTATAAGGATTATGATACAATTATTGGGATTGGAAGGCCGTTTATTTCGAACCCCGATTTGGTGTTTAGGATTTTGAAGGGGGTGGAGCTGGTTCCTTACAACAGGGACACTTTCTACCAGCCCAAGGACCCGAAGGGGTACGTTGATTATGAGTTTAGTCCCGAGTTCAAGACTGCCCAGGTGGGAGCTTGAGGGGTTATTTGTATAGCGTGGTTTGGAGTGCATACAGTAGATTAAATAGATTCATATACCTTACTCTCAACGAGATCTGCAATCTTCGTTTATCACAGATTGAATGTTTACAGGGAGCCTTGAAATTCAAGAAGTCTGAAGAGCTGCCCCGATTAGGAAGATGTATAGAAAGACGCCTCAGGAGACGATCCAAGAAAATTTTCGAGAAAAGATGAGAGGACAGACCTTTGGAAGGAATTATGCCCAATCTCTGTAGATTCCTGTTGACGAAATGCGATTACAATATTCCATGAGATCAATGTATGATGTCGGGAGCTGCAATGGATGTATCTACCAGGTTCCAATCATAGAGAATACTAAAAGCAAGTCAGCGTCAAAGCCCACCACATCATCATAAAAAAAAAAAATCTTGAAAGACTCACTCTGAACTCCCGATTCTCTCGATCCGTCATATCCAAGAACTCGGAATTCTCCCTATGCTCTCTGCCCTCAAGATTCCTATCCCTCCTCCGATTCTCCCATGTATAATACGTCCTCAACAAAATCGCAAAGACGATAGCCACCGCAATCGTGACCACAATCGCAATCTTTGCCGGAATATAATTCGGCTCGTCCTCTGTCCGGAACGTAAGCGGACCGAGAATATTACCCAGACAGAAAGACATGAGCAAGATCGCGTTCATGGTGACTTTCTTCGTGTGACCCGCGACGTTGGCGCCGGCTAGCGAGTACATTATCGGTAGTGCGGAGCCGGTGACCTGGGTGAGGTAGTTTCCCGCCAGTTGGGCGCCTTTCATGTCGTGCGGTGAGAATGCGAGGAGGCAGCCTCCTAACAATCCGCAGAGGAGGGCGGCGGCGACGCAAAGACATCGTTGATTATAGCGGCCGGCACAGTATGAAGCAGCAAGAATGCTGATAATGGAGATGACACCGTTAGGGACATTGAGGAGCTCTGTTTGTTTGGTTGTGAATCCGATATTCTTGATGATCAGCGAGGTGAAGCTGCTGATTGCTGCATTTGGGACATCCATCGCTGTGACGATCACGATGATGAGATAGGTCTGCGGATCGCGGAAGACTTCTACCGCCTGATGCAATTTGAAGTGCTTGTTCTCAATCCCCGTTTGGTTCTCGCGAAGTCGCTCAATGGCGAGGACTTTCTCGGCGTGGGTTAGGCGTGAGCTCATGGGGTTGTCGGGGAGGAAGGTGAAGATGCAGATTCCTACGGCGATGGTGATTAGGCCGAAGATTAGGAACATTATTTGCCATGACTTGAATTGGTTGTCTGTGTAGAAGAGGAGGCCGTATGCGACGAGGGCGCCCATTATGGAGGCTGTGCCGGTGCCGAGATACCAGATGCCCATGCGGTTGGGTTGTTCTATCGAAACATGGAATTAGAGGGAAATCAGACGATGTGGATTGCTGAACATACCGTTCTTCTTGTACCACATCGAGGTGATGAGAATCAATCTGATGTTTGTTAGATGGGTCCCGTATCGACATTGCGATGGCTACTCACGCTGGCGCTATTGCGCTCTCGAAGCAACCCAACAACACACGGAGCGTCATCAAACCACCAAAGTTCTTCGCTGTGCAGTTCAATGTTGTCATGAGACCCCAAAGAGTGACTAAAGCGTGTCAGTAAGCCTCCCTCTCTGTAGATATTTCGATCACAGTTTACCATTGAACCCCAAATACTTCGCCGTCGGCAATCGTTGCATCAGATAACCGGTAGGCAGCTCGAAGAACAGATACGTCACGTAAAAGGCCAGCGTCAGATCAGAGAACTTATTTGTTTGCATGTTGGTATCACTGAGCAAACCCATCACAGATGCATAGTTGACTTGAAGCGAGCATCAGCAATAGATCCATACGATAGAAGCACACAACCTACTAAGCACTTTGTCTAGATATTGCAGATTATACGCCGCCCACATCAGCGGCATGATCATCCAGTCAATCTTGCGCACCAAAGCTTTCTCATTCACTTCTGTCGCGACCGCGATATCTTCATCGCGCAGAAACTCGAGCGCCGCATCGGCCTTGCCTGTAGGCAGATTCTTGACGTCGACGTCAACCGACTGGTCGCCTTCGTCTTCTGGGCGTCCCATGCTTCAATTTGTGTGTTTTTGGACTCGAAATGGTGGTTTAGAACACTATAGATCTGCCCCCGCGCAGTCGCGCTGGGTCATTCCCCTCTAAATACATGCTGCAGTTGCATTTCACCTCTCCAACTCGGCAGAGCGTTAGATTTTTGCGACTGATAAGAGCGCCGCGATGCCTCTTCAAGAAGCTCGTTCCCGGTGCGTGCTACTCACCGCGTGCGGAGGTGCGGCCAATCCCGCCGTAGATAGCGGTGCACAGACAAGACGGCAGACAGGATGACGCATGGTTGGCTGCGATTACAACTCCGTGTTGGGGAAGGAGGTCCAAACATCTCTGAAGAGGTCATAATGAGGTCTCCAAGGCATCCTAACAGGCTCATCGGCTAAGCTGTTAGACCTGATCAGGAAGGTGTTGGACAAAAGCGACAGAGATAGCTGCAACCCCCGCTCGTCAGTCATCGAGGTAGCTAGAGCTTTCTGAGATAGATAAAAAGCGCAGCGCACCCAAGTCCGCAAGTTTTGGGGTCGTTAGTGAAAGTATGAGCTGATAAGAGGTGGAGTTGCCAGCATTCGTAGTCGCCTACCATAGTCGGTCGGGCAATTGCCAAGTCCAATAGTAGAGCAGAGTCCAAGTCAAGCAGAGGCAGGATTGTTGGGACGAGACTCGACTTGTTAGAGACTGAGACCACAAGCCGTCTAGTCTTGCCAACAGACTCATTTTTGGGTAGAGCTCATCGCGCTAGAAGCGCCCTTCACCGCAGGATCATTCCACCCTCTTAGTTCCCAGCCACACATCATTGCAGGATCGTAGAATCACTGATCGACACTGCATCATCCCGCTCTCATCTAGTAGCTATTTTCAGCTCTTCTCGGTAGAGTAGAGTATACACATGTACACTTTAAAACATATGACTCTGGCCCTAAAACTAAGTAAGCACCTTGCCCAAAGCGGTTGACCCCAACCTCCACATGTAGTATAACTCTCCGACCGTGCCCTCAAACCCCCATCCAACCTGGAGGTAACCTGGTACCCGGATTTGAACCAGCAATCAAAATGGTCTCAGACCAGTCTGCTCCGTCTCTCGAGTACCCTCGGCATTGGCGATGTAGTTCCGCTCCACCGAGCCGAATTCGGCAGACCCTGACTTGGGCAAAGTATGGTTCTTGCGGGGCGTCTGGGGGAACTCCAACAAGTTGCGTCACCTGTGACTTCACGGAGGTCCGCGGATGCAGAGATTCACTGCCAAACTTCGGCCCCGAATTGCCGGCTGAGAACAGCTGACCATCCGGGGATGCACATATCCTGAATCGCCGAGCTTCTCATTGACTGGATGCCCCCGCACCGGGGGGTCATGCGAACAGCGATGTGGGGAAGTCAGTTCGATCTATTTGTTCTGGACGTTATTCGTAGACCAATCCTGCCTTCTGGAAGTGGTTTTGGGATCTACCCCAATGACGCCAGTACCTCGCTGCTCCAGAACAACACCAGAAATCTCCAGAGCTGTTCGAGCGTTCCCCGCTCGAGATCAGTGCTTCCGGGGAAACGGAATTGATACGAGAATCTGATTGGGTGTTCTGATGCCAATCACGGTTTGCGAGAGGCAAACTATTGCCAGCAGATGTGCGATGTAGCGAGCGCGCCATCCGCATGCGTGGGTGGCGGTCAAGAGTGTCCTTGGGCCAGTGTGCGATGAAGTTGGGGAATTCGATTCAAAATTACAGTTTTTTATACCAGGTTTAGGTTACTGGGTCATGTCTTCACAATTATGGTTTTAGCTGCCGCACAAGCTCTACACGTGGGAAGCGGTGATGCGGTTAGTGACATTTTGGGTTTAGTTGGTCACTCAAGCTTCTTCACCGTATGGTCTATAGTTCAAAGCATCTCATTTCTAGGAAGGTAGCTGTGTAGCGACGAGACTCTTATCTTAGGTTTTTGATGTCTCAATTTTGTGACTGCGATTGAATCAAAGGATTTACGAACCGTCCTGAATCTGCGACATGGATCAAAACGGGTCAGATTGAGTAGGCGGATCGAACAGATCTCACGAACACGAACCCGAACAGCACACAACCTACGATAAATTAAGGGACTGTGTACCGGCCGATCGCGTTCGAGTCCGTGTACTCCCCCCCACGTGGGCGGGAGATATTAGATCAAACATCCATTATTGTTTGTCTATGATCTCGGCAAGCGACAACACAATTTGTAACCTGGGTAAGGTCAATCGACATCAAAAGCAAAAAAGCAGAAAAAGAAAAAGAAGAAGAAAAAAAAAAAAAAAAAAGAGACCGTGGACACCAGAGCACATAGCACACACTAGCTTACGAGCGGGCTACCGAAGAAGACGCCACGCAGGGAGCTCCAGATCGCAGAAAACGGAACATCCGTCAATCAGCAGAGGAGCTGCAGCATGGGAGGGGAAAAAAGCTCGAGCTGGAACCAATGAACAGACCGCACGAGCCGCAACCTTGCAGCTCGGTGCAGTGGTGTGGATTGCTCCGAACAGATTTTTCTTGCAGACCATTGTAGGTCCGCGGTGAGACTACCGTAGAGAGAACTATGGGTACTCTGGCCTTTCGTCCCGTGTCTTTCCCCTTAGCTGTCATGTCGTGTCATCCTCGGGAGGACCGCAGTCCCGTCAGGGGGTTACGGGGTGAGTCGATCTGATACGTGGTCGGAGACGAAATGGAGCCAGACACGGGCCGAATCGAAGCTGAGACTGGTCCACCGAGGTCAACATGTGGTTTTATTTGGTTTTTTTTCTTCTCTCGGTGGAGATTATCGCGTTACATAGTGTAGTGTCGAGGTGGGTGAGTACATAGTGCACATAGTGGAACAAGGCGTCTAGAGTGTTCCTCATGTGGACAATGGCTTGGTTTGTGATCCACCGGATTCTCCGCCAGCACGCCAGAATCGGATGCATGCCTAGTCGCGGTCTAGCGGCGGTTGGGGGGACCGGTCTTTTTGTTTTGTTTTGTTTTGTTTTTTTCTCACGTAGGACGCTAACGGACACCAAGTCATCTTTCAGGATATCTTGGGGGTGCATCTCAATTAAAGCTCGGTCCTCGGGTTTGGAACAAGCCGTCTTGGATACAATACAGAATATGTCAACGGGCGACAGGAGTTTAATAAGGATAAACAGGCATTGGGGGCGGTGCGACGTTTGGAGTCTCCACGGCCTGAGCCATGTTGATTTGTATTTTAGCGGTTTAGTGTGGTGCCATCGTCCCGCGACTCAAAAAAAGGGGCAAGGGGTTGTTACCTCGCGAGACACACCTTAGTCTAGGCCAGCCTAGAGGACTCCGTACTGCTTAGAGTGTGATGGCGCTGGTTAATATTCTGTTTATTGCGTGATTGGGTATGCTCAGAGTCAGCTTAGCCGAATGCTCCTTGTTTGGATCCCCCTATGGATGAGTAATCTCTGACGCTTTTTTGACTGATCCGGAGACGGGCTGTGGCCAGCACATCCTGTGTATCGTGAATTACTACTCCGCTATGGATCAAGCATCGCATTTTCCCCCCACCAGATTATCCCGGCACGTGTTACGGGTTGCCATGATCTTCCGGCCCCCCGAACAGCTCCAGCACAGCTCCAACGGAACTCCAGGGCCCCGTAAATAAAAAATAAAAAGATTCGTATTCGATGGGGTCCTTCATGGGTCCCGGGGAGAAAGCAGAATTACCGGCCATAGGTCTTCTAGCCGGTAAGTCACGGGATAGACTCTGCGGCCACAAGAAACAGGAAAAAATACGGTACGGGCCAACGATGATCAGAGCTGTCTGTCCAGGTGAAGTCATGGATTGTCCACGCCCAGAATCGAATCCCGGGCCATGATTGGCTCCTTTGGTCCTTTTACCCCACTGCCGACTTCCCCGGGCTGCTGTTTCCATCTCCTTAGCTCCGTGTCCTGTCTGTCATTAGCTCGTCTCACGCTGTGCCGTCCCGGTCTGGAGTCTCTCTGGCTAAAGTCCAGGGGATCCAGGGAGAAGATGGAATGTACTGGCCCAAAGCGCAGTCTCGTATATGAACCGTGGGTTTCTGTCCGTACGTCGCACGAGTGTCAGAGGTTTTGACCCGGTCGTTCCTTAGTTCTTGCGTCTTCCATACTCCGACCAGTCCAACTTCCAGTTTTTTTCCCTTCACCTCTTCCAAACTCAAATCCTTGCTTTTCCCTCCTAGGCCCAAGGTGCCCACTTTTCCTACCAAATTAACCTCTGTTAGCGTCAGTGGGGACTTCCTGCGGCTGCACATCATTGCAATTTATTGAATTCGCTCTTGACCACCGGGTAAGTTGCCAGGCTCCACAATCATCCATTCGCCCTGCGTTCGTCCCTTGAACTTCGTTTCGGGTCTTAGCGCTGGCAGTCACTGGGAAATTTCATATATTAGCTGCCGCACTCTTCCTTCCCCAGCTTCCCTCCTCCTTGTTTCTTCATCGCCATCTTGCCCAGCAGTGCTGTCCGGCTTCTTGATTTGATCGTTTTTTCTTTATTCCCCTTATACCCTCAGAATAACTGTGTTATTTTCCGGGTCTTCCTAGCTCAGCGAGCTGGACCTTATTTTTCCCTCACGAATTTCTCACGAAACGAACGAAACCCATAATCCAAAAAAAACCCCAAAATATTTATTCACGTTTTAGTGATCCACAATGTCTGAACCTGTGAACAACGGTGTCGAGAAGGATGTCGGCCTCGGGCCCGCCTCTACCGCCAATGGCTCCAACCTCCAGCCCCAGATGACCCATGAGGAGCACGAAACCGCCAAGGCCGCGGCTCGCTTCGGATATGGCCCGCTGGCTCAAGTGAACACCAACGAGGCTCGTCTGCCTCCCTTTGGTGGTGAGTTCCAGCCTGGTCTGTATAAGCCCGTCGAGGGCCGCAAGTTCGGTAACCCGGCTCCTCTGGGCCTGTGCGCTTTCGCCCTCACCACTTTCATACTGAGTGCTATCAACATGAACACCCAGAATATCACCACCCCCAGCATTGTCATTGGTGCTGCGTTCGCGTACGGTGGTCTGGTCCAGCTGCTTGCTGGCATGTGGTATGTATACTCCGTCAATTACCTTCCAATCTTCGAATTATATGGCTGACTCGTGAAACAGGGAAATGGCCGTCGGCAACACTTTTGGTGCTACTGCTCTGTCTTCGTACGGTGGATTCTGGATCGCTGTCGCCATCATCCTGACTCCTGGTGGGTTCGAGATTGAGACGACTCTCGGTGATCAGTTCAATGCCTCGTTCGGTCTGTTCCTCATGGTAAGCTTTCACCACATTAACCAACTTTCCAAACATCCACTAACCCTCCTTACCAGGGCTGGTTTATCTTCACCTTCCTCCTGGTCATCTGTACTCTGAAGTCAACAGTCGCGTTCTTCCTGCTGTTCTTCTTCCTAGACCTGACCTTCCTCCTCCTCGGCATCGCCTACCTCCTCCCGGAGAACGGCGCCGCCAACACCAAGATCCAGAAGGCTGGTGGTCTCTTCGGATTCCTCGCTGCCTTCGCCGCCTGGTACAACGCTCTGGCTGGTATCGCCGATACCTCCAACAGCTTCTTCATCATTCCTGTCGCCCACTTCCCCTGGTCTCCGGTAGGCCGTAGCCGCCGTGAGAAGACCGACCGTGAGATGGCGTAAACATTTTATCGTTTATCGTTATTGTCTGGAAGGAAATATGCGCTTGTAATGTTGTGTTGATTGATATACCCATGCGTTTGTGTACGGTCGCGGTCGCAAGTTCAAAGCGTGACGATTGGTTCGAGGCGTTAATTCGTCATCGGAAGCGTTGGTTGCGTTGAGTGCTTGTTGGCTGTGGCCTTGGTAGCTGTATAATTCCTCGTGGATTGGTCGATTGATCGGTCGCGGGTTTTGTGCAGTTGCGTAAAACTCCCAACTCTGTTGAATGTTTTGTAAAGTTTTGCATTGAGTCAGGGTTTATATCCTGGGGTTACCGTATTGTGCGGTTTCCCCTTCTTTTCCTAGTTGTTAATGTCTCTTTGTCTGTTTTTAGTATTTAGTATTAATTGATCGACGTTTTCATGATATATTCTGTTCCTGGTAGACTTACCTTGCCTTAATTCGATTCGGACTGGATTCCAGGTTTCAAGTCTTTGTTAGAGCCGGTGATGGTGATGGTGAATTCGGAACCACCGTCTGAACTGGACTGGTATTTAATCTCCGATACCCTTGTTTGCCCTGCGTGGTGCAATGCAGTACAGTGCAGAGCAGATCCAGGGTGACTTGAGCTGTTGAGGTTGAAGAGGCAAGGTCGATGAGATGCCAGCTTTGACTCGGTCGTGGGATACTTTCGTAGCACCTCTGTCTCTGCGAGACGCGTTATTTTCAAGAACCTAAAGGGTTAGTGAAGAGTGCTGAGCTTTGTATAGTTGTTAGTATCATCATTGCTAACCCAGAGGGTATAGTTCCGGGTAATCCAAGCGGACAACCCCAGAGCTTTGCGCGCAGCGTGGCTCAAGCAGAGTGATCCCCAGCAGAAGCGAGACACGAATTGAGATGTCGTAGAAATATAGATCAAGACAGCAGACACTGCATAATATATTACCCCTTCCCCTTCCTATGTGGGAACGTGAATCAGGGGGTAGCATTTTCAAAGTCTGGTTCTTGAAATAGAGCAAAGCCAAAAACCACCTCTTCGAAGATATTGGCTTGCGCATTGGTCAGGAAAAGACAAGCCATGGCCTTATTTTTCAGTCGAATGGAGAAGGGTGGGAATAGTGGGGATGCACGAACCAGTGCGGAGCCTTGAATCTGTTTCTAGTTCCCCAGCATCTTGTTTTTGCAAATTCGTTGCGTGTGTAGAGAGGAAGTCAGAGTTAGAATGCAAGCAGGGGAAAGAAAGGATGCAGGGTGTATTTAGCTGAGGAAATGGATCCTGAAACAATATCCGAACTATGTCCGACATCCACCCGGGCCAAGCTCGGCTCTCTCTCGGTTTTCAGGGGGTCGCGGGTAGTGTGTCCGAGTGTTGGGTGGATCGAGGCTTGCTTTTTCGGGTGTTTGACGTGGGCTTATAGGCCTTGAGAGCTCTTGCGTCCCGTGCTGGCGGACCTGGGCTGATGCTTTCGCGGAATATCCGAGTGGTGGCGGCTAAGCTTCGCGGGTTGACGGGCTGTGTTGATACCGGATGTTCCTTCCTCTTATCTTGTTCAGGGTTTGTGGGCTTGTAGGGCGTACGAGTAGAGATTTCGCTGGATATCCCGAGATGCAGAATTAATCAGAGACTTGGGGATTGTAGAACTCCGACGGAGATGGGCTGTTCCTACCTAATCGGACATTGCCTGTTTGGGTAAGATAGTTCGAGACCTCTTCCAAATGAGGCAGCGCGAGAGGATTGTGGAGACTTCTCGGGCGATAACAACATCACTACCTAGCTTAGAAATATATCGTCTACTTTAGCATCCTCAGATGATGTTGAATCCAATTCATCAGTCATTATGGCTATCCTAGCATGCTTTGTATGTACCTGATACGGACTTCGCACCTCATCCCAAGAGAAAAGGGAAATGGTAATTACATTATACGGAAGGGAGAGAGAAGTGGAAAATCACGCAGTCGGCTCCACCTGCAGCTGCACTTCCTGCCACACCTGACGCAGCATGGGCAGGTGGACACGGTCGGCATAGAAGAAGCCAAGCAGGATCGAGCGGGCCTCTTGCCAAGAGTTAACACCGTGCAGACGGGCTGCTGTCGCTAGCTCCGACACGAAGTAGGCTCGCTCTGTCGGCATACATTGGCTGCATACTGCGCCGGTGAAAAGGAGCCATATCAGGAGGTCTCGGCAGAGGGCGAAAAGCCCAGACGGGATGGTCGCTTCGAGCGCGGTACGTAGGGCGAGAATGGGCTTGGGGAGGACTGGCGCCAACATGGGGTAGAAGTTCCAGATGGCGCTGTTGTGGAAACACAGACAGGCGAGGCGGCAGCAGCCCTCGATTGAGTTATCGCCCTTGACTTGGCCGGTTGGTGTGTACCGGTCCGAGTGTAGGGAGTACTCCACATAGAGTACCTCGAAGTTAAAGTAGTCTTCCGTGTCGTCGTTGAATTCTTTGTATCCTGTGTTACCTTTGATCCATTCTGCGTACCAGGAGAGTTCAAGAAGATCGTATATAGTTTTGGCAAATAAGTCGCTGAAGATGCCGGGGATTTTGATCAACGGGATCAGACGCGTCGCCGTGAGAGCCACATCGTCCGTGGGCGGGAGAAGAGACAAGCCTGGTGGGCGTGGAGATCGTACGAAAGGGAAGATAGGTTTGGCGAGTGCCATACAAGCAACCCGAATATCTGTCCTGTTACATTGTTAGCATGGTCTTGCGAGAATTATGAAAGACGACGAACCATGATATCTGGAAGCGGACATCTGGAGGAACATCGGCGAAGTTCTTGCGCAGCCCAATCATCTGTCGCAGACCAGCCAGATGAATCTTCAGATAATCGGGGTTGCCTGATGCGATCTGCAACGGTGAGCTGAGTTCATATACATCGGACGCCATCTCCCAACTTACCTCGATAGTCAACAAGGTAGACACCGCCGCAATCAACTCATCACTGGACGCCTTCACCGGGTCCGACAAACCCTCGTTCACCAATCTAATAGTCTCACCACGATGGTGGAAAGTATCAATCACGAGTGCACTGCGTGGCTGATTGGGATCTCGGACCGGCAATTCGCCCCGTTGCACTGCCGCATTAGAAGTGGACATGCAGATCGTCGCGTGGAGAATAGCCGGGTCACGCTGAATAAGAGCAGCCCAATGTGCCTGCAATTTAGGCTTATACCGCGTCTGCAACGGATGGGCTTGCTGCGTCAGATCCCAAAGGACTGTTTGGAGATTAGCATGCATCTCGGAAACGCTAAAGAAGACACTCACAGTTCTGCAGATGGCGCATCATCCGATCCGTGAGCTGTGTATGCCCCGTGTTAAACGGATCGCGCGCACCTGATCCTATATACGTCCATACAGTCGGCGCCGGCTCCGACTGTCTAACTTGATAGCCCACCACTTCGTCTAAATTACTATCATCCCATGAGTCATCCCACGCTTCCACTGCGCCAACGGAGTAGTAGGATCCAGTCGCAGCGGTGGTCACGGGCATCAATTCCTGACTGTGATTGATCTGCTCCATGACCTGCGAGCTGCGCCGACTGCTAGACGAAGACGATGAAGTCGATGAGGTTGACGAAGTAACCAGCGGAGGACGAGGCGGCCCCAGAGCCCCGGGCGCCGTCTCTGGCGGCTGGAAAGCCAAGTGTTTGAAAGACTTGCTCTTATAGCGCTTTGTATTCTCCAGGCGCTTCTTGCGATTATGCTCGGACATAACGTGGGACCGGATCCGCTTCAAAGTCTCTTCTTTTGTCCCGCCCGCCGCCGACTCCTGATCTGTATGCACCCAGAACAGCGTCGACTTCCCTGCTGCTGCTGCATTGGCGGACTTTCGGGGCTTGCGGACCTTGGAGGATGCATTTTTCTCGCTGCTTGAGGCCTGCGTGACTGGCTTGGGAGCTGGTGCGGCGACCTGGGGGGTCTGCGGGGTGAGCCCGTCAGGGCGAGGGATGGTATAAGGGTCGGCGATATGAACCTGATCGGTAGCAGGCCACGGTACCTCCGGGGGAGGTCGAGACAGCACGGGCAGAGTGCTCTGCTCGTATGTACCGGGGAATTGCTCCGAGTAGTGGCCGTTGGCGTCCATGAGAAGGGAGCCGTCGAAGCTTCAGTGGAGAAGGAAAGGGAAAGAGAAGAACATTTCAAGGTCCCCGACGGACCGGCGGGGTATTTTAAACAGACAAGATATTTCCAGCGAGATTCTTCACGATTATGATAGCATCGTCAGACGAATCATGGCCCCCGCTAAGCAGCTAGTGGGATGCGAGGCTGCGCCCGGCACGTTAAGAGGATTTGGGGATAATTTTTGGACTAAGAATTCCAGACCCGGGACAACGCGAGGGTCTGTTCTCAACTTTGTTTGATACAAGCTACACACTCACTTCGAGCCCCATGCCCCAAGCCTCTCAACTTTAGGACCCTAGCGCCCCACCGTGGATTTCCGCGAGCTCTATCTTAAACTGTGGACCGTGGACCGTGTGGCGTCTCGCTAAAGTTGTGGATTTAGAAGTCATGCGGACTTTTCGTCCAGTGCTAAGCCTGAACGTCTTAGTGGGATTTCCAGTCTTCCTTGCGAGTAGCAAGTACTGGACTTGTCCGTAGTCGAGTAGCGCCACGAAGCGGGTCCGAATTGGCCCCTCCCTGAGTCGCGCTAACCACCGACTCTATTCATATTGTACCTACGTCCGTAGATCAGCCAACAGTAAAGAATAAGCATTATCAAAGAACCCCGATCATCTTCCTTTTTCGCCCCTGTATGACGACGAGAGCCGACGAAAATCGCCACTAACTGTCCCCATCGCTACCCGACTCGGCTTCAAGCCGATCGATCGCCCAGTGCCAACACCCAGATGGATCTGATATCAGCACTAGCAGAGCCGAAATTACGATGTACTTCCGACCTCAAATACTTGTTTCGGTAATTAATTTTTGCGTTGCGAAAGGGAGATTTTCAAGGTCTAATGGCCTAGGGGGCTACATCTACAGCCCCGCTGTACCAGTTGGCGCGGACTAGAAGGAGACAATTGCTCGGGGAACATGGGAACACAGAAAGAATAAAGATGAAGAGCAAGTACGCTGCACTAATAAGAGTCCCCGTATATGCCAGGCCTCCCATCTTAGGTCATGCCCGGTCGCGGGAAGATGGGCACAGTGTCTAGCTGTTCTAAGCCGCCCATAGTACCATTCTGTCCACTTTGTTGCCACCCTTGTCCGGTCTGCTGATTGATAAACTGGCTCTGTCGGAAGGGGTTGGTACTCCCTGTGGGGTTGGGTTGGAGGGGCTGGAGTCCCGCATTCTGTGGAGGCGGCACGGAAGATGCCCGAGCGAATGGGTTGGTTCCCGTCCGCTGGGGCTGAAGGGCTGGCGGTTGCGACGGAGCTAGAGGTTGCGCTTGGGGTTGCGCTTGAGGAAGTGGCGGGAGCTGAGGAGCTTGCTCAGGTACCCCAGTGTTGAACTGTGCCATGGAAAGACGCTTGGCAAATGGGTTGGTATTCTGCCGTTGTAGGGGGGCGGCCGCTGGCGCAGCACCACCAGTAGGTTGATTTGCCAGCATTGATTGCCGGAAGGGATTTGTTGGTGTCGAGGGGGGCTGCAGCTGTTGCATGGGTTGCTGCTGCTGAGGGAATGAAGCAGTCCCATTCTGGGGAATGGGCGCAAGCTGCGGCTGATACCCGTATTGCTGGGGACCGTATCCTCCAAACCCGGCACCAGTGGGCTGAGCTTGGAGCTGCTGCGCTGGTGGCTGTCCAAATGGGTTTCCGGTGATTTGCTGCTGTTGCTGTTGAGGGAAAGCCACGCCGTATGGATTCGCCTGGCCATGTCCCGTCGCCTGGGGCTGCTGCACGAAACCTGTCTGTTGGGGTTGGAACCCAGTCTGCTGAGGATAGAACGCCTGCTGCGGCGGTTGCTGGAAGCCCGGTTGTTGGTAGCCGGTTTGCTGGTACTGCGCGGGGGTCTGCTGAGCCATTGGCTGCTGGTTCTGCTCGATCGATTCAAAGAAGTCGATCAAATCCGGGGGTGGGGGCTTCTTCTGTTCCGGGAGCTTGGTTGGATTCCTTGTGGCTTGGGCTTGAGCCTGAGCCTGAGCTTGAGCTTGAGTGCTTGCGAAGGGGGCTGCGACGGAAGGCGGCTCTTTCTGCTTGATTCCTTTCCCGGCAAGATATTCTCGGCGGCGGAGGTCAAAGTCCGGGTCGTTCAGATCATCCTCGAGGAGGCGCGTCAAGTCTGTGGAAGCATGCTTGAGTTTCGGGATTTCCAAGCGGGTAGCAGACTGGAAATGTCTTGCGACGCCCAGGAACTGCACGACTTCTTCCGTCTGCTTTGTAAACATCTTGTAGATTGCCAGCGCGCGTTCGCTATCCGGTCTTGACATTTCGAAATAATGCTCTGTTAACGTCCTTTGTTAGACGTTGTTCAATTCGGGGAGAATGATGACCTACCCAAGACATTGATTGTGCCCTCGTTCATAACCGAATACAATACCAAAAGATCGAGCGTCAGGAGGCGAAACGCAGTCAAACTAATCTCGTTTTCGGGCTCATCCGTCAGAAGCTGTGTTATCTGTCAGCCACCGAATGTCAATTGATGCAACTCCACTCACATCGCATCGCAATAATGCGCGAATCTGCTTCTGAACAAACTCCGTCTCTCTCAAGAGGCCCTTCTCCACGCTGAGTCTCTTCAAACGCCCGGGTCCGCTTCGTACGTAGTCCGTCTGGGTGGCATCAAATGCTTTTGCGCGCGCGATGAGATACTCAGCATACCGCCGGATGTTGTGTCCCTGGGATTGTGCTACAAGAATAGTCAGTACTCTGCTCCGTGTTTCGCCCAGTTATGGATCGTACCTTCGGAAAAGTTACTGGGCGCGATCTTCTTCGGGTTGTCGGAGAGGAAGGTCAGGGCCGCATCCTGCTGGCCTTCGCGGATCATGAGGTGGACGACAATAAGGGCCTTGAAAACGATTGTCCATGCTGAATCACGTAGTCGATGTTGAAGGGTTCGGAAGATTTCTGCGACGCCCGCTTCGCCGGTATGGGTCGCCACAAGGATGGTTTCAATGTATTTAGATTTTGGGGCCGCGAGCTACGCGCATATAACTGTTAGCCCTTGCATGTGGTATTGAATAAGGTCCTCAACACCGGAACCGACCTTGAGCTTGGTGGCCCCCTTTACCGACTTCTCAAAGCCCGTCATTGTGTTGGGGGGGGCGGGGGTACGTCAGATCCCCTTGTTTCAAATGGATGCAGAGTGTAAAAGAAATAGAATTGGGTGGTGTTTGCAATAGACTGAAGTTCCCGCTTCAGATGTCAATGCCTTTATCGTGTCTGTACAAGATCCTCAATCATCACCGTCACCCTGGAGATGCCTCATTTGGTCATAGCGGGTGCCTGGGGGTAAACGGCAAGAAGGGCGGAAGTACCGGGATGACAATTGACAATCAGGCAAGTTCCGCGATGGCGGCAAGAGAGATGCGAGGATTAAGGACAGGGTCGCGAGAATCCCAAGGGTCAAGTTGGGCGTGTTCAAGTGGGCGGAGCTTCAAGTCCGGGCGTCGGGTTCCTAGTGTCCCAATCGGGTATAGCGTGTTTTGGTGCACGAGCTGTCGTTTTATACTCGATGTGCATGAACCTAGCCATTTTCGTCTTGCTCCCTGTTGATCTGGTGAAGCTGGAACACGATGGGGTGATTTATTGGTTATCCAGAATTCCAGGCATGCCTTCATACTCCAAATGTTCCTATACCTATTGAAATTGTTGTCCAGGCGATGTCCGTGGACCGGAGTGGAGATATATAGTGCCGGACTTTGAAGATACTATGAGCCTTGTCAATTTATCTGTGCATGGATTGCCTTGACTGTTTGGAACTCATCCCGTGGGACATTCATTGATCACCTAGACGAGACCTGTGGATTCAAATTGGTCATGGAAAATCAAAATTGCGTTGGAATATCGCCTCTAATCATACTTGAGTTTATGTATAAGATGACTCGAATGTCCTGGTCGCATCCCAGAGTCAGACAACCACCTCAGTTCTATTCACAGGCCCTCGAAGTGAGAGCCAGCGAGTCTCATTGAATTCCCTCGAAGATTCAAGCTTCGAAGGCGCTCTCACTTCCGAAGGTTCTCTCACTCCCCTCACTCCCAGCGAGTCTCTCCGCCGCTTCAATTCCTTTCTTTCCCTCTTTTTCACCTCCAGGGCCTCGAGCGACTCGAAATTTTTTAACATCTCTCCCTCTTTCTTCTCATTCATCACATCCCTCTTGCTTCCAAATACCAGACACATCTTTCCAAGATGGGAGGATACAAACCCCCTATGGTCCCCAAAAGACCTCTCAAGAAATCACCCAAGAAGACCCCCCCGAAGTCTCCTAAGATGACTTTTCAGTGGGATGATCACCGACGAGAAGTGCTGTGCTGCCTGTGCAGGTTCTTTGAACTGGCCCGCCATGACTTCCAGAGAATATTCTCTGATATCTTCCGAGACCACCTCCTCGAACGTGGTTTCCCCGGCAATCAGATGCCATACACAAGACTCTACGCCCAATGGACATGGATGAAGAGGATAGACCACCCTTTGTGGTTGTTTGTTCACAAGGAGACCAATTTCATTGAGAACCAAGAGTGGAAAGATATTCTGCGACAGATCCGTGATTCTGCGAGAAGACTGCGAATCTCTCTGACTGAGAAAGAAAATGACGCCACAGATGAGCACAAATCGGAAAGTAAGATTTCGGAGGATCTTTTGCCGATAGAACAGGCAGTGGAAATCATCTTGCAGAGTGTTCTGAGCCATGTAAGAAAGAGGATTTGCATCATACATATCCGTGTACACCTGAGTCTAACCTTCTTTCTAGTCATCCTCATCCGACGATGTTGACAATGACCGAGGCACAGACACCCGGGTAATGCCCCATCCGGATACCCCAAGCTCTTTTGTTCGAGCGCAAATTCTCTCTGATTTCGATGATGCCACAACCAACGAACGTTTGCTCTGGGGAGAGCGTTGCTATTGGTGTGAAAAGGATGGGCCACCACCCCCGGTAGAGGGAAACCAACACATAAACTCTGATGTCCAGACTGATACGTCAGAGTTAATGGGTCTACAAGGAAACCCACTGTCAGAGGAAGTCGCAATAAACATGACAACTCATGTCAATCTGCACGGCCATTGCCCCCCCAAGGATCTACCAGCTGTATTATATAGGTGGTCAAATTTCAACTCACAGGGTATCAATTGCCGAGGCATAATTCGGGCTGGGCTGTTTACAACAAGCGGTTCTGTAACATTCCAGCCAGAGGATGTTTCTGAGGAGGAATTTCTGGAGTATTTCAAACTCCACGTGTCGAAAGTACTCAAACCGACGCCATTTATCTCATTCTTTAAGAAGCCGTTGGCGCCAATCCACCGAGGGCTTCAGAACGGAGACGGGGCGGCAGTATTCATCATCGATACTGCAAAGCTCAGCAATAAGGCTTTTAAAGCCGCACCACTGGTCAAGCTAACAGACACCGCAAGAAAGAAATACAAAGGTTACGGTGAATACTTGATCTGGAATGAAGTACCCACAGATGCAATTGCCTGTACGTTCACTATGACCAAGCTGGAAAAGATTGCCCGCGAGCACCCAGACATTGCTGCATTTTTACAATTGCCTCGCATCCATGCGCGACCAAACTGCACTAAATTCCTGTACAATGATCTTGCAATGAACAGGCCCAAATCAATCGATGGCTATGTTGCCCTACTGGAGAAGTTTACAGCATTGCTTGGAGTCCCTGGAACCCTTAGGAAAACTGTTGCAGCCGGGTTTAAAGAGGCGTGGTTTGACAATTTCCGAGGGTTCGAATATCAAGCACCAGACATCTCCGATTTGCCCGGTAGAATAAGTGAAGTGGGCGAAATCGAGTCGCACGAGCCCGACGATTACTACATGTCGATTTTGCCTAGGATTCGCTCGGCATCATATGCACCACCTGCTGACAGCGACAACGATGATTCACATTCTTCTTCAAGCAATGAGAGTCGAGAAAGCGAAGAAGCAGAGGCAGAAGCAGAGGCACCTTGTCCAAGATGGGATACTCCAGAGGCGCCCTTTTCAACCCACGATTACTCCAGTGATGACGACTTGAAGATGCCGGCGATTGAGCCTCCCAGGAGACGAAATGGTCTCAGTGAGACGGAAACTTATGAGGCATGGCCGAACGAGGAAGATTACATGAGAACGTCCATTAGGTGGCCCGCTCGAATGTTTGCAAAGGGAAGACCCGAAATGTGGAGTGCGTATGGTATGTGACGAACCAGATGAGATTTGTTGAGCTACGTGTCTAAAGTCATCAATGTCAGATGTTGAGCGAACGCAAAGACATCACGTAAAGCTCCAAGCCATTTAGCAAAACTACCGAATGGCATCGAAAGCAACCCTGACCATCTAAAGCATTCAAATGGCCAAGGTTGGTGGCTACCGAGACAAGATACCTGTAATATGCGACCAGGTAACCCTACTGAGAAAAAGAGACCAACGGTTCAGAAGGACAGATTAAATCTGGAAAATGCAGTATCAAAACAGATCTCAGCCCGTGCTCCAGGATATGCCTGTCGCCAGGGCGGGTGTACGGTTTCCATGGCAGGAGGATGGATGAAATATTTTTGCTTTTTGTGGGGATACACATTGTTCAGCAAGGTATCTGGGACATGGAAACTCGTAAACTATCCCGAACCCCAAATGAATTCCTTTATATCCAGGTCAAACCGCTTCCTTCGCCGAATTGTCCATTCCGAGCACCCAACTCTTTAAACACACTTAGAACTTGGCGAAAGACTTGACGGCCTTGCCGGTGCGGGGCAGGACGCGGAGGGTGTTGAAGCGGACCTGTAGAGATATGTTAGATCTGGTTCAGGAATGGTAACGTATATGTAGTGTGCGACAGATGAGCTGATGTTTCACAGGTGTCATGTCATGAAACAACTGGCACCACCCTGACTCGCTACACTACATGCGTCAGTAGGGTAAAAGGTAGAACGTACGGTCTTGGAGAGGGGACGGCACTGGCCAACGGTAACCCAGTCACCCTCCTGGACACGGAAAGCGGGGGAAACGTGAGCAGCCAGGTTCTTGTGGCGCTTCTCGTAACGGTTGTACTTGGGGACGTAGTGGAGGTATTCACGGCGGATGACAAGGGTACGGTGCATCTTGGTAGACACAACACGGCCGGTGAGAATACGACCACGGATGGAAACGAGACCGACGAAGGGGCACTTCTTGTCTGTGGAGGCTGTTAGTGATTTGTGCGGAATTGGTGGCGAGCGGAGATTTTCGATGTGTCTGGTCTTTTTTCAAGGTTGGAGAAAAGGAAGGTCAAAATGTCATAGAGCCATGTCGTTGCCCAGAGAGACACTGTCGATTTGCCCTTTCCCCCCTCTTCGTAATGTCGAGTCGCACAATTCCTGCCTAGCCCTTCGGCATCCCATCTCCACCTCGAAAAAAGACCATAAAATCGTGTATCTCGTCATGTCGCCTGGTGAATTTATCGCGGATCGTGCATACCGATGTAGGTGCCCTCAATGGCGGTCTTGGGGGTACGGAAACCAAGACCGACCTCCTTGTACCAGCGGCGGGCCTGGCCAACCTTCTTGGACTTAGCCTTGGACTTGGTGTTCAAGAAGATGTGAGGCTGCTTCTGGAAAGCGCGCTCAGACTGGACGTTCAACTCGGTCGCCATAGTTGCGGTGTTGTCGACGGGGAAGCGAGGTCGAGCTGGATGTGAAAAGTCGGTGGTCGGAGGTTCACGAATGGGTCGTCGAGAATGGAAAGATTCGCTAAAGGCGCGCTGCTCTTGTGTGTGTTGCGCTAGTCCGTATTGGGTCTAGTGCCGGGTGGATTAGGGCTTGCGCTTTGTTTACTGTCACGTGACATGGAACGCGTCCGTGAGGGGAATGCGATCGGTCGGACATGGGATATGTAGCTAACCCCATCGTGATATACTCGACGACTCCCTTCGGATCATGCTTGACTGATTGCATCACTTCCTGCCATGATGTCAAATCGACAGGACTCTGCGGCCCGCGTGCGCACGCGACGCTCCATTGCTCATGTGCCTCGATCTAAGACGGCCGGCTTGGATAAGGAGAATGCGACGACTGATATTGGAGCTGTTCAGCCATTTGGAAGCAATGGAAAACCACTGACTAGAGACAAGAAGTCCCGTAGTAAGAGTCTGGGCCCTGGTGGACTCGACGCTCTTCAAAAATCCAACGGCAATCGTCGCAAGGTGAGCTATCATTCGACGTCTTCCCCGCGCGCATTCATGACACCATCTGATCTCGACACTTTCCAGTCCACCGCTTCGTTCCCTCTCAAATCGATTCTCAAGCCTACTGTTCCCGGTTCCCCGGTTCGAAACATCCCGTCATTCGAGGAAACGCGTCGGCGCACTCCGGCTCGCGATGCGCGGAACCAAAAAACGAACACATCTAGCAACGAGCAAGAAGGACTTTTAATCGACTTTGCAACCCCGAACCCACCTCCCGTTATAGAATCAGAGAACTTGGCCAACCCTTTTGATACCTTCAATGCGACATCCGCCATCCGCGATGAAATGGCCGCAACTAAGGAACGTGATGATAAAGAGCGCAAGGAGCGCGAACGCCAAACAATTCTAGAGAAGCGCGAGGCGCGACGAAAGTCAATGGGTCTGTATCCACTCTAATTAGAGAAAGCAGACAACTAGAGAAGCAAAGGGACTAACAGCTTAAACAGCGAACCGCCGAGTATCGTTTGCCCCAGAGGCTACCTTGCACACTTGGAACGTGGTAGACATACCAGACGACTCGACCGCATCGTCAGCCTCGAACTCTACCAGGCGCGCATCGTCTACCAATTCTCAGGCCCAGCAACAGGCACCCACCCGGGCGAAGGAGGCACCCGCCTCACCCGAGGGCGACCTTGAAGGTGACGCCGAGTCCGACTTTGGCTTCTCTCCTGTCCGCCAACAAGATCTAGAGCAGATGAGAGAACGGTCAGCATCGACAGAAGGTCCCACAGACATGTCTTCAAGTCCATACAGCGGAAGCTCGGCATCTAGCAGCGAAGACACCGGCGCGCACAGCGTGGTGGCTGAAGGGGAAGACGATAATTCCTCTGGATCTGATGATGGCTTTGATGCTGAAAGCACTGCTATGAGTCTGGATGATTTAACTGCTCGCTCTGCCGTCTCCATGCAGTCAGATGTATCCTCCAGCTCCAGCTCCAGTGCCCGACTTAACCAAGCGCTGCGCCAAGCTGCAAAAGAGGCCGGAACAGAAGCGTATGATGCTGAAAGTGGAGAAATGTCAATGGAAATTGCGGACCAAGAAATCACTGGTGCCTTCCAGCCCTGGATCAAAAAGGGCCAACGGCAAAGCTTTGACTGGGAGGATCTTAGCGCTCGTCATGACCAAGAGAATGCTGAGCCTTCCAAAGCTGCCTCTGCGAATATCCCAGAATCGGATGGTATCGATGAGGGTGAAGATCTCAGTATGGATGTGACAAATGCAGTCGGTCGAATTCTTGGAAAGTCTCCTGGCCGAAGGAAGAGTGCGGTTCCTCGCAAGTCGCTAGGACAGGAAACCAACTATGGTGACGAGACCATGGAGATGACCAATATGATTGGAGGCATATCGAGAATGAACCCTACCGAAGCCCCTGATTACGATGACAACGATGACAACGAAGATGAAGAGATGACGATGGAGTTCACTTCAGTTGTTGGTGGTGTCTTGAGCAAAGCTGCGCCTCAGCAGCATTATATGAACGACGATGCTGACCAAGAGAACACTACTCCAAAGTCGGATCGTATGGATTACAATCGCGATAACGAGTCAGATGGAGACATGGACATGGAAATGACTGGCGCTGTTGGTGGAATTCTACCGTCGGGACTGGAAACCCAGGATAAGGCCCAAGCCAAGATGGTGATGGAACTTGAGGGTGATTCAGGGCAATTGGCTAGCTCACCTTTCCAGGAGAGCGTCCGAAAATCACCTGCCAAGTCTCCAGCCAAATCGCCACTCGGCCTTCACGTTGCTGCAGTGGCTTCTGAGGACGGCAGCCCTAGCCTGGCAAGCGTCAAGTCCAGACGGACACGCCGTAGCTCTGCAGGCCCGTCGAGCACTCCTCAATCTGCGACTCGACGCCGATCGCCTTCAAAGCCATCAACGCCCCCTAAACAGTCAACACCACAAACGAAACCCACCACGCCCAGTAAGACTCCTCCGTCTGCCAATGTCTCCTTCCGAAGCGCTTCCCCGAAAAAGCTCTTCAGGCCGGAGCTCAAGAAACAGTCGGCGGAAAAACGCAAGTCTCCTCGTCGAAGCATTTTTGAACAGGATACGGCTACTGGCCAGTCAACTCCTCGCATCATCTTGCAGCCCCGCGAAGGGCGTCGCTCTTCCGGGCTTGGAATCGACAGGGAAGGCCTTGGGTCGCCTCGTGTCGCTGCTATGCTCGACAAGCGCCTGTCTCTCGGTGAAAATACTCCGCAATTTGCTCCTCAGGAACGATCTCGTGGCGGTGTCCGCTTTGAGGACCCATTGAAAATGCAAGCGGAGGAAGAGGAAGATCGCGAACAAGAAGAGCTCAGAGAGGATGGCCATATACTATCTGGCAATTCTGATGAGCGGGACGTCACCGCGAGCCTAAAGGACATGATTTCAAGTCTCAGTCCGAAGAAACTCAAGGGCCGAAAAAGTCTCCATGTGGGAGCCGCACGTGGTATTCTCGGGAAACGCCCCATCGAGCTCGATGTTGAGGAAGAGGAGGCCGAGAACTCACCCAAACGACTCCGCGGGCATGATGTGAGCCCTGTCAAGGGTGTCAAGCTGCCAGCCCCGACACCCCAGAACAGGCCGCGTAAGTCGATGCGCTCTCCGACTCGTAGGGCCGTCAGTTCTTCTCCTCTAAAGAACAGCACCACTCCTACTCATGAACCTCGAAATGCATCCAAAACCGGCGCCACCCCTCAGAAAGAGGATATTGATACCCCGAATATTGCTTCTGATCCCCCACAGCCGGAGCCAGAGGATGCAGAGGTCATCTCCCAAGAACAGAGTGCTGATAGCGAGCCTATTCAGCTACAAGACTTCCTGAACATGACCAACATTCATTTCATGGAACTCACTACAACCAAGAGACGACACACCACTGCTCCTGGAAGTGCTACCAAGAGACGAAGCCGGAGAGCGAGCGAGATCACCAGGGCCGGAAGCATTACTTTCAATGATTGCGTGGCTGCTGGTTTCTGTACGGTGCCTATGTTGGAGCTGTACCAACATGTGAGTTTACCTGGTAACACTGCTTAATAGTACATATTGCTGACCTTTTGTAGTCCTGCCGTGAGTTGAAGTCGTATATCTCGGAAGGCCGACAGGTTATCCGATCGATTGAGGCCGAAACATACGAAGACAACCCTCCTCTGTTCCGGGAGTATGTTACGGCACCGCCAGACATTCGAGTTATCATGGACAACCAGTTCCGAAATGTCAAGACTCATGCACGACTTCTCAGCAAGGCTACATGGTATGAGTGGCGTATGAAGCTCTTGGAGGGTCTCAAAGAGGGTCTTCACCGAAATGTGAAGGACATGAAAGCCGATGACGAAATACTTTCTCAACGCGAGGAGCTTCTCAACAGTGCCGTGCCTGCTCTCGTGGAGAAGCACGCCTCTCTAGAAGAGGAAGCAAACAACTTGCAGCAGCTTGTCGAAGAGATGGAGAGCTGTGATCAAGATGAGTTGTGCAGCGCTCGCAAGACGCTCTCCGGTCTTGAGGATGAGATCGAGGCGAAGAAGCGAGAGCTTGTACAGCTGCAGAACGAGGCCCAAGAGAGAACAGACTTGATTGAGGCCGGGACGGAGATGCGTGAGGAATTTATGACCCAGATCCAGCAGGCGGAGCGCGTCAAGGAGGAATGTCGCGGGTGGAGCGCTCGCGATATCAACGAGCTCAAAGCTTCCGTACAGCGGATCGAGCGCCAAACTGGCTGGGCAATTACATCTGCATCAGCTAATGATGAGGAAGCCACCGACCCCATATTGATCATGTCATACCGAAGCCAACTGCAAATCATGTTCCACCCCGGAGCATTTGCCACCAAGAACCCCAATGCCGACAAAACCAACAAACTTCTCGATTTGAGCTTCATTAGTGGTAAATTGGCGTCTCCAATCGCATCCCTCGTCCTCCAGTCACTGCGAAGCCATCTAGCCACCATTCAGCAATCAAAGATTACCCCGAAGCAGCTCTTGCACTTCGTCTCATCCGCATGGGATCGCGCTCTTGGTCTCGAAAACGAGGCTCGCATGCTCGAATTCTGCGGCGTCACTCGTCTGACGCTCTCCGAGCCCGCCGAAACGTCCTTGTCTCTCCGTGCTCGTTGCACTCTCCTCGGCAACGCTGCTGCACCATCCACGCCGAGCCGCAAAGGTACCGCAGCGAAGAATAACGGAACTAAACGAATCGACGTCGACTTCAACGTCCGCACTCACATCATCCCCGAAGACTCGAAAGAGATCGGATCTCTAGACTTCAACATCGACGTCCTTGCAACCAAAGTCTACGGCTTCGGATCCGGAAACAAGTCCGGCCTATCAGGCAAGGAAATGCAAAGTATCCTAGGCAAGGGACTTAAGCACCAGGATGGTGAAGCCCACCTTGGAAACGGTGTTTGGTGTAAGGCTGTGCGATTGTTAACTGGGTCTGTGTTTTAATTCTGGGTTATGATATCCCCTACTTTTTCTATGGCGTTGGGGAGAATTGGCACGGATGGCCCTGGGAGATGGGGCAAGGCGTTTATGGGGTCAAGAATCTGACCTTTTCTTCTGATTAGCTGGGTTTTAGCGATTTATACATGCTTATTTTCGGGGGTTTAAACCCCCAACACAAACCACTACTCCTTTACAACCCGACACATAGCTTCCTCAATACAGGGCCACCGGCCCTCCGTTAGACTACTACTCACAAGCCTAATCCTATACCGCTTGCTCATCCAGTTTTAAATTCGGACAGCATTTACTCTTCCCTAAGGGATGGCCCTAAGAAAGAGGTACTATAACTAGAACCTGGCTCATAGTGCTTAAAGAACTGCAATCATTCCATTCATCCTCTACAACTAACTACCAAAGATGCATTGTCATTTCGCTCATGTCATAAAGATACGCAGACCCAATCGGAACAGCGCCAGCTCATTTTTCGAAACCTCCACGCTGAACGCACCAACCACTTCAATGCAAGAGAAAGAGGAAAGATAAACACAAAGACTCAATCCTGAGGCTCATAACCCACAGTGCGGCTAGAAAAGTCCTAAAAACCCATTCGGCCATGTCGACTCCGCTTGCGACTGACCTTGATACGGATCCTGATTGGGATCTTGTGCGTCGAATCCAGCTGTAAAGTTATACGGATTCTCCACGCCTCCAGTAGCAGCATTATACCCCATATTAGCATCTTGTTCCGTACCCGGCATATCGAGGAAGGACTCGGCGGAGAGTACGGGGAAGTGCATATCCGTGGCTTGAGCGGATGCGGCGATGCTTTCGGTGGGGAAGAGACCTGCCCAGATATTGTCACCGAACTCCCAGTCTGCGGTCAGTGGCACTTGCCATGATTCTGGGATCATGTTGCCTGGTGTGCTCGTGCTGCTTTGGGAGAAGGGGGAGTGGATGTTGTCCATGGGAGATGAGTTTGCGGTGTGGGACTGGCTGTGATCTTGTGCGAGTTGCCAGGATGGAAGGCCCATGTCGCTGGCGTTTGCACCATTGAGGTCTAACCCTAGACCCGTGACGTAATTTGTGGTTGGAGGTTGTTGGGGCATTGTTGGAAAGTTGGTTGTGACGTTTGGGCTGAGAGGGACGACGTAGCCGGAGGAGTTGACGGGTGGAAGCCCTTCTAAGGCTTCCGGAATGCTGAGGTCCGGCATTTGGGGGCGGGACATGGATGAATAAGATTGTGGAGGTGGAGGTGCTGTAGTCATGCTTGGTCCTTGAGAGCCTACGGCGTCAGGGGTCATCGTTGTTCGCAAAGTTGAAGGTCGATGGCGGTGCTTTGAATGTGATCCCGAGGTGGTTCGAGAACTTTGCCGTTTCGTGCCGGATGGCTGGTGCTCGTGATCTGTTTCACCCGATTCTCGCACCCGTTTCTCATCTTTATCAACTGCTGATCTGGCAATGCGCTCCAAATTGGCGCTCATGCGAGTCATGAAGCCCGCGTAGTTGATTGGCCCGTCACCAGGGACGAGCGTTGCGAAGAAGGTCGCAGCCATGCTGAGAGTTGCGAGATCATCTCGAGCATGCGGGCCACGAGTATCACGAATGATGCTTGAGAAGATCGTTGCCGCTGCTAGGAAGACGTAGTATAAAAGGCTCCTAGAGGTGGTGTCAGTGAGACAAAGAATCAGTACCAATTGGTATCGCACTTACCAGATCCATGCAATGTCTCCCCACGGCATATTATTAATCATTTTCAGCGTATCCCGCGCAGCTTGTACGCAGATAACTCCTGATTTTGAGGCGTGGGCGATGCTGAGCAACTTGAGTTCTGGAGGGGTCTCCTCACGTTGGCCTTTTAGATAGTGTAACAGGAGGGGTATGCGGTGGATCATGATGAGGGCATTATAGTAGGTAAAATGGAGACCAATAGAAGCAAATCCAAACAGGAAATCGCTTCCACCAACTTGAATTTTAAAATCGTCGTTCATAGGGTAATCCTTTTTCCAGTCCTCAAGCTCTGCATGCAGTTCCTTGACCGTCTGGTATATCTCACGGGTTGGTTTGAGCATTGCCTTGGCCGAGTAAAGACCGCAGAAGATACGGCTTTTGATCACTGACATGCGACAAAGTTGTCGGAAAAATTCAATATTGCTTGGTGATCCGGATATTCTGTCGTCTTCTATTTCTTCGGGGAGAGGGACGTCGAAGTCATCGGGATGCTGGGACGGGGCGTTCCCAACTCTTAAGCAGGTACTAGAAGACAAAGGTTAAAAGCAAAACAAAATTGTTCTAGTACTTGATTGCCTACCTCTGGTCAATCGTAAAGGCGACCCAGAATACACGTCGCCTCTGCTCTCGCTGTGCAGAGCTCAAATCCGGTCTAGCAATGTTACGGTGGAGGCCCATCCGTTGGCACGATCGCATAGCGGCGGTGATGAGAGGCAGTGAATACTGAGTGCCAGAGTTTCCACGAAGAAAGAAGGCCATGTTCAGCAAGGCCTGGACGCTGAGAAGATCGGTGCGACGCAAAGCCAGATCCGTGAAAACCGACATTGCATTTTTGAAATAGAAACGGGCCTTTTCCCGGTCTTTTTCTGGCTTCGGGCCGTTTGAAATTCGGTATTCGTAAGCAAGACAGATGACCATGTTGATGCTGGCCCATCGCGCGGCATCATCACAGGTCTGCTGTGTATACTGCCACTCGACCATCTTCATAAAGGAGGCCTCGTGGTAGATCGGAAACAGCCTGTTCGCTGTTCGGAAAAAGTCTTTCATGAGAGAGAACACCTCTGATCGAGGCGGAAGAGGCTTGTATACTTGAGAGGCAAACAGGTCGTGAAAGACATCCGGCCGCCACTGATTCCAAGGATTGTCGTGGGTGGAATCCGTAGATATTATATTTAAGAAGCTGACATCGCCAGTCTTTTTCTTAATCCACTCAATTCCATCTCGTGAAAGAATTGACAATGAGCATGATCGTCCTGTTCCCCCTTCCTGTTAGCCGGGCGTCACTAGTTAGAGAAATGCAGCAAAGAGACCGACCAAAATATCGCGAGTCATCTTGCTCATGCTGCTTGAACATGGAAGTCGAGTCAAGATCGCCACCGCCGGCATAATTTTCAGTATCCTGGGTCATGGACGAGCGGTTTGATGAAATGGCAGATGCATCTGGTCGTTGGTGGCGAGCATCCCACTTCTCATCTATAATTTCGGTCTCATCATCTGAGAGGCCCTCCTGGGCCATATCGTCCTCATGCAGAATACCCGCAGTCCTGAGCAGATACTCTACTCTCTCCAGACGATCCTTCAAGGCCTTTACATATTCATCGCTGCGGGGATCATATCAACGACGGGACTGAAACCCAAGAAGAAAAGAACATAAATACCTCTGAACATCGGCATTGTCGGGTCCGGAGAAGGTGCATCTAATTCCGCGACGAGCACATTGGACACAGACCGGACCGGCCCCTTCGACTTCGCACTTGGTCTTCTTCCGGTAACAGCTTTCACATGCCTGGGATCCAGTCAGCCATCGCCCGGGGAGATCGATCAATCCGCGTACCCGTTGGCTTCTCAGCCTCGAGGCCGATCCCTTAGCCATATTTGTGGCGGGGATGGAGTTTTCGTTCATAGCATAAGGGTTTATGCCAACCGACTGCCGGCTTGCGTTGTGCATTTCCCCCGAACGGCGTCATCCGCGCCTGTTCATGCCAAGACCTTTTTCCTGCCTGTCACCGTCTATGGGGAAACAGATCTTAGCGCCGGAATATCAACACGTCACAACGCAATAAAGGTGAAAAAGGCGTGGATTTTCAAAGGCAAAGAACATGCAGCATTTGAGGTGGGTGGTGGTTGACGTCGGCAACTCGGCACATCCGAATCCCGGCGCTTTTTGCTGGGCGATGAACTCTGAATTTTGGTTGTCGTCACATTGCTATATCAAAGTATTCCAAAATTTCCTATTGTCTTATCGGGTTGCGATGAGCATGTTCATGACTGCTAATTTTGACATTGCTGACAAGATTATGCCTAGGTAAGACATCTGGATTGTGGGAATTGCATAAATTGCATCTTTTGTGCATATTATTTGTCACTCAATATATACTATAGACCCTAGACACGACTGGATAATGCCATACGACCGAGCACGGGGCCAGTAGCACAGACTAAAAGATATTCAAGCATATCTAAGCTTAAACAGATAACATCTCCACGTCACCAGCTGACAAATTAATCCCCCGCACGGAGATAATGCCTTAGATCTTGCTGTAAAGATGTAATTTTTCCCCGGACCCACGACTCCAGACTTTACTGTTGACATTGAACATGCGTGCTACTACCGTCGGAATCGTCTCTATCGGAGACATGGGCTTGGGCATGGCGAAACTGCTCAAGGCCCACGGTTATCGGGTGGTTACCGTCGCAGAGGGGAGAAGGTGAAAAGGGTACTTTTTACAACTACAACAGGGCCGGCTAACAGAGGCCAAAAGTGAACATACCCAGGCACGAATCCACGCGGCTGGCATCGAGGCGCTACCTTCCGACCAAGAGCTTGTGGTCCAGGCGGACTACATTTTATCCATTGTACCTCCCCGAAATGCCCTCGCAACAGCGGAACGTATTGCGGGGGCCCGCAATGAGCCCGATACAGCAAGCAGACGGCAGGAGCTAGAGGATGTCAACCATCGGCCGAACCGGAGCGATCTCTTTTACCTCGACCTCAATGCAAAGCCGGCCCGATTGGCCGAGGAAATGGCGGCACTCTTTGCGCCAGCCACGTCAACCTCCGAACCGCAAGCCGGAAGCCACTTCCTCGACGGCGGCATCATTGGGGGCCCTCCGAAGCAGCTCGCGGACGGGACGTGGAAGAAACCCAGCATAGTGCTGTCGGGCGCGGTGGATCTTCCCCCCACGTTTGATGGCCTGACCAGTACGCTGAACATGAAACTTGTGTCGCCGAAGGTTGGCGCGGCCTCTACGCTCAAGATGTCTTTCGCAGCATTGACCAAGGGCCTCACCGCGCTGTCGATCCTGTCCTTCTCGACGGCTGAGCGGGAATCGCTTCTTCCAGAGTTGCTGGAGCATCTTGACGCTTACTCTCCACATACGGCGTCACTGGCCCGTGCCGGCGTCATTGGCATGAGTCCCAAGGCATATCGATGGGTGGACGAGATGCGTGGCATCGGCGAAACGTTCGATTCCGAGGGCGGATGGGATGGAGTCGGGGCCAGTGTCTATGGCGGGATCGCCGAGGTCTACCGGGCGGTGGCGGAGGATACGATCTTAGGACAAGAACGCGTCGAGCAGCGACGACGAGGGACGAGTGTAGAGGATGCCGCTAGCATCATCGCGCAAAGAGCGGAGCATAACCTCTGAAACAATGTCATCGGAGTGACGATCCCACCGGAGTGGCTTTGGTATGTACTGTAGAATGGAAAGTACTGCCAAGCACCCTTGTTACGCCGAAATCTCGTAACAATTCAGTCCGCGTCATCAACAAGTGGGGGCATCCGCGGCCCAGACAGACCGTCCGAGCGGAGATGCCTTGAAGAGCCCCCTATTTTGTGTTTGATCTGTAGGACATTCGCGCCTAATTCACGAAATCTGGGGATCTATAAACGTCTTTTGGTCCCCCTGTACACCGGTCGAATCCGGTCCAATACCTCGGGGACTATAGCATGATCCCAGAGTATTTCACATCATCTCGGCGGTGAAAGCGTGACCCCTGGATGGGCCGACGGACGAACCAGAAGTCGCGATCACGACATTTCTCCATTCTATCAGATCATCGACTAGGGCGATCTCCTGGCTGAGGCTGGCCTCTTTCCCTCATTCACCACCCCCCCCCCCTCTCTATTATTCCCTCGGTCCAATCCGCCCCCTTTTCTGACGTCTCTTTGTGCTTCTGATTCGCGTACGTGGCTCGTGGCTCCTTATGCGCTTCCACCGCGCCTCCGTGTACTTTCTGTAAAAGGCCATCGCGGCCGAAACGTCCACGATATCCTCCTAGTGCCACTTATTTGCTTGTTTCCGAGATCGTCACCCTCCACCCACCTCCTCTACTCCGATCTGGGGTTTACCGTGGTAAAAAAAAAAAAAAAAAAAAAAAAAGAAAAACCATTTGGTCTAAGAAGTCTGCCCACTTTCCACCTTACACAAATCTTACCTGGCCGCCCCTCTCCCTGGAGGAGCCCTAAACGCAGCTTCTGAACTTTGGACCCCCCCAGTCGTCTTTTCATTCCTTTCTTTCTACACATCTTCACATCATGTCGGAGGAACAAGCCTCGCGCCCTCCGGAGGCGTTCGACAAGCTCGAAAACTTCAACTTCTTGCTGTCTCGCACCGACCCGGCTGCTGCTGCCAGGAACCGTCATTTTTCGTTCGACGCTGATACCGGGCTGGTCCCGTTTACCAACGTGAACATGGAGTATGATCAGACCGAGGGAATGGGCGGCCTCTCAGTCAGCTCCTACGACAGTATAGATAGTGATCGCGCTTCTCTGGATCTCCGGGGATATCCCTATCACGGTACGTGAAGCTTTGACTCTTTTGCCAGATGTTGCATTTCTTGCGCCATCGCCGCTTGTGGTTCGTGTTTTTTTTGATTGCTGGAGCCTTGGCTGTGAATCCTGGGGACCTGAGTTGCATTTGCATTTGCATTCGCCTCTGGGAAATCCCGTATTCCTTTTTTTGGTTTTGTTTTTCATGCATATGCGTTATTTTATGCCAGTTCAGTTTTCAACCCTTGCAAATCACCAAATCACCACATCACCACATCACCAAATGCCCATCATGTTCCCTCGGGCTCTCCTATTTTTGGGTTTAGAGCTCATACTGCACATGTCCGGCCACGCTTGGCCGATGATCAATCTCATTGTGGGATGAGATCACCAATTTCCATAGCGAGCACGCAATCCCGCACGCAGATGGCATGGCATACCCTGTTCTGTGCACACCTCCCCCTCATTCTGTGAACCCTTTTTCCCCGACTTTGCAAATGGTCGAGCATTCGCCGCCTCTCATGGGGTTGCGAATATCCTTCCATCCTCCCATCTCTGTCTTCCCCGTCTTCCTCATCCTCCGTTCACGATGAATTCCTCTACCTCCCTCCGAATCGATCGCTTACTCCATCCAACAGTACCTACGGGAGACAAATCAATCAATTACTCGGTCCCGGACCATATGATGCCCTACTCGGCTCACTCTATCTACCCGCCTGTTCCATTCGCGCCCGATGAGCTCGGTCACGCGCCGGGGGCTCTAACGCCTTCAGATGTCTCCTCATCCATCTCTCCGCCAAATGGCCAGATGGGCAACACCAAGTACTCCACTTCCATCCCTGGGGACCGCATCGCTGCGGCTCTGGGTCAGGAGGAAGGTGTCCATGTTGCGGCCGAAGAAGACCGCCGGCGCCGGAACACGGCTGCCAGTGCTCGCTTTCGCATGAAGAAGAAGCAACGCGAGCAAGTCCTCGAGCGCACCGTCCGCGAGACTACCGAGAAGAACGCTTCTCTTGAGGCTCGCGTGGCTCAGCTTGAGATGGAGAATCGCTGGTTGAAGAATCTCCTTACCGAAAAGCATGATGCTACTCCAGCTCGCGTGGCAGCTCCACCTAAAGATGCCTCGGCGCTCGAGTCAAAGGCTGGCTCCGGTCGTCATGGCCAGAAACATATCCAGCCCAAAAAGAAGGGCGTCGGCACTGATGAGTAAGGGCTGAAATCAAAGTTCTTGCTTAACCTTTGCTTTGCTTTGCGTTCATGTATCATCTCCCTTTTAGCGGGATCTGTCCGCTCCTCGGTGTTTTCTTCAATCTTGTTTTTCTTTTATGCTCGGAGTGTTCCATCCTTTCAATGGCTCGTCTTCTTTATATTCCATAATAGGAAAACTAGCTGGAGGATGGAATCGCTCCATGACGATGTCACGACCTTTCTCTCCAATTCTCATTCTTCACCTCGGACCTTCCTTCCGATTGTGGCTTCTGCGATTCTTAGGGATGGTCTAAACTCCCGTCGGACCCGGACGTTATCTTCCTCGCCTCCGTTCTTGGATTTGCCTTCCCTGTCTATACACCCTCTGCCTCATCCTGGGCGTTATATCATGTCCTTGCCCAGGTTCTCGATATTTCTCCCCATCCTATCTGCTTTCGTGCTGTTCTTTTGGTGCATTCTGCATGTGGTTATTGTTCTCGTTCCCTAGTGCAGGGTCGGGATCGACACTAGATGTGTTGAAGTGTGGTGTTGTATGTGCACTTGAGGATTTTGTTATGGATGGCTCTCTTCTACGCTATCTTGCTTCTTGCTACGGGAATTCTGGTTGCTGTGATACGGGTTGGATTTGCTTGCATTATACATAACAGACCTTGCTTGCTTGGGCTACAATTGAGTCCTGAGTTTCACTTTCCAAGCTTATCTTTATCTTGATGCTCGTAGTTTCCGTCGGCTGTTCAATGAAGTGTTGAATACTGCGTTCCTAGACAAGTCTATTCTTAGCCTGCATTCATGCTTTACGCTCTATGTATACCCTTTGCTACATTCTACTGACCTGAACACTGGATACTTAGATCAAACTTCATTAACACCTAGTAAATTACCGTGCCCAACTATCCTATCCATCACCGGGCCACAAGATAAAAACCCCACAATCAGAAAGACAAAAGAACCAAAAGAAAAAAATAAGAACCAAAATCCCAAAACAAGATGGTATTACATTAAGACACAGAATGATAAAAAAAAATTCCACCATACAGTCCAAACCAGAAGAAGCCCGTGTCTGTGTTCCTGGCCATGTTCGTAATCCCTGTGCTTCGGTTGGTGATGGTGAATCAAGGTACTCTCGAGACCCACCTCGACCATACAAAGAAACCGGGGTGCCACGAGCACGACCCACGGGTACTGTATCACGACATTCGAGCATGTGAATTGGTAAAAAGCGCATGGGTTCAACAGGGACCATTGCGTGACCGATGAGTGCCGGAAAGTACCGATGTCGACATCTGGGGGTATTTCTGCATGTACCGATCGCGCCATAGACGCAGCTGTGACGCGTATAATGAGCGTGGGGAAGTCTGCCGGGGAGTTGGGAGATGGTAGTCTTCACCCCAGACAGCTTCAAGTAAGAAAAAAACAACAACAACGGAGCCGTCAGATTCGTGACTAGTGAGTGGGCTTATACGCCCATGGGCTCACGCTCCTCTTCACGGCCACGCGCCTCGCCTTCAAGGATCCCTTCCTCGTCATCGTCGTAGTTGGGGTGCTGATCGGCGGGCAGCCACGAATCCTGGTCTCCCTCTAGGGGCTGGTCCTGGCCGGAGAGGTCGACGCCGTCGCGGTTCTTGATCGCGTTGCTGCGGCGCTGGGACAGGGTGCGCGAGCGCGTGGAGAGACCGGACTTGACGACTGCCTTGGAGGTCACCCAGTTGCTGAGCGCATCCTCGCAGTCTTGGATGATGGCCTTGCTGGCGTCGTAGCCGTCGTATGCGTGGCGGGTCTCGCCAGGGGTCACGGGCGTGTCATCGATCAGGTCGATCAGATGCTTACCGTACCCGGCGATGATGGCGACCTTTTCACAGTGCTCGCGCAGCGCGTCGAACTGGTACTGGAACGCGGCCTTGACCTTCTCGCGGGTGATGTTGGAGAGCTGCGCTTCGGCGACCAGGGACTCGGCCTCGGCGCGGACAAGCTCCTGCTCGAGAACAACGATGCGCGGGGATTGGGGGTCCTTGTACTTGAGCTTGGCGATCTCGTCGGTGATCTTTTGCTTGCCTGGTTGGGGGGTTAGTCAATGGCCCGGAATCGAGATCGTGGTTGAGGTTGGGGTCTGGGTCTTACGGTCTCGGCTGGGCTGCACGGAAGCTTCGATGTTACGGATGCTCTTGATGGTCACGCGATACTGGTCGTAGCGGTCGACGAATTGGTCTTCCAGCTCACCGATCTCGTAGATCAGGACGCCGAGCTTATCCGTGACATCCGACACGTCCTCGTCGCAGGCCTCACCCCACAGGGACAATTGTTGCTACAAAAACACCCCGTTAGCTTTTCCGACTCGATTCAATGCGTTTGAACTGGGGCGATCGGGTATTCGACATACAGCGACCTCCATGCGCTCTCGGGCGACGAGCTCCATGCTGCGCATGACGTTCTTCTCCATCTTGACGAGCTGCGACAGCTTGCGCGCGAGATCGGGGCCGAAGGCACCTGCGGCATTTTTACGGAAGGCATGTCCTGAGCAATTGATTAGCGATTGTTCTTTCGCCAGTGGTGGTGGTCGAGTTCGCAATCCCGTAGCTTTGTCCGGGCGGAAGCGGATACCCGATCAGGCATCCGAGTCGAACGAGGAGCCCAAGCGGGTCACAACTCAGACCAGACCTCAACATTCAACACTCAGCACTTACCGATGCCACCCTTTCCTAGCCAGCGGTTGGACTTTGTTGTGGACAATGGGGGCGGGGGGCTCTCAATCTGCGCGGCGGTCGGGGCGCGCGACTGGCGCATAGAATAGGTGCGATGCATAGCGGGTGTTGAGTAATGAGTAAAGAAGAGAGAGGGAGGGGAGGGTAGATGTAGACGTAGATATCGAATTGAAAGGTACCTTGCAGGAGTCAGGAAAAGGAGCCAGGGAAAAAGAAAGGTGCCTTGCGCAGTAGTGACGTGAGCTAAAAAGAGGGGGGGGCAGCTTCACCAGTCAGGAGTACGTTACTTACTCTGAGGATTTTTTCTTTCTTCACGGGATACGACGGAACTCTGCAACCGGATATGTCCAAGACCAAGTTCAAGGCTCGGAAGTTATAGAAACGAAAAGAGAAAACTTTCGTGACGTCGTCAATTTGGACACTTAACCCGTTTCGGCGGTAACGAGGTGAAAGCTAAGGATATCAAACCTCCCCTAGCAACCAAAACCCAAACGAACCCATTAATGAGCCTGAGCCTGAGCCTGAATCTGAGTCCGGACAACTGCGGATCTGCTGCGCCTCGCTCTTGACCAGTACTAGTGTCTCCTTAATTCCTGCTTAATTGAGTATTGAACAAGGCCGATCCAATAGCGTCGATTTCGGGGGTTGTTGCATCGCGCTCTCACGATCGCTGACGTCATCGGCCTAGGGACATTGATGTCATGGCGTCAGCCACTATTGGTTCTCCAAAACTATACACCGTCATGAGTTCCTAGAGTTACATTACAAAATGAGAAAGAAGTAGAAATTGTACCTGCAGTTAGAGTCATTGACGATCGGCAGTGGGGGAGAAAGGTCAGAACGGATCGGTGGGGAGCTCAGTGATTTGGTACGCTAGATGTCTCGGGAACGGTTGATCATGGAATATCATCGACTATCATTGATGGAGATTTAATCTAGGTACAGTAAAGATAGTACCCCAGAACCAAGCCCCTGGGTTTTCGTGTTTCGAGACCCGGGTCATGTCTTGCGTTTCTTGTTCGGGCCCTTGGCACTGCCTTTCGATGCCCCTCGTTTCCCCCTCGATCCCGAACCTTCCTCGGCTTCGCCCGACCGATCTGCCCCTTGGGCTTGCTGCTGCAGTCGGTTGAACGCCTGCTCCATGCGACTCGGTCCACTGCCTCGGACTCGGGGCGCAAAGGCTCCCGCGCCCTGGGGTCCCTGCATGAACTGCGTGATGTTCGACTGCGTGCCTTCCTGCTCCCGTCGATTCATATCGCGAATGACAGGTACCAGGATCTCATCGGTACGTTCCTGACTCCAGCCGATCGTCGCCATGAGGAAGTGTCGCAGTCCGTTGAGATCGGGTATACCCCATTGGAACTGTGACGGGTCGGAGTCGACCTCGGGCTCGAGATAAGCCTCGTCGACTCGAGTATCAGGGAAGGAAGGAGCGAGGAAGATCTTCGAAGCCTTCTTCCGGAATTTCTTCCGAAAGGCTTGGTGGGGATCATCGGGCTTATTCACGCCCATTTGGAGATCCCCCCACCAGTCACGAAACTCTTCTAGACTCGAGAACTCAGTGATGATCTCCAGCGCGGTCACGGGTCCGACTCCCGGGATGCCTTCTGTGTAATCGCTACCCAGGAGATGCGCAAAGCTGATGAGCTTGCGCCGGTGGAGGGCGTACTCCTTCTCAAAGTCGGACGTCAGGTAGCATTCCACGAACTTGCTCTGATTGAACATGTTCTTGTAGACCCGGGTGCCTCCAAAGAGGAAAATATCGCTATCATCCGTGACAATGCCATCCACAAGACCCAATGAGACGAGCTCGGCGCATTGCGCTTCGGCTTCCATGGGCGCAGTAACATAGGGCAATCCGAAGAGTGTAAGCAGCTGCTGGCACTCATTGATCATGATCTGAGTCACCTCGTCAGCATCACGTCGATCTTTGCGCTGCTGATTTCGGAGCTGCTTCAACTCTTGTTCGTAGTCAAAGGCATCCTGGATAGGTGCTGCCGAATTCAGGGTCTGCGCGAAGCGGACGTGTTCTTCGCTTTCAGCAGCAAGCTGTTGCATCAGGTCTTCATCTTCAGGGTCGCTGAAATCAACATCGTCTTCGACAAATTGATCAGGCCGGGTGAGCTCGACTTGCGGCTTGGGGTGTTGGTCAGAGATCACTATGATTTCCGGAGCTTGCGTTGGCGGTTGAGCCAAAACATCTTCAAAGTCTGGCTCGGGAGAGGGCTCAACGTGGAAAGGCTGTTTCGGAACGTTGGCCTCTTCCGTCTGGTTAAGGTTAGGCTTGTGCTGATCAGCAACGACCGTAGTCTCCAGACCGGGAGCTGGTGCCTGGCCCACGTCCTCGAACTCAGGTTCAGGCGAAGACTCGGCCTGGGGAGGCCGTGACTGAGCCTCGGGCTCTTCTTCCTTCTCGGATGTAGATTTAGTAGGAAGTTCCTCAGTGGGAGATTTCTTTCCCACTGGCTCCTCCAAAGCCTCAACCTCTGGAGATTTGGGTTTCGTCTCTTCCACGTCCGGAATGATTTCAATAGGAGCCTTGGCCTCCGTTTCTTTTTCCTCTAGCTCGTCTAGATCAACAACCTCTTTTGTGTCTGGCACTTTATCGATATCAATAATATCCGGCGATCGACGGTTAGAGAAAACCACACGATCATGCTCCGTCGCATCATCCCGATCGTCGGAAGGCCTATCTACAATGAATTCCTGATTCAGTCGCTCGCCAACAAACCACGGTGGAAGCGGATCGGTCTTCTTCTTTTTGGTAGGCTCCTTTATGAAACCTCCAGCATCTTCATCAACCTCAGCAGGCGGGGCAGGTTTAGTCGACTTGTTGAGAGTGATGGGTTCGAAGGGAAGAGGGCCACTGAATGGATTGGCAGCTTGCGGCTTCTTTGAGACTTTTGTCTGTGCGATCGCAGCTGAAAAGTCCATTCCGTCGTCATCGCTTTCGGAAAGGTCTTCCATGGGCCCAAGGGGTGTTGTCGTGTCTGTTGCTCGATTAATGCTGATATCAGGCAAATCTTCGTCGGGTGCTTCGTTCGGTTGCATGGAGAGAGCAATCGCTCTTTCAAGATCGTCATCTCCATCGTCATTGAAGAAGTCTTCGGTGGTATTTTCATCTCGGACGAAAAGTTCGTCGTCATCAGCACTTCCAATAGAGTCTCGTCTATTTTGGTGAGACTTAAAGAGTGCCCTTTGAATGTCCGCATCTTCTTGCTCTTGATGAAGAGACTGGTCGAAAACACCCTCTTTCAGAAATGGAAGTTTGGGCAGCCTGTTAAGCCCTTCGATCGGAACGTCTTCGAACTCCTCGTCGTCCGACGCTTCCGATCCAGACAAGGCTTCTGGCAAACCGTATGTATCCACGTCAATAGGTTTGTCCTCATACCCTTCATTCTTGTTCCCAACAACACCCAGCACCCAGCCACCTGCATGCTCACTATCTTGGACGAGGACATATTCCCTGCCACGCTCGCCAGCGATTCGTTGACCGGAGTTGTAAAATGCCTCTTCTCCATTCATGCCGTTGATGTTCATTAGTCGTTGCGTCAAGTCATTTCGCTCTTTAACCCGCTCGATTTGAAACCTTGAAAAGTCCATACGATTTGGGAACATAATATCCAACTGTTCCTGGGAATAACCCATCCTCATACGACTTCTGAGTCTCGCGGCATTCAAGATGTTGTATCGATCAGATGCGGGTAGACTGAGAAAGAAAGGACTGTCAAAGTCAATCTTGGAAAAATCGTAGAGGTTGATATCTTGTCCTTGGTGGAACTGCCGTGCGTATTCTTCTAGTTCGTCTTGAGACATAATTCGTGGATCATTCGGAGCTCCCATCTGTTCCAACGAAACATCCAAGTTTGGTAGATGATAAGCGTCCTTCTTCTTGAATTTGCGTGTTTTTTGCTTCTCCTGCTCAGTCATGAGAGTCTCATCCGCGTACAGAGGCGCATCGGGAACAGCCTCCTCCGTTTCCTGAATGCGGTCCCGATTTCGACGGCGCTGTTCAGCTTCTTCTTCGGCACTTCGTTGCATTTGCACCGCAAGCAGCTTCCCCGCCGTCCGTGTAGCATCTTCTCTTCGGCCCTCGCGTCTCTTCTTGCGACCTGCGATCGTCTGTCGTTTGAGAACCGGGGCGCCTCCGTCGAAGACGAAAACAGGGCGGATGCCGAAATAAAGCAGCTTACATATCCGACGGAAGAATCCCACGACATGAGAGTTGCGCAGTGCGTTTCCCTCCTTGTCGCGCACTGCTTTGAGGAATTGATAGATCCAGATAGACGCGTCGACAGCTAAGCGTTTCTTGTTGAGGGTTTCGAGTTTGATCGGCCGAGCGCAGGGCTGAACCACTGTCCAGAGCCCGGTGACGCCCATGGCGATGCAGAGTGAGGTGTCACTCGAGCGAATTTGATCATCAGGTCGTGCCTTGGTAGTGAGCACGCCGATGACATCGCTCCACGTTTATATATAAAGTCACCTGATCTATGATTACCACTTTGGGACTAGAGCGGAATCTTCTTGCTTAATAAGCATAATGGAGAAGGAAAGAGCAATTTTGATATCTCGAAGAGATTCGAGGTAGACGCTGCAATTAACTTACCTGACGAGGAAGGTGTCGCTTCTCAATGCATGGGAAAACAAAGGGCCATGCTACCGTCACTTGAGGTTTGTGCCGGTGTTGAATTCCCCGTTCATCGAAATACCCCGCTGACCAAAATCGCAGCTTGTGGATGCTTGTCTTCCCATATCAGCATTGAAAACATTTGACTGGAACGATGGTAGCTTCATCTTTCAAGGCCAAGGTCCATTTTTAAGAGTAGTCGAGGACCGAACCGGGAATGTGGCTGCACAGGTCCAAATTTTCAGACGGAACAATGTGCATGGATTCATCATCCTTCCTGAACGAAAACATGAGGACGCGAAAGACACTACTCAAATTATAGTATGGGGCGGGAAATCCGTGCGTGCCGTTGATCTCAAGTTAGGCTCCGACAATGCCGTCACATTGTGCATATCCAGTGCCGAATTCCAAGCTCCAGACTGGATTATGAGCGGATGTGCTGCTGTCCTTGACCAGCCAGACACAGCGTATCTGGTCACGGCAAACAATGCGTTGTTGAGCTTGAAGCTCTCACCGGCTGTGCAGTCAAAATATCGCTTGAAAGTCAGCATCTATCAACTGGCAACGAGCGTCAAGTGCATCTTGTACGCTGTGGATCTCATTGCGCTCTCTGCCTCTCACATCCTGATTGCCGCAGGCACGGTTTTCGGAGAAATCATCGTTTGGTCCTGCTTCATCAAAGCAAATGGGCCATCGAAGTTAAATGCAGTTGGGTCGATTCACCACTACTTTACTGGTCACGACGGGTCAATTTTCGGCGTACGCATCTCGCCCAAACTTACATCTTTGAATGGTGGAAAGTCTGGTCGACTTTTGGCAAGCTGCAGTGATGACCGGACCATCCGGATATGGGACATCTCGGACTGCGAAAACAAATCACCTCAGGACCCTTCTGCATACTCTACGGATGGCTTCGAGCTTCGAGGCACTGGGTTTGGAGCTACTCAGGGGGATCCTGGCCTAACAGCTGAATCATGTGTTTCGAAAGCCTTTGGGCACATTTCTCGGATTTGGAGCGTAAATTTCCGGCCTCTCAGAGAAGACCAGCCCAATAAGATGGGCTTGGTGTCTCGAAGCGAGGATGCCACTTGTGCCGTTTGGGATCTGACCTGGAAGTCGGATTCTGCTGGCGCAACGAAATACGATTTACGCGAGACTTCTTCAAGTCTTCTTCATTCTGGGAAAAATCTATGGTCTCTGGATCTTTGCAGCCGAGGCGAAGAGACTGCCGTTTACTCAGGTGGTGCTGATGGTGCCTTGAACAACTTCATAGTCAAAGAGACCTGCGCCACCGATATTGCACCATCGGGTCATATTGATGGGTCTACAAAAGGCCGCCCTTCAAAGATTGGAACAAAAGCCTTTGGCTTTGTTTCACCAGACTGCTTTGTTGCCTGCTCAGCGAGCGCAGAGCTTCAACTTGGGCATATCGGTGCCGGGGAGAATGCGAATATCACCTGGGAGACATTGTGTACCGCAAAAGACCCCCGTACATTCTTTTTGATCGCTGGATTTCCGCAAAAGCGACTTGCATTGATTGGGAGCGGCCAAGGCTCCTTCCAATTGTACCGCCATGACTCTAAATCACTCTCCCGTCTTGTGGATATTGGCGGAAGACCCATCGGGCTCATTGCGCTTGAAACTTCGCAACCGGACGCTATTTCCTTCCTTGCTTATTATCCAATGGACAATACCGCAACATTGGTGTCAACCACGGGATTAGATGACGAGTGCCCGAAGACTGAGGTCGTTACTTTCAGTTTACCACAAGCGCCATTTGCGGTTTCTGCTGCATCCTTGATATGTGATGGCCAGTATCTAATGATCGGGTCTAAGCTTGGTGGTTTAGCTGTTTATCGAGTCTCGGATCTTGGAATGAACTCCCAGCCTCTGATAGAAGATCGACGTGTTCATGGCCGTGATGCTACAAACCACATCCAAGTGGTTCCATCGACGGAAGAATTCAGTTCTAGCAACCCTGAATATGTTTTAACGTGTGGACGCGATGGTTTCTTCTGTCTCCTCGAACTGTACCCCAGTGATGTCGGCTCCATCTCTTTCGAGGCAGTGCATAGGTCATATTCTGGCCTCGCAGGTAATATCGGAGGTGCGTACTTCGATGAAGCAAGTGGTGACCTGATGATCTACGGATTTCGATCACAATCATTTGTTCTTCGCAATGAGTCCAAGCAAAAGGACATCATCTCCATTCCCTCGGGTGGTGCTCGGAGAGGCTGGGCCTTTAACCCGAAGGCTACAATAGATAATGAGGCTGTGCTTCTTTGGAAAGATGGCCACGATATGTACACTCGCCGCATTCGTACAGATCTCAACCGGTGCCTCCGAGCTGGAAATCATGGACGGGAGATTAAGTCGATGGATAGCGTCGATTCAATCCAAGGCAGGCGATCACTCTTCGTTACTGGATCGGAAGATACTACAGTGCGCATCTTCGCGCTATCCAGCCCGGCCAGTGCAAGCCCTTGGGGATCCTTCGAATGTCTGCGCACATTGGACACACACAGAACGGGTATTCAGCAAGTCAGTCTGTCGAAAGATGGCCAGTATTTGTTCACAAGCTCTGGCTTTGAGGAATTCTTCGTTTGGAAAATCAAATTTGTCCCATCATTCGGTCTTGCGACGATACTTTTGGCTGCTAGCCCGAAAGATGACCCGAATTCGGAGCTTCGAGTAACCAGTTTCGATATGGTGGAAGTTAGAGATTCTGGAGCCGGGCAAGAGTTTCTCCTATGCTTGACACTTTCCAACTCCACGTTCAAGGTCAGTAGATTCCCTCAAGCTGATTGATTAAGGAAAATTAACAACCCCAGATATTCAACTTCTCTCCATCCAATGCCAAGTTCACACTTCTGGCTAGAGGAACATACATGACCAATTGTTTGACACAAGGTCATTTCTGGGTGAAAGATTCCTCAGTGAGCCTCATAACCGCCGCGACAGATGGATTCTTTACTCTTTGGGACTTGACCACAACCCTCGAACCATTTTACACCGTGTCTTCATCTATCGTGGTCGCAAACCCGTCTCTCGGAAGCTCGGCTATCTCACCCGAAGAGATTTCGTGTGAGAGTCGATACCAAATTCATTCCAACAGCATCAAAGCAATTGAGCTGATTTCAATCTCTGAAACCACCACCGTGATTGTAGCTGGAGGCGATGACAACTCCATCTCTGTGTCCCTCTTGAAGACGGATACCGATGGAAGCGCGCAGGTGATTACAGTATCGATACCAGACGCTCATACAGCCGCAACAACCACACTCAAAGTTCTCCGTCGACAAACCTCCCGTGCTACTGGATCCGATCATGAATTCACAACAATTACTTTCGCCTCCTCTAGCAATGACCACCGAGTCAAGATCTGGTCCATCATTGTGGATCCTACGCAACATGATGCGCAGGCAATCCGGCTGAATTTCTTGCTAGATCGATACAGCGCCGTCGCTGATCTATCATCCTTAGCACTGATTAAGACTTCCGAAAATGAAGGAACGTTGCTAGTCGGTGGAGTCGGTATGGAAATGTTTCAGATCAAGCTGTAGGGATTTGAACTGCATGATGACGATGTGCCGCTCGATTGTACATAGAACACAGGAGGCGGCGCTTTAGACTAAGTTAGTAGAATAGTCGCGGTACAAAAGAAAGACTATAGACTTGCTGCATTACCCGACCTTGCTGAAAGAAGTGGAAAGTATTTGTTCACAATCTCTACAAACCTGCACGAAACCAAATGCCCTCACTCTGCCAGTCCTTAGCGCCGTGTTCAAAAGGGATAAGGCACCTTTCCCCGCATAAATAGTATGCACATGAGTGGACATCATCACGTTGCATAGTCAGCTATAACTCATTGCGAAAAGGGGTTACCAGAACGAAATAGATCACCGAAAGAATCAAGGGTCGACTCCGCATCAGTGGATCTTCCCTGCATGGCCAACGGCTAAATTGAATACGCAAAAGAAAACCGGCGCGACATCCCATCTTAAACAACAAGGGTCCCGAAGCGGGGAAAATCAGGGGTTCGTCTGTCACAAGATACTTTGGCTTCACATTCCAAATGTAGCGCTATTAATATAATTCTCCAAATAGCACAACAACTTTCTTGATCCTTTGAATGTCTCGAGACATGAGAGTATCGAACAATCGACATTAATAGAACACATTCAGTATGAAGCACCAACTTCTTTACCTCGTTGGTATGGCTACGGTTGCTGCCATACCCTTGGCACATCAGTCTTCGGCTGCTTACTTCTTCACCTTGTACGGGATCTCGCAACCTGGGGTGAAACTGCCTGATAGGACTGATCACTGACCTCTGGCCTTATTAGCGGGGATTCGTATACCATGACTTCTTTCAATATCTCTGGTACACAGCCGTCTTCTTCGAACCCAATGGGGAATCCTAATTTAGGTCAGTCCAAGGCATACTCATTGGAAGAGCCAAATGCTCAAAGAATCCAGGAACCGGGACTACAGGTGGAGGTGTCAACTGGGTAGGAGACCTGACGACTGAAGACAATTGTTCGCTCGTCTTAAGCTACAATCTTGCTATTGGCGGTGCTACTATTGATAACCGCATTATAAATGCTACAGTCGAAGACATGACGACGCAGGTTGCGTCTTTCCACTCGATCTATGGCAAGAAGCCCCATGTTGCGCCGTGGAGGACTGGTAATACAGTGTTCGGGTTCTGGATTGGAATCAACGAGTACCGTCATCGCCGAATAAACTTTGTGGATTTTGCTGATTATTGACTTCCAGTATCGGCCGGGCTTATGCGAACTATGACGCCAGCGTCCTCGTTCCCAAACTCATGGCCCAGTACGAGTCTCTTGTTCAGGAGATTTATGCTGATGGTGGACGCAAGTTCCTGTTCTTGAATGCGCCGCCAACTAGTCGGAGCCCATTCATTCTGGCAGAGGGTGCACAGGCGTCGGAGGCACATGCGGCGTGGGTGACTGCCTACAATGACGGACTCGATACAATGGTGGAGCGTTTCAGACGGAAGCATAGTGATGTAAGTCTCTTCTCATCTGTATCTGACAGGGGAGTAACTGATAGTCTCTAGGTAAAAACTGTTGTCTATGACACTTGGTCCTTTATGACCAACATCTTGGATTATCCTGAGGAGTACGGGTACCCAGATTCCACGTGCATTAATGATGACGGGATAAGCTGTATTTGGTGGAACAATTACCACCCAGGACTCAAATACCATCGGCTACAGGCTACAAATATGAAGCAATACCTTGAGCCTTTTGGTGCTTGGTAGGAAGATGCCGTTGTGGGTAGCCCAGTTGAGATGCCAAGCAAACAGTGAGACTGAGCCCTCTTCGAATATAATTGAGGATCTTGTTCGCTCTAGGCCTTGTATTGGGTATTTCTTTTTTGTCTTGAATATTAGGGCCAGATGTTTAGAGTGGAGATTGCCAGTATTTCAAATTTGATGTCTTATATTTGTGTAGATATGATCTAGTCGTGAATTCTGTGCTCCTCCCAGACCCGTCTTTGAGTAACCACATTTGTTTTAGCAAATGCCATATACGAAATGGCCAATCTATCCGCAGAGAGAAGCTGTTCTTCATAGAATCAACATTTGTAATGTCGCATCAAAGAGATGTCGCCGATCTATTCCAGAAGCGTCACGGGGTTTCCATGAACTTATGCAGGTTGCAGCTTCAAGCCACCAGTGCCTGAACTAGATTCGGCAGGATTTGTGAAGAATATCAAGCAACCGCCTACCCCGCAGTCACCTGGACAATTTTGACGTCTGTGCCTCAAGTCATCGGTATGAGACTATAATGCCTCAAGGTTTGACGGGGCGACATCCCGAATCATTTTAGCTCCGTGTCTTTTTAGACTCCGTTCTCCTGGCTCAATTCAGTTCGCTCTTCATTTTTTTGCCTAAATTACGGGAATTATACGGGCACGCACAGTTGTAGTGGAAGTTGGGGCTTCAAGGTATAAAATGGTGACAGGATCCTGTGGACAAACAAGTTGTATCATTGCTAGGCAGCTTTCGGTGCAAAATCATCTAAATATCAATTTCAACATTGCCTGAATGAACACACGCTGATTATATATTACTTTCTGAAATGAGATTGAATCACCTCGTTCTCTTTGCCGCTGTGATTGGATCCACGGCGGCATCACCAGTCAAGAGCGCAAAGAGAAGTTCTGCATTTCAATGTATGTGATTCTCAGCTGTGTGAAAATAAAGGCCCCAAAACTGATTTTCTGAAGGGTTTGGGTCCAATGAATCAGGTGCTGAATTTGGGACTAATATCCCTGGTGTTTACGTTAGTAACAATTGCCATTGTCTTCACAGAGTCAACTCATTAATAAACGTATTAGGGAACGGACTATATCTTCCCAGATACAAGCACCATACAGACATTGATCAACAATGGCATGAATATTTTTCGGGTTCAGTTCATGATGGAACGACTAGTTCCTGGTAGCATAACGGGATCATTCGATACGACTTATTTGGAGAGGCTGACCACTGTGAGATACTCCGGCTGGTGGCTCACATTGACCAAAAACTGAACCAAGTAGGTGGTGAACTATATTACCAATGCAGGTGCCCATGCTGTCATCGACGCACACAACTATGGACGATAGTAAGAGACTCTTTCTATGCCGAAGGATTCAGTGACGATTAACAAACCCGTAGCAATGGAGCAATCATCACTAGCACATCCGACTTCCAAACCTTCTGGCACAATGTTGCCGGCCAGTTCAAGTCAAACAGCCTGGTTATCTTCGACACGAGTAAGTACTCTTTGAAAATCAAAGCCGTGATGCTAACCAAGACACCCCCCAGACAATGAATACAACAGTATGGACCAAACCCTGGTTTTAGACCTTAACCAAGCTGCTATCAACGGCATCCGCGCAGCAGGCGCAACGTCACAATACATCTTCGTCGAAGGCAACTCATGGACAGGCGCCTGGACCTGGACTACCGTCAACGACAATATGAAAGACCTAACCGATCCAGAGGACAAGATAGTCTACGAGATGCACCAATACCTCGACTCGGACGGATCTGGCACTGGTGCGACATGCGTGTCGACCACGATCGGAGTGGAACGTGTCAAATCTGCTACACAGTGGCTCATCGATAATGGTAAGAAGGGCATCCTGGGTGAATTTGCGGGTGGTGTCAATAGTGATTGTGAAACTGCGATCTCGGGCATGTTGAGCTACATGGCGGACAACGCGAATGTTTGGACCGGGGCTATGTGGTGGGCGGCCGGGCCTTGGTGGGCTAACTATATCTTCAGTATCGAGCCGCCTAGTGGTCCGGCATATACGGGGATGCTGTCTACTTTGAAGCCTTATCTAACGTAGATGTGGGTCCTGAGTTATGAGTCCTAATGGGTAGTTGGGAATGGGGGACAAGCGGTGAAGGGAGATGTATGTATCGATTCGTATACGTTTAGTGGCATATGGTTAGTGAAATAGGAGCGGTCGCAGCAATTTCCCCGAGTGTGTCATGATTGGGGCGTGGGGCGGAAACGTACATGTACAAGATTCAAAAGGCAAGTGGCTATTGCGTTGGCTTGGCGACAACGTACACAACGTACACAACAGCGGGATAGCGGGATAGCGGGTGGCTGGTGGACACGCAAGATCTTCGCCGCCAAAAACGAGGTAGCCTAGGGGTCGCGGCCTCGGTTTAGGTTCGTGAACCCACTATCGGATCCCCAGAAAAGGCTATCTTAAGAAATAAATATAGAAACCAAAGCCACAAGGCATAGGAATGTGTCAGGGGTGGCAGTGGAACCGGGCCACGGAATCTGTGCCAAGCAGAAAACGAAGAAGCCTGATCTAGGTCAGATGCGGGATTACGCAGAACTAGGGCTGTGAAGTCCCTTATGAAAAATCTATGCGGCCCACAAGGCTGGAATGGAAGGATGACGAGGCTTGGACGGGGGGTGGACAGGTGGATTACTTGATCGAGCCCGTTGGTATGGCGATCCTGCGCTCGACCCATGGAAGACCCTGGCTAGTTTTTGAAACTGAGAAGACGGGAGAGGGCATAGGAAGAGCGGGGATAATTCGTTGGGCGAGACAGGGAATATCATAACGTGACTAAGTGTTCTCGTATATTAAGTGTAGCCGGTTAGAGCATCCTCTATCCTGGACATACCGTCATCAACAATAACCCGATAATACGGGTCTTGCCAGGGCAGCAAAACTCTATTGTCTCAAAGAAGACTAGCGCAGTCACGAATAGAAACAAACGTGGCGTGGATTGAGTGGGTCTGTTTTACGCCATCTAATTGGGCTGGAGCGCGTATCCTGGCCCTGCGCCTCTTCGCAGGAGGCTGGAGAGTCGTCGTAGTCGCAAGTTACGAGGCTGTACATTAATGATTGTGTCCCGTGTAAACTGCCGATCATCCTATGATAAAACACTCGGCTTCCCTCCCCTCTTCTGACTTTTCCTTTCCCTTATTTATCAATCACCATAGTTGACCTTCCCCTCGCCCTTTCCATATCCAATCACTCACACAACCACCATCATGGGGAAAGCCGGCCGCGTCGCGTGTATCTTCACGCCTTACCTGCTTACTATCGCATCTTTGATCTGCATTATCATGGTCGGATTGGGCTGCACCAAGGCCAGCTCCAGCACATTGAATAACCTGTACTTCATGCGGGTAGGTTTTGCGCAGCTCTCACTTTCTCTTGTCACGAATGCGCCACTAACAAGTGTTCTCTTCATTTAGGTTGACCTACAAAACATCACAAGTTCCGGATCCAAAACAACCACGGAAATTGAGAATATCCTCGAGGAGTATGGAATCACCAGTGTCACCTCGAGCCAGGTGTCGGATGTCCTCAGCAAGCTCCAGGATGACAGCACGCTGAAGGACTTCTACGACATCGGTCTCTGGGGATACTGCGATGGAGACATCACAAACAACACCTCCAACACCACCAGCTGCTCCAGCCCCAAGAGCGAGTACTACTTCAACCCTCTCGAGGTCTGGGGTCTGGACAATGACGCTGTGAAGGATGAGCTGCCCGATGATTACACCAAGGTCATGAAGATCTACAAAGCCGTCTCCAAGTGGATGTTCATCGCCTACGTTCTCGCCTTCGCTACCACCATCGTTGAGATCCTGGTCGGCATGTTTGCCATCTGCAGCCGATGGGGCAGCTGTGTAACTACCTTGTTCGCTGTCCTCGCCTTCCTGTTCACCACCGCCGCTTCTGTGACCGCCACCGTCCTCTTCTCAATCATGGACTCGACTGCTGGCAATTTGCTTGACGCCTATGGTATTAAATTCACCATGGGCAAGAACATGTACGCCGCCACTTGGCTCGCCGTGGTCTTCTCGTTGGCCGGTACCCTCTTCTGGCTCTTCAGCGTGTGCTGCTGCTCCGGCCGCTCGCCCTACAATCACCGCAACCGTGAGCGCCGCAACAACGGCATCACCGCCGAGAAGGCTCCCTACACCTACGAGCCTCTCGGTGCCGGTGCCGTTCCCTACGGCAACCAGCACCCCAACCACACCTCGTACCCGCCTACCGCGGCCAACGAGTACCCCATGACCAACACCAACAATGGCCGTGCCAACGCCTACGAGCCTTTCCGTCACGTCTAAGTGGGGATCCTTGAAAACCTTTTCATTGTATACAATCTCTTGAAGCGTTCTTAGACTGGGGATACCATGGCGTTCTGCTCCGTTATGGGCTTGGCTTTTTCTTTCTGCATGTGCTTAACGACTTTCTTCTGATGACTGATGCTTGGATACCAGCGCGATCGTCGCTCATCGCTGAGGACGGACCGAAATCTTCCGTATATATGATTATCATGCTCGTTCTCTTTGAGGAAATGACCACTTTGCAAATCACCTTGAATAGAAACATGAATATTCTGCACCTAAATATCTCTCTAGCTCCAATCGTAGACCGTATCTGAATATCTGTCAAGTTGCTTTGACAGTGAACTGGATATTGTTTCTTCCGCCAAGGTTCAATAGCGAAAGGTTTGACAACGGTTGATCAATACAAGGTGGATCCCACCTGTGTACATTTTCACTCGACCATTTTGCCATCCATTAGTTTGCGATACACCCAAGTGCTCGGCTCCGTGCGTTGGGGGCCCGGGGGCCTGATGTAAACACCTGTATGCTACGCTAAAATCACGAGGGGGCCGACTGTCATATGTCGATCTTAATAATTCACGCGTTTGTACGAATTGGGACTTTTGCTGACCAGCTGGGCATCTTGACCTGAGGATGGTGTCAAAATATGGAATATGGTCCCCAATCAGTCACATCGAAAGCTTTGATATTATCTAAATAATCCCAGGACCAATTTAGGATAATCATGCAAATAGTACAACTATCAAGGAACAACACCTTTTCCGCCTTCCGAGGAAGTCTATGGCGACGGTTAGTATTAATCACGACTCCGTTCGTGGAGCTGCGCACGATGACTCTGTTTTGCAGTAGTGATCCACTTGAAGGTCCAACTTTTAAATCAATTCTGTGAAACGCGATTGTTGAGCCCGCAAAATGTCACATGGCACCCAATACCGCGCTGAGCGGAACGACTACCTGATGGTGCAGAGAATCTTCCCTGGTTCGGCGAAGAATATGTCCAGGCAAGAGAATTCTGACCTTGAATACATTGATAGACCTGCCACGAATGTCAGCTCTATGGACAGGCGATCGATCTTGGATACAAGTACTACTTGCAAGCGCGCCTGCTTAACGAAGAAGAAGAGATCAAAGTCGGTAGAATCGGTAAGCTCGACAGTATTTACGCTAGTGCTAGTAATTTCGGTGCGCTTCTTATCCTTATTCTTATCCTTTGGGTTAAGACGACTCAAGTCTGATGGGTGATTGATGTTGCGGCTATAATACCGACGGAAGCAGCGTTTAGCGCAAGCTTTCAATATTACTGTGTATAGATTAGTAGGAATATCGAAATCGAAAAGATAGCGCATTTTAGAAACAACACCACAAAACTACATGAGGTGACGGTGAGTTGGGCGCCGAAAATGGCTAGTCTTGACTTTACCATGTTCCCATTGTCCCCATCTTGTCCCCATCTTGTCCCCATTTTGTCCTCAATTCCCCCACTTTCTCACCCCATAGAAGTCTATAGTCCCCGAACCTGACTTTTTCCTCGATAAGTCTTGTTCTCGTAGACCCTTATAACTTGTTCTGTTCAAGAAGCATGTCACTTGAATATCGACCCCCTTTTTCAGCTGACATAGATCGACCTGAAAATGCTCATCACCAGCGTCGACGACTTTACACTCATCGATGACAACACTCCACATAAAATATATGCGCAGTTCGATGATCTCCGAGAAATCTGCCCAGTTGCGCACACCTCGGAGAATGGCGGATTCTGGCTTCTGACCCGATACGAGGACGTCAAGCGCGCCGCTTCCGACACGAACACGTTCATTTCGTCTGTCAAAGCAGTCATACCCAGTGATCCCCGAGGTATTCGTCGCCCTCCACTGAACACAGATCCACCAGCGCATACGCCTTACCGCACTGCACTGGATCGCACTCTAAAGCCTGCAAGACTCAAGAGATTGGCCTCAATCCTGGAGCAGCATGCCGAGCGGGAGTTCGATGCACTCTTGTATACCTCTCTAGACAGCAGCGATCACCTCGGTCATGTGCCAGGGACCAGTAATATTGATATTTCGGCCCAATTTGGTGCTTCCTTTGCTGCTTGGGTCGAGGTGTCATGGCTGAACCTTGAAGACGAAACCGCACCCGTCCTGGCGAGCACAGCAGCCAAATGGGTGAATGCCTGGCGGCGACAGGACTTGTCTGAGACAAGCAAACAGTCTGGACGACTGTACGAGCTTGCAAGAGATCTACTCGCTGATCGCAAAGCCGCCCCTCAAGATCCCGAACTTGATCCCGCGTCATCACTGTTGCGTGAAGTTGGGCCAGATGGACAGCCACTAGATGACGAACTTTTGGTGTAAGTTGTTATCCATATCACCTATATCTTATGCTTGCCCTAGCTGCAGTTTCTAATTGCTCATGATATATCTGCTTGTAGCGGTGCCCTTCGTCAGTCCCTAGTTGTGGGGATGGTCGCCCCTCCTATTCTCCTGGGAGACATATGCGCCCACCTCTCAAATGATCGAGCTTTGCAATCACGGCTGCGCGCCGACCCCTCCCTCATTCCCGCAGCCGTTGAGGAGTTTGTGCGCTTGTATGTGCCTTACCGAGGATTTTGTCGAACCCCAACCCACGCAGTTGACCTCCATGGCCGGACAATCCCGGCTGGTCAACCAATTACTATGACCTACGCAGCAGCAAATCGTGATCCGGAAGTATTCGAAGATCCAAATTCCTTTATTCTTAACCGTGAAAATATCAACTCGCATTTAGGATTTGGCAAAGGTAGACACAGATGTGCAGGAATGCCTTTAGCAAGGATGTAAGTGAGCCAGTCTATTTCTTTTTGGCCACATGCCACCACGTAGATGATGCGAAGACTCACCAAATTACTCTAGGGCCCTTCAAATTGCGCTGCGGACCATATTGAGGCTAACGACTGAGTTTGAGGTTAATGGGCCATTTCTGTATGCTGGCATGCCAGAGATGGGTATTACGAGTTGTCCTTTGAGGGTTGTGCGAGCGTGTTCTTTCTGATACAAATTTTTCGTCAAAGATTAGATCATTGGGATCCGTTTTTTCTAAGCCACCTGAAATGATCCAGGAATACTCCTTGAAACAGTATTTCAATCCGGCACAATTTCTTCTTAGATCCTTGTGGCTGGGAAGGCTATGACTTGATTTTGGAAACAATCGAATTTAGTTTAAGAAATCTGTTCGGAATGGTGAAAGGATATATTGTCCATGACCCACACAGATCTTGATTCAGGCCATTTTTCACAATGCTGGAGAAGCTGCTCAATGTATTCTTCCCCGTAGGACTAGAGAGAAAACAATACATCTTGAGCCTATGCAGGTAGTATCTGATATCGTTGATCTTGACGGAAATTGGACACTTGAACATACTATTGGAGACCAGCCCATTTGACTGAGGCTTGTTCCTTAAGCACATCCAGTTTCATCCACATAGGCAAGGTGGTACGAATGAAAATTCGAGATAAAGTGAAAATGTTCACAAGGTAGATATAAAATATGCTCTGTGGCCTTGACCCGAACAGAATTTCTCGACCAGCCTTTGGATACAGGAGTGCGGCTGATGCTAGATTTTGTTGCTTAGACATCAAACTCATCCCACAGAAAATCACTATCTCCTCAAGGTATAGGGTAGGATTTTCGAACAGGTAATCGTAAAAGGCTTCAAGCACGACTGGAATGATGCTTCGCGGTCCATTACATTTATTAGGTAGTGTTTCGACGCTTCCAAGTGTCCGTGAATTTAGAGAGATTCTTAAGAAATTTGTTAAGGCACATCTGATTGACATAGTTGAACCCAGGCACCAACCACCTCCTCCATTTCCAGCGCCACTCCCCACTGCAATGATAGACCTCGCAGAAGGGTTTGAATCGAAATCAACTCATAAGAAAGATCTTTTCGCGAACCTCGATCTCGGAATGACCCATCTATGAAGGCCAGGGTATCCTGCGTACTACCACTGTAGGCCCCGATGTTTAAGTCCTCCTCCACACCTGCTGAGTTGACTACCGCTGTCCAGTCAACTACCGAGGGCAAAACTATCTTCCCTGCTCCAGCTAGGGCGAATGCGCTGTATGTGGCTGCAGCTGCAAAAACAGCCCCCGGGACATTGACATCGTACGCCATACCAAATGGTAGGCAAACTGCAAGTTCATGGAGCTGCGAGGCGTGCAAAAGTGCGATTCGTGCTGCCCTGCTTTGTGTCCAGCGAAGTGGGTCAACAAACTGTTCATCTCGACTGTCACCGCCAAAAATTCGTTGTGGAATACTGTGGATGTAGCATAATCGGCGTGTGCCTCGTGCTGTGTTAACAACAAGATCCAAGCAGATCGTATGCCACTGCAACAATGTAGCAATTCGGCCTGTCGCTGATAATTTCTGGTCTTGAATTATCCGGCTCCGCAGTCTGCTCACAACCCGGCTGATATCCACCTTCCTAGGGACGCCTATAGGTGGTGGGTCTATGCGGTTGGCATCTGAGACAAGAGAGCGGATCCCCTCGAGGACAACCTTGTAGTTGAACAACGAGTTCCCGTACTGATATGTGGAAGGATAGTATTCTTCACAATCGTACTCAGCAAACAACACTCTGAACACGTCGCAAAATCGGATATTTGATTTGTGAGAAGGAATATTCTTATGCATCAGCCCAAGCCACTCGTCAGCAGTATTAGCATCAAACGTCAATTCGTCGCTTGGAAACGTGAGTGGATTAGCCATGTGTCGGACAAAAGTAGGATTGCCGCTGAACTGAGACACTACACCGTCAACAATATAGAGCCCCAACAGTGTGCGGATTCGAGTCTCCCGAGCAATCCAAGTGTGCCAAGCATGCGATATCATCTCCGGTGGAGAATCTGTGGGTGGCAAGGGAGCGTGGCCCAGCATCTCGTACATACCGCAGTGGCTGGCCCAGAAGATGGCCATCCCATGAAAGACTTGGCTCGTCATTCGAAGAGTTTTGCTCTACCCACACAATCAGATTAAGAAACCGGGAAGTGTGCGACTCAATAGCATCGAGTTTACCTTCGATAATGCAGCATAAATTTGACTTAAAAGCACAGTCTGGGCGAGGTGGACTCCGTTACACGAATCATAAGACCTTCTTTGGGCTAACATGCCATGCCACGATGTGGCGACGGCGGTATGTGCTAGCTGCCATAGTGCATCTGCCTAGGGATTTAATGGCGTTAAAAACATGAATTTTTCCTTACAGAGTATGAAACCTCACCTTGATTACCGCATCAAGGGTTCCCAAGAACAGTGCTCCTAGTGCGATGGCATTCAACAGCAACGGTGAGGGACAGTCACGGAAGACGAAAGTGGGTTGGTGAATGATTGGAAACATTGGTATCACATTCTTGAAAAACATGTGCAAGCTGCTATCAAGGAACCGTGATGTAAGCCCTGATAACACTGTGGGTGTCGTCACTTTGCAAAACTGCATTGGTAATTAGTAATTCAAGTGGCTATCCATGAGGCGCGAAATACTTACCGCTTCCCCGAGCAGCCCACTCAGTGAATGAATTGCTCGTTCACCATCTTCAACAAGGGCACTTCGATCTGATGGCGAGATGTCTGGTCCGTCAGATTTCGATTCCACGGGGTTGTAGGGTTCCTCGAACGTCTGTGGCATCGACGGTGCCCGCTGTTCCCAGGCCCCAGGTCCCACGGACAAAATGCTATGCAAAAGCTCCTCAGAATCGGGCCACAGTAATGACGAGCAGTCTTCAAGTGATATCCCAGTATGAGGTTGGTCGGTACCAATGTTATGCTCCGACTGATGCTGCTCCAAAGTAGGGGTGGTATTCTGGTTATCTTGCGGGTCTTCTGATGCATCCTTAAGAGATAAGTCGTAATGAATTCGGGTATGTCGATTCAAGACATCCTGTCGACCGAAACAGCGATTGCAGACAGGACAACGAAATGGTTTTGCTCCGGTATCTAGGGTCAGGTGTTACTAAAGCTAGACACATTTCCTGGAAGAAAGTTAGAGACCATACGAATGCGTTCATGTCTCTGTTTATGGTTCGTGTCAATCAGAAGAATAAGCAATATTCAGAGAGAAGCCCGCCTCACCTGAAGATGCTCTCGCTTGGTGTATCTTTTCCGACAGAAGCCACATTCCAGATTAAGCTTCTTGCGCCGACGAGGGAGAGGCGTGGACATTGTCAGTTCGTCGATCTTCCACGATTGTCTATGCACACGAGGGATGTGTCACTACAACTGAACTCAGAAGAATCGCTAACCTGCACCCCAGACTTTGATGGGGAACCGGGGAAAGCTTTGCTTCCTTTTGCGGGGTTGGGTGATTCTGTGGGGAACCTCATCAACGGCCGTGGTTCCCCACTACCACTGCACGATGCTCTCGAGCGCTAATAAATACGAACAAAATCCTTTCAGCGCATAGAGCTGTCAAGGCTGCTAGCATTGTGGGTTTGGAATCATGGAGCACCATCCCATAGAGACAAATGACAAGGCTTCCATTGCCGAAGTAGAGGTTGCGAAGCAAGGTCTCTCGGCTCGGGCTCGCTCAACGGTAGCCCACTATGTGCCTTCTACCGAGGAGGAACAGGCCCTTGATCGTCAAGTCAATCTAAAATTTGATTTCTGTATCATTCTAATTCTGTCATTGGGGTTCATCGTATGTTTAACCTCATCCAGGCAGATGGACTCTCGCCAAAATGATACTAATTCTACCAAGCTCTTGGGAATTGACAAAACAAATGTTGGATTCGTTGCCACTAGCAATTTTGTGGAAGAGGCTCACCTCAAATCCAGCGATATTGCGAATTCCGTTTCTTTGGTGAATGAAGTCCTTAATCGGTAATGGAACGTCCTCATTTCTAATATATCAATAGTTCTCCGCAACTTATGTTCCTCTCCAACCGATATCCAGTATGATCGGCCGGCGAGTGGGAGCAAAATGGTGGATGGGAGCCCTAATGATATCTTGGGGCTGCATCTGCATCGCGCATATCGCTATCAGGAACTCGACAACCTTTCTCGCGTTGCGTCTTTTACTAGGTGTCGCTGAAGCCGGTTTCACTCCTACTGCTTTCTATTACATGTCGGCTTTCTACCCGAAGTTCTCCCTTGGCTTTCGCATGGGACTCTTTTCGGGGATGTACTCTATCGCGGGAGCTTTCGCGGGCCTTCTTGCGTATGGCATACTCCACCTCGAGACATCAATGCTACAGGGATGGCAAATGCTGTTCCTCATTGAGGGAGTACTTACAGTGTTCGTGGCTATAATAGCTCTTACATTACTTCCAACAGACGTAACCCATGTATGGTTTCTTACCAAGAAGGAGAGAGCCCATGCCGTGCATCGGATGGAGCGAGATTTCCAAACGTTTGCCGACACAGACACGCAAGAATTTGGCTCACGTGCCGATAGCCTTGTCCACGGTGCCGAATCACCTTTTGCTGGTGCAAATGACAGTAACTTGTGGCAGGATATTCAAGATGTCTTAAAAGACTGGAGAAAGCTGCTCATCATTGTCTGCAACATTCTAAGCGTACTGGTGAGATTGACGCTATCTCATTATAACCCAGAATATGGTACTAATTTCAAATTTAGCCTGTTACTGGGTTCACCACGTTCTTGCCTCTCATCGTCGCGGGAATGGGATACAGCGGCATCAAAGCCACCCTAATGTCCGTTCCACCTTTCATTTCCGGAACCGCTGGACTTATTGTAATTGTCCTTTTATCCGACCATCTCAAGGAACGCAGTCTTTTGATAGTGATAGGCATGGCCCTGGGGCTAATAGGTTGTTTGGTTATGGCAACTTCATCAAATCCACAGCTGCGATACGGATTTGCGCATGTCTGTCTTTCGGGGGTATTTGCTGGAGGGCCCCTAGTTGCAGTGTGGCTTACGGGCAATACTCCATGCAAGGTACGTTCATCCGGGACAACAATTATTAGTAATTGCTTACAAAGAATATTCAGAGTACAAGGGCTTTTATTCTTGGCCTTAATGGGTGGTCTAACATTGCTGGTGTCATTGCTGGACAACTATTCAAATCGAAATATGCGCCCTCTTATCGTTATCCTTTGATTGTTACCATGATTCTGATCGCAGTCGGTATGCTTGGATTTTGTCTCGTGAGGGCTTTGTACATGGTAGAGAACCGCCGTCGTCGTAAAGAGATGGCAGAATGGGACGAAGCCAGGTTTGCGCTAGAGGGGTCGAGTATTGAGAGGCGAGGGGACCAGCGACTTACTTGGATCTACAGTTACTAACAATGTTCCGTACCCTGGGTGTTTCTTTTAAAGTTTAAGAGGGTGCCAATCGACAGGAAGAATCAGTCTTGGAAGCGACTCTTTAAGGCGCTTGGTTACCGCTAACTATGTCATTATTTTTCATGACGGTGCACTACAACTGAATGATTATATAACATTTTGTGCTATCGATCTTTAGGTTTCTCTACAAACTTGTGATAGTATAGAAACATCATGGAGTCCTCCACAAGTAGAGTTCGACTAGATTTTCGAGACGTTGTATCAGAGTATTTACAGGCAGATTGAAGCTCTGAACAGGATAAATTACTTGACTCCTTGCTGGTCGGTTTTGAATGATCACTTTACAAGTTCAGCAGGGCTGCTTTGACCCTATTTGTCTTTTTTCTACGACACATATCGCAGGTCCGAGTGACGCGCTTATGGAACCTTCTATTTATGACCGAATGCGATGACATGTTTCTATCAAAGTATTATCTAGCCCAGGCAATACGGATGAAGCGAATGGTGTGCCAGACGGAAGCGGACTACAAAACTGGAGATCGGGAGAAGATGTGGGGAACCAAGTTCCCCACCTTTACCTCAGAGCAGCCTGATGTTAAGATCACCTAAATCTCCAAGAGGGCGACGCATGTTACACTTTAGAGAGCGGGTAGACTAGTCCCATACGATATTATGTATGTCGTTCGTCTTGTTTTGACGACCCAGATTGATTAGTGATATATGTAACCTGCGACCTTTCCCAAACCCTCCATCTATGTTATTCTACTTCCAAGGATGTCAGCCTTGAACCTGGGAAAGAGTTTAGGTTAATAAAAGGGGTATTTCAGATTCATCATCTGTAGACATATGTTGCGAGAGATAAATGTATAAAAGTAACATGATGCAGAGATAAGTGATGGGCTCGAATATCCACATAATGCAGTTTCGCACCAGCTTCCTTGCTCAAATGCTTGCAAAGAGACTGAATTAATACTTAGCCATTAGCCATATTCACCCGACGCCCATGAGCGAGCAAGACCGGGAGAAACCCCAGATTATGGAAAAGGACCGGAAAAGTTTCTCAACAACGGTGAATCGCACGGCGAATCACGCCCTTGTCATCGAGGAGAATCTTTGCTCCCCCACGCCGAAGACGGTCAGTTAATACGTTCTGATCTGCCTCAGCATAGCGCTTGAACGGTGTGTTGTGGTCGTCGGACCACACGGAGCCTTTGGGACGAATATGCCGTAACGAGACGAACCAGTTCTCGTCCTCGTATTTCGCTTCAGGGGACATGACTGGTATGGGAAGGGCTCGTGAAGAGGAGGCCGGTGGGGTTGACAAGAAGCTTTCGTCACCGAGTTCGACACTAGCGGTTTCATGGTAGGTGTCTTCTAGGTCGGTTTCTTCAATTTCACCTACGTGATCATCATCTGCATCATTTCGTACGTCGTGAGGATTGTCTGGCGGTTGTTCGAAACTCGGCTCCAAGCTGTGAAGAGTGGGTTTGACATCCCTTGTTTCATCGGATTCCATAGAGTATATTGGGTCATCTCTTGAATCATGATAGTTTGAGCCTAGCCCTTCCACTTTGATCGAAACAGAATCGACCGGCGAAGAGGGAACGAAGTAAGGACTGACCGTATCAGGAAGGCTACCCAGCGTGACTTCCTTGATCGGTTCGGCATGCAAGTTTGGGGGATTTTCCGCCAGATTTGTCGCAAATGAAGATACTGTGACTTCATTTTGAGCAGCAGGCGGGTCTAGCTGCACTTGGCTGCTGGCAATTAGGGGTACCAATTCAGTTGGAATGAATTGTGACGCCGCAATTTCGACACTGTGGGCTGCCAGGCTGCGTTTTCTGTGGATCGGGTGTGTGAAGTTCAGAAGGAAGAACTCTTCGTACATTAGCGTTGTTGAATCCTGGGACACACGCTGTTCAATGTGTGAAGAATATTGCTGGAGATGCATGATGATGAAATCATCCCACAAAAATGACCGCTGGAGCTTCCCATCTGCTCGAACTGCCTGTAGCCTGGAACACAACTCGATGAAGTGGTCGAAGTCCCCAGTATATGCTGAGTAGTCATCACAAAATCTCTTGTATACTTCCTTGGCCTGTGCAACCTTCTCCGGGTTGCCAATATGTGCTAAACGTCTGGCTACAAGAGCAGCGTTTTGAGTATTTTGCGTGTCCGTCGATTTTTCGCTCACAGTCTCATTGTCAAGTGGCAAAATTCTTTGGCTTTTTGATGGAGAGTAGTCCTGATCAGGGACGGGAATGTTGAAACAACCTGTTGTAGAAACTTGCGAAGAAATCATAGGTACGTCTGGTGAGATATACCCTTCCATCGGTCTCTGATTTTGCTCATTGAGCTGTGTCGAAGCTGGCTCGTTGGAGCTCGCAAAAAGCAGACATAAAGGCTCAGCAGTTGCTTGTTGGCCTGACCAGGGAATATTTTGGTGGCGATAAGCTGGACCAGAGGAATCAAGGACGATCTCTTGGGATTGAGTTGTATTCTGTGATGGCACATTCGTGCTGCTGTTTTGGGTCTGGGTCCCTTCGACATCAATCCGAGGTGATCCATCGCCTGTGGGATGAGAAGATGGATCGAGTCCTTCGTTTGATATTTGGCTTTTCTCATAGCTTCCATAATAGGGATAGGTGTTGAGGACTCGCGAAGGCGATGATGTTTTTTTGGCCTGAGAAGAAGGCATTTGCGTATGGGGAGGTCTGAGTTCACTTTCCTGATTGCTTGGCTCATTGCCGCGCAGTCGACCATTGTTATTTGCAGGAGTCTCTACAACTTGAACACGATTCCCGTTCGCTCCTGGGAGCGAAGCCCCTGAGCTTGCCGCATCTCGCTCAACCTGAGTGCTTTGTGTCGGATCTGGCCAGCTTTCGCCAAGTCCCAAAGGCACAGAAGTGTCCATTATTGACTCATCGCTTTCGTCGCCCGAATCGTCCTGGTTAGGTTGGATAGCAGACTCCAGGCTGCTGAGCTGTGTGGGTGACTTCTCAGACAACTCTGGAGCTTGGTATGATGCTTGACCCTCGAGCGACAGGGAATGATCTGATTGATCAAGGTTAGCATCGCCTTGTCCAAATTCAATTAGGGATGCTTCGACTGAGGCCATGATCTTGTCGGCATCTGCATCGTTTCCTTCAAGGGACCGAGGGTCCTCAGCCGCCGATTCCCCAGAGGCACTCTGAGATGCCTCAGTATGTCTTATTAGACGATTGAATCCCTTTTTAAAACCAGTCGCATCGCCCTGATAATCATGTTTATTTGCTTGGTGAGCAGCATTCCACCCAAGACTCGGAACCGGCTTAATGCCGATAAAGCTTGATTGTCTCACGGGGCTGCTATCTGGAAGGCGATTCTCAAAGCGACTTTTCTCTGGAGTTGGCGTCCAATCGATTGGGGTCCCTTCGGATCCAGAGTCATCATTATCAGAAGACATGACGGTATCTTGTGTTGGAGTAGGAGGCTGCTCTAGTATAGGCTTGGCTTCTTCTGTTTGTCGATGCCTGCGCTCTGCAATGCTGTTCCATTGTCTCAAAAGCGAAGGAGGCACATGCCCTTGGGGCATTTGCTCATTCGGCATAGGTGGGATCCAAAGTTTTTCCTCGAGCAGGTTCGCCTGATCTTTTGGAATAAAGACCTCATTTGATGCTATCATTTCAATCCCTTCCCACGGATTCACCCTGTTTGACCGAGACGAACAAATTGGGGCAGGTTCTGGATTGACATAATCTGCCTTAGTGCTCTTTGCTTCAGCATGGGATGTACCAGATTTATCCTCTGCTGGCTTTCCAACTTCGGGGAGTTCTTTCAAGGTTGCCTGGGGAATGTCGATTCGCTGTCTCTTCAACAACGGTGAGTCCCCCTTCGATTTTTGGCGTGCATTTTCATCATCAGCCAGCTTGGGTTGTGTATCCACGCTCTCGCGCTGTCTTTTCCGAGGAAACGGTCCCTCAACTGCATGCAATGGCTGAGTAGCAGGGTGCTGTGTGGCCAGAGAATCTTCTTCAGTTCGATTGGCTTCATGGACTGTTGCATCATTCAAGCCGCCACGAGGAATTTGAGACGAAACAGAATTTTTATCTTCATCCTCGTCAGAAGCCGAGCCAATTGGAATTCGCTGGGAGGAGAGACCCAACGGTTCAAAGGATTCGTAGACTGTTTTTCCCTCGCTTCCACTCCCGATTCGAGAAGCAAACGCGCTCCCTTGACTTCTGTCATTTAACCTAGGAGCTAACGGGCTGAGAAGCTGGAGTTTATTTGCAACTCGATCGTCACCACATATTGGCTGAGTTGAGCCCTTATGGTCAGATAACTCGTCTTGACGTGGCAAAGAGTCTCGCGAAGTAGTTCCAAAGAATGAGCGAGACGAAGGCATGAGGCGCTGGAGAAGCTCAGCCGGCGCACGCAAAAGGGAACGACCTGGCTTGGAAGGGGGATTCCCTGTACAACAATCATCCCTGGGCATCTGGGAGAACAATTGCTGTGAGCTAACAGCATTCACAGGACTACTTTGCCGCTCATCTGGCTGGTATTGGTTATGGGTGACAGATTCGTCAGGTCTGGGCACCGGAGACACTGGTATATTCGGGTTGTGAATTCTCCGAGAGTTTGTAGCCTTCTGGCGAGCTCTTTCCAAAACGGACCTCAGGGTTTTCTCTTTCCTCAACTTTTTGGTGGGTAGATACTTGAGAGGTCCGTTATCCCAGTCGATGCAAAACTGGTTAATATGAAGTCGTACATCGGCGGTCGAGTATTGGAAAACGAGCCGAAAATCCAAAAGCTTTATACGATGTTTTTTTGGCCCGTCTATCGGCTTCAGGCTCTCCAATTCGACTTGGAGCGTAGCAAGTGACTCTTGAGATATGGTCGCATCGATCTGATTGTTCGAATCCATCAAAACCGCGGTGTCGGATAGCGAGCCTAGACCCCACTAGTCGAAACCGAATTATTAGCGATCCTCAGATCCGAAATGTGCCGGGGTAGGGTATACCTCTGCCACGATGGCTGCATCGGTGAAATTTATGACATTGAAATGCAGACTGGCCCCGTCATCCTCTATTTCAATGGCGCTCCGCGGAGACTCGCCCAGGTAGAAGGACAAGCACACCCCCACGACCTGCGCGATCCAGGGGTGCATCAGCTCGGGTGTCATTGCGAAGATCCACGACAGTGATAAGTTTGCGAAGTCATTCTCCTGGTGAAGAGCACCTTGACGCAGTGATCGCAACTGCGAGCTGTCAAAGGCCGGAGCGATAAGCGATAAGAAAAACGACGCGACGGACGCGACCGCTGAGTCAGCAGAACCACGTCATTGCACGGTTGCTTGTGTGGAGAAAGCAAGGGCGATCAACTCTTTTTCTTTATCTTCTCTTTATCTGTCTCTCAGATCTAGAGCATCTCCCGGGTGCCTGGATCCGTTCGAGTCTCTTTCCACTTTTTTCACAGCGAATGACTCGGCTACAAACAGCACCCACATCCTTGGCGGGGATGATCTACGGGCTTTCGGCCTGACCGCAACATGCCCGCTTCCATGGACCAGAGGTCGCATGGAACCTCGAGCCCTTCCGCGTCGTCCGCATTCCTTCCGCTTGGACGGCGCGGCTCGAGGACATCCCTCGCAACTACTCAGACAGATCGAGAAAACATGAATGCGGCGCTGGACCAGATCCATACGGCCGCCTACCAGTCCGACTCGCTGACACATTTCAACGACTTTACCAATCCCCCAGCCCCGATCCCCGCATCAGATGACAAACGCCTCTCGGAAGAGTTACAGGGAGGTTTCAGTGGATTGTATAGCCGTTTCAGAACCTCGGTCGGCGGGATCGTTAGTGGTGGAGTAAAATCAGCGGACAGGAGTGCTGCAGAGACCCCTGCTGTCAAGAGCCCGCCGCCGGAGCGCTCGATGACCAAGTCTGCGTCGGACTTTGTCACCGAACCTGCGGACAACCGACATCTCCCATCATATCCGAACTCATCGCAAGGCTCAAGGCTACAGTCACCAGTGGTGGCAAGTTTTCACCAAGCTGCGGATGCCGTGGCGCAGCCGAGCGTCGGAAAAGGCTCTAAGATGTCCTCTAAGACTCCTAGTGTATCTTCCAAGGCTTCTGCTTCTCCTTCTCCGGGAACTAAAGCCGCCATCGCTCCGCTGACAAAATCCAGCGGCGGTCCCATGGTAGTGGACCCAGCGATCACCCAACTTAATGTGAGTGGTGTGACTACAAGTCGACCATCGAGGAGTAGCTCAATCAATGCTCCTGCTCCAGGGTTGAAGAGTGCCGATTCGGCCAGTATCGCCAGCAAGGACGGGCCGATAGACACATCCATGAGCCAGACGTCTTCAGTCTTGAGCCAGAACCTGTCACATTCGCCGGTTTTGTCTACAAAGACGTATGAGAGCAACTATGGGGACCATGGCTCATTAGAGGCTAGTGAAACACTACCACCAGTTGAAGGTCCAGCCTTCGAGACTAGACCCCGAAATTTGTCGTCTGCAGACCAATCCAACCTTCCTGATAATATGTCCCAGTCGGCCATGTCTCGAAGTTCGAAGCATACCGAGCATGTGCAAGACTCATCGTCTCAGAGTCGAGAAAGTAGATCGAATTCAAGGATGTCTTTCGCACAAGATGAGTCTGCTATGCCGACGCCTGCGTCAACCAGTCACCTACGAGCAAATACCAATGAAGGAAGCCCATTCTCTGCGGATTCGGCTATGGATGGTAAAGCACCGGCTACTTTCAACAAAACAGAAACTGGCGAACAATCTAAGCCTTCTACTTCAACAAAATTCTTCGATAAACCAATCACGTCGGCTAAAGGCGGGCGATTCCCTGGCTACGTGATGTCCCGAGCATCTACGGCTGAGACGATGACCTCGGTGTCTTCTTTGCCGCCACTGTATACTGGTCCAAAGGCAGGGCCTGTTCAGCAAGACAATCCACTACCTTTTGCGACGCGCGATAGTGGCGTTTCACAGCTGAGAAGTAAATTGCTCAGCAAGGACTTCTGGATGCGCGATGAGAACGCTAAAGATTGCTTTCATTGCGGCGAGCCTTTCACGACATTTCGCCGAAAGCATCATTGCCGCACCTGTGGCCAAATTTTTGATTCCAGGTGCACGCTTCTCATACCAGGAATACAATTTGGTCAGCCTGGCTCCATCCGTGTTTGCAAGCCTTGTGAGGCTATGATTAATGCACATGATGATGACTCTTCCGAGTTTTCTGATAGTGAGCAAAGTCCCGTCGCCATGAATTCCCGGATACCAGAGCTCACTTTGGGAAACAACGGAGCTCGACTGTCTGCGGATGACGATGATACCGCGTCAATCATGTCACAGTCGATCGATCATGTTCTCAGGGCCCCGACGATGGCTATTCCGGCAACTCGCCGCGCGGGCGAGGGGCATAACCGTCGATCTGCCGTGCTGGAGATCAATTCAGACCGCCCTCTGGCCAGGCCTACTTCATCACGCTCATTGAAATCATCATTAGGAAGTAGGGGTCATAATATGGGCCACAAACGTCATGGTTCTCGCCAACAGCAATATATTCGGAGCTTCAAGCCTTACCATGAAGATCGAGCACCATTCCAGCGCCGCAACCTTGATGATTTCCCTGTTGAATCCCGGCTCCCTGCCTTTCACAGAGACAACATTATTGATCCAGATCTGGCTCAGTATCTCTCAGATGATGCATCAAGTGCGGATGAACAGCCTAGCCTTATGGCTGCGGTCTCTGATAACAATTTATCTAAAAGTGGTGGAGACCAAGAGAGAGCGACCCTCAGTGGATTCCTGGCTGCTATGAAAAAGGGCAGATCTGCTTTTGGGGATCGAAGCACCCCAAGTATCAATCAGTCTGGACGCGATGCAGATGAAGCTAGTCTTTCTAGCTCAAGAGCAGTAAACCTGCCTCGCTCCTCTCGCCGCCGAAATATGAGTGTGGCTAGCAGCGTACACATTCGTCAATCTCCAAGGGCCTCAAAAGAAGGCATGTTCCCTCATGACTTAGCATTTCCAGGGGTTCCCTTTCCTATGGGCTTGAAAGACTGTGGTTTCAAGATGACCAGAAGCTCTTCGATGCAGGGGCTTAGTGCGCCGCTAGTTGAGCTCAATAAAGCTAGTCTGGAACATGTTAGAAGGCTTCTGCGACAGCTTCTAGCCGAATCATCCGTGCCACATGGAGAGAGCTGGGAAAACGCCCTCCTGCCAATTCTTTTGAAGGCGGCGGATGAGGTTGATCCTGATGTCGAGCACGGTGATGATATGGATGTACGTCACTATGTTAAAATCAAGAAAATTCCCGGCGGCAAGCCGGGTGACACGTCCTACGTTTCAGGCCTGGTGTTCACCAAGAATTTGGCTCTGAAAAGCATGCCGAGAAGTATTCCACGTCCCAACATCTTGATTATCACTTTTCCTCTCGAGTATGCTCGCCAACAACACCACTTCATGAGTCTTGAGCCGGTCATTCGACAGGAGAGAGAATTCTTGGAAAACCTTGTCACCCGAATCGCAGCTCTCCGGCCAAATTTGCTGCTCGTTGAAAAACACGTCTCAGGGCTGGCTCTCCATCTTCTAGAACAAGCTGGTATCGCAACTGCTCATAACGTCAAGCCATCTGTTCTTGAAGCTGTGTCAAGATGTACCCATACTCGCATCGTGGCTTCCATGGACAAACTTCTGAGCCCTTCTCCGCATAGTGATTGCAGCAGCTTTGACATGAAGACTTATGTGTACAAGGGTCGCAGAAAGACATACATGTACATTTCCGGATGCCGGAAAGATCTCGGGTGCACAATCGTATTGCGTGGGGGCAGCGAAGAGGTCCTTGGAAAAGTGAAAGAGATCACCGAGTTTATGATCTATGTTGTGTATAGCCTGCGACTAGAGACCTTTTTGATGCGGGATGAGTTTGCGAAACTGCCAACAGCATTTACCGATGATCCGAAGATTGTATCCTGCAGTTTTGAGAAGCAAATTACAATCAATGATAGCAACGGAAATTCCACGGACCCAGACAACCCAGACGGCAAGCCAACTCAGGACTCAACGGGCAAACAAGTGTCAACTGAAATCATCGAAATTCCGGATGATGTTCCCATGCCAACATACTTTGACGACATGGTCCAGGCTTATAAAACAAAGCTTCTGTCTGCCTCGCCCTTTGTGAAATTTGAACCACCATATCTGCTTATGCGTGTGAGAGAGATAGGCCGCAGGCTAGCCTACTTGAAACGGCTCCGTGACCAGCATGGATTGTCCGAAGAAAGCATAGACGAGAAGGCTAAGCCGCAGAAGTTCACTCTCATTACCCCCGAGATGGTTCACGAGTCTCCGCACGATGCTTCACCCAAGGTCAAAGAGGTGCTTCGCGCAGCCCATGACGCCGAATATGATAGGACACTCTATCATTACCAAACGCAGAAACGGCAGTGGGAGGCCTACGTAGCTGGTAACCA